GTTGTTGTTGCAAGCTCACCTCACTGACTGTGTCCGTCTACAAACTCCCGGCTGAGTCAATCTGAACGCGCTCAACTACATTCACCTGCATTCTCCCGCCTTTTTTGCCCCTCGTTCTTACGCTTCCTCAACCTGGCTCATCGCTCTTACGCCAGACCCCACCTTTACCGGAGAGTATTTTTTGTTTTGTTGCTCCTTTACTTTCTTTTGTTTATGGGGCTCGTCTCCTGCTCTTGACCTTACCTAACGCTAACGCTATCTCTCATTACTCTTGCCTACACTGCCCCTCAACGCCTCAATCTGCTGATCAGCATCATCACCACAGTCGCCCATATGCATCCTCCAGCACTGCAGCTGCGTGGAGATTAGTCTGTTTTTGATTTCACTGTCCCTGTCCCCCAGATACAAGTCCTTTTCACTCCCTTGTCAAATCCTGAATAGTTAATGAATTTATTTATAATAATATACGCCCCAGTAGCGTGAGCGCGCTAGCCTTGCTATTCGATTTGCCTTTCTAGAAACCCGCCTTCCCTTGAAACCTCCACAGCCTACACCTGTGCTATCTACTCACTCCTCTCCTGAATTGTTCAACGCTTGTATGCTCCAACTACTCATTCATTCATATCTGCTGAACGCCTACGCTCTTGTAATACCACTCATTTTCTTCATCGTTCCTGCTCGCTTGATGTGCTCTTAGCTCTCGTCACTGCATTTGGCTACATTTCTTTCAACGCACTTCACACTTTGTCCAATGACCAGACGCTCACACTACTTTTCCTTGTCTCAACCCTTACGCTTCCTTCCCTTTTCACTACAACGTTCCTTGCAGATTCCCATACCAGTCCACTCAAACGCTCGTCTTTTTCAACAGTCTGTGTCCTCGTGTGACGCGCTTTCTGACAACCTCTCCAGCTCAAGCGCGCACACTCTTTCAAACCCAAGAGTATTCCGAACTCGTCGAACGCGTAGAGCACGCTTGTCAACCGAGCCGCCTCAACACCTAACCGCGCTGCTTTGTTTTCTTGTGTTTCTGTCCCCTTTGTCTTCTTCTTCGGCTGTTGTTTGATGTGTGTCGCTCTTCTGTTTCCGTGTTTCTCTTCCTCGTTTACGTTTCCTCGACGTTGACACTGACGCTACCCACCTGCACCACCCTCCCAAAGCTCGCGAGTGATCTCTTTAGCTCCTTACTGCGCTTACTGCACACTTGTTGGCAATGCCCATTGAGCACGTTACCCTAAAGCTACACTTGTTTGTCGCGCTTTTGTTTTCGTTTCTTGTCTTCTGTACTTCAGCTTACCCAACGCTGGCTCTGCTCTGCTCTGTTGCGTGCTGTTAGTCGCGCCTTTGCCATAGTCGTCTGGTTTGTACCCTTACGCTTACCCTGCGCACTTACGCTTCCTCTCCTCACTCTTGATCCTATTCCCATGCTTCCAGGTCCGTCCAGCTCACGCTTCCTAGCTCTTGTCTGGTCAAATCGCAACTTAACTTCTCGCTTCTTGTCGTTCCCACCTGCTGAGTGCCAACCTCCCTCCCGAGCCAGTGTTCGTAAGTGCGTCGAGCTGATCGAAGTTTCCGTTTCTTTCTTTCGTCCTTCACCCTTACGCTTCGTCGATGTTGACGCTGATACTGTCTCTTCATACCCTCGCGTTTACGCTTCGGTCTTTTCTCCTCCCATGCGTCGGTTCCCATACGTCTACGCCTTCTATTCCAGGATCAAACGAAATCGCAAACTCCCGGCTGAGTCCCACAGAGCGCGCCAAGTTGAAGGTCACTTGCCCACGTTGCCCACGCCCTTAAGGAGCGTTAAACTACTTTCTTCTGCTATTCTTTGGTCGTCGAGCTTTCGAATTTATTTCTTGTCCTCCGCCCTTGCGCTTACCCGACGCTTACAATGCTCGCCTGCCTACACTCATCCAACACCTACCCGACGCTACCTCTCCCTACACTCGCCTTTATGCCTACGCTTCCAAACCCGCCTTACTGACGCTTCTTCACCCCTCCTTCGACCGTTCACCCTATCGGCATTTAGCTGCGCACTTCTCAGCAACACCCCTGGTAGACGCGTCAAGCTGCGCCAAACTCTCCGAGAGCGCTGATTAGCACTTGTCAAAGCCGAGATCAGAGCGTCCACAACAATCTGCTGGTCGCTTGCTTCTACTCCTTTGACGCGCCATGTGTCTGCTGCTACTTTCGATGAACAATAACTCCTCTATCAACTGCTCTTCCTACTAGATCTCGAGAACGTAGTGAGTCCCGGTTCTCATGGGATTGTTGGAGCAGTGTTTACTATAAGGTATAATAATAATAATGATGATAATATATTTGATACAAAACAATGATTATACAAAAATCAAGAACGCCCCATAATACAATGCCGACAGCAGATGCTTGAGACAGGGCGACAGAAAGACAGACACACAGACAGAAAAAACAGATAAACGAGTGAGCGCGCGGAAATCAAAAGGATCAGACGGGTCGACAAGAGCTAGAGACGACACTCGTTGCGATCGTCCATGTGATGTTATCCTCCAAACCCATCCCCGTGATCAATCACTACTTGTAACTTCCGCAGAATCGAATTAACTAAAGGGGCAGCGTCTGTGGTCTCCTTCGCTACCAGACAAGCATCGTCGTCGTTTCACTGGGCGCAGGTCTGCATCTGCATCCGTGTCGGCGACGCGCTTGGCTGGATTAACCTGACTGCTCACAGACAAAGGAGATCCACCAGCGCCTAATTGTTCGTTATTTTCAACTGGGGTCTGTTGATGTTCCGGGTCATAAGACCGAGGCGCGTGCTCTGGGTGCACAATGTAGAAAACAGCTCTCATCTCATCGTACAGCATCTGGAACATTTTGCGCTGACTTGGCGTTAAAATTTTGAACCAGACTATCACTCTGCACACCCGGAACATATTGTAATGATCGTTGGGGGATAAGGAGCGCTCCAATGCATCCGAAAACACAGTGAAGCCGCCGTGGGCATGGGTTCTTCGGTATCCATGTTCCGGAACGCTCTCAGCATATTCAGGGCAGACGAGCTCATCCTCAAAGTATGACTTGTTCAATGAAGGGGTGACGATAACACTGAGCTTGTAGCCGTTGCCGACTTGATCGACTCTAGCAAGGCTGCCCAAGAAACGCTCGCAATCTTCGCGCATGAGCGTGTTTCCAAGCAGAGATAATTGATGGTGTAGGAGAGCGGCGTCGACCCATTCTTGTCTGATCTGTCTGTGGTCGAGGTCGATCGTGAGATAGATGGAGTACCAGCGACTGAGATGATTGACACGCTCGTAGTCGCGCATCAAGGTCGTCAAAGCAGAGCCCAATTGGCGAAGGCTGAGTCGACCATCTGCCACTGCAGTGAAGGGGACGGATTCGAACGAAGGGCAAGAACCGTTGGTATTTGTTGACAGAGACGAGAAGGTGACCGTGGACATGTTTTCATGAGTTAAGCGCCAGCCCTCTTTACTCAAAAGCCGCTCGGGATAGGGCGTGTTGACCATGCGTTCCAAGGCCTGTCGGGTGAGAGATCTTTGACGGTTCAAAAAATCGTTCAAGACCAGTGGGAGGTGGAGTTCAAAAGACTCCAACGTGCTGTGTGAGCCGGGAGGGAGCGGAATCCGCCGAACGAACGAACGGATCAAGGGGTTCGAGTGGTCTATGACTTCGCGTCCTTGAACAGGTTCGTACGCTGGTGGACTTTCCGTGGGCGGCACAGGATCGAGAAAAATGGAAGAGAAAAGAAGACCAAAAACAGCTTGTTCACTATGAAGATCAAAAGGAGCCATGGTCATTGCGAGAGCCGAAGGTTGGGGACGAGATGCTGATGAAAGGGAAAGATATTATGAAGCGGGGAGAGAGTAGGAAAGGAAAGAAGGGCGCGGGACGTACATTTTATAACCAGGCATAGCGAGCAAACAAGGCAGGAGGCCGCACATGGTAGCTAAAAATAAAGAGCAAAGAGTGGCTTCGTCAGGTACGGAAGGAAGGCCGTGATTGCTGTGCAAGCCGAAGCCTTGTTGACCGGAAACTAGCAAAATAGTCATTCTCCTTGCCGCCGGCCTCTCCTTTCCAGTCTCTTGTATTCGTAAAGCCGGCAACAATATATCCATACAGGCAGATTCGTTGTTTGAATTAAATCATGCACGATATATTATTGCTGCGACGGTACCTCGCGCTGTTCAAGCTGTTCTTGAACAAGAGAGAGTTGCTGGGAAGTGAGAGCATGGTCTCAGATAATTAGGGTTTGCCTTGTAGCAATCCCAGTCCCACCACTTCTTCAACTTTTGGCGACTTTAAGCACTGCTTTGCGCACTTCTGGAGACTTAGACCGGTACTTATGAATAAATAATAACTTAAAATGAATCTTGATATTAGAAACCATTAACTTGCTAATGTCGCATCTTGAGCTGAGCGCTGAGGACACCACTAGTGTGAATTATTTTATGGCGCTCCAGAGCAGAGAACTACACAAGGAATCACTGACAAACCTTGTGACATGCAGCTCTTCTCAGAATGTCATTGAGTATTGATGGATTTTTATAAGAGCAAAGGCTGGCGTCGATTAAATGCTGCGGTATTATACAGCGATCTACAAAGACGGCTACAGGAGATATAGATAAGGTGAAGGAAGCCACCAGCAATCAAATGGCATGAAGAGATGATCTCCACTGACTCCCGATATATTTAAAATTCGAATAAAGAGACAAAACGAATAGCAAAACCAAGAATCTAGAGACTGGAAGAAGCGATCAATCGATTGAGAACGACAGGAGCTATTACACACGCGAGAAACAAGCGGCAGAGCCTGAGAAATTATGACTCGTCTCCAGATCTGCGAGAGTCGGTATCTCTTTTTTCGGTTTTCGGCGGGATAAAAGATAAGGCTGATCCACAGAGAAGGATGGAGGGTATTCCGAGTTGGTACTTTGCAGAGGCCAAGGATTAAACATTCAGTGACGCCCGTACAGCAGGGAGAAGGGTGCAGACAGACAGTAGCGTTACTTCTTGAACAGATACCAGCATCTAGTTCGATGAGATGACGTTAGCAAGGGTATCTTGTACAATGGCATATGACAGATATACAGTCGAGGTGGACTACTTCTCTCTTGACGTTGGCTGCTATACAGCGAAGCCTTGACAACCAGCGACTGAAAATCTTTTCCAGAAAGCACGACCATAGGCAGTCTGAATAAAAACCCGGACTCGATCCTGCGATCCATCCGTTGCCCAGCTTTGATGTGATCTTTCCGTTGTGCTCCGCTGTCGTAGTGTTCGTCGCGATCGCGGGGCGGATGACGTCCGTTGTCTCCTCCCTCGGCCATCGAGTTACTTTGTGATAAAGAGAGCGAGTGAGGAGGTGTGCGTTGGATTCGGTCGGCTATCGTGCTTGAAGCTCGCAGCAGCACGTTGTGATGCTCAAGAGATCGTGTTTTCTTCTTGCCGCCAGCCATTGTTTGGGTAGGGAAACGGGGAAGGTGGCTGCTGAGGTGGGGAAGTAGTGAGCTGTGAAGAGGAATGGGGATGAATGGAATGAGCGAAGCCTTATGTGTTGACCATCTGTGCCTTTTTCGAACAAGGGCGGCCTTGTATCTGAGCTGAGTTTTGTAAAGACGGTTGGAGATTGAACAAAGAGATATCTACACGAACCCCTGAAATAATGCAAGCGAGCTTTCGATGACCATCTCTGCTTTTCCAGTTGCGGCTCCAAACGTTCAGGAGAGCTGATACCCAACGAGGGAGAACAGAACGAGCGCTACTACTACTACTACTACACTACTACACTACTACAACACTGTGTCGTAGCGGTAATCAATCACGTGACTATGATTTAACAGGTGACAAAAGCCTTGTTGACCTCGGAACGCCTCTTTACGAGCAACAAGGCCGCCCGCCTTTGTTTGAACAAGGCGGCAATGGAAAATATAAAGTCCGCTCTCCCGCCGCTCTCTCTCTTCTCCTCTTCTTCCTCACCTCTCACTACTTCCAGAACTTCAGCAACACCCACCCATCCCGTGCTTTTCCAACAATGGTTTTCGGCCAGAGTGGAACACGCCCCTCCGGTGCATCGCATACTGCTGCTGCGTTCTACATGCACCGTCGCTGCCGACATCTCCCTACATACGCGCAATCGCGGCTCGAATCTGCTTTTGCGGGCTATCCGACGATCGAGAGAGGCTACGGACGCCTTCAGCCCAGCACTTGCTTCGCCGCCCACGACGACGACGACTTGATCCCCGAAGAGAGACAATCCCCGGTCTTTAACGTGGATCTCTCTCGCATCCGCCTCAACGACGCCCTGATATTTCACGGGCTCGACTTTGTCTACGACAACTTCGCCTCTCGTATCGACAAAAGGCAACATAAGGACCAGCTAGGCACCGGATCATCCTACGGATTTCTGTTTTTAACTGCCTATGATCGTGCTTTGTTTATAAAGATTTTCAACCGCTGGTCAAGGCTTCGCTATAATAGCGGCCGAAGTATGTATATACCCTTGTTAGTTTTTCTAACTCTCCGACTGACCCTTGTTGCACTTTCTAGTCCACCCTTTCTGCAGCATATCTATCCACCCTGGAACGAACCAGAAGAGTCCTATACTTCGACTACTGTTCAGGCTTATACCCCAACATCCGATGAGAGAAGTGGTCTACTCCTCCTCGTTTCTGTCCTATACCCATTGTACAGGAGCCCTTGCTGAAGTCATCTCATCGCACCACATGTTGGTATATGCCTCAAGAAGTAACCCACCTGTCTGTCTGCACCACCACCTTCCCTGCTGTACGGTCGCCTATGGACGTTAAAACAAATGGCTTCTGCAATGTACTGGCTCGGAATACCCTCTCTTTCTTTCTGTGAAATAGGGTTATCTTTGATCCCGCCAAATACCAAAAAAAAGAAACAATCACCTAATCGCGCAGAGCTGGAGGCGAATCACTTACTGGGCTCTGTCGCTTGATTCCCCCGCGCGTATATCACGCTTCTCAAGTCCTCGTCGGACCCTTTTCCAAGTCTTTTCAGTTTCGTTTTTGCTTTTCATCAATATTATCATCAACGGGTTGTCACTAGGGATCATCTCTGAACCGCATTTGATTGCTAGTGCCTACCTTTTTTTTTTTTTTCACAAATCGTTCCTCTCCTCTAGAAAACACTCGTAGATCCCATGACGCACTAGCACTTCCTCAGTACTTCCCTATCATCCATCCAGGTACTATCGTTGTCGATGACAATCGAAAACAAGAGTGCCGCGCTTGCGCGTACGCAGTTATTTCCGGCGTATCGAGTCAGCTGCGGTTCACGCGGGGTAGATGCGGGGCAGTGCCTGGCACTATTACTCCTTTGGGTGGCACCGCGATCTTCTCCCTGTTCAATGCTAATTAACACTAGTTAACTTTATGGGGATCATCATCATCAATCCCGATATGCCTCAATACGTGCGGCTGAGAGGAGCTGAGGACACAAAGGCCAAAGCTGCGCACTGCCACGCTTGAGCGTCTGACTGCTGCTAACCGCATGGGGTATTTACCGGACATCTTCCTAAAAAGAAGTGAGATGGCAGACGGAATGTGTTTTACCGCGTCTTAGCGTCAATGGATATAAAGATGAAGATTAGGCAGTTTGAAGACTTCATTGATATTTCTGAAGGGCCTAGCAATCGAAGACCATACCATATCCTTGCACCATGACAGTAACGGAGAAAAAGCAAGCTTTATCCGTCGGACAGCGCTTTGATCGTAAGAATCTGTCCTGTCTTTCAATTTCTAAGAATCATACTGGGTACTAACATATATTGTTTCAGCAATTGTTGTCCGTGGCAATTCCTTCTCCCTCAATGGTTCAAACGTTTCTTATCGCTTCCATGTGGACAGCAGCACCGGAGATCTGCTCTTGGACCATTTCGGTGGCCGCGTGACCGAGGATCCCTTATCACTGAGCGACCCCAATCATACTGGCTGGGCACTTGAGGAACACCTTCGACGTGAATTCCCTGATAATGGGCGTGGTGATTTCAGGGTGCCAGCTATGCGCATCAGACACACCGACTCCCACTCTCTTAGCAAGTTTGAGTACAAGTCTTACACCATAGTCGATGGGAAGCCGGCACTGCAGGGTTTGCCGTCAACGTTCTCCAATAACGGTGATGCCGAAACACTAGTGATTCATATGTTTGACAGCAGGAGCTGCATCAGGGCGGATTTATGCTATACAATCTTCCCGGAGAATGACGCGATTGTTAGAAGTGTCAAGCTATCTAATGAGAGCGACGAGACAGTTGTCATCGACAAATTGGCTAGCTTGAGCGTCGATTTTCCCTTCGATGATTATGATATGATACAGCTGCGAGGTGAATGGTTTCGAGAATGCACTAGGGATCGCCGCAAAGTGGAATATGGCACGCAAGGGTATGTATTTGTCAAGATCACAGTTTAGCTATCATACAGACTGAAACTGACAATCATGTTTCTCATTTGACAGATTTGGAAACTCGACCGGATTTTCATCGCATCATCACAATCCGTTTCTGGGCATCGTTTCACAAAGTACGACTGAGTTTCAGGGGACTGCCTGGGGATTCTCTTTGGTATATTCAGGATCGTTTAAGGCTGAGGTCGAGAGAGCTCCTCAGGGTCTTTCTCGGGTTCAGCTTGGAGTGAATCCGAGTCACTTGTCTTGGAAATTGGGCAAAGGTGAATCCTTTACTACTCCTGAGTGCGTCGCCGTGTTTTCAGACTGTGGAGTCGGAGATATGTCGCGAAAGTTTCACCGCCTATACCGACATAATCTCATTACCAGCAAGTTTGTCGACGAACCACGCCCAGTTCTTCTTAACGGCTGGGAGAGCATTTATTTCAATTTTGACCAGAACAGAATCCTTGAGCTTGCTCAAGAAACTGCTAAGCTCGGTGCAAAGCTCTTTGTGATGGATGATGGCTGGTTCGGGGTCAAGTATCCTCGTGTTAACGACATGGCTGGTCTGGGAGATTGGGAGCCTAATCCGGACCGATTTCCCGATGGATTGAAGGCTCTTGTTGATAAAGTGACTGATATCCAGAGCAACGCTTTGCCAGGTCAAGAGTCTTCTAAACTGAAGTTTGGAATCTGGGTAGAGCCTGAGATGGTTAGTCCTAAATCAGTGCTCTACCATGAGCATCCTGATTGGGCCTTGTCTGCCGACGATTATCCTCGTACCGAGTGTCGGAATCAGCTGATCCTCAATCTGGCGCTTACAGATGTTCAAGATTATATCATTAATGCTATATCGAAGCTTTTACGTTCGGCGTCTATTTTTTACGTTAAATGGGATCTTAATCGAGGCATTCATGAGAGTCCAACTCCAGACCATCACTCATACATTCTTGGGTTATACCGAGTTCTTCATGAACTTACCACGCGCTTCCCTGATGTGCTTTTTGAGGGCTGTGGGTCAGGTGGTGGTCGATTTGATCCTGGCATGCTCCACTACTTTCCGCAAATCTGGACTTCTGACTGCAATGACGCATTAGACCGAATCTCAATTCAGTTGGGTACCTCGGTAGTTTATCCGGCTTCTACTATGGGCGCACATATCTCTGTGGTGCCTAATGAAGTAACTCTGCGCACGACGCCGATCAAATTTCGAGCTCACGTTGCAATGATGGGTGGTTCGTTCGGGCTTGAGTTGGATCCTGTTCATATGCCAGAAGATGACAAAGCTGAAGTTCCTGGATTGATTGCACTGGCTGAAAAAATCAATCCGATTGTCATCAGAGGCGACATGTATCGCCTCAATCTTCCGGGTGAATCGAACTATCCGTCTGTTTTGTTCATATCGGATGATTCCTCCCAGCTTGTCTTGTTTGTGTTCCAGATTCGCGCCACGTCGGCTCATAACTTCCCTAGAATCCGACTGCAGGGACTACAGCCTTCATCGCTGTATATGGTTGATGGTGAAAAGGTCTATTCTGGTTTGACATTAATGAACGGTGGTGTGCAGTATAGACTGAACGGGGACTGCGACAGTCGAGTGGTTTTCATCGAGCGATTGTGAATATTCTTAACTGTGATTATAATTTACGTGAGCGATTCATCTTCAATACACTCATAAATAGCATTCATTCATTCATTCAACAAAATAGATCGTATAACTAGATACTAGTACATTTCAGTTTTATAGTTGAAGTGGAGTAGGAAGCGACGATGGAGTGAGAAGGCCGTTAAGATTCCAAGAACCGAGATCATCAGGAAGAGTCCAGTTAGATACCTCCAGAAGTTCCGCTCTAGATTGTGAAACGTCATCGCTGTCTTCGGCTTGGACAGTTGGAGCAGTCGCGCAAACGCTGAAGAAACCAGTTGGCTGCGTATTCAGGACGTTTCTGGGGCTTCGACATCCGAGGCGATCATCAGAGTATTTGAGTAACTGTGGGAGGTACCAGGACTGGTGCCCGCCAACTTTGGAAAGCGCTTTGACGATAGAATTCATATAGTCGCGTGGGCCTAGCTCCCACGAGGAGTAGCTCGGTCCGTGCAGAAGGGAGTAGTCAACAAGACATGCACCAATATCATACAGTTTTTGCTCCTAAGATCTGTCAGCATTTCCTTTACATGGAAGTTCATTGATCACAAAAACGTACCACACTAATTCCATGACAGTCCTTGGATTTGGGACTGACTGCGTTTAGTGCTGTCATGAGTATCCGGCTAGCGTCAAGAGGAGTCTCTGAAGGCCGCATTAGATTGCGATTGGATTCCATGCCATGTTTACTACCGAATGCCAGTTGCCACATGCATATGCGCAGCCACTGGAGTGTCATTAGCGAGTCAAATCTCTGACTTTCGATTATTGAAGTCTCTGGTTTAAGATCGCAAAGTCGGGAGTGGATTTTATTTGGAAGCGCGCTGGCGGTAACCCGCAACTGTCCTTGGTCATCGATGGTCCAGTCATAGAGAGATGGCGGTAACGAGTCAAAGAGGTCAATGTGGTTGAGGAAGTCATGTATGACCTCGGGATAGGCGGAGTATTCCATTTTGGGCTTTGAGACTCGACCGCGTAGCATAACAGATCGTCGACATTGCAGTGCAAAAGTTCTATGAGCGGATGTTAGTAACTATCTTGTGTAGGTTGTTCTAGCAACAGGCGCTACTCACCTTTCTGTGACAAACAAAAGCCAGAAAATGCGCCGTCGCAACTCTTTTTCATTTTCGGAAAAGCCGGTATAATCCTTCTCGTTTGTTACACTATTTGCTTGTGCCAGAGTGATACTTTGATTCAAGAAATACCAAGCTTTGCGATTGCTGTCCAGATTTCCGTAGCCAGAGAACAAGAAAAAAGATGCCAAGACCGAATCGAGCGTGAGATCATCTATTAGACAGTATTGATGAAGCGAATGCTGAGCTATTTCTAGTAGCTCTTCGCCGGTCAAATCTGGAGCTGCAGGGGTTTCGCTGCCAAAATCCTGCACAGCTTCTTCTGAGTGGTCCAGCCGGAGCTGTAAACGCGTCACCGCACATAGAGCAAAAATCAAAGCAAGTCGTGACGGTTTCAAGTCTTCGTAGTGCAGGACGTCTGCAAGTAATTCTTCCTTGTCCACGACTGGCATTATCGGAAATAGATGCTTGAAGAATATGGAGATGTGAGATATTAGAAAGTGCGCCATTGATTGGGAGTTCGCAACAGATCTGCTCTCCAACTCCACGCTGTCCGCTATCTCGCAAAGCTCATGGTCAAGAGGTCCTGGGCTTTCGGTGGACTCTTTGGTGGTTCGAGATGGCGAGAGGGCAAATGATGCAGAGATGTCCTGCCGGGGACAAAAGTCATTGCCCTTGTTGCTTGTGCTCTCGTTCTCCGGCCTAATCGTGGAACTCCGCTCGGGCATAAAGACATTCACAAAATCCGCATCAATATCATTTGTAGACCCTTGCCGCAGGCGAGCAAGACGCCGGCCAACCCCGCGTTTAGGACCTTTCTTTTGTATAACATGCAGATATCTGCAGCTCAGGGAGGAGTCCACGCAGTTCAGACAGGGCTCGGCTCGGTCGCACTTGATCTTTCGGCAGCGACAATTATCGCACGCCTGTCGCGCTTTCTGGTTGGTGGCCATGATCTTGACGGAAGGAAACGGTGGTGATGATTGATGATGATGGTGCTGGAGCGGTAGATGGGGAGGACACTCTGTGTTCGTGCCTGGTCTGAAAACCTTAACCCCGCATTCTGGCCGTAGTTCCCGTGACTTTCTCGAGGCCGACGAACATTTCAGAGATAAAATTTCGTCAGGCGGTCGGTAAAGCGCGCCGAAAGACATGCGGTTGCGCAAGCCTGTGAAGGGGTACTAGTCCTGATGGGGTAATACTCGCTCCTGTTGCTCACCCTGCCTTTCTCAAGACTGATATAGATAATAATCATCTGACAGAAGCAACGCTTATTGTAATGGTTACAGTGCCGTACAGTATAACCGGATTTTCTGTTTGAAGCCTGGTGCCTTTGAATTAGTTAGTGGACACTACTACTACTACTACCGCCCGGTCGAGAGCGCCGTACAAGTGTAGCCAATGCGGAGGTCTTGGGCAAAGAAGAATTTCACCGCTATGCCCAGGAAACCGTATGAATATGGCAGTGTTCCCTGGTTGTTGATGAAACTTTATTTGGCTCTAAGTTCTATGCATCGATAACATGATGTAGTTACGAGTCGTTCGACTTTGGTTTACTTTACTACTACTTGACTCTCTTTTCATCATTGAACCTCACATATTGAAACAAATCTGTGGAATCGTGAACAGAGTTCCAATTCCCCTTAGGTAATCGTCAAGGCGTCTGACGAGTATTATTTTAGCCGGCTCATATTATGTTATCAATTAGACCTAACTAAGTCAATATTCCACGTCTACTCATTTTTGGTGACCGATCATGTGTAGCAGGTTGTTGCAATCCTACGGCTTGAGATCACGTATACCCAGAATTCAATCATGAGAAAAGAATGTTAGACTATTAAACATGTCGTTCAATTTTCAAGAGACTACCATAGAGAATCACAACCTTGACCCAATCTCCAAAACAAATCTGGCGTCCAAGACGCTCCACAAGCTGAGTCCATCAGATAGCCAAGTCAAACTAAGGTCCGTGATTCTCTTTCCGAGTGAGATCATCAATCACGTTGGTGTCGAACGCATCAACCTCAGTTGTAGCAAACTTTCGTGCCGGCACTTTTTCTGCAAAAAGGATGTCAAGCTCATGAAAGGTGCGGTTTCGAGTCTCAGGCAAACGGTAGTAGCTCCATACAAACACAAGGAAGCAAGTGCCGCCCCAAACAAATCCTGTATAGCCTTTGAGATTCCAGGCTTGCGGATTCATAAAGTACTGCTCAAGTGTACCGCCAACAATGCCGGCAATATTGGTGGAGTCGCGGGCAAGGCATATCGTCTTTTGGCGTAGTCGAGTGGAGCCGACCTCTGCAGGAAGAGCCCAACCTAGCTGACCTGCGGAAAGCTGGAATATGACGGTCCAGACTAATGATAGACAGGCTTGGGTCATGCCAACGGAGTATCTCTCCGTCCAAACGTTCAAAATACCGATCAACATCAATATGACAAACATCGCACCCATACCAGCAACGTATACAGTGCGCCTGCCAAAATTAGGCATGATAACGAACCAATTCACTATACACGACAGTAAGGCGAGACCAGTACCGCCGAGCGTAAGGGAATAAGTCGTACTCGTGCCCAAGCCAATTTGAGAGAAAAAATAGGAGTTATTGTAGGCAAAGGGGAGTCCACACAATGTCTGGCCAGCAAAGACGGCGCATGCAATTTCAGTACGGCGAAGCTCGTCGCCTTTGAAGCAATCGCGGTAGCTGGTTCCAACCTGCAGTCGTTGCTCAAGATTGTTTGTATAGATAATAGAGGCAAGGGTCTTGCGAACATCTTCACCGCCTGATTTGGAAGTTTGCAAACGAAGAAGAGACTTTTCTGCTTCTTCTATCTTGCCAACTCTAACAAGATACCACGGTGACTCCGGCGAGAGATAAATGAGCGGAATCAAAAACAAAGGCCAGAACCACTGCAGTACAAACGGAATTCTGTAACCCCACTGGTCTGTTCGCGTAGAGAGACCCTTCAGAACGCCGGCTGATATCAGCTGACCAATGATAAAGCACATGTTTGTATAGGATGTCATATACACTCGAAGTGCCAACGGAAGGACCTCAGAAGCATAAGCAGGAGCCGTCGTAGCAAGAATACCCCAGGGAATGCCACAAAGGACTTCGCCGGCAACAAGAGCTTTCAAACTTGGCGCAAAGAAGACAATAAAGATGAAGCATGCGAGAGCAACAAGAGCTCCTAGTTGCGCTCTTCTTGATCCCCATCTGCCGACCAGATAGCCGCTGATGAGGCAGCCTATAACTGAGCCACAGCTGGAGCCTTGAGAAAGTCCAGTTTGCCAAGCTGCGGTAAGTTGATAGCCAGTAGGAACCGAAGACGAAACTCCGACATATTCGCCGTATTTGGTGACAAATGAAGCTAGAGCAACAGTCAGTAATCAGTCTTTTTGACGTGTTTTTCTCAAATCAATTCAATCAACTTACGATACGCAAAGAAATTCTGAAGAAGGTTAGTGTCATAGCCTTCCATAATGACACATGTCGAAGATACAAGTGCCCACATGAGCGCTGTACGATACGTCTTGATAGCATTCCACACGGTAAGATCATGTTCATCGGCCGATCCTTCCAGAGCTGCCTGTTGCACACGCGCGTCATAGATGTCTGCCGCCTTTGCAGCTTCGATGAGGGCGTTATGCACTTCTTCAACATGATCGACGTCCTGTTTCTCCATTGCGGATGTATTTTCGATATTGAGACCGAAAGATAATAATAACGTTTTATCTCACAATTAGGCACCCGAGAAAGGTCCCGCAAAAGTTGACGCGAAGCCTTTATATAATAACAAAGATAGAAATACTTAAAAACAGACATTCACAAAGGCTGTTCATTTTGCGGAGAATCATGAACTGCTGTTTTGCGGGGGTGGCGTATGCCTCAGCGCCGTAGGCTGTTCGGAGAGATCGTAAGATTGATAGGCGCCTGGGGCGTTTGAGAAAAGTTTCACGGAACATGCAAATGGGGAAATACTCGGACAATCCAATGCACTCCGCTTCACTCCTGCGGAAGCCATTGCCTTGATCACGCCGGGTAATTAGACAAAATAATAGTTTGCACGGGCTTTGGGAGGGTTGTTCTGAATTTTTTATGATATGTATTTGTGCACGACAGGATGCGTAGAACACCCTACACTACACAAACCCTGCTGGACATATATATCTATATTACGACTTTCTCAAAGTTGTGCAAAGCTTGATAGCCTGAGAGTATTTACCTCAGCGTGAATTTTCACTGCACAGCTTTTATATAATCCAGAAAAAAAGTTCAACTGCCAATCATTCAGCTCAACTAGTTGGTGTCTGTTGATCGCGGGGATTTAAGACTGAGCGCCGCGTGATGCCCATCGTGCGAGCAGACTCCTCAGTTCGCTATTTCCCCTCGACTTAATCATCCGGATATATCTCTTTCAGCAGCATTTAGAAAGTCTTTTGCGCTTGCGCGTGCACATTATCGTCTGCTGCAAACTACTACTACTATGCTCTTGGCTTTGGCGCGGGGAAAGATGCGGGGTTGCGCCTTTTCCGGAGATCTTTAAAGTAGCGTACAATACGCCACAATGAGTGCGGCTGAAAGATCGCTTACTGTCACGAGTGTTGAATCGGAGGCTCGCTGCTGCTAAAACCTGAAGGGGTAGTTATCGGCAGTTTCATTCGCAGAAAATTCCAAGGAACACTGCCACTTCTCACTGGCGCCAGCATCCGCACGGCTAAATATCAGCGATCTGAATTGCGGACGCAAAGGGTCTCTTGCTTGCGCTTAAGAAAAATAAAAGCCAATCAAGTAGCGGTTGCTGTTGACAGAACGGAAACAGAAAGTCTGAGATAGATGGACCGGTTAGAGTATCATCTAACTCTTCGGTAAAGAAGGACTGATAAGATGTTGTGTCAGGTCAGTATGAGACAGGTCATTTACGTATGAACTGACGTTAGACGAGTGTGTATGTGGCATTAGGCGACGAGTGATTGTATAGACAGCCTCCTCCAGCTGCAGGGCCTTAGTAGTCTTTCATATCGCGTCTCCTACTCCGCTCACTCGCCTCTGACTCTATCTACAGGTTTATGGCTACTACATCAGTATGTCACTCAATGATCCATTGTCCCTTCAAGTCTGTGAGTTGCTGCGGACTAATCAGAGTGTCTCTATCCTATTCAACGCCAACGAGCCAGGAAGCAGTGAGTCGCAGTGCTCACGGGAGTGGTGGAACAGAGCTTACTAGCTAGTATAACGATAATAGATGTTCTGATATTAATAAAGTAGCAATAGTAGTATCTAGTGAGCAAATCTAAAATCAAGTCTCCGGCTGCCTTCATCTTTCGTCGTCAGGGTGTACTGCTCTTTCTCCTCCGGCGTCTTCAGATTCCAAACCTTCTCACGCTGCCGATTTCTGAAAATATAGTAGAATTTGACCAGAATATATACGACAATGTTCATACATGCTATTCCGATCAAAGCAGTATTTCCACGCTTATATAATGGGCTATCATCAGCTCGATAGATATAAGATGATATAATGCCACTCAACTGACAAAACATGTTATATAACGCTGCCGATAAGGTTCTCGTGCGAACTGAGTTCGAGTTTCGTGAGGTCCACGCAACTTGAATAGCGTGTGTGGAAGGATGGCCAATGAGAATACTCGTTACTGCGTATTTTGACCACCGGTTAGTGTTTGCATCAAATACTCTCAAAGGGATGAGCAGTATAAGAACCCATGCCTGAGCAAAGACACCGAGAAGACTTCGCTGATTGAAGCGTTGAGAGACATATGTGATAGCTAGGAGCGTGAACAAAGTCAAGAACTGCTTGGGAAGTGTGAGAAGAGTCGTCTGAAGCGTCGTGAAACCAAGCGATCTCAAAGTGAGCGTCAAGTAGGTGTCAACGGATGCTGAGCTGAGCCCAAACAACAGACCGATTACATAGATCGGCCACAGATCAACATCTGCCAGTGACTTTCCGAGCATCTTCCAATCGAGCGCTTGTCGATTGTGCATTCCGCCTTTGTTAGGATCGTCCCGCAACACCCGATTGACTATGATCGTTTCTTCTTTAGGTGTAAACCATCCGTTCTTACCTCTGAACCAGGAGGCAGAAGCGGTCGGTGAAGGAGGCATAAGAAGAAAAGAAACCAGTCCGACAACGGCAGTGATGCAACCCTCAATCAGGAACAGCCATCTCCATCCCTCATAGCCGAGAACTCCGCGCATGCGAAGGATACCAAAAGCCATAAACGCGGCGATGATTTCCGCAGTAGTCAACGCAGCCCAGAAGTACGCTAGACGAACTGGTAGTTCGATGCTGGTATAGAAATAAGAGAGATAGAGGCAGATGTCGGCAATAAAGCCTCCCTCCCATGCACCAATCAAAGCTCGCGTAATGTAAAATCCCGCTTCGTCCTTCAGCCAGAACTGAGATAGCGCCACTAGACTCCATGAGATCATCTGAACGGTCGTTAGTTTCGGATTCAGCATATGCAGCAGCACTGCTCGATATTTGAGTGAGATGGAGACATACCTGAATGGGGATCCACACATCGGGACCTAGCTTCTTGCTCACCAGCTGAGACGGAACCTCACAGATCAAAAAGAACACTTTGAAGATGGTATTTCCGTTGTTGAACACTTCAGATTTCATAGAAGTCAGCATACGAAAACTATCAGACGTGAGCTTAATCAAAAGTAGGGTGACATACCATTTGTAGTAAATCCCAGATCGGTGAGCATGTTATCGGCAACAGCTTGTGAGATGTTTGCGCGATCCAACTGTAAAGCCATAAACATGAGGGCCACCCAGGTCATGATCCGCAGGTCGACCTTCCGAACTACTTGACGCTCTTCGCGCCAAGTCCAGCGGAATTTTGGATCGAAGCGATGAAGATTCTCATAGGTATCAATTGGGCGGAAATGGTGGCATTTGTCGGGGTCGTCAAACACAGAAGGTTGAGTGGCCACTTCGTCAAGTTGAGCATTAGAAGCCTTGGTTCGAGACCAGAAATAGTACTTCTCTGGAGGCCTAGAAGAGAGTTCCGGCCAATCGTCGGGTATGTTGAGCTTCGCGGCAACACCGCCATAGACGCTGTCGTAGTCAGAAACGGACGAGGTGTCATAGCCGACGCTCTTCTCGTTTTCAGAAAAGACGGTCTGCTTTTTCTCAGACTCGGCTGCAGAGGAAGTAGAGCTTCGAGAGCGAACTGACATCGTGACTTGTTGTGAGAAGAGAAGCGATCAGCAATATAAATGTGGAGACCTCGCACGACTTATATAGTCCTCGGGTTGAGTGCATAACTGCATAAGACACACCAAGACAAAATCATTGATGCTTGACAGACGCAGAGTTGGTACAAAGAGGCTTGTAGACTCGTGAAAACTTTTGACAAGCGAATAAGGGAATATGTCGCAATTGCGACAGGGTTTGACGAATCAGGAAAGGCTGGTATCGCTATCAGACTATCCAGGAGGGTCAGGACAAGAACGAGAAAAGTAAGGGTTCAGCGTAAATATTAATCAAGTGACTTGGCACTACTACTGTCAGCTATATCATCTCAGTGAGGGTCCAGAATGCATCGAAAACAGCTGCGCGGTGAAGAGCAGAGAGGCCAACAAAGCGCACAGGATGATGGTGATGATGATAAATCTCTGTTTTAAGTACGTTAAAGCGCACAGGAACAGTTTGCAGGTACTTGCGCAAAATCACGACAGACGACAACGAAAATCATCACTCGCCACAGATATCCACAGAGAAGAGTAGGTGTGGGTCTTTTGTGCGTTTCGGATGGTGTTCCTTCGCTGGTCTGCAAGGATTGATTATGCCGGATGACTCTCGAATGACGAAATCGTCTGCGGACGCTCCCAAAACTGTAATCGTAAAGAGCAGAGTTTTCCAAGAGGAGAGAATTGGAAAGTCGGTTTTAAGGCTTGGTGCCGGTATCTGATATTATTAAATAGATAGATGATTAATCATTATCAACTCTAGTTGTCAGCTAACCAATACAGATACCGAACACTTGACTCGTTGGAAATAGAATCGACTTCCAAAATCGAATTGAATCTGTAGGGTTTTCTAATATCTGCGGTGTTCAGCTGTTCAGAACTACTACTACAAAGCCCTCGATCGGTAACTGAGCCGCGTTTGGGAGTTACTATCGACCAGCAAGTCACCCCATCCCCCCGCTTGATATTCATCAGAACTGATCTGCTTCACACCGAGATTGAATATATTTGAACTACTTTGTCGATTATCAATATTCAAGTGGTGTATTTTGTATGGCACATTACTTGCGCTATGGCATCTAGCGAGGTTGGGGCAGTGCAGCCACTGCCTTCTAGATCACTGCTAGGACTTCCGGATGAACTACTCACCTCCATCCTGCTTCTCATGGATATTCCTGATCTGTTAGCCCTCTCTCGCACCTGCTGGCGCTTAAGAAAAGCGGCTCAAGATGCGCATTTACACCACCTTCGCATATGGGTCTGTCTCCCTCCGCTGCTCCGCTGCCACTTCATTGTTCGCCCAACAGAAACCGATCTACTTGCGCGGCACATCCTCCTCTCACCATTGCGTATGGCTCATCGCGTCCATGTGGCGGCCTCATCTTTGCGCATGTCTTTGGCTCGCAACTCGCTACGTCGAAAGCTCGAACTGCGCCCGAGCTTGAATGAACTCATTCGGCGTGGGGTATATCCGGCAACTGACGCTCGCGTGTCACCAGTTCTTGCCCAACGTTGCAAAAACCTGGAAAGAGAGAAGATCAAAAACATGCTGGAACGGGAGCTCAAAGGTCGAGTGTGGACAAAGATTACAACCGCTTTAAAGTCAACAATGCGAAAGGACGACTCTCAGGAAAGTGTTCGGGTGCTAGTTGCGCGTTATACGAAGAAGAAGCTGGAGGCGAATGTATCCGCGAGAAGTCTACAATCAAACAGATCGGGCATATTTAGAGAGAGAAGGGAGATCGACGCTCCAGCAAGAGCGAAGGTGCATCGCCTGCGTATGTACTTTGAGCGGCTCTCAAAGAGTCAAATGTTCAGTATCTCATAGCTTGGCTGTCTTTTACCGGGGAGTTCCGGCACTCAGTTGACCTTGCTGCTGCATGGGATTGCTGATAAGATTGTTTGAATAATGCAGGCGTTTGTATCGTGATCCAGCTATTTGAGTGATTTTTTTGGAGTTAAAGGTGGTGGTTTGCTTTGGTGTTTAATATGGAGATGAGCTTTCTGGTTCTTTTGGGTAATATTAGGTGTTTTGCGAATATGTTTTGGGCGAATATGCTATTACAGGTTTATATAAACGAGATATACTACTTTTGAGCGGCCCTGGACTTGCCTCTTGGTGCAAGTATATGAATGGTAGATCGATTTACCTTTCTCTACGTCTCAAAAGGATGAAGTTCATGTCATGTAGTTTAAATAAAACAAATGCGATAGGAAATCAGTCTTTAGTGCAGCGATGTACAGTATTACTCATCATCTTCGTCTTCGACTTTCTTTGCAAGACCAAACTTCTTGAGCAGTACGTCAATCTCAGCTGGCTTCCATAAATGGCAGTACACCTTTCCTTCTTTGTCCTTGCCAACCGTCGCAAATTCAACCTTCTCGCTCGTAAGCGTTGTGGCATCCATGGTCTTGCTCAGTACCTTCATAGCAAGCTCGCCAGCCTCTTGCAGAGTGCAGTCCTCCTTATAGTCTTGCTTTAATAGCGTCTGAGCCGTGGCATTGTTCGCTCCAACAGATGTAGCTTTCCATCCACCGTAGTTGCCTGAAGGATTAGACTGATACAGTTGAAAGTCGTAGATCGGATCCCATCCAGCGTATATGAAAGAGACACCAAACGGTCGCAGACCTTTTAGGACCTTTTAGTATTCACTCTAAATATCATTTCTAAAGCAAAGTAACTCACCTCCATGTTGAGTGTAGCCCTGCTTGAGGTCGCACACTCTCCGAACTAAGGCCTCACATGGTATCTCTTCGTTGTAGAGTTTCAGATAATCTTGGGAATATACACGAGCGTAGTTCACAAGAATGCTAGCATCAGAATTGAGACCAGCGACCGCACAAATCATGTTCCTAGGTTGAACAAGTCAGCCAATACTCCACGAACCTCATCTCAGCAGGTATACTTACTCATTGATCGTGTACAGCTTCTCGGCTGAAGTGTCTTGCTCAAGCAGCTTGGATGTCACCTTCCGCTCGGCAGCCAAGACAATTCCATCTTTTGCTAGAATTCCAATCGATGTTCCAGCATGAGAAATAGCCTCCAAGGCATATTCGACCTGCGTGATGATGTTAGATCAGCGAATCAATGCTATCGAGAAAGCGGGACGGTGGATCGCTGTGGAAGGCACGAGTCTGCTTGGAGCCTACCTGGTATAATCGCCCCTCCGGGGAGAAGATCGTTGTGCGGCTATCGTATCTTCTGCTCATAGTAATTGATCAAACCAGTTTTATTTCCAACTGTAATATGAAGAGAAGGATGGTGATTGAGATCGTATGGACTGTATTTACTGAGTAAAGGGAGCGCGGCTGAGAGAGACGACGATGATGACTGGCGTGTCTTTGTGTGGGTATTTCTGAGCACAGCGGGCACAGGAACGGTATGAGAAGTTCGCCCGGCTTTCAGAACATCGAGTATTAGTCTCCGCGATACTTATTCGATATTCAACGATCGACGGTTCGGCTTGATTTGAACGATAGCTAGGGAGAGATTGACCTGCTATTTCAACTCCCTGCTATCTGTTGCTGTTCTCATTGGCGGTCGATCCGACGACGATGAGCGCTCGCCCTGCAGCCTCTGATGATCTCCCTCCAGGATGGACGCGACATATAGCGCCTTCTGGTCACTATTATTACTACAATAAGGCTACAAAACAGTCGTCTTATGAGAAACCGGCTTTTTCGAATGCGTCGGTAGCACCTGGAGAGTCCAAGTCCTCAGATGTGAAGCCGAGCGAGTTGTCAAAAGCTCGTCCCGATCCATCAACAGCAGGCGATGCACAACGAAAGCCTGCTCTTCAACAACCACGAGCAACGCAGTCTCAGGACCGGTCCTCATGGGCGGCTGCATACATGCCTGGGTTTGAACAGCAGCAAAAACGACAACAACGAAAGCGGAGAAAAGAAGAGCCCGTCCTGATGAGAGAGTTATCTTTGAAGCCCTGGTGTCTTGCGGTCACAAATCTAGGAAGACCGTTTGTTTACAATCTGGAGGAAAAGAAATCGCTTTGGATGCCGCCGCCAGATGTTTCCGCCGCTTTAGAACTGATACCAAGAGAAGAGCTGATTTTGATGATAGCTCGGTGCCGGGGGTTGAGGAATCCAAAGGATGGATCTGTTCACTTTGATGCAACCCAGGCAATGGTCCCGGCATCGGAAGTCGCGGAGACAAAACCAATTGGTCTGGCAGACGAGGAGGACTTTGACGAGAATGATTTTGTGGAGCCTGATGGTCCACCCATGACTTCGGGAATTATTCGGCAGCGAAATCGATCACCGGCTGAAGATGATGGAGACAGCGATAGTGAAAGTGGTTCTTCTGATTCATCTTCTGGGAGCGGTGACAGTGATTCTGAAGAAGAAAGCGACTCAGATGAAGAGAAAGGAGAGAATGAAGCAGAGCAAGTTGAGTTTGACGAGGAGGATATTGAATGGCAGATTCAGGCGATGATGGCGGAGAACGGTCTAGATGGGGAAGAAGATATACCGTACGTCGAAAAGGTCAAGACATTTAGGCAAATGCTAATGGATTTGAACGTGAATCCATATTCCAACTGGGAGACAGAAATGAACAAGCTGGTGGAAGATACGCGATATTTCATGCTGCAGACGGCTAGTGAGAGAATAGCGGTGTTTCAAGATTGGGCCAAAGAGAGAATTGCAGAACTGAAAGAGCAAAAGGCTAACGAGACTCGTATTTCGGTGAGTGGAGTTCTTCATTGTCTCTTTCATTCTATTAGATCGGTTGGTTACTAACGCAACATCTAGCCCGAGGATCTCTTTTCAGAATTTTTAAGACAGTATGCCACCCCAAAGCTATTTTACGCTGAATTCAAGCGTAAATATCGCAAAGAAGCAGGTTTTAAGGACTCGCGGTTATCTGACCGGGAGAAAGAGAAAATGTACCGCGAGTATATCGACAAACTGAAAAAGAAAAAATAGATTGAAAGAAATATACATGCTCAATATCAGCTGGATGATAATATGATCCCTATAACTAGTATTACACCAAAACCACACGCGCCCTTACGCCAACATAAAATAATACAAGGTACTTCAAAGAGATGTCCTTTAATCAGAATTCACCCACCCAAACGACTCATCAATCTATTTCTCCTTCTTTGGCTCGCCTGCATCAGAAGCACCGACAGCTGGAGAATCAGACTCTGAATTACTCGTCAATCCGGATGTGGTTGCGCTGAGCGCTATGGCAGATACGTCTGCATCGGCACTTTTTCCGTCTGCACCGACAGTAGTTGAGGACTGAGGACTGAGCTCAGGACTTGGTGGAGTGGAAGAATTGTGCCATTTCGAGACATCGTTTTGCAACTTGTTGAGTTCTTTCTGGAAACGCCGTCCAAAGACGTCGATATAGTATGTCGCACCATTGTAGGCGGCGATCATAAAGATGGTAAAGACAAACATGGCAGACAGATACTTGCTACTATACCATATAGGACACGGCAGCATTGTCAGCATCTGATATCCAAACTGAATGAGCATAAACGCAAACACGGGAAGGGGCTCAGGAAGGCTGTTGACAAACTTCCCGATTGCCGTATTCTTGTAACTTCTGCGCAGCCATTCGAAGCTTGTCAAATGTCCAGCTTTGATTTTGTCCTTCCGCTTGACGGTAATGAAGATGTGGTACAGAGTCTGCCAGATGATGTACCAAAATGAAGCCCATGCCATTCCTTCGGCCAGGATCAGCTTCTGGAGATCAGCTGCACCACCAAACCTCTCTTTCTTGTAGTCTTCATCCAGGCGGAAATGGATACAGTGGAGAACGACAGGAGGCAAAACGTGAATGAACGTGCTGGTTGTCTTGTCGACGCTATGTAGCACGAGAGAGTTTCTCCAGGTAATGACTGCCCAGGCCAAGGTTCCGTAAGATAAGCAATAACATGAAAGGAAGAGCCGGCGAGAGCCAGGCAGAAGCCAAAGCCAGATGAGCAGCAACATGTTCACAAAGTAGCATAGATCAGCAAGGAAATACTGGTAAGCCCGTTTCCGGTAGCTGTAGATGCGAATAGGCATGAGATAGACCATCTGCACCGAGTAAAAGACATGGAACCAGTCAGGGGCACCTCCGAGGATCAGTCCCCCCAGAAACACTATACTGAGTCCGTATACAAAAGCAATCTTTTCACGTTGACTGACGAGTCTCGCGTCCTCCCATTTAGCTTCCCATTTGTCGATCTTCTTCAGCAGTTGAGATTTCATGCGATCAATATCCTCTTCTCGACCACGAAGCACTCGGTCGCGCGAACGAAGAGCCATGTCCTTGATCTCGCCGCCTGTCCGGCGCACATTCTGGTTGAACTGGTTGATCTTGGTCGTGAGCGCTAAGTTGTCCAGAATATCGAGTACAGATAGACGATCGATAGGGACTTCTTCAAGCGGACTGTCGAGGCTGTCTTCGAGCGAGGAATAAGATGAGGAAGTGGAAGCGGAACGGGAGACGCCGCGACGCCGATCCGTAGCATAGATCTCGGGTGAGGATTCGGCCATGGCGATCCAGAGAAATAAAAAACAGAAGGATGCTTCTATAGCCGTAACAAAAACTGCTTATGGCTGTATAATGGACGACACTGATCTGCTGTTTGGTGTGGGTTGAAGCACAAGTTATGAGTCGGTGGGAACAAAGAGGAAGAATAAATTGTTTACCTGCGACGAACGGCACCAAATTCGATGACGTTGGTCAGAAGCACGTGCCTCAAAACTCCAAATCCAGCCGCGCCAAACTTTCGCATTTCAACTGCAGCTTGGACAAATGCGATAATAAGGTTTCCCCGTCCCTCGCTCAGCTCGGCTGGTCACGAACGTCTACCGCGCTCACATTGTGCAAACCACAGATTCGATATTCTCCAGGGCATTTTCTTCTTCGACGCGTGCTTCTTCGCCTTCGTTTGGTTTTTTGTCTTTGTTGTCTGCTTGTTTCGGGCATCTGATTGATGCCACCGAAGCCGCCCTTGACTCCCGCACCGGGCGGCCCACCGCAGGTCTTACAGCAACAGCAACAGCAGAGCGCCTATCCTTCATCTACACCATCGACTCCTGGAGCATCCACCGCTCCTTCCTCTACCGCAGTCATGAGCAATCCACAGAGACCGCTTGGCGTGGGCACGCCGGCTGCTGCGACGCCGCCCCCGCCAACGCAGTACTCGGCCGCGGACCTCAATCGCATCGTGCTCGAATATCTAAACAAAAAGGGCTACTCCAAGACCGAGCAAATGCTTCGGATAGAAAGCGCCACAAGAACACCGGCTGCTTCTGTTCCTGGATCTCCTACGCCGTCAGGCGGTCATCAAGACGCGTCTCGATCTGCCACTAACGGAACGGTCAGCAATACCGACACATTACTGAAGAGTAGTACTGATGATCCAAATCTGTTCATCCGAGCCTACAAATCTTTACGCGACTGGATCGAGACCTCCTTGGATATCTTCCAGGTATGCTGCTAGAATTTTATATGTTGAACTATGACCGATTCTAATCAAATCATCACCATAGCCTGAACTTCGGAAACTCCTGTTCCCGATCTTTGTCCATACATTCTTCTACCTAATCCAGAAGCCCGATTCAAAGTCGCCCGCAACCAGCCTTGCCCGCAGATTTTTCGACACCTATTCTTCAGATCATTCGGTGCTTCATGGTTATGATTTGCAACTCCTCTCTGGTCTGACTCTTCCTGATCATCTGCAAGAGAATGAGACGGCAAAGTTGTACCGTCAACACAAGTACAGGCTGAACATGTCGCGGACAACATTCGATCTTCTTCTTCATTTCTTGGATGAAACCGAAAACAACGGTGGTCCGATCATCATAAGGCTGATCAATCAGTATATCGAAACCAACGTTACCCCTTCGCGACCTGACAAGTACAATGATTTCAGTCACTCTTTGGGACCCGATGAGGGTATTCCGGGGCACACAACTGGTCAAGAAAATAGACTCAACTCGCAGCCGGTGCGACTTGGTCGGCTGCCGTTAGATGAGCGCATGGCCAAAGAAGTGGAACTGAGGTTGAAAGATGAGGACGACACCGCGCAGAACAACAACGGCATCGCTGGGATTGGTACGACAAAGACCTTGCTACAAGAATTCCACGAGATGAATCAGACTGAGGACTCGCCTGTTCGTGAAGTATTACCGCTGCCTCAGTACAAAGGAGTAGACGTTGAACACGAAATTGCTGCGGTCAAAGATGCTAGAAGCAGATTGAAAATTGGTCCGACGGAGGCGTCACTTCCGAGTGTGTGCATGTATACATTTCACAATACTTATGACGGACTCAACTGTCTAGAGTTTTCAAACGACTCGAGTCTTGTCGCTGGTGGTTTCTCGGACAGCTATTTGAAGATCTGGAGTTTGAAGGGGGAAAAGCTGCAGAGTGTGGTCAAGGGATCCCAGCCGCTGACGAGTCAGAGACTTGTCGGTCATGCCGGTCCTGTCTATGGCGCCTCATTTAGCCCAGATGGAAAGTATTTGCTGTCGTGCTCGGAGGACAAGTCGGCGCGGTTGTGGTCTATGGATACCTACACTGCGCTTGTCTCGTATAAGGGGCATAGTCATCCTGTTTGGGATGTAGCTTTCAGTCCTGTTGGACATTACTTTGCTACTGCTTCGCATGATCAGACGGCGAGACTTTGGTCCTGTGATCATATATACCCGCTGCGAATCTTTGCCGGACACATCAGTGACGTTGATTGCGTCACTTTCCATCCAAATTCCACGTATGTGCTCACGGGATCGAGCGACAAAACCTGCCGGATGTGGGATGTTGCCAAGGGAACTCCGGTTCGCATTATGATATCTCACACGGCTCCGGTATCTGCTATTACGATGTCACCCGATGGCCGAACACTCGCGTCAGCTGCGGATGACGGAGTTATTATGCTCTGGGACTTGGGTTCAGGGAAGGCGATCAAGGCGATGCGAGGACATGAGAAAGGGTCGTCGATATATTCTCTCTCGTTCTCCCGCGAGGGTTCGGTATTGGTGAGCGCGGGTTCCGATTGCTCAGTACGAGTATGGGATGTTAAAGGTGGCAGCACAACACCGAGCAGTACATCCTCGACGGTTGCTACTCTTGCGGATAGTGGGAAGGTGTTGGCGGATGGGAAGGCAGGGGACGCGACGGCAGCGGGACCTGCCGGAGGAGTAGCAGGCTCGGCTACGGGCGGCGCAGCAGGTGGAAGTACAGCTGGTGGTCAATCAGGAGATGCGGCGGCAAATGCAGCAAAGGCGGGTGCATCTGCTCGGCAGACATTTGCGACTTCAGACCATATGGCTACGTTCATGACTAAACGGACTCCAGTGTACAAGGTGCAGTTTACTGGGCGCAATTTGTGTCTTGCGGGTGGTGCGTTTATGGGCACGTCGTAGAAAGTTTAGAGCATGATGAGGATAATTTATTGGCGGAGAAGATATGATTGCTTTTGAGTGTATGATTATATAAAATACGAATAAAATTTTCCAACCCTTGTTCTAATACTATAGTTTCTTATCAATGTCAATCCAACTACTGACGTCTTGTTCATGTTCGTCAAAAGTTCTGACGACGACTGATCTGATTCCCATAACATCCTGGGCGACGGCGGCCTTGATGTCCTTTGCGATCCGGTTGGCTTCGATGAGTGAGACCGAAGCACCGTTGGCACCGGAGATACGCACGTCCACGGTCGAGCTCAAGACAGGTCCAGATTTTGTTCCTCGGACGTCAAGGACTTGAACGGTGACAGGTGACTCAGAGGTGAACGAAGCAGCAGATGCCACGCGCTCGGCGGCTTGTTTGATCTGGTCGAGTTTCTCTTCGGGAAGCCCATGGTCGGCTAATTCGAGGAGGGCCTGTCTGCCAGAAATTAAGCCTGCTTGAAGGATAGCACCGGATACCAAGACACCGCCGACGGGGTCCAGCCAATCGAGGTGCAAGAAATGGGATCCGGTGATTGCTAATATGGCAACGATGGATGTGAGGCAGTCAACTCTGTGGTGCCAGGCGTTGGCAGCAAGAACGGTAGACTGCTTCTCTTTGGCGACTTTCATCGTCGCTTGGAAAAGCCATTCTTTGATGACAATGGAGCCAGCTGCTAGCCAGGCAGCGTTGACGTCAGGAGGGCCATGAGAGTGCGAGTGGCTGAAAAGGGAATGCAAAATGCCTTCGGGGTGGTTATGGGCATCGGCGGCGACGGTAGCGGCGGCGTCGGCCAGAGACTCGACTTCAAAGGCGTGGGAGTACAGGGTCTCGACACCGTTAACGCCGATACCGAGACCGGCGATGACGAGCATTGCCGAGACGCCCAAAGACCCAAGAGCTTCGACTTTTCCAAAGCCGTTGGGGAATGCGTGGGTAGGTTTCCTGAGCGCGACGCGGACGGTTGCGAGGGTGAGGAAGTCGGAGAGGAGGTCAGAGAGCGCGTGGACGGCGTCGGCCATGAGAGACTTTGAGTTGAAGAGATATCCACCGGTGCCTTTGACGACGGCCATTCCAATGTTGACAAAAAGGCCGACGCGGGTGATTTTCACTGCAGGGTCTGTGGGATCTGTGGAGATCAGGAGAGAGGGATCGTGTGAATGGGTATGGGAATGGAAGAGCGAATGCGAATGGTTGTGGTCGACGGGGCTGTCTGCTGGTTTTGGTGTAGAGGAAGAAGGAGGAGAATGAGAGGAAGAAGCAGAGTGTGAATGGGCATGAGAATGAGAGTCATCGTCGTGGTTGTGGTGTGGGGAGTGGGTGTGGGTGCGGACGAGAAGAGGTTGCGAGCAGCGGACGAGCGAGGGCTTTGATATCGAAAGCAGCAGACGCGCCTGAGGGCCGCTGCGAAGAGAGGCGCGGCAATGATACCGCAGCATCTTTTGCTGTTTGTTTGTTTGTATTCGAGCCAGCGGTTGCTGCTCTGCTGCGGGCTCTGCTGTCTGTGTGCTGAGCTCGAAGGTGGAATGACTGAGGAAGAGGTGCTGATTCAGAATTAGTCGTAGTGGTGTAGTCAGGGCTTACGTAACGCTACAATAACTTCTAACTATGCAGAACAGATATGATATTGGTATTCAATTAATGGTCATCTATTGGTAGTAAATACAGCATGTTGGTCGGACTGATTCCCGATAGCTCATACGGGAAGAATTGACTCCGCGTCCCCATCAGGCGCCCAGTAATAACCACGTTCTCTCTGCCCTCTCCATCCCGTGACAGACGCGCAGCAGCGAGGAGTAACTAAACAACCTCGTCGCGCACGGCAGCCCGTTCCAATTCCGTTGTTAATCGCTCGCCGAAAGACGAGAACCAGCAAAAGGCGCGGGCTGCGGATGGCGGGTGCAGAAGAAGAGAAACCCGACAGAAAGTGCAGGTTCGCCGTCTTTTAAATATTTTCATGAAAACCCTACTCGGGTCGGGTCTTCATTCTATTTCTGACCCAGCAAGCCCTCTTTGAGCTTGCGGCTCGGGTCATCTCTTTGTTTACCTTCGACGAACACTCCTGCCACCACTCGTCCCTGATATCTACTATCCGGCATCCTCCCCACGAGAAACACAAACCGAGAGAGGCGGTCCACTCCTCCCTCTCGTCTCTCGCCGACTGATCACGAGTCCAAATGCGCATGGACGAGCTGCCCTCGTCGGCAGCAAAGCGGCAGCAGCCTGCGCCCGTCAAGCTTGTTCGCGCCCAATCGTCCTCAACTCCCCAACCTCGCCATACCCTTTCTCGACAACCTTCAAAGGCTTCTCTTTCTACTCCAAAAACATCAACTCCTTCATCGGTCGACAAGAGGCCGACAGTCAATTCGCATAACACAATCTCGTATCTCCCTTCAACTGTCACCACACGATCTCCACGCATCGCCGGCTCTTCTCCTGTTCCTCCCCGCTCATCAAAGGCAGATTCAACACCTCAGCCGTCATCTGGGAAAAAAGTTTTCTATGCCTCTTCTCAGAAAATATCGCCGGCTCCAGCTTTGGTTCCGGCGTCTGCCAATAGGCAAAAATCGAGTTTGTCCACCTTGAACACAAAATCAACTTCTCGGCTAAGACCGAGTCCTGTCTTATCCGCCTCTGCGGCAACACCCTCATCAACGACCAACAAACCTCCTCTCCCAAATCTCTCCCGCAAGTCATATTCGTCTCTCAAAAATCCACATGGCTCGTCTTCTTCCAAAGTATCAGCTGCACCAGTGCCGCCTATGCCCACGCAGACCTCAAAGTTCGTATACGCAAATGGCAAGGAAGAAGTATTATCTCCGCGACGGCCACCGTCGTCATCTACCTCATCAGCGACTGTTTCGACCTCAACCGTTCACTCTCCATTCTACCCGGTCAATAGTCCACCTCTGTCCTCTTCAAGCTTCTCATCAGGCTTCTCCGCTGGTACCGGAAGCGATGAGATAGAGGACGATGTTACTATACTGCCGCATGTCCCCTCGATAATTGCGCAAATCACTCCCCATCTTCCCGAAGGCATTAGCAATACAAGTGATGACAATGTGGAACTTGAGGTTGTGGAAGAAGATATCGACGATCTTGACTTCAACAACGACGAGCCTACCGATGCAGCCCGCGTCAACCGCAAGATCCTTGATCTCGAAATCTCAAACACATCACTGTTGTCGATAAACCGCACTCTAGAGCGTGAAATGCATACACAGAATCGGGAACTGAGAGCACTGAGACGATGGATCCAACGAAATGGAAGCGCTGGTGCTCCCATCAACTTTGATCAGCTCTCTATCTCTGACAGTTACGACGAAGATGAAAATCAGGAGGACAGCGACACTGATGAAGATGACGACGATGCGACTCTGCCAAAGTCGAAGAAATCATCAAGTATGGCTCCTTTGACCGAACGAATAAAGTACCAGCAAGAAGTCTTTCAAACGACGCAGGCTATAAACTCCTCAATCAGCAAATGCATTGCCTCCTCCGATTTTCTTATCAAAGAGGCCCGCGGTGCGTTGGAGTTCACAGTTACCGAGAACGAGATGCGCGGTCGAGTACTGAGCTACACCGATTCACCAGCTTACGAAGAGGACGTGGCCGTGGACGAGACTGATGATCCAGAGGATCAGAGTGATCCGGCGAGTATAGACATACCAGCTGAAGAGTCTGAGCCATCATAAACATTTATTCATTTCCTGCTATATATCTGCTGTTATTGTTGTCATTTTGGGCGTTCGCAGGTTTCATTTTTCATTTCCATTTATTATTCACTTGTTTACTGTAAACTTTATGTAATTATACACCAACAGCTATTTCTTAAAACACGGCTGGATCCAGCATGCATGTGAGAATGCCCAGATACACATTAGCGTTTTTAGCAAGAGAGCTAAACTCCTCCCAAGATAACCCATCATCTGGTTTCTTTGGCTTAGCAGCAACAAATATCTCAGAGACAAGAATCTCAATAGCCTCCATCGTAGTCTTCTTGAGCTCAGCGTCGTATTCTGTCTCATCTAGCAGGCTGAGTTCTCTAGGTCCCGGGGTATACAAGTCCGCGCTTAGTCTTCGACGTGGGTTGTTGAAGTCTCTATCGATATTCCAGGGACCATCATGGTCCTTGTCTGGTATACCACGAGGGGGTAGGTCCATCAGAGACGGGATCTCGGAACCAAAGACAGCAGACAGTGAAGTCTGCTCGTAGATCGCATCCCAATCCACAGTATCCTCTTCTGACGACTGCAGCATATATCCGACTAAACTCATGGAAAGATCAAAGTAGCCCGAAAACATATTCAAGATATCGCGTCGCGTGACATAGCCATCCTCATCAGTATCATAAGCGCGGAAGGCACATTTCAGACGTTCAATCTTTGTGCCTTTTGTTAAGACTGACAAAACCGTGATGTATTCCTCAAATCCAACCACGCCATTATTATCAGAGTCATAGATGAAGAAGATTCTATCCGTCACAAGATTTGGCACCGCTCCAAGACGAGAGGTCACTTTCTTGAAGGTTTCTTGGTCTATACCCCCCTGGAAATGATCCGTTCCTGCCGCCCGATACTCTAGTACACAAAGCGTTTTAAATTGATCATATGCTGCCTCGATCTCTTCTATGGTAACTATATAATATCAGCGGATTAGTCGTCGTCAAGATATAATCTGGCTCATCTCTGGAGTGCGACTCACAGTGCGTCGACCCGTGATATTTGTCGATCTCAGCTCTCGTCAAATGCTTTGGTAAGCGTGAAAACAGCTGCTCTTTTCCAGGGTAGCACGCCTTGCCGGTCCAATCGGGATTGTAGAGCACGGGGATTGGGATCTTGACTTTGTATAGGATATGTGTTCGTGGATGAGTGTCTGCAGCCTCGCACTTTTCGCACAAGTCGACGTCAACGCATTGCGTACATCTGTAACGCATTCCTTTGATTGGAGTCGCGCGGCAGGAATTACAGCTGACTCCGCGGTGCACGTACGCGTTCTTGCGTCTCTGCTCCATCTCGATCTGGTGCAGCAGTTTCACCATATGATTCCCTTCAAAATGTCCATCGACGGGCGCCGTGTCCCGATGCATCATCAGCAGCAGCTCCAGCTCGTTCATAGCAACGTCAATCAAGTCGGCTTCATCAGATTGGTGGTCAGAGTGTATAGAGATACTTGGGTCGCCTCCGTTGTCGCCGGATGCACGCGCGCGCAGAGTGCTGAGATCGATATCGCTTCCCCGCTCCGGCGACCCTGTATTTGTTGCACGCGTTGACGACTGTGCGCTCCGCAAAGACCCATTGGTTAGCTGTGAGTTCCTGCGAGAAGCCCGAGCATTAGCATTTCGAGAGCGTCTATTCGGAGCATCTGGGGATTCTGTGCGGTAGAAAGCGTAAGCTCCGCAGGCGAGTGCGACAGCGGCCGTGCAATTGAATAGCTGGGGTTGTTGTTAGCAGGTAGGACTAGAGAAAGATATGCATAGGACATACAATGGCACGGGTAGATATGTTATCTAGAGAGATGAAAGGGGCCATTTGACCATGCCAGTTTGCTGTAATGGCATAATAGACGGTCGATGATAGTGAAGAGAGGCAGATTGATATACTGAAGTGATCCCAGAGACGGACCGTCAGTGATATCAAAGACGTGTGGCGGTGCGGTGGCTGGTTGTGGCTGCACAATCAATCGGGGTCAAATCAAATCACTTTGGAATAAGAAAGAGGTTCCTTCATAACAAAATCCACTCCAATTCACCTCTTCCTGTCTTCTCCCCAGTTCCGAGTTCGTCCAGTCGAGTTCGGTCCAGTCTGAGTTAGAGGTTCTCTGTTTGAATAAACATCTGCTGATTCGTATGTCTCTCTGATTGATGCTAATCGGCCGGCCGAGTTGTGAGGGGGTGGTCGCATGGCTTCTAGAACACAGCCAGCGCACTTCCTCCTGCATATCATCCACGATACCAGCCTTATTTTCTCTTTTATGTGAGTCGAATGTGTCTCTAACGATCTGCCGAACCGATGGCTCGGAGAATCCTGGTTGCGGGCTGGTTAAGGCTTCGCTGTCGGAGGGATTAGTCCTCCTGGTGCCGTATGCTGCTTCCAATCTGCATCCAGGTTATTTTTCGATCTGGTTCTTTCTTCTTTAGATTATCAGATCTTTCTACTCGTCTTTATATTTTCACTTCGTTGATAAATCCTGCATCATGTCTGGCGAAGCCTGGTACGTTCCATCCCGACGGTGCCGTGCCGAAGTCTGTCGAAGCAGTCTACACACCTGCCGATTTCTGAGAACCTGTGGGGCGATTGGTTCTGTTTACTGACTCGTTAACAGGTTATACCTGCTCGCGGTGATTTTGAACGCCGTCAACCTGTTCTTGCAGGTGTTTTTTACTATCATGTACAGTGACTTGGGTATGATATCAATACGAGACTTGATAACAAAGTGGGACCTTCTGCTAACCGTCTTTATTTAGAATGCGGTATGACTTGAGCATCTTGCGATTAGATTGTGTTTCGGTGACTAACATACAGAAAAAGATTACATTAACGTCTTTGACCTCTGCAACCGTTTGAACGCCGTAAGTGGATCACACTTTTTTGATCTTGTGATGATATGCTAACACCAAAACACAGTATATTCTCCCTGAAGCCGGTGTTCAGGCTTTCTTGACGTTCTTGTTCTTAATAAACGGATACTGGATCGCACTCTTGCTCAACCTTCCCCTTGTCGCTTACAACATCAACAAGTGAGTTGCGCGGAGTTTACTTCTTAATATCAAAGGTACTAACATACAGTAGGGTCATCAACAACAACCATCTCCTTGACGCTACTGAGATTTTCCGAACACTCAACGAGCACAAGAAGGAGAGCTTTATAAAGCTCGGATTCCATCTTTTGATGTTCTTCTTCTATTTGTACAGCATGATTGTTGCGCTCATAAGAGAGGAGGATTAAACTCTTATCGTCGACAAATGTTGTGCTTTTATTTTCTTGCTTTCTTCAAAGCTGCCGAGAGAATAGAAAGGGCGATAGAATTTGGACGAACAACGATAGCATGAGGTATCGCATGTAAAGTGTGGTTGTACAGTAGAATAGGAGTCAAGTTTGTTGCAACTCCTGGAGATTATTATTTTTGTGAATACACAAGCCGAGTTACTTTGCGCTGAATTGAACGAAATCTATACATTGATGTTTATTGTAGTAGTATTATATCAAAAACATTTCTTCTCTATATTCTTGGAACGGGGCCACCCGGGGAGTTTGGCAGACGGGCGCTGAGAACCTCACAGCCAGTCTCGGTAACGAGGAGCATGTGCTCAAATTGGGCACTGCGCTTGCCGTCGATAGTTGTGCTAGTCCAGTTATCAGGCCAGGTCTTGTCCTTCCATGTTCCGAGAGCAAGCATAGGTTCGATAGTAAAAGTCATGCCGGGCTTGGCCACACCAGGGGTTTTGTTTTTCGCATAATGGGGGATGTTGGGAGGGCAATGGAAGAGCTTGTTTGTGCCGTGGCCGCAGTATGTTCGGATGGTAGAGCAGCCGTTTGCCTTTGCGTGGGCCTCGATGACGTTGCCGATTTCGCGGAAAGGCATGCCAGGCTTGACGATCGCGATGGCTTTGTCGAGAGCTTCGCGCGTGGTCTCGACCAGACGGACGCTGTCGGGGTCTTGGCTCGCTTTGCCGATGTAGTAGGTCTCGTTGAGATCGGCGTGGTGGCCCTTGTAGTAGAGCGAGACGTCGATGTTTACAATGTCGCCGTCCTCGAACTTGCGCTGGTCGGGGATGCCGTGGCAGATGATTTCGTTGACAGAGATGCAGACGCTCTTGGGGAAGTTGTAGTAGTTTAGTGGGGACGGGTATGCGCCAGCCTCGACGGTCATTCTGTGCACAAGCTCGTCGATTGAATCAGAAGTGATGCCGGGCTTGAGTGCCGCGCCAGCAGCGTCGAGGATCTTGCGACCGAGCGCACAGGCTTCTCGCATACACTGGATTTCTTCCTCGGTGTTGATGTGCACATTTGTCGAGCGCAACAGACGTTGCTCGGCTTTCGGAACGCCGTCTTTGGCGTGATCGGGAAGAGGGACTGAAGCTGGAACTTGACGCATCGGACTCAGAGGGTAGACCGGGCGAACCGTGCTGGTGTAGGGGTAATCCGGGAACGGGTTGTGAGGTTGCAAAGCAGCAAGTTCTTTGTGAACGAGCTTATGCGTCGGCCATGCTCTGAGAATGAGATTAGCAATGTGGGCATTCGCTATTAAGGATGCCTTACTCACTTTTTGAAGCAGTCCTGACCACAGAACAACGAGCTTTTGCCGTATTTCAGACAGGTCGGGCACTGCAACGAGGAGACCGGGTTCTCGCATCCTTCGCGAGTGCACTTCTGAACCCCTTCTGACTTGTCGACAGCCACAGACATTTTCTTGTATGTATTTTAAATGAGAATTGTGTGTTCGGTGGTTTGATTAAAAAAGGAGGCCAGCGAGTGTGCAGTTGCTGAAGATGGGTCTGCGAGGCGAAGAGGTTTTATTGCGAATTAATCGATTTTTTTTATTTTTATTTGGATTTGAAGTTAAATCGACGCGAGCATCGCTGATGTTGGATATTTGTAAACAACTCGATTAGATAGATGATCTAGTTCTAGTCTTGATATTATATGATTCTGTTTGTTCAAATAGCATTATTATTTACTACATTCTATAATTATACAGAGAACGAAAGGAATGTGCGAAAAGCAAAAACTCCATAATGCGGCCAACGGTCTGCAATCGATATCGATCCAACCAGTTCAGACAAAGTCAATGAATAGCAAAATAACGCCAAAGTCCCCGTAGTCTCAAGATCATCAATAAGAGGGAAAACACACTGCTGATGGACCAGAAATCACTCGGTCGCGGTCTTGAATCTTCGCCGACACATGGGACAGAGTCCCTTTGACGACTCGGTAGTCAACCACTTGAGCAGGCAATGCATGTGGAACGCGTGTTTGCATTCACCAATGACTACACAGAAGCAAAAGTCAGCTAGTCTGAATCGCAAAACAAGAAGAAAACACGTACTTAGTGGACAGTCGTCTCCTGGATACTTGCAAGTCGGACAGGTGCCGTCGAACGCGACCCGGCAGATTCCACAGACTTCGTCCTGCGCGTGATTCCAGTGCCAGGTGCTAACACCGATCCATTTGTCGATTGTTACTTTCATTGACTGTCTGAACTCGTGATGATTTACCAAGAAAGATGGAAAGAGATCAGAGATGGCGATAGTAAACAGTGGGTTAGGGCCATATCGCTCTATTACATCAGTCTCCTCTTCGCTTTCATACAATCACCGCAATATCGCATCATGTCAAAGATCAGAGCACCGTCGAGAATACTCCTGGACCAGATCCTGACTCCAAAGGCGTATACCTCCCTGCGAAAGACCTCAGGCCAGCGCATTGTGCCGCTCGACGCTACGTGGTATCTGCCCAACGCCGGCCGCAATGGCAAGGAAGAGTTCCTCGCCGAGCGACTGCCCGGTGCTCGGTTTTTCGACATAGACGAGGTCAAGGATGCCAATTCCCGCTTTCCTCACATGCTTCCGAGCGTGGAGGTGTTTAACAAGGCAATGTGTAAGCTCTTGATCGCTGTTTCGGTTCATGATCTGGTGCTGACAAACGCGTGCAACAGCTGATCTCGGTCTCTCTCGAGAGGTACACACTCTACATCTACTGTATTCAAAGAGAGCAAACTGACAAGTTCTAGGATATCCTGGTGGTCTATGACAAGCAGGGAAACTTCTCCGCCCCACGTCTGCTGTGGACGCTCAAAGTGTTCCAGCATCCGTCCGCGTACATTCTCGACAACTACCCCGCCTACAAATCAGCCGGACTTGAGCTCGACACCACAAAGCTTGCCTCTGTCGAAGATGCCGTGACCGAAAAGGGATCATACGAATCGCCAGGACTGCAGGAGGAGAAAGTCGTGGGTTTTACCGATCTCAAGCAGGTTGTTATCGAGCCGCTATTTAGACAAAAGTTCAACATCATCGACGCTCGACCTCATGGCCGGTTTACCGGAGAAGACCCCGAGCCCAGACCTGGTTTACCCTCCGGACACATCCCTGACGCGATCTCGATCCCGTTCAACGAGGTTCTCGACGCGGAAACCAAAGAGTTTAAAGATCCCCAGGCACTTGCGGACTTGTTTCTCAGCAAGGGAGTGGACCCTGATAAGACTACCATCGCAATGTGCGGCACAGGTGTCACCGCGTGCGTGCTCGAGACTGCATTGAACAGAGCCGGGTTGGTGAGCTCGGATAAGTCGATCATTGTCTATGACGGCAGCTGGACCGAGTGGGCACAGAGAACCGGCGGCAAGTACATTGTTTCAGGCGAGAAGTAATAGTAGCATGATAGCGTAATATATCTTTTCAATCCTCTTTCTCTTCCTCGTTCTCCTCGGCCAATTTTAGTATAAAGTCCCACTCACTCTCGCGAACCGGGGTCACCGACAGCCGCGACCGACGAAGGAGCGCCATCTCGTTCAGCGGGGACTTTGAGCCGTGCTTTGCAAGGTGGTCTTTGAGTTCCTGTAGACTGATTAGCCGTTTCAGTGGACGGACGTATTCGACATCGACCATGAACCATTTTGGGTTGTCGGGGTCTGATTTTGGATCGTAGTAGGGGTGTTTTTTGTCGAACGCGGTGTCTGCATGAATAGTCAGTAGACGGTGACAGTGATCGATGTAGGAGGATACTCACGATCGGGATAGGCTGTCTTGCAGACTTTTAGAATTCCTTCACACACAGTTAGCTCTTCTCTTTGTGAAATTGAGAACTTGCACATACCAACTATCCCTGGCGTCTTGCAATTGGAATGATAAAAGAATCCCAGGTCACCGACGTTCATCTTCTTCATAGTATTCCGAGCTTCAAAGTTCCGCACGCCATCCCATGAAGCCTGATGCTCTTTCTTTAAATCATCAAAGCTGAACTTGACATCGACCCCGCCGACGAGTCTTGACTCTGGCTCGGCTTTGAACAGCCAGTGGGACGCTGTCGAGGGTTCTTGTGGCTCTGGAGATGCTGCCGGTGCTTTCTTGACTCTCTTTGGAGCTGCTTCTGTTGCTGCAGCGCCCGCAGATCTCAATGCTCGTTTCGAGGCCATCGCTGCTGCTTTAGCTGACGAAGGTGAGGATGAGTTAACGTGTAAAAGTAAACAAATGGGAATTAGAGTTTTGCACAACTCGGGTTTAAGCGCGCCTCGAGAAAAGAAACCGAAATAAAAAAACCCGACGGGTTCGCGACTGTTTATCTCTTTGTTTTCGCATTCAGCTCGCAATTGCTGTTTGTTTCTGCTTTTTTGTTGTATAAGAGCGAGAGAGGTATGTCGTTTTTATGTACATCGCGCCTGCTTCGGCGGCAGGTGGGTTTGAAGCCCAGCAGTCGACTTCACAGCCCGACGATACGGATAAGTCCATCGACGGGCTCGGTGCGCTTCGCGATGAGTGAGATCAACCCGTCGAATCCAGAAGAAGAAGAGGTGTCGACAAAGATAAAGACCGGACTGTACGCGCCAATACTGTACAGTGTCGACTACATCAATCCGTACGAGAAATCGGTCGCTCGTCAGCCGATATACACCGCCCCGTCGTCGTTCCATGTCGCGGCCACGAAGCGGACAATGTGGACGTTTGCAGTCATTGGTGGATACTTTTCGACAGCGATGATGGCGATGGACGGTATACCGCTGTCGCTGTCGCTGCTGGTCGGCATCCCGTCTGTCCTGCCTCTACCGATAACATACTGGCTCACGGCGCCGTACGTGAACCGCATCTTCCGGATATACGACCAACCCGAGGGCGAGCCGGTCGACGTCGAGAAGCTGAAGGAGAACGAGGAGTTTATTTTTGAGTGCATTGGTGTGTTTGGACGCGGACTGTACAACACCCGAGTCAAGCTTTCGGACCTGCGGGTGGTGAACAAGCGGTTTGGATGGGTCACTCTCGAGGTGACGGACGAGAGCGCAAAGAAGATCAAGCCAAAGAGGAATTTTCTTTTAGATGCGTTTGATGGGCTGCGTACGAGACGGTGGTTCTACGTTGCTGACGACGTGGGTGGTTACAAGATGGAGCGCATATGGGCTATTATCGATAGGCAGAGTGGAGTTGACAACGGGAGGGATTAAAGTATGGTGATACAGCTTTTTTGTATTTAGTAGGACAATATTACAATGTACATACACCGAAGAACGAACTCTATGGCTGATTGCAGCGCAGGACGTCTACAACTCATCGTGGGGTAGAGTCTCGGCTGCCTCCACAACCTCCTCAACCGGCTCAGCTTCAGCAGACGTGGACTCAGCCTCGGGGGTGGGCTCGGCATCAACTTCAGTGGGCTTTTCAGCGGCCTCAGTCTCCGTCTCGGGCTCGCCTTCTTCGCTGGCTGTCGTAGCCTCGATTTCTTCGTCCTCGGGAGAACCGTCGGGCTTGTATCCAGCAATACCGAGCAGTTTGATGTCGAACGTAAGATCGGTCCCCGGTTTTACATGTAAGTTTTCACGCATACCTGCCACGATTTGTCAGACAATGCTCGAAGTATACACACAGGGCAGTCTTACCATAGCCATACTGGTGCGGGATGAGCAGCCTTCGTGATTCGCCAATGCACATGCTGTGATGATCGCGGATTAGCATGTCTCGACCAGCTCGATTAATAAGATATATACGCACTCAAGAAGACCCAGCTCCCAGCCCTTGATGACTTTACCACTACCGAGCTGGAATCGGAACGGGATCTCTCTCCCGACCGAACTGTCGAGCACGGTTCCATCTTCAAAGTATCCGGTGTACTCAACCGAGATCTGGTCGCCCTTGCGCGTCTTTCTCAGGCACTCGCTTTTAGGAATGCGGTCGGTGACAACTAGACGCACACAAAATAAGAGTTAATTGAGTGCCGCTGCTGGATATTTCGTGAATCAGAGCAGATCAGAAGTACGTACTGATTCGAAGCTCTTTCGCAAAGACGGTCTCCGTGAACGCAATCAGCGCCACGAGCAGCAACAAAACAGTGAAAACAGAGCGCATTTCTACAGAGATCTTTATCTGCTAAAAACCAAACCAGATCTGGATCTGAACAAGCAGCAAAACAGAGCAGCAGCCTGAGCTTTCTTCTACGTGTCCAAACCGCTGCCTTGGAAGCAGCCAAGCCGCACGTTCCACACAGCCTCACGTGGCTCAATTAACACGTGACTGCACAGCCTCAACGAGGGCCATCGTCCTCGCGTGAAATCGTCGTCCGAGAAAGAAGAAGGAAATCAACAAAGAACCCGTCGACGATGTTCAAGCTGAAAAAGTCCTCGAAGAAGGAGAAGGCAGCGCCTGCTCCGGCCGCTCCTGCGCCTGTGCCCGCGAAGAAGACTCCTGCTCCCGCTGCTCCTCCGCCTCGCGCTGCTCCTCCGCCCGTGGCAGCTGTTCCTCCTCCCGCTCCTCCGCCTACGCAAGCCCCGGCACCGACACCTGCCCCCGTCAAGACCGCTCCGCCGACGCAACCACCACCACCCACCACCGCCGACGCTGCCGACGAAGACGGCGCGAAGCCTGCGGAGATTCTTATCGAGGCCGCGCGGAGAAACAACGTCGATCTGCTGCAAGAAGTGCTGGGAATAGGCGCCGATGGATCCGCGCGTCCGGCTGCGACGGATCTCATCAACAAGTCCGTTGATGCGCTGGGAAACACTGCGCTGCATGTTGCTGCTCTGAATGGATCTTGTATGTGAATTAGTTATTGTGTGTGTGTGCTGTTTGTAGTGGTTTCTAATCGTGTGCTGCAGACGAGTGTTTGGATGCGATGCTCGACGTCGAAGGTGTCGAGGTCGATCCCCGCAATCGGATGGAAGGCAACACCCCTCTGCACTGTGCCGTCATCTACAGTGAAGAGGAGCCTGAACATGCAATTGCAATTGGTAATCCTGCTCTTTCTGTTTGGAAAATGAATTGCACTAACATTGTTTATCTAGTCGACATGCTAATCGATGCAGGCTGCGATCCACGGTCAGTGATATCTATAATTGCCTGATTCTGAATATACTCTAAACTCTTCTTTTTCTTTAGGATCCGAAACAAGATGAAAGACAAACCGCTTGATCTCGTTCCGTCTACCAACCCTGGACTCCGAAAAGCCCTACAAGGTGCAGAGATGGCGACGATGATGGGTGCAATTGGCGCTGCCGAAGAAGAGGGCCAAGATGTCGAGGGTATGCTATCACATCTCATTCTCCTGCTGATCCGTGCCTGAGTTAACACTGACTTATCTGATTTTAGACTCTGGATCCGAGTCCGAGTAGAATATCTAGAATACATGCACGTTTATGAAATACATTGCTCATAGATCCCCAGCCCTAGTAGTACAATCCACCTAATCATAACACACCACACCCACAACTCCTCCTCATACCCCTCTACCGATATCTAGCGACGCCTCTTTGCTAGCCGGACAGTACACGACTTGCAAAACCACTCTCCCTTGGGAGGCCGCGACAATCCCGAGCACTTCAAATGATACCATTCAACAGGGCAGTTTTTGTTATCGCACGCAATCATCTTGCCATACGATACATCGTCGCAGATGCAGTACCTGATCTCGTCTTCATTGACTTTGTCTTGTGTCTTGCGTTTTTTCTGCTGCTGCGCTGGTGCAATCAACTCTGATGGTATCTTTTTGAATGATTTGATGTTGTTTGTCGGCTTGGATACCTGCTGCTGTAGATTCTTTTGCGCTGCTGGCTTTGCCGCTTGTGTTGGTTTTGCTGCCTGTGCTGGTTCTGCAGGATGCCGCTGTAGATTCTTTTGCGCTGCTGGCTTTATTACTTGCGTCGGTTTTGCTGCTTGTGTTGGCTTTGCTGCCTGTGCTGGCTTTACCGCTTGTGTTGGTTTTGCAGCATTCCGCTGTAAATTTGTTTGCGCTGATGGCTTTGCTGCTTGTGTTGGTTTTGTAGAAATCACCGGCTTAGGTGCATTAGCAACAGCCCTTTCTTCCCTAACTCTTCGCAGCGATCGAGTATTCGGCGTTTCAGCTGCAGCACTCGCAGCAGGCGTCTCGTCGTTCCGCAGTCTCGTACTACTACGTCTACTGCTAGCATCAGAAGCCGTCGGCGTCGATAAAAGACCCAAAGATGCTAATTCATAGCGCGATACGCCTTTCGTGTGATCTCGTTTGCGTTTATTTGACGTCGGTGTGCTGGCTTCATGGACCGTGACCTCAGAAGATCTCGTAGCGCGAGTAGGTTTGCCTGAGACAACAGGTTCGCTCGTTTGCTGTCTTGAGCTTGTTTGCACTGGTGCCTGTTCGGCAGGGGTGACGTCTTCTTCTGCGGGAGTTTCGGTTTCTTTGGCAGTTGTCTCGATCTTCTCGGGCATCTCATGTTCTGGCTCATGTTCTGGCCCATGTTCTGGATTACGATCTGGCTCTCTGGCAGGTTGATCTTCTACAGCTGGCTGTTCGGAAGAGTCATCCGTATGCAAGACATCAATTTCTTGGGTCTCTTGGGGAGGAGGCTTGAACAACGACTGCTGTCCAGAGAGTCGTTTCGAGATTTCGGGAAGTGCCAGCTGAGACGGTGGGGCAGCGAGCGAGACTTCTCTTGCAGCGCGACTGGCTTCGGCCGTATTCTCTTCCTCACTTTTTGCTGCATCACCGCCATCTTGATTATTTTGCAATGGATCCCGACGCGTTGTAGTGACCGGAAGATTCAACGTTTTTTCCATCTTTGTGATCTCGCGGTCAATCTTGTTGTAATGACGCTTCAAGACCGTGACAAGTCTCTGAGCCTCGCGCAGGGATGCTTTGCGATCCCGGATCATTCTGGTAGTATTGACGTTTTGCAGACGATGATATATCCGAGACAGTCTGGCAGCGGTCTCGTCTGTGATCGGAGAGTCTGCGGATTCGAGGATGGAGAGGAAGGAGTCGAGATCATTTGATGGAGCTGCGTAGCAGGCTGAGAGTTCGGTGATAAGATTGAGCGATCTGCGAATGTCACTTGGCAAATGATCCGTGACTGTAAAGATAGTGATACCTAAGTCAGTATATAGTTAATACAATAGAAGAGCAGAGAAATGGCTTACTGGGCATGTAGTAGGAATACATCGCGAACGCGTCCTCGTCGAGAACAGCCGCCGCGGGCTGAGTAGCGTCTGCCATAACTTGCAGCAAGCTCTAGCAGATAAACTTGTTACTACTGTACGATGCTTCTTCCACAGCTGAATTAGAGAACAGCAAATGAAAACTGCTTCTTTCTGGCGGCAGGAAGACACACACGACCGCAGTCAACGAGGAGGTTTGTTGACGAAGCTCTTCGCGCTCGAAACTTTATTTTCCTTGCTCCCAACGCTGTAGCTCCAATTCTTTTGATACTCGTTCACTTCCTCTTCTTTACCGCACAACAGTCTTGTTGATTCAGTCTAGTAGCTATCGTCCGTTGATTTTGCTGCTACACGCTACAGTCATGAGTGCCGTCGCTGAACAATCGTCGAACAGCACCGCTCTGCGAGCTCAGGAAAAGAAACGCCAACTGCAAGAGGAGAAGGACGCCCGACACCATCGAACGATCAAGGAGCTGGAGGACGAGGAAGCACGGTTGCGGAGACAGCTTGCAAATTTGAAAGCTGAGAAGGATTTAATGTCGAAAGTGCTGGCACAGCTAAAGGAAGCGAACGCAAAGAAGAAGCAGAAGAATAGCAGTGTCGAGCTGCAGAGTTAGTTGGAGTCAGATTGCGTCGAGTGCGCTTCTTCACCGACTTGTTCACAGAGTATTGCCTACCGTCACATGCATACTTATAGGCGGTGTGTTTACAACCAGCATCTCGATTGTCTATTCCTCCAGAGGCAGAGCTGAGCCGCCATATCTCTTGCCGAGAACATCTGAGAGAATACCATCTGCATCTAGAGCACGATCCTCTCTCTCATGTGCTCAAGCTAAGGCTGATTGCAGGTTTTAGAGCAAGAACTGCTTCCTACAGCAGCAGCGGGATTGTATATATAGTGTATAGTGTATCGTGTTGCTAGATGTACATTTAAGATCGCAATGCAATATTTCCTAATACAGACAAACCTTCCTAAAATAGAAACTACCCAAAGCGTCGACCTGCGATTTGATTTTTTCTTCACCTGAGCCCAGCTCAGCCTGGCTTTGTCTCTTCATCTTCTTCCAATTATCTCAGTTCTTTGGCAACAATTGCATTCAGAATCCCTTTTCAGCTCTTAAACTCGACTGTATCTTCTTCTTTCTTACAATGTCACACTCTCCCTCGCTCTCGTTTGGTCCCGAATGGTAGGCTGCTCCGGTTTTCACCTTTTTCCCTTGTTTTTTCCCGTTTTTCTTCGGCTTTGCCATTGCGGTCTCTGTTGCTTGTATTTTACAATAATCTGCATCTCTTTTATTGATTTTTATGCCATTGCCCTTCTGTTGTTTTGTCCATTGACTGTTCTTGCTCCCTCGTGTTGCTCCACCATCGATTCTCCCTCCTTGCTAACTCTGATCTCCTAGGATGCGCCCCAAACCCGCGCATTCATCCAGCAGCAACAGCACCACTCAGTCCTCTGGATCCCATTCGACTGCCTTCTCCTCTGCTGCATCATCAACCGGCGCCAACAGCTCTTCCAAGCCTCCAAAGATGGCGAAATACCCAACCTGGTCCTCGATCTCGTCGGCCTCTCATTCCGCCCGTCCTATATCCTCCTCTGCTGCAACGCATTCCAATCCCAGGTCCGCACACCTGTCTGATGATCAGTCGAAGTTTCACCCTTCTTCTTTCACCAACAGCAACAGCAGCAACAGCCATATCGTCGGCGGTGTCGATCTCAGCATTCTCGAAAACGCCCCTGCGTTCGAGGACGTGCCTCCGATACCCGCAAACGAAAACGGGAAGCGGTACACTCGCGAGGAGCTTCTCATCATCTTCAGCCAGATGCAAAATAACGGCTCTATAACTCAATACCCCCCTATTGATTTCCCACAGCCTCCATCTGCTAGATCCGATGCTGCAAAGGCTCGCTCAAAGCTGGGGACTGTCGGAGGAGGGAAAGCCAGAGAGGGATCCTGGGAGTTTCAGAAGTTCTTTGCTGGAAAGTTGCTCTTGCCGGACCTGCAAACCGGATCAGAGAATGATGTATGTACATTTGGTCTTCCTTTTTCTCTTATTACACTTCTAACAATCACTACTTGCATCAGGCTCCTATCGCCTCTCCCTCTCTTCAGCGGCCTACAAACTCCGTTCAGTCATCAGAGTCAGCATTCATGCGTCCGTCCAGTCCCTTTTTTGTGAACAACGGCATGAGATCAACCTCTTCTCATTTCCCCTCGCCGACCGCTTCTCCTTCAGTGCAGAATCAGGCAGTGTCTCAGCAACAGCAGCAATCGCAGCAGCAGCAGCCCTCGTCTGATCCAGTCCTGCCGTCGTTGAGTTCTCTATCGCTAGGTCTTCAGGACTACGCATCGCCTTTCAGTCCCCCGGTAGCGAACTCATGGTCGCCATTCTCTGGCACGCCGACGTCTCAGCACGCTCAGTTGCATACGCCGTCTACAAAGCCTTTGGACCACGACCCCTTTGTTCCTTCGATCTTCGGCGCTGTTCCGCAGCAAGGATTTCAGCCTTCTCCAGAACTTCAACAGCAAATCCCCCCTCCTCCTCCTGGACTAGGCCTGCCCCCTATGCTCGTCCCTGCGCCTCTGATCAGCTGGGTCTATCTGGACAACCAAGGTATGGTCCAGGGTCCGTTCCAGGGTACTCTGATGCAGGAATGGTATGTGAATGAGTGGTTGTCGAAATCGTTGAAAATGCGACGTGTCGAAGAGTCGGAATTTTACACTCTCGGCGACTTTCTGCGTATGGTCGGGACCGAGACCGAGCCGTTCTTGGTGCCTCTGCCTAGAGTTGAATTTGGTGTGCCTGCTATGGCACCGCCTATTCCTCAGCAGATGATGCCGTCGCAGGACCAGTACTTGACTTCTTATGCCCAGCAAATGCAGCAACAACAGCAGCAGCAACAGCAGCAGCAGCAACAACAACAGCAGCAACTTTCACAACCTCAACCTCAACCTCAACAGCAAGAACAGCAGCAGGCTTCTCCTGAGCCTGTGGAGGCCGAGAAAGAGTCTGCTCCAGTCGTCAACGATGATCCTGATGATGAGTTCATTCCCAAGGTCGAGCAGCCAACTCCTGCCCCTGCCGTAGCGCCATCCGAGCCAATCGCTGAGCGCAAGGTATCTATGCCCGCTCCGGCTGCCGAAGCTGCTGCGCCGCAACCCGTGGCCGAACAGAAGACTGTCAAGCAAGAGAAGAAGGCTGAGGAACAACCTGCGAAGCAGACTGCAGAGTCTGCATGGGAAAGCACCAGTAGCACGGCTGAAGAAGCTTGGTCTGTCGGTCCTAGCATGAGCAGCGTGAAACCTGTTGCACCGGTTAAGCACAAGCTTCAGCCTTTGCCTCCTGCCACGCTGTTCACAAAGCTGGGCGACTCTTCTGCTTCGAACAACAAGCCCTCTACTACGACTGGAAATTCTATTACTTCGGTGCCGATTGCCCCGTGGGCTAAGACGGCGACAGAGAAAAAGCCAAAACCGTTGACTGTCAAAGAGATTGAGGAGCGAGAGGCTCGTGCAAAGGCACTTGCTAAGCAGCAGCAGCAGCAAGCTCAGCAACAGAAGCGCTCTGAGATCCTTGATCTGTCAAACGGAAACGTTATTACTGACGATTTGACGGGCTCCGCTCCTCCCGGTCTTCCTCGAACTGCCACGTGGGCCAAGACATTGACCCCGGCTACGTCGTCGTCTGGTGGAAAGAAGACGCTGGCTCAAATTCAGAGGGAGGAGGAGGAGGAAGCCAAGAGACGTAAGGCGGCCGCAGAGGCAGCTGCTGCGTCTGCTCCTGGCGTCATGACTGCCCAAGGCAAGAAGTATGCCGATATCATTTCCTCGCGTCCTGGGGCTTCTGGCGTTCGGTCGGCTGTGGCTGCTGCCTCGGCCGTTGGCGGAAGCGCATGGACTACGGTGGGTGCTGGTGGAAAGAAATCATCGACTTCTACACCTGTGTCTAATGTTCCCGGCGGTGTTCCGGTTGTCCGCAGAGTTGCTACTCTGGGAACCCCGGTCGCGTCTGTCACTCGAACTGTCCCTTCGGCTTCCGTTCCCGCCGGCGCGGTGATGAAGCCGTCGACATCGGCCGACGAGTTTCTGAAATGGTGCCGTCAGACGCTTCGAGGAGTTTCGGCTGGCGTGAACGCGGAAGATCTGCTCTCGATGCTTCTCTCGCTGCCTCCTAGCGGCGGAAACGAGACTACCGAGATCATTGCGGATTCCATCTATGCCAACTCGACTACGATGGACGGAAGAAGATTTGCAGAAGAGTTTGTGCGGCGCAGAAAGGCCGTCGAGGGAAGTTCCGGGGCAGGTAGCTTGAGCAGCGCGATGTCGAAGAGCGCAGGAGAAAGCTCTGCAGCGTCGTCTGGCGTGGTTGTTCCCAAGAAGGACGGAGCTGCCGAGGGATGGAACGAGGTGTTAGTGAAGAGCAATGCGAAGACGCTCAAGGCGGCGGTCGGGCCTGATGCGAATGACGGGTGGAACAGCATGTTCAAGGTTGTTGGAAAGAAGAAAGGGAAGCGTTGAGTGATAGTAGAATTGTAAATAAAGTTATGGGCGTTTCTCTCGTGTTGGTATAAGATAATCTTGGAGTGAGTTATTCTCAGACAACAGACTACGTACTTTAAACTCGGTGAGGTGAAATGTGAGTAGAATATGATTTCGATTCGTGCATGATCTAAGATACAATGTGAGGCAGACCTATTTGAGGTCAAGATGTCCGATAAAGCTGCGCGACTGATAAACTTCAGTTTTGGAGATGAGGGGCTTCAACTCGCTAGCCAGAGCTGCGAGCTTGGGCTCGAACGACTTGTAGTCGTCCTGAGTTTTGGTTCTAAATAGTGTATTGTTAGATCATATTGTCTTCTAGATAGAGCAGCGGGTTCGAGGATCGAGGCACTTACCGGATCCACAGAGTGGCCAGTTCAGGAACAACTATTGCCTTCAGCACGAGAGCACTCTGCACGCCCTCGACGGATTTGGTAGACTCGGAGAACTTGTTGAGAGCGTCCAGGATCTTGGTCTGGTCTGCGGGATCCTTCGCCCAGAAGTGGTGCACGGCGACATGGCTGGTGACCGAGTCCTTATCCTTATCGTCTGGCTTTTTCAGGTAACCGCCGTACTGATCATAGTGATAGAGATCGTAATCCGGAGATCCAAGGCCTTGCACGCTTTTGAGCAGCAGGTCATCATCGACAAGCTTCATCTCGCGCTTGAAGATATCTGTCGAGACATGGCCGAGGAAGAAACCCGCGGCGTGGGTGTAGCCCTCGAGACCCCAGATCGAGTCAGGGTCCCCGTTGAGGTCCTGACCCCAGTAGTAGGAGTCGCCGAGGGACTCGGTAGCAGAGACACCGCAGAGGGCATCAAGTCGTTTCTCCCACTACAGATCGTTAGCCGGGTCTCTGAGGAGGGTGAGGAGGACACTCACGAAAGGCAGTGCGCCCTTTCGACTGATGACGTGCGCGACGACGAAGAACTTCGGAGCGGTCATTGCGGTGAGGTTATAGATGAAGCAGCAGCATCCTGGAGGAGATCAGGCAGGACCCTGGGTTCTTGTACTGAAAGTCGCTGGCCGGGCTCGGAGAGAATTCGGGAGGATCTGTCGCGGACCTGAGTGCGGGGCGCGGGGCTCCCGCCGGGGAATGAACTCGGTGAATGAGATCATAGAACTTTAAGTTGATCGATAATGTATTATGTCATGCCCTACATTATGTTTTGACATACAAACCGCTCAGGCTGCTAAATACTTTTCAATCTGCTGCACCAAACCGGCGCATTCTTCGTAGTCTGTCCTGAACACGCTCCAAATATCCCCAAGTTTCCTAATGCATCGTAAATAGAGATCGAGATCGTTCCTGGCCAGAGCTTGTTCTTCTCTGTTAATCCTGACGTTCTCTCTCACCCGCTGAGTTCCAATACCGCCTGTAATCTCTGCTGCATCGCTCAAAGATATCTCAGCACCGTCAGTCAAACCAGTCCTATCGATCTTCCCAAGTATTTGGCCTATACTAGGCAGCTGGATTCCGTCCAGCACAATCTTGGAAGCAATCACCGGTAGGCACAGTCCCAGACTGTAAGCCACGAACGGAGACATGCTCAAGAACGCTACATCCTCACGTCCTCCGCCCTTGCATTCGATCAAGACGTTTACCATTTCGCAAATAGAGGTCGCAGCGTCTAGCATCACCTCGAAGCTTTTCATCGCCTCTGCGTTAGACGCTGCCGCATGAACTCGAGCGATCGGATTCTCTTCGTATACTTTTCCCCTCCCGTGGATACCCTCGTGAACCACAAATACCAGTCTTTCACGAGCGCGCGAACGATGGAGAATAATAAGAATTGAATATAGCACCATATTTGTGGAAAATAGAGACATATGTATCCGTGTCGGTCCGGTCCGGTAGTCGTAGATTTTGTATAGCAGTTCTCGTACGCGATGCTCTGTGTCCTCAACAAACTCGGGCGTCAGGTTCTGCATCCGAGAAACAGTTTCTGCCAATATCCTCCCAGCTGCCAAACGAAAGCACGAAGAGTTGAAACGCCATCTTGTTTTGATCACGCCAAGTCGTGATGCGCTGTCGATCACGAACGGACCGATATCTGAAAATACGCACTGTTCGAATTCTTCGTACAGAAACGTATCGCCGTTCCAATCGCGCATATGGTCTTCATAAGTCACTTCACAGCACGGAGGGCACACTCTACTTGGGAACTCAGGAAGAGTTCGCGGTGAGTACCAAATAGTCGAAACGAGAAGACGCAGTTCCCACATCATGAAATGAAGCCTTCTGCACGACTCCTTCTCCAGCTCGGTTGGAAACAGCTGTGATATTGTGTGCATATTCGGACAGTTCGGATTCGACCATTCTTCGCGAAGCTCGATAAACCTGCCCTGTGCGTCCACTTCCGAGTCAATAAGATCAAGCCTGTACGTTTCGCTGATCGACGAAGCAAAGGTAAGCATCTGATTCGCACGGGATTGATGATCATCGTATATAGCAGAGATAGCTAGCAGAAGAGCGGTTTGAAGTTTAGAGACAGGATTCTCAACAGCTGGAAGCCACTTCTCTGCCCGTGATACCCAGTACATCGGGTCAGTCTGGTACTGCTGTATAATCGACAACAGCGATGCCTGATTCGGATACTCTTTACTGATGAACCGACAGGACACCGAAAACATAGCATGCAGTAAAGCAGCATCGTGCTCAAACTCAACTGTGTCAAGCAAAAAGCTCTTTGGAACCATAAACGAATGTCCCGGATGGTAGCAGTTGTAGTACGCATCGATGAGGAACATGATAACCGGCACTCCGGGCAAATCAACGGCGCTAAATGCTGAATCGCTCCCGCGCAGTGAGGTCGATATCGAGTTTATCTTCCTCGGATAAGGCCTTGCCACCGAGTGATCAGAGTACGGCTCATGACTGTTGAAGAAATCGCGCGATGGCTGTTGCCGGTTGGCGTTTTGCTGAGATTGACGGCTGCTTACTCCTCGAATCTCGTTGATCTGCTGCTGGAGAGATGCTAGGGTGCTCTGGATAGATGTAAGAGCCTCAGTCAACGATTGGCTATCGAGAGACTGTGAAGTGTCTTGGGATGCTGTCGTTGACACGGGGAGAGACTGTTGGAGAGCCTGGGTTTCCAGTGCGGTTCGTTGATGCGAATCGCCTTCGGACTGGCGTGCGGACGGGCCATTGGTCCATGTCTGAGCTGGTGCAGTGGGATGTGATGTCGGTGAAGCTGACCGACTCAGAGACTCAGCATCTGCACTCCGATACGGATTGTTATTCTGCGACTCGACCGTGCCCCGCCGCTTCCGTTTTCCGCCGCGATGCGAAGGCACAAAGACGCACGGAATCGAAAGCGCGCGACAGTTGTGGCAGTCCTGGGCTCCGTCGCACTTGATCTTGCGCTCGCGGCACGCCAGGCAGGCTCGCAACGAAACAGCTCGGACTCGATGATTTTCCCTCCCAACTTCGTGGGTACTCATGATTCGGAGAAGGCCGCGCGCACGCTACGGCCCGCGGGAACAATGGTAGTGTGGAGAACCTCGGGTTGTGTTTTTCCGCAATCGCAATAAACGTGTCTGTATGAGCTATTCGAGCTATATGAGGTGTATCGAGGTTGTCGTTATATGTCACAACATATGATATCGTAAAATAGTAGTCTTCAGCCTATCGAGCGAGTGTTCAGTTGATATTAAAGAAGAAGCCCACCGAGCACGGACAAACTTTCGTGAACCTGTTTTCCGAGAACCAAAAAGTCTACTGTGATCAGAGCTGATCGGGTTATTCTCATATACTTCTTCAAATATGCTCCGTTCTCCTCGACTCCTCATTTCAACTTCTCGAGCGAACCAAGCAGTCGAATAAATAGTTTATTATAATCTTATTCAGAACAAAGAAAATAGTAAAAAAATGTAGACAAAAAAAATAAAAAATTTCCGACCAGGGAGAGGATTGAACTCTCGATCTTACGATTAACAGTCGTACGCCTTAACCAGCTTGGCCACCCAGTCATTTGTTGACGAAAACAATATCATTTACCATCATAAGCTACTAAATGTTTGTAGAGATCTGTGTTTTATTATGTGGTTCTCCCCTGTGCGCTTTCTTCAGGCAATAGATGATGAACTGGTTGGGGAGAGCGCGTCCTTCATTCATCACAGATAGGTTCTACTGATTATTTTACGATTCCGAATTTCTAATCTCTCATTACTAATTTATCTCATTTTCAACTGATTTATTTGTTGGGTAAATTTGGTGGTTCGAATGTTTGGAGTCATGATCCGGAAACTGTGTAAAATACATAGAAGAGACAAATTCTTGGTAAAACCCTAAGATTCTAGCTGTTCGATCCGTCGTTGATAAACCGGTGCTGTTCGTGACTATATTCCCATAATCAGGACATAATAACAGTAATTAATTGTACTTTATAACATCAAAAAAGCTCTAGAGGGAATTGCGAGAATTGCGGGTGCCCGAGCGAGCCGATGACATCAGGCCGGATTAGATCGAGCGTCGCGCATTGACAGGCAAGTCAGAGCCGGTGAGGCGAGCATGAATTGATTGCCCCACCCTCTATTCTCCTCCTCCTCCTCCTCTCTTCCCTTTCGCCACTCTTTCCTTTTTTTGAAATTCGATCTATCTTTTTCATACGAATTATTTCCTGGTTTTTACTGGTACTTTGTGTAATTCGTATATACAGTATCGCAACAACGCTACTCAAATCATACTGATCTTATCGAGCTATCAATGGCCTCCACCGAACAAACCGAGAGCGAGTCCCTCGGCATCCTGAAGATTGATCCTTGGCTTGAACCCTTCAAAGGAGACTTGGTTACTCGCCACAAGACTGCCACTGATCTGCTTGAGCAACTGGAGCAAAATGAAGGAGGAATCATCAAGTTTTCAGAGGTAAGCCATGTGCCGATTGCTTGAGCCTGTGTTTAATCTATATTCGGTACTGACAGCACCCTTAAACAGGGATACAATTACTATGGCTTTCAAATCCAGGACAACAACGATATAGTCTATCGTGAGTGGGCACCTAATGCGACAATGGTGCATCTTATTGGTGACTTCAACAACTGGGATCGTGGTGCGCACGAGATGGTCAAGAACCAGTACGGAGTCTTTGAGATCACCCTTCCTGCCGTCAACGGCCAGCCTGCAATTCCGCACAACAGTCGCGTGAAAATTGCGCTCAATCTGCCAGGCGGTGGATATGTCGATCGCATTCCAGCGTGGATCCGGCGGGTGACGCAAGATCTGGCAGTCTCGCCCGTGTACGACGCGGTGTTTTGGAACCCCCCGCAGAAATACGAATGGAAGCATGACGATGTGACCCGGGCAGCCAGACACCCCGAGTCTGCGCGAATTTACGAGGCGCATGTCGGAATCTCCACGAGCGAGTTGCGCGTTGGTACTTATAATGAGTTTACACGAGACACTCTCCCCCGAATTCACAAGCTGGGATACAACGTTATTCAATTGATGGCGATCATGGAGCACGCCTACTATGCAAGTTTTGGATATCAGGTCACTTCATTTTTTGCGGTGTCTTCGCGATACGGAACTCCCGAAGAACTGAAGCATTTGATTGATGAAGCGCATAAGCTTGGTATTACGGTCTTGCTTGATGTGGTGCACTCGCACGCGTGCAAGAACGTGCTTGACGGACTGAACATGTTTGACGGAACCGACTATCAGTATTTCCATGGCGGGCCCAAGGGTGTGCACTCTCTTTGGGACTCGAGATTGTTCAATTATGGAAAGTATGAGGTTCTTCGATTCCTGTTGTCGAACTTGAGATTCTTCATTGAGGAATACCACTTTGATGGATTCCGATTCGACGGCGTGACATCTATGCTGTACACGCATCACGGTATTGGTGCAGGGTTCTCAGGAGGATATCATGAGTATTTTGGAGATGACAAAGTTGACAAGGATGCTATAAATTACCTGATTGTGGCAAACTACATGCTGCACAAGCTGGATCCAAATATCATTACGATTGCCGAGGATGTCTCGGGAATGCCAGGACTGTGCGTTGGTTTTGACCTCGGCGGTGTCGGATTTGATTACCGATTGGCTATGGCATTGCCGGATATGTGGATCAAGCTGCTGAAGGAAGTCAAGGACGATGACTGGGAGATGGGAAAGATCGTGCACGAGCTGACTAACCGACGGTACAAGGAGAAGACGGTTGCCTATGCGGAGAGCCATGACCAGGCTTTAGTAGGAGACAAAACTTTGGCATTCTGGATGATGGACAAGGAGATGTACACGAACATGTCATTGATTAGTGAGTTGACGCCGGTCGTTGATCGGGGCATGGCGCTGCACAAGATGATCAGGCTTATTACGCACACGCTCGGCGGAGAGGCGTACTTAAACTTTGAAGGTAATGAGTTTGGTCATCCCGAATGGCTCGATTTTCCTCGCGATGGGAACGGGAACTCGTTCTGGTACGCGAGGAGACAGTGGAACGTGCTCGATGACGAGTTGCTGAGATACAAGTTTTTGAACGAGTTTGATGGAGCGATGCAGCATACGGAGGAAAAGTACGGGTGGCTGCATTCAGATCCGGCGTATGTTTCCCTAAAGCACGAAGGCGACAAGATGATTTCGTTTGAGCGAGCTGGACTTTTGTTTGTATTCAACTTCAACCCGAGCCAGTCGTTTGTCGACTATCGCATCGGTGTGCAGGTTGCGGGCGAGTATAGGATTGTGCTCGACAGCGATGAGGAGCGGTTTGGCGGACATGCACGTATCGATCACGAAAAGTCGCAGTTTTTCACAACGCCCTTGGCGTGGAACGATCGGGACAACTTTATACAAGTCTACAGTGAGTTGCTCGGATTTTCTCCTTTTGTTATTCTAGTTCTTTTGGCTGACATATGACATTTATTCGTCACAGTTCCCGCTAGAGTGGCGCTAGTGCTGGCGAAGGTGGGCTGATAAGGAACGAAAAGTGAGAGAATCAGAGAGGTGTCAGAATTGAAGACGAAAAGAGCATAGAGAAAACTACCAGATTTTGTGAGGACGAGCCGCTGACTAAGGACGCGGGGGGGGGGGGCTTGGAGCCATACCCGTGCCCATAGTGTGAGTTGAATAGTGTGCAGCCGACCCGAGGACGTCTGTGCAGCCCACGCGGATGCAAGAAGACGCAGCAGGACGCAGCATGAAGCAGCTCTGGGTGCAGCTCTGGGTGCAGCTCTGGACGCAGCCCCGGGTGCAGCACCGATTTTATGGACCAATAGAGGGGCACGGCTTGCAAGCTTTCGCGGACAAAGACGATATTAGCCGTAAATGTTCGCCGTTGGATCCGCGGAGTGGGTAAGCTGCATAACGGACGCCGGAATTCGTCGTTATATAGCAATCAGAAGGGAAGAGGGTGAGGTACTGCGGATATCGTTAAATTCGTTTTTTCGTATTGTTTCTCTTCACTTATTTGTTTTCGGTTCTTCTTTTTTGCTTTGCAGTCTCGCCACGCCCGCTATTTTTCTCTTTTCTCTTTCATGTCACTTTCTAGATCAACTATCCTTCTCTTTCATTTTCAACTAGGAGCAGTTCGTGTTCCTCATTAAAGACGGAACATGTGCGGTACTTTCCTTCTGCTCTCTCGTCTTCGTACCGGAAAACCCTGTGGCCTGTCTAGCGAGCTTATGCGGCTCGTCTAAAACCTTGTACACCGTAATTTGAACCATGTACCTTCTTCTCCAAATTGGTGGGATTTTCAGGGTACTTAGCCAGTCGTGCAGCAGCGGCCTGTTCTATAGATTTAACAGATCTCCTGAGTATTGTACAGGGCTTTATATATGTTCTAAGGTTGTTGATGAACACTAGAGGGCAGGAGCGCAGAAAGGAATGTCCGAACACGGAAATTATGGTTCAGCGTCTGCAGTCTGCACGCAGAGAGCGAGAATCAAATAAAACCCGGAATTTTGCGGCGTTGAGCCTCTGGTCGTAGCCGTATTCTGTCAACGCCGAAGGCGGATGGACCTCTTCAAGCCAGCCGTGCGCAGCTGATGATGGCTATAACTATAACTGAGCCTGCCCTCGCGTCTGTGCCTGCGCCGTCTCTCCAGCGACCCCGCCGTGCTCTTTTCTTGCTCTCCTCACTATGGCTCGCCCTCTTACTCTGAGGTCTACGACCGTGCTGGCCGTCATGGTCCTCGTTGCCTGTCTGTGGTACTTCACTGGCGTGTACACTATACAGTCTTGGACACTGGCCAAAGACTACGCCTGTGGGCCCTCAGAGAACCAACAGAAATCTGAGAGCAGCGAGACCATCAGCAGCAGCAACTTTGTCGACAAGGAAGCAGACAATACAGACGTCGTTACAGCATACGAAAAATTGGCTGCAAAGTGCGAGGACCCTTATCGTTTGCCTGGCTACCTTTACCTGCCAGAATTAGAGGAGGATTACAGAGAGACACGGTGGATACCGTTTCGCGATACATTTCACGAACTACCGGCGCTAGCAGGGACAGTCTACCCGCCGGAGAACAACGACACAGAAGCGATGCTACTCGCAAATAACGAGATAGGCTCCGAATTCTTTGACGCAGCACCGACGTCATGGATGAAGAGGCTCGTAATATACCACAACATTTCAAACAAAGTCGAGCAGGCGAAACGGCTCGAGAAGCCGCTCATTCTCTCCACCCGCGAGCGAGAGATAATGAGACAGATGAAGTGGGTCAACAATCGGCGCGTGCTCTACGTCGGCGACTCAGTAGACCGGATACCGATTCTCTCGCTGTGTGAGGAGCTAGGGCTTGAAATGGTCAGCGACGGAGGCCCCGTTCATGGCAAACGGCAGACGACGGTGTACTGCCATGTCCCGAGCATCAATTTCACAGTGGTTCAGTGGCACGTTCCGGGGATGCTGACTTTCAGGCCAGACTGGTGGTGGGAGAAAGAAATGTCAATTGTGGCGTTCGAGGAGCGGTTCGAGGAGATCTATTTGAAGTACTCGCTTCCGTTGGCGATCAATCCTGCGGGAAAAGCGCCTGATTTGGTGTTCGTGCAGACTGGGTTGTGGGACGAGCGAGCGATTCGATATGCCGAATATTTTGCGGGAGAGCTAGATGGTGAAGAGACTCCAAATGCAAACAGGACTAGAATACCGTGGAGTCTCACAACGCAGCTGACATGGACTCAGCTACGGTTTATCAACGTCCGTTTTCAAAAACTGGTGCATAAGCTACAGGATATGTTTGGCGAGGAAACGCCGATTATGTATCGGTCATTAACCATGAGAAAAGACAGCAAGCTAGCTGATCTGCCAGTCATATCGATTGATCGCATGCACCGGTCGATGGCCAAGCATCTAAACTTGGAGGTCTTTGACTGGGGTCGTCTGATTTACGGGCATTCAAACTACTTCAAGGATCAGATGCATGTCCTTAGCGGGCCACTGACGTGGTTGTGGAACGATATGATGCTTGGCTATTTGTTCCGGGCAGCTGGAGGAGTCGAGGAACAGGGAAAGATTGTGCAGTGGCCTGAGATTGGAACAGCAAAGAGCTGGAACACGGGCGAGAACTGGAACAGGTGTCATCGCTATCTGACGGGAAATGACAATCGCTGATAGCATAATCGATGGATAAATAATTAATTGCGCATTTGAAGCTGAAGACCACTTTGTGAACGTGTAATATAGACTATTCAATCAGATACTTGCTTACTACACACTAACAGTGTGCGGACAACATCGATCAGATTTCTTGTTGCAGTAAAGTGATTCTTATCGGTCACGTGCTGTTCGGACCCACCCAAACCTACAATCGGTTAAAGTTGGACGTGGCCGTTTAGTTCATGTACGCTTTCACCGGCTGCGTGCCGCAGTAGCGAGCGAGATGGCTGCTCCTGTTCAGCCGTGCCTCAACAGGTTTCTCAGAGCCGGTGTCTACGATTTCAGGATGATTGCGTTGTGGTTGTCTGTGGTGTTAAGAAACTGTTCGTGCAGCGCTTGGAATTACCATAGCTCTCAGCGCCTGACGGTGCTGCACCACCCAGAGTGGCTAATTGCTGCATCCACGTATTTTCCAGATCACTATGCCGGAATGCATCGACTTGCAGCCCTCCGTACTATTAAGTGGTGCCTGTGCTGTCTTGCTCTTGTTTCTAGAGGCTGTCATGCGCAGTCGTGCGTTCTGTCCCTTCCCTCCTTTCTGTCCTCTGTCTGTCTCCTACTCTGTTCCCACTCTCGCAACACAGCAGCTCTACAACACCAATGGCTGCCCTTCGTCGGAAATTCAGATCACGCAGGCGCAGGGTAGTTATAGCTGCACTTGCGCTTGGTCTGTATATCTTCTTCGCCTTCACTCATGCTTCTATTGCCGACAACGTCCCATCGCCGCTTGTCCAGGCACTCACACCCCCGCCGCGTATCCACTTGACCGCCCGCCACAAGATATACGAGTGGCTTGATAATCTCAATTCAACTGTTGCTCAATCACTTGTCAGACGGATCGATGAGTTTTCTTTACCGTCGTGGAAGTTCCTGCCCGAGCAGTATCAGTCTCTGCTGCAGTTGTCGTCGTCTAGATCAGGCGGCGAGGACACGGAATACGAACCTGCCCCTAGCATTGAGGTCAAGCCTGGCTGTAGCGACCCTTACAAAACCGCAGGGTGGCTTTTTACTTCGGCTGAAGACCACACTCTAACTCGATGGATCCCATTCTATTCAGAATTCCACGATCTGCCGGAGCATCCACTTGCTGCTTACCCCAGAGTCGAAGGGCAAGACGATAGATCACTGCTTAACGACAAGCGCGTTGACCCTGCAATTATGGCCCTTGCGCCTCCGCCTTGGACGAAAATGTTTCATAATTTCTATCTTATTCTCAGGGGTATCAACTATCGCGAGTCGCACCCTGAAGAAGCTCGCGAGCTGACTGACGAGGAGAAGGAGATCATGAGCCAGATGGGATGGGTTCGTGATCGGACCGTGTTATTAGTCGGCGACTCTATTGATCGCAATATGATTACCTATTTCTGCAGCGAGCTAAATCTTGAGTTTCAAAACTACGGGGGTCCGGTGCACGGGACGAGGCAGACGACCGCGTCATGCCACGTACCGTTCGTTAACTTCACGATCGTGCAATGGCATGTCGCGGGTATGTTCACTAGCCGACCGGAGTGGTGGTGGGAAGATCATATGAATGTTGTCCCATTCGAAGAGCGATTCGCCAAGATTTTCGAAAAGTATTCGTTGGCGTCTACGATCAGCAGGTATTCGGGTCACGGCCCCGACCTTGTTCTGTTCCAGTCTGGATCCTGGGACGAGCGAGGGTTCAGAGAGGCAGCGCATTACGAAGCGCAAAAAGAGGTTCCATTCGAAGAGCGTGTGTCTGCGCCCTCAGTTTCTTCCGGACAACTCTCGATGTCGCAGCTGCGGTTCATAAACTCGCGGATGCAGAAACTGGTGCAAAAGCTCCGCAGTATGTTTAGCGACGACACACCGCTGATGTACCGCTCTCTCAGTTTCCGACGCGACGGGAAAAAATCTGATCTCGCGCTTCTATCTATCGATCGTATGCACAGGTCGATGGTGCAGCATTTGGGAATCGAGGTGTTTGACTGGAGTCTGATGTCGTATGGGTTCACAGAAGAGTTCAAGGACTCGCTGCATTTCAGAAAGGGAGCGTTATCGTGGCTCTGGTCGGATATGCTGCTGCATTATCTTTTCAGAGCGGCTGGGGGTATTGAGGACCGGGGCAAGATCATAAAGTCGCCGCCTCTGCCTATGACGACGGAGAAGGAGAAGTCGAGTGCGCGGACAAAGTACTGGGATAGATGTCATAATTACCTTGTTGGGCAAGATAACCGATGAAAATGATGCTATCAGAGCATGATGATATCAGAGAAGCGTTCAGTTTGAGATGTAGCATGCATTATATGAAATCTAACATGAATAAAGTAGTTCTTGACAAATCGACAAGAGAAATTATGTATCAAAACTCAAAAATAGAACCAAAAACTCTTGAAACAAAGGCGCCTTCGGTCCGGTATTAATTAGATGTAAGTGTATAAACTAAGAACCACAATCATAGCGATAGTTCAAAAGAAAACAAAAAAAGACAAAACAAAACTCCACAATTCTGTACGAAAATCGAAGAAAAGTACTTGAGAAACAGAACAAAAAAGTAGCTCTAGACTACAGACATGCAATTCATCAATGCGGTATATATCTATATATGACAGCCATATACAATCTCCAAAAACAGCGTGCTAATTACACAAATCTAGAAAAACCGCATAGATTCGTCCGACGAAGCCGGATGGAACCCCGGAATATTGAAAAAGTCGTCGCCGTTAAATCTGCTCGACATTGAAGAGGACGCCTGGTTGTTGCTTCCAGAGGTATGGTTATTGTTGTTAGTGTCGTGGTTGTTGGTGTTGCTGCCGGACGTGGACGGTGCGATGGCGGTGATGCTTGAGTTGGTGTCGTTGGGGTCGTCGAATTGGAGGTTTGGGATCCAGATGTCTGCTTCAATGTCGTCAAGCATTAGCGCCTGGTCCAGGAAACTTGTTGGGTTCGGTAGATCGGAAAACATTTCGAGAAACTGGGTTTCTAGAGACGGGGTCGGTGCATCTAGAGAAGTAGACGCGGGAACAGAGATCGTTGGTGCCTGTGTCGAAGGTGTAGAGGTATCACCAGGAGTTTGTCGATAAATCGAAGGCGGATCATTATTCGCGCCTGATGGCGACGGGATCTGGTTCGTATACGAAACAGACGGCTCAGCGAACGATACACCACTCTTGGCACCCTTTGTCTCTTTCCTCTTTTTTGAATTTGCAGCATTACCCCTCGTTTTGAAATTATGTGCAACCGGAGCAGGAGCTGCTTCCTCAGTCTGCCGATCAGCCAGATTTTCTTCTAACTTTCTGAAAACACTGCGCGCCATGCCACCCATTGCTTCAGCGACCCACCATGTCTTGGACAAGTCATCAAGCACCGCGCAGCTCTCGTGCCATCCCTCAATCGCTTCCGGCGAGGGAAATAGTCGTAGATATACCGTCAAAGTCAAAGAAACTGCATACGGAACAGCAGGGAGCGGCGGTAGCGCAGGGACTGTTTTGACAATGTAGAGAATTTGCCGGGTAGAGTGCAAGAGCATTGCCGCGTTTGCCTCTGGTGATTCGGGGGCACGTTTGTGGGCAAGAATGCAGGCTGCGTGGCGTAGAAGGTGCAGAAGCGCGGCAATAGGAGAGTCATCGCTGTCGCCGTATGTGACTTCAAAGTCAACCTCGGGAGGTAAAGTAGATCCCATAGGGCGATACATCGCAATGACGCTGTCCAGCAGCTTACAGACTTCATACAGTTTTGGGAGCCAGCCTTCTTCATCTTCTCGCAGACCAGAAACTCCGACATCGTCGAGTCGGGAAATTACAGGCCGCGCAGAGACGCATGCCGAGATGCGATCAAGACACCAGAGACACCACCAAAGCCTACGCATAGGTGCCTGGTCGGGATGCGATCGCCTCTCGTGATGTATTCCAAGAAAATGAGCGTAGTGGAATGCTTTCTCAAGATCGGAGCATGATTTCTCAAGGCCGTCTGAGCCTTCAGAGTGCAAAGAAAGAAGAGCAAGGACGCGTACGACGGTGAGTTTGTCGCGCTCGATTTCGGCAAACATAAGAGCTCGGATCTTGGTTGCGGTCAGAGAGGCAAAGTAGCGCGGCGATCGAGACTGCAGATATTTGCGAGCTGAAGGGTGACGGCACGCAGAAAGTAGTACTGCATGAAGAAGAAGGGTCGGACATTCGTCTCTGGCGTGCATTTTCAGAAATGCGGTTTTGTCGAGCAGGGGAAGGAGCGGGTGTAGGAACTTGAAGTAGGTGTGAATCAAGCCTTCACGGTCGCGCTTCGGCGGTAGATCGAAGGCATGGAGGGAGTCAAGATATGTGAGCAAGTGCTTGTTGAGCGGCTGGTGGATAGATGCGCCTTTGACCCATACGCCTATCTCATCTTTTTCCACATTTCTGAGAGTGAGAATCACAGAGGCGGGGTCGAGATCGCCGATGAAGCGCGTCGATCCGACTGCGGTGGGTTCGGTGGGAACTCTGGAGCTTGTGTCAGAGTCGAAAGTTGTATCTGTGGGTATAGTGGAACCGCCCGCGGTGGTAGAAGTAGTGGGATCAGTTGCCACTGATGCGGAGAAGGAGGAGTTGGCACCAGTGAGTTTCGATTTCTTGGTTGGCCGCGCTGTCATATGCTCGTGAGCAGCCGGAGTAGCAATGGTGTCTTCAAATACCGCTGCTGTAGAAGACGCCACAGGAGCGGCAGCGGCAGCGGCCGTGGCAGCTGCTGACGCTGCAGGAGACGAGGCGGACTTGCCCTTGTAGTTGGGAGCAGATGACCTGATCTGGGACGGAGGAGACCCGAAAGGGAGATTGAGAGCAGCCAAGGAGGAGGATAGATGCGGGTCATTGTCTGAGTGGTTAGGCGCAAATGGGGAGAGTTGAGGGGAGCGTAGAGATATGGAGGGGTCTAGTCCGGCGGATATGGTCGTGGCGAGTGGATCAGTGGAGGATGTAGTGACGGTGGTGGAGAGCTGGGGTCGGGAGGGCTTTAGGATTGAGTAGTGAGAAGAAGATGCTGATCTTGGAGTCTCTGCAGAGTGAGAGCGAACGAGAGGTGGACGGACGGGGGTCACGTCGGTTTTTATCGACGCGCTGGTCTGCTCAACGTCGTCGTCGTCGTCGTCCAGATCGTCATTTCTTGCAGCGGCCGCGACGAGACTTCAGAATGGTTAGCAGGAAATATGTATAGCGAAGAAGAGACTTATACAAACCTGCAAGAGATTCCAGCTTTTGTGCAGGGAGCGCAGCGCTCGTGGTTCTTGAAGGGAGCCTCGCATCGTTTCTAAGAAGGATGTGGTCAGCGCGTGGTGGGTCCAAGAGATGAGAGCGAAGGAGATCGTACCCGTCTGCGTTTGCACTGCTCGCAGGCCTTGTGTGCTCTTCTGCGTTTGCGGTAGCTGTCGTCATTCGCCGGGAAGACAAACATAGAGGAGGAGTGGGTGAGCTGGGGGGAGGAGGAGCGGTGGGGAGGAGAAAAGGCGAGGAAGAAGCTGCTGCTTTGTTCTCCGCACCGCCGCCCAGCGCAAACTATCGTGAACTTTTACTTTGTGAATTACTCAACCAGACTCCACCGCGAAGGGCAGCTGTGACTCGGTCTGCAGACTGGATTATGCGCTTTTCTGATTATTCTATTCACTACAGCAGTCTTTTGAATATCTTTTTGTAATTCTAAACCGATCATCGTGCGGTGGTCTGCTGGCCAATCAGCATGTCATTGCTGCACAGCTTATGCCGCGCCTGCCTTTTTTTTGCCACGCACGCGGTTACTTGCTTTGCCTGTCAGCTGTTTACCACTACGCACACGACACGTAGTTCAGACAACTTCGTCCGCAGTGCTGCTCTTCTCCTCTCTCTGACTCACCCACCCGCCTCTTTGTTGTCACTGTTGAGCTGGCATCTTCTAAGCCGTCGCTCGTCAGCCGGTCTCGCCCTGGCGTTAGCTCTGTTTTTACCCTCTGCCCTGTGCGCTCTTTAGGCTCTTTACTCTCCGCCGACCACCGGCTCCCGCTGGACCCTGTAGAGCCTATTATCAGACCTGTTTTCTTCTCATTTCTATTTATTGACAATTTTCTATCACTATTCTATATACAATATTTATTCAGACAACACCATTTACTCAAACGTCTTTGCAGGCGCGTCCGCAGCCAATGGCTCAGGCAGCTCCATCTCATATCCGAAATGCTTCAATCCCTCCTTCAACTTCGCGTCGATGATCAGATACCCCACATTCTTGGTCTCGTTCATAAACGTAAGCACGTTCTTCCCACGCATGTTCTCTTGCTTGGTGAGCTTGCACTTGCCCTTCAACATGTCGTAAAAGCACTCCTTCAGCTCAACCAGCAAAGTCTCGGTATCGGCACTGTCAGTGACATGGCCAGCGGCAGTCGTGATCCTTGTTCCGGAAAGCTCGGCGTTCTTCTTCTGGACATACTCCAGCATAAAATCAAGCGACTTGCCAAAATCGGCCATGTTCGAGGTCTCAATCATGTAGATTGGCACCTTCTCGTACACGGAGTCACCCGAGAAGAACACCTTCTCCTCCTCATCGTAGAGCGCGATCTCGTCCGGCGTGTGGCCCGGGGTAAGCAAAGCCTCGATCTTGAGATCAATTCCCTTGTACACCAACTTCTCGTTCTGCTCGAGCCAATGGTGGACCTCGAACTTGGGCGTTGGCATCGACACCGCGCAGCAGAGCGAGTTGCAGCCGAGATCCTTGAGAACGTACTCCTGCGAGTTTCCAGACACAAAGATGTCAGCTTCGGGGAACTCAAACATTCCGCCGATATGATCGTAGTGCGTATGCGTGATGAAAATCAGATACTGCTTCTTTTCTCCGTCGGCCGTCAACAGACGACCCTCGGCCGCAAGGTGCTTCTCGATAAAGCTCCGGATCGACTTCTCAGTCACGGTGGTGTCCTTGGCAAAGTCGGGACCGCTGCCGGTGTCGACAATCAAAAGAAGTGTGGGGTACACCTTGACGTAGATGAACGGCTCGTCGCCCATCTTGTCGTTCTGCATGATTCTGTAGATGGTAGAGTTGAGCTTCGTCCATGTGAAGCAGCTAGTTTCTTCGGCCATTGTTGCGTTATGCTAATTGTCTTGTGGAGTCGCGAAGATGAACAGTTTAGCGGTGAGTCAAGTACTGAGTCAATTGCGCTAGCTCTGAGTCGGTAAGAGTCGGGGAGGTTTAAGAGGAGGAGGTGTTTACGTGGGCCCGATAAGGATATTTAATCCTCGTCGTCGTTATCGCGGGTCCTCAAGCCTCCGTGTGTGCGGCGGTTATCGGCTTCCTATTCTCGACACCTTCCTAATACAAGTAGCATAATGGTCTATATTTCTATCTATCAAATCAAACAAATACTCTCGTATTTACGACTAACGTCTCAACCTCTTCTTAATCGATCCAAACACATCAATCTTCGCAATCCTCAAGAAATAGTAAACAATAAACGCAGCAAACACATTAAACACCAAATACACGCACAAGAACCCAATGTCGCGCCATCTATGGCTGAACTTGACATTGATCGTCGACAAGTAGTCGTCGCCGGTCGTGTACTGACAGTACTGGCACAGCGAAGTTGCGTTCGGGTTGTTGATGTATCCGCCTGACGTTGTCAGGAAATCAGCCGCGTACTGATAACATGTCTGTCCGTCGGGCGGGTTGAACACATTGAACTCGTCATCTCCGCAGCGGACTTCGACGTCGTGAAGAACGTTTCCCAGCATAGACTCAAGGAAGTACGTCAACGGCGAGATGCGGTACATGAATTTCCAGAAGTGAGGGATAGCAGAGTATGGCTGGAAGATACCGGCGAACGAGAGAATGAAGCACATCAGTAGACCGGTGATGATGTTGGCGGTCGCGGCGTCCGGGGAGAGCGTCGTGATTAGTAGACCAAAAGTTGTGTAGTAAATCGGGAAGATCAAGCCGTACACAAAATATTGGTATCCTAAATAAAGTTAGCTCATATTCCTCCTATTAAATGTGCAATCGAACTAACCTGCATATGTGGTTGCTCGGTGGAAATGGATCGGGAAATAATAGCAGCAGTAGTAAACAGTCGACAACACGATATTGTACGGCAATTCCGCAATGATAGTCGCGCTCAGCAACGCCATCCAATGGTATGTATTCGACGCACTCTCGCGAACTTCATACAGCTCCCGCAATAGAATCACTCGAGGCTGCATCTGGTTCATCATCGGGACTGACACCATAATTGCCAAAAACACACCGAAGAGCAAATTCTGAATACCGAGAACAGTGTGGTTCGCGTTCCAGAATGAGAAACCAACAAAGAGACCTGACGAAATCATCAGGATCGTCTTGGCGACAATGTAGTTCGGGTCGCGCCAGTACTGCAGAAACATGCGTCCAGTGACATACTTGAGCTGCATCCACGGACTAGCCGCGTATCGACGACTGAGCTCCTTGCTGACTTCCATCGCTGGCTTCTGTCGCAACTCAGCATGCATATCCTCAATCTCCTTCGTCAACGTGGCGTACTCGGGTGATGCCGTCCAGATCTCGTGCCAATCGCGATTCACGCTCGCGGTCGCGCCCGCTCCGATACAGTTGAGGATGTACTCGGCCGGGTTCTCGTCCTCGCCGCACTTAGGCGCGCCATTAGCTTCAAAGTAATTGACAAGCGTGCTCGAGCTTTTGCCAATCGGGCCAAAGTAAACTGTTTTTCCGCCCCGCTTCAAAAGAAGGAGCTTATCGAATTGTTCAAAGAGAGTGGCAGAAGGCTGGTGGATCGTGCAGAGGATCGATTGACCTGCGTCTGCGAGACGGCGAAGCAATTGGACAATAGCCCATGCGGATTGTGAATCAAGACCTGATGTAGGCTCGTCCAAAAACATCAGCAACGAAGGCTTTGCTGCGAGCTCGACACCGATCGAGAGTTTCTTGCGCTGCTCAACGTTCAAGCCCTGGCCAAGAACACCGACGACGGCTTCAGCGTAGGGCTGCATCTCCAGCATCTCAATCACGCGCTCACAGTATTCGTATTTCTCAGCGAGAGGGACCGAAGACGGCTGACGCAACGCAGCAGAAAAACGAAGAGACTCGCGGACTGTGCACTCCGCAACGTGAAGATCCTGCTGCTGGACATATCCCGTCCGACGCTTGAAGTCTGCGCGGATGGGTTTTCCGTCAACGAGCATGTCGCCGCTGATAACGCCGACATTGATTCGCTGCGCAAGATTGTTGAGCAGTGTCGTCTTTCCGGCACCGGACTCGCCCATGAGCGCAGTTAGAGTTCCGGGCTTGGTGTAGCCTTGCACGTCGCAGAGAAGCTGGCGGTCTTCGCCGTTGGGCAAAGTTACAGTGTAATCCACATGTTGCCAGGAAAATATCTCAGTCATAGCCAAATCGTCTTGCTTGTTTTTGCCCTCCTGAGAAGAGTCACTGGAGGACTCGTTCTTGCTATTCGCGCTGCTGCTGTTGTCGGTAAGTCGGGCCTGCTTCTTTTCTTCATCGCCAGGCATATGGCCGCGTCTGAACACGAGCACGTCACCGACCATGCCTCTAGGTGAAGTAATCTCAGAACCGATAGCAGACAACACGAAAAACAAGATAAAGTACGCGAGAACGATTCCAAAGTTGCGCCAGGTATGCCCGAACGAGAAATTGAATTTTTCAGACAGGTAGTCATCGCCTAGCACGTAGTCCTTTGCAGTCTGACTTCCAGTCGCAGCGCAGACGCGGTAGTCGAGCGCCATATCCTCGTACTTTCCGCCCGAGGGAATCAGGTTTGCTGTGCAGTCCATTTTGCGCCCGTGCATCTCGTTCGAGATCAAGACCTCGAAACCAAATCTAAGCGGGTTCAGGTAGTTGAGCCAGCGGAACCAGACTTTCATCAATGGCACGGGGATCAGGTAGCCTGCGTAGATGAATGTGATCATGAGGCCCAGACCTGCGACTGCGTTCGCAGCTTCGAGCGTCGGAGAGAATGCGGCGATGGCTTGGAAGAACAGGGCGATACATGTGGTCGTAAGCTGGACAAACAGGAAGAAGATAAAGAACTGACTCGGCGTCTCATTAAACATCGGAATGAAGTAGAAGATCAATGAGAACGTGACGTAGTTGAAAAACCGGAGCGGCAGCGAGGTGATGAATGCAGAAATAGACTCCGCGGCAGGATGGTAGAACGCGAACCGCTTTTGCTTCTCGACAATCATGCGCTGCGGGTAGGTCATGGCCATTTCAGCCAGCGCGTTGACTGTAAAATACAAGATTGCAAAGTACATGCAGCCGCCGCGGGAGAACGCGCCATTGTAGGTTGGAGAGATGTTGTAGAACAGCGAGCCGACGATGAGAGACTGAGCAATTGAAGAGAATATGGTTGAAAAGACGTAGGCTTTATCTCCCTTTTGACGCTGGATGCCGCGGCGCATAAGAATCCGGAGCTGCATCCAAAAGGAAAGGGTGTAAGGAGAGCCCTTTCGTTTACCATGCAGAGGACGTTCTTGCGTAGAAGAGGCCATCATGTAATCGAGTTTCTCGGAAGGAGCCAACTCGGCGCGGTACTCGTCCATCTCGTTCAAGAGTCTCTTGTAGTCTGCAGACGCCTTCCAGTACGCGACAAACTCTTCAGGGGTGAACGGTACTTTTCCTTGCATGCCGTCCTTGACGGGAACCTGGGCGGGATCAGTCAAGGCAGTCAGGAACTCGGCTGTGGTCTGGCGAGGCGCGCAGACGTAGCCCATGTCTTCAAAGTACTTTCTTGCTTCACCCACGCGTCCAAAGTAAATCTGACGACCGGCGTAGATGACGGTGACTTTGTCAAACAGAGTATAGATGTTCTCTCCAGCCTGATAGATTGCCACAATAGCAGTAGTCTTGAGCAAGTTCGTCGTAGTCCGCAAGGTCTGCGCGTACTCGAGCGCAGTGGAAGCGTCAAGTCCCCGGGTTGAGTTATCCCAACTCACAAATCGCGCACCACCAGCCATGACCTCAGCCAGCGAGACGCGCTTCCGCTCGCCACCAGAGACGCCGCGGATGTAGTCGTTGCCGACGCGGGTGTTGTAGGTGTGTCGGAGACCGTAGACGGTTGCGAGGATGTCGCGGACATTGTTGACGTATTCTTGGCGGGAGACGTTGCCGGAGCGGACGCGGGGGGCTTTGATGTCAGCTGCAAAGGAGAGCGTTTCGTTGACGTTCAGGACGGGAAAGTGGATGTCCTCTGCGTAGTGTTAGTTTGCACATGTTCAAGAACTAGATGATATTCTGTTGGGGAGACATACGTTCGGGACTGAATAACAGATCTCCTTTGAAGCGGCCCTTCATTGTCTTTTGATCAATCCCATCGTAGGTGATTTCTCCAGAAACACCAGTGAAAGAATCGACTTCTCCCGCCATCACTCGAAGAAATGTAGAGCATCCAGAACCCGGGCGTCCGAGAACCTGTGTTCAAGTCTTAGCATTTTGTCGCATAAACTGAGTATACACAAAAAAGACTTACAAGAAGCATCTCGCCAGAGCGAACGACACCGTCGAATCCCTCGATTATGTTCCTGTACTTTTTATTCCTAGCCTCCTTGATCATCGACACGATATTCAACGGAGTCTTGAGCACCTCTCCGACTGTGAGCAGAGCTTTAGCACCCATGTCGATACCTTGGACCGTAAGATTTTGAAACAACGCGCCATGGCTGCGATGCTTGATACCGTCATCTTCGGCACGTTGCAGACTTCTTCGGAGAATACGTTCGAGATTGAAGTCGTCTTCGTCCAGCCCTTCGTCAGCGTGCGCGGCCGAGCGGGTGGAAAGCACGCGCGCGAGGTTCTCGAGCCGATCGAGGTCCTGGGCTACCTGGTGGATTTCCTGGCGTTCGCGGGCATATTGCTGCTCGACGTCGTTGAGTTCGAGATCGATCGAACTAGACGCGTCGGAGGACATTTTTGCTGGAAATCTTCGACCTCAGTCTGGCGAGGAGGGCGTTTGTGAGAAGGGGGAGGCATAGCGGTTATAATCACCGAAAGTCGAGTCTAGGTGATTAGATAGCATGGAAGGAGAGCATGTAAGCAGGGACGACGGAAGCCTTGTCGGAGCTCGGTCGGAAACGGAAGTTCGGTGAGAATACGCGATGGGAGGCAGCCCCTGGAGGCCATTGTCTTTGAATTTGTAAATGTGCAGCAACGGAGAGACGAGACAGCAGAGAGTACACAGACAAGATCTTGATTAGTTTTCGAGTATTTTTTTTTCCGTTTTCTTCACAGAAAGATACAGCCAGATAGTATTTTAGTATTTCTCAGTATGATTGCACAGCACAAGAAGATCTCAGATACCAAAGCAAAAGCAGGAAAGCACAAAAACTAGGACTTAAGTCGGACATAAGCGCACCGGGTGCTCGGTGTGCTTTAGCGACGACCGAAGGGACCCCGAGCGCCGCTGCTCCCGCTGCTGAGCCCTAAGAAAAGAGCACGGAGTACGTGGCCAGGAGATCAGTGGCATGTTGAGTATCGGATAGACTGCACAGAGAGGTGTTCGGCTACTCGGGTCTGCTGCTGGCTGGAGAGGGATGCTACGAATACCAAGTGCTCCAGGATATGTGAATATATGTACGCAAAGGTGAGCCTGCTCAACGAATATCGCAATTTCTATATAGAAACCCTACTGCTGCTAATGCACTCGCAACTACACAACACCCGGTCTCGCTATCCGTGTTGTGTCGTGATTTCTTGCCCGTCGGAAGAGGGGGCAGCAGCCATCGACCGTTGCCGGCCGCTCTGCCCGGAACATCGTTTTTACCTTAGCGATCCCGTCACACCTAGTAATCAGCACGTGACTTTCTACATTACATCATATATTACATAACAATGATAAGCCGCATTTGTCGGGGCTGATGGCGGTTGACTCCCGCGGACAGATTTGCCTGATTCGGTTTAGCGCCCTTTTTATCTCCCACTGCTCCAAACCGTGGACCGAGCGGGCTCCATCCTCTTCGCGCACTTTTTCTCTGTCTTTCTCACGAGTGCTGCTCTAGTTCGCTGCTCAATCGCCATCCTACAGAAAATAGACACCGAAATGGCCGAGGAAACCAGCTGCTTTTCGTGGAAGAAGCTCAACAGCTCGACGTACAGAGTGGTTCAGGACGACTCGCTCAAGGAGCTGCCGTTCATCTACATCAAGGTCTACCCGACCCTGCTCCTGCTCATCGACACCGGCTGCGGTCCTAACCACTGCCGCGACCCGACCGTGTCCGAGAAGTCGATCCGGAGCTACATCGAGAAGCACCTCGAGGCAGACGGCCGTCTGCTGACCGCCGACGGGCAGAAGAAGCAATGGCTCATCTTCATCACCCACACGCACTACGACCATATCGGCGGCATGTTTGAGTTCCCCGACGCGGACATCTTCATCTCTGGATACTCGAAAGAGTACATCCTCAAGGACCTTGGCTGCAACTCGCTCTGCTGCGTGTTCGGCATCCCGACGCCCAAGTTCGACGTCTACCACTGGCTCGAGCAGAAGGAGAAGCTCTCGTACAAGGGCATCGACCTCAAGCTCGAGTCGCTGCTCACGCCCGGCCACACTCCGGACGAGATCGCGCTCTACGACGAGGAGGAGCAGGTTCTGTTTGCCGGCGACTCGCTGTACGAGGAAATCCCCGTCTACATCATCGAGACCTCCGACATGCTCGACTTTAGCAAGTCGCTCGATCTCATGATCGAGTACGTGCAGGGCAAGAACAAAGAGCTCGAGGCCTCGGGCAAGCGCGTCATCACCTGCGCAGGACACATCACCGACGACGTTGATACCGAGAAACTGGCGCTCGAGATCAAGGAGTGCTTCTACGATACGCTCAAGGGCAAGAGCGTGCTCACAAAGCAGGAGACTATGCGTGGCAAGAACGTGCTCACGTACATGAACGCGACTAAGAATGTTGGATTCATGTGCATCGACACCAAGTTGATGGAGGGAATGAAGCACTTTGGCTTTGAGTGGGAGGTTCCCGCCCCGTTGCCTGCTGATGTTACCGTCAAGACATTCTAAGCACCTCCGAGAGTTTTAAATATAATCTGTACATTTGTAATAACAATAAAATAGTAAAAAAATCATAAACACAACAATCGTAGAGCAAACAGTCATTTACTCTACCCAAGTCATCTCCAAGAACGAGCCAGATAATATCACGAACCGGCGTCATATGATCAGGCTCGATCAATGGACTCTGCAAATATCCAGCTTTGCAGACAGTTATCATACCCCCTCGTCAATTCGTTTCGCCCTCCTCGGAAATCACAATATCAACCTTCCCGCTCGACGTAGACTCTGGCAGATCAGACAACGGCTTTCTAGGCAGCGCCGGCGGCGGCATCATTATCGACAGCGGCTGATCATCCTCTGCATCCGACGAGTCATTCTGCGCTGTCCCCGGCGCCGGCGGTGACGGTGGAGGAGACGCGTCGCCGTCATGGACCTTTTTAATTGCCACGGGCGCGTTGAGTGAGAGGTCTGAAACTCGTCGCTCGAGATTGTCCCGGGGAAGTTGCTGCTTGAGGTTGGATTGGTGGTGCGGATGGCTGTGATGGTGCGGATGTGGATGATGGCGTGCGGTAGCATGCGCCTGGCTTTGTGCCTTGCTGTTGGAGTTTTCAATCTTGAAAAACCAGTCGCGGTCTTCGTCGTATTGATAGACTGCCCAGTACACTCCGTAAGGCTTCGGCTCAAGCACCCACAGCGTATTCAGTGGCACGTCGAGATCGCCAATCGCCTGCCGACCAAGGTTCATAAAGTACGCGAGAAGCACACGCGCCACAACGCGGTGTCCGATAAGCAGCACATGATCGTGCATGCGCTCGACTTCAGTAATCACCGGTCGAAGCCTGTTAATCACATCGAGATAGCTCTCGCCGCCCACGCCGGGATATCGGTACCCGATCTTGTCAGCCATGCGAGCCTTGTATTCAGCCGGATACTTTTGACGGATCTCCTCATACGTCATGCCGTCGTAAGTACCCGAACCTAGCTCGTTCAGCATCCGCATCTGCTTGATATCGTACGTGTCTTCGTCGAACCCGCGCGCAGTCTCGATCGACCGCTGCAGCATACTCGTCCACACGCAGAAATGCGGCTCCACCGGCTCGCCCTTGGGCGTCGTCGGCTGCGAGGTCGAGCTCTTTGGCATGTTTTTCTCATGCGAGTAGCGCTCGAGTTGGCGAGCGCGGAACTCGTGCCGTTGGTGGTCGATGAACTTTGCGAGCGCGTTGGCGTACTTTCGGCCCTTTGGACTGAGCGACGCATCGCCGCCCAGCTTGCCGAGCACGTTGTCTTCGGACTCGCCGTGGCGCGTGATCCAGATCTGTCGTTCGGCGAGGTTGAAGTTGAGCAGGAAAAAGACCGCCTGGCCAGCTAGGAAGCCCTGGATGTTGTATGCCACAACTTTGCGGCCGACGTTGATCATCTTGACGTACTGAAGGCCGTCGACTTTCTCCTCCGCGTCGCCGATTGTTTCGTACGTCTTTTCGTAGTTTTTGACGCGCATGCGGAAGTCGGCGAGCGCGACGGCAGGGTCCTGGCCTCTGTAATCGGGACCAGAGAGCTTGAGACGGATGTTTTGCTCCAGCAAGTCCTTGTCGTCGCAGACACTCTCTAGAAAGAGAACCTTGAGCTCGCCGTTTGACCGGTCATGTACCCGATTGAGAACCGACCGCCGCCGCTTGATGGTCGAGTTTGTCGCGTCGAGGATTCCGATACTGCCGTTACCGAGCAGCATCCAGTCCAGAAGCTCGTCCAAAGTCTGCAGCGCCCAGCTCTCGCGCAAGGCCGCGGTCTCTTTATTGTCGGGTTCAAAGAAATTGGCGGGGTGCGAGGTTTCGGGTTGCTGGTTGCTAGGGCGCAGAAGTGGCGAATCGGGAAGCGGATGGCTGGCGGGGCCGACGTGGTGGTTCGATTGGCGGCGGGTGTTGCCGACGTTGAAGATCTTGGTTTCGTGCTGGAGCCAGTTGAGGTAACGGGCTAGCTTCTTTGTGATGTAAGACTTGCCTCTGGCGGGGAGACCGACCATGACAATTACGAGCTTTGATCCGACGTCGCGCGCAGCGATGGTGCCGTCTAAGTAGAGTCAGTGTGCGTTCCCCGACACAACAGAATTGAAGATGAATTAAATATAAGAAAAGACTTACCAGGAGAGACTCTACTACTGGTGAGACCGGGCACATCGAGGGTGGTGGCCCTTCGAGGAAGTTCAAGGTAGGAAGGTATGCTGATTCCATCGTGGGGAGTAACGCGCGGCGAGTTTGCCGAAGACGCAAGCGGGGTGTCTGTGAGCGCGGTGCGTTTGTTTGAGGTCGGGTATATGACGGGCGTGGAGGTGGTCGAGCGCAGGGACTGCGAATGGCTAGTGGGGGGGCGGTGAGGGCGAGCGGCGTAATGCTCGAGGAGCTGGAGTTGTTGCTGCTCGAGGCCATCAGACAAAGAAGGAAGATGAGCTCGAGGACTGTGATGAGGTAAGAGTAAGTCAGCTTATAGAAGGCACATTCTGAGAACGAGCGACGAGACCAGGCGGTCAGAGAGGTGGACCCAGCAGCGGAGGAGGTGGTGATCAATCAGAGCTCTGCGTTGCTTTGCTGGGGCGCAAATTCAGCAAACTCCCAACCATAGAAAGACCGCGATGACTAACTTTCGGCGAAGAACAAGGCACCAGGCACAGTCTCTTGTTCTTTCTATGTTCTCGAGAGTTGTCTGTGTTGTGGATGTGTGATGTTTGTTGTTGATGTCGTGGTCTTGTGTAGCTGTAGCTGTAGCTGTAGCTGTGTAGCCTGAGTGGAGTGCGTAGAAAGCCGATGCAGGATCATTGGTTGTTCAACAAGGACCAGCGGACTTGATCAGTACAAGGCCACAGGAGAAGTGACTAAACTGATCTTGAGAGACTGTGCTAGTTGACAAATAGAACAGAGCCTGGAGAGACCTCTCTGGAGCTGTCTGAAAGCGTTGTTTGCAAGAACTGAGCCCTTCTCTTGTAAGATCGGAGGTGCGCTGAAGTCCGTCGGAAAAGTTGAAAACGGAAGCAAGAGCGCAGTGAGATTTAAATAGAGCAGAAAGATCAAATGAGAATACAACATTGCATATCTCAAACTGTCATATTCTGTCCGGCTGTTGCGGTTGTGTTGTCGGTTGCTGGTGTTGAGATGCTGATACCCACTCTCTCGCTGACCCTACCACCCCTCGACCAGCCACATGGACGTCGTCGCAATAATAAGCAAAAACAAGACATACCTGGTAAAACAACTAGTATTTGATGTATACAAAAGGCGGTGCGAACAGTATTTACGCGGCTAGAAGAAGGAAGGAAGAAAAGTGGAAAAAAAGAGAGAACAGGTGGATCTGCGGCTCATCGCTGGCTGTTATTCGGGATTTACAATTGGCAACAAAGAGCGAGTTGGATTCCAAAACCATTCATTTCATCGCATTCTGCACAGCTCTACGCTTTTTCTATCTACTTACGACTCCTCCACGTACTCGATCTCCGCCGGATACACAAAGTCGTTCTGCTTCCGCACCTCGTCGCAGACGCTGAGCGCGTACAGCGTCTCGGCGATCGGGTAGATGTCGCTGACCTTCTTTCCGTCCCGCACGTCTCTCGCGACCTGGTCCGCCTCCCAGTGCATTCCGTATCCGACGATCGGGAAGTCAAACACCTGCTCCTCGCCCTCGTTCGGACGCAGGATGACCTTCGTCGGACGGCATGACGACAGCGGGACGATGATTTGGCCCTTCGAGCCCTCGATGCGGACCATGCAGTCCGTCGGGCCGTCGACGACAATCGACATGGTCGCCGTCGAGATGATGTGCGGCTTGTCCCAGACCTGCACGATGACGGTCTCCTCATCAACGCCGGTCAGAGGGGTCTTGAGCACCGAGGCCTTGGTCGACGTGGGCGGGCTTTGCTTGTTCTCGGGGTGGTTGTAGCACACGACGTTGACCCAGGTGATGGCGTAGACGCCAAGGTCGAGCAAGGCGCCTCCACCGAGAGCCGGGTTGTAGATTCTGTTTGCGGGGTCGACAGCGAACTTGTTTGAAAGATCGGTCGTGACGCGGTGGATCGTGCCGATGGCCTTCTCGTCCCAGAGCAGAGACTCGACCTTGCGCATGAGCGGGAAGAAGCGCGTCCACATGGCCTCCATGACAAACACGTTGTTCTCGGCGGCGACCTTGGCGATGTGCTTTGCCTGCGCGGCGTTAATTGTCATGGCTTTTTCGCAGAGGACGTTTTTGCCCGCACGGAGGGCGGCAATCGCGAGCTTGTAGTGGTGGCTGTGGGGGGTGCCGATGTAGACAATCTCGACGTCCTTGTCGCTGAGCACGGACTCGTAGTCGCCGTAGAGGCGGATCCCAGTCTGGCCCGGGGCGAACTCGTCTACGAATTTTTGGGCTTTCTCGAGCGAGCGGGAGCCGATTGCGACGACTTCATGCTTGACGTCGGAGACGTCGCGAGTGGAGGGGTCGAGAAGGAGGTCTTTGACGAATCGCTCGGTGATCTGCTGGGTGTTAGAATGGAGAAGAGAGAATGAGGAGGAGGAAGAAGAGATAGCGTACCCAACCGGTGGCAATTATACCCCATTTAGCTGTGTAGACCATTGTTGTGGAAGAGACTGAGAAGGCGCGGAAGGCAAAGATAGGCGTTGATAGTGCAGCTGGACGGAGAGGGCGTCGAAGCGGAGAGAGCAGACGGGAGAGGCGGGATAATGAAGCAATTGTGGAGGAGTTGCAGAAGAATAAGAGGAAGTAGAGAGGAACAGAAGAGAAGAGGAAGGCAGGTCTTATAGAAGCCTCCCAGACGGCTAGATGTTCGAGGAACCGCAAGGAAAAGCGCGGGGAGCCCAATCGGCTATATCCGGAGTTTACTCCTCGGACTTAGCTTCCCATGCGGCTCTCCCGGTCTCGACAGTCTTCATACCTCTTCATATACTCACAATACTTACAATAAATACAATAAACACTTCAAATACACATCTATCGCTTCTTCTTCGTGCCGTCCTTCACCTCAATCCACGTCCGCCGCACTCCGTGCCGTTCAAGAACCTCCACCGCCGTCTTGTCCTGCGGCCCCTGCACAAGCACCTCCAACTTCCCGCGTCCGCCGCCGCCAGTGCCTTCCAAAGACCTGCTCACCGTCGTCGAGCTCGCGCACTCCACCCGCAGCTCATTCGCCAGCTCCGCAACGTCAAACTTGTACGTCTCCAGGTTCGTGATCTTCGTCACCTTGTGGCCCTGCTTCATCACTACCTGCAGCTGGATCTTCGGCGGACTGCCTTTGCTCAGCTTCCCGCCCTCGCGTTCATTCTCATCATCTCGTAGAATCAGGTAGTAATCCACGCACGCGTTCCTGTAAGCTTCAATCAGTGCCTCGCGCGTCAGTTTCCGCGGCTTCGGCCCTGAACCCGCGACCAGCCCCGCCAGCACCGGGTTAAGCTTCACCTCCCGTGGGTTTGACGCGTCGACCAACTCTTCCTTGGCAATATACTCTACCACTATCGCGCGCAACTCCGCAGCCGTGTAGTAAAACCCAGAACCCGTCCGTCGCCCGACTGCTTCGGCAATCTGCTTGGCCTTCTCGCGGATCTGGTAGTACTCTTTCAGCGTCAGTTTCGTCGGATTACTTCCGCCGGTGCTGCTCTCGCCTGCCTCTGTAGGGTTTTGCGAACCCTTCTTCGCACCCGACCCCCCGCGGTCTTGAATGGCTGGAACGTCTTCAACTGCGCATGATCAACACCCGCAACGCTCATAATCGTCACATCCCCTCCTTTCTCTTTAACCTTTAGTAAACCCTCTTTCTCCATCGCCTTCAAAAACTTCGCCGCTTTCTTCCAGCTCGTTTGCTTCATCTGCGCAGATGAAAAGTAGGCCGGTAAATGCCGTAGCAGGTGCGCTGAGATGAATGTCGACGACGGTTGTGGGAATGTGAGGTCGAGCGACCCGGTGCGGAAGTCGAAGATTGTAGCGAGCAGCGCGCGGTGGAAGGCGTTGTCGATCTCTTCTGTCGAGGGGCCTTCGTCTTCTACTTCTGAAGTCTTTGGTCTTGGTTCCGGATCAGCATCTTTCACGGCTGTGTCAGAGGTTTCTTGTGGGGTATCGTCGGCCATGAGTAGCTCAGCCAGAGCATCAGCGATATCAGTCTCGTTCTCCAGGACCTTTTCCTCCTCTATCTTCTTCTCGTCCTCTACTTTCTGATCAGAAGTCGTATCCGTCTGCGCATCCTTTTCTTCCCTCTCCTCACTCTTCTGTTCGACCTCCTTCTCATCTGCATCATCACCAGTCTCAACCCTCGGCACCTCCAGACTGAGCTCGAGCGGCACGCTTATCCTCCCCTTCACCGGCAACTCATCCCCATAGCACTGCTTCACCAAAATCGCTTTCCCATGCTGTCCCACAACCCTCGTCACGCCCACCAAATCAATCTCGCACACGCCCACCGCAAGCGGCACCGTAGGCCTTTCCTCGCTCGCGATCGCCACAACCGCACCTTTCACCGCGCCCTTTACAAACGGCGGAATCAGCCCCGGCAGCATCATATCCGCGCCCCCGCGCAGCTTCTCAATCACAGGACTCCACGTCAGCACAATCGGCACTAGGAACGGACATTTCCACAGCGTGAACACGGTCGGCACCAGCGTCTCGTCCGACAGCTTAAGCCACAGCGGCCGGCCGCCGTCGTCGGCGGACACGTACAGGTGCCCTGACTCGCCGGTCGCGTGCGCGATAAACTTCCCGGTCCGGATATCGGACGGCAGGATCTGCTCTTTGGTCTCGGGCGGAAGCGTGAGCGGATCGAGCGAGAAGGCGGTGAGGATCGCGGAGAGCAGCTTGCGTCGGTCAGACGAGCGCACGGGGTAAAGTGGTTTGATCTGGGGAAGAGGTCAATTATCAATAAGCAAAAGAGAAACACAGAAGGTATATCCATACATTTGGTTTCTTTCGAAACATTGTTGTTCTATTTACTTGCAACAATTCATTGAAGCGAGCCTTTTTTCTTGTAGTTCACGTCATCGCATCTCGTGAGTAAGATCTTTGTCATCTATTGTCAAAGTCACGTGGTAACAACGAGGGCATCTCTGCTCTGTCTTGCCGAATAGCATGCCTTGTGGAAATTTACGATGTTATCAGGTTTAAAATGATTTATTGTCAAAGGCATAATAAAAAAACAGGACAATACAACTCGGGCAGAAACTTAACGGTCATCACGCAAAAACAGTACAGAATCAAAAGCTCAAAACAGCTGAGAGGGCTCACGCCAGATACATATCTTCGAGCCTCTTTCTCATTGACGCAAGGTATCCCATAACCGGCGTAGCTCCACTGTCGGTACCATTGACAGACTGCAGACTATGAGTCGTAGTTCGAGTCTCGGTGGTATGGTGAGCAATTGGGAGGATCTCGTATGGCCTTGCAAAGGCGGCTTTGAACGTCGTATTTAATGACGGTGGAAGAGGTTGGTAATTGTGCGGGGCGGGGTCGGACAAAGAGATCGCGGCTGGCTCTTGGTTGAAGGCTTCGGCTTCCTCGGGGTGAGGCCTAACAGCTGGGACGCGATCCGTGAGACCCCGTTTTTAAGCGTCTGGGTCAGGTCTCCGCCGTCGACTTGCGTACCGCTCAGGTCGGCTTGCGAGATCACGCAGGGGTTTGCGTGATCGATCAGAGGTTCTGCGAATAGCTGGATTCGTGCGCTATGCGTGGCTGCGCGTTGAGGTGCGGGCAGAGAAACCTCAATGCCGCCCTCTTGCTTGTTTAGATGCGAAGCAGACGGGACAGACGCCGAGAACGTGTGCAGATTCGAGATGCTGACGTGATGCGAAGCGAGAGCAGGTAGTTTTGCAGGAGTTACTGGCGAGACTTCGGCGTGAGACTGGTTTGTCTTTGGGGCTAGGGGCATGGCTTGGGATTCAGCGACGATGGCATCGGTGGGCTTGCTTTCGGTGTCGTGCTCTGGCGCGACGAAACTTCCGAAAGAATCAGAATTCGCGACAACTGAAAGCTCTTGCGTAGCAGAACAATGAGCCTCGTTAATGCTCTGCACTGATCCCTCGTCGGTTGAGATCAAGCTGTGGTCAAGAGACTGCTTGTCGAAGGAAACAAGACAATCAAGCTCGTTGAAGGTCAACACAGGAGGCTCGTGCATGATGTTCGCAACAGAATAATCTTCGAGCTCGTCGATGTCTGATCTGCAGTCTGGCTTTTGAGAAGGCATGGTTGTAGTAGTTTGTTCGGGAGCAAGAAGGGGAGAGTGTGTTGAAAGATCTGTGATGGGTTCCTCCGAGATTATATAGTGGACGGGCTGGCTCCTTGTTTCGCTTAGTAGTGAGACAGAGACTGTATTGTTAGTAGGGCATTGAATAAACGGTACAGGTTCAAACTTCAGCTTGTTCAGATCCAGTAAGACTGTAGATGGTCTCACGGGCGGGACAGAAGTCTCTGGGACTGAGATGGGGTGAAATTGACGATTCTCAGGGATCCAATTCTGCCGCGGGGCAGTCGACTCTGTAATAGCTTGCTCGGGTGGATGCATAGCGTCTTCAACCTGTTCATAAGACAAGCAGTAAACAGGCTTCTGACACAGCCGCGGTTTCAAACCCGACAACGACCGAGCAGCAAAAGGCCGAGAGACAATACCCAGAGCGGCGAGAGACTCGTCAGCCCAGTTTGTTTGCTCTATGAGTGGCAGGTTGAGAGCCCGATTTTGACAATCCCGCAAAGGCCTGCGATCATCAGCCTTCTTGCTTGCTTTCTTGCTAAACAAGCTATGAAGCAAACCAGAGACTCTGGAGTCTGCAGAGGCGCTCATGGTCGAGATAGTAGAGATAGCTGGCGATGCGGTTGTGGACGGACGAGTGTTTGTTGTTATTCGGGCGGAAGCTGAGAATCACGTGCGGGCGCGTCGCATGACTTCATCTTCCTGCCATCGGACGTAGTTGATCAGAGTGACTGTTAAGGTGATAAACAAGATCAATAAACACAATCAAGTATATAATCGAATTAGTTGTATAGAATTGTCTATTATTTGCGATATCTGTGTACGGCATGCCGACAATCAACTTTGCGCTCACTCTGCTCGACATCGATCCCGCGCTCGTCAGATCATGGTCACACTACCTCTCGACGCTGCTTCCCCGCGGCCGTCTTCCACCTGATTTCTATCCGAGCGTGCAAGAGTCGTCGCTAAAGACCCACGAGGGCGCGTTCGACTGCATCGTGTCGCCGGGGAACTCGTTCGCTCGCATGGACGGCGGGCTGGATCTGCTGATCTCGCGGTTCTTTAGCGAGCCACGGGCGGCGAGCTTGGGGCTGGAGGAGAAGGACGCGCTGGTTGAGGTGCTGAGGTACGTGCAGCGGGTTCATTATCGGCGGTGGAAGGGCTTGCAGCCGGTGGGGAGCTGCTACTTGATTGATATGCTGCCGTGGATGGCCGAGAACTGTACAGAGCGCGGCGGCAGCGAGCAGGCACGGGTGGATTGGAATCGGTTCAGGTGCAGGTACATTGCGCACTCGCCTACGATGCGGGTGCCGTCTGCGCTGTGGAGGGAGGAGATAGTCTACGAATGCATGTGGTCTATGCTCAACGAGGTTTACAACCACAACCTCGCCGTTGAGCAAGCGCAGACAAGCGGGAGCAGCACTGCAGACAGCAGCCAAAAGAAGATTGAGCGCGTGGTGGTGACGGGGCTGGGGACGGGCACGGGGGGGTTAGATAGGGAAGTGTGTGCGCGGTTGATGGTCACGGCGTATGTCAACTTTCTGGACGCGATCGAGGCGGGCGAGGAGAGTCAGGGGGAGTGGAGGTGGAACTTGGCGCGGGAATGGGACCGGCGGATTTCGGGGGGGAAGAAGGGTTCTGCGTGAGTGTGTATGAACAGTGATGATGAGGTGTATTGAAAAGTATTGAACATTGAACATTGAACATTGAACATTGAACTATTACTGGATATGGACAGCACAGAAACAGACAAAGCACCAGCGACCAGGATCAGCGAGTAAATCAGAATCACCACAGAAACAGTACCCAGCCAATTCGAGGCTGCCGCAGACTCTGACCAGGCAGGAGCAGAGTCTGGCCAGCCAACCCGGGCGCTGGTGAAGATGCACGTGGGCCGGTGATGGCTGCTTCCAGTGGTAGCGGTATCGAACTATCTGTGCGCTCGCTAGACCTCTGGTTTATCTGCCGGCTTGTTTGCGATAACCTGTGCTCAATAGTTTGTATATCTGCATTATCTGTAGTCTGAAAAGTATTCTGCAATGCAATTTGCTATGTTATTTGCAGTTTAATCTGCGATTGTATGGGCACTTTGTCAATCCGTCGCTAAATGGTGTAATTAAGCCGGGTACCAGACCACCTGTTTAGAACATGTATACCACCCGTGCTTCACACTCCAACATTGCTGTGGCGCTGCGTGCGGCGGAATCTTTTTCGAGCAGAGCAGAGCCCACTTGATCTGTCCCCAGCTTCTGCTTCTTTTGATATTCCTTTGTTTCCTCTTCTCGTTCTTGTCTTTCTTCTTCTTCTTGTTCTTTCTTTGATCATTCATTCTCTATTCACCTGCCCCTCTCTCGCGCTTCTCGTGCTCGTCCGCCCCCATCCTCTATCACCAGGAATGGCCCTCGTCCCCGTCCTCTTCTCGCATCCCTACTCTTCCTAGACCAGACACCGCCTGTCTTTCTCTATCCTGGCCCTTCTCCCTCTGGCCACGCTCGCCTCTCCCGAATGCCGCTACCGCTGCGTGTGCGCAACATTGTCGGTCTGTCAAAGCACTCCAACCCTGGCGCTTCTGGCGCCGCCGAATCCGCATTCTCACCCGCGGTAAAAATCGCCTCTTCCTTCGGCGAACGCGGTCCTGCACCCATGGATTCGCAGCATGAGCAGCAGGAACCTCAGCAGCAGCATGAGCAACAGCAGCAACAGCAGCAACAGCAGCAGCCGCAGCAAGAGAGGCATCCTCAACACCTCGTATGCTCTTCCCACCAGCTGATCTATCTTTATCAACAACTCAACTAACTCTCTATAGGATGCAAGCAAACTCGCAATCTCCTCGCCTCGGAGGCCAAAACGAGCAAACATGGACGTCCATGAACCGTCGCCGAGGATGCAACCGCAATTTGCCGAAGAAAACGCAAAGACAAGGCAACGGCAAATATACGCCTCGTCTCCGCATCTCGCCCGCCAAACCGAGAGACCGGTAGCTCCAAATACGACACAGACTACGACTACTACAACAAAACCTTCTGACCAGAACTCGAATAATCAACCTGCACCTACAAATACAGACTCGACAGATGCCCACAGCCCGAAATCCCTCCCCCGCACCACCACCGACCGCACCACCTCCGGATCAGCACCAGCTACAAGACCAAGTTCGCCCGCGCAAAGACGAAAAGTGCTTCCTCGGGAGTTCTTCAAGTGCGACTACGCCGACCTGCTGGTCTTGATCTCGTCTATGCTATCCGAACTCGTCAAACTCAATGACTCGCTCCCGCTCGTGCAGTCGCAGCTCACCCGCTTCCATTCGCGCGCACCACCCGCCATATCCCACAGAGACTACCTCCACCGCCTGATCCGCTTCTGCTCGCTCGAGAAAGCGACTCTGCTCTCGATGGTATTCTACATCGACCTTCTCTGCGCTGCGTTCTCGGCCTTCACCATATCCTCTCTCACAGTCCATCGGTTCCTCATCACCGCCGCGACAGTTGCCAGCAAAGGTCTCTGCGACAGCTTCTGCACCAACTCGCACTATGCGAAAGTGGGCGGTGTCTCGCTCGCAGAGCTGAATTTACTAGAAGTCGAGTTTTTGGTTCGCGTCGGGTGGCGCGTCGTCCCAGCCGTGCAGACTCTGGACGAGTACTATAGACGCATGGTCGCGAGGATGGACGACGTCTATACTCTCGACACAGACACCGAAAGCGAAGACGAACAAGTTACTCCGCAAGAGCCCTCACGCTCCCAATAATCAACATCTCTTTGACCCATCTTACATTGCATAGATTACTGCTCTTTTTCGTTTGTTTGTTTCTGCTTCATCTCATGTCTTTCTTTTTTTGTCTTATGAATTTCGATACACTTTCGGAGTCTAAAACAGAGTATGGTCCATTTCTAATAAATATCACACATAACAATTACACCTTTTATGTTCATCTTCTCTTGTGCAGTCTCGAAGGTCATCGGGATGCAATATTAAGGTTTCAATGTAGTCGACCAAATAAGCAAACTCTCGCGTGGCCGCAGTTCGGATCCGCTATTCCGCCACTGCGCTTTCTCGCCACAGCGCGAGCCTCGCCTCTTCTTACAAAGGTCGTTGGTCGCTGCCTGATTGATTATCGCCATCTGCGCTGCTCGAACGAGGAAGATCCAGTGCTTTAGTGTGTTTGTTTAATTGTGGATGATATCGGAAATTGACCTGCTGCCGCTTGTGCGGAGTCCCGACCGCGGCACGCAGCTGCGGGCGTTGAAGGCCTTGAAGAACTCCGTAATCGGGCATACCGAGCAGAAGGAGTGGTATCTCGAACGGGGCGTGCTTGACGATCTGTTGGCCATCTTGAGCGCTGAGGATGGTGTCAAGGATCAGTACTCGGAGGAGCTGATGATCGAGGCCGGTATCGTTCTCGGCAGCTTTGCATATAGTGAGGATCTTCTCTATTCTATAATGACTCTGCTGAATGCTAACCTAACGATCCAAAGGCGGACCTGATATCTCGGCCATGCTCTACGGTCCAGAGACGATATCGACGCTGGTCCTGACACTCAAACCGACGTCGCCTCCGAAACTTCTCCTGGCGTCCTTGCGGACCCTGACGACGCTCTGGACTGCGCAACCGCCTACGCAGTCTCTATCGACCGCATACCCGACTCTCGCGCCCTCGCTTGCCGCTTTACTATCCCATTTCTACAGCTCTGCGGCAAGCGAAAAGGGGGCAATCAGCTATACCATCATCACGCAAGTGTGCGGCCTGCTGTTTGTGCTTGCGCCGGCTCATTCGACCGGCCAATCCGTTCTGAGCGACCATCTCGCGATCTCGCTCTGCGATCTGGTCGACAAACTTCTCACCAAGCCGAATATGATTGCGTCGCTGTCAGTGTCGTCGAATGCGGGGGCCACGGGGCTCGCAGAGCGCAAGATGCTCTCGTCTGCGATCTTGGCGCTGTCGCATTTGATGTCGCCTCAGGCGGCACGACACCTTGCTTCGTCCGCACCGTATTTTATGGATTTACTCGTCAAGCTTTTGCGCGCTCAGGAGCCTACGATTCGATTAGCGGCCTGTGCGCTCATTACGACTCTATACACGACTCCATTATCAGGCAGTGGCGATGTCATTACCGGCAAGCCAGCGGCGCAGAATACCGAGCTTGCGATGCTGCTCGTCCCCGCGCTGATGAAATTGCTTGACGATGCGCTTTCTGTCGACGATGGTCGGGGATGCGATCCGCTCGTGCTGCATACGTTTGCGGTCGTATGCCGCGAAGGAGGTGAGGTGGCCGACCGGTGCGTCGAAGTCGGCATCATCAAGAAAGTCGTGCGGATAATCGCGCATGTGGCTCCGAGCACGCATTCAGCCACGCAGATTGGGAAGACCGAGAGCAAGCTTCTGTCTGGAGGATTATTTTGTCTGTCGGCGCTGGGTTTGCATAAGGAGGAGTATCGAAAGGCAATCATCGATGCGAATGCGCTGACTATTGTTGTCGCGGTTATGAATACCGAGAATGCGCCGGCGGTGCGGGAGATCAAGATTGCGGCGTGTAATGTTTTGCGGTCGCTGAGTAGGAGCGTGCTGCTGCTGCGTACGTCGCTGGTCGAGAGCGGGATCGTGGGCGGTGTTGTTGAATTGCTGGGCGATGTCGCTGTTGTTCAAGAGAGCGAGTCTGCGTCTGCGACCGCGGCGGGCTCGGCGAAAGGAGAGGTGTTATACGACGAGTCGATGAGTGAAGTCGAGAAGACCAGCGCGCGACAAAAGTATCTGTCTGCGGTGGGCGGCGCGGGACAGGAGGCGGACGGCGTGATTATGGAGGAAGACGACGACGAAAGTGAGGACGGCGAGAGTCTTGAGGTGCGGACTGCGGCTATGGCTGCTGTCTGCAACCTTGTCTTGGAGTTCTCGCCTCTGCGGAAGCCGATCCTTGACCAAGGTATTCTGCCGTTGATTGTTGCCGGGGCGCGGTCGCGATATACACCACTACGGCTGAATTCGGTGTGGGCGTTGAAGCATATGGTGTACGGCGACGACATGCAAACGCGAGGGCTGGTGCTGGAAGAAGTTGGGTTCCCGCTGCTGATGAAGCTGTGCAACGATCCGGAGATGCAGGTGCAGGAGCAGGCGCTGGATTTCATTCGCAACCTGATTGCGCGGAGCGATGATTATATCGACAAGCTGTTTGCTAATGTCGGCGTGCACGACTTGTTTGAGTTGCTCGACGGCAAGCTTGCTATGCGGTCGCGCCAGTCTGATGATAGCGAGTCGGATGAAGACGAGGATTTTGTGGAAGAGGATGAAGGTGGGAAGGTTATCTTCACGACGAAGCCGTACTACACCGAGATCATCATTGCGACGGCATATATTCTTGTGCATATCGCGGCCGGGTATGAGCACCACCGGCAGACGATCATCCAGCACGAATCGGTGGTGAAGAAAGTGATTGCACTGATGGCGCACGAGCGCGAGGAAGTGCGGCTTGCGTGTTTGTGGATCGTGCTTAATCTGACGTGGGTGGAGGAGCCGCCGCGGGGAGCCGCCGGGGAGGATCTGATGATGGAGGGCGTGGTTGACGATGACGCGGAAGGGTCGTCGTCTGCGGGAGCAGGCGGTGAGTCAGCGTCGCAGTCGCCGGGGAACTATGTTGAGGTGTGCAGGAAGCGCGCGGCGGTGCTGGTGCGGTTGGGCGTGCGGGCGAAACTGGCGATGCTGAAGCAAGACCGCGTGCTGGACGTGCGCGAGAAGACAAAGACGGCGATTTACCAGATCGACAGTCTCACGGGTGCGTTCACGGACGGCTACGGTGATCGACGCGAGGAGTCGCAGCAGGCGCAGCAGGTGCAGCAAGGAGGGGACGCGATGGAGGTTGATAATGTGCCGGTAGTGCGCCATGCGTACATGTATATGAATCCGACGGCGGTGGCCAGCGAGCCGTCGTCGTAGGGGTGGGTATCTGTTAGAATTTTGTCAGGGTGGTGTGTTTGGCGTGAACGGGTAATCTGTTGTATAGTTTTAATTGTGTAATTTAATCAGAGACTTCCAATGTAAATGTTATGTCTTGGAGATATGGACTGTAGAAACCATACCCTCGGGTCGGGACGCATGCACTTAGGCGGTGAGGGTTTTTGCTTAAGTGTATGCTGTGAGTCAAGAGGCCTATAAAGCTGCCGTCTCTGCTCTTCTTTCCTGATCTCTGCAGATATCAGAGATCAAAGAGATCGGGAAAATGAGTGCAATTGTTCCGCCGTTCACGCTTCAGACCGCAATCAAGAAGGTCAAAGTCGCGCAGGATCTATGGAATACGCGGTATGCCTTCCCTGTGCTGTATACTGATCCACTGACCCACTGATCTCGACTACAGCTAACGCTCTCTTCTCTTCCCCTCTCTCCAGAAACCCGGCAAAAGTAGCAGCAGCCTACTCACCGAACTCTCTCTGGCGCAACCGCACGACTTTTGTCCATGGCACGGCCGAGATCGAAAAGTTCCTGACCGACAAGTGGAACACCGAGAAGCAGTACCGGCTCCGCAAGGAGCTGTTCACGTACACCGGCAACGAGATCGCGGTCAATTTCTGGTACGAGTGGAATAACGGGCGCGGGCAGTGGTTTCGGACGTATGGGCTTGAGCATTGGACGTTTGGGGAGGATGGGAAGATGACCAAGAGGTGAGGATTACTGTTTGGTTTTTAGGAGATGGTGAGATGAAAGACTGACGGTTTGAGATGTTTAGACAAATGTGCGGAAATGACCTGCCGATTGAGGAGGCGGACCGGTGGTTTCCTGAGTCGGTCGAGGATGTCAACACTGTTGTGCTTCCCGAGGTCTGATGGTGGTGGTGATGATGATGACAGTGTTAGAAGGTTGAGGTTGATGTTTCGACAATGGATCTGTTCATTGATCAGTCTACTGCACTGTAAGCTACTACAAAGCTACTTCCAACAAATATATATATTACAAAACAATTGCTCTTCCTGAAGTAGTCTTTATAGTCTCTTAAGTACAAGAACATAGAACAATGCAGCCATTGTCTTGATATTACATAAGCGTCACATGACAAGTAAGGTGACAAGATGGCTTTTCAGGGTTAGGTCTGTGCCATCCAGATGGCCGCAAGTCTCCGCCAAATACTCTCTGCCAAAATCATCTACAAAGCTTTTGTCTCTGTCGGTTCAGTTTTGATTCAGCTGTTTGGCATCAGTCGAGTGCGGGACTGCTTCAGATCAGATATTACAGCGGTGGAATTTGCGCTGATCGATGACGCTGTCGCTCTCTTCATTTTGATCTATACTTCTCTCAACAATCAACTCTCTCTCTCTCTCGCTCTCTTACTTCTTGGTATACAATAGAGAGATCGTGTCTTTGATTTTCCCTTTTTTGAATGAATCCGAACTTTGCAATGTCAATGTCAAATCTTCAGAATCCCGGAATGCTCGCGCGCGGGTTCGGCGGCGGAGCTGGGTTCCCTATGGTCGGCGCCCACAACGCGCACATGGGCGCCTTCACACAGCAGCTGCCGCTTCCGCAGCTATCGACGCATCAGCAGGTTTCTTTACAGCAGCAGCAGCAGCAGCAGCAGCAACAACAACAACAACAACAGCAGCAGCAAGGCCAGGCCGGTGTGCATACGCCGCAGATGGCGCATCAGTCGACACATGGAGGACTGCAGCCGAGCTTGCAGGGCGCGATGGCGAGTCCGCAGGTGCAGTCTTTGGCGGGGACGTTGATCAGAGAGGTGTGGAAGAGTAATTTTGAGCAGGAGATGCATGTGCTGCGGGAGCTGGTTGAGCGGTATAACTATATCTCACTGGTGTGTTTCCTTCCATTTCATTACTGCGCTCAAGTATAGTTGCTGACTAGATCAGGACTCGGAATTTCCTGGCATTATCGCGCGACCGATAGGCTCTTTCAAGACAACTACAGATTACCATTACCAGACACTGCGATGCAACGTCGATCTGCTGCACGTTGTTCAGCTCGGCATCACGTTTGCGGACGAGCATGGGAACCACCCCGAGGGTCTTCCAAGTACATGGCAGTTTAATTTCAAATTCAGTCTTCGGTTAGTAGTTCAAACGTTTTTCAGAGAGATGTTGGATGTGGACTAACTTGGACATAGGGAGGAAATGTACTCTGCTGATTCGATTGACGTAATGACAAAGTCAGGGATTGATTTCAAGAAGCACGAGGAGTTTGGGATCGAGCCGTTTGCGTTTGCGGAGCTGTTTATAAGTAGCGGATTAGTGCTCGACGACTCGGTGAGGTGGATCAGTTTCCACTCTGGGTACGATTTCGGGTATCTGATTTCGATGATGACGAGCACGCCGCTGCCGGAAGAAGAAGACACATTTTTGGATCTGGTGCGGTTGTTCTTCCCCAGTCTTTACGACGTCAAGTATATGCTGCGAAGCGCGACGTCAAAGAGCGTCAAGGGCGGTCTGCAGGAGCTGGCGGACGAGCTGCGGGTGCCGCGGATCGGACCCGCGCACCAGGCCGGAAGCGAGGCGTTGCTGACGAACTCGTGCTTCTTTGAGCTGCTCAAGTACACATCAGAAGCGTCGGAGGAGTCGTATGCGAACCAGATCTGGGGCTTGGTGGCTTGATCGGTGGGTCTGGACGCGGGCGCTGTTGCTGGATGGTAGATGTTGGTCATGATTTGCAGGATAGGTGCATCTGATTTCTGATTTTGTAGTGTACAATTAGCGTCAATTGATTATATGTTATGTTATAAGAAGCAGTTTAGTAGAAGTGGATGTGTGACTCAATAATCACAACTCACACATCTGTGACCCAGCACATCAAGAAGCAAAAGGATTCAGGGACACTCGACCACAGCGCGGATCGTCTAGTTCGGGTTTGCTTGTTTGAACAGCATCTTTGTTGTGTTGTTTGTTTGTCTGATTTGGATTTATTGTTGGTTGTGTTTTCGTTTTCTCTGGTCACCGAGGGCTGCTGTGCTGTGCTCGTTGTTCTTTTGTCGGTAGCTGCTTCGGGCCACGATTCACGATTCGGGCGAGTTAGTCGTTGTCCTGCGTTGGATATACATCGAGAAGATTTACTGCGATCTGGATCTTTGAGCGGACGTTGTTTTCTTTAGCTACTGATATATACTGCCTCCAGAAAGAGAAGGGAAGGAAAAGCTCAACGGATTGAATCGAAAGATGGACAAGAGAAACCAAAGCCCCGGCGCAGGCAATTTCCAGCGACCAGGCGGCCACGAACAACCGCGTCAGTCGTCGCCCAACTTTGGAGGCTGGCAGTCGCTGGACTGGGTCGTCGGGTTGAAGGTCAAGATCACGACGGCGCTCGACGACGTGATTGTGGGATCGGTGTACACGTACTGCAGCCAGACAAACACGCTGGCGCTGATAGAGGACGAGATTCCGAATCCGTCAAAGCCGGAGCTGAAGAATTTGCGGATCGTTAAGACGTCGTTTATTAGGGATATCGCGGTCGTGGGCAGGAAGACGGAGGATAAGGCGGTCGCGGATCAGTTGCTGCAGCAGCAGAGTAACGGGCGGGCAGCGGGCGGACCGTTTGCAAAGGTGCAGCCTGCGATCGGACCGGTGCAGATTGAGGGTGTTGTGCAAAAGATGAAGAGCGCGACGAGGTCGGCGGGACAGTCGTTGGCGCAGAGGAATGTTGCTGTCACTGCGGAGGCGCAAGAGCTATTTGACTCGCTTTCAAAGACGTATGTTTCCTGTTTTCTCTTCTGGTGGATTGGGGGAGATGTGAGGGATGGAGGGGATGAGGCGTGGATATGTACTGACTATGGTTTAGACTGCCGATCCGGTGGGTGAATAAATCGATCCTCGTGCTGGACGAGGTGATGATTGATCCGCCGTACACGCCCGACTCATGCCACGCCGAGACCGACTCGCCGGCGCTCGCGAGAATAAAGATAGTTGTAAGTACCCTCACCGTATCAGTCTGTTTTTACAATGGAGATCTAACAGGAGAACAGGTCGAAGGAGAAAGAAAAAGACAGGACGCCCAGCGCAGGGCAAAGGCAGCGAGCAATGCGCCGCCAGAGGGAGAGCGCAAGGGAGGATAGCTTTGATGTTGCATGAGGATATATGTAGCAAGATGTATGTAAAACATTAAACAAAATGAAAATCTAGCAAGAACTGGCTGCGTAGTTGTAGAAGTAGGCGGATATCGATGAGATGGTCCAGGGATGGGTGCGGCTCGAGGAGGTTGGATTTTGTGATTTCTGGTCTTTGATGGTCAACGATCTGCGATTATATCTCTTCAAAAGATGGTGAGTCCTCTTCTAACTAAATAGTAGAATATAAGAATATCATTAGACTGATCCATCAATGCACCAGAGCGACGACGACGACGAACTGCGCAAGTTCCTACCCTCCGGGTTCGGCAAGCAGACCGCGGCACCCCACGACTTTGAGTCGCGGTACGAAAAGTGCTTGCGCGCAGACTATAAAGCGCGGCAGGAGAAGAAGAAGCAGGAGGATGCGGAGGATAGTGATGACGATGATGATGATAGTGATGATGATGAGTTGGAGGAGTTGCCTATATCTCATGAACTGCTGTTGAAGGAGCATACAAAGGTATGATCTTGACTCTTGAGATGTTCACTTTTGCTGATTACAGGTGCTTAATACTGACAGATATCATAGACAATATCAGCTCTCGACATCGACCCCGCAGGTGTCCGTCTCGCGAGCGGAGGCTACGACTTTGACCTCGATCTCTGGGACTTCAACGGCATGAACCCAGCCTTTCAGAAACCGTTCCGCACGCTCGAGCCCGTGGAGTCGCATCTGATTCGGGACCTGCAGTTCTCGCGCACCGGGGATTATCTGCTCGTCGTCCCGAGCGCGAGTCAGGCGAAGGTCTATACGAGGGATGGTGTGGAGGTGTATGTATACCTTTCTATTGTTGGTGCTCCTGTGGATCTGCGCTAATGATTTCTAGATCCGAGTTTGTGCGTGGTGATATGTATATTCGTGATATGAACAACACCTCTGGACACATCGCCGAACTGACCTGCGGCCGATGGCATCCCACCGACACGACCACCTTCGCGACCTCCTCACTCGACTCGACCGTGCGCATCTGGGACATGAACGTCAAGCGCTCGCAGACGCACGTCATAATCCTCAAGCCCAAATCCGTCAAGCACGCGAAACCGCACATCTCTGCAATCTCCTGGAAAGCTGATGACGGGAAATACATCGCGGCCGCGGCGAACGACGGGAGTATCAGCTACTGGAGCGCGAACGGGCCGTATAGCCGGCCCGTGGCGTCGATCGCGGAGGCGCATGAACCAGGGTCGTGGACGTCGGGGCTCGAGTACGCGAGTGATGGGACGACGATCGTGAGTCGGGGCGGGGACGGCACGGTTAAGTTGTGGGATACGCGGAGTTTCAAGAAGCCGGTGCTGAGCCGGGGTGGGCTTGCGAATCTTGTGCCGGAGACGGGAGTTGGGTTTAGTCCTGACGAGCGGTACATTATCACGGGGACGTCGACGACGCCGGAGAGTCCGGTGGGTAAACTTCATATCCTCGACCGGTCTGATCTGAGCACTGTGACTGCGCTCGGGTTCTCAGACGAGCCGTCGTCGGTCGTGAAGGCGGTGTGGCACCCGCGACTAAACCAGATCGTAGTCGGCACGTCGACAGGCGCGATGCACGTCCTGTTTTCACGGGAAAAGTCTACGAAGGGCGCGAAGCTCGTGCTCGAGAAGGCGCCGAAGGTGCGGCACGTCGACGACGACGTGACTGCGGACATCGATCTGGTCGCGGCGTCGACTTCTATGTCTGGAGGAGGAGGAGGGCAGCAGAGAAAGAAGAAGAGCAATGCGGAGGCGATGAAGCCGGAGATTCCGCTGGGGAGGAAGATGCATGGCGAGATGGGGGTTATTGGGGAGTTTGAGGATGAGGAGGAGAAGATGAACAAAAGGCGGCGGTATCTGTAGTGTACGATATATATGTAGTAACAATCTACTCTTTAACTGTATTTCTAAACAACTCTGCTATCTGTTTGCTTGTTATTCTCGATAAGCTGCTGCTGTTTGGAAGCTGAGGAAGTTCGATGCGGTGACGTCACCGCCTGAAGATCGTTTGATATCGCCTTGTGAGCAGATCATCAATGCCTCGACTGCGATATTCCTCTGCAATTCCTCTGTTTCCCTTCTTCTTCTTCTTCTGAATACAGGTCGTCAAGACAATTACAGATGCGCATCAACGACAGGCTGCTCCTCTTCTACCTCGTCTCCTCCGCCGCCGTGGCAATCGCCATCGCGCTCACGGTGACCTCGATCGCCACCCCCCACTGGCTGACTTCGGTCTCCTACCCTGAAGATGAAGACGGGAACCCGGTCCGGATCACCTACGGTCTACATCAGAAGTGCTCATCGTAAGCGTCCCTACACAGTACGTTTATATCCAGATCATGCTAACAACATCTACGCAGCGTCACCGGCCAATGCGTCCGTTTCCCAGATCAAGAGTGCGCGCACGGCGACCGCCAGTTCTGCACTAGCTGGCGCACCGCCTCGTTCATGATGTGGATGTCACTCGTCCTCCTCGGCCCGGTCGTGGTCTCGTACGTGACGCTGATCTTCTCGACCCGCCAGAAACGCGAGACGGGATGGAAACTCATCGGCCTGCTCCTGATCTGCACCGTCGTCGTGCAGGTCGTCGCCATGGCTTCCGTCGTCTACATGCTCGGCCACGACGACAACCTGCGCGACCGCAGCTGGCAGCTCGGTCCGTCGTGGGCGGCCGCGACGTTGTCGTGGATCGTCGTGTTTGCCACGTTTGTCGCGACCGTCGTGGTGGGGGTCAAGACCGTGCCGGAGTATTCCGCGATCCCGCTGTATATGGCCGAGTTGGGCAGGAGGCCGCAGTCCAGTCGGCGGTCGTCGGTGTCTAGCAATTGGCTCATGTGAGGCGCAGGTGGTGAGAGGCAAGAGATCTGGGATCTCGAATTATGATGCAATGACGGGAATCTCTCATTTGGTCGGTGGGTTGGTTGGCGTTGGGCTAGCACGTACATTTTATCGAGATAATATACATTCAAAGCAGTGGGGCTTTGAGATAGTTGTCATGTAATAGAGACTCAATATACAGTAACCCACTCACCGTCTAGCTCGCTTATGCTGGCGACTCTCAGTAGATAAATCCTCCTCGTCAAATTCGAAACCGTACGATCCCCGGCTTATCCCCTGCGTCTGCTTGATCACGACCTCATCCGCCGCCGCAGACGACTCGCGCTCAAGCAACGCACGATCCTCTGCGCTCTTGATCTTGTCCGAGACCTGCTTGGTAGGCGGGAATGTAGGTAAAAGCCCCGGATCGAGCGCGAGCGGGCGTTCGCGGAAATACTCATGCTCGAGCGCTTCGCGGGCGGTGATGCGTTTCTCGGGGTCGTACACCAAAAGCTCGTTGACAAAGTCGATCGTGGCGGAAGATTGGCCCTTGAGCGCGCTGTTGAGCGAGTTCGGTCGTAAGCTCGTGAGTCTGAACATGCGCGCGAGAGGGAGTGCGCGGAAACCAGGCCAGATGCGGTCGTTGGGCGGGCCGAGTAGGGCGATTATCTTGTCGACTTGTTCGCGCTCGGTCGAGCCGGGGAGGAGGGGCGCGCGGAGGATCAGTTCGCCCATTATGCAGCCGGCGGACCAGAGGTCGACGGCGGAGGTGTATGATTTTGCGCCGAAGAGGAGTTCGGGGAGCGGTACCAGATTGTGACGACGGCGGGGGTGAGTGGGCGGTCGATGAAGGAGCGGGCGAGGCCAAAGTCGGCTGGGCGTGTTAGCTGTTATGCAAGGTAAGAGCGATAGAGAGTTGTGTACCGATTTTCAAGATCCCGGAGGAGGTTAGGAGGAGATTTGACATTTTAATGTCGCGGTGGATTATATCTTGGGAGTGGATGTATTCGAGTCCTTCCAGTAATTGCTTCATTATGCATTTGACTGCGGACAGTTAGTACCGTCAATTCAAAATACAGAAAAGAGCACTACTGACCTTCGCTGACGGTGAACTTTGCTCCCGAGTAGTCAATCAAATCCGCAAGATCCTGAACCCCAACTTAGCAACTCATCCACAGCAATCAATCAAAGCAAGACTTTTAAACACATACATGCTGAGCAAACTCCATCACCATATAAATCTCATCCAACTGCCTATCCGCGACCGCGACATCGAGCACGCCGATGATATTCTGATGCCGCAGCGACTTTAGCAGCGAGATCTCCCGGAGCGCGGTGTTGGGTATGCCGTCGCGCTTGCCGTCGGCGAAGATGCGGACTGCTTTGAGCGCGACTATCGACTTTGTTCGGCGGTCTACTGCGCGACTGGAGAATGAGAGTTAGAGAGGGGAGGGGGGAGGGAGGTGGGGGAGGATGCGTACTGGACGACGCCGTAAGCTGTAGGAGAGGTTAGAGAGCAGCGCAGAGCAGAGAGTAGAAAGATCACGTACTTCCTTCGCCGAGTTGGTTCAGTTTCTGGAAGTTTTTGATTGATGTACACGATCCTTAGAGCAAGAAATAGTCAGCAAAGTAGTCTTCAGCTCGAGATGGTTGAATATCAGAAATACCTAGAAATCCCTTGTAATCAGCCTTGTCGATCGGCTGCTTCGAGATCGTGAGCATATCAGCGGGCATCGCTGCCTCCACCCTCGCAGTCGCTATTACTTTACAGTAACTAAACAATAAGAGAATATATGATTCTATTGTTTATAATGATTTTATAATGTATGATGTTTATAGGAATACGAACACGGGCCCTTACCCAACGCCGTCGTCCGAGAACACGAATACGAGCCGAGTCAGAAGAAGAGCTCGAACTCGGTCTGAGGGTCCGACGCCCGACTTCTTCGTTGTTTCTGTTCTTGTTTCTTGTTTCTTGTTTCTTGTTGCGTATATCTGCTGTATCTGCTGGTTCTTGCTATTGTCTGAACCGAACTGCTGCAATAGCTGATAGTTGAACATGGCCTCCGACACTACCGCCTCAGAACCTCTCCTCGCTGCCTCCACCGACGCAGCTTCCTCTCCCAAGCCCGAGCTGAACCCCAAGACCACGCATGTCGAATTCAGCGGCGTGCCAGGCGCGCTCGGGATCTCGATCGGTCTCCCGATCCTGATCTACGTGCTGTACTATGCAATTGAGGGCCCGGAGAAGTTCGAGAGCCTCCGCAACGTGTTTGACGTCGAGGCGTTGGCGGCTTATCTGGCCTGGTTCTTTGGGCTCGTGGTCTTGTTTTACATCGTGCCTGGACCGGTGCTCGAGGGTACTGTGTTGCGGGATGGCACTACGCTCATGTACAAGATGAATGGTGATTCTCAGCTCTGTTTTCTATGTTGTTCTTCAGGGCTGTACTAACACTACTCCAGGCCTCAACTGCTACCTTGTTGTTATCGCCGTGCTTATCGCCCGCGGATTCATCACCCGCGGCGACCTTCCCGAATTCGTCTTCATCGCTGAGCACCTGCTCGGCCTCATCACCGCCTCGATCGGCTGCTCGTTCGTCCTCGCGTTCTTTGTCTACTTCAAGTCCTTCCAGAAACCAGGCAAGACCATTCTCGCGTACGGCGGCAACACAGGCAAGCCGATCTTTGACTGGTTCATCGGCCGCGAACTGAACCCCCGGCTCGGGATGTTTGACATCAAGTTCTTTTGCGAGCTCCGGCCCGGTCTTTTCCTCTGGACCATCATCAACGCGGCCATGGCGCACGCGCAGTGGAAACGCTTCGGCTACATCTCCGACTCGATGGTGCTCCTCAACCTGTTCCAATTCATCTACGTCGTCGACTCGGCCGTGCTCGAGCGCAAGAACCTCACGATGATCGACATCACCACCGACGGCTTCGGGTTCATGCTCGCGTTTGGCGATCTCGCGCTCGTCCCGTTCACGTACACGCTCCAGACCAGGTTCCTGGCCAAGACCCCTGTGAACTTGGGCGTCTATGGAACGCTCGGCGTGTTGGCTCTGAAGGTGCTGGGGTACTACATCTTCCGGTCGTCAAACTCGCAGAAGAACGCGTTCAAGCAGAACCACCCCTCTGCTGCTCGTAAGTCCTTTTTCTCTGTTTTATTGTATAATACGCAGCTAACATCTCTAGACCTAAAATTCATCAAGACCAAGACCGGAAGCAAGCTCCTGGCCGACGGCTGGTGGGGCACAGCCAGACACATCAACTACTTTGGCGACTGGCTGATGTCGATCTCGTGGTGTCTTCCCACGGGCTTCCACACCCCCGTCACGTATTTCTACTCGCTCTATTTCGCCATCCTGCTCATCCACCGCGAGACCCGCGACGAGGCAAAGTGCAGCGAGAAGTATGGCAAGGATTGGAAGGAGTATAAGAAGCAGGTGCGCTGGAAGATTGTGCCGTTTGTGTATTAGATGGGACGTGATGTTGGTACAGTAGAGTAGATATGTACAAGTAGTTTAATACAAAAATCTAGTCACTCGCTCTATGACTCAGTTTTCTGGTCTGATTTTGGCGGCCGTGGTTTTCGTGGTTGTTTCCGTCGCTTTTGATTCCGATCAAACAAATCGGCCGGAACCGGCTCAATCTCGACCTCGCGCTCAAACTCGACCGGCTCAAATAAGCTAATGTCGAATTTCTTACTCTCGCTATGCTGTTTATCCGGTACCCTGAGCACTTTCTCAAAATACCGCGGATGCAGCACGCCGTTGTCGCCGCTGGTGAGCACGACGCCGTTGTCGCTCTCGTAGAAATCAACACCATCCGCGAGAGCGTGCTTGAGGTCGATGTAAATCAGCACGTCGCTGGACGACCGCATGCCCGAGACGACGTCGGTGTCGTCCGGGAGACGTTGCGCGAGGTGGATGTGCTGGCGCGCGGCGACGGAGAGGCCGTGGCGGAGGATCGAGGGCAGCGCGCGGGCGTTTGTGCCGTGCACTGCGAACGCGACTTCGGAAGCGTCTGTGATTTCGCGCAGGGCGATTTGGATGTGTGGCATGGTGTGGCCCTGGTTTGCGCGGACGAACCAGTGCTGCGGGTCGTCGTGGGCTGCTGCGTCGGTGGAGATCGGGGGGCCGCGGTAGTCGAGCTTGAAGCGGGTTTTGTTGTCTGCTGCGACGATGGATTTCACGTCCGCAAGGGTCACCGTTGGGCCGAGCAGTTTTCGAGAGAGCAGGTCGTCGACGCGGACGTAGCCGTCGCTGCCGATCGGGAGGTTTTCGGCCACTGCCTTGTGTCGGAGCAGGGATACAAGTCGCCGCGAGGCCCTTGTCAAATTTGCGGAGCGGTCGGGGGTAGGTGCTGTGGCATTGTCTGTGATGGTGGGGGCGGAGTCGGTCATGTCTTTTGTAGGTGGTGTAGGTTTGGTGAATGGGATGAATTCTGGAGCTGTAGATGAAGACTCGGGAGGTCTGACAAAGTTACCCGCGATCTCGAACAGCACGCGCGAGAGCTCAGCGATTTCGGGCGTAGAATGCTCGTGCGCGAGACGAGTAGGAGGTGTCTGGAGCGTGAAATCAAACGACAGAGAAATGCGCTCGCGGTCGATATGCGCGTTCGAGACGAGAACCTGCACGCCGTCGTTCAGCTGCGGATATTGAACCGTCCTCTTCTCCCGCACCCGGTCCCGTTCCTCAATCGCTGGAAGAATCTTGAGCAGACTCTGCAGCAGTCTCTGGTCCGCGACCGAGTCGCGCCCGACGAATTTGAAATTAGGACTGCGCTGGATTCGGTCGACTGTCCGCGCGAGAAGCGAACTGTCTGAAGCACTTGATTTCACGAGGTCGACGAGCGAGACGTCGAGAGTCTTTGAGATCTGTCGGAGTCTGGCGTAGACTTCTGTGAGGGACATGCACTCGTTTGTAATTATTTGTTGCTGACGGGCAGAACATAAAAGAGTCAGAATCAACTGTCTGTCTCCATCGCCGCGGAAGTTTGAACTGGGAGAAACCCTAGTAGGGAATATTTCCGCATTGGGTAATTACATTTCCGGATACGGTCGTCTATTTCTATATGTTGCTATCTACAATATGTTTGTATATACATCAGGTCCTCATGATATGTCCAAAATACCACCCCACACAAAAATTAAGCCGTCCGTGGCTGCGCGTTTTGAATGGTTTCGCCAGATCCACAATCAGACGCTCGAGCTCTTCGTCTTTAGTATCCGTCAACTCGACGCTGGTTCTTAGCATCTCTGCGAGCTCATCGATCGTGTACTGTCTTCTCGTGATTCCCGATTGCTCCTGCAGCGGAAGCTTGTAGTCCGTCGCGGACTGCCATAGATTTTCCGTGAATGCTTCGCGCCAGGACTCGCGGCGCAGCAACGGGCGCCGCTGCCGGTTTCGTCGTTTTAGCAAGTGCGCTCTGGCCGGCATGCTTATGGCCATCTGCGGGGCTGCTCTGCGCCAATATTTGTTTGCGAAAGTGCCTCTTTTTATACACGAAAGGTCTCTTCCGGCTGCGGGCTCGTTCCGCGCAAGGAACAGGCGGTACGGAGCCTCGCTGTTGACGGCGCGCGACATGGCTCCGATGAGGTCACTTTCGGCGGTATAGGTGTTCTCAGGCAGACCGTATGCGGTCCTAAACTCCCGAGCCAGCGCGCGGAGTTTCTCGTTGATTTCCAACACCTGTCTTTTGCATTTCATGACGTTTTCTTTCTGCGCTCTGAGCGCGGGCGGCAGCGACTCGCTCGGGGGCAGGGGCGTGAACGAGTCTGGGTTATCCGAGGGCGAGGTGATGTTTGGATCGAACGCGGCCGCGGACCGGAAGAATTCGTCGACCAAGCGGTTGTATGTCTCGCTCATCGTCACGAGCTCGCTGACAGTTGCGCGGAGAGACTCGAGCGTGAAGTAAACAGACCAGTTCGGCGTCGATTCGGGAGGCATGCGACGTTTCGGGATCAAGGTGAGTTTTTTGTGCGGAGTGCGAGCTCGCATGTATGACTTTGGGAGCGAGTCGACGACGGGGTCGAAGTATGCTGTGATGACGAGGGTGCCGGTGTGGGGCTTGAGGAGTCCGCGCAGGGTTGGTAGGAAGGTCTTGAGTCGGGGGTAGAAGAGGTGCGCGACGCCGGAGAGACAGACGATGTCGTAGTACTCGGGGGGCGAGTTCAAGACCGACTGTGACAGCTCGCGGATGTAGCCATCGGGGTCGGGTTGGAGAAACTTGCGCGTGACGTGGACTGTATTGCGGATGTATTCCGGGTATTCTTTGAGCCACCTTTTAAACGCCATCGGTGGGTAGGGATGGGTGCCCCAGTGTTCAAGGTCGATCTCGAGAACACGGGTACGAGGCGTGAGACGAAGACTAAAGAGGCAGGACCCGAATCTTCTGCGCTCGTGGAGCGGATTAGTCACTTTTCTCCGAACAAGTCTGTCCTCGACGGAGGGTGGGCGGGAGTCTTCTTTGAAGACTTCATCGGTGTGGAAGGTGTCGAAGGAGTCTTCGGTGGAGTCGTCGGTGAGCGCGGCGGCAAAATTCACTTGCCTTCTGCACGGATGTGGCAGGAGCCGCCGGGAGATACGTGGCCGGAGGATCTGTGGCCGGAGTATCATCTGGCTCGATGGAGGATAGCTGTTCTGTCTTTTCTCTGATATTTAGAGATGAAGAGCAGGCGAAGGTGAGTTAAATGGCGAATGTTTGCGCGGATGTGCAGGGTGGAACCTTGTTGCTAGCAGTTTGGATTTATTTCGGTGTGTTGATGCTAGGGATTTATGATTTAAGAAGGATCTAAGATACATAAAAGAACTACTACAAAACACCCTTCGTACTCGGCACCTCGTTCTTGCCCGTCCGCGAGGTGGCTTCACGGATAGCGATAGCAAGGGCTTTGAACGCGCTCTCAGCGCGGTGGTGGTCGTTTTCGCCGCGGATGCAGTCGACGTGGATAGTAATGCCCGCGCCCTGGGCGAAACTGCGGAGGACATGAGGCACCATCTCAGTCGAGAGCTGGCCGAGTTTCTCGCGCTTGAGGCCGAGGTCGATGGTCGCGTATGGGCGGGAGGAGAGGTCGACGACGGCGCGGGAGAGGGCTTCGTCGAGAGGGGCGTATGCGTAGCCGAAGCGTTTGTAGCCGATGATGGGGCCGAGGGCTTTTTTGAGGGCGAGGCCGATTGCGATAGCGCAGTCTTCGGTGGTGTGGTGGTCGTCGACTAATAATATAGAGAGGTTAGGAGATGTAGAGAGAGGAGAGAGGAGGAGATGGGGGAAGGTACCGTGGAGGTCACCGTCGCAGAAGAGGTTGATGCTCCAGCCAGAGTGCTTAGCAAGGGCATGGAGCATGTGGTCGAAGAAGCCGACGCCGGTGTTTATGACGATTTCCTGGGACTGGGACTTTTGGGTGGCATGGTCTGTCTCGGGGGTGGGTTTGGAGGAGGAGGAGTCGAGGGGAGGGAGTTCGCCGCCGTCGAGGGAGAGCTGTACTCTGATTTTAGTCTCGTTTGTGTTGCGGACTATGGTAGCCCAGCGGGGAGTAGTCGAGGCCATGCTAGAATGGGAGGAGGAGGAGAGTAGATGGGGTGTAGATGGTGGAGTATTGAATGAGTATTGAATGAGTATTGAATGAGTATCAAGGTCAGTGAAGTCCGAGAGTTAAGGTTTTTAGGGTTTGGCGCAGATTTTTATTTAAGCAGCTTTCTTCCTCTTTTCCTTTTGTTTCTTCTATTACTCTTCTATGAAGAAGAAAGAAGAGATATAGCTGTTATAAGGTACGTATTTCACTATAAAGAACAGAAGATCCACAGCAAGATGATGATTATACGATTATGCATAGTTCACCTGAATTACAACATGTTGAACTCGTAGCCATCTAAGTCTTTCGCTCCTATCTGACTTGCGTGTGGATCTCATTACAAGAAGAGGGTACTATCAAGAACATTCTAACTCTTACTGATATAGTCTCTACTTGCAACTACAATAGAATAATAGACTCAATACACCATCATAGAACAGTAATCCTCATAGAAGCCGGCGGAAGACTGTAGCATAATCCAGAATTGTGACCCACTCACAGCTCTGTGATTCAACTTGTGAACCATAAATTTTCACGTCTTTTTTTATTTCTGCTGCTCGTCGACCGTCGAACCCCGTTGATCTTTGTTGTTTCCAGTTTCATATTTGACTCATCTTCAGACCATATTCTCTTCTTCTCTTCTTCTATTATATATAAGCTATCATGTCTGGTGCTGTTGGTATCGATATCGGCAACGCCAACACCGTTGTTGCTGTATGTCTCCTCTTCTACTCTCCTATCCTACTCAATGCTAACTATCATCAGGTCGCCCGCAATCGCGGTATTGATGTCATTGTCAATGAAGTCTCAAACAGATCTACACCGTATGTCCATTCTCATAATTATTTCTCTTCTATACAGATTATTAACATTCACAGGTCCCTCGTCGCGTTCGGCGCCAAAAACAGATTCATTGGCGAGGCCGCAAAGACTCAGGAAATCACAAACATCAAAAACACGCTTGGTTCCCTAAAACGCATCCTCGGCCGCTCAATCAACGACCCAGAGGTCGAGTACGAGAAGCGCTTCATCGCTGGCGAGCTCGTCGATGTCCACGGATCCGTCGGAGTCAAGGTCAACTACCTCGGCGAAAAGGCCACCTTTACCGCCACTCAGCTCGTCGCCATGTATCTCGGCAAGATCAAGCGCATAACCGAGAATGAGATCAAGGTGCCGGTGACTGACGTTGCCTTGGCTGTCCCGGGCTGGTACACCGACGTCCAGCGTCGCGCGCTCATCGACGCCAGCCATATCGCCGGCCTCAACCCTGTCCGTCTTGTGAACGAGACCACTGCGGCCGCCATCTCGTACGGTGTCTTCCGCACTTTTGCCGAGGGCCCGGCCAAGAACGTTGTGTTTGTCGACATTGGCCACTCTTCGTACAATGTGTCGATTGTGGCGTTCAAGCAGGGCGAGATGAAGGTTCTCTCGTCTGCGTACGACACGCACTTTGGTGGCCGCGACTTTGACTTTGCGCTCACGGAGCACTTTGCGGACGAGTTCAAGGAAAAGTACAAGATTGACGTGCGCGAGAACTTGAAGGGATACTCGCGGGTTGCTACCCAGACCGAGCGGTTGAAGAAGATTTTGTCTGCGAACGCGACTGCGCCGCTTAACATTGAGTCGGTGATGAACGACGTCGATGTCGCGTCTGTGTTGCAGCGACCCGAGCTCGAGGAGCTGGTGAAGCCGTTGCTGGCCCGACTTGTTGAGCCGTTGCAGAAGGCGATTGCAGAGTCGAAGCTGACGATTGCGGATATTGACTCGGTCGAGCTTATCGGTGGCTGCACCCGAGTTCCGTCGATCAAGGAGACGATTTCAAAGTTCTTTGGCAAGCCGCTCTCGTTCACGCTCAACCAGGACGAGGCTATTGCGCGGGGCTGCGCGTTTGTGTGCGCGAGCCACTCGCCTACGCTGCGCGTCCGTCCGTACAAGTTCGAGGACGTGAACCAGTACTCGGTCACGTTCCAGTGGGAGGCGGTTGCGGACGAGGACTTGAGTGAGTTGGAAGTTTTCCCGCGTGGAAACGCGATCCCGTCGACGAAGATCATCACGTTGTTCCGCGACAGCGACTTTGATATCGAGGCGCGGTACACGGACGCGAGCACGCTTCCGGGCGGGATTTCGCCGTGGGTCGGACGATGGACTGTGAAGGGCGCGAAGAAGAGCGAGAAGGGAGACGCGCCGGCGGTCAAGATCCGGCTGCGGACGGACCACTCTGGCCTTGTGACTGTTGACTCTGCGTACACTGCGGAGGAGGTCACGGTCGAGGAGCCGATTGAGGAGGAGGGCGAGGAGAAGAAGGAGGGCGAGGAGAAGAAGGAGGTGAAGACGAGGACGGTGAAGAAGTGGGTTAAGCGCGATACGTTGTCGATTGTGCATGCTACGACAGCGCTGGAGAGCGGGTTGAAGAACGAGTTTATCGAGCGCGAGAACCAGATGGTTGAGGACGATAAGCACGTTGCTGATACGGAAGACCGCAAGAACGCGTTGGAGGAGTACATCTACGACATGCGGGGCAAGATCGAGGACCGGTACGCGGACTTTGCGTCGGAGGAGGAGAAGAGCAAGTTGCGCGCGATGCTGGACGATGCGGAGGACTGGCTGTACGGAGACGGCGAGGACGCGACGAAGGCGCAGTACATTGCCAAGTTTGAGGAGTTGAACGCGGTGGGAGGGGTGATCAAGGGCCGGTACATGCAGGCTGAGAATGAGAAGAAGGAGGCGGAGCAGCGGAAGAAGGAGGAGGAGCAGAGAAAGAAGGATGAGGAGCAGCGGAAGAAGGAGGAGGAGGCGCGGGAGGCTGCTGCCGCTGCTGCGTTTGCTGCGTCGCAGAAGAAGGCGAGCGAGGAGGTGAAGGACGAGGAGATGCGGGATGTCGATTAGACGGTTGATATATAGTAAGAATAGTTATTGTTTCAATGAATCTGCTGAAGGTGTAAGAATGCATGTGCGTACGGAGAGTCAGCGATTAGTAATAAGTTAAAATAAGTCAGGAGTATTAGAGTTTAATGAGAGTACGGAGACAGAAGTAGAAGTAGAACATAGGAAGAGAGAGAGAGTAGATATAACTAGTTGATATAGACTGCTGTTATAGTTACTGCTTATAACTGCTAATTATAACTACTACTACAACTGCTACAAATACAGAATAGGAGCAGGAATGCACTAACACAGACTCCAGCCGTGCAAGGCTACTCCCGTCCAAATTGAGGAAGAGCGAGGCGAGCACTTGGAGCTGTTTAGGGGCCCAGTACCCGAGCTGCTCTTCTTTCTTGCCCCAAACTGCTCTTTGTTTACTTTCTCTTTGTTTAAATGGTTCTCTTCTGCTCTTCTTCTTCTTCTTCTTCTTCTTCTTCTGTCTCTGTGCTGTTCTGCTGCTCTCTGTATATCTATCAACATGCTCGACGGAAACCCATGGCGTCCCCAGGACATCGCCTACTCCATCCTCGTGGGCTCCGTCTTCCTCGCTGCCCTCCTCGAGTGGTTCCTCTGGCTCGCCGCCTTCCTCTACTGTCTCTACATGGTCTTCCGCAAAGCTGAAAACAGATCCATCCGCGTCCTCGCCGTCCTCGTCTCCCTCGCCTTTGGCCTCCTCCGTCTCGTCTTCCTCCCCGTCATGGCCGTCACCGTCCCTCTCCCGAGACAGCTCACCGGATACATCCCTGACTCTTTTGTCGACCCCCTCCAGCTCTTTGCCTGTGTTGCTTTCTCTATTCTTCTCGGTGTCCCGTGGCTCTTGTGCATCTACCACCTCCTCCGCCACTCCATCGGCCCCAAGCAGAGGTTAGTCTCCCTCCATCCTCCATTCTCTAACAGCTCATTGACACCCCCCAGAATCAAAGAAGAACTCACCGCCGCAACCGCCCCAAAAGTAGTCGTTGTCATGCCCTGCTACCACGAAATCCCCGAGGTCCTCATGACCGCAATCAACTCCGCCTGCGACGCCGACTACCCCAAATCCTGTCTCCATCTCTACGTCTCCTTCGACGGCGCTGACATCGACGACCTCTACCTCTCCACCCTCTCCTCCCTCGGCATCGCCCTCCCCCTCAAAACCTACCCCGTCTCCATCGACCTCGTCTACCGCGGCGTCCGCATCACCGTCTCCCGCTTCGTCCACGGCGGCAAACGCCACTGCCAAAAGAAATCCTTCCGGCTCATCGACAAAATGTACTCCTCCTACCTCACCACCCGCGACGACCTCTTCATCCTCTTTATTGACTCCGACATCATCCTCGACAAGTTTTGCGTGCAAAACTTCATCTACGAAATGGAACTCAAGAACCGCGCCAAACCCGCTGAAGCTCGCGCGGCACCAATGCTCGCCATGACCGGCATCATCACCTGCACCGCCGAAAAGCGCTCGCTCTTAACTGTCCTCCAGGACATCGAGTACGTCCACGGCCAGCTTTACGAGCGCACCGTCGAGAGCGCATGCGGCTCCGTCACCTGTCTCCCCGGCGCGCTCACAATGCTGCGCTTCACCGCCTTTCGCAACATGGCAAAGTACTACTTTGCCGAATCCGCCGAGCACGCCGAGGATATTTTTGATTTTGGAAAAAGTCATCTTGGAGAGGATCGCTGGCTCACCCATCTCTTTATGCTCGGCGCGCGCAACCGCTTCCAGATCCAGCTTTGCACCGGCGCGTTCTGCAAAACCGAGGCGGTCATGACCTACCGCACTTTACTCAAGCAGCGCCGTCGCTGGTTTCTTGGATTTATCACAAACGAAGCCTGCATGCTCACCGACATCCGGCTCTGGAAAATGTACCCCCTTCTCTGCGTCGTGCGCATGATGCAAAACACGATCCGCACCACCGCCCTCGTTCTCTTCATCATGATCCTCTCCGTCGTCACCGGCACGCAAAAGTTCTCACAACTCCCCTACTCGATGATCATCGTCACCCTCACCCTCAACTGGGGCCTCATGGTCGTCGTCGGCTGGCGCCTGCATCGCTTCAAAGCATGGCTCTACCCGCTCATGTACGTCGTCAACCCGGCCCTGAACTGGTGCTATCTCGTCTACGGCATCTTCACCGCCGGCCAGCGCACCTGGGGCGGGCCGCGCGCAGATAAGGGTGGTGATGAGGAGGAGGGCTTGGCGGGCGAGTTTGTCGACAAGGACTTTGTCTACGAGCCGGTCAAGTTTGATCAGAATGGAAACGCCGTGCCTGTGAGCGATGATGTCAGTGGTGGTGAGCTTGTGCTTGCCCGCCGGAAACGGCTTACCGTCCAGCCTGACGATTCCGTCGTCGGCAAGTTTGTCGCTCCGGATGATGACGATCAGATTGCTAGCAGCAGCAGCAGCAGCAGCACGTCTACTTCCCTCGACTACCGCGACAAGCGTCAATTGCGCGCGTGGGAACACCCCGTGTCTGCCAGCATTTTCCACCACGAGTTCCGTCCTACGCCCTGGACCTCTGGCATCCCTAGTCCTGCATCCTCCTCGTTCGTCGACTCGGTGTACAACGTCGAGGATCTGTATAAGCAGCCGCGACGGCCTGAGAAAGCTAAGCGGCGGTTACTACCCTGGGAACCTCCCCGCACGGGCGAGGACGAGATTAATGAGAAAGCAGGGTTTGAGGAGGACGAGTACTCTGTCGCTTCGACCTCGTCGTCGGGGTCGGATGAGAGCCAGAGACCGTCGTTGAGAAGTCTGGTGTCTGTGTATGAGATCCAGCCGTCGTCCAGTCATGCGACTAATCTCGCTGCTACCAACACCTCCCGCCACTCGGTCTCGGTCATGCAGCAGAGCAACTCGCCACGTCTCCAGTCCTCATTCAGCACACACAGACGCGCAGCACCACCTCCACCCCCCTCTTCACGCGCCACTCCGCCTACATGCCCCCTCCCCCGCCACGTCCCGCCGCCGCCGCAGACAGCCCAGGCCGAAGCGGCAGTCCCGCGAGCGCGGGGTATAACGTTGATTGGCGGCGGACGATAATCGGGGTGCCGTCGCCGGTGACGCCGCGGTTTACGCCGAGCGAGAGACAGGCGAGGTGGTTGGATAGTCAGCGGCGGTTCTTTGGGATGGAGGATGGGGAGGGTGGGTTTGGGGGGGAGAGTAAGACGTGGCTGTGATTGATGAAAGATAAAGAGAAAAGAAAAGATATAAGAGTGTACGATATGTGGTTGTAGTGTTTATTTTTGTTTTTTTACCATTTGTTAGAAGTTTATTTGACGATGTTATTTTCTTTCTTTCTTTACAATATCCGTTTGACATTTGATTTTTCTGCTAGAGTTAGTATACCCTATAATCCAATTCCTTTTTATTTCCAAATCCGAGAAATATCAGAGATTAAGCAAGTTAACTCGATGCTGTAGATGTAGGTTTCTTGACTTGAAATATATGAATTTGTGTGGCTTTGTGTAATTTGCTCGTTCTCTGATACGAATGGAAATTACCAATTAGGGTAAGAAAGCGATAGCTGACATTTTCTGCACTCTACAGTTTACATCGTTTATACCGACGAGTGATTGATTATGCATACTCCAGGCTTTTAAAATTACGTATTTTGTATTTCTCTAGTTGAATAGTGTGAGATGGGAGGATAGATAGATAAGAGAGGGGGAGGAAGTTGTGGTGTATGAGTGTAGATCTGTAGATCTTCTGCTTGACTTTTTGAGTGTCTTCGCTGATTTTTCCCTTTCTACCTTTTTTTCCTCCTGTTTTCTTCTTTTTTAACTGACGATAGCGAAGGGGTAGTATAATTTCTGGCTGGATTGTAGCTGGATATTGTATCAACTCAACTTTTATCTGTAAACTACTGCTACCTCGACATGCTGAGAATTGGAATTATTCAAAATTACTAAAGATTTTTGATTCTTGCTAATAGCCGATCTCGATGACTTGGAAACAGTGGAGTTGATAGATGATGCGATTTTACTTCTTTGCAGTGGTGCTCACTACTTGTGTTTGTGATGATGAATAATCTGGATGTAAGAGCATGAGTAGGAGTAGGAGTGAGAGAAAGAGTAGGTAGGAGCATGAATAATGGTTATATTCGAAAAGAACAGATATCTATCTGTACGCACTGTATTAAAAATAGAAAATAGAAAACATAGAGGAATATGTACAAAGAAGGGGGAGTTATAACAAAAAGCGCTTTGCTTGTAATCAATCAAAGTCAGTCTAAAGCCGTCACATTATATCTGACTCGAGTCGTGTACTGTATTTGCAGGGAGGAGCAGAGTTACTTGCTGATATCAGACGGCTGATGCGAAAGCGCCTTCTTCCAGCTTTCTTCCTCGTAGATATGCTTGTGCGCGGTATCTTTTTTCTCCGCAGGGCTTTCGAGCATCGAGAGACCTGCCGAGCCGACGATTAGGAGGAGTGTGAAGCCTTGTGCGTACATTCTGCTTCTGTTAGTAAGAGGTATTAAGAGAGAGAGGGGGAGAGGGAGGGAGGGTACCTTGCTTGGACGACTTTCTGGGTGGTGGTCATGATTTTGTCGCGGGAGACGGCGTAGCCTGCGGCACCGAGAGAGCCAAGCCAGACGGCGAGGAAAGCTATTGGCAAGTCAGCATGGACTACAGAAACAAGTCAAGAAACGAGGAAATACACACCCTTGAATCTGTTTTCGTTCAAGTACGTCAAAGCCTTATCAGTAACCGTCGGCGGCAACTCGACCTTCTCCCTCTCATCAAGCGAGATTCCTTCTTTCTTATCCTTCCCGTCAAGCATATCATTGATCTTCAACGAAATCATGCGCTCGTACTTGAGCGAGTAGATCTCGGTCGTAGTTACGAACCCCATCATGAACGAGCCGAGCATCATGAACGAGCGCGCGGAGGCGTTGCGCTGCGCGGCAGCAGGGAAGCGCGTGACGAGGTACTTGTTGATCGCGATTCCGACCGAGCCGGTCGCGATGCCGGCGGGGAGGGCGCGCTTGAGGACGTAGGGCCAGAGGCCGTCTTTGGACTTTTCGATCTCTTCGATGGTAGACATTGTGTGTGGAGTAGATGAAGGAGGGAGTGGGGAGGAGGAGAGGAGGAGGATGACGAGGTTGAAGAAGAGAATTGTGGACGAGAAGAGAGGCAGCCAGCCAATAGCACAGCCATCCGCCACCGCCACCGGCATCGCCACACCGGGAGTAGCCGGGATGTCTGCCTTCCTTTTATCTCTCTTCTATATTCATTAACAAACCAAGTTCTGATTAATCTCATCAGAAGCTACTCTAATTGTTTCTATATATTCCATGTTTAATTGAATAGAAGAGAAAGATAGGAGAGAAGAGTGAGTATGAATCCACCAGCCACGCGTGGCGCGCACCGCCAAAAAGCACCTGATTTCTACATCGCATCGCTATCGGAGAAGCGATTATTGCTCATTTCTTGTTCAATTCTGCTCAATTCTTGATTTAATCCCTATTCTACATTCAAAGAAACAGACAGACATTACACACACGATAATGAACAAATTACTTTAGTACAAGGAAGAGAAAAACAAAGCGAGGCTAGAAATCAATTGCGCAACGACGTCATTGTTTAAAACCCGGAACTGAGTTTAAAGTTTAAAAGTTTTTTGATATTTTCTCGTTCTCTCTTCTCTACTTACATCTACTTCTATCTACTTACATCTACTTATACACCTATATACACTCAATACACTCTTTACTAACAACAATCTACTAACAACTCATTCACAATAGGCAGCACACTTGTCAAATTCCACTCTGGTTAACCAACCATATCCTCAGTGAGCCGATGTTCGTGCTGATATCAACACATCCCCATCCTCACTTCTCCTCTCTTTTACAGATTTGGATCGAGGTGTCGTGTGGGCGGAGTAATCTCAGTGCCTTGCGTGGTCTCTTGCTAAAGCGAGATGACGTGGCCGGTATACTTCTACATTCTACATTCTACGTTCTCTAGTTTAGCATCATCATCAATCAATCTTTTTCACTGCATACATTACTACAAACACACATGTAGGAGCCAGAGTAGTGTTGGAAAACTACAAAACAAGTCTATCCAACTGAACTGTAGGCCCCGTCTCCTTCTTCAAGGAGGGTTTGATTTTCCGAATTTGTATAATCTGATCAGACACCATGTTTCAAAACAAGTCTGCAGATGAAGTTGCTTCGGTAGTTTGTTGGCGGTCAATCAATCAAATGATCGACTCTGCTCAACCGTAAAGATAAAAGAAGAAAAAGGAAGGAAAAAAAAGAAAGAAGAAAGGGGAAACAAGGAAAGAAGAATCATGTAGTTGGATATACAATATATACAGATCACACCAGAGCCCAACCTCTGTTAATGGTCGTGCCCAACCCCCTCAACCACGGCTGCAACTCATTCTTCGACGCCAACAAAATCACTCGTCCCTTATTCCCCATCCGTCCCGTGCGTCCCGCGCGGTGGATGAGATCGATCGACGAGAACGGGATATCGTACAAGATCACGGTCCGGACGTCCTTCATGTCGATTCCGCGCGAGAAAATATCCGTCGTCACAAGCACCCGCATCGCATTCATCTTCCCCTTCTCCAGATCCGCTCCCGTCTCCGTCTTGACCGACGGCGACGACGACCTGAACTCGCGCATGATCCGCGACCGCTCGTCGATCGTGTTGTCTCGCGTCAATCCTTCGGCGGTGATTCCCCATCCGTTGAGGTATCCCACCAACCAAGAGACGCTCTCGCGCTGGTTCATAAACACAACAACGCGTTTGATCTTACTGCCCTCGCTCTCGTGCTTGTCGACGTTATACAGCGTCTGCAGCAGCGCCTTGCGCTTGTCGTTGTAAAACGGCTCCTCGGACGTGTCCACCGTCGAAAACGTGATATTCTGCGGAATCTGGTGCAGATGCGGCGCCACAATCCGCTCAATGTTCGGGAACTTCCTGCGCAGCGTGCGGTCAAACGACTTTGGAATCGTCGCCGAGCAAAAGACAGCTTTCTCGAGCCGCGGCGGGGCGTTGATGATCTTCATCGTCTGCTCCTTGAACGACCGGTCCATCAAGCTGTCGGCTTCGTCGATAAAGATCTTCCGGCAGTTTTCAAGAAGGTCACCGCTATTCGGTAGTTCCATCAACCTAATCAGCGGTATCGGCGTCGTCACAAGAATATCAATCTGCTTGCCCCGAATGTTATTCGCCGTCTCGCGCGACGTTTCCTTCGACAGACCCGCAGACGACAACTTGATTTCATGCGAAAGCTCCTTGACCACCGTCAACACCTGTTTCACCAGCTCCGCAGTCGGCAACAAAATCACCGACCGGATGTACGGCTTCGAGTCAATCCCCCAGATCTGATGCGCGTTCGTCGTCTCTTCCTCCTTCAGCATCGACATCAGCGGCATCAGATACGCAAGCGTCTTGCCCGACCCGGTCTCGGCCGCAATCAAATACGTCTTCAACTCGGGCTTCGTTTTCGCGAGATTCCTCCGCAACGCCTTGCGGCGGTAGTAATCCTCATCGCTCTCGAACCCCTCAAGCGACGGATAAGGCAACAACCCTTCCTGCATCTTCCGCACCTCCGGCAGCGGCCGTCTCATCAATCTGAAAATCGCAAGCGCCTGCACCGGCGTCGGCGACGGCTTGTGCACATTGTTCAGCACACGCTTAAACACCGCCGACCGCACCGACGGCAAAATTCGCAACGACTTGAAATTGCCCAACCGCGCGACCGTCTCATTCAGCGGCAATCTCTCCTCCAACGGCATCCTATACAGCACACCGAACTGTGCCGCGTTAGGCGGTCCGACATCGGCCGGCGTGGTCTCGTGGTTTACGTAGAACTGCTTCTCGCGCCGTTTCTGATCGATAAAATTCTCGTCCGTCCACCGCGAGAGCTGCTTGCGAGACGGCGGTAGCGGTCGCCTGGGAAAGATTGGCTGCCACGTTTTCTTCCCTCTCGGTCCTAACAGCACACCGTTCTTGTATCTTGGTTTATCTCTCTTCTTGATTTTCGAGGGGTCGCTTAGCACGCTCTTGCCTCTCCCGCCCTTCTTTTGCTTCCCCGGCTTGTATTTCATGCCCTTGTGAACCGGGCGGCCGTTTCTCTTCATCTTGGCCTCTCGTCTCTCGCCCTTGGACTTGGTGCGGTTGCTTCCGCCGGCATACCGAACCAGTGGCAACTGCAGCTGCAGCTGGTGCTGTGTCTGCTGCGTTCTGCAGATCAGAGGAGCACTCACACGCCGTCTCAGCAACGATGCTACTGCTGCAGACAAGGGTCCTCGTAGGAAGGCCATCTGTGCTTTGGATTGTAGGATGACTGAAAGATTCTCTGAGAGAGACGATGGAGGAGATAAATTCTCTGCTGGGAGGAAAATAAAAAACTCAAAAGACAAACCCCAACCCTCAAGGACTGGACTCAACAGCTTTTTCCAATATCAAAGAAAGCTCATCAGAACCGGTAGTTTACAAAACCGATCGAGAAAAGAGCGCGAACGATGCCTCCCAAAAAGACAAATCAAAAGGCGTCGCTGCAGGACCTGCTCGCGAACCTGACTGTGCATGTGACGAACGAGGAGCACGATTCGGTCGTCGCGGTCGCAGACAAAGTGCTTGCGCAGAACCCGAGCGATAGCAAAGCGCGCAAGGCCAAGATAATCGCGCTGGTCAAGGTCGATCGGTACGCGGAGGCGCTTGCTGAGCTTGAAAAGAGTCCGGAGGAGAAAGGGTTGGAGCTCGAGAAGGCGTATTCGCTGTATCGGCTGGGAAAGTTGGAGGACGCGAACGCGGCGATTGACAAGGCTGTTGCTGGCGAGGTTGGCGGTGCTGCGCTGCGGGGATTGAAGCATTTGAAGGCTCAGATTGTATGTTTTGTGGTTTATGAATGTGGGGTGGGGATTGCTTGCTGACTTTGGGGTAGGCGTATCGACAGGACAAGTTTGCAGAGGCAAAGGCGATTTACGATGACCTCAGCAGCGGTCCGTACATGGTATGTCTCCAATTCACTCTGTGTAATTTGTTTCTGTACCTAACTTATTTGCTAGGTTGGAGGAGAAGACCACGACGTGCTGGTGAACTCGCTCGCGATCCAAACCCAGCAGCGATGGTGGAACGAGGACGTCGAGCCCACGCCGGCGATGTCTGCGAGCTCACACGAGCATGCGTATAACCTTGCGACGCTCAAGATCAGCGAGCAGAAATACGATGAGGCTTTGAAGCTTCTTGCTCAAGCGAAAGGTGTGTATAAACGCAATTGTTTAGAGAGTAAGAGAGTGCGGTGGCTAACTGTTGAGGAAATAGAAATGGCGCAAAGCGTGGATGGTCTGTCTGAGTCTGAACTTCAAGATGAGCTGTATCCGATCCTAATCCAAGCCGCGTACGTGCACATCCTGCAAGGCGACTCCACCGCCGCCTCCGAGATCCTTTCCGGTCTCGAAATCACGAGCGCGACCGAACCTCTCGTCCGCGACCTCGTGATCCAAAACTCGCTCGCCCTCGGCACCGACGCGACATACAACCTCTCGAACCCGCACGTCACGCTCCGGCAGCTAGACTCCGTGCAGCAGACCGCAGCCTCAAAGTCCGCGTACATCAAGTTCCAGCGCAAGCTGATCTCGCAAAACCGACTCAGCGTCGAGTATCTCGCGGGCAAAGAGTCCGCCGTCAAACGCGGCATCAAGCGGCATCTCGAAGAGTTCCCCGAAGACGAAGGCGTGCGCATGCTTACTTTCCAACCCGCGCTTCTCGACCCGTTCGCCACGGGCGGCAAGTACTCGTCCAAGAACGTGCTCGGCCGCGCGCTGAAGCGGTTCGCGAAGGATAAGTCCAACGTGGCGCTGGGGATCGCGATCGTGCAGTTGCTGCTCGAGCAGAAGAAGATCGATCATGCGGCAGAGATTCTGGAGCAGATGCAGAAGAGCGGAGTGCCGCGGTACCCTGGGCTTGTTGCGGTTGAGCACGAGGTTTTTGAGTTGCAGGGACGGAGGGCGAAGAGTGTTGTTGTTGTATGAGTGTATATTAGTCTGTTGTAGATAATAGATCCTTCACCCATTTACTAGACCTTTTACTGGTCATACTATTTGCTTAAAATCAATAATACCGTATTTATAGAAAGCTAATGTACATTCAAACTCAAAGAAAATAAAAAGAAATAATCCATAAATGAGACCGACTTTTGATTCCTACGCTGGAATAAAGAGAGATGTGAACCATGACATGACTGAAAGATAACAAGTCCTGCTCATTTGAGGGACCTGGTTTTAAAAAATTGATTATGTGAAGAGGGTGTCTTCCTCGCGCAGGTACTCGCCAATATCGCCCTGTCGAAAGACGACGATTCCGGTGGGATCTAACCTCCGCGCTTCGGTTGTTGATTTGGCGGTGACTCCGAATCCCTAAATATTCTCTGTTAATAACTCGCTCTTCAACATATACCAAAAGCAGTGCCGTACCAAGGGAATATCATTCATCGCAAACACAACAACGCCAGTATGTTCCGGGATATCATCGCTCATCTTGCCGACGTGCGCCTTGAGCACGTTGTTCCCGTACAGATACGACATCTCTCCGTTCGGCTTGATCCACACCTTGAACCGCGCGTATTGTGCGAGGATGTCCACCGCCGTGACGTGCAGCCGGAACTTGCCCGTCTTTGTGAATTTGCCGAGACACACGCCGAGCGACATCAGCTCTGGTCTGCCTACCGAGGTCGCGAAGCGCATGACCTTCTCACTGTGTACAGTAGATTCTGGTTAGTGTGTTTGCTTGTTCGCAGTGAGAATATTGTAAACTGCTATACATACCTCATATAGTAAACCCGATCTTTCTGCAACCGAAACACATGCGGGTCATCAGGCCGATCAATCAGATGCGTGATATTCCGCCCGATATAATTCGCCAGCTTCTCAAACACCGTCTTTGTCTCGTCTTCTGTCAACGGTCTCATCTTGTTCTGCTATAATTCGATTACTTTCCTGATATCAGGAAGAATCAAAGTCAGATTGGGAGAAAAGAAAGAAAAATTTCCTTCATCGTGCGGCTCGCCTTCGGATAGAGTTTCCAGGCAAGTTTTTGCTGTGGAAGAAAGAAAACTTCACGAAAATATTTCACTGTTGCTTCTCATCATATTCAAGAGTCAATTAGATTCTTATTCATTAAATAGAAGGGATATTACTTGCAAATGGAAAGCGAGGCTGCATCAACTACGGCACAGCAGCAGAATACCGAAAATGCAACAAAACCTCCGTCAGAGGTCTCTGCTCAGACTTCTTCACTCGCCCCTGCTACAGCAGCAGACTCAGCACCCGCGGCAGACGCAAACGAGACAGTTCAAGTCGACAGCCGATCAACTTCCAACCGAGGTGGGAAAAAAGGCGGAAAACGTGCCCGCGACGGGCAACAATCAAAAAAGTGAGTTTCTGCTTTTCTTGTTTGTGTTTTCTTGCGAGAACCACTCGCGCAAAGATGAGGAAATATTAACCCTGAAATCGTTGCTAACAGTATCGCAATCACGGTTTAGCCCTGACATGAGACCTAAACGTGGCCGTACAGATTGGGGTCCGCGTACCAAGCGCGAGGGAGAGGGAGAAGGCAACAAAGAACCGCGAAGACCGAAGCGTAAGGCGGCGTGCTTGATCGGGTATTGTGGTACCGGATACCATGGCATGCAATTGTGAGTATCTGTTGCTGTTGCTGTTGCTTATAGAACGTGTATGCTGATTGCTTTGTTGGTAGGAATCCTCCGCAGAAGACTATCGAGGGTGATTTGTTTGATGCGCTTGTGAAGGCGGGAGCGATTTCCAAGGACAACTCGGATGATCCCAAGAAGGTGAGCTCTACAACTATGGCTGTCGAGAATAAGTCCATATATGCTAACGATACCAGGTGGGCTTCATGCGTGCCGCGCGCACCGACAAAGGAGTGCACGCAGCCGGCAACGTGATCTCCGCAAAGCTAATCATCGAAGACGAAGACATCGTCGAGAAAATCAACTCGCACCTACCCGAGCAGATCCGCGTCTGGGGCATCACCCGCACGACCAATGGCTTTGACTGCCACAAGCACTGCGGGTCGCGCATCTACGAGTACCTGATCCCCTCGTTCTCGTTCCTGCCTCCGCGGCCGACGTCGCTGTTCGGCAAGCGCATCAAGGAGATGGAAGAAAAGTACCCCGGCGGCCGCCGCAAAGACCCCGAAGGCGAAGCGTTCTGGGCGCGTGTGTCTGCGAAACTCGCCGAGGCCGGCATCACGCAGGAACACGTGCTCGAGGACTACGCGCGCATGCTGCGGCAGACTGCGAACATCCCGCGCGAGAGCGGCGACAAACGCACCGACCGCGGGTCCGACGACGAGCTGGACGCGCAGCCGCTGACGGAGGAGCAGATGGAGATCTTCAACCGGATCCGCGCGATCGAAGACCGCGAGCGGCGCGCGTTCCGGATTTCTTTGGACCGGCTCGAGCTCGTGCGCAAGGCGGTCAAGGTCTACGAGGGATCGCATAACTTCCACAATTTCACGCTCAAGAAGGAGTACACGGACCCGAGCGCGCGGCGGTACATGAAGAACTTGTCGGTCAGCAGGCCGCATCTGATCGAGGGCACCGAGTGGATCTCGATCAAGATCCATGGACAGTCGTTCATGCTGCACCAGATCCGCAAGATGGTCTGCATGGCTGCCCAGGCCGTCCGCGCGGGCACGCCGATCAGTCGTATCAAGGAATCGTTTTATAAGCAGAAGCTGAATATCCCGAAAGCCCCCGCGCTAGGCCTCTTGCTCGAGCGGCCGATGTACGACGGCATCAACGAGCGGCTGCAATCGTACGGACGCGGCGAGCTCACGTTCGACCCGTACAACGAGCAGATCGAGGCGTTCAAGCAGAAATACATCTACGACAAGATCTACGCGGTCGAGCTGAGAGAAAACACGTTCTACTCGTTCTTCAACTTTATCGACTCGTTCAAGGGCGGTCACGCGATGGATTTCTTCACCGCAAAGGGAGAAGAGGACGACACGGCGGAGTCTGAGGTGTTTCTTGATGAGGAGGATAAAGAGGAGTTGTTGTCCGGAGACGAGGCGGATCGCGAGGGTTGAGCGCTGCGAATGTACTTTTATAGATGATGTATTTGACGCATTAGAATACAGATGTAATAAAACCCGTGTACGCGGCGATGAAAAGCACTGTATAGACATATAAGATAAGAAATGAAGAGCGTCGCTCTCTCAAATAGAACTAAGTGATGCAAATATCCACAGAAACATAAAAGGAAAGAACAATGAAATTCAACAAAAAAAAACCGAAGACCCAAGAGAGTAAATATATATATAGATATTGTAAGAAAGCCGACTACTTGTAAAGCGTTAGATTGAGACTTTAGTGCTGCTGCTGCTTCCGCTGCTACTGCTCGAATCCGCAGCCTGCTGCGCCGGAACATGATCCTCCATCTCCTCCTCGATCAGCTCCTCGCCAGAGACGCTCAGGCCTGAATCCTGAGGCAGCTCGACCGCGTCCCAATTCTGACGCCCGTAGTAGAGGTTGTGGAAAAAGAGCTTGCCCTCGCCGTATATGATCCACTGGCAAAAGATAGTAAAGTCAAAGCCGACGGTGCCGGCCGAGCCGATCAGGTACGGCAGTTCCTCCCACAAGAAATCCGAGCGCTCGGCGCCGTCCATGGTCGCGGCGCTGGTGAGGATCGAGAGGGAGTAAAACAGGTTCCCGCAGAACGCGGCGATGAAGAGCAGGATCGACAGGCCGCTGGTGGACTGGCGGACAAAGTTTGTGTAGATCTGCGGCATGCGCGAGGAGAGGTACAGGGTCGTGCACGCCCAGGCAAATACGCGGCCGACAAACTCGCGGCTGTTGAGCTTGAACCAGCGGCGGAGACCGTTGAAGCCAGACAGGATTGTGATTGCCGAGTCCGGCGAGGAGGAGGACGCGGCGATGGAGGGGATACTGTATTGATAGGCATCGTCGTATTCAGGCACGATAGGCGGGACCAGCATCGCGCCCGCGATAGCGACGACGGCGGAGAGAGCGAGCATGATTGCGCGGCGGTTGCTGCGCGAGCTCTTGACTGTATGGGAGGAGTGCGTCGAGATGGACGACGAGCGGTCGGAGGAGATGGACGACGCGCGGCTGCCGCCTTCGGAGGGGGAGAGGAGGACGTAGTAGTTTTGCGACTTGATTTTGGTGTAGTAGACAAATTGGCTGCAGAGAATGACGTCGATCGAGAGGTAGTATCCGGCCAGCAGGGTTTGGAATGGCAGCTGCGTAGTCTGTTAGCAAAGTACTTTAAAACATCGAGTAGTTGCGCAGTGCATACTTGGTTGGTTAAAAGACAGCCGATCAGATTGGTCGCGTCGCCCAACAGCCAGTTAAACAGAAACAGCCAGCTAAGCCCCTCAACCGAGTGATTTCTATAATTCTTAATCACCTGAGGCAACTGCGCCCAAAGCCACGCAAACAGCGACATATATCCTACATCGCGCCAAAGTTAGCTCTGCACCATGCAATGAGAAAAGCAACGAGAGCGAGCATGGGCATACCAAAGACAAAGGAAAGCTCGCCCATGGTACCGTAGATACACGAGCCGGAAACATGTGCGATCCAGGGAATAAGACGTTCGCCGTTATCGGCCAGGACCGGACATCCACGGATAACGTCGTCCATATTGTTGAGTATTTGCGCGCTTGAGAAACGTCTATGTCGAGCGGGATGTATTCTTGCACGAAGTGACTATGCATATAAAAAAAAGCCCAACGCAGAAGAATGAAGATAAAAAGAAAAAAGAAGAGGAAGTGGAGTTGAGCGCGAAGTAGACTCGAGTTACTGTGATCGCATCAGTTTATATCTCTTGATTACAACTCGAGATATCAAGAATAAGAAACCTCAGTCTTCGCAAACTAAAATCTTCTTTCACAAAACTCCAAAACCAGCTATACTTCTCTCTAACCTTCCTTCGCTTATCTGTTTTCTTTCTTGCTCTCTGCGCTCTGCAAGCTCTGACGGTGATGGAGATGGCGTTGGTGCACTATTTCTTTCGCCACGCTTTGTCGATGTGAGCTTTCTGCTTTTAAAGTTATGGGTTAGGTGTTCTGTATTTAGCTATCCGGCTTTGGAGATCGTTGCAGGGAGGCCGCTTGTCGCGGTTCTGGTTTAGATATATTGTGAATGAATATGTTTATTCTATAAAAGGGAGAAGAGATGTGGTAAGGAGAAGCATACATAGCGTCAGTGTCGTGGCGATACGCAGTCTGCGAAAATCCATCCAACACAATCATCTCCACCCGCCCAAACACACACACCCCATCCCGTCCTCTCTATACAGAAGCAGAGACTAGCGCATCCAGCGACGTCTAAAATCTGTTATCAGTAACTCACGTCCCTGCCAGATCGCCGACGTCCCAAGCACTGTAAAAACCAAATCCGTAGATGACTTTGTTATCTCGGCTTTGCTGTACTGTACAGCAAAGTAAGCCGCATCAGTCGCGGCTGTAGTCTGGACTCTTTGCTGGATGAGTGCGTGCTGGTTGACGCAGCTGCAGGTTGAGGATACTGCTGGTGGAGATACGGCAACGCGGACGCTGAGCTTTCGCAGGGATGTAGGAAAAGTGGTTGTTTTTGAGCTGGTATGTTGAGGTAGTGGGGATGAGTGGGCATCGGTATTTCAGAAGGCGAGGGGTGGAATACTCGCGTCAGCCTTCTGTATTTGACAGCACGCTTCTATTCCCCAACAGCTCTTCCTCCAACTCGCCAGATCCAAAAAAGACAGTAGATGTAATGAAGTTTCATGGAGGTATAGGTAGAGTCACAAGATATAGCTCAAGGGTTGCCTCTTTCCCAGCTGATCCGAGTACGAAGAAGTCGCTTTGTCTCTGCGCTGTTAACAATCGGGCAGCGAGTGATACACGTATCCACCGAGTGGCAGATACAATATCGCACGTACTTCGCGTGATTGTAGTAGAATCTAGCTGGAGAGCTCAGTTGACCTTTCAGTGATTGGAAGGGTGCTAGTCACTCTTTATAGTTGTGAGTGATAGCGAGCAGAAGTGTACGCTGGATCAGTTCATATACTCTGAAGGATGTACTGTACAAAAACACCGAAACGATTGCTGGAAAAGTTTCCATAGATTGCAGCGTGGGTGAGTAGTGTCTGTAATCGAGAGAAAGATGCCTAATGCAGCTTGAATCAGTCAGCCCACCGAATCAAATCAGAATCACCAGCGCACATGCACAATCCTGCTCTCTTGTCAAACAATATTCTTCCCAGCCAAAAAAAAAAAAATAAAACCGCAGGAGAAAACGTGGTGTGAAGCTCGAGGACTGAAGCAGCAAACTCGGGGCAAGACAAAGCACGCCCACATCGCTCTTTCGCGAAACGGCGCATCTCGGCACCGCACAAGCGTACTCTGCTCATCTCGACGCGGAGCTAAACCGAGAACCGCAAAGAAAAGACGGGTCAATAGAGCAGAGCGACATTGAGTCGTAAGCTTATCCCTGAGCCGGTATAAGTAAGAGAAAGAGTAGGAAATGAAAGGGGGAAAAAACGCAGAAAGGTGGTGGAGGAGTGCAAACGGTGGCCCACTTTTTGGTGTGGTACGTGCGGCGAGCGACGAACTTACGCAGCGGTCGCGGGTGAGATCGAGTTATCTGCAGGCTGATTTGGTAGAGTGGTGAGGAGGAGAGAGAGGGAGGCTTGAGTGAGAGGAAGAGGAGGGGACGGAGTAGTTGAGAGTCGGCGAAGAGAGAGGGCGAAAAATGGATGCGGAAGAGTGAGGGTTTCGACATGCAGGGTGAACTTACTTGACTGAGTTTGATGAGTCCTTTTCTGCAGTGGTATAGGATGAGATCAGATTGAAAGATAGAAAAGAAGACGTTGTGAAATCAATGATGAAAGTGATTTGTGCTTTGGACATATGAGAACCGCTTATCATCGGACAGTATCCGCAAGCAGTCCTCGCAGCCGTACACGCGTTTGTCCCCAACGAAACCACAAAACACAATCTGAAAGTTTGACGATGCAGCGCCTGGAACGTGAAGCACGGACAAGGCAATGCATTTGAATACGAGTGCGTATCTTGACAAAATTCTGAAGGTGAACGGAGAGATTACGACAAGCTGAGTAGAGGTATTGGTTCTGTTACGGCGTTGGGGTTTCCACGAGACCGAGTAAAGTGATTTTCATGACTGTTTGTTTGCTAGTTGCTTTTGAGTTTGTCGATTTGCATGAATCCAGACTCTGCAGTCGCAATCCTATTTAAGTTCTCCGAACTCGACGATATCTCTTCACCGATAGGATAAGGACCAGAACAAGCTTTCGCGAGAACACGAACGCCAAACGACCGATTTGCCAGACTTGTCAGTAGTCCTTGTAATTCCTCACCGACAAGAACTAGAAAACAAGAGCTGACAAGGAGAGTACATCACAGGTAGGAAAGACAGCGGGTGCTTGAAGTTGGGGTTCGTTGCGAGGGTTGGGAAGAATGTATGAATACGATTCGAGCGGTGGTAATATAAGCGAGGATAGTGTGGATGCGGATATGACGCTGTTCGCGGGGTGTACTAGCACTATAGTAGTTCATTATAAACAGTTACCGACGTTTTCGATATAAATCCTGTAATGAAAGTAGTTTAAATAGTTTTATTCTGCAATACCACTTACTCAAGGCGTCTTTCGTCATCATAAAGCGAGCAAAGTGAATGATTCGAACTATTCTCTAATCGGCTAGCCTGCAATCCAAATCGAAGCCTTTGTCTGCCCACTAGAACCTTTCCTCTTCCCACTCTTTTCTTGCTATATCATCCATCTCCGCCGTATAATCCCCTTCCTATCCTCTACCTCTGCTTCTCAAGGCACATTACTACCCGCACTCTCTCCCTGACCTGATAGTGACAGGCCAAGCCGTAACGGTGACGAATAGACAGATAACAGTGGCCGGATTCTAAATATACCCTAACCTCCCACTCTATCCAATCCTCTCGATGTCTGCTCATGATACAGTGTGAGACCGACAGTTTGCGCACCGGATATCGCATAAACTGCTCGTGATAACATGTCTGAGCAAGACGTCAGCAAGATTCGTCTGGTTTCAAGTTGAAAGCAAGGAAAAGACGGGGCCGAGAGCAAGGTTTTGATGACGTCGTTGAGGCAAAAGCGACAGCTCAGCTTAACTTAGCGAAGCTTCCATTTAGCTGCTCCCTGTCAACGCTCTGTCTGTTTCATTGTTTCTATGCGATTGCAATGCCTTTGAGATTGAGATTGCCATTCATTGCCATTGCAGACTGATATAGTCCAGTCAGTACAGCACAGCACAGCAGTCCATCCATCAGACAATGAACTCCGCAGACGGCGCAAATTGAGTTGACATGACCACTCAGCGCACCTCAGCTGAACCTTCTACAACAATGCTATCTCGAGACAATCATCCACCTTCCTCTGCGCTTTTCACCTCTTTCTCAATCGTTGCTGCTCATCGAGTTCGATTATATTTGCTTGTTGTATTTGTGTTTGTGTTTTATTGTATTTGTGGTGTATAACTGTCCCTCCCTTTGCTCTCCGCCCTCTGCTCTCCTCTTTGCTCATGCTCATCAAACAGCACCAACTTCCTCAACACTCCTCATCCCTCCTCACCTCTCCACCCCCTCCCACCATCCCCCCAATCCACCCAAAACCCCCATCAAGGTTTAATACCCCACCCAATATCTCCCCTTCAGCAACATATTTCGAATCCCTCCCGTCGCCGTTTTTCTTCCACGGACCACTCGAACGTTTTTTACTCGTCTACCGAGGGTGTAACGGCCGCAGGCGAGATGAGATGAGATTTGTGCGAGTGATCGAGAGAGGGTTGGGAGGGATGAAGTGGTGGAGGGTCGGTGAGTACTTGATGTCGATCGATGCAAAGTAACGTCTTTTCTCTTCTTTTCGTCTGAATCCTACTCATTAACAAGACTCACACAGCTGCACTCCAAGCTCACAACTTCAAGCTCACAGCTTCAACTCTCGCATACTTTTTATACTACTCACATGCTCTAGACCGATTAAAGCTTCTCCTCCACGTGCGTTCATCAGCTCTCGATCGAAAGTCAATCCTACCCAGCCTATCGATCGCGTGCGCGTGGAGGGGTCTGTTATCCAGGGGTTTATCAGCAGTAACTTATATCGAGTTCTTTGCAATCCACGTGGGTAGTATCGAGATCCCACGCATGTTTTGTTTGTTTCTCGTGTAGCTTAGCTTATAATTGAACTAAAAAGTGCTATGGGAAAGACGATCTCATGCAGCTCAGATCGCGAATGGAAATACGCAAATATCTCAACGAGCACCAGAGTCTCACGAGCTTGCGTATTCCCCATGCACTACCGTTTCATCTTATTCTTTTTTTTCTTCTTTTGATATTATTTTTTCATAGTCTATGTTTCCTAGGTATATTCCGCGCAGTACACGTCAAGTAGCGATACAAAGTCCGATCTGGATTGAGGTGCATGCAGGGGCGGGAGGATAGATCGATGGCGGGGGGTATTCGCCGATGTCGATCGATTTAGTCGCGAAGTTGTTTTTGCGTATGTAGATACGAGGTGGGGAGCCGCTTTGTTGATGAAGCTTGATCTTTGGTGACTGCGGAATGCTCTGTGTCTGATGATGATGATGATGAAGGATGGCTAGACGTCTACGTGCTGAAGCGGTGCTGATTAGATTGATTGATTGATTGAAGAGTACCCTACACAAGCAAAGGGATGCTCAAACGCAACGAAAAATAAACAGATAATATAAAAGACTTTTAAATCATCATTTCATTAATCTATCTTTATTTATTTTTTCTACCAACAAAGAAATATAAAAAAGAATAAAAAAAAGTATGATTTCGCCATCGTGATTGCGGATTAGTGGTTCGTCACAGTGCGCGGGCGGTGGTGATTCCCGGTCCGGCTGAGTCTCTGCGAGTACGTGCGACTACGAGCACAGTATACACAGTAGAAGTAAAGAAAAACGGAGGAGATGATTGTATTCTTTGATCTACATTTATCTAGGAGAGAGAGAGATCACAGACAAGACGGCGCATATCTGCATATCTCCCGCTAATCGGCTGCCGAGCCAGTAACTAGTAACCAGCAACTATGCAGAAACAGGCAAAGTCCGCAACAAAGTTCTCAACAGGCTGGACGGGGGGGGGGGGGGGGGGGGGGCGTACCGTACGCTTCTCGGCTAGAGCCAAAGGCTGTTCAACGGTCGGGAAGGCAGGCAGGCTAGAGAGAAGGCCGCGAGGGAAATGAAGGGATAGGAAGGGGGGTTGGGAGGGGGGGGGGGCGAGGCTAGGTGATGTTAGTGTTTTAGTAGGCTAGATGCGGTGATAGCGGGAGCAGGATTGCAGGTGCTGTGTCTTGCTGCTTAGCAATTGATACCAGATTTGCCAACGCTTTTTAAGAGAGAGATATTGCAATACAGACACAGAGAATTCATATACTGTACACTAATAGCAACTACTCACCGCAATCAACAGCAGACGAATCCGGACCAGAGCTCTCATCCAGTAAACCAGAAAACCCTAAAGCCGTACCTACATCCCCCCAAACACTGACCCGAGTCAGAGCGAAGCACTTCGTTGTGTCATTCTCTCGCACCCTTCGATTCCTGCCGGCTGGCACACCAGAGTCGAGCGACGGCGAGACAAAGAGGTGCGCTGCGCAGGTGCTCTCGAAGCTAAAAGCCGAAGATATGTCGCTCGTCACACATCCCGAGAAGAGGAACCGTGCCGAGCGACGGCGGCGTGTTGGTTTGAGTTTCTTCTCTTTCTGACTTTGGGTTTTGTCTGAGCTTGCACGTCTTCTGGCTCTGCTGCTGCTGGGGAGCAGCCTGCTTAGATCGTCACACGGGGTTTGGTGGTGGGGATGGAGTGTGGTTAGAGAGTCCGCACAGAGATCAATTGCAGCTGCTGATGATCAGCAATTGATGACACTAAGATACACTACACATCTCAGACTAGACTACGTCTGGATATCACGAAGCTCTACGAGCAGAAAGCGAGATTGGCTCGGACGCCACCCCATTCATCTGATCCGATCCATCGGCTAGAGCGCGTCCTGTGTGTGTGCGCGCGGTCAGGTGCTAAGCAACAGCAACCTGCCGACTGCCGGCCGCCGTACTCGCTGCGCTGCGTCGCGTTGATTGGGCGCGCTCGACTGGGGGTTTAGTGGGGGTGGTGGTCTGTCAACTAGGCTTTTGGTCGGGCCTAGTCAAGGACTGGAAGGTTATGGCTGCTGCTGCCGCGGGCGAGAAGGACGGGCTTCCATGCCTGTCTGTGTCTTTCTTCTTTGCGGTATGAAGAAGCCTTCTTCACTTGTCTCTGCTGCTGGTTTATGTTTAATGCATGTTTTATGTGCAAGCCCTGCGTTTTTCATTGCACGTCCTTGGCCAGTCAAGATCATATCCCCGCTCCTGGGCCACTCCGTCCGGGCGGAGACGAGAGAGACGTCAAGTTACAACGCGCCCGTTCCGGAACCAACCCACAACCTTAATCGGCTGAGAGCGCGCTGCCTGGCTCTAGTTCCCGGTCGAGAGAGGGCGGGTTACCAGGAGCTGGGCTCGGCATGCCCGCATACTTGGAAGTAGCGAGGGCCCCTATATCCAGGCCGTGAAGAAGGGAAGTGAGCGCTGCTGGAGTCTGAGGGGAGAGCAGGTGTGCGTAAGTAGTAATTGAACCGAGTCCGAGTAGATCTGCGGTGGAAGGCGGAGTGGAAGAAGAACACGGTTGTGCGTCAAGCAGCGGCAGAGCCGTGCTCTAATTTCTTTTTAGACACGGGCATTTTTGATTAATAACAGAGCTGTTATGCATATTTATATTGCGGATAGATTACCGGGATTGAAGTATACGAGTATATGAACTTGAGGTATGGCCGGCGATAAAATCACTCAGTGGTCAGCCCGAAGGACATAAGGATTATTGTGGAGAGTAAAGCCCGTGCAGAGAAGCCCAGGAGGAGTACATTATCCGAACACCCGCCTCGGCTGATAATCAAGAGCAGTGTAGCTGATCGGGTCCGGGAAGGAGCTCTCGAGCAGAGCGGTGGGAAGAAGAACAGGAAGAGAGAGTTTTAAACTCCGGGCTTGGCCATTGCGCAGGATAATCGACAGATCCAAAAAATCTTAAATGCGGAGGGATTCGGTGCAGAAACGGGCGACGGTTGCAGCGCTGATCAGGCCAGATTGAGTTGCAGGTGGCATGCAGCAAATTGCAGCGGATGCAGCGGCAGGTGGAAGGAAGAAGAAGTAGGAGGAAAGGGGGACGGAAGACGGGGAGACAGGTGGGTGATGTTTGTCGAGTCTGATTTGCGGATTTTTGTCGTATAACGTCTTTCGATGCGACGACATTGTGAAGAAAGCAAGCACGGGGTTGCTGTTTGGTTGTTGATATGAGTTTGCTCTTGGATTATTGATCGTCTGTCGTCGGTCTAGATATTGCATATTACATAGTCCATAGTCCATAGTCAATGATAGTAATAGTATGCATATCATAGACACGGTCTCTGCCAGACATCTCAAAAATGGGACGGTCTCGGTTATAGGACACCTACCAAAAGTAGGCGGGTGGTAGTCAGCAACGGTCCGTCATCCGTGCGCGCCCAAGAACGGTATTCGACCCGGCCTACGCCGCCACCCATGCGGTTCAAACGGTTTGTAATCTGAATCTGCGCAGACGACGATGGGAAACACGAGGTCGCCGTTCGAGTTAGTATTGACTGGCTCTAGAGGCCGTTGAGATGATGGAGATTGGTTGACTAGCGATGGGCAACGGCCCAAAGTCTAGAAGATAGAAGGGGTCGAGCTAAGAGCGCGCCACAAATCTCCGAGCGGCTGGGCGTCGGGCAAGAGTGGTACGGTATATTATGCGTGGTAGGCATCTGTCTGGTGTGCTGTAGCAGGATGATTTAGGTGAGAGTAGATGAAGAGTAGAGGATGAGTAGATGCGGAGTAGAGAATGATCGGCAGAGACCACAGAGAAGAGCGCAATCAACACATTCAGCACACGAAGATGAGATCTGAGGACGAAATACCGGATCGGCCCATCCGCGGATCAAAGCTCGGTGGGGTTAGTGCAGAGCAGGGCGGTGATGTGGTGAGAAGGTAAGGTTAGTGGAGACACTAGGCAGTAGTGCGGCCACTGATTCGTCATATCAACTAGCAGCCGTTTATCCAGACATCTGATACCGCGATCTCGAGGCAGAATGAGGGGTTTTCGGTGGTTGTGCACAACTGCACGACTGCACGCTAGGCGGTAGCGACTGCTGATCTTCTCTCGGCCGTACGCTGGCTGACGTTGTCGATGTCTTGCCAGAGAGTGAAGAGAAGAAGATCGGGTCTCGATGTCTTAATCAGCGCTCTGGGTTTCAGTCTAGTTGACGTCGCCATGTGACGCCGGCAGCAACGGGCAACGTCCGCGATGCATCCGAGATCGCCATGTGTTTGCTTATTTCGACGATGAATAAAATAAAAATACAGTGCAAGACACTAAAAAAACAATTTGTTCCTCGCGGTGGGGTGGGTCGGGCGGGTCTTAGTTTAATTCTAAATTAATCTCGACATCTGATCCTGCTGCTGTTCAGTGCTGGGGTTCGTTGCAGGCTGAACAGTTCTCTTGTGGAGGGATGAAGAGAGACAGAGGATGAGTGCTAGGCTGAGCTGAAGCGAGGAGGTCTGCTCCCACTGCTCACTACTCCACTACTTCCTACTTCTACCCCTACTTCACTCATCGACGACGATCTACAACCGGCCATGTTTCATCTGTTCCGCCAACCCTCACGAACGGCCAAAGATCATCACATAAATTGTGGGTCCCCCGCCTCGAGATCGACCCTTCTTCCTTCTGTCGACGATGATCTGATCAACTCTTCCTCCTCCTCACATCCCTGACCCACTCTCTTCCCACTTGTTTCCCGACTCGCGCCGTTTCCTTAACGCTTTTATTCACTCGCCGCACACCCTTTTTTGTTGTAATCAAGATTTACAACGGCGTTGAATACTCTTGCCATCTTTTAGGCTTTAAGATCTGCTTTTATTGCAGTTTTATGAAAACCGCGTGTCTTGGCCATGCGCGCTGACGTTGGACTTCTCTTCGATCCTCTTACTCATCATTACGCAAACCACTCAACACCGCCGGATCGGCGATAATGGTAGTGGACCCTCCGCCGCGCTATAAACCTCTTTACTAGCCGATCGATATTAAGGGCTGGGCTGGGCAATTAAGGGCCGAAATTGCAATCTACGCGGTTTATGCACAACAAACCGCTGTTGGTTATTGTTCAATACTCTTTCAGTCGCCTTTGTGGATTCTTCCTTGTCGATTCTCTTGTCGACTACCTGTGCCATATGCAGTCCGGTGCAGACCAGGCTGATCACACATGTGCACACTGCAGACACACCAGCCCGATTCTGTATTAGCTGGATATAGGCAGCACCTTCCCTCCTACTCTCTTGCGAAATCATAATCACCTTCCACCTTCCTTCTCACAATTCCTTCTCACGGACTGGACTGCTGTGTGATGAATAATCACACCCTCTTCACTACCAACCTCCTCCCAACTCACATCCACCATCAGCACAAGCAGAACTAACATCGTCCTCCACCGCCCAGGATCGCATCGCGCCGCCCGCGTGCTCTGATCCCTGCCTCTGGGCCTTTCCTCCCTCGCCTGCTCCAAAGGTCTGTCTCCGCTCTGCGGCCTGCTATCGACTACTTGAGAGCGCTAGCTCTTCATTTAATAGACGAGATGGAGATTAGATATATTTGATCTTGGTTAATCAATATATCTTCTGTCAAATCCTCTCAATCTACTTTTTAAACACGACAGGAGACACGACGCGACTCTACAGCATAGCGTAGCATAGCGTAGCATAGCGTAGCGTAGCATAGCATATTCCAGTCCCGCTCTCTAGGAATAAAGCCATTTTCCATTCGTTCTTATATCCATGTCTTATAATATATTTTAATATCTCAATACTTCAAACCCGGGGATCGGGAACCGCGTCTTCGGCCGAGAAGCAAAGAACGCAAGCGCAAGACGATCAACCCATCGTCCCCTCCGGAGCATTCTCAGCTTCACGAGCTGGACCTCCGATCTCGCCACTTCCTCTTCTCACTAGATAAAGACTGATATTATGTATTATATATTATATATTACATATTACACGATATGTTCTACGCGGTCCAGCGTCGTTCATGTGCGCTCGCTGATCGTTTCCGTGACCCGTTCCTTCCTTCCTCCGTATCCTTCCAACATGAGAAAAGCAAACAATTAGACAGACAGCGATAATAAACAGTAATTGACATAGCTGCAGATAAAGATACAGAACAAGAACACCCCGCACTCCGTCATATTCCTGACAAATTCAAACATAAAAAACACAAATATCAAAGACAAAAAAAATATCAAACAACTCAACCTCACCACAACTCCCTACTCGTCAAATCCCTCATCGTACAAGTAATGGCCAGACGTATCCATCTCGCCCATGACGCCGTGCGCGGAAACGCCAGACGCGATAGGTATGCTCTGCATACCCAGCGGAATCTGCATCATGTTCATCCCCGGCAGCGACGTCGGCGGCGCGTGGTGCTGGTTCGGCTGCGGATGAAGCGCGTGCGCGTGGGCGTGGTGCGCGGCGTGGTGCTCGGCCGACGACAGCATGCCGGTCTGCGCGCCGGCTAGCATCTCGCCGTTTTCGCCGTGGACGAGCTGGTGCGTAGGCAAGTACTGCTGCACGATCTGGTATGACTGCTGGCTCTGGTTCTGCGCGGCAGAAGCAGAGGCGGAGGAGGAGGAAGAGGACGGCGCCGGCAGGGTCTGCGCCGGGTTTTGCGGGTGCCTCGTCGCCTGCGAATATGAGGAATCTACAAACACGAATTTGCCTGGGTCCGACACGAACTGGTTTCCGAAGGTGTACTGTTGTGGGTGCTGCTGTTGTTGCTGCTGCTGCTGCTGTTGGAGTTGGAGTTGTTGCTGTTGTTGCTGCTGTGCTTGCTGCTGAGGCGGACCAGGTAGCTGGGGAAACATAACCGGGTTCTGTGAGAAGTTCCGCGGCACAGCAGACGACGGCGGCGGCGGTAAATACCAATACGGCGCGCCCGCTGCCGCTGCCGCCGCTGCTGCCGCCGCCGTCGACATGACTGTTCCTGACGAGGTAGACGACAGCGGGAATTGTTGCTGCTGCTGCTGTTGTTGTTGTTGTTGTTGGTACGCGAGCTGTGGTGCGGGTGGTAGCGGAAGAGAGAGCGTAGGTACAGGCGGTGGGGGGAGAGGAGGAGGCGAGAGCGCAGAGTCGCTTGCTGTAGTCGTACTTGTAGCCGTAGACGTCGTCGCCGTCGACGAAGACCCGCTGCCTGTTGCCCCTGCCGCTGCTGAGCTGCTGAACCCGCCGAACCCAGGATACGCCGCCGAGCTGGCGACCGAGTAGGGAGAATAATGCGCTGCGGACGCGGCAGACTGCGAGATCAGCCCTGTCGCGGAGCTGTACGGCACATAACTCGCGGTCTGGAACGAGTAGTCCGCCGACGACGCCCGCGTCTGTCCCGCCGCTGACGCAGCTGACGCGCGCGCAAAGTCAGGGCTGTCGTGTGGAGAGATCCGTTTTTGTTGGCGATCTAGCGTCGGCGATATACTCGATGCTGAAGAGTAGCCTTCGGTCTTGATCTGCTGCTGTCGCGCGTATTCGTCGTCGTCGTCGTCGTTGCCATTACCATCCTCGTTCGCTGCTGCTGATGTGGAATACCCGCCATTACCGCGCTGCTGGCGATGCTGATGCTGGACCTGCTGATGCCGGAGCGTGAGCGCCGCGCGGCGGTTACTGCGCACCCTGGCCTCGCGCCTGATCCGCACCTTCCCGCCCTGACTCGCGATCTCGCGCGTCAACGCGCTCGAGACGTCCAGGCCCGGGAACTTCTTTGGCGAGTATACCGTGAGCACGTCGCTGACTGCTTCCTGGCGCCAAACGGCGCCGATGCCTTCGCAGAGCTCGAAGAGCGAGAAGACGATGCGGTAGGAACCTTCTTGTCTGACGGAGAGGTCGTGGAAGAGGAAGTATGCGCGGCCCGGGGGCGGGTGTTTCATGAATGAGAGCGAGGTTATGGTTGTGCCGATCAGGTTTGAGGATTGCGGGGGGGACGTCGGCGTGGTTTGCGAGGTCGGCGTGGGGACGACCGGGTAGGCTGCGTGAAGGGTTGCTTGCAGGATGAATAAGTTTTTGCAGCAGACGGTGCTAGATCGGCGGTCAGTAGGTCAGCACACACAGAATCGAGATCAGGCCCGATCTGAGCAAGTAAGAGGGAGGGAGGATGATACGTACACGTCGTTGCCGTCCTGGGAGACCACGAGGTTGACCACCGGCGGTGGATCAACCGGACGACGGGTGTCTGACCGCGAGCCCCAGCCCGAGGCGCGCGCCTGGATGGGGTGCTGGGCGACTTCGAGCGTGAAGTCGCACATGCTGGGAGCGGCCTGTGGTGCGGAAAGGTAGTGGTCCATTGTCGATCGAGAGAGAGAGAGAGAGAGAGAGAGGGTTGAGGCGATGAAGAGGGGATGTGGGCTGATTGATGTCACTCAGGGACGCATTGTGATGCGAGGAGGGAGAGAGGGGCGGGGGTGGATGGAGGGGTGATAGACGGCGGGCGAGGTGAGGAGAGGAAGAGGGCAGGCGCGGGGGAGGGGAGGTAGATGAGGAGGGAACGCGGTGAGGACGAGCGGAGGAGGAGGAGGAGTAGGAGGAGTCGGACGAGGACGCGCACGGGAAGAATAAAAGCAAGACGAAGAGGAGGAGGAGGAGGAGGAGGAGGAGGAGGAAGAAGAGGATAAGCGGGTCTTGAAAACATTCAGGAGCATGTCGACGGCGACAGTCCGGGATGGGACAGAAACATTATTGGAAGCGGGCATATGTACGCTAACCGCTACGAACTAAACCGAACGAGTAGGTGCACAAGACAGACACAGACACAGAAGTTTACACCCGTCGCACTCGACTCGGACCCTGCCCGGTCTGTGCGTTCTACTCTCTCTTGAGCCGCGGCGGCGGTCGATCCTGACCCGGGCGCCGGGCGGCATCTGCCGAGAGCAACGACGCAGAACGCAAATGGGCTATAGCGACCTACTACGCCCGCTCCAGGGTAAAAAGTAAAAAGTAAAAACTAAAGAGAAACAGCCTTTTCTGGCCTGGGTCGGGTACTAGACAGCGGACAGTTCATTTCGCGTTGCCCCTGAACCAACAATCTACCAAATCTTCTGCCAAATCTTCGTACGACCCTCGTGCTACATACTACCCACCTTCTGCCCGGATGCTGATCGCCGTTTTTCTTTCTTTGCTTTTTTGGTAGTTGTGTTGTTGCCTTTTCATTCTTGTTTTGTGCCCCACTGTCGTATTTCTCGGCGCGTCAGTTCGTCGACCATGTGCCCCGCTCAACGAGGGAGGAGGGAGGAGGGTAAGTAAGTAAGTAGACTGGTCGGGCAGGCCGCGCCCGGGGGCGGCACGGCACGCAAAGCCACCGGCGGTCAAGTCAAGTCAAGTCATAGTCGACACTGTTCTCCGTGCAAGTCAGCACGCTCGCTGCACCGTGATGTGAAGAACCGGACATATTGGCGGTCTGCTGCTGCTGCTGCTGTTGCTGTGTTGCCCTCTTTCTCTACTACCAACCTCCCTCACCACAGAAATAAACTACATAGACACAACGTCCAAACAAAGGATAATCAAAAAATATAGGAAAGCCACGCCAAGTAATAAGGGAAAAAGAACAGGCAAGAATAGGATTCTGAAAGGTACTTAAAAAACAGATATCATATTATGACCGACTGACTGACTGACTACTCGCGCGCAGACGTGTGACGGTCCCGGCAAGGGCCTTGTCTCACCGCACACACACACACTAATGCGTACACGCACATCTCGCGTCTCCCCTTCCTTCCTTCCTCGTACCTTCCATCTCTATCTCAATCACTCACCTTGCGCCTTTGTCGTCGTGTATTGTTTTCTATAATGTCTCTGCTGCTCTTATCGTCGGTAGACGGGACCTCCACCGATCGGCAGATATCCGTTATCTTACCGCGCCCGCGCGGATAAATACATACATACAAAGCTACAGTACAGTACCCGCCCGAGGAACCGCGCACCTTCTCTTGCGCAGGAGTTTGAGTTGCCGCAGGTGATCACGGGATAATATCCTGGACGGAAACCCGGCCTATCTATCTGGCCTATTTCCGCTTCTAGACTGATCTTACTTGTGCCTTGTTTCTCTTGAGAGCTTGTATTAGTCATCGGTTACTAATGATATCCGCCAGTTAGATATTCTGATGGTCCTGGCATTGCTTTGACTCGTTTCTCTTGTCGTTTTAATCACTGTTATTTCCAGTTGCGTATTCAGGCTGTATTGTCAAACTGGAGCACAAGACGCAAGAGCAGAACAGGCACTTGCTACTAACAAGTACAAATCAGCACATCATCCGTCCACACCCACAATCAACTCACAGCATCCTTACAGTCCTCAATCCTCACTAGAAAAACACAGAGACATACCACATCCACCCCCGTCGTCGTCGTTCATCCCGTTCGATGTTGTCATCCCCAGAGCCGTTGTTAATGCTCAGCGACACAGGGGTCGTCTAGACGAGGAATTCAATCTTGAGCGAACGAATGATAGTGAACAGACACCGGCGCCGTTGAGCTAAGCAAGATCGGTTTCTTTTTGAAATTAAGAAACCCTCGACGATGGTGGATCAAAGCGGTGGTGCGGTATGCATCGCAAACTCTTACCTCACAGCACCGCAGCACCACCTATTTGATCCTGCGAGAGATTGCTGGATATAGACTGTTGGATTGTCATAGATGCGCAGAGAAGGCGGTAATTCGGAGTATGAGGACATGTGCCCGTGCGTGTTCTGCTTGCGTCGGGGTTTAGAAATCACTTTGCTACCTTGAGCAAGTTCGTGGATGAAAAGCAGTCGTTTGCTGTAGTGAAGGTCGGTAATCTGCATGTGCTTTGTAATTGCCAGTACCGAAGTCTGCCTTTTGACTGTTTTATAATAGAAGTAAAGATATATAAAAGAAAAGAGAAACGAGAAAAGAGAAAGAAACAAAGAAAGTACGAAGAGCAAGAACCGAGGCATCCCCAAATAAGCTCCAAACCCAAATGACATCATTGACCACAAACATCCCAACGGCTCGTCAACAGCTTATTTGTAACCAACCTTCCTCCCACCTTCCTGCGACTTCTCTGCACCTTTGAAGAAAGAGTATTTCGTCTACAGTATAAACAATGGCATCAATTGAGAACAAGTCTGTTATTTTCAAGTCCGTCCCGGTCGGATACGTAAGTCTCCTCCTCTTCTGCTCTCTGATGTTACAGCGCACCCGCTAACGCTCCTCGCATAGCCCACGGCCGACAACCTCCCCGTCGTCTCGAGCACGATCCCAGCGTCCGCCCCCGAAGGCGGTCTGCTCATCAAAGTGCTCACGATCTCACTGGACCCCTACATGCGTGGCCGCATGCGCGACGCGTCAAAGAAGTCCTACTCGCCCGCGTTCCCGCTCGATCAGCCCACGGCCGGCTTCGGCGTGTCCAAAGTGCTCGACTCGGCCGTCGCCGGGTTCGCAAAGGACGACCTCGTGGTCTCGCCCGTGACGAACCACGCGCAGTACATGGCCGTCCCCGCCGCGCTGGTGGGGACGTTCAAGAAAGTCACGAACCCGTATAACTTCCCGCTGTCGTACTTTGTCGGCGTGCTCGGCATGCCCGGTCTGACCGCGTACACCTCGCTCGAGTACGTCGTCGGCCCGCTCAAGGCCGGCGAGACGATCCTCGTTTCGGCGGCCGCGGGCGCGGTCGGCCAGATCGTGGGCCAGATCGCAAAGAAGCGCGGGCTGAAAGTGTACGGCACCGTGGGCTCGGACGAGAAGGTAAAGTACCTGACCGACAAGCTCGGCTTCGACGACGCGTGGAACTACAAGACCGAGACGGACTGCGTGGCCGCGATCAACAAGCACATTCCGCAGGGCATCGACATCTTCTTCGACAACGTCGGCGGCGACCTGCTCGACGCCGTGCTGGTTACCGCCAACGACTTTGCCCGCATCGCCTGCTGCGGCCAGATCTCGCAGTACAACGCGAAACCGGAGGAACTCTACGGCTACAAGAACCTCATGGAGATCGTCACCAGACGGCTCAAACTCCAGGGCTTTATCGTCGGCGACCTTGTCCAGCAGCACCCGGACGTGCTCGGCAAGTTCTTTGCCGAGGTCTCGGGATACCTCCACGACGGCTCGTTCGTCTACCAGGAGGACGTCGTCGAGGGGCTTGAGAATTTCGCGGACGCGTTCGTGGGTTTGTTGAAGGGCAAGAACTTTGGCAAGTTGGTCATCAAGGTTGCTGATGAGTGATGTATTCTATCCAGTTATTTTTAGATTATGCTGATTTCCGTCCGTCGGCCTTTTAATAGAAAATGTAATGATAATCAAAAATGATTGCTAAGCATAGAAAAAATAGAAGAAAAGCTGAAAAAAAGACAGAAAAGCTGTTTCAAGCAAAACTCTGAAAGACTGTAAATGCCGAGTGCCGACCTTCACACATCCAACTTCTCGCTTCTCACGCCTCTCGGCCGACTACCTATCCTCTTTCCAATCACTTCTTCTCTTCACTTCTGTCTTCGCCGACCTGCACGCGGACCACTTCGCTTACCAGCATCCAAACCCCGAAAAAAAGTCAACTTGCGCAAGTCTTCGAGGCAGAAAGCAGCAGAAACGGCTGAGCCGCAGGAGCCGCGCGACCCTTCTTGGAAACTTTTGTTATGGTGTTTTGTCTGCCTCGGCGATGAGGACTGGGTTTAGGTTCGCCACGACGGGGATGCTGGCTGCTGAAGAAGATTGAGAAGGGTTTTGGATGGTGATGAGGGATGCTGACGTGAGATTCTGGGTGGTGCGTCATTTGGGCTCGTGGCGATGGGGAGGTGTATATATACCCGCTGTCCTGCGCTGTGCTGTTCTGATCTCTCATATTCTTCAATTCATCTACACCTACACGATGGCAACTCTCGAAAACAAATCGATAATCTACAGGGAAATCCCCGACGGTCTTCCCACGTCCACCCATCTCTCCCTCGAGTCGTCGACGATCCCCGCCTCCGCCCCCGCCGGCGGTCTACTCCTGCAAACCCTGTACCTCTCGCTGGACCCCTACCTGCGCGGCCGCATGCGCGACCCGGAGACCAAGACGTACTCGGAAGCCTACGTGCTCGGTGAACCGCTCTCGAACTTTGGCATCTCGCGCGTGCTCGACGTGTCGTCCACCGGCGCCGCAGCAGCCAGCGGGCTCAAGAAAGGCGATCTCGTCGGCTCGCCGTTCGCAAAGACGCAGTTTAGGCTTTACCAGCCCGTTCCTGAGGAACAAGTCGCGCACTACGCAAAGATCGAGGAGAAAGCGGGCGTGCCGCTCACGTACTTCCTCGGCATTCTCGGCATGCCGGGAATGACCGCCTACCACGGCCTCGTGAACGTCGGCGGCCCGCTCAAGGCCGGCGAGACCTTGCTTGTTTCTGCGGCTTCCGGCGCGGTCGGGCAGATCGTGGGCCAGCTGGGCAAGCAGTTTGGCATGCGCGTCGTGGGCTCGGTGGGCTCGGACGAGAAAGTAAAGTACGTGACCGAAGAGCTCGGGTTCGACGCGGCGTGGAACTACAACGCCGAGAAAGACCCCTACGCGGCGATCGACAAGTACATCCCCGAGGGCATCGACGTTTACTTTGACAACGTCGGCGGGCCGCTCGCGGACGCGGTGTTTCTCAAGGCGAAGGTGAACGGCCGGATCGTGGTCTGCGGCACGATATCGCAGTACAACACGCCGCGCGAGCAGCAGTACGGGATGAAGAACTACATGGAGGTCTTCCAGCGCCGGTTGACGATCAAGGGATTCATCATCCTCGACACGATGATCAACGAGCCGGGCACGATCCAGAGTATTGTCGGGAGTGTGGCGGGGATGGTGGGAGAGGGGAAGATCAAGTTTAAGGAGGACGTGGTTGAGGGGATTGAGAACACGGTGAGCGCGTTCCAGGGTTTGTTGACGGGAAAGAATAACGGCAAGCTGGTGCTCAAGTATTCTGATTAGTGTGTGAGATAATCCAAGTTGTATATAGTTAGATCATGAAGTGAAAGTAATGAACGTGAATATGTAAACCTCACCCACCTCATCCCGCCACACTCCCACCACACCACACAACCTATTCAATTCCAAAATCTAATACCTAAAACTGAACTGAAACCCAGTCTGATTTAGTACGCTCATGTCCTGAGAAAGCACGATACATAAAACAGACTTGTTGTGAGTCACCTCCACTTCCCTCACCCAACGCGGAAAACTCCGCGGAGCTCAGGATGACTCTAAGCTTGAGCCACCTACTCATACAATACAAAAAGAGCATTCCGCCCGCACTTTCAAGCAGGCTGATTACTGTGCTGTTACTACATATTCTGTGTTGTTTGATTTTGAGATATATTACTAACTATCGTATACGCGCCGGACGGCAGACAAAGCAAAGCAAAGACAAAATAAGACAAAACAAGACAAAACAAGATAAGGCAAGACAAGACTACAGCAGCTTAAAGCAGCCATCTGAAGAACTTGGCGATCTTTGTGGTTGGCGGGTTCGGATCAAAGTCGATCTCAGGCCCAGGGATGTTGGAGTACATATCGATCTCGCTGCCCTTCGGGAATTTCTTGCGGCCGGTCCAGAGCCAGTGGCCGAGGAACAAGGCCGCGACGATCGGGATGTTGATGTACGCGATGATGAAGTCGGAGGTGCTCCACATGCCGTGGATGAAGACCTGGTAGCCGTTGAAGAGCACGTTGATGATGCACCAGAAGATGGCCCAGTACGCGGGCCAGGGCTGCCACTTGTTGTAGAAGAACGAGGTCTTGCGGTCGATGCCGTGCGCTTCGCAGCCGGCCTTGTAGCGCAAAAAGGTTATGCAGATGGTGCCCCAGCAGATGAAGGTCGCGATCGAGGTCAGGTTCGAGAGCCAGTTGAGCACGGTCTGGGCGCCGTCGGAGAGGGTCATGTACGCGAGCAGGATGAAGAGGGTCGAGAGCACGAGCGAGGCGATGGGAAGGCCGTTCTTGAGCGTCGTGGAGAAGATGCGGGGGGCCTGGCCGCGCAGAGAGAGACCGTACAGCATGCGCGAGGCAGAGTAGAGGACCGAGTCGGCGGCGGAGAAGGCGGAGGTCAGGATACCGGCGTTGATGATGCTCGGGAGGACCTTGATGCCGGCGCGGTTGAAGGCGATGACGAAGGGAGACGAGGCGGCGCCGTTTCCGGTCGAGTTGAGCAGATGGGGGTCGTTGGAAGGCACGAGCATGCCGACGATGAGGATTCCGCAGACGTAAAAGAAGAGGATACGGTAGAAGAGCAGGCGCGCGGCTTTCTTCATGTTTGCGCGCGGGTTCTGCACTTCGGCGGCGGTCATGGCAAGGGTCTCGACACCTCCGAACGAGAAGGCGGCCTGCAGCAAGGACGTGAACCAACCGGTGAATTTGCCGACGCTGCCTTCGACGGGATATGCGGCGAATGCTCCGGGGTTTTTCCAGTCTGGAGAAGTTAGAGGAGTTAGTCTTGTCTGTCATTTTACTATACTGTCAATACTGTGACTTACATCTGAAACCGATTCTGTCATGATCAGGACCGCCGCCGAGGTCGACGACGAGACCGGCGATGATCAAGCCCATGATGAGCAAGATCTTGATGATGGCAAAGACAAACTCCGCCTCGCCGAACCATCTGGCGCCAAAGTAGTTGATGGCGGAGCAGAGGATGAGCAAGGCGGTGATGTAGCCGATCATGTGGGAGCGCGGGATGTCGCCGCTGATGGGGTCGGTGTCCCAGAAGCCGATGATGACGGCGGCGGAGATGATTTCGGTCGGGAGGGAGATGACGGCGGAGTACCACTGCATCCAGCCGAGGGCGAAGCCGGCGGAGGGGTGGAGGAAGCGCTCGGCGTAGTGGATGTATCCACCGGCGATGGGCGCGTAGCACATCATTTCGGCCTGTCGAGTTAGCTTTAGCTGATATGGAAGGAGAAGGAGGAACATACAAGACTCTGGATCATGGACCAGACAACGGTACCAACAAGGATATAAGCGATGAGAGCACCAGCGGGCCCGGCGTGGATGATTGCCTTTCCACTGGAGAGGAAGAGACCGGTGCCGAGGGTGCCGGCGAGGGCAATCATCTGGACATGGCGCTGGTGCATCTGGCGCTGGAGACCATCTTTGATGTTTGTGTGGACGTCGACCTTGACGTCTACGACGGAGCCACGCTCAGAGTCGTATATGCTGTTTACTTGGGGGACGGTGGTTGTCTTTTCATTGACGCCGGAGTCTTTTTCGGCAGAGTTGCCGTCGGAGTAGGTTGGGTCCATGGTGGTAGAGATGGGTCAGGTCAAGAGAGAGAACAGAACAGGAGGAGGAGGAGGAGGAGGAGGAGGAGGAGACAGAACAGGGCAGAACAGGTGTTTATATGTTGACAGCTGGAGGCCATGTGGCGCTGTCAGTGAAGGAGCGCAGCCGACAGAGAGCGGAGAGGAGGAGGAGAGGAGGTACAAGGAGAGAAGGTTCAGATGAGGAGAGGAAGATAAGAGTACGGCCAAGTGGAGCTACTATCGGGGGAGTTGCCGTTGTGATACTGATGATGATACTGCAGATACTGTTGATACTGCAGATACTGTTGATGATACTGCAGATACTGCAGATCCTGCTGATAATACTAATATGATCATACTGTACTAATATGATCATACTGACTGACTGGACTATACTCACAACAAGACAGAAATCACAGCAAATTGCGAATCGGAGACGGCTGAAGTTGACAGAGTGCGGAGGTAGGTTTTGGCGATAACAAGGAGGGATACGGTTACAGTTTAATGTTTCGGGATTCTGCAGTTGAGGCGGTTGAGGCGGTCGGTTGGATGACAATGAGAAGATGATGATGGCTGTTCTGAATATGTTATATCTATATCTATGTCTATATCTATATCTGTATCTATATCTATATCTATATCTCATACAGAATATGAATGTCTCTAGATATTGAACATCAACTGAGAGATATCAACGACAACTACATCGGTACTCAACAGGTACCAAGACAAGAATATACGCAGAGTTCTTATTGTGGCGTTCTCTTTGTCTGTTGCTTATGCGGAACAAGAGCTGCTGATCGACGGAGGCGGTGGAGCCACGGTGCCACGCCATGGTGCCAAGTAGGCTTGTTTGGGTGTGATCCATTGAGATATGGTGAGATATTATGATAGATGTATGACAGATGTATGATAGATGTAGATGTAGATGATGAATAGTATGGCATAGTAGAACATCACAACTACTTACAGTCAGAACAAGTGCGGTGCATTCAAACCAAAGCAAATCCGGAGCGCACGGCATCACCTTCGTTTAGCTTATCGGAGATAGGAGAGTATAAGTGAAGTATAAGACAACTTAGGAAGAGGATTATGAATAGTTATAGGAATAGAGAATAAAGAACAGACAACAGAAAGAACAGAACAGAACAGAACAGAACAGAATAGTAAATAGAAATAGAAATAGTAATAGAAACAGTAAACAGATGCAATGCGCATTGGCCTACGCTTGTTCGTCTTAGCACAGACCTCTTTGTTTGCTACTTCTTCTGTTACTACTATTTACTACTACTACTTCTACTACTACTTCTACCACTACTAGTATTATCACTACTACTCACTGCCAGACTCCGAATCAACCTCAGCCCTGCCGCCGCCACCGCCGCCGACTAAGCCAAACTCGACCAACAATCAGCTTCTTCTCTTTACTTTAGCTTCAGAGCCGTGCGATAGCAGCCTCTCCTTTGATTATCTAATGCTTATGTCATTGTATTATCTAATCCATGACTACTCACTCCTCCTCACGTGCTCTCTCTACTCAGTCAGTCCATCAGCCGGTCAGTCCACAGCACCTCACCACAAGTTCTCGCGCATGCTCAACAAACTGGCAGACAACATCAGGCTGGCATGGCAAAAGACCATCCAGGACGTCGCCGAACTGGACCACGCTAGATCCCGCGCTCAGACAGACCAGTCATTATCTCGTCCTCCGCCGTTGCAGGTGCCCCCGCCCACCGCCGATCAACCGCTGCAGTTCGAGATGCTCAACTCTGCTGTTAACCAGAGCTCCTCTTCTCGCACGCAGACTATGGCTCATTCTCAGACCGCAGACTACTCTGCTCAGCACTCTCACCACAACCCCTCTGCTCCTCCAACCTCCAACCCACCCCGTCACCAACAAGTCAGCACCCAACTCTTTCTCTCCTCCTCTCTCTCATCCCACTCCTCCTCTGCCTCCGCCTTTGCCACTACCTCACGCCAGCACGCAACCCCCACCGACATGCAAACCCGCAAAATCATCCGTCTCGAGCAAACCCTCCGCGCCACGCACCAAAAATACATGCAAACCTCAGACGAACTCCGCGAAGCCCAGGACCTCATCTCCCGTCTGCGCGATCTCTTGGCTGACCAGGATGACTGCATCCGCGCGCTCGAAATGGATATCGCGTATGAAGAGCACTCGGTCTTGGTCGCTGCCAACGTCGATCTCGATGCTGTCAATGAGGCGAATGAGAGATCTGTACAAGTAAGGAAGCCGCTGCGGCCGGAGCCTGAACAGATGATTCAACAGTTGCAGCAGCAGCAGCAGCAGCAGCAGCAGCAGCAACTCCCCCGAGGCACAAAACGTTCACATCAACCCGCAGACAACGACGCCACGGCCGCAGCCCGCCTAAAGCGCTCCGCATTCTCTGTTCTCACCAATGAAATCAAGGACCGAAGCCGTATAGACCGCGACCTCCCCAGTTACATGCGGCCCGATACAAAAGCCAAATCCGGCAAACATAGCGCGAAGGAGAAGGCGAAGGAGAAGGACAACTCGATCATATTCTCTACTCAATTAGACAAGTACCTGGTCCCGTCTGAGTTGCGGTACGGTCCGAATGACGAGGACGACGGCGAGGACGAGCCGACTGGGTCGTTTGAGCAAATGTCGCCTGTCCAACTCGATCAGATCAGACTTATGTTTCGCAACGCAGACAGGCCTTTAACCAGCGCCCAGCACGCGTAATTGTCTGCTGAACTGATGACCTGATGATAACGACTTGCATTGCCTTTATTGTTTGTTTTGTTGTTTTGCATTATCTCATGTATATGCTCTCTATCGATTAACACGGAGTTCAGACGGTTTATTCACGTCATGAGTGCATTTAAAGAAATAAAAGATCTGTATTGTCAAGTAGACTATATAAAGTCATAGAAAGGATAAGCCGAGGTCCAGCGAAACAAAGTTTATCAACCCTGCAGGCACCGGAGCTCACGGTCCGGATCCTCGTCTGGACTCCTGCTTTCTCTTCTCTTTTGTCTTGTTGTTTATAAATAGTCAATAGATAAAGATATCGAGATATCTTCAAGAGAGTCTTGTGTTTGTTGTTATAGTCACTCTCTGATCACCATGGCTTGGTCTGTTTCTACCATCTTCACCGCCGTGACGGCAGTCTTCTGGCTTCTCAACGCCAAAAACTTCCCATTTGCCTGGTGCGCACCTCTACTCCCCCCTCACTCGTCTTAACATTCTCAACTAACTCCTCTCAGGCACATCAGATTCTACAAATCACTCACCTACTTCCTCTACATCCACAAACCCCGTCCCGAAGTCGCAGGCGACGTCTTCCGCAAGTCAATCTACACCAACCGCTCGCCCGCGATGGAGTGCGATCTCAACGGCCACAAGTCCAACTCGACCTATTTCAGCGACCTCGACATCGCGCGTACGGACCTCATGGTCGAAGTTTTCCGGAAACTGCTGCTCGACGTCAAGAAGAACGACGGGATCTGGCTGTACATCCCCGTCGGCGCCGTGGCGACCGTGTTTAAACGCGAAATCAAGCCCTACATAAAATACCAGATCTCGTCGCGCGTGCTGGGGTGGAACGATAAGTGGCTGTTTGTGCTCAGCAGGTTTGAGGATCCAAAGACGAAGAAGCTGTATGCTTTTTCCCTCACAAAGTACGTCCTCAAGAAGGGTCGCATCACTGTGCCTATTCCTGAAGCGCTCAAGGCTTCTGATCTGTGGAGTGAGGAGGTCGAGAGAAAGGGACGCGAGGGATTGAAGTATGCGCAGGGACTGCTTGATCTTGATATGCTGGAAGAGGTTGAGATCTAGTTCTTATATCAGAGGGAATAGCTGAGGGAATATCAGAAGGAAATATCAGAAGGGGTTGAGCTTAGATAGACTGGTTATAGATTATAGACAATTACAACTAACACAGTATAAGCACAATCTCTACAGTAGAATACCTCATCAATTGCTTGATTCTCAATCGTAGAAGTTGCAGACAGATGAACACTATCAACTCCTCGACGTGCGGCTCCAACGAACAACCAACCTCCTTCACCACCCGCATCCACAATCATGATATAATCCTGCATCTCATCATGATATAATCTCTACTTCTGCATATAATTCTCTCATATCTTCACACTCACAGATGTCCTCGCGCTCGGTCTCGATCGCGTACTACGACCCCTTCGGCGTCGCTCCCCACGTCATCCGCGACATCCAATCCCGTCTCCCTCTCCGCAACCTCCACTGGAACCACCCACCCCGCCCGCTCCGCACAATCGCCACTCTCTCCGTCAACCTCTACGAAGACACGCTTGCAGACGGCCCGCAGGCCCCGCAGCACCAGATCCCGGGCCTGCTCGATACGCCGTACATGCGAATCATCCTCGTCAAATGCGAAGACAACGACACCTACCGCGCCAGCGTGCGCAAAATCATCCGCGAGTGGTTCACGTCCAAAGTCGCATCCCAGCGCGACTCAACCGAGTGGATGCTCTTCTTCTTTGACCCACACTCCGCCACCGGCACCTCCTCCGCAGCCTCCTCCCTGCGCTTCAAATCAAGCGTGTTCAACAAGATCAAAGCGGACTTCAACACGAGCTCGAAAGAAGACCGCTGCGTGCTCGTCAAGATGGGCTTGGATCCTGCGGATGATCAAAAGATGTGGACGGACGCTATGATTAGCATCCGCGACGGGATCCTCGACGCGTTTGGTAAACGCGTGCAGATGTATGAGGATGAGGTTAAGAAGATGGAGGCTAAGAAGACCATCCCTGGATGGAACTTTGCGACTTTTTTTGTGATGAAGGTGCGCTTTGCTTCTGTATTTGATGTGGACGTTTGCTGATCTATGTAGGAGGGACTGGCGCTCGCGTTTGAACATGTCAGTTTACTCGAAGACGCCCTGATTCAATACGACGAGCTCGACGCGACTTTTATGCAACTACTACAAGGTAAGCACCACCCACCACCTCCAACAATCCCACACTAACCCCCACAGACAACACAATCACCTTCTTCCAAACCGTCGGCTTCAACCCAGACTCCACCCCCAAACTCCTAACCCGCGACTCCGACTCCAAAGTCCGGCACTCGATCCTCGAAAACAACATCTCGCTCTTTGATTTCCGCTGCTACCTGTTCTCGCGGCAAGCCTCGCTTCTTCTCCTGCTGATGTCGACCTCGACCTCGCCGACTATGACCGCGCTGCGCATCTCGCAGTTCTTGCTGCGCACGCGCAACTTTGCGCTCGAAACGAGCAAGATGCTTGTCTCGAATGGGAAAAACCCGTTCCTGGTCGCGAATTGGGTGTATGGCATCATCCAGGAGGTCATGGATGCGACGGAGGTTCAGCCGAGGGTTATCCAAGGCGGGCGCACGCGCGACGTGGCCGAGGGACGCGCGGAGCTGTTGTTGCTTGCGCGGTCGTCGATCGAGCAGCTTGCGGCGCGGAAAGGGTGGTACGCGGACGACACCGGTAATAACAACTTTGAAGACGTCAGCTTGGTGAAAGACGAGGCGGCTACAACCTCGAAAGAAGAGGAAGACGAGCTGCTGGACAAATACTTAAACCCGAAGTTAAGAGAGATAATCAACAACCAGGAGAGTTTCATGACGAGTTACATGGACCTCACCGACTCCGCGCGCGCGTTCTACGAGTCCGCAGACCGCACGAGATCGGTCGACAAGCTGCGCGCGCAAATGGCGGTGATCAAATACCACCGCAAAGAGTACGAAGCCGCCGTGACGCTGATCGCGTCGCTTCCGCAGCTGTACCTGCACCAGGGCTGGGAACTTATCTCGACAAACCTGTACGTGATCTACGCCGACTGCTTGTTCAATCTCGGGCGGAAAGAGGAGTACTTGAAAGTCGCGCTGCAGATCATTGCTAGCAAGAAGATTGTGAGCAAGGATCTTGTTTCTGAGCTGTGTTTGCGCGTGATTGAGATCTGCGCGGACGAACGCAAGGCAGACGCAGAGCCGCTGTCGTTCCCGCTCGGATCGCTGTTCACGACCTCGCTGGGTCGGAAGATCACGGTGTCGGAGGTGGAGGAGGATAAGTTCTCGGTCAAGCTCCAGGTCGAGAACCCGTTTGATGTTGACTGGCCTATGGACTCGATCTCTGTCCGACTGGCGGAGCCCGCGGGGATGAAATACACCGTCCTGTTTGAGAGCAATAGTAAAGTCCTCCTCAAAGCAGGCTCGACCTCGGAGCTGCAGCTCTGGACGACGCATAGCGTGCCGGGCGTGTACGAGATTGACAATATCGAGTTCAAGCTCGGCGCGCTGGTGTTGGTGAAAGACTACCACGGCAGCGAGGCAGGCGTGCTTCCGAACCAGCGCATGCGCATGTACCAGCAACCAGGCAGCATGAACGTCAAGCTCTCGACCGCACGCAGCATCCGACTCGATGCGCCCAAACGGGTCACGGTCGAGGTGCATACCGGGTGGAACGAGGTCGTGCGCGCAAAAGTGACGGCGCGGAGCGCGTCTAGTGGGACGAGGATCGTGGTCGGCGACGCGAAGGGCGCGGTCGCGGCTGAGGGTGCGGCGGATGAGGAGGAGGAGGACGCGCGGAAGCCGTTGGAGGTGAAGGGAGTTGCGGGCGCGCCGTCGACGGTCGAGGTCGGTGCTGTCGGGCGCGAGTCGGTGGTCTACCTGACGATGCCGTACGTGGCCGAGGTCGACGTAAAAGAGCTATATCTGCGGGTAATTGTCGAGTTCTCTACATCTTCAGGCGAGAGCTACTCGGTCGCCGTAGTGCGACACGTCTCGATCTCGCTCTCGCTCGCGGTCAACGTGCAGGACATTTTCAAGTCGACCGCGCTGTTTTCCAAGTTTTCAATCTCGTGCGTGGGCCTCGTGGTGCCGCTGCGGGTGCTCTCTGGCGAGTTGGTCGAGTGCGCGGATTATACCGTCAAAGGCGGGCGCGGGACGATCGGCCGGGACTACGTCGCGTTTCCGAAGCAGCCTGTCACGTTTTCGTACCGGATCGAGCGAAGCGCGTCGTACATGGCTCCGCAGCGGAAGAAAGTTCCCCCCGAGCCTTTACTGCTCAAGATCAAGTACCGCCGGCTCGAGGACGAGATGCGGCACACGATCAGCGAGCTTGTCCGGCGCAAGATCGCCGAGGGCGAGTACGAGCGGCGGTTGAGCAAGTACCAGATGCTGGTCGAGCTGCATATCTTGGCGCTGATGAAGGTCGATTTGGCGGCGTACGGGTTTTTGGATAGGATTGTGATGGGGCCGTATGTGCGTGCGCAGTGGGAGTCGTTGCTTTCGATTGTGGAGGAGGCGGATCGCGCGAGTTTGGAGCAGATTTTGGAGCAGATCTATACTGTAAGTTTGCTTCATCACATCTAGTGCTTTGATAGTATTACTAACGTTACCAGAACCTGGCAAGAGAGCCGGAAGAGGTACTCGGGACGCTCACGAAAGAACTCGTGATCCCGGTCGAGGTGCCGACAGTGCAAGTCCTGTTCACGCTCGAACTTCTCTACACGCCCGTCGCGCTCGATCCCTACGCTCCCGCCGAGCCGTCGCCGATGCAATTCGTGTTTTCAGACAAAGTCTTCTACGTCGGCCACCCGATCCCCATCACCGTCCGGCTATCGTCCTCGCGCGGCTGGGCGCCGCGCAACATCCCAGACATCTTCTCCACCTCCGCGATCGAGTTTTCCTACGACGTGACCGCCAGCGCGGACAACTGGTTAATCTCCGGCAAAAAGAAGGGACATTTCACAGTCTCGGACGCGGTGTTTGAAGTCGAGCTTCTGATCCTGCCGCTGAAGCACGGGAATTTGCTGTTGCCGACGATCGAGGTGCGGCCGAGTTCGAAAGCGCACGAGAGTATTTCTGCTGAGGTGGAGTATAAGAATAGTGCGGAGTCGGTGCTGGTTTTGCCGGAGGTTTCGAATGTTAATTTGGCGGTTGAGTGATGTTGTTGTTGTAGTTTAGAAGAAGTAGAAGAAGTGAATGTACATATTCGATATCAATCAGCGATGCGAGGAAGGCGTGCGGCGGGGGTATAAACCACGATTCATAGAAGTTATCGCCATCTAATCCAGACACGGAGGTTTGCCAGCAATGGCGCACGATATATAACTACTTGATTTCTTCTGTGACTTGAAACAGAGGAAGAAGGAGAAATACGACTAGGATCCGTGGACGAGTGCGCAGGATGTCGCGCGCGAGAAAGAGAGTCAAGACGGACGCGGAGGGCGAGAGTCTGCATCCTGATCTACGCACTGCCGGTGCCGAGGCGCGTGAAAGAGGGCGAGTAGCACCTCAAACTACACCGGAGCAGTATACAGAACAAGAAGATGAGAAGGATGAGGATGAGGGTGAGGAGGAGGAGGAGCTACATCTGCCGCAGATCAGCAGGGCCAAACCCGCGCGCCGACGGCATCAAGGAATAAACACGCTCCAACTCCTCAGCGGCGCCACGCACGCAGCACACACACTCACCATCAACAGCAAGAGCAAAACCAAGTCTGCGGGAACAGAAGTCGGCGATGCTACGCATACGCAACCTGGGCCGCGGTTCGCGCCGGTGAGGGCTTCGAAAGGTGGTGGTCGGGGAAGGTTGAGGATCGACTTTTGTGAGTTTTTTTGTCTGCTGATTTTGTCTGCTGATTTGTCTGGTTGGAGAGGTGGGGCGAGGAAGAGCGTGGGCTGATGTGGTTTGAATTTGAGTAGGTCCGAGTTTGTGGAGACCGAATTACGGAAACGAAGACAAGTTTCTGAATCGCGCTCCGACGACGACGACGACGACGACGACGACAACGATAACCCACCGAAACCAGAACCAGAACCAGAAGACATCCAAACAAAGACACAGCATCCAACCATCAACCCAAAAGCACCCGACCAACCCACCCTATCCGACCAACAATCCCTCGTCGCGCACGGCAAGCTCATCGAAGTCCCCGTCCAGATCAACCAGCGTCGAAACGCTCGGCCTGCGCAGCAGACGAAGAGGGCGGGCAAGAGTGCTGCTGACGCTGAGAGGGAACGAAAGTTGAATATCGAGGGACGACTTAACTCTGTCCTTGCCGAGAGTAGCAGTACGTTTTGTCTCCCGTCTTCAGCTCTGCTTACTCTTACTAACATGCATATCTACTTCTTACAGTCTCCTCGGCATACCTCCGCCCACCATTCGAAACCTCACAAAGTATCACGCTGGAGGATATAGAGCAGCAACTCGAAGACGAAGAAGCGAAGCGGTCGAACGCCGCCGAGAATCGGAAAAAGGCGCAGGCGGAGCGGGTCGCAAGGGAGAAGATCGAGATGCAGCGAATGGCGCGCAGGGCTGCGGATTCTTCTACGAGGCGGTAGTGTATATTACTATGATGATGGGAGTTGGGGGCTGTTGCATGGGTTGATTGTAGATGACATATGCTTATATACATTGACTGTTAAAGCTCAAACTATCTGAAAAAGGCAATTACTTTTTAAACTAAAACGAGATAATAACAGAAATAAAAATCACTCGTCGTCATCCTCGTCGTCGTCCTCGCTTTCCTCCTCAGACTCAGCCTCCTCCAACCAAGTTAAGAACGGCTGCGCGGCCTTGCGCACCTTTTTGCTCGTATCCTTGTCGACGTACTTCTTGCTCGCACGCGATCCCCACTTTGTCACGACTTCCTCCGAAATGAGGTCGTAGTTGTAGTACATGTGCAAGATCTTTGGGATCGCGGGGATCAGATCAGGCTGCTCGAGACCGACGAAGCGCTCGGTTCCGCCGAGCAGAGCCTTTTCGTGGTTTTCGCTCGCAATCAGTTTCTTGAGCAACGGCGCGCGCTCCTTGATTTGCGCGAGAATGTTTTTGTCAAACAGCGTCTGCGCGAGCACCTGCAGCGTGCGATGCTTGTTTTCGATCCCGAGCTCCTTGATCTTCTTAAACACCTCGACGTTGTTCGGCTTCTCGGCCTGCTCGAGGATCCAGTTACCCAGCTGCGAGTAGTTGTCGTTTGCGTCTTCGTCGTCGTCGTCGCCGAGGCGCATTCCGCGCACCTGGGCCTCGAGCTCCTTCTGGCGCTGCTCGACGGCCTCCTTGGACGTGTCGACGGCCCAGTCATCGTCGTCGTCGTCGTCGTCGTCGGCCGCGGCGACGAGCGTGGCGGGGGGAAGACCTTCAGCCTCAGCGGCGATGCGCTTCGTGAGCTCGTCGTCGGAGCCCTCTTCCTCGTCTGCGTCGTCGTCGCCGGACTTGTTCTTCTTGCTCTTCTTGATCGCGGACGCGGTGCCCTTCTTCGAGCTCGAGGACGACGGCGGGTTCTTGACGATGACGCCGGCGAGCTTGTGGCGGATGTCGATGGGCGAGCGCTTGCCGCAGGCCTTGCAGTCCTTGTAGATCATCTGGTCCTTGGTGATGACCAGGTCTGTCTCGGGGTTGCGGCACGAGGTGCAGAGCACGAACTTGTTGATAAACACGTCGAGCAGGTCCTGCAGCTTGGGCGCGTCGTGTGCGCCGTTGACCATGTAGCGGTCCGTGGTCTCGTTGATGGAGGTCTGCGCGCCGAGCTCGAGGCCAAAGAACTTTGTGACGTACATGGGCGGGCGAGCGAGCGCGCGCGCGACGTCCGCGTTGTTGACGATGACGGTCTTGATGCCGTTGCCGCGGCCCTCGATCTTGGACACAATCAGCGGCATCTTGTAGCGATAGAAAGGATCATGGTTGTCGCGCTGGATGTTGACAGACATGGTGGCAGCGGGGTAGGTTTAGCGGGGGGTTGTGGGTATTGACGGAGCGCGGGTGGCGTGGAAGAAGCTATGGTAGAGCAGCGAACAAGGCATAAGCGTGCGTAGCGGGGAGAGCACTGCAGGAGGTGAGGATGGGGAGAGAGGAGGAGGAGGAGGATGAAATTATTTCTGCTGCTGCTGACAGTAGAAGGGGTTTAGTGTAGTTACATAAGCCATTACAAACAGTATTACATAATCTCTTACAGCACAAACGCACCAACGCCGAGTGCACCGCGACGGTGATGTTTTTTCCCCTTTGCAGCTCGGAACCCGCTCACACGACTCCGAGGCCTCGCTTTGTTTGTTTACTTTTCCGCCGCGTCCTCGTCCTCGTCTGGTTCTTCGTCTGTTTCCTGTTTGCCTCCACATCAGATGGCTTCCGCTGGCACGCTCTCGGCGGCCGCTGGCATCAAGCGTAGGTGGACCCACTTTCTTCTTCTTCTTCCGTCGGGGCGCTGGGGCAGAGATCACGGCGCCGCACAGCTCAGTCACCGTCGCTGGTTCGCGATGTTGAACCTGCTCTGACCGCAGTTGTCGCTTCTTCGTCGGGCTGCTGCTATCTGTCGATTATCTACTCTCGTCTGACTCAGTCCTGCTTGTTGGGCGTTGTTCGCCGTGCTGCTCGGCCGTCGAGCGCGTGCTTTACGCGTCTCTGCTCATCCCATCGCATCGCCGCCCGACGCGCCTTCTATTTACCTCTCCCCACAACTAACCTCCCCTCTTCTTCCACACAGCATCGCCTTCTGATTCCATCTCCCGACTCGCCGCCGACGCCCTTCTCACCCGCGTCTTTGGCGCAAACGCCGCCTCATCCACCCCCGTCTCTCTCCGCGCAGGCGCATTCTCGCTCTCCTCCACCTCATCGTCTTCCTCCTCCTCCTCCTCCCTCTCCTCCTCAACCTCCTCCTCAACATCCGCCTCTTCTGCCTCCTCGACCGCAGAAGCAGACCCCACATGGCAGGAATACGCCCGCATCCTCGAAGAAGACGACCGCGAGCGCGACGCCTCGCTCTCGCCCGACATCGTCGACCAGGACTCCCCCGCCCCGCGCCTCGGGCCATCCGACAAACTCGCCTTCACATCCGCAAACCCGCTCACCGCCAGCCTCGACTACGCCATCTGCTCGACCTGCAGCAGACCGTTTCTCAAGCACGTTCTCGTCAAGCACATCCGCGACTGTCTGTCGCAGGCCCAGGCTGTCGAGCAGCAGGCCCTCAAGGGCAAGATCACCTCCATGGCCGACAGTAAAGCCAAAGACACCATCCGCGTCCACACTGCCACCGGCAGCGGTAGCGGCGGCGGCGGCAAAGACAGCAAGTCCGACAACGCAAAAGCCAACCGCTCCGGCGGCGGGAACGACAGCCAAAGCGGCGGCGCGGCGGGTGGTGCCTCGGGCGCTGGCGGCGGGAGCGGGGGAGGGAACGGCGGCAACGACGGCGACAAAGACAAAAAGAAGAAAGACAGCTCGTCGAGTTCAAAGAAGCGCAAGGCCGACGGCGCGGACTCGGAGAAACCGGTGTCGAAGAAAAAGAAGCAGACCGTCAAGGCTGTGCCGAAACCAAAGGGCCCTGTCGACGTCGAGCGACAGTGCGGTGTGCCACTTCCCAACGGCGGTTTTTGCGCGCGGTCACTGACGTGCAAATCCCACTCCATGGGTGCGAAGCGCAACGTCCCGGGCCGGTCACAGCCATACGATGTCCTGCTCGCGGCCTACCAGAAAAAGAACCAGCTGAAGCAGGCAGCGCTGACCTCATCCGCGCAGCTGGCAGAGGACATGGAACTCGCAAACGGACCGGTCGATTCGGACGAGGAAGTCGAATCCGTCATGGACGGCGTCCATCGTTCGTTCCCGGTCCCTCTCGAGCGCAAGGTCGTCATGCCGGTCCGCATCAAACACCAATTCTTCCGGATGCGTGAGATGTTTGCCAGCGCGTTCTCCCGACCGATATAAGTCCTTCCTCCTTGACATACTAGCCTCTGTACAATAGTTTCTTGTGAAATATTTTCCATTATTTGTTGACTACTTATTCCTATAATCGGGTTTTGCTTATTTGAATGAGATTTCTTTCTTCTTTTGTTTTGCGGCGTTTCGCTTTGTTGTGTATTTTGTTGTTATATTTGCATTAGCTGAGAAAGAAGATATTTGATCACTCCTACTCCATCTCTGCTACTCTAAGTTATTAAACCTCCGTCGTGTATTAAATTCTGTAATATCGTAAACTGAAAAACTACCCAAGATCCTAGCCAGCACTAGATTATTATTAAGAGAAAACACCGTCATGCAAAATCAAAAGCTGCTCCATCAAACCACAAACACCCTCGTCATTACTATTATTAAAAAGACTCTAAATTGTCAGAGAAGAAGGGAAGTTCATACAGCGCTTACTGTAATCGGAAAACTTCAGGTATCAGCGCAATGTATCCGACAGTCACGGCGATCGAGGTCAGGAAGACCGGGGTGCCGCTGGTGAGGAAGTATTTTGCTGGTTTTGTACGCATGAGGAATTTGTTGGATGAGATCCGGCGACCGAGACCGATGAACATGAATGATAGCGCTGGTAGTCAAAATTTAGTTAGAGAGGGGTAAAGAAAAGATGAATATAGAAATTTCGGCATACCGATGGCGGAGAACCAGGCACCGATGGGGTAAAACTCGATATCAAACAGACGAAGGATGGATAAGCCTGTATCGTGATAATCGTTAACTTCTAGCTCTGACCGCACCTCTGTTCAGATACATACCCATCGTCAGCTCGAGCATAGCTGTTCGCATATAAGCGCCTTCATATGTTCTTTGGAAAGCTTCATCGTAGCGTTAGCTCCTACTTGTAAAGTGAGTCGCCCAACAAGCCATGCGTACCTCTGAATATCACGTTAGCTACAACTATCTCTAACAACCTCATTAGCACAGAACATACCTAATTTCAATAATCTCGGTATTGTCGGTGAGAATGAAATCCTCCGCCCGCTTCAGGTTCTGGTCCTCGGTATCGTTGACCAGTGTCTTTTGTAATTCTCTTGTCAGCAAGCTACAGCCAATAACCACTAAACAAAACATTCACAGTCCTACCTCGTCCGGAGTATGAAACGCGGTACTCATTGTCGCTATCTTCCTCAATCTGTCGATATCGTCAAAAGGTACGCGCTGCCCGCGATAGCAGATATGCGGAGGAGCCTAAAATAATCACGTGAGATCACATGACTGAAAGCCGCTGCGTTGGCGCAGATAAAGCAAACGTACAAACGCCTCGGAAATGTAAACAAAACAAAACACCGCCTCAGCGCCGTGGTTCGCGCTCAGCCTGCTGTTTACTTTGATCTGCGCAATCGTTCTACAAAGGTGAGCTTGTTTCGGTGCGTGGGATTGCTGCGGGGGGTTGATAGAGAACGCGAGTGCTGACCTGTGAGGAACATTGAGCAGTTGAAAACATGTCTGAGTCCATTGGCGTCGTCCAAGATGCCCCCATTACATCCGTAGTCGGATATCCGCGTCTGCAAATCATCGACGAGGACAAGCAATTCTCGTACGTGTCGCGGTTCTGTTTGCTATGAATTTATGCTGACTGTCTGCGTGTGCTCCAGTGAGGATGTCAACTCGTATCTGGACAAAATCGGCCTGCTCGATAGCGGGATGAACTACCACCTGATCTCCGTCTTTGGCAGTCAGTCCACGGGCAAGAGTACTCTGCTCAATGCCCTTTTCGGCACAAAGTTCGATGTCATGGACGAGACTGCGCGCCGGCAAACGACCAAAGGTCTGTTGATTTCCTCATTGTGCGCCTCGCTGTAGTATATGCTAATATTCAAGTCATTAGGTATCTGGATGTCTCGAGCAAAGCAGGATCGCATCTTGATCATGGACGTCGAAGGAACCGACGGTCGCGAGCGCGGCGAGGACCAGGACTTTGAACGCAAAGCCGCCTTGTTTGCGCTATCGACCTCCGAGGTTCTCATCGTCAACATCTGGGAGCACCAAGTCGGTCTCTACCAGGGCGCCAACATGGGCCTGCTCAAGACGGTGTTCGAGGTCAACCTGAGCCTGTTTAGCAAGCCAAATAAGTCGCTTTTGCTCTTTGTCATTCGGGATCACATCGGCGTCACCCCGCTCGAGAATCTAGCCGCCACACTTTCGGCTGATCTCGAGCGGATCTGGGATTCGCTGATCAAGCCACCCGCGCTCGCGGATTCGAAAATCACCGACTTCTTCACGCTTCAGTTCACAACCCTGCCTCACAAGATCCTGCAACCGGAGCAGTTCTTCACCGCGGTCGACCAGCTCGGCAACAGATTTATCGCGGACGCAAAGGACACCAACTACGTCTTCGATCCAAAGTTTCACCGCAACGTCCCGGCCGACGGCTGGAGCATCTACGCCAAAAGCATCTGGGAGCAAATCGAGCTCAACAAGGATCTCGATCTGCCCACCCAGCAGGTTCTGGTCGCGCGCTTTCGCTGTGAGGAGATTGCTGGTCAGGCCTGGGAGGCTTTCGAGGCAGCGATCAAGCCTGTCGAGGGAATGGCGGGTGTTGTCGCGGGTCTTGGCGCGATTATCGGGCCTGCGAGAAGCAAGGCTTTGGAGGTTTATGAGTCGCAGGCGTCACGGTATACGACCAGTGTCTATGAAGAGAAGAAGAAAGAGCTGGTTAGCAAGATCGATCTGCGTCTGGTTCAGCTGTATGCTGCGCAGATCATCAATCTCAAGAAAATTGCCGTGCAGAAGTTCAGTGCTGATGTTACCGCCGAGCTCGCAAAGCCAAAATACAAGTTCCTGGAAGCCGTCGGCACCGCCAAGCGAGAGACGATGACGATATTTGAAGCTGCAGCAGCGGAAGCGCTGGTAGAGGGGACTTCCCTATCCTATGAGAAGGATCTAGCCGCGCTGAGTGCTGATCTTGAGGCCAACATTAGCAGACTGAGAGAAGGTGAGTCAAAGAGATTGGCTAATCGGATCACTCGCGTCGTGGCTTCTGAGCTGGATGAATCGCTGCCCTCGATCTTTAGAAGTCCCGGCGAAGACATGTGGGATCGCGTTATGCTTGACTTCCGTGAGACTGTTGCGACCGCGCTTGCAAAGTACGAAGTCACCAACGAGGAAGGCGAGACCAAGTATGACTTTGGATTGGGAGGACTTCCCGAAGAGGTTTCTGCGGAGATTGATCAGGTTCTTATGGACGCATGGAAGGTTCTGCACCGGAAAATTCGAGAGTTTGGAAAGGCGGAAGCTGTTCTTCTCCGTCTGCGCGAGATCTTTGAGACTAAATTCAAGTACGACGAAAAGGGTGTGCCGCGCGTGTGGAAGCCGTCCGACAACATCGAAGAGGTTTACACCACGGCCTTGAACGAGACGATGGAGCTTATCCCCGTCATGACGAGCGCCAAGCTTGCGAACGGTGACCCTGTGGCGCCGGATGCGGCGATAATCCCCGTTCTGGAGCGCGACGAGGAAATCGATGTGGAGAAGTTCTCGGTGTTTATGAGTCGCACGCAGACCGAAGAGCTGCGTCAGAGTTTCAAGCGAATCGCGGTGTCGATGTACGTTGACGCGAAGCGGAGCACGATCCAGAGTATACGGCAGATTCCGCTGTATTTCTACATTCTCTTGCTCGTGCTTGGCTGGAACGAGATCGTGGCGGTGTTGCGTAACCCGCTTTATTTTGCGCTCTTGGCTATCATGGCCGGTGGTGCGTATGTGACCTATTCGCTCGGACTGCTGGGACCTATTACCTCTGTTGGTGGAGCGGCCTTGGATCAAGCTCTGGCGATGGGCAAGGAGAAGTTGAGAGAAGTGCTGCTGAGCGCTGAGCAGCCTCATGGCCATGCTACGGCTGTGAGCGGAAACAGAACCGCGATAGCCGAGCCTGGAACGTTGAAGGATGACATCAAGCTCGACGATTTGAGCGCGTCCGGCAAGACACTTGAGACTAGCAAGGAGAGAAGCGCGCCCGGTGGATTTTAGGATGCTGGGTGGGCAGGTATATAGTCTTTTCTTTTTTCTTTTGTGAGAGAAGGTTTTGAGTGATGTATATCTTAATAGTGTATATATATTAATTGTAACTATCCATTGAAGTTGAGAGTGTTGGCGATCAAAGAGCGTCACGCATGGCTTTGACGGTCGTTATTTGAGCGAATCCATAGCGCAGGTTTGTCAAACTTGCCTCCTGCATCTCGGCGTTCAACGTCGCGTTCCCGTCCTCGGGGAAGTAAACGTAAAAGTCCCTATTAAACGCCGACCTCGCGGTCGTTTCGCAGCATAGATTCGTCATCGTCCCAGTAATAACCACAGCATCGACCATTGCCTCGCGCAAGAGCAGTTCGAGATCGGTATGCATGAACGCGTCGTAGCGGTCCTTGTTCAGCAGCCGATGGATATTTGACGCGTGGATGGAGGACAGCGGTTCAAGCTCGCGCATCATTTGCCAGGCGGGCGAGTATTGCTCGATCGAGCCTTGCTTGCCCCACCAGCGAACGAGCTCGGAGGTGTCGGATGCGATGACGTGGCCGTGTTGGGTGAAGAAGACGGGTTTGTCGCGGGCGATGAAGTCTTCGATGCTGTGTGTGCAGTGCACTTAGCAGCCAGTTCTTGTGTAAAAGCAGATCAGCAGGTTTGCGACTTACAGAGGGATCAGAACAGGGCAGAGATCAGCTGCGGTGTGTCTGAACTGTTCTTGCATGTCAATCACGACCAAGGCCGCGTTGGAGAGATCAATTGCTGCGGTCTGCGCGGATCTGAATGCCATACTATCGCAATAAAACTCTTAATCAAGTAGTGTGAATCGTCAAGCACAGCAAAGAAACAGAAAGACAGAGCACAGAACAGTCGTTTGATCCGGTTTTTGCATGATCTGGAATCCGGGGAAGTGGGATGCATCGCGCTGATGTAATTATCACGTGACTAACGCTTGAAGTTCACAGACTTTATCGACTTCACACTGCTTGCAGCGAGTCGTGTTATTTCAGATCCAGACGCGATGTCAACGAAAAGCCGGAAACTGTCGCGAGACAGTGCGGCTACTGACCGGCGCCGGTCGTCGACTATGGCTGCTGCTGCTGCAGCTGAGCGCTATCCGCCGGAGGAGGCGAAGGGTGAAGAAGACGGCGAGGAGGAGGACGCGTTGGCGAAGAGCGTGAGGTTTAACGGACTTTTGCTGGCTGCTGATGGGCGGCCGGATTACGAGTCTCTTGCCGAGCCGCTGTCTATGAAGGAGACGTATGTATAACTGCTGTTGTTGTTGGGTATTTAGTGGGTTGGAGCTGACATTGATATCAAATCACCAGTGAAGCAATCTCAGTCTCCCTCGAACGTTCCCGCCGAAGCTGGCTTCTCGGCTCCCCCTTTGAGAAATTCTGGAGCCGGCCCCAACGAGGTCGGAAGCACGCCGACGGCACAAACTCCAGAGACCTGATGTCCAAGTTCCACGACTGCACGGCGATCATTGGACCTCATAGCTTTGTGCTGCGGATGTATTCCGTCAAGGATGAGAATGAACCGAAAGTTCCAAAGGGGAAGAAAGCGTCGCTGGGGGGTGGACAGGTCGCGTCACCGGGTTATGGAGCTCCGGTGACGCCGGGTTATGCTACGCCGTCTAATCAAACGCAGCCGGTTAACTCTCCTCAGATACAGTCGTCGCCTCTTCGGCCGCCGGAAAATCAAGCTACGCCCAGTGCGCCGATGAATGCTGGAGCGCCGAGCACAACCGCGGTAGCGGCGTCTGCTCCTCCGCCGACTCCATCAGTTGCGCAGGATACCTCTACAAAGCCAGAAACTACGACTTCTTCTACAGAAACTCCTCAGCCTTCAGGGTCTATCAATCAATCCGCCGAATCCGAGAGCGCGACCGAGATCAAGGAGCCCTCTAATCAAGATACAGAGCCAAACCCACAGGAATCACCTAACAATACTGAATCTAATCCCGTACCGTCAGAACCAGAGTCATCAACAAATCCCGAGGAGCCACAGGCTGCAAGAGAGCCAGAGAAGGCGCAGGCGTCCGAGCAAGCGTCAGAACCAGCGCAAGAGCAAGCGGTAGAGAAGGCACCAGAGCCAAAGCCTGTGCCTACAGCGGAGACGAAAGTGTCGGATTTGCAGTCAGAACCTGCTCCTGCTCCTGCTCCTGCTCCAGCGCCTGTGGCTGCCCAGACTTCAGAAAGTATGCAGAAAGACAGTAACGAGACAAAAACAGAGACGTCTACAGCCCCTGAGTCTACGGAAATGCCACCTCCTTCTGCTCCGGCACCGGCTCCAAATACTTCCGTTGCAACGCAGCCCGCTGCTGGGCCGTCGTCTGCTGAAGCACAGGCTCCTCAGCAGGCTCCTCAGCAGGCTCCACAACAGCCACCCCAGCAGACCGCCCCGCAAGCTCCACCTCGACCACCTGCGCCTCCTCCCCCACGCCATCCCAACGACGGACTTATTGAGCGACTACATGCGTTAGCAGCTGCGGACCCTCAGTTTGGCGAGCTCATGAAAGTGGTTGCTTCTGGAAAAGCGAGCCCTGAAGATATCCGGAGGTTCCAGGTTTACATCCAAGAACACCGCGATGTGCAGCCGCTTCCCAGGCCTCTTTTGCCTGCTACCGCGTCACATGGCCCGGTCGGTGCACCGTATCGCCCGTACTCCTCGTCACCTTACCGACAGCCTGTGGCACGCACTCCTATGAAACCAAAGCCGGAGCCAAAGAAGGTGGTGAAACTGCCCGAGCCGTTGAGGCCGCTGAATATAGTGTTTGAGTTTAGAGAGGTACCGAGCGCGCGGTATGTGTTTCCAAAGATGTCGTTGATTGATGAGCAGCCGGACGAGTCGCTTTCAGTCACGTTTTTTGCGCTGAGCGAGGGGCCTTCGTTGGACGGCAGCTCAGGAGGTGTGGCGGCGGAGGAAGTGCCGGCGACGGCTGAGAAGGGTTCAGCAAAGAAGCGGAAGAAAGATGAGGCTGCTGATGCTGCGGCTAGTAGCAAGAACGACGAAATGCCGACGAAGCTCACGGCCGCAGAGAAAAAGGCATTGAAAAAGAAAGAAAAAGAGGCAGGCGCGAGAGCAGAAAAGAAGATCGAGCCAAAGTTCTACACTCCAATCACGATGACTCTACGCGGCATCCCGGAGCGAGAGCGCAAGGTGTTTGCGATTTCTATGAAGCCGAGAACGGAGGTGCTGGAGTACATGCGAAAGACGGCGTCGACTCTGAAGCACGCGAGGGATTACTGGGTGTACTACCAGGTGAACGCGAAGGATGCGGAGATGATTGATAAGGTTGTTGAGCCGATTGGAGTTAATCATCCGAGCATGAAGAAGAGACCCTGGTCGTCAGCGAAGGATAAGGAGAAGGAGATGGTATGTGTACTCTACTTTTCTACTCTACACTCCACACCTGTTATTCAAAGCTGACCTTATTCTCCAGGACTACGAGACAATCTACGTGAAGAGCCTGTGGTAGACGATAGCTTCGGGTTAGGTTTGCAAATAAAATAAAGTTTTAAGATCCCCCTGAAACTCCCAAATTCTGACGTAATCGTGAAATTGTTTACGCGTTTGTGGCGCATCCGCCGCGCGACGGGCACAAATCCCGAGCGCAGATTCCTAAATTTTTTCTTAACCCAAAGGCCGTGTTTGCACTGCTTCTCTTTGCTGTCTTGATTCTTTGCTTGTTTGAGCTTTGTTCTTCTGCATATCCAGCATGGCGATCAAGAAGAAGCCGACCTCTGATCCGCGGCGGAAGCATAAGGTCTGTCTTTTGTTCTCCAGGTTGTATAGCTCCCGGGCATGGCTAACATCTTTCTGTTCCCGCAGTTCTTGTCCTTCCGTGAGCGCGTCGATAATATCAAGATCGACCCCCTAAGACGCGCAAAAAGACATGAAGATATCGGCGATAAAGTGAGTTGGTCTATCTGTGTTGTTGGTCTAGACCCGTATCTGACGCTGCGAGCTACAGGAGACGGAATCATTCTTCCACGTTGCTTTGCAAACCTGGAGAGATCTCAACAGCACAAAATGTTTTACCGATTTCCTGCACCATGTGGCGCCGATTTCACAGTCACTTCCGCAGGTGCTATATCACAAGTCTGAGATCTTTGACCGGTTGATCACCGCTATAGCCGAGAAGGAGAGATTTGCTTTACAGCCTCTGCTAGAGTAAGTCTGCACCAAACTCCGCTGATTGAACAAAAGTTTGCTAACGGGTGGATCAATAGTCTACTGGTTCAATTTGCTCACGATATCGGTCCGGACTTTGAAGAGTTCCTGTCGAGAGCGATTACGGTCCTCATAACCGTCGCCACGCATGAGGAGCTCGAGGTTGTTGAGGTAAGACATTTCATCAGTACTATCAATATGCTCATTTGCTAACATGTGCGTTTAGTGGACTTTCAACTGCTTGGCATATCTTTTCAAACATCTGTATAGATTCTTGGTTACCAAACTGTCTGACACATTTGAGTAAGGCCTTCTTCGATTCTACCACCTGTTTTTCTTAATCATCTCGTTCTGACAGTTCTCTGCAGTCTTATATCGCCCCTCTTCTCGCAACAAGAACGTCGCCCCTACCTCTCCAGATTCGCCGCCGAGTCCTTTTCCTTCTTCCTCCGCAATGCCAAATCAGTCGATCTCTTTGTCGACCACGCCTTCGAGCAGCTCTCAAAGTCAAACTCGAAAAACTTCGAGGCGGCAATGAGTATCATGTTTGCCGAAGCGCTCAAGGGTCCCGATGCTGCGCTGCATTCGAAAGCGGGGAAACTTGCTCGGAAACTGCAGGATTACTGTACGGTGGAGCAGCATGAGAAGGATTTCTTTGTATTTTTGGATATTATCACTGATGTCTTGCATCATGTGAACAACACCACGTCTGAGGCGCTCTATGAATCACTATACAAGTGGATGAAGAAGCAGCTCAAAAAGGATGACGTTACAGCCGAAAAAGTATGGATGATCACAAAAGAGATGTTCCTACTGACTGGTTTACGACGCGGCAGCCGTGTTCCAAACTGGGACGAAACTCTTGCTGTCTATCGCGAAATTTGTCAGACAATCTCGCGTTTGCCGCGCTCGGAAGCTCGGGGTCGTGCTTGCTGGGAACTTTGCAAGCTCACACAGTGTCTGCTGCAATATAACGACGATATCGAAGAATCTGTGGCAAGCAGGATCATTGAGACTATTTATCTTCTAGACGATGGCGAATATTTCATCCCGTTCTGCGATTACATTATTGATCTCAGGACAAAGAATGACATGACGAGAATCGTTTGGTTGTACCTGCAGCGATACCTCGACGGCGTCAAGTCGATGAACGATTACACTGTTCTCGCAGTTCTCGAAATCTTGAAGAAGTGGTGGTCGATTACGGGACGATCCGATACCGACGCTCCGATCAAAGGAAACCAACATCTCAGAGACTCGTTGCTACAATCAGTCACCAAAACCTCTGGACTCATTCGTTCAGGAGAAGCTAGTACCGCTGAAATTCTCTCATTGCTGCCTCGCTTAGAACTGTTGAACCGCATTTTTAACTCCACTGTCGAGACCAAGGACTGTATTCTGGAGCTGGTAAAATCTTTCAGTGAGGAGAGTTTGGAACTGTCAGATTCATTGATCAAAGTATACGGTATCGCACTTTCGTTGCTGGCGAACTATCTGCAAAAGTGTTCGGATGATGCATTGCTCGAGGACGTCCTCGGTGAGGCTTACGAGAGAGTGGCTGCGATGAAGACGAATAAGCAGTTTATCAATGGATTGGTTGCAGTTGTGGATTTGTCTATGAAGTACGTTGTTTACCTAATGCCTCTTTTCTCTTATGTTGCTGATATCTAACATTGCTGCCGTCTAGATCTAAATCCATCTCGCAGCACGATAGCGTGCAGAAAATTTTCCAAAAACTATCAGCAGACTTTGAATCACCTCTTCGATCCGTGAACCCCGGCATCCGTCTCGAGTCCCTCAGACTTCTTCAAGTTCTGTCAGGCTCTTCGGACGAAGCTTCTTCGGAAATGCTGAGTCTCTGTCTGTCGATTGAGGAAACTCCGTTTGAGCTTGCTACCGCTCGTACTTTTTCAATGAATATCAGACGGATTGCGTTGGATTTCCCTGCGCTGACGGGCGAGAGATTGAAACTTAATGTTCTGTCCTATACGTTTGGTAAGTGATCTCGAACCCCCGTGTCGTTATTATAACTATCTGTTGAAGAGCGACGCTAACGATACACTAGGCCTGTTGACTTCGCAATTCCAGCCCGTATGGACCGAAGCCGCCGCAACGCTCGCAAAGCTCGCGCAAAACAACAGGGACAAAGTCTGGGACCTGATATACGAGGGCATCACTGCCGCGGCTCCGGAAGTCAGCTCGAAGATGGACTTGGAGTTTTCATCGCTGGACGACTATGATCCGTCGTCATCGTATGAGTTTAAATGCACGCATGTGCAGTTTCTGAATACCAAAGGTGCTGAGGTTGTCGCGAGGAAGATGAATCCGATGAGGATCCTGCAGGAATTTGACGAGAAGGTATGTATCCGTGCCTTGCACATCCTTTCTACTTTTCTGACATGTTTGGTATTTAGGACACGTTCACCTCAAAAATCGATCGCGATATCATTCGGCACCGCTGCTTCGAAGTCCTCGCGAATATCAGCAAGATCGCCGAAAAGCGAAGCTCTGATTTGATTCCTCTGTTCTATTCCTGCATCGACGCTATCGGAAGGAATAAATCTCTTCTTCTCGATATACTCAAACTCTTCTCCAAGTTTAATAACCCAGCAAAATCACTTGACTCTGATAACGTTTACGACAACCTGGTTCGTTTGCTATCGAACCCGGACTCTGATGTCCAGAAAGCTGCGTTGAACTGTATATTCGCATTCGGTGACTCGGCGGTGAATCTCTACAAGGATAATCTTGAGAACTTACTCGGTGGTCAGGTGTTTAGAGACGAGATCAACAGACTGCTGTTAACGAACGAGGACGGCGCGATCATCACAGCCGAGCACGCGCCGTCGGTTATCCCGCTGATTGTGCATATCCTCTACGGCTCAGCCATCGGCCACAGCGGCAACAACAGCAAAGCCAAGAGCGCGAACCGCACGACGATTATCTCGACGATCGGCGGGCTTTCGGACGAGTACTTGCTCATGTTTGTCGGTCTTGCGTCGGAGGGAATTCCGCAGCAGTTTATGATTGACTTTTCGACTGAATCGCCGAGTATCCCTGACTACTCGCAGATGGAAATCGGACACGGGCATCTTCGTCGGATCTCGGGATTCATGACGATGGCGGAGGATATGCTCAGATTGCTTAAGGATAAGGTAGGCAGGGCTGGCGACGTGCTCTTGCAGGCTGTTATCTCGTGCATTGTGTATTGCAGAGATAGTCTGAAGGCTGGAAGCCTACCGTCCGAGAACTTGACAATCATTCGCTCGATCAGAAGTGCTGGGTTCAAGTGTCTCCACATACTGTTCCAAGACGTGCACTCTATCGACTGGAACAAGTATCAGCGGGTTATTTTTGAGGAAGTGATCATGCCGCGAATGGAATTCTTCAAAGACGAAAACACGGGCGAAGTCTCGCCTATATTCAAATTGTTTTTGGTCTGGAGTTCCTCAGAAGGATTGGTAGGCTTCTTGTCCTACAACGACACAATCATCCCGCAGATCCTCGCACTCATGGAATCCACGACGGCCAAGGAGCCAGTATATCTCGCGACGGTTCAGTTTATGGCTAACCTGATTGGGTTACAAGAAGATACAACTAAGAAGGGTCTGAAAAACTCGCTTGATAGTCTCAACAGAAAGACTTTGGAGCTGTTCCTCCCTCGCTTTGTGAAGGTTCTGTCGGGGTCAAGGTCTCCTGAACTGGTACAGCTAAGCGTGAGCGTTCTGCGCAAGATTCTCGCAATCTTTGGAGAATACATTTTGCAGAACGAGGTGCTGCTGGAGCAGCTTGTCGATGTGTGTCTTTCAGGAATCACTGCCTGGGGGTATCAATCGCATCACATCAACGACGTGTTTGACGTTCTCGCGACTCTTATTTCCGCAATGTCAAGCGAAATCCTGCTCAAGAAGAGCTACGACGAACTCAGTCCTCTTCTTCTGACCGTCAAAGAGCGGCACACCCGCGCATCCCTAATCAGCATCTTCTCAGCCTTGGGCGCCAAAAACGACAGCGTCAAGCTCGTCGCCGACCTCCTCGTCGAGCTCAACTCGTACGCAAAAGTCCGCCTCGACGAGCTCGACTACGACCGGCGATTTTCAGCGTACGCAAGACTGAACGTCGATCTATGGAAGGGGCTGAGCTATGTGCAGTGGCGACCGATCCTGTACGAATCGGTGTTTTGCATTGCGACGTGCGAGGAGATTGCGGTTAAGAAAGCGGCGTCGTCGACGATCAAGCAATTCGTCGAGCGAACAGAGACAAAAGCGTCGTCCGAGGATCTTGACAGGGTTGAGTTTTACTCGCTGATGGAGGCGATTGTGATTCCCGGCCTTCGTTCAGGATTACGTTCGGAGAACGAGTTTACGCGAAACGAGTATCTTTTGATTTTGAAACTTTTGGTGCAGAAACCGCTCGCGTTCCCCAAAGTCAAAGAGCTGGAAGTGTTGCTCTTCAACGGCGACGAGGAAGCTGATTTCTTCAACAACATCGTCCACATCCAATCGCACAGACGGCAGCGAGCAATCTACCGTCTCGGACAGATCGCGCTGACGCACGACCTCGGCGACTACAACATTGCGCATTTCTTGCTCCCGGTTATGGAGCACTTCCTTCGGGATGTGACGGAGGCTACGTCCGGCATGGCGGAGGAAGCTATCAGCACTATCGGCAAGCTTTGCATGGGTCTTTCGTTGACGCAGTATCAGGCGGTCGTGAGACGGTGCGTGATGAATCTGGAGAAACAGCAGGAGAAGATCAAGTTCCACGCGCGACTTTTGGATTCGGTGGCCGAGGCTACGTACCTGCGGTCGCAGCTCGGCGAGTCCGCGGAAGTCCAGTTGAAGAAATTCAACTCGCGGAAGCTGGACGTGTTTCTCACCGGCGAGGTTGTTCCAAAGCTGCGAGGAATCCTGCGGCTGACGGACGAAAACAGTCTTGCTGATCGGGTGGGCATCACGTCGCCGTTGGTGAAGTTTCTGTCTGGAACTTCGGACGAGACATTGACGAGCAATCTCGCAAACGTCGTGCTCGAACTCTCGCAGCATCTCAAGCACAGATACCAAGAGATTCGAGACTCGGTCCGTAAAGTGCTATCGAAAGTGTGTCTTTTGGTCGGCCTTACGCATCTAAACCTCATTCTCAAAAACATAAAGTCCGTGCTAACACGAGGCTCGCACCGACATATCCTGTCTTACTCCGTGCACAGTTTCCTGATCGCGCTGATGGCGACGCCGATGAACAAACACGGCGCGCTGGACGACAGCATCGAGATCCTGATGGACATCTGCATGGACGACATCCTCGGCGTCAGCGGCTCGGAGAAGGACGCGGAAGGGTACGTGAGCAAAGTGCGCGAGGTGCGGGAAAACAAGAGTTACGACTCGATCGAGATTTTGGCGACGAATATCTCGGTTGAGAGGTTCGGCGACTTGCTCGCGCCTGTGCGGAGGATCTTGAGCTCGGAGTTTGTGAATCTGAAGACGGAGAAGAAGATTAACGAGGTGCTGAGGCGGATGAATATTGGAATCTCGATGAACGAGGAAGGGTGCACGCATCAGGTTATTGCGTTTTGCTTGCAGATCTGCTCTGAGGAGGTCAAAGATACCGACAATCGTCCTGCTATTTCCGAGAAGGAGAAGCGGTTCTTAATCTCCCAGGCGGGAAGGCGACAGAAGTACACGGCGCAGAACCTGCACTACCTGCAGCGGTTCGCCCTGGACGTGATCAAAAACTGTCTGCGCAAGAATCGCGAGCTGATCGAGGCGTTCGAGCTGCAGGAGTTTGTAAAGTCGCTGACGCCATATCTGACTTCTGATCATGAGGATATCCAGCTGTCGTCGCTGAAGCTGTTGACCACGGCCGCCAAGTACTCGTCGCTGCTGCAGAAGCTGGATACGAGGTTCTTGTTTACGTATGTGGTGGGGATCATCCAGAATTCGCCGTCGACGCAGGCCGAGGCTTGTCAGACTGGTCTCAAACTGCTGTCGTCGCTGATGCAGAAGAAGAAGTACACGGAGGGCGACCACAAATCGATTGCGTACATCATCCAAAAGATCTACATCGACCTAGTCGAGCCCGACAAGCAGACGCACTCGTTCTCGTTCATCAAATCCGTCTTGCTGCAAAAGCTGATGATGCCCGAGATTTACGATGCGCTCGACAAGATCCGCGAGATTATGGTCAACAGTCCGTCGAAGAACACGCGGGAGGTGTGCAAGTCGCTGTACTGCCAGTTCTTGATGGAGTACCCGCAGGGCCGCGGACGGCTGAACAAGCAGATGCGGTTCCTCGTCCACAATCTCAATTACGAGCACGCGTCGGGTCGCGAGTCGGTGATGGAAGTACTCTACGTGCTGCTATCGAAATCCAAAGACGACTTTGTGCAGACCATAATCGAGACGTTCTTTGTCCCGCTGACAATGACGCTCGTCAACGACGAGTCTGAGGATTGCAAGGAGATGGCGCTGCTGCTGTTTAGAACTATTGTGCAGAAAGCAAACGCGGATAACTCAGAGGCGATGCTGCGCAGTTGCGTTGAGTGGAGCAGTCAGAAGGACACGGCTGAGCTCGTTGAGGCTGCGGCTCAGATTATGGAGATTCTCAAGGAATTTGGAAAGGGTATGTAACAGCCTTCTTCATTGTGGTTTCTTGAGAAGAAAGATCGCTAACCAGTCTCTATTGCCACAACAGGAAAATAACGAGCTCTTGTTAAGCTTTCTTGGCTGTTCAGTTAAGCAGCGAGCAGCAAAGCGACAAAGCGACCGGCGGAGTTTAATTATTCTAAATTCCGCATGACACATTTCTTGGCGCGGATTGTGTCTTATCGGCTTATCTTTTGGTTATTTTCTGTAGGAAAAGTTGTGCCGCAATGCATGGAGTTCAGATGATAAGAGACTGCTGTATAGATAGAGATGGATGTTTATTGGATTTTTTGATATATTTGATGGTGATAATAGACGAATGCATACATAACCCAACACCGCTGTAACATGAGCCGGGAAATCGTGACAATGAAAAACCTGTAGCGCGTGAAAAGAAAAAAAGGGAAATTCGGCAAAGCCGACATGAAACGTGAGTGTACCAGCAGAATGAAAGCGAAAAAAAAATTAATGAACAGGAAAAGAGCAGCAGAGACAAGCAAAGCAGAACAAAAGAAAAAGATGTTGCGATAGTTGTCTAATCAAGTTTAGGATTGAACTTCTTCCGCAGCTCCTCTCCTCTGTAGTACAGCACGACAGGGACCGGAAGCATGATGAGCACGATGAATGCCAGCAGGGTGTTGCCCCATCCCAGTCCAAGCGCGGCGTACATGCTATTGCCGGCAAGCGGCAGGAACGCGCCGCCGAGACTTCGCACCATAGTCGATGCAGAAGAGGCCGAGGCGGCGTAGATACCATAAGCGTCGACGAGGTAGTTCATGGTAGGCGAGAACGTCGCCAGCAGGCCGAGACCGACAAAGTATGTGCCGATTATGGGGACGATCCAGTGGACCTGGAACTTCGCGGACCAGCCGTAGATGATGAGGCCGATGACTAAAAAGGGCGAGAGGAGGATCATGAGGGGAAGACGGTGCTCGGGTTTCCGCTCCTTTGACGGCGTTCGCTCGGCGAGCATGACGAGGATCTTGTCGGAGTAGAGGATCATGATTATGATTGACGACATGCTTCCGAGACCCATACCGAGATACGACAGGCCGACGATTTCGGTCGAGAAGCCGTAGCCGTTTTCAAAGACCGACGTGAAGGTGGTGAAGAGCAGGTATAGCATGCCGTAGGTGACGGCGACGAAGAGGGAGAGGATGAGCACGATCGGACTAAGCACGAGAAGTTTGAGAGGACGGATGATGTTGCGGGCAAACATTGTGCTCGGCGACGCAATCCGGTCTTCGTAGATTGTGTGGAGCGCGTCGTTTCCGGTCTCTTTGCGCAGCCGGCGCGCTTTGCGGTTGAGAATGAAGGGGCCGTATGTCTCGGGCAAGGTAGCGAAGCAGAGGACAGACATGATACCAGACAAGATAGCAATAAGACGAAACACCCAGCGCCAGGAGACGGCGGCTAAGAAGCCGCCGATGACGGGGCCGACGGCGGGACCGATGACGGGACCCATGATGTAGAAGGACATGTACTTGCCGCGGTGCTCGACCTCAATGATGTCTGCGACGGAGCCAGAGCCAAGGGCGAGAGACGCGCTGCCGACGGTGCCGCAAAGAAAGCGCAAGATGAACATGGCGGCGAGGGAGTGGCACTCGCCGCAGCCGATGGTGAGGCCGGTGAAGATGACGGTGGAGATTTTGTAGATGATGGAGCGGCCGTACATTTCGGAAAGCGGAGCGATGACTAGGGGTCCGACGGCGAAGCCGAGGATGTAGATGGAGACGACGAAGGAAGAGAGGATGGTGGACGTGAAATTGAACTCGACCATGAGGTCGGGCACGCCGGGCGCGAACATTGAGGATGCAAGGGGGACGACGAAGGTGAGGGCAGAGACGGTGAAGATGACGGATATCTTGCGGAGCTGGGAGAAGTTCATGGGGTTTGTGGGGTCGTCGGGGCCATCCCAGGAGACGAGGTCGGGGTCTGTGTCGGAGTTGGAGTCGGGCTGGATGGAGTACTTTTTGTCTGAGAGCTTTTCAGAGAAGGAGGCCGAGTCTTTTTCCATGAGGTTCAGGTCTGCGGAGGCGGGGACGGAGAGGGCGATTGGCTCGTCGTCGGTGGAAGGAGGATACGCCATGGCGGGAGTGGAGAAAAGGAGAGGAAAGAAGAAGAGGGTGATGGAGGTGATATAAAGAACAGAGCAGAGAAGAGGCCCATTTATGATATCAAAGTGGGTGAAGTGGTGAAGTCGAGGAGGAAGGCGACCGGAGTTAATCCACTTCGGGCTCAGGCACGGACCGATCCGACGCCCGCTTTGGCTGCGATTGCCCTGAGCGGGCCCTTTGTGATTAGTCATTGCTTGGTAATTAACGTTATCGGCGCTTTGTGTCGGGCCTGCCGAGCTGCTGCTTCGGATTTTTGTCGGTGATAAATTATGTCATCATGTGTAGTCATGAATTATGTCATGTTGGTTAGTAAAGTATTAGTAACAGCGAGAAGCCGCCGCCTAACCAATCCCGAACTCATCGTCGAGAAGAGCTCTCACTTCCTCGTCCTCCCCGCAATCATCGCATCTCGACCAGTTTGACTGTTTTCTAGTTATCATGTCGTACTCCAGAGTCTTTGTATGTCTTCCAATGTCTTCTTCTTCTTCTTTGCTTCAGTTAGGTGGTTGATCTCCATCTGCTTCTTCCGCCCTTCTCTCTGTCTGCCGGCATCCAGCAGTGTCCGAAACACCCTACACACATATTACTAAAACACATACTAACGATCTCATCATTTCGCTTCTCTAGTCCAGCAGGCTAATGGCACAGCAGCGTGTCCGGAGTGGTCTTGCTATCGGTGCATTCGGCACCGCTCTTGCTCTTTCCAACATTCCCGTCATCCACGCCGAGACCGTATGTTGTCTCTTGCTATTCTTCTATGCACTATCTGCTGTCAACTCTCTTCCCTATTATCTATACTAACTCACTCTCCAGGAGAAGAAGCCGATATACGACGACAAGCCTCCTGTCGACCCCAGCCCCGCTGCCACCGTCATCAAAGAGCCCCCACCTGTTCTCGAATCCTACGTCCGCGAGGGCCGTCTGTACCTCTCCAAAGCGCTCTCGTTCGCCAAAGTCCATCTCGACATCGGCATGCAAAAATACCTCGAGACAGAGTCGACAGTCACGCGCACCGTCTCAGAGCTCAAGAGCGAATCCGAGCCGCTGCTTCCCGACCTGATCTACGTCCTCGTCCTGACCCTCTCCACCAACATCGCTCTGCGCAAGCGCAACATCTTGCTGCGCGGTGTCTTGGGCCCCGCCGCGGTCGGAACCGCCGCCTTTGCATACTTCCTTCCCCAGACCTTTGAGAACGTCGGCAACTTGCTCTGGAAGTTCGAGGTCATGGCCCCGAGCGTCGCCGACGCGCACTTGAAGACCAAGGCGGCTGTTGTTGATACTTATCACTCTGCGCTCAAGATCAAGAGCGACTCGCGTGCCGCACTCGACAGCACTGTGTCGACTACCCGAAAGACTATCAAGGACTGGACCGGTCTGCTTGTCTCGGAGGATGAGCAGGAGAAGAAGTAAATGTTAGAGTGCTCTCTATCTTTGTATTTGGCGCATCTAGAATCAAAGTCATGTCCCTACTATTACACGTCCTCTTGTAGTCTCAAAGCAGCTTCCAAACACCCCAGATAATTACAAGTAGTCAAGATATACAAAAATCACCAGGATATCTGGAAGCACAGTAGGAACTCACATTACATAATCACTATTTTGGGGCACTGCGCGCGAAGGTCATTGCTCGCCGCATCACAGCTTTCAGCTCAGCTTTCAGACTCGGCCAGCGCGCATCCAGAACGCGAACCACCAAAACACGTTTGAATCCCCGGGAAGAGACTCGGCTGTGTCTGCCGTGTACTTGATCTTATGAGAATCTGACTGCTTCGTCTCTGAATACCTACTCTGACTGCCTTGCAAGATCGCAAACATGTATCAACACCCCCCACCGCAGATGCCCATGTCGCCGGCATCCAAGCGAATGCGCATGGACGGCCCGATGCCTCCTCACATGCCACCCCAAGGACCCTACGCGGCCCCGCCAATGCCGCCCCAGGCAGTTGGCCACCCCCATCTGCCTCCCCACATGCCGCTTCCCCCCGGCGCGCAGCCCGGCGCCCTGCCTTTGCAGCAACCTCCACCACCTCCTCCTCCCCCGGCTGTTGCCGCACCTGTCCCCGCTGTAGGCGTAGCCCCGGGCCAGCCTGGCGCTTTACCCGCGTCGGTCTATGCAGCCCAGCATAACGTGCTCATGTCGCTCGACGACGAGGACATGTTTGGCGCGGTCGACGAGCTCGACAGCATCTCTGCGCGCGACATCTCGACGCTCAGATACGCGCGGCACCATGAATGGATGGAGCAGATCCTAGGCTCGGCCTACCAATCCGACAAGATCATTCCCCCGGGCCTGTTCGCGGCGCGGGGGAACACCACAGCCAACATATGGGACGGCATCGACAAGCTGAAGGAGCGCGTGGCCAAGATGGAGGAGGATCTGAATTCGGTGGACGAGTTTTACACGAGAAGTATAGTGGAGATTAAAGAGACCAAGAACCGGGCGTACACGCAGATGCGCGAGGCGATGGCGAAGCAGGAGGCTCAGGCTGCACAGGAACTTGCCGCGGAGGGACTAGAGGAGGTTGAAGAAAAGACGTCGTCGTCGGTGTATTCGTCATTGGCGATCAGCTAGAAGCTAGCCTGGTTTTTATTACTCTATTGATTTTATATGTCGTGTTATGTTTGTGTTGGTTTGCTTTTGGTTGGGAAGGCGGGTTCCCGTCGAATATTTACGATCCTGAGGCGGCGAGTGCTCGACAGATGCTCGTTCGTATATGTGATTGCATTTGTATATTAATAACAAAAATGATTCTCCAGAAGTTGTTATGTTGTTTTGGTGGTTACAGGAAGTTCGATGGATTTTGGTGAAAGTGGTAGTTTGATGGTGTTTAAATTGCTATGCTGCGGATCAGCGCGATGATGCCGTCAGCCTTCCCAGCCGTGTAAAAGACAAAAACAAAGCAAAGATGCACTTCATAGAGAAAAATCTTGTATAATCAGAATAAAATCGCAGCACAGAAAGCACGTAAACTGGCAGAAAAACATAAAGACCAGAAAAGAGATCATCGTAAGCTTAGCTCAAACCGGATCCGGGCGTAAGGCGGGAGAAGATAAGGCTTCAACTTTATCCGAGACTTGCTTCGTCGACATCGTTCATCGTCTACATCTCCATATATCTTTCTTTCTCTGTATAATTCAAGAGCTGCTTCTTCTGTCGTTTGATCTTCAATGCACAGCTTCTTTTTGCACTGAAAAATATAGTCTTGGATATATAACACTCAGCAGCATCTCGTTCTATCTACCGATTACTTGCCACAACCTACTACTTTCTCAAAATGTCGTCCTGGTTCTCTCGGCTGTACGAGTACATCCTCTCGCTTTTCTGGTGTGTATCCTTCATATTTCTAGCCGGACGCTGGGCGGTGCTGCGGTATTGCTGATTGTCGATGTGCAGAGACTAACCACCACGCTCTACATCTAGGTCGTCTGAGGTATCCTCCAGTTCCGTTACTAGATTACCACCGCTTCAAAGTGTTTTAACCACTGACAATTAATTTATCGTATAGATGGATATCACATTACTCGGCCTGCAAAACGCGGGAAAGACCTCATTATTGCGTGTTCTGGGGGTAAGTCATCTCCAAACGGTCTTCCAGTCTATCTATATCGGCAGGTTCTAATCAGATATGCAATATTTCATAGGGCGGCGATTTCACTTCAGAGTAAGCGGTTCTTCTAATTTAAAGTAATGCAAGGACGCAAAAAGTCTGACGTGATTCTAGCTCGATTCCTACGATCGGATTTTCAATGAAGCGGGTGCGGAAGGGAAGAGTGACAATAAAATGGTGAGCTACTTTCTCTCCTCATTCTATCTACCAGACCGACCAAATTTCTAACCCTTGTTGCTATATATAGTTGGGATTTGGGCGGTCAGCCGAGATTCAGATCAATGTGGGAGCGATATTGCAAGGGCGTCAACGCCATACTGTAAGTCTCTCCCCCCCTCCTCTCACCACCTTTCGACACTAACTTTCTGCAGATTCATCGTCGACTCCGCAGACCCCGCCACACTACAAGTCGCGCGCATGGAATTCGAAGCGCTGGTCTCGAAGCCGTCACTAGAAGGTATTCCGGTTCTCGTGCTGGGAAACAAGAACGATCTGCCGGACGCGTACGACGTGGACGCGATTATCGATGTCATGAACCTCAAGAGCGTCGACGATAGAGAGGTCTCGTGTTATTCTATCTCGGCAAAGGAGAACGTGAACGTGGATGCGGTGCTGAATTGGCTGGTTTCAAAGTGCGTCGTCTCTTATAGTCTAATTATACATCCGAACACGCTGCTAATCTCTTTATATCTAGGTCCAACTAATCCCCTCTACTATCTTCAAACATCCTTCCTTCCAATATCCTGTACATTCCCCCTTCTTTCTCCAACCCACAAGATCAAGCAATGTTCCATCCACCATACGCATCGGACGTCAGTATACATAATGTGATCAGGATCCCGATTGTTCCGTCATTGTAACAAACTGCTTTATTCCCCCTACAACGATTTCCATCACCAAAAAACCTCAACCAGGTTCAAATCCTGTCTTATGTCAGATACATAACCACTCAAGCGATCGTGTCAACTCGGTCGGAGGACCTCGATAGTTTCTATTTTTATTATTCACTGATTGTATATCCAGTGGATCAGCTACGGAGTTGTAATTATTTCTATTTTTTCCGACAGTGTTGTTATAGTTTTGGTTTTTAGTATCTTGTTTAATCTTTTGTTTATGCTTTTGTTTCCGTGTGTTTTTAATAAAGGTTTCTGACGCGCTGTGTCTCTTACAAGGTGGTCTAAAAGATTCATTAAAAACACATTCTAGTTATACAACCGTGAAAAATACGTAGGCTGATCCCCCGTGTTTATAATCAGATCCATACACGCACTCCGCACCGCCTCCAAATACTCCTTCGTCGCTCTCGAATCCAAATCCTCCCGCGCACGCAGCACGTCCTCGACAAACTTGAGCGACGAGTCCGGAAAACTCTCTTTCAACCGTCTGAATTCTTCCACAGCCTCGAACTTGTCCGCCGTGATGAGCGCCATCAGGATCTCGATGCTCGCAAACTGCGCTTCGACGTACTCGCTGTCGGTGAAGGCGGTGAAGAACGGATACAGCAGCGCGACGTCGCTTTTGATTTGCTCGATCGACCGCTCGGAAAGGGTCGAGCCCTTGGTTTGGATCGCGCCGAGGTAGCCTGCCAGAGTCGCGTCGAGGAGGTCGTCGATGTAGATCGAGAAGAGGTCGGGGTTGAGATGGTCCTGCAGCTCGATGCTGTAGTCCTCGAACGTGTTTATGACTTCCTGGATAATCACGCTGCCGGGCTCCGTAGCCATGCTTCCGTCCGGCGCGGTGGTCTGCACCGGCGGACTATACCATCCCTGCTTGAACAGTCCCGCAAGCGACGGCTGGATGTCATACATCACCATCCCGACAAGCTCGGTAATGCACGACTTTGAAGTCGCAATAAACCCGTCCATCGCGTCCTCAAGTTCCTGCACCATCCGCGACTGCAGATCGCGGTCTCCGTCCGAATGCACGAGCACGTCCACGTTCGTGTTGATCTGTCGCTCGATAATGTTCTCGGTGTAATCCGCGCCGCGGATCTGGTCGTTCGCGACCGCGATACTGTACTCCAGCACACCGCCCGGCACGTCTTCCGGGCTCGCGTTTGATTTCTGGATTTCTTCCCGCAGGGTCGAGAGCCATTGCTCCTGGCGATTAATCAGCTGCCGCTTGCACTCGTGGATAACCCCCGAGACCACTCGGATCTCGGCAGAGTCGATGCTGACGTTGATCTGCTGGTTCAGCATCTGGAACACAATCGGCGTATTCTCCAGCCCGTACTTCATCTCCGGATCAGACTCGGGCGCCTTCTTGCGCTCTCTAAACTCCGTGAATTCCGACCGCGCAACCGTCTGCATCCACTCGTCCAGTTTCCGACAAATCAGCCGCATGTAGTCGCCCAGGATCTCGTGCTCCTGGCCATCGAGTAACGGAGGTGTCAGCTGCGATTTCGGAATCTTGAGCTCGTTTGTCATTGTATCGTTGTATTTCTGTGACCACCGCACAATCTTGAGGAGTAGTCCTGCTTCGGTATCCTGCGTCAGCAGAGACTTGAACAGGACATATGTCTCTTGATGGTACGCGGCCACGAACCGCTCTGTGATCTTCCAGCTCTCGGGCACACATGTCGTGAGATCAACTTTTGCCGCCAAGATATCTCGCATGATCCAGTACAGATTATCAAGTAAAGTAGTCGGATCATTCGGGAACGCGGTCACGCAGTTCCGAAACACGTCTTGTGCGCCAAGTTTGATGTACTCTGTAAGTTTGTCGTCATAGTTTCTCAGCGTCCGACTCGTCAGCAGCGCGTTCGATCCATTCATCGACAGATGCGCCGCCAATTCCTTTTGCGAGTCGGACGCTGAATTCAATATCTTGACTTTTGTATCCAGCCGCTCGTCGATATCGATGATCTTTGCCCACCGGACAATCAAGCTCGCGTTTCCCTCCCGCAGAACTTCGAGCAGATTCTGCGCGATATCAAAGAGGATCGCTTCAAACTCTTGGACAACACTGTTAAGACGGGCAAAGTGCTTCGAGAGGGTGTGTTGTTGTGCTGGACCTGCTTTTGCGGCCTGCGCCATTGTCTGGTCTTGGAAATCGCGGAGACGTGAGAGTCGAAAGTGGATGGTGAGGAAGTTTGTCATCGGTCCAAAGATATCTAGTAGCAGTTAGTCTTTGCTCTTGCGTCTTGATTGTACAGTCCAGCCTTCATACCTTTTCCATCTTCTTCAATCATAGCCTCTATTTCATCTAGTTGAGAAGGTAGTTCTTTCAAGTTGCGGATCACATCCTCGACGGCTAGGAAATTCCGGCGGACTCGGGAGACGCGATTGATTTGTTGAAAGCCCGGAACGAGGTTATCTGCTTCTGCACATAGTATGTTGAGCTGCGTACACAGCAGTCAGTAAAGCGTCAGTCAGTTGATGGAAGAAGGTGGACATACGTGTTGAAGTTCCTCTCCCAAAGAAGCAACGAGCGCCTTTGCATCCAATAAATTCCGTGTACCATTCTAATACCATAAATTTAGTAACTCAAAGCATTTAGTGTAGAAATCACAAGATAGCATACAAGAGTAGTGTCAAGCTGCGTCTGCAGACCGCTTTTGATCTGGAGCTCGATTGCCGCCTTATCCCGAATCAACCGTTCTTTGATGGCGGGAACTTTCGCAAGGTCCTAAACAGATCAATGTCGTCAGCTTGTTTGCACCTTTACCAATAAGCAAGCGATGGTCTCGTACATCGGGATACCGGAGTAACTCCGCCAGACTAGATCATTCAAGAGTCAGTTCACTGTAGAGGGGGGAGGGGCAACGAGATAAGTCTAGATACCTGCTGATCGCGCTATCGCTCGGCTCACCCATGGCTCAGGATTGATTTGACTGTTCTATACTTGCACCACTTCACCTCATAATCCAGAGTATAATTCACAGGCAGACGATTGTAGGAAGAATAGTCAACGCGTTTGTTGAAACAGCTGAATGCCTCGAGCCAGGGCCCTGAAGTCTATATCGCGGTGATCGCCAAATCGCGTTAGAGGTGATCGCAAAAACGTATATGTCACGTGCACTTTGTTGTGTTTCAGGCACGCCGGCGCGTTCGTAAACAGCGCTACAATATCAGTCTTTGGTTACTGTGTCAGTATACCGCAAAGACTCAGGATAGGTTGACAAGCGACTATTCTGATCTATCTAGCTGCGATTTGTGGATCTGACTACAATGGTGCGTATAGCGTCTTCGCGGCTTGCTCGGGACGGTTACTTACACACTGCACAGGCAAAAACAACAAATTCAAAGAGCAAACCCCAGACTGCGCGGAAGACCAAACCCGCTCCTGCGAAACCAAAGCCTCAGAAATCATCTGCAAAGGTAGTCAAGAAGAAATTCGCAGAGAATCCGCAGCGGAAAGCGAAATCAGAGACCTCACGATCCCCCAAGACGACGAAGAAGTCTCGTGCTCCTCCTCCTCAAGAAGATGACCAAGCCGAGCAGGAAGGACAGGAAGAGCCAGCTAATGAGAATCCGCTGCGGCTTGTGCCTGTGGTGCGAAAGGTGCAGATTGCGGACTGGGTGCCGCTGTCGGATAATGCGCGAGAGGAGATTCTGAAGGTGATGCAGTCGGTGTCGTTTGCGATCTACAGCTCGCTCACGACGGAGGAACATCGACGGACCGCGCAGGAGGTTATCGCGGGGCTTTTGGAAAAGTGGGTTTTGTTCATTTGTGGTTTGGGAAAGACAGCAGGACTGACGTGGTTTTGAAGGTTCGAGCGGAAGCTGAGACGATTGCCTGTTCCGGCAAGCACAAAGGACTGGAGTTTCCAGTACGAAAAGACATTGGAGATGAACGTGTGTATACATTTTTCTCTCCTAATTAGCTGATGTGGAGCGATCTGACAGTGCAATCTAGGCCCAGCTCGAGACAGCTCTGGCGAGCAATGTCCGGCAGATCACGACGCTGGAAGCCGAGATCACGGCAGAGGAGAAGGCGATTGAGGAGGATAATGTGTATTTGCAGTCATTGAAACGAAACGCCAAATCACAGGAGATGTCGAGGGCTGTGCAGCAGAAGAAGGTATGAGTTTGATGATGGTGGTGGTATGATTGATACGACTTTTGACTGTTTGTGACTAACTTGTTTATGCTTGATTAGTTGGATCAACTGTTCCGTGATTCCTCTGAAATAGAGTCGCAAGGAGACGACGCAGAGAGCATCAATTTTGTTTTGCACGACTATCAGGTATGCGCGTATCCTACTTTTGTATATGGAATCAAACGCCTGCTGACAACCTACGCAGGACCCGCAGACCACGAACGACAAAGACATCCAAAACCTGCTCGAACGACTGCGCCCGCATCTCGCGTCGATGAGTGCCAACATCGCAGGTCTCGACGAGGTGTTGTCTGCTACGCGTCAGGTCGCCGGCGCGCTGTTCTCCCTGCGGGAGTGATTACATCATTGCTTACATCATTAATTGGGTTAGGTGATCAAATACTCCGCATTCAAGCGAGGGACGCGCTCATTCCTGAAATTCCCGACGCCCTCCGTTCTTTTTTCGTTGCACGCTACGTCGAGAGAACGAGAGTTATTCTCAGCAGAAAATTGGACGAGAGGTTTATGAATGAGTGCTGCAAGCGGAGCAGCAGCGGATGAAGCACTGTTGGCTTTGCGAAAAGAACAGGGACAGCAGCAGCTGAAGCAGGAGACGGAGACGGAGACGCATGGGCTGACGGGCGCGCAGCATAGTCTGGACGCGATAAATCTGCACACGTTGGCTAATGCGACGATGGCGGATTTGAATGAGCAGCTGGATGGGGAGGGTGTGAGTAAGATGAATAGCAGGTAGATTTTTGTTTTGTTTTTGATGGTGTTGAGAGTTGAGCTGACGCGCGGTGGATTAGGTTGAATAGCTTTCTTAAACCAGCAGAGAGAACAGCGCAGGGAACAGGAGCACGACAGAATATGTCACCCAACAGTGGGTCTCAGAGCAGTGGCAGCGGGGCTGACTCGCCGGAAGAAACGTCGGAGAATCATCGGTCCGGGGGAGGTAGTTCACGAGGATCAAAGAGACGGAAGGTCGACCACGCGTGTGTTTATTGTCGACGGTCGCATATGACGTGTGACTCCCAGAGGCCGTGCTCGAGGTGCGTGAAGCGAAATATCGGGCATCTGTGCCGCGATGAATCAAAGGAAGGATCGCCGGGGGCCCAGCAGCAGCCAATTAAGGAAGAAAAAGGTGGAGAGGGGAAAGCAGGAGGACAGCAAAATATCGGGGCCCCGTTGTCGATTGACGAGAGTACGCACGCGTCGCCGGAGGAATGGGCATCGATCCTGGGCGGGTCGACGAATCTGTTGACGAACCTGACGCCGTACCAGCAGCCGCTGTTTTATAGTGAAGGGGCGGGGAGTGAGTTTTCGTCGCTGAATGATTTTCTGACGATGATTGAGGATATTCCGCCGGCGGTGAGCAATAAGAATGGCGAGAAGAGCAGGGGGTTGATGGAGGCGCCGACGCCGACTGTGTCTGAGAATGTGGTGTTTCGGAGTAGTTTACCAGAGATTGGGGCGGAGCAAGAGGAAGTTGAGGAGCCAGAGCATCAGCAGGAGCAGCATAATCCGCTTTCGGCACGGGCGAATGGGAATTTGACGCTGACGACGGCGACGACGCCGATTCATATGCCAGAGACGGCGAAGGACAAGTTCTTTTTGACGGCTGCGGATCCGGCGGATGGGCCGGGACGGACGCCGGAGGAGCGGTTGAAGCAGGTTATTAATGCAAAGCTGGAGGCGGGATTGCTGGCGCCGTACAACTACGTGAAGGGGTATGCGCGGCTACAGCGGTATATGGACCGGCATATGGCGCCGGGGTCGAGGCAGCGGATTCTGAAGCCGCTGTCGATATTCCGGCCCGCGTTTCGGGCGATTGCGCAGACGCTGATTGATGTTGATTTGGTGCTGGTGGAGGAGGCGTTTGAGCGGATGCTGCTGGACTACGACCGGGTGTTTACGTCGATGGCGATTCCGGCGTGTCTGTGGCGACGGACGGGGGAGATATATCGGGGGAACAAGGAGTTTGCGGCGCTGGTTGAGGTTCCGGTGGAGGAGTTGCGGGACGGGAAGATTGCGATATACGAGGTGCTGAGTGAGGACTCAGTGGTGAATTACTGGGAAAAGTACGGGAATATTGCGTTTGACTCTGGGCAGAAGGCGGTGTTGACGAGCTGTACGTTGAAGTCGAGGGATGGGCAGACGCAGCGGCAGTGCTGTTTTAGTTTTACGATACGGAGGGACCGATACAACATTCCGAGTTGTATAATAGGGAATTTTATCCCTATCCACAACTGAGTGAACTGAAGTGAACTGAAAGTGACGAGGGTCTACGCGTGTGGTTATTGTTTACTATGTTTGCTAAATAGACTATTCTAATCAAGGGTGCAGACAAATACGGTTTCGGGGCAGACTCTAATTCCGAGAAGGGGAAGAGGGTTACGCGGCCCGGGAGAGTCTACGTCAGAAGACGCGTCGGCGAGGGATGAGGAAGAGGAGGATGACGAGTGACGAGTTCAGGGAGAGCACCGATGTTTCTTGTTAGACTGTATCTCGAACAGGACAAACACTGACGACGATGACGAGTAACCTCTGTTCTTCCTCTTCCTCTCTTCTCGGACTGGCCGGGCTCCGGTTCGGGGCGGTGATGATTAGGGTTTGTTCAGGTGCAAACAGGCGGAAATGAGGATTGCTCGAGCCCGAAGGAGATAGCGACGGGAGATTGCGGTGGATCAGAATGATGATAGTTGACGATAGTGGCAGATATGTGGATTATGTTTATAATAAATACAATAAACAGTAACTAATAAACAAAACAAATAAAATAAAATAATTGGAAAAACCCTCAGCGTTGTCGATCAAAGTAAATGAAACCGCTCCTTCGCCTCTTCTGACTTTGTGATATTGAACCATCTCCTTGACTTCTTCCTCTTCTTCTACTCTTCTTCTACTACTCTTCTCCTCTTCTTCTCCTCTCTCCTCACCTCCCTCCCTCCCTCCTCACCTCCTCACCATGCGCGTCCTCGCTCGGCGCCAGCTCTTCCCCTCCCTCCTCTCCCTCGCCATCCTCTTCCTCGTCTGCTCCCTCTGCTACCTCTTCCTCTCCGCCGTCCTCTTCCCCCACTCCCCCCCTCCTCCCGCTTCAACCCCTTCTACTCCTCCTCCTCCGACGAGCCCTTCTCCCCCACCATCGTCGTCTTCGGTGACTCCTGGTCCGACGACGCCCGCAGACCAACCCCTTCCTCCGTCCTCTCCGCCTCCGACAGCCGGCCCGTCATCCCTGACGACGAGTCCATCTTCTACACCTCTGCCTCCTCTGAATCCTCCTCCTCTGAATCCTCCTCCTCCTCCTCCTCCTCCAACTCTGAGTCATCTGATCCCCCGCCCGTCGCCAGCGCAGGTTTGGCCGCGGCAACCACGGCCGCTGGTGTGATGGCCCCGTCTGGCCAGAGTATCTCTGCCAGATGTACGGCTGCCGCGAGCTTCTCGACCTTGCCTACGGCGGCGCAAAGATCACAAACCAGTACGTGAGCTCGCCCGTGCCCGACCTCATCAGCCAGTACAGCAACTTTGTCGACATCCGCAACGCGACCATCCTCGCCGAAGAGCGCGAGGACCTCGACACCATCGACGACCTCGTCGACAGCCGCAAGCTCTCGCGCGCGCAGGCCGAAGAGGCCGTGAACCGCATGCGTCTGCAGCAGAACCGCGAGACGCTCTACGCCTTCTACTTTGGCATCAACGACATCATCCAGTACATCTCCATCCTGCCCAACACCCAGGACCGGACAAACGCGATCGCGTCCTCGGTCTCGCTCATGTTTGACATCGCCGCAAACATCGCCGAGGGCTTCCCGCAGTCAAACTTCCTCTTCCTCAACGCAATCGACGTCACCTTGCTCCCCATCTGGCAGCAAAGGTTCACCGAAAACGACCGCTACATGCACCGCTTCCGCGAAGCTGTCCATCTCTCCCAGGTCTGGCAGCAGGAAGTGCTCATCCACCTCGGTCGCTGGAACAGCACGATCGGCTCTGCGCAGATCTTTGAAACCAACTCTTGGCTCGCACGGTCAATCTCCGGTGTTGCTGCAAGCGGCTTTACCGACATCTCGCACGCCTGCTTCGACCATGCCTCGGGCACCCTCTGCTCCAAGCCAGAGACCCATTTTTTCTGGTACGTGATCTCCTTTCTCATCTACAACTTTCCCATCACTAACACTACTCCAGGGACGCTGTCCACCTCTCGACTGCCGCCCACAAGGCTCTTGCCAAACGGCTAAGTTATCTCAACCTGTGGCCCTCCACCAGCTCTTTCGGCGACGAATCCGATCAATGATCATCGTCCTCTCATCTTCCTTCTCCGTTTTCACTTCTCATTGTGCTTTCTGTAGTATAAGCCTTGTATATTGACCTGCCTTGCATCACGACTCTGTTTTAATCTTGCCCTCATCTTTTTGCTCTCTTTCACTTTCTGGTTCGGTTTACGACTCTTCTTATTCTTACATGTCGCGTCACGCCTGTCTTATGTCTTGTATAAATGATGGCTGCAAAAGCTCTTGCGTCTGACGTGCACAACGGTTTTTTGTCTGCTGTTTTATGTGTCTTGTTTATTCTTTTGGAGTACGTGCTTTTCTTCTTTCTTTGTCATTATGAAAATGAATCCGATTCAGTAGTTACAGGTTACGAGCAATCCAGACCTCTACTTCTACATCTTTCTCCACATCCCCTTTCCTCCTCTACACTAAACCAACTCATCCACCTCATCACCACTTATCTCATTCATCACATCACCGGGATCATCACAAACCTCACCTAAATCACCATTCTGGAAATTGATCGCGTGCACGTCATCGATCTGCAGTTCGCGCCCAATTACGTCAGATCAGTCACGTGATTAACTTCTGTTTGTGTGGATCGCCGGCAGATGAACGCGCGCCGCGACGCGACGAGCAGATTCGGACAGCTCGGTGATTGAGTGTTGAGCTCTGCTTTTGATTAGAGGAGAAGGATGCGAGAGAAGATGCGAGGGCGGAGGACAGATGATGATGATAATTCTGATTCAGAAGGTAACGAGAAAATGTCAGTTGTAACGAAGCCATTGCTGTGTCTGACAACTTGTTTCTCTCCTACAGTCCAATCCGTGAACGAGAGCGTGCAGATGTCTGTCGCTGAGCGACGACGACGGCGGCAGCGTGAGAAGGTATTTTATGATTTTGTATTTGGTACAGGACTGCTGCTGATAGACGATGCTAGGAACCGGAGATTGATCTCCTGAGTATGATGCTCCCCAGCGCAAGCAGTTCAAGATCACGACCAACAACTAGTGCACGAACAGGCACACGGCGGCGGTTAGCTACCGAGGACAAGGAAGACGAACAAATGACTGTTCTGCCGTTGAACACAAGCAAGCCTGATTCGGTCACGGTGGCTGACGACGTGGTTGTCGAATCGAGCGTGCCCGATATTGACATGCAATACGAAGACGAAGAGACTGCGCCTGAGGCATCAGTCGCTCCAATCCCTGCGCCCGACACCGCGAACGAAAAGAGAAAGTTATTTACGGCAGAAGATGACGACGGTCCGCTCTACGCTGTCGAGTATACCTCCGCGATCCTGCGCAGCTCCTCACCCGCCCTTTCATCCTCAGCATACAACTCGCAAAACAGCCAAAACCCTCCCTCATCACTCGCCACTGCCTCAGAATCGGTGCATTGGAAACCGGAATGGACCGGACGTCCTAATTTCAAGCGTTTCCGCAGGGTGCGACAGGGAGGTGCTGCGAGTGTGCGGTCTATGAGGGAGGTGTCGGTATACAGTACGGCTGATGAGGAGACCGGGCGGCGGTTTGTGAGTCTGAAAGAGTATAAGCCGAATGACTACGGTCTAGGCGACGGTATGTCTTTTCATCTTACTCTACACATAGTAGTTCAACCCGCATCTGACGCGTGCTTTAATCTAGCATACTGGTTCGTCCCGCGCGACGGCGGCAGCTCAGCAGCAACAAAGAAGAAACCAACCAGCAGAATCGCGAGCGGCAAAGAGAATCGCGACGCTGCAAACGAAACGACAGAGGATCCGCTTGCGTTCTCGATGCCGCCTGAGACTATAGGGTCTTTACGTGCTGCGGAGGAGGTGGTGGTGGAGGAGGAGGAGGCAGACGAGGAGTCCTCGAATACAGCGTCTGGAGGGTCCGGCGTCGCGGCTAGACGGGTGCGTGAGGACGACGGTGTGCCGTCTTCTGTTGCCGAGGTGTCGAGCGCACAAGGTCCGTCTGAGAAACGACGTCGAGCTGCCGCTGCTGCTGTTGTTCCTGCAGCCACACCGCCGACAACAAGTCAGAGTCAGAGGTCACGTCTGAACAAAAGTGCGATTATCCGCAAGTTCTCCGACAGTGAATCGGACGATGACGACGACGATGGGTTGAGGCTGCGGTTTTGAGTAATTAGTCTGCTTTTTGGGTCACGTAGCATATCATTGCCAAGTGAAGGAAACAAACGTAGAGGAGGTTTTGTTGTGTTTTTGATGGCATACGGCGTTTATCTGGGTATTATAGCAAAATGCAATTCTAATTCTGGCTTTTGTATAATTATTCTATAACACACAAACTCAGGCTATCGAACCCCGGATCTCATCAACGTCTCTGCCATAATCTCAAGTTGCTTCCGTCCATTCGCAATCAGATATTTAATCTGTTCCTGTACCCACAACCACCCCTCTCATCAGCACTCCGCATCAAAATACAAGAATATTATAAGTGCAGAAACATACCAGATCCCGCTCATGGCGATGAGACTCAAACTCATGGCGCGCCCAACTCGCCATTTCCTTCCGCGTCGCGCGGTCCGGAAGACCTTTGATTGTGCGGAGACAAGTGCGCCAGAGCTGTCGCGCGGCCGAGGCTTGGACGAACTGTAGGATTGCAGCGTTAGTGACTGAAGAGCAGACAGAAGAGAGAGAGGGGATTGAGAAGGAACGTACGTGGGCAAGAGTCAGTGGCGGGTCTCGAGAGTCGAATCTGGCAACACACCGCGCCGACGACGAGAACCATATCCGCGACGCAAAAGCAGCAGCTCCAGCTGATACTATTAACCGCCTCCGTATTATCCCGTCAATCTGCATTGCGCGAGTACCCAAAAAAACACGATGCGAGAAGGAATAAAAAGTTGAAAGTGGGAAGAAAGAAGAAGGTTTAAACCTCCCAAAAATTCAATTCGAGGCTGCTGATATCGCGACGCGTACGGCAGGTCGTGGTTGTTCGTCCGCGCGATGAACTTGCTGCGCGCAGTTTATAAAATGACAACAGCGCCGTCAGAACTTGCTAAAGATGGAGGAGAAAAGGAGGATGAGGAATTAGACGCGGACGACGAGGAAGAGCACGAGGACGAGCTAGAGGAAGAGACGCGCGACGAGCGGTTCGACGCGATTGTTCAGGACCTGCACAGCCGCGTCTCGACACAGGAGCTGAACCAGCGATTCGGGCGTTTACTCGCCAATATCAGCACTTCTGACGACGACGATGGACAGGAAGTGTACCTGACGCTCGTGCGCGGGGAGGAGTTGGCGGCGGAGGAGTTTGCTGCTTGTTTTGAGATTATGAAGAAGAATATGATGCAGTTGTAAGTGGGTTCTAGTACTCCTGCGGCCAACGAAAAGAATAGCTGACGATCTCCGGGTAGGTATAAATCCTCGACCATGGGCTGGACTTCACGAGAGAGAATGGCAGAGCTCAAAGAGCCAGGTCTGATCTACATCCTCATCAAATCCTCGCCTCCTCAACAGCCCACCACCTCCTCTCCACTCGGCTTTGCAAGCTTCATGGCAACCTGGGAAAACGACGAACCAGTAGTTTACTGCTACGAACTACAACTCCCGCCCCAGCTTCGCGGGAAGGGACTCGGCAGGCGCGTGCTGGAGATCATCGAGACCGTCGGCGCGAGCGTCGGGTTGCCAAAGTGTATGTTGACGGTGTTTAGCGCGAATCCGGCGTACGAGTTTTATACGCGGATGGGGTGTGTATTCTTCTTTCTTTTATTGGTAGTAGGTGAATTGCCGAGTGCTGATATGTACATAACATCGCTTTAGGTATACGCCGACAGATTTCTCTCCCGAGCCAACAGTCTTGCGGAATAAAGTGCTACCGCCGTCATATTGGATTTTGGAAAAGACACTCACACCAACCAGCATATAACACAGCATACCACAAACAAATAAAAAAATTACTCATCTATATCTGAGCCACAGCCTTGCGCGGCTCCTCGCCGCCATCAAACTCGATCCGCAACGTCGCCCGCAAAGTGTCCGTCAGGATCAGCATGATGCCGATCGCATACACGAGCGTGACGGCGTAGAAGAAGTTCGAGTTGCCTGAGCCGAGGTAGATCCAGAGATGGTAAAAGTTGGGCGCCAGCACGAGCGCGTGGATGACCACTAGGGCGGACAGGAGTGTGTATCGCACGTCTATTGCAAGGTTGTTAGTAGTCCAGCATAAGAGCAGAAAAAACGAAAGTTAGAACGTACTTGTGAAAATATGGCGATATAGCGACAGAAGAGCAATGTAGACGCCCAAATCCCCAACTTCGGGGTACGACTTTGAGATCAAAGTGATGCCCATGATTGTCACTACCGCAAACAGCGGCTCGCGATGCAACCTCAGCGTCAGAGGAAGTACGTAGATCAGCGAGTACAGCTGGAAGATGTACGTAAACAGCGGTCTGAAGAAATCGAAAATCTCCATGAAGAAGTACCACCAGAGCCCGATGTTTGGCACCAAGTCTGAAAAGAAGAGAAGCGTGCCGTAGGTGGAGCGGAGGTACTGCAGAGAGCCGTCAGACATGAAGTAGCCGATTGAAGTGAAGCCGGCCATGGAGACGGCAAAGGTGGCGGCTGAAAGGGCGCATTTGGCGACGGACTTGGTGGGGCACCAGAGGAAGATGAAGGGCGGGAGGAGGTAGATTGCGTAGATGTTGAGGTTGGAAGCGGCGGCGAGACAGAGAATTGAGAGTGGAATTGCTGTTTTTGTGCTGTTAGTTAATGAATTCTTTTAAGGAATTGAAAGTTCAAGTCAGACACTTACAGCAGTTGGCGAAGTAGATCGCGCCGAATATCAGAGTATTTGAAAACACCGATGTAGACCGCGCCAGATTCGTAGCAATCACCAATGGGTTAAGTAGGTATCTGCATAACACCCGCTATCAGCATAAACCACTCAAAACACTATAACAGAAGCAAAAAGAAAACAGACATTGAGGCAATGATCCACCCGTCCAGCTTCTGTTTACCAGCAAACTTGCCCGACTGCGAGATCTTGACCAGGAACCACGCAGCCAGCGAATCCAGCCCGCAGTACACCGCGTTAATGGCTATACTGCTCGCGTCTATTGACCCGCAGTACTTTTGCAGAATGTCGAATATTAAGAGTAGCAACGGGGCCTGTGATGTAGAAAAGCGCGGGTTAGTGTTGGATCAGATATGGCGGGGGGATCGCGAAGATAGTACCTGATGATACACGCCGCCGTCGAAAGGCGAGATGCCCATTTTGTAGAGATACAATCCCTCTCTCACTACACAGACACTCAAAAGTCAGCAAACTATCCAGCAAAACAATTCCTCGCAATCATCAGACAGAAAAACACACGTTGCTTGAACGAAGAGCTCGCGGTCGTCAGCTCGACCCGCTGGTCAAGCACCGCGTGGATACCCGGGAACCCCAGACTAGTCGCGATCCGCAGCAGCGCTGCTGCAAAGAAGACCGCTAATATCCTCTGCTTTTCCTGCATTCTTGTCGTTCTGCTGCTTCTATATCATAAAGAAATACCACAAGTCTGAACAATAAACAGAAAGATGTCCTCGAAGCCGCACGCGTCGGCTCAAACTCAGTCGCAGCTCCCATCGCTCACACCGAGGCCTGATATCGATAAGCATCTACGACTGTGATTCTACGCAGGCTTTTAGCTTGGATATTACTTCAGAGAGTATATACCGAGTAGTGCCGTTGATAATACACAGCAATGCCTCCAAAGGTGGTAGTCCTGGTAGCTGGCGGCCAGGCTGCAGGAAAGGTATCAACTCTGCCCGACATCGTCTTCTTTGTATGCAAACAGCAGGCTAACGATGATCTAGAAATCAGTGTGTGCGGCAATCACGAAACGGCTGGCGGAGTGGAAGGTCACAGACGTCAAGACGCTTTCCCTCAACGAATTCAAGGTCGCGAACTTGCCCAAAGGCACAAACCCCGAAGGACCAGGTACATTACAATCACCACCACCTTCTTCCTCAAACCAGCCCTATTTACCTGTCTACTAGCAGACTTTACTCACACTGATCACATCTAGATGCGTACGACTTCTCCAAAGCTCTCACCGCAGTCCTCTCCCACCAGGAAGACATCCTCCTAGTCGAGGGTCTGTACGCGCTCTACGAGGCCACTCCGGAAGCCAAACTGCTCAGAGACTCGGGAAACATCAGGATCTACGTCGACCAGGACGCAGACACGCGTCTGTCGCGACGGATAAACCGCGATACCATTGAGCGGAATATACCGCTACATAGTGTTTTGGATGATGTATGTCCCACGATCATAGATGCTTTGGTGATTTTAAATCATGCTAACTTCTGGCTAGTACATTGAACACTGCAAGCCAGCCATGGAACTATACATCAGAACCGTAAGTTATCTTCCACTACACTCGTCTTCTTACACCTGCTAACCCCCTCACTAGACAAAACCCCGGGCCGACATCGTCCTCATGCGCGGCGCCGAGCCATCTGGCATCGAGCTGATATCGGGCGCAATCTACGATCGTCTTCTGGCCATCGCTGATAACGAGGCTACACCGGCTTGGGCGGGCGGACGAACGAGCAAGCTGCTTGATGACGACATGGTTGACAGCTTTTACGAGTTGTCATAGGCTACATACTGTGAAGTCGGTAGATGATAGATGTATAGTGTTGAATAGCTAGAGAAACAGTAGCTAGAGAAACAGCAAAAAATAGTAGACCTAAAGTCCCCTCAACTCTCGCTCATGCGACGCCGATACTCCGCCTCGCGCTCCATCCGCCTTTTCAATCTCCCAGGCGACATATTTCGACTACTCTCCCGCTCGTTAGGAGACTTGACCGAGATACTCACCGCCGCCTGAGCGTACACCTTGCCTTCTCGCGCAATCTCCATGACTGCGGGAGGGGTTGAGTTGCCGTCCGCGGATGGTGACGATGATTGCGCTGGGTTGGCTGTGGATGTAGATGTAGTTTTTGGGCTCGTCGTTGGAGTTTGCAGTGGCTGCTCAACTCTTGCTTTACCAGATGAGCTCTGTCGCTCGGGCGAACGGCGCTCAGGTGATCTAGCAGCACTCTTTTCTGGAATCGGCGGGGGAGAACGTGAAGACCTTCTCGACGCGCGGAGAAGACCAGCAGAATCTCTCCTATCTCTGCTTCTGTCGCGCTGGCGAGAATCAGCGCCCTGTTCAGATCGTCGTCGATCTCCATCTCGATCTCGATCCTGTCTATCGTACTTGTCACCATCCCTGCCTCGTCGGTGGTACTCAGGACTCCGGTTCCTGCGCTCCACGCTCCTACTCCTACTCCTACTCCTGTTCCTCACCCGCGCCCGTTCTCGGCTCCCATCCCGCTCTCTTTCCCCATGCCGGCTCCGATCCCGGCCCAGCAGTGATCGGCGTCTTTCTTCCCGGCGCTCAGAAGGCCGGTACGAGTCGTATTTCGGCGACAACGGTCGGCTGGCATACACATGGTGCTCTGCATGTCGCGATGGCAGAGGCGGCCGTTCGCGACTGGTCCGGGTAGGTGACGGCGTTCGACGGTGAGAAGCTTTAGGGGTCGGGAGATCGGGTGTCAAAGGGGAGTGCGTGGGCGAGTAATGGCGAGAAAGTAGAGGTGACCGTCGGCGAGTGCGCGAGGGAGGCGAGTGATGTCTGCGTTGCTGTGAAGAGTCTCTTCTGCGCGGAGATGTAGACTGCTTCCGGGGGCGGGGGTAGTCCAGCCTCTCGTCTCTCGTCCGCGAGTCACGACTCGGTATTCTCGTCGAATCTCCCGTGCTGTTAACCTCTCTCGCACCTCTGTGCTCGGGCGAGCTCCCGTCTCGTCGCGCGCGCTTGATCTCAGACCTTGCTCGTCCTTCGCCCATCTGCTTTGCTCTCTCCTTCGCCTCCTTCAACTCTCTAGCTCGCTCAGCTTCTTTGATCTCTCTATTCTTGATCTCCTCCAGCTTTCCCCCGCGACTCATGCTCGGCATCGCCACTCCCTGTGGCTTCCCATGCGCTCGAGCTTCTACTCCCTGCAACCGTGCAGGAACTCCAGACTCTGAGGCCTGCGCTTCCAGAAGTAGATCCCACAGGTCCTTACAGAACTTTTGCGCCAACGAAGGCGGGTCTAGAAAGCCTTCCAACTGTAGCTGAACTTCCTTGATCTTGGGCTGATGAACACACATGAACGAGTTAGTCGCGTAGCTGGATAGATAGTATACAAAAGCTGTAGGAAGCAAGCAGACCTTTGGATCACTCTCCAGCAGGGATATGAGGTACTCTGAAGCTATATCGTCGCCATTCGCAATATCAATGACCTTCCACAAATCTCGTCAGATCCACCTAGATTCTAATAAACCACGACTACTTCTGAATCCTCACCTCTTTCTCAATCCACGATTTGATAACCGAGAAGTTAACGCGCCCAAGATCCACGGGCTTTTCAAACTCCGCAGGATACTCTGCTGCCTCGAGCCTCTTGTGGTCAGCAGCTGTGAGCATTGTAAATTCACGCTCGAGTCTTCCTCTGCAGATCCAAACCGTCTGTTTGTTGGTTGTTTCTCTGCTGCGTCTTCTTCTTCTACGAAATCGAGTCTACGTCGCTTCGGATCAAGCGCGTCGTGGGGCTCCTGCGGCTCATATTAGGTAACGAATTGTATATACGTTATGTAATACACCCAACTAGCAGTTCATTAATTCTATTGTACACGCATGATAATAGTACATTTTCTTCTCTGAGAGTAGACAATCGATGCTTTTCGTTCCGACTCGCAGCCTAGCTCTGCACTCCACGGCCGCTCCAGCCGCGGGCCTCCATCCACTTCTCCAGACTATCCCACAGCCCTTCGACTGTCTCTCTATCTCGGAACCGGTGCACCTTATCGATCTGGACGACGTCGACGTTCCAGGACCTGATGTTGTCCGGTAAGGGGTCGCCAGCGTAGTTTAGGCAAAAACCCTTGACTTTCTGGAACAGCAGGTTGGGATTGTTCAGGCCGTTGGGATACGATCTGAACTGCCAGGTCTGGCCGGTGGTGAAGACCGCGACCACGCGCTCCCAGTAGTCCGGCTTGAAGCGATCTACAGAGTCGACGACCAAAAACCTAAGTTGGCCTATACGTGCAGACGCGCGGGATATAGTTTGGATAGATTCTCCAGAGGCTGTTGTAGGGGCGGAGGAGAACACGCCACGTTCGAGAAAATCTTTGACGTTTGTCATCGTGAGCAAGGCGGATGCCGATGGCGAGAGCAGGATAATCGGCTCTCTTCTTTGTTTTCGGGCCGGGTTTGAGACCGCGGCGGCGGCGGAAGAGCTGCCGTTCGAGGCAGCTGCGGTGGGACGACGAGAAGCACCCGCGGCTCGTTCACGGGCGGGTTGCAGGAAGTTGGTGACTGCTTCTTTGCGAACGTACTCAAAGCTCTGATTGAAAGTGGTTAATGAGATAATTGATACAGATAACGTAAAGAGGAAAGACATACGGTGGGCTTGACGCCGTCGAGGACGGAATTGTGATCTTGGAGTACTCGCTCGTTGGCGTATGTTTCGGTGAGCCGTGGATCAAGCGGGGTCTTTGCAGCAGCAGCCGGCTTTCCGGCCTCTGCTTTGTCCTTTGCCTGAGCCTGCTTCTCGGAGACGATGAACTCGGAGTGGTCGTCTGCGCCCTGAAGCCAAGTGATTAGCGAGGTACGCTCGACAAAGGTGAGGTTGGCGATGTTTTTCTCCTGGCAGGCGGTGAGGTACGATGCAACGTTCTGATCCCGACACAGCCAGGCAAAGTAGACTCCGCGCAGATCAACGGGACCGGCCTCGCCCACCTGCGCTCGCTGGCGGACGAAGCGCGTGGGTGTTGCGAGGTCGATGGCTGTGGGCTGGTCCTGGTCGGCGAACGAGAGCTGTGCCGCGTCCGCGATGTCTGTTGCAGCGGAGCCATCTGCGGCCAGCAGGGCAGGTTCTTTTCCCGCGGAGAGGGTCCTGCGCAGAAGCAGCAGGGAATCCATTGTAGGTGTTGATGAGATATAGCAGAGATGTTCAGTAAAGAGGTGGTTTGCTATATTTGTCTGTCAGCGTCAGGGTTTCGTTCAGTGCAGCCGCCCCTCGAACTCCGCGACCATCACAGCAGCGACGCCGCTCCCGGCTCCTTGCTTCGTCTCTTCGTTTTCCACCCGTTTGCTCTTCTTCTGCCTTCTTCCTTCTTTCTGCGTGCTTATCTCTCCTGAGAAGGCCTTCTTTTTGTTTATTTGCCTCGTTCATCTACTTCCTCCCTCAACGATGCGCCTCCAGCTGCTTCTCGTAGCGCTCTTCGCCTTCCTCGCGCTCGTTCTCGCTATCCCCGTCGACGAACCCGCCGCGAAGTCCACCGCGGCAAAGGATCCCACCGTCGACCTCGACTCCACCACCTTCAAATCCTCCATCGCAAAGGGCACCTGGTGGGTCAAGCACTTCTCGCCCTACTGCCCGCATTGCAAAGCCCTCGCGCCCATCTGGTCACAAGCCGCCGAGGAGCTCGCGGCAGACGCGAACACCGCAGACTTTCATTTCGCAAACGTCGACTGCGTCGCCCAGGGCGATCTCTGCGACCAGAACGACGTCACAGCCTACCCAACTCTTATCCTTTATCGCGACGGCGTTCTCGTCGAGCGGTATCCTGTTCGTGGCTCAAAGACCCTCGAAGGCCTCAAGAGCTACGCGCTCTCACAGTTCAAGGCCGGCGGCAGCGCTGGCGGTGCCGAGAGCGAAGACACAATCGAGGACGCCGCAGTAGGCGTCGTCAAGGGAGCCTCTGTTGTTAAAGAGACCACAGAGTCCAAGGGCACCAAGGATGCGGATGCCAAGCTCGATGCTGCTGCCGTTCCCGCGACTCCTGCTACAGGCGACGTTGCTGACGACGGCGAAGACGATGGTGACGAAAAGACTGCTACCGAGACGCCTGCTGTTCCTGTTGAGAAGACTGATGAAGAAAAGGCCAGCGAACTTGCTGCTGAGGCCGCCGCCGTCGTCGTGCCTCCCGCCGGCAGCACTCCCAACCCCAAGGGCGTCTCCGTTCCTCTCACCCTCACCTCTTTCAACAAACTCGTCTCTTCCACGCGTGATGGCTATTTCATCAAGTTTTACGTCCCATGGTGTGGTCACTGTCAGGCTATGGAGCCTGCTTGGAACGAGCTTGCCCGTCAGATGCAGGGTAAGCTGAACATTGCCGAAGTCAACTGCGAGGACGAGAAGCGCCTTTGCAAGGACGCCAGACTTCGTGGATATCCTTCCCTGATGTTCTTCATCGGACAGGACCGTGTCGAATATGACGGTCTCCGTGGCGTAGGTGACCTCGTTGCTTTCGCAAACAAGGCCATGGGTGCTCACGTGCGCTCTGTCGACGCTACTGAGTTTGAAGAAATCGAAAAGAAGGAGGAGGTTGTTTTCCTCTACTTTTACGATGAGAACACGGCTAAGGAGGATTTTGTAAGTTGCTGCTGTTTATATACCTCTACTGTCTCAAAGCTAACTGTTTGTTTAGGACGCTCTAAACCGTGTCGCCCTGCCTCTTATCGGTCACGCCCCCATCTACACCACCTCCTCATCGATTCTCGCCTCTCGATTCCGCGTGACTACATTCCCTCGTCTTGTTGCTATCTCTGATGGTAGACCATCTTACTACACAGCGCTGTCGCCCAAGGATATGCGTGACCACCTCAAGGTTCTTGCCTGGATGAAGACGGTTTGGCTGCCGCTCCTGCCAGAACTGTCGGCGAGCAACTCACACGAGATCATGCATGGCAGACTTGTTGTGCTCGGAATTCTGGATAAGTCCAACGAGGCCGATTTCGAGCGATCGAAGAAGGAACTCAAAGCTGCTGCGACCGAGTGGATTGACTACCGTGTGGGCGCCGAGAAGGCCGAGCGCCAGAACCAGAGAGAGTTGAAGGAGATGAAGATCGAGGAGGCGAACGACAAGGGCGACAAAAAGGCTCTGAAGGAAGCGCAGAACATGCATATCGTTCTCAGCCCGCGCAAGGAGGTCGGTTTCGCCTGGGTCGATGGAATGTTTTGGGAGCGGTGGCTCAAGAAGACGTATGGGATTGACGTGCGCGAGACCGGCCAGCGCGTGATCATCAACGACGAGGACAACAAGATCTACTACGACCAGACCGCAGACGGCTCTGTAATCACACCAAGCTCAAAGACTGTTGTGCTCGACACCCTCAAGACCGTGATTGAGAACAAGAACAAGATCAAGCCAAAGTCGACGACGGGCAAGTTTGTGAACTTTGTGAACGCTTCTAAGAGCGTCATCCACGGATACCCGTTCGCGCTCCTGAGTTTTGTCGTCGGCATCATGCTGACGATCGCGTGGTGGTTCAAAAGCAAAATCCGCCGGTCGTCGAGAGGGCTCTCGACCGCCGGATACGGAATTCCCACTTCTGTGGGCGGGAAGTTCGATTAGGGCGGCTGGACTGGATCTTAAATTGCTTCACATCTTTGTATTTTTTTTTATTCTTTCCCATTTTAATCGTCCTCTTTCTTGTGTTTATATTTTTCAAAAATACATGGTAGGCTTGACTTACTTTCTCTCCTGACGCTCTTTTGCATTAAGCTCTTGACTACAAGTAACTGCATTCTCATGAACAAGATAAATCTATCATAATATCAACAGCCACCGTAGTCTGCGCATCCACAACAGCTTCGTTCGCCGGCGACGAAGGTTCGCGATAAGCGCAGTGCGCGGCTCACACGCGTCGATTAATCAACTCCCGGGCGTCCCCTCAGCAACCGCGCTAGTCCCAAATAGGATAAGTGTGTATTATTTACCGAGCACCGCAGCCGCACGCACAGAACGCACCCGGATCAGATTCTACTTCACCGCTTGATTTGTTTACTGTCTCCTCGTCTGCGTACAAGTTTGAGAAATAGATACTACGCAATATCTGCCTGTTAATTTACAATCAGAAGAAGTTCCTGCTTTAGTATATAGGACACAGTCATGGCTTCCATTCGTACGCTCGAGAACCGACTATCGAGGACCACTCTTCACGACAATCGTGGATCTGCCTACGGTGTTGCTGGCAAGGGAAAGGTTGGTCTTTTTTTAATTGATCTTGCTGCTCACTGTGCTTACTGACTTTCTTCATAATCTAGACTGGCTATCTGCCATCTTCAGGAAATGGAACAAACGGAACGAACGCAAACAATAAGGAAAATGTTGCAAGTATCTCCAGCGGTGCCGTTCGTCACCCCTTGCTGAAATTCGCTCTTCACAACAATGGTGCGCCTTCAAGCCGAACATCGCAAATGCTGCCTCCGTCATCCCCGAATATGCACAAGCTAGGGCCAAACAGCCAAGTGCCTACGGGCTACGTATCTTCGCACGACGTGGCTCATACCCAAAACGACTCCCATTCGTCGCCGCCAGTGGGCGCCCTGGTTAAGCAGCCGTCGGTTCCGGTACGGCAGTACTCATTGAGTAGTTTTGAGATTGGCCGGAAATTGGGGAAAGGAAAATTCGGAAAAGTGTACTGTGCTCGTGATAAAGCCACGGGCTACGTCTGCGCTCTGAAGGTGATGGAGAAGAAAGAACTTATTCACTTCAAGGTTGAAAAGCAGTTTCGGCGGGAAATCGAGATTCAGAGTAATCTGCGACATCCAAATATTCTGAGACTGTTTGGTCATTTCCATGACTCAGAGCGAGTGTTTTTGATCCTAGAGTATGCTGGGCAAGGAGAGATGTTTAAGGTCTTGCGGAAAAAGGGAAGATTTGATGATGTCTTGGCTTCTCAGGTGCGTATCATTAGTTTCTTATGAAAAGCAGATGGTTGCTAACAGATTTCTACGCCTTCAGTATATTTGTCAGATTGCCAGTGCCTTATCATACTTGCACAAGAAGCATATCATTCACAGAGATCTGAAGCCGGAAAACTTGCTGATTGGACTTGATGGCGAAGTCAAGCTCTCTGATTTTGGATGGAGTGTACATACTCCTACATCCAGGTAAGCTCTTCTGTTCTATTGTATATTGACAACAAGCTAATCAATTTGTAGACGCACAACCATGTGTGGTACTCTGGATTATCTCCCGCCGGAGATGGTCGAAGCCAAGGATCACGATTCAAGGGTCGATCTGTGGGCATTGGGTGTTTTGACCTACGAGTTTTTGGTCGGAAATCCGCCATTCGAAGAGCCCGCGCACAAAGCGACCTACAAGCGTATCTCAAAGGTTGACTTGAAAATTCCGCCTTATGTCAGTGTTGAAGCCGCTGATCTTATTCGTCGAGTATGTACTTGCAGTCACTGGAGAGTTTACAACAATTGTTCTAACATGTCATCCCTCTAGCTCTTGCAGCATCAACCCGAGCGCAGATTTCCGCTAGATCAGATACCAGACCATCCCTGGATAGTCAAGAACCGGCCATACTGGCCGACTAACAATGCAGCAGATAAAAAATCAGGCTGAGAGATCAGGCAGCTGTGTAATGCTTTTAGGTTTAGATATACCATGGTGGAAATGGAGTTTTAATTACCTTGATGTGTGCTTTTAGTTTTCTTACAATATAATTTGTGTTGCTAGTGATTAGAATATGCATGGGGAAGTCTAGTCATGAGTTATAGCTATTTACAGAGTAGAGTACATGCAGCACTCAAGGATAGATCTCGTCAAAAGGACGAGTATCATTGAAGCAAGAGTCCCAGACTTGATCGACGACACGAGCCGCTTCCTCCTTATCTTTGCAGTTTGGATTGCCGGTGACTGATAATATCGCTCTTCTTCGCACGCACTCCTGATGAGCACGCACGAACTTGAATTGCCGGTATCGCACAATCTGGTTCATCATCCTGCACTCGCCACTTAGGTTGGATGCTCGAACCTGTAATGTTTGTTGGTTTCATAATCCACGGCTGTAGGCAAAATAATAGAAAACAAAGAAAGACAAACCTCTGAGCATGCATGGTGCTTCAAATTAAACCAATCGACGTTAAATTTCAGTTCGTCATACATATGAATCAGTTCGTGAGCGATTGTGTCTTCGACATGGGTCTTGCTTTGGACCCAGTTTTGGCAAATCATGATGCCATGGTCTGGATTAAACCCGCCCGCGACGGTCTCGGTGCATTTTACACACTCGATGTTTCTGGGGTCGACTTCTCCGCCTAGTTTTTCGATGTTGTCTTTCATGAAGTTGATGATTGGACCTATAATTCAATTCCATCGTTAGTACGATTCTCGACCCGACGAAGCGCGGATTTGTTCAGGTTCAGACATACTCCACTTCAAGTTGAAATTCCGATAACTCTCGCAGGATTTGCATTGACTGGCGTCGTAGCGCGCTTTAGCGACGTTGTTGAATATCTCCCGCTCTTCGTCTGTGATCATTCCTGTGTAATTCGCCGCCAGCATCCTGAACCATGTGAAGCCCGAGGGAAGCTCAGGTTTGTCCTGGCTACTGCTTGCTCCTTCTGCCGACATTCTGGGTTATTCGTGTGCAGTAGATGTTGCGGAGAGACGTTGTTGAAGAACGGAATGGCTGTGAGATATCCCAATCGACCTCGAGGAGTCGGTAAAGAAAGCTCATCAGTCGCCCAAACCTTAAGCCGCCTCTTCTCCGTAATTTTTCGACGCAATTGTAAATAACCTCGCAAAACCCCAAATCGACCACTTTTCTGAGCTCGGGCTTGCGTTCTCATCCCTGCTCGAATTGTGAAGCTATTGCGCCTGCAGTGTCACGCTTTTGTTTAGCGGTATATGGGCAAGTGAGGTTTGCGGACCGTGTTCTGGTAGTTGATCTCTAGCTTGCTTATTCGACGAGTGCGGGACGGATCAGATAGTTCAAGATGAGGGCCAAAGAATCCAAGCCTCTGACGATCGTCATAAAACTGGGTATGTTTGATAACTTATGAAATTGCAATGCTTAAGGGTCTAACGCGGAGTTTTAGGAACATCCTCGATATGCGACGAGATCACGCATGAGCCTCGGATCGCAAACATGTCGCTGATCGTCGAGACTGTCGTGAAATTACGAAGAGAAGGTCATCGTGTGATTATAGTGTCTTCGGCTGCCATTGCTATGGGTCTGAAGCGCTTGGATATCCCGAAGCGTCCCAAGCAACTAGCTGCTGTACAGGTGTGTTTCTTCTCAAATGCTGTTTAGAGACTGGGCGGAGATGAATTTGTCGATGGAGTTGCTGGAGCTAACAGCGCTCTTTGTATTAGGCCCTTGCTGCTGTGGGACAATGCCGATTGATTGCGCTTTGGGATGAGCTGTTTCGCCAGCTAAATCAGCCTGTGGCTCAGATATTACTCACTCGAAATGATATCGCAGATGTAAGTACTACTGCTCTTTGCTTAATCAACAGTACAGGCCTAACCTTCATACAGAGAGGACAATACCTAAACGCTGCAAATACGCTCAGCGAGCTGCTCCATATGGGCGTCATCCCGATCGTGAACGAGAACGACACATTATCAGTCATGGAGATCAAATTCGGCGACAACGACACGTTATCTGCAATCACGGCCGGAATGGCGAATGCTGATTATCTGTTCCTGATGACGGACGTGGATGGTCTGTATACAGAGAATCCTAGGCTCAACCCCGCTGCGGAACCTATCGAGGTTGTTTCTGATATCAGTCAACTGAACGTTGATGGTAAGTTTATAATGTCTTTTGAGCTGTGAGCTGGCCTTGTCTAATGCACAGTATTTTAGTATCTACGGCCGGAAGCAGTGTAGGAACTGGTGGGATGGTTACAAAGTTGATAGCCGCGGAACTTGCGACATCAGCAGGCGTCACGACCATCATCACGAAATCTTCCGTTCCTGGCAACATTCACTCGATCATCAAGTACCTGCGCCATTTGAACGAACGAGGACGTGAGCCTAGACATGAGAAAACCGGGAATCCGACTGTTCCTTCCGATACCGTTCACACAGCCGAAGACGAGTCGGTTAGTCAGGTACGCGACTCTGCGCGTTCGAGCAGTACCGAGCCTGGCCCGCGATCAGGCACTCCAGGCCGCTCTCCCTCCCCTCCGCCGAAGCACACCCGGTTTATTCCCCAGCCCCATCCTATTCGCGACCGCCAATTTTGGATTTTGCACGGACTGAAGGCGCACGGAACTGTTTACATCGATAAAGGAGCTTACAGGGCGATCACTGGCGCGAACAAAGCGGGTCTTTTGCCAGCGGGTGTGGTGTGTGTCAAGGGCACGTTCAGCGCGTCGGAAGCAGTTTCGCTGATTGTAGTCGACAAGGTCGCTTTGAAAGCTGCATCTACCGACGCCGAACGGGAGGCTGTGTTTGCGGCGGGGGATGATATAGGCAAGGCGATTGTGAACTACTCGTCGGTTGAGATATCGAGGATAATGGGTTTGAAGAGCTCTGAGATTGAGTCGCTGCTTGGATACTCGGACTCGGAGTATATTGCTCATAGAGACAATCTGGCGTTTGCACCGAAGCATGCATGAGTTGTATACATTTAGAAGTAGAATAATATGGCTGTAAATAGTGTTTGATTGTAGCACTGTATGAACTCATTTGAAATTGTTGGGCACTTTATGCTTACGACAATGGATACCAAATAAATATAATATTTATTCATTAAATACTACGTCTGGGAATTGCACAAGTAATGTAAAAGTAAATATTAGTCATTGCTGACATACACATAAGTTAGGGCTATTGTAGGGTTATTGGCAGTGTGACTGCTTCTCTCGACGCCGGCTCAGCACTCGGACTGCCGCTCGATACTCCTGGTTCACGACTCGACTGACCGAATTCACCAGCACACCAACAACTCGTCAAAACAACAGGTATGTTATCAGGTCTATAATTGAAGTTGGAAGCGAAGGAGAGTTACGACGGAGGATATGTCGGAAACCGGGTCTTTTGGAGCTATAAGGATTTGTGTCTGCCCTCTTTCTCGGGATGCTGAATCTCGAGATAGATACGGCGGCTTCACACGATGGCTTCCGCTTATTGAATCCTTGTAATCTTGATCTCGCTTGCAAGGACACTCATTAAGCAGTATACTAACAGACAGGTCGCATTCAGTAATTCAAAATGACTCGCTCTTCGGTTCTCAACGACGCTCTCAACTCGATCAACAATGCCGAGAAGATGGGCAAGCGTCAGGTCCTCATCCGCCCTTCCAGCAAGGTCATCGTCAAGTTCTTGACTGTCATGCAGAAGCATGGTATGTTTTCAATTCTTTTATTTATGTTTGAGCGATGGGACACGGAACAAGTGTGAGAACTGCGAAAACGCCGACCTTCCATGAGATGAAGTAGTGCTGCCAGCACCCGAGTAATAACTGGATGAAATTTGTTTCGCTACCATCGGGTTTTGTCTTTTAATATCTCGGAAGATCAAAAATCACGAAGAAACGATTCTTACACGCAGGCATGGTCAAACCATCGTGTTTTGCGTTTACTTTTCATCGACAATCTCTTCTCATGGGCAGTTGGCGTGGAGCAGTTCTTGTGCAGTCCAATCCGATGGCTCATCGTGTGGTCAGTGATGTAGAACCAGCTTACTAATAACTATATGTTTTTAGGATACATTGGAGAGTTTGAGGAGGTCGACGACCACCGATCAGGAAAGATCGTTGTCCAGCTGAACGGAAGACTGAACAAGTGCGGTGTCATCTCGCCCCGCTTCAACGTCCGCATCGGCGATGTCGAGAAGTGGGTCACCAACCTCCTTCCCTCGCGTCAGTTCGGATTCATCATCCTGACCACCTCTGCTGGAATTATGGACCACGAGGAGGCCAGACGGAAGCACGTTGCCGGCAAGGTTTTGGGATTTGTCTATTAAACGGTCATCAGGGTTGCAGGGTATAATAAAAATGTTGTGTTTCGATATTTGATGTAAAAGTATGTCCAAGACAATAAAAGTCCGTCTGAATCTATAGAATATGTTGCTGTTGTAATAGTAGAGTGTAGTCGCAGTGAAGGATCTGCCGTTGGGAGAAAATAAAAATAAAAATAAAAAAATTCAGGGGCAAAAAAATTTCAGGCTCTGCTCGTCCTCGTTGGATCCTCTGCTATCAGCCATCTTCTTCTCTCTTTTCTTTCTGCCAGTGCTAGTAGAGATCAACATGGCGACAGCCCTCGCAAAGCAGCTCTCTGCTATCAAGGCAAAGTCTGCCTCTGTCTCCACCCTCGACCGCAAGAAAAGACAGAAATCCCACGCCGTATCCCTCATCTACGAGCCCATCGTCGCCGCAAAGCAGGACCTCGACTCCGTCTACTTGGTCGCCTACGAGGGATTCCTCGACCTTGTCTCTATCGATCCCAGATTCAGGGTCTTTGAGCGCAGTCTCTTCTCCGAAACCAGTATCACCATCGACCGTCACGTACAGGTATGTCTCTGTCCGCATATCGTCATTGTCACCGATTTGCTGCTAACGTACTGAATACCTGCCAGACCGCCGAGCAAAATGCTGCCTTGGACAAGGCTATCGAGAGCTTCTTGTCTCTTGTCGCCTCGCGAGTTCTTTTACAGCCCGCTATGAAGGCTCTGGAGTGGCTAGTGCGCCGATTCAAGTACGTCTCCATCACACCATCCAACGCAAAACAGAAACCCCACGACTAACAACCAGCAGAATCAACGAGATGAACCGCGAGATCCTTCTCCTCACTTTCCTCCCATACCACAGCCATTCTGTCTTCCAGAGAATCCTTGACGTCGTGCAGGGCCCGCTTCCTCCGCTCTTTGGCTTCTTCTCAAACGCAAAACTCACCGCGACCCCGATCCCTCGCAACACCTTGGTCCGCGCCCTCACCCGCGACGTGCAGCTCTTTGCTCTTGTCTCTGAGTTCACCGTGTCTCAGGTCCAGGCGCACTGCGAGTACCACACCCTGCTCTCCTTCTGGACCTCGATCTCGATCTCGGTCATCCTCGCGCTCAAAGACGCAAACACTCCCGATGAGGTTGTCGCCGAGCGATTCATCCCTCATATCTCGGATGTCATCGCCGCGCGCAAGTCGCCGGAGGCCCAGACCGCAGCCTATATGATCATCGTCGTCCTCGTTTCCCAGATCCGTCTCAGCACCGAGGTGCTCCAGGCTATCGCCCAGAGTCTTGCTCTCAACTGGACCAAGAAGTCGTGCAAGACCGGTCTTGCTGCGCTCACTCAGGTCATTCAGTTCCAGGACGTTGGCGCGCTCAAGTATGCGCCTCTGGACGCTAAAGTCATGAAGGCAATTCGAAAGATCGACAGCTTGGACGAAGACCTGAAAGAGATCAAGAGAAAAGTCAAAATCGACAAGTTCGTCGTCTCGTATATTCTCGCAATCATCGAGCACCATCCTTCCGATTCCGAAGAGATTTTTGATCTTCTTGAAGACAGCTCGCTTTCAAACGCCCAAAAGGCATTTGTCCTTGAGTCTGTTCTCCGCAAAGCACTTGAAGGCGACGCCGATGACGATCTCAAGATCGCATTCCGTGGAGCGCTGGCTAGCGCTGATGAGTCCTCTAGCTTCCGTGCTCTGGTCCTCGATACTGTCAACTCGATGGGTACCGATATCGATGCTCTCGAGCTCCGTTTGAATGTATCCATCAAGCCTCAAGATGCGCCTGCTGCTTTGACTGACGGCGCAATGGAGATCGATTCGGCGCCTGCTCTGTTCAGCTTCGACGACCGTCTGAAGTCCATCTCCAGGGCTCAAGTACACTCGTATCTCGAGCCGAATGCCTCTGCTGATTTCGACGCCATGGCCGAGGTGTTTTTGCAAGGTCTTGCCGAGGAGAAGCCTATGTCTCAACTGTTGAGCAACACAAATCTGTTCCCCGTCGATTCCGATCTCCCGGTCTCGTTTCTTTTGCGCATGGCGATCAGCACCTACCCAGTCCTTGCCCGCATTGAAGCCCTCAAGCTCTTCGGTCTTGCTGTTAGCAACGCCTCCGATGCCGTCGACTACCAGGCCTCTATCGTCTTCTTGCTAGTCGCATTGACAGACTCGTCTGAGAACGTGCGTCGTGCAGCTGCAGACTGCCTAAAGGCCTTGGACCAGCGCTACGAGCAAACCGCAAAGAGTTCCAAGATCTGGGGATTGGAGTCCATTTACGGTACCGGGAACGAAACTGACTTGTTGAAATGGCTAGGACTGAAGGATCTCAAGTCCTTTGTGCACTTTTATATCGTGCCTCGTCTTGAGGAAGTTATCCTGGACAAGTCTTTTACCAAGTCTATTGTTGGCAATGCTGTCGATACATCAGTCATGCTCACCGGCGAGAAAAAGAAGCGAGAGATCAATTTGAAGGGCGCCGTGTGCGCGTTTTTGACCAGCCATATCGTTGCTTCGCCTTTCTTCCGAGTCAAGCTTGCGCTGCTCAACATGCTCTCGGGAACCCGGAAGATCGTCTCTTCTCTATCCGCACTTTGCGACTCTTTCCTGAACGACTGGATCGCCAAGCGTGAGGTCTACTCGAAGGCTCTCCAGTCTGAGAAGATCCCGATCGCAACCTTTGAGACTGCGCTGCTCAAGATTGTGTCGGGCGGAGATGATGCAGAGGGCGAGAAGTTTCTCATCAGTTGCCTCAAGGCTGACATTCCCGGCCTATCGGATGCAGCTGGTGACCGTCTTGTTGAGACTTGGTCCGCCTGGAGCCATGACTCGCAGCTTGGGTTCATCAAAGTTTTGATCAATATGACGCTCGATGATCAGGCCGCTTACGGAGCTCTTGACTGTCTAAGCCGTCTTCAGATCTCGACTCCTATTTTCTCAATCATTCTAAGTGAACCCAAACTGGTCCCTGAGATTGAGGCCAGTCAGCAAAGCAAGCGCCGTCGTCGTCGCAGCAGCACCTCGCAGAGCGTCACACCGGCACTGATCTCTACCCATCAGAGCTTGCGCGAGCTGACTCTTGTTCTGGAATTGCTTGAGGGAAGCAGGCCCGAGACTCATAGCGGCCTGCTCAAGCAGCTTCTTTCCATTCTGGGCGATCTTTTGCTGGTCAAGACTGATAGTTCGCTGCCTGTGCAGTATACGCAGCAGATTCTTGTTGATTGCATCCTCCCTATTATCAAGACTGCAGATGTAAGCTATAATTCACTATATATCTTCGATTTTTTCAACTTAGGTAGCTAACTCTTATTTTAGAAATCACAGCTTGATTCCAATACTGTGAGAATCGACATCATTGTCAGCTGCATTCGATCGTCTTCCTCTCCTCAGATTCAGAACAAGTTCCTGCTCCTGGTCGCTGCCCTCGCTAGTCTGTCGCCTGAGATTGTGCTCCATAGCGTGATGCCGATCTTCACGTTTATGGGTGCAAACACCATTCGCCAGGATGACGAATTCTCGGCCCATGTGATTCAGCAGACTATCTCCCAGGTCGTGCCTGCCCTGGCTCTGTCCACGACCACCAACGACTCCTTCGGGATGGTCGAGCTGGTTCTCAGCTTTGTGAACGCGTTTCCTTACATCCCTTACCACAGACGCGTCAAGCTGTTCACGACCCTCACCAAGACTCTTGGCGCTAATGAGAGTCTTGCTCTCGTGCTTAGACTGCTTGCCAAGCGTCACTATGACTTGGTTTCGCGCAACAAGACGTCAGAAGCGAAGACACTTTCTGAGTTTGCTGACGTCTTCCTTCGTGGATTCTCTGTGGAGGAGCGTATCGAGGCCGTGAGCAGATATGTCGCGTTTGCGCGCAAGATTCCTACCGACTTGAGCGCTGCAACCGTGGAATCTGGCTACGTTGCCGATTTGGCCGATATGTCGTCTGATAAAGTGTTGGCGTTCAAGATTGATTTGCTCCAGTTTATTCGTGACGCGCTCAACAGCGCTCAGAAGAGAGCTCAAGTGGCGGCCATTTTCAAGGCCTCGTCCGAAGAATACGACGCGGACGCAGTGTCTGCTCTTCAAGCGTCGTTTGCCTCCGCGGTCGAGACTCTGCTCGACATCATCGCGAGCTCGGAGAAGCCCAAGACGCGCAAGTACCAGGAAGAAGCATACGACACCTTGGATGCCGTTCTCAACTTGCTGCCTATCCAGGACTTTGTTTCCGTCCTGGAGCGTCTTATTTCCCGACGCGACGACAACTCGACCGTCCGTCGCGCGTTGGTCACCGTTCGCTCAAAGTTCGAGAACGACGCGAAGGTCAACGACGGTCTTGCGCGCAACTCTGCGCTCATGATCTTGCCGACCATCTGCGCCGCCATCTCGAGCCTTGGTGCGGCGGACGCGGAGCTGGCGAAGCTTGGCTTTATGGCGCTAGATTGTCTCTGTGGCAAGTTTGGTGCTGTCGAGCCTGACGCGTTTGATGGCGAGGTTATCGAGCTTGTTATCGGCGATCTGGGCGTGCAGAGCGCGGATGACGCAGCTGCTGTCTCGGCTCTTGTCTGTCTTAGCTCGCTTGGTACGGCGCTGGGTGCTCGAATCCTGGCGTATTTGCCGCGCATTGTGCCTATGGTGATGACTTTGTTGGAGAAGGCGATCAAGGATGGTAAGGATCTTGTAATCATCGGAGTTTTTATGCTTGTTGATTCGTTCGTCAAGCGTATCCCGATGTTCATGGCCAGCTACATGACCAAGATCCTCAACCTTGTCTTCCTGTCGGCTTCGAAGGATGCCGAGTCTGCGACCGAGGACAGCGATGCGGTTGGCGAGGCGCGCTCGAGCTTGCTCGAGAACGTTATTGCCAAGGTCCCCACTAAGCAGCTTCTGGGCGCTTTGATTGGAAACTGGGACTCTGTCCTCGCAAAGTGGGATCTAGCGATGATCAAGCTCCACCTGTCGACGACCGCGCAGGTGATCGAGGTTGGTGCGCGCAAGGCGATCACGGGCGACGCCAGCAAGATCTTTGATTTCCTGCTTTCGGGATTCGATACGCGGAACCTCGAGGGCGAGAAGACCGAGACGACTGCGTCTATCGCGGACGAGGTCGAGCGGATCGTGATTGAGATCGCGATGCAGGTTGTGTTGAAGCTCAACGATAAGGTGTTTCGGCCTCTGTTTGTGCGCACTACGAAGTGGGCGATGGAGGAGGATCTTGCGTCGTCTGTCGCTAGACGGAATCGGTTGGTGGTTGTCTTCAAGTTCTGCGAGCGTCTGTTTAGTTCCCTCAAGGTAAGTCGCATGTTCAATATTCATCTGTGCTTGGTTCGGTTTACTAACTCTATAATCTCAGTCTATTGTTACAAGCTACTATGGCTACATTCTCGACAGCACTGCCGACCTTCTCATCTCCTACGTCACCGACGCGAGCGCCTCGTTCGACCTCGTGCTTTGGGAGACCGTCATCAAGACGCTGACGGCGGCCTTTGCCAACGACCAGGAAGAGTTCTGGCAGGCGCCGATCCGATTCGACAAGATGGCTGCGCCGCTGTTCGCTCAGCTTGGATTGGGACTTAAGAACAGTGACTCCCTGACGCAGGCGATCGTTGCGTTTGCGGTCTCGTGTGCGTCTGAGGAGCATTACAAGTACATTAACAAAGCTATCCTCAGCTACATGAAAGACCTCGACGACGAGGACGAAGACATGTCTGATTCCGACGACGAAGAGGATAAAGCCGGGGAGGCGGGAGAGGACGACGAAATCAAGCTCGACCCCAAGAAAGTCTCCAAGATCGCCCGCGCGAAATCCGGCGCCTCGGCATCTGACATCAAGATCACGGCCGTCAAGACGCTCAAGGCGATCTACGAGCGCCTGGGCGATGAATGGCTTAGCATGCTGCCGCAGCTGGTGCCGGTTGTTGCGGAGTTGCTGGAGGATGAGGACGAGTCTGTTGAGACGGAGGTTAGAAAGGATTTGGTGCCGGTGATTGAGGGTGTGTTGGGCGAGAGCCTGGATCGGTACTTGAATTAGAGGCGGAAAAAAAAAGATAGAGCATTAGGAAATGGAAAAGTTTAGTGTTTTCTATGTGTGATTTTGTCTTATTTGTCTGTTTGTTACTAGAAGTCTAGCATTAATCGCAGTTATTTCTTTATTCATTAAACCAGAGACGCGTTGTCGAGGCAACTTCCCAATACGGCAACAAGAACGCGTGACCGAAGCAGCCCAGCCCATAAGGGTTCCTCCTTCTCCGCCAACTTCCCAACCCCGCGCCCTTTACCACCCACCGACCCACGTCTGCTGATTCCTCTCTTTCTCTCAGCACTACGATATTAACGAAATGTCCGGTCCGAACCAGATCCCTCAAGACCCTTCTCGTCTCTCGCCGCCGGTGGTTTCACCACGCGGTCGCGCGCAGAGAAGGTGGAGGCCTGAGGATCTTAGAGGCGGCCGCGGGATGGCGGTCGAAGAGCTTTATAGCATCGAGCAGCGGGGCCAGCGACGTCACCAGCAGCGAGGGAATCAGTCTCCAGGTCAGCAGCGAGTTGACGCGTCTGTTAAGAGTCCAGCCGAGGACGATAGCGGTCTGGACGAGCTCGAGCGTCTGAGTGTGAAGACAGCCGACGATCTCGCTGCAGGAGTAGATGCGCGCGTCGTGCTGCCGCTACAGCCGCCTCCTCCCCCTCTACCGACAGCAAGCCCCCAAAGACCAGCGCGTCATCGCCGGACCATCACGCTTCCGGAAACCGGCACCGAAGTCACGATCAGCGACTCCGAGAGCGACAGCGGATCAGACAATCTACGCTCCGGCGCGCTTCTCGATGACGCTGCTAGTAGCAATGCGAGTTACTTGTCCAGACGGCTTTCGGAATTCGGTCAGACCGTGCGGGGGTTGATGGCCCAGCCTAATGGGAATGGCTTGAACGGGGGCCGGCAGATGTTGCTTCCGGAGACGGGGATGGAGTTTATGATTACTAGTTCGCCGTCCCCTGAGCCTGTTCCGGAACCTGTCGAGTCTGTGCCTGCAGGTACTGCGTATAGCGGTCTAGTTATGAACATGGTACCAATCGCAGAAACACCTGCCGCACCTGCCGCAACCTCAGTCGAACACCTCGACCACCGTCCCGACCTTTCCCTTCCCGACCCCTCACCCCCCTCCGCCAACGCCTCTCCACCGCCATCAAACGCACGCGCACCTTCCCCCGCCGCGCCGCCTCGAAATATTCCTCCGCTACAGCTCCCCACATCGCAAAGCCCCGCTTCAGACGCGTCAGACTCTCGCGGTTTTTCCCCTGCGCGCGCCCGTCCTCCCGCGCGACGACCACGATCCACCACAGCTTTTCTCACGAGAAAAACAAGAGAGACGCGGCGACGAGTCCTGTTTCGCTTTGCGCGCCGGCGCGTGAGCGCGTGCCGGTCGCTGGTCGACGCGCGCGCTCGTTGTCGCCGGGTGCGGATGCGAATGCTGCACGCACACAGCACAGCTCACGACACAGCCGGTCTCCTACATCGCCTACCTCCCCATCCAACGCAGCGCGATCCACCGCGATCACAAAGGCGCCGGGTTCTCCTACGGGTAGAAAACGCGGGAGCCGACGTATGAAGGCCAAAGCCCGCGCTTCGTCGGTCATGAACGCGATCGAGCAGGCTGCTACCGAGGCACTTGAGTCGCTCACGCTGAATCAGCGCGGGAAGAGCTCGTCGGCTAAAATGCTGTCTGAAGGCAGAGCTGCTGACTCGCTGCAGCGAGTGAAGAGTAGCTGTGGCGTTTTCGGCAACGCGTTTTCTGGTCGTCGCGGGGGCGAAACGAACGACGACGATGCTGAACATACGAACGTCGACGAACCAGCGCAGGATCCTACCGCCGCCGCTCCCATCCGGTCCGCGAACGACTCGCAAAAGACACTCGTCGGCGATAAGAATTCCTCGCATCCCTCGTCGCAGGTGACGCTGACACCACCTACCCCGCTCCCGGCGGTGGCACCCAGCAGCAGCGCTACTGCCTCTCCTGTCGCGAAGAAGACGACGAAAATGAGAGCGTCTGTTGGACAACTGCGCCCTGTGCGCGTGCTTTCGAAACGAGGCCGTAGACGGTCCTTCTGAACCCTCTCTTCTGCTCTGTTTCTGCTCAAGTCTCTGTGGACTGCTTGAGACCCTGTATTCTGTTTCTTGGTTCTGTGTACGTCCCGTGCGACAGATACCCTCTTCTATTCTACCTGTCTCGGTACTAGTAAGCACGTCTTACGTCGCCTTGGTATATCAACTTATCATCAAAGTATAGAGCGTAGCTCCTTCAATAAACTATTCTTTTATCTTATTACAAACTTATAGTTGCCGATAACCCTTTAATTGTTTAACATTCATGCCTATTTATAACCACAGAAAAGTAAAATCTAATGAGGAAGAAGAAAGAGGAAAATTGCTCTCCAGCGAGAGAAAGATAAGAGTGTACAAAAAAACTAGCCCTATATTCGCAAGACAAAAGCAAAAGTTCACCACAGGACTGACTCTGACAGCGACGGAATAAAGAAAAGAAAAAGAAAAACTATGTAAGATCTAAATAATAATATGCGACAAAGAAATAATGTAGTGGGAATAAATACAAAAACCTATTATACTGGAAGATAATGTATATGTAGCATGTGCTTCTCACGACGTGAGCACGAATCGCTCGACCTTTGCCGCAGAAAGCCAGCTACTGTCACCTTTTGCGCACATATTGCGCAGCAAGTACAGCTCGTCGATTAAAGCGGGGACAAACGTGCCCGGTCCACGAACGCTCGGTTGCGCAGCTGCTCTCTCGGCGGCGATGGTGTATAGCAGGACACCGGCGACTGCGGCCAGGAATCGGTCTTCGAGGGACACGGTTAGGCATGCTGTGAGAATGGAGCCGAGAACGCAGCCGCTTGCGGTTATGCTGGAGAGGTAGTCGTGGCCGTTGGAGAGGACGAAGGTTGTGATGCCGTCGGAGATAATGTCCTGCGGTCCGGTCAAAACAACAATCGTTTCTGTATTGAAACTGTTAGTGCGCGCGGCGACGTATAGCAAAAGACAAAAGCAAACACTCACTTTCTTTTGTAGCGAGACCCTCGACGACATGCACCTTCTTCTCCATACTCGAGCTCGAAGTGCTATCGACGCCCCGCATATGCGACATCTCCCCCGCGACAGCAAAGATCTCGCCCTCGTTGCCCTTGATGATATCAAAATGCGACCGATTCAAGAGCGCCTTGACAGCTTCTTTCCGCAGCGTGGACGCTCCACCGGCAACGGGGTCATACACCACCGGACGTAAGCGCTGGTTATACTCTGTAATTGCCGCGAGATACATCTCGACAGCCTCCGGGGTCGCAAAGCCCATGTTGACGAGGAGCGAGCCGTTCTCGATCGACGAAAAGTCGGCAAACTCGGGAATGTTTTCCGACATGACCGGGCTTGCGCCGACAGCCAGCGTCACGTTGGCGGCAAAGTTGGTGGCTACCCGGTTGATCAGATGGTGCACGAGCGGCGTTGTCTCTTGCACTTTTGCAATGATCGTCGGCACATCGGCGATAATGGCCGGTGGCGTGCGGTCCTTGACCACGCTCATCCAGTAAGGGGGCTCTTTGACGATCTGGAGCAGCTCGCGCGACACGGTCTCGGGGTCAGGAGACGCGATGATGGCCGAGACGACAGCGATGCCGTCCAGAGAGCGCGAGGGGACTGCCGACAAATTCAGCACGTTTCTCGCAGTCTGCAGATTTATCGAGCCGATGGCAACCGCAGGCATATATCTGTGAACTGAGGAGAGATACGACAGAATCTTGCGCAGGCCCGAGATTCCAATCGGTGGCTGTTTGGGAATCTTCGTCGAGGTGTCGTAGACCGCGCCGACGCCGAGGTAGTCGACGCCGTCTTCGACGGCTTTTGTGGCCTCGGAGACGTAGTTGACGGAGAGACCGATGATCTTGTCCGGGCCGAGGAGTTTCCTGGCAGTCGCGACATCTATATGCTACGAGTCAGTTTATAAAGCACTGTGGAGGAGGGGGGCGGGGAGGTGGGAGTTGGGAAGCACACGCACCAATGTCGTCCTGTCCGATATGGACGCCCTCTGCGTCGATAGCCAGAGCCACGTCGAGCCGGTCGTTGATCAGAAGCGGAATCCCGGCGGCTTTGGTCATCTCGTGGATCTTCTTTGCGCGGTCGATGAAATCCTTCGTCTCGGCGTCCTTCTCGCGTAACTGCACGATGGTAACGCCGCCCTTGATGGCCTTCTCGACCTGCTCCTCGAGGGTCGTGCCGTCGGGGACCAGGTTCGGGTCGGTGACGAGGTAGAGCGAGTAGTCGACTTTGATTGGCGCCATGCTTGGGTTGGGGAGCAGACTGGTGGTGGGGTGGGAAGAGGGAGGAAGGGCGGGGGAGGGGAAGGAGGGAGAAATGACGACATGCTCAGAGGCCGAGGGGCTCGTGTTGTTTCCACGTCGCCTAAGCTTTAATCTGGCAGCGACCCAAAGCCTGCCGGGAACAGCAAGTTCGAGTGCGTAAAAGGCTATGTTTTCTGTCGGATACCCGGGAAACGTAAACAAAACTCAAATCGACAGGGTCTCCTCCTCTATGGCCCCGTAGATCTCCTGCAGCGCGGCGATGATCTGCAGTAAGCCGTCGTTTATCGCCATAGTCGCCAGAACTGTGGTTATTCACGCAGTCAGAACCAGCAGGATTAACCAAAGAGAACGGGAAGCTTACTGAAACTGTAGAAAAGCACAAAGTCGTCGTCCGTGCCCGCGTTCTGGCTGACGGACTTCATCCGGTACTCGTTGATTTTTACAATCATCCTGTCGCGCGCATGCACCGTGTTTGGCAAATGGTTTGGAATCGGGAGGCCCAGTCGGATCCCGGATGCAAGCACTGCTCATACTGTGTTAGTTTATCCAGATTTATCGAGACTTGTGTCTTGAACCTCAACCTACAGTAGAATAAAAGGAAAAGACGGTTGCCCAGCTCGGATCCTAGCCGACAAAGTTAGCTTTCAGTTTTCAGTCGATCTTTTTCTTATCTCACTCACGTTCTTCGACTGTGTATCTAATAATCTCCGCCTCTCTTTCGGACGCGTTCAAGTCCTTGATGATCATAGCCTATAAACCGTCAGCAGCAATCACTCAGATATGTCAACGAAGGACAATCAATACATTCATGTTGTGGAACGCGTCCAGAATCCCCTGCGTCGTCTTCAAAATAAAATCGTAATTCTTCGACGGAAACGGCCCTTTCAGTCTAAACTCATTCGAAGCAGCACCGACCAGTCCCTGCAACTTGAGCAGCGACTTCTGCAGTTTCCGCTCGTCCTGAATAGTCACGTATGGCTTTGGCGCTTCTCCGACATGCGTAAGGCTGCTGAGTGGATCGCATTTCCAGATTAAACCCATGCGGATCCAGAGGATGCTTAGTTTCCGCTTGAGCTCTTGGCGTGCACTGTTGGGCCAGATGTACATCGTCACAAAGATCGCGACCAGGATTCCAGACGACACGGAAACCAACCGATGGACTGTACAATACTCTGTCAGCAAAAGAAGCACAAACGCAAATCAGGTACCACTCACAGGCAATCTCAGACACAATCGGATTCACGCCTCCTTCGTCCTCATTTCCGTCGTCGATGTCGTTCTGCGACAAGCTATAAGAATACAACGCCGTCAAATTAAATGCCAGAAGGATGAATCGTCCAAAGGCACTGTTCTGCTTCCAGCCTAATATGATGCAGAAGCATACGAAAGCGATGCAGAAGCCTGTTAATGACAGCGCTGTCCTGCTATCGCCAAAGAAGTACCACCTATTGAATCAGTAGTTAGAAACAGAACGACGTAGAGAATCTGATGAGTACTAGGGGACGTACACTAGCCAGGCAGAGTAGCAGCCCATAAAAGTTCCCGACAGCCGATAGACGATCGTATTGGTCGTGCCACCGATCGAGATGTTCATCATAAGCACAAAAGCAACCAACCCCCACTCGCCTCGATAGTGTCTAAAGAAATCCTTGGTCTCGTTCAAATAGGCCGGGATCAGGAAGAACAGCGCGCCGAGCCCAACTTTGATGCCGAACCGCACATCTGTTCTGCGGAAGAGTCGCAAAGAGCGCCACAGGCGAAGCGACCAAGGAATATGACCTTCCTCGTTTGTGTACTTCTCAACGTTGCTTTCGCTAAACAGATGCGCGAGCTTGGGTGGGACCGTCACTTCCTCCTCTTCCACTTCCGAGACACTCATCACGTTTGTCGGATTCGCGCGCCAAAACATCAACCAATGCCACGACTTTGGTCGTCCTTTCGAGACATAGTCATCGTACTCTGTCATGATCTCGATTATCTCTACTACTTCCCGTGCTAGATCCTCGAGCCCGTGCGAGAACTGGCCGCACGTGGCGGCGACTTTCTCGAGATGGATCGCGATTGTCTCGCGGTCGGCTTGCGTGAAGACTTCTTGGGAGTAGATCTCACGAAGAGCCTTAGTGCGTGCGCTGGAAAAGAGATCAAGTGCCTGAGACATGAAAGGTTAGTCTTTGAATGAGTGAGTAAGAGAGCAGAGAACGTACGGCTTCGAGACTGCCAGCGAACTTTGCATTCAGCTGTAACTCGTTTGTCTCATCACTGAATGGCAGTGCTTCCATGATACTCTTCACTGTGAACGTGAGTGATTTCTAGAGATGATGTAAGTATGAGATAGCAGAGAGCATACTAATATAAGAAAGAGAGCGTACCATTGGAGGCCCCAAGTAATAAACAAAAATATCAAAAATCTCGGCACACGAGGATCGCGTCTGGCGATGATCCAGATTAGTCAACGACCACTCCATAACCAGCGAACTTCGCAGACCACCGATATGCTGCATCAGACTCTGGACCGACTTGACCAGCCTCGCCTGGAGAAAATACTCTGCCTCTGTGCCGCGCAGGAAATGCTCGAATTTCGATTCCTGCAAGGCACCGTCGAGCGAGACGACGAGGCCGCGCGCGCTCTTGAAGAGTTCTTCGATTTCGGTCTTTGTGACGTCGGTGCCGGCTAGGAAGCTTCGGGCTACGATGGAGAGCATGTGGGAGTATGTGTCCATAAGCTGATTGAGTCCCTTTTTCAGTTTTGTGATGGCCGAGGTGGGAAAGATGAGGAAGCAGACTGTGGCGGAGATTAAGATGCCGAGGTGCACGATGGCGGTTACCTGCCACATTTTGCCAAACGCAACGACACCCTGCTGCACCGCGCCTTCGCGTACTAGGATGCGGACGAACTGGGTGGATGCGAGCGAGCATGCGGTGTTGAACGTCTGTTTGTCGACTTTACGCTTCATGAGCGCGATAGATCCTAGACCGCCGGCGCCAAAGACGACGAGGACGATGGCGTGTCCGAGCGGGAGAAGGTCGAGAGACTTGAAAAACGCAGAGGTATGCATTGCGCAAAAGGAGAGAAAGACGCCGTAGAAGAGACCGATTTCGGCAAACATGGTGGCTTCGATCATGCTGCCGAGCGTCCGGGACGGGTGGAAGTAGACGGTGACGGTAGCGGTGAGATGCTTGCCGTCGCCGGAACCGAGATGCTGGGATATTGTTGATGAGAAGACGGCGAAGGAGGCGATGTAGTATGTCAGAGCGCATTTGAGCGGGCGACTGAACTGCTGGAAAAAGACATAAAGGTAGATCCAGCGAATGACCGAGAAAGTGAGCAGGTATTTGCCCGCGCTGTCGCAGGCGCTCGAGATCTTGTTCAGCGATCTGATGAGCCGGTGTCGAGTGTGACCCTGATCGGGGTGCGGGCTGCTGAGCAAGGCCGCGCTCTCGTCCGCGTCGGTGTAGTGATTCTGCGTGTCTTCGTCGTCGTCCATGAGCAGCTGTCTGCCTGAACTGGGCCCGTCGGGCACGGAGTCGAACGGATCAAGCGTGATTTGCCTGCGCACGCGCTCACCGGTATCGGGCAGGATCAGAGAGAAGTTGCGGACGAGGCGATAGGGTGGTCTTGAGGAAGAGCTGGTGCTGCCGGTCCTGGCCCCCGGCTTTGCAAGAGGATGGCTGACGTTGTCGTCTTGCTCGGCATCGCTGTCTTCTTCGAGGATTGTGTCGACGATGGCGGGCTGGGTGAGTGTGCCTGGGGAAGAGGAAGATGGTTGGGAGGAGTAGTGGGTGAGTGGACTGGTGCCGAGCGGAGACAGGCTTTTGTCGGACATGGCGGAGGAAGAGCGGTGATTCTCCTCTCTTTTCTGAGTAGAATATGTCGAGAAGAAGTAGTTTGTTGTTGTTGTTGTTGTTGTTGTTGCTGCTGTTTCTTCCTGATTTATTTGAATTAAACAAAACCCACCGAAGCCGCGTGCGGCATCTAATCTGCTCTCAACTGATATCGAACAAATCCCCCAATTATTCCCCCTTCACCCTCTTCTACACCAGCAATGATCTCCAGAACAGCTTCCGAATGCATCCAGCATCTTAAAGCATTTTCTCCGCCTCCAACGCTCTGGCATTCTCTACCGCTCGGCCGTCGCTCGGCCGTGCTCATCCTCCTCCATCCCAATGCCGATGGGGATTTAAACGTCGTCCTCACCATGCGCAGCAACGGCCTCTCCTCTTTCTCAAACCAGGCTGCGTTTCCGGGGGGTAAACAATTTACTCCATTCTTCTTCTATCCAAGACCATTGACCGCTAACAATTGCAATCCACACAGGCAAAGCCGACCTCGAATCAGAGTCCCCATTCACCGTCGCCCGCCGCGAAGCCAGCGAAGAAATCGGTTTCCCGCAAGAGCTCAACGAGTCCAAATACCGCTTCGAGAACCTAACCGAGCTGCCCTGCCACCTTGCGCGCAACTGGCTTGTCGTCCGACCTTGCGTCGGATTCGTGTCCCACCGCAACGTGATCCACGACGGCGTCGGCGTCGATATCAGCGAGTTTCTCAGCGTCGCGTCCGAGAACGAAGTCAGCGCGATCTTCACGGTGCCGTTTGATCGGTTTCTGAGTGCGGAGAAGGGGTGGTATAAAGGTACGTGGATGGACTGGGCCGGACTACGATGGCGCCAGCATATATTCTCAGTCAAAGCATCCGCATCCGACATCCTCCCCGAATCATTATCATCCCCAAAGAAGCAGAAAGTCTACCCGGTCTGGGGTCTAACCGCGCGAATCCTGATCGACGCGGCACGCATCGGCTTTGCCAAAGAGCCAGAGATGGAATACATTGATAAAGTGGGAGACGAGCTGCTGATTTCGAATCTCGTGAGGATCGGCGAACTCGGGCCGGAGAGAGATCGCGAGAGAGAGATGGCGACGAAGTTTTCGGATCTGTTTGATAAAGAGCTTTTAGCGAAGCTGTGATTACATATTTTCTTCTTTTGGCATACAGGCGTTCTTGTGTTTTTGAGCTTTATATAGGAGTTGGTTTGGTCGCATGTAAATACTACAATTACTAAATGAAATAGATTTATTTTGTAACATCCATCGGCTAATCAAATCTCAAAAGCGCGTCTATCTTTCCCGTACATGAAAAAAGGAGATGACAAGAAACTGACTTAAACAGCCTCGGAAATGAGAGCGTTGAGACGCGAGATCTTGGACGAGACAGAGAGGTCGACAGTGCGGTCGCCAAGCTCGACGACGACGCCTCCGAGGATCTCGGGGTTGACCTGGTATTAATTGTTGTTAGCGTCATTTGTCTTTATAACACAATCCTTCACGAAATAAGGATATATACCTTGTTGGTGACCTTGAGCTTCTTGCCGGCACCGACAAACGCAGACTTGGAAATAGCAGCCTCGATGCGGTTCAAGAGCTTGGACTCCAAAGGCTATACGAATCAATCCATCAGCATTTCTCCTCAACACAAACAAAACAGCAATCAAACACATACAGCAGCAGAGGTAACGGTAGCCTCAACCTCTCCCTTGTAGGCACGCATAAGAGTCTCGTAGTTGGAGATGATGCTGGGGAGCAGACCGAGTCTGTTGTTGTCGGCGAGGACGGAGAGCAGGTTGGTGACAGCAGGAGCAGACTTGACGGACTTGGAGAGCGATTCAACGACGGTGGCCTTGTCAGCAGCGGAAAGAGCCGGGTTGGAGAGAATGCCGGCGTAGGCGGGCTCCTTCGAGAGAGCGGTCTTGAGGGAGGTCAGGCCCTTGGCGGTGGCATCGAGAGCGGACTCCTTCGCGGAGGCGGTGTACTAGAGGGCGTCAGCAGCTAATTTCGACAGCGCAATCACGATACAAAGGCAATTGCAGATCAATTCAGATCAATTGCTGCTGCTTTCACATACCAAAGCCGAGGCGTAGGTTCCGTCGACACCGAAGAGCTGGACTGGCGGGGTGGTCACGGCAGCCTTGGAGGCGTATGAGCGAGCGGCAAAGACTCTGCTGGAGACCGGCAGGGCGCGAACAAAAGATCTCGCGGGAAACATTGTCGGATTGGCGATATCAGCGGTGGGAAGGAGGAATATCAGAAGTCGAAGGCTTGCGGCCGGAGAAGGAGACGAGCGAAAGGTCTGCACGAAAACCCGCCCGGCCGGCGCTCGGCCAATCACCGCGGGGGCTGAACCCTGAACCTGATCATGTAATGGATTATGTAACCACGCGAACGCCTTGCTTTACTAGTAGATAGACAATACAATAACAACAACAAGAGATATTCTAACAATTGCAATACGGAAGGGCACCCGAAATACTGCCACACAGACAGAGTACTGGGATGCTGAACGAGCAGACAAGAACTCAGCAAGAACTCAAGAACTCAGACCTCTACTTACTCTCCTCCAACATACGCTCCACCAACTCAGACAGCGGGCCGAAATCCTTCTTCTCGACCAGCTCGAACTCCTTTGCAAAGTACACAAAATGCTTGAGAGAGGTGTTTAAATGGGGCTGCAGGCCGAGTCGGGTGATGACCTCAAAGTGCTCGCAGTAGATGTGCGCGTAGACTCTGTACAGACGTTTGAAGATCGTGCGGATGATTTGCAGGAAGTTCTTTGGGAATTGTACTCCTAGAAGGTGTCAGCAGATGTGAGAAGTCGTCCAAATCATATGTATCAGTATCATATTGATATAATCAAGATCACGACCACGATCAGTATGAATGATCAGCACAATCACCTACCGATCTTTGCAGGAAACACCGCTGGGTTCTCGAAATACGCCTGCACCCAATTCATAAGATGCTCAATATAATCCGGCGCCGACAGCTTTGTAGGTTTCTTGAACTTCTCGTTGTCCTGCCACAGGTACTCGTATCTACACGCGACGCGCGTTAGCCTCCTTGATCACCACACGAGCAGACCCAACCCAGACTGATCTCACTCATCGGTAGCCTTCATCTCCGGACACGAAGCAGGCGAGCAAAACTGTGTGACTGTGCCGTATAGCATATTGATCTGGTTGTAGAAATCGACCGCTGCACAAACACGTCAGATAAACAAAACAACGCGTTTCCACCTCGACCACACCGACCCCACCACCCAAAACATTCACGTACTGTTCACCGCAAGCCACTCGTTCAGATCCTCGCCCTCAGGAAGCTTGACGGCGTTCCGCAGCGAGCCCGAGCCCAGCGTAGCCTCTGCATACTGTCGGAGCTGGAAGTTTGACGATCCAGACCGGGCGGGCGCGCCTTGGCTGGTCTTGAAGCCTTTAGACGAGCGCGAGTTTCTAATACTGTCAGATCCTGGTTCTTCACAATCATCCTCACAATCAAACAGAACAGCACTCACAGCGACGGAAGAAAAGACATTGCTGGTCCTGTTGTTTGTTTACATCTCAAACTAATTAGAAGCCCGCCCGGCTCCTGACTCAGCACGAGCCCCGCTGCTGACATAAACACGAACCCCGTCGCTGACATTTTCTCTTCTTCTCTGCGCTCTTCTCGGCCCTTCGCATCTTCACCGGTTTTGCTGCTCTAATACCAACCCCCGCAATGTCATATCCCAACCCGAACGAAGCATTCCAGCGCTTCACACGCGCGCTGCAGCAGCAGGCCTCGCGCACCGGCGGCAGCGGCGGCGGTCGCGGGGGTCCCGTCCGCGGCGGTGGAGTGATCGGCCTCGCCGTCGTCTCTGTTCTCGGATCGTGGGCGCTCTCGAACTCGCTCTTCAACGTCGACGGAGGCCATCGCGCAATCAAGTACACGCGACTCAGCGGCGTGCGTCCGGAGATCTACCCTGAGGGCACCCACTTCAACATCCCCTGGTTCGAGACCCCGATCACCTACGACGTCCGCGCCCGGCCTCGCAACGTCGCCTCGCTGACCGGCACGAAGGATCTCCAGATGGTGAACATCACCTGCAGAGTGCTCTCCCGGCCCAAGGTCGAAGCCCTCCCGACAATCTACCGCACCCTCGGCGCCGACTACGACGAGCGCATCCTGCCCTCGATCGTCAACGAGGTCCTCAAGTCCGTCGTCGCCCAGTTCAACGCTTCCCAGCTCATCACCCAGCGCGAGGCCGTCTCCCGCCTCGTGCGCGAGAACCTCGTCAAGCGCGCGTACAAGTTCAACATCCTCCTCGACGACGTCTCGCTCACCCACATGACGTTCTCGCCAGAGTTCACCGCCGCCGTCGAGAGCAAACAGATTGCCCAGCAAGACGCCCAGCGCGCGGCATTCATCGTCGACCGCGCTCGCCAGGAGAAGCAGGGAACCATCGTCCGCGCCCAGGGTGAGGCCAAGTCGGCTGAGCTCATCGGTGAGGCGATCAAGAAGAGCAAGGATTACGTCGAACTCAAGCGGATCGACACCGCGCGTGAGATCGCTTCGATCGTGGGCCAGTCTGGAAACAGAATGGTGCTCGACAGCAACTCCTTGCTCATGAACGTCACCGCCGACTCTCGATTGGATGGAAAGAAGAAGTAGTCTTACTCAATCTCTCTACTATCTGAAATTATATGAAAAAAATAAGCAGGGTGGTTTTCGGATTTAGTGTCGGTTAAATCTCTTATGATCTGTATATATTCGCACAACAAGCTTATCTATTGATGGTTCTCAATATAATAAGATGTCCTTGACCAATTTATTAAAGATTACATGTAAACAGAAGCAAACCACCAGAAGACCGTCAGCCCTCCAACTCCGGAATCGCCTTCTCCCACTCCTCCAGTATCGTGCGGAAGAACTCAATGTGTGCGTCCGCCATACTGCCCATCGTGTCCTTCATCTCAAACGATTTGATGCGCTCAAAGTCCCGCAGATCTCTCGTAACCTCTTTGTCGAACGAGAGCGAGATCTCGTGCGCTTCCTCGGCCTCCTTGGTTAGTTCCTCGAGTCGCGTGTCGAGCTTCCGTAGCCGCTCTATCCGCGCTACGTGGTGGTCCACACCCCGGAGATCTTCGACCTTTGATCGTAAAAACCCGTTGCCGCCGCCGGACGCGAGAACGTTGCGCTCGACGGTGGCCTTGTTGAGGTAGTCCAGCAGACCTTCGTAGTCGAGCTGTTTCTGCTCGCGCTGCTTGAGCAATTGCTTCAGCGCCCCGTCGTAGTTCTCCATATCCCGGAGCGAGACAACGTAGTTAAGATCGAGGTTCTCGCGCAGCGCGTGGATCGCTTCCGCACTCGCATCGAGCTTACCCGCAAACGCCTTGAACGCCTGCTGCATGTCCGGCTCCAGCGGCGACAGCTTCGCAAACTGGCTCGCAAACTCGCGCGTGTCCTGCTCCCACTCGAGCTCGTGCTTCGCCAGCCGGCTCATGACTTTCTCCGTGTGCGTCACGTCGTCGGCGAGCTTGTCTGCGCGCTCCTTGGCGGGGACAAAGTCGTCCTTGCCCTTGGGAATCTTTGCAAACGCGTTCACGAGCGCATCGCTGAACCCGTCAAACACACCCGACGACTCGCCCACCGTCGCGGCCTTGACCGGGTGCGCGCGCATGTACGCGTTCCATTCGTAGGATTCGAGAAAGACGGCTAGGACTGCGGCCGTGCGCAGGATCGGGTGGTTCGAGATCCGTTCCAGGAACCGGCCGAGCGAGTTCGCTCGTCGAGAGGTGAACTCACCGCCAAACCTGTCGCCGGTGATGTACTCTAAACCCACGAAATCAATAATCAGCTACAAAGATCAACCAGCAAATGCAGAACTACGAACAGCACATACCCATGCGCTGCTTGTCTGGCAGCGGCGGCACCGCGCACGCAGGATAGTCGCGCGCAATGACATTATACAAATACACAAAATCAGAAAACCTCCGCCGGACTCTAAACTCAGGCGCCTGGAACTGCGGAAAGTCCGAGACGGTGGTGACCAGATAGGTTATATATGCGTTCTGCGTGCCCTCGAGCTCCTTCTGCGGATCAGACACGCGGCACGCCAGCGTCGAGCTCCACAGCGCGTCCTTGTCCTCGTCTGTCTCCGGCGCGCGCTCGGTCACGATCGTGGCCGACGACGGGTGCAGTGCAGAGGCGGAGGTCGACATCGCGGTAGTTGTTCAGAGCTGGCTTTGCTGCAGTGGTGGAGCGCAGGTCGAGATAGCGGCGGAGGGCAACTACGTAATTCCACCAGGCCCTCGGCCACGTGACTGCTGACAAAATATTAAAAGCGGCGCTCGCTCGTCTTGTTTCTTCACGAGGCTGGATATCTGATCTTTTGCTGAATTATCAGAGGAGAAGAACAGACACAGGTTCAGCAGAAGATTGTACAATGTCGTCAATAGCACTGACTGCAGGCTCGCCGCTGGCAGAGACGCTGCAGGCCTCCGTCGGCGAGCGGTTGCGAGCGGACGGGTTTGCTGAGGACGAGACGCCTTTTATCTCAGAGTTTGTCGTGATTATGATCTGCAACAACAAAGGGCCCGAGCAGATCAGCAGCGAGCTTACGGATCTGCTGGGCGCGAACAGGTTCAGTGGCGACTTTATTGGGTGGCTGTTTGACGAGCTGCGGAGGTTGGCTGGCGGTGAAAGCGGGCAGCAGCAGCAGCAGCAGCAGCAGGAGGTCGCTCCGGCGAATGAGCAGGGTGGGAGTAGACTGACTGATGCTATCAACGTTGATCTGTCGAAAGCGCCCTCTGCGCCGGCGGCGATCAGGAATAGCGCGAACGGCGGCCAGGTCAGGAAAGGCCGGGATCTGAGGAGCGTGATGCACGGCGTCCGAGGAAACCAGTTCTCGATCAACAAGGGTGGCCAGACGCGCCAGCAGTTTAACAACATGCGCGGTCGGGGCGCGAACAATTTCATGAACAACGAGATGTACAACAGAATGAACATGAACTACAACCAAAACCACAACAACAACAGCAACAGCAATATCAACAATTTCAACGGCATGTACCAGAACAACGGGTATCAAGACATGGGCATGCCACCGGCTCAGCAACAGACGGCCGCGCAGGCAGTCACTCTGTCGCGGTGTCGTCATTGGCCGTATCACGACTCGATCTGCAAGTTCCCGCATCCGATGGCGATCTGCGAGTATGTCTCTCACACTATCTATCTGAACAAACAAGAATGCAACTAACGTACTAATCTAGACACTACCCAAACTGCCCGAATATGCGCGGCACATGTCCTAAAATCCACGTGGGCGAAGACATGACGGCCGAAGACGCGCAGAAATACATTGAATCAAACGGTACCTACGAGTTCACCCCGCTGTACGAGATGGGCAATCAGATGTACGCCCGGCTCCGGGCGCAGAAGAAAGCAGAGATGATGCGAATGGCGCAGGAGAACGAGTTACGGCAACAGGCGCAGCTCAGTCTGCAACGGAACCACAACCAGCAGCGGCAGCGACCGACCAGCAGCACCACCCCGCTGTGCAAGTTCGCGCTGAGGTGCACAAACGCAGACTGCGTGTTTGTCCACCCAACCCCCGCCAACGGCGACGCACTTGTGCTCAGCGCGGAAGCGTGTCCGGAAGGTACGGGCTGCACCGACGAAAACTGCGACAAAGCACATCCATCTCCCGCCTCGATGCGCTCGGCCGCAAGCTACACGGCCGACACGCAAATGTCCGACGGCGGGTTCAGCAAACCAAACTACCTCGACCCCTGCCGCTACGGCGCGTACTGCACCAACCCGCACTGCAAATACCGCCACGCGACATCCACCGTGCTTTGCCGCGACGGCGCCGACTGCACCCGCCAGGACTGCATGTTCACGCACCCGTTCGCGACACCGTGCAAGTATGACTCGAAATGCATCAACCCGAACTGCATATACTCGCACCCGAACGGCAAGGCCAACCTGCCGAAGACACATGTGTGGGTCGCGGCCAAGAACGGTGAGAGTAACGAGCACGTGAGCGAGCGGTCGTTCGCGGTCGGTGATGACGAGGTCGAGAAGATTGCGCAGCCGGAAGCTGGGTCGTCGTCGTCCGCGCCTGCTGAAGTCGGCGCGTGAGCGCAAAAATCAGTCAGGCTGGTCGACCATCATAAAATGTTTCTCTCTCTTTGTTCAAAAACTGTACACTTTTTCTTTATGGGTGCTCTCTCGATTGCTTCATTTTTTTATTTTACATCTCGTGTATTTTGCTCTGGGTATCTGTAATCGTTATCGGGTAGGATTTCTTTCTTTCGTCTCTTCTTCTAGCTCTTGCTCTTTCGAGCGCGGCCGTTGTGAATGGAATGTCTCTTGGTCATGAATGAATGTATTATAGTCAATTCGATCATCTTTTTTCTCTTCTTCTTCAATTCAGCAGCTATAGAAACTCATATGGAAAGCAAGGAAAGGTAGCTTGACACGGAGGTTGAAGCGCAGGTTAAGTGTCGTGGTCGGTTGTGCTTGAGGGATTATATATCGTGTTATATTTCGAAAGCATCTTTTCACGTAAACTGTAGTCAGAATATCACGAGCATAGAGAAAATAGAAAAGGGAGGGACGAAGAAGCAAACCTGAGATGCCATTACTGGAGATAAATGACCGGCGAGCTGGATCGCGATTCCGAGCCAGTGTTTGCAGCCTGATAGATCGCTTGAGCTGGATGATGAGTACGCACAGAAACAATTGTGCTTCTAGTTAGCCAAGCCCTTCTTACTCAAAAACATACGATTGCACAAGCACAGAAAAAAACAGAGCTAAGAGCAGAAACAGACCAATACAGATCAATCCCAAAGTTCCAGCACGTAGTAGCAAGCCAATGAATCTCCTCCGCCGGATACCGCTCCTTGAACTCCTCGCTCAGCTTGACGCGTACTTGGTTAATTATATCCTCGGCGACGGACGCGCGGCGCGGAAGCGCGATCGTCAGGATACAGCGGATCCACCGCGACAGTTTCGCGATATCTTTGCCGGCGTCGGCGAGGACTGAGCGCATTATGAGCTGTCGTGCTTGTTAGCTTGGTGTCGTGTAAGAGGTAGAGGGAGCACGGGCGAACCTGTAGAACCTGCAGAACGTCTAGTCGAACAAAACAGTTAGCTTCCCAGGCAAACATAAACAAAGACGACTCTCCAAACCATCAGTCGGACCCCGCGACGACAGCAAGATATCAATCAAACTCTCGTATATCTTCAGACTCTGCAAATTCCGCGGCGCAGACTGACTACCACCCTGCAGCTGACTGGCGTAGCTCCCCACAAGATCGATCACTGACTCTACGATTTCAGGCAACGTACTCCACAGCTCGAGATTAACCGCGGATTCGAACTGGAACGAGAGAACAGCGGCTGTCTTTGCTTGTACCTCGAGGTTTTTGGTTTCAAGCTCAGCATCGTCGTCGGCGAGCAGAGTTAGGTATTTTGACGCGATCGACAAAAACTCTTTTGTATGCCGCAATGTAGCTTGGAACAACTCCTGCTGCTCAACAATAACATGCCTGCTACGCGCAAGATATATCGACGCCGACGTAGCCAGAAACTTCGCCGCCACAGTCTGCCACACAACCGCTCCGTCGCAGCCGCCATTCACAACCTGCTCATACAGCGCCAAAAACTTCAGCGAGATCTCCGACAGTCGCAAGGTACACTCCGCAGGCCACGTCTTGCAAAACTTGAGCGCGGTGTTATACGCCGTGCGCGAGAACCATTCGTACTCTGCCTGGTCGAACGAGAAGGCTGGGTCTTTGAATTTCCAGCCGCGCGACTGCTTCGCCATATCGTACGAGTTTTCAAAGTAGCGACACAGCTGCTCCAGTCTCTCGTCCGATCGCGCTGCACCATCTTCACCGCCGTCACCAGGGTTCTTCTCGCCATCGAGGATGATGAGCCGGATAACGCAGCGGAGAAGGGCGGGGATATGCACCGACACGGACTCGCGACCGGGTTGTGAGCCGCTGGTGGGTGCGGTGGCTTCTTGGCCTATCTTTTGGAGAATGAGTTTCATGGCGGCGAGGGTGACTTGCTTGTTGTCGCGCTCTTGCGCTTCCATTGCGCAAGCGGATAGGATCTTGCAGTCCGTGGTCGGGGAGTTGCATATCCGGTCTAGACAAGTGAGGGCTAGTCGAGGTTAGCAGAGATATCTACATAAGAGCAAAGGGGAGGAAGAACCTAGCGAATCGTCAAACATCCCAAGCGCAGTTTTAAACAGCAAATACTGCGTCAACGGCGCCTCCTTCGCCGACGCCGGCATGCGACTGGTGTAGAGCTCGAGCGCGTGCTCGTAGTTTTGCAGGTGAACTTCACACAGCATCATCTTCCGTATGATTTTCGTGCGGTTGATTTCGCCGCCGTTGGCAAAGACGGAGCTGATTGCGAGTGCGAACCAGGAGTTTGCGGTTTGGTATTCGGAGCGCGCAAAGCAGCTTGCTGCAATGCTCCATATGATCTATAGAGGTCAGTAGACTGCTCTTGAATATGTTGGAGCAAATGCTTACACTCTGCCCACTGTTTACCACGTTTGTGGGTAACGCCTCTGGCAACAGTCGTTCCAATTCTACCAGAGTCAGTCTCCGAAAGTGAAAATCAATAAACACAAAGCATACCCGCAAAAAGTTTCTCAAGACCGGCGATAGATTCACCAGACGCCCCAAGCCGTGCTGCGATAGCCAGGCGACTGAGAAGCACACGGTGCGTCCACTCGACGTTTTTCTCAAACGATAGCTTTTTGGTTAGCAGGTAGTCTAGAGCTTTGCAGGCGTGGAGAGGGTGCAGCTCTGAGAGACTTCGGATTTTGGACATGATGCTGGAGGAGTCATTAGCATTGGAACAGCGGCGCGGTGACGGTTTTAATTACATTGGGAACGAAGTTGCGTCGAGGTTGCCGATAAAGATCATTTGCATGATACCTAGCTTCTTGTCAACACCCGCAAACCAAAACACACCAAATCTCTAGAAGAAGAAACTCACTATCGGAAAGAGTCTCAGCCGACGCGCCCTCTTTCACTGCAATCTCAAACTTAAGCACGAGCGACCAAATCGTGCTCGGGTACTCATCATCCATGCTCTGCAGCACCCGCTTCGCCTTCTCAAGTCTCGCCCCGTCGCTACCACTGCAATACGCTCTCACGAGATTCCGCGAGATGTTGTATTTCAGCTCGAGCAAAGCCTCTGACGGCTCATCCTCATCGCGCGAATTAGCGAGCGAAAACAGAGATAGCGCGTGTTCGAGCCAGGACTCGGCGCGCTCAGAGTCGTGTCTGCGGGCAAATTCGGTGCCGATGGTGGATAGGATCTTGACAAGGTATTCGAGTTTTCGGGTCGGAACTGTGTGCGATGTCGTCGTCGGCAGTTTGCTGTACCAGGTAATCATGAGCTCGTAGTTTCCTGTCTTCCATGCCTATCACCATTCTGTCAGTAGCAACCCGCAGCTCAGGAAGAGAGACAACATACGGCATAGATCCTAATAACGCAATACTCCACCTTGACAAGGAACCCGGCCTGCTTATCGACAACCTGCTCCTGACTCGCGACCGCCGCGTCGTATATTTTCGGCACGCGCGTCAACAGCTTCATCAGCGCCTCGATCGCATCGTTATCAAGACAGGATTTCATAGCTTTCAAATACGCCTTGAAAACTCGTAGATCCGCGCCCGCGCCTTTCGAAAGTCGTTCGCAGCACTCGATAAGCAGGCACGCAAACGCACGCACAGTGCAGAGCACCTGCATCTCTGCTCCTCCTCCTTCTTCCCTCTCAGCAGCTTCATGACTAAAAACAGTAGCGAGGTTCCACAGCTGCACGCCTATCTCGTCGAGCTTGCAGCTGTTCAAAGTCGAGATCTTGCTCTTCATCGCGAGCGAGGCGAGGAACTGCTCGACTGTTAAGAGGGCGGAGTCCAGCATCGGGACGAGGCTGTGGGTGTCTTTTGAGGGATCTTTGATGTGCTCGTAAATACTCCGAGCCTGCTCTATCGTGTGTGTTAGTACTTTGCATACGTTTGTTATATCGATCTCAGATGATACCGTATATGGTGTTGACTCGCTTCTCCGCAGAGGACAGATGGACAGGCGACTGAGCGTCCTTCCGCGCCGCGTCCAAGCCTCGCTCAGCGTTTGTTATATTTCCAAACAGCAACGATGCCGCTTCAGTCATTCTTATTCTATATTCTGTTGCTGCTGGCGACGGGAGAGTGACACGTTCTGTTGATCTTCACGAGAGCGACGCGTGAACCCTTACCCGCGTGCTCTTCGCGACTTTCCTTTAAAGGCAGGAGGAGAATTCTTCTATCTACTATCTATTTGTCTTGGATTCTATTTATCGCGCAAAGATCATCTCATGATTGTAGTCAGCGCGTATCCCATCATACCCCGTAATCGTACATCATTCGGCTCGCGGACTCCCAGACGACGGTTAGACCGATTGACTGATAGTGCGGAAAACAAGACGGCGTAAGAGGCAGAGAAGACAAGGCTCTCGAACCATTCGTGTGCTTCGTCAAAGGATACCGGGAGAAGGGTGCCGATGGCACGCGGAGACACAAATTGCGCTAGTTCCCCCCAGCGCTGGGGGGTTTCGAGCAGGATACCTGATCATATGTTAGAAGACTATGCTATCGAGAAGAAAAAGTAGAAGACATACTCCAGCCGCAGATTAGACATCCAAGAAGAGGACCAAGGGTATTGTCCCAAGTGATAGGCTTCGCTTTCGGGAAAAAGTACGGTCCGAGTCTCGAGCGCGTCAGACAGACGCCATACCAGGTCAAAGTAACAAAGAGTCCCAAGAACGACGAGGACCGCGCAGAGGACTTTAATACGTGCGCGATCTGGGCCAAGATCGGTGTTCTAGATCGTAAATTTCGCAGCTGCAGGACTGTGTTTAGAGGAAGGTAGATGACAAGCGCGGCCTTGAACGCTTTCCAGAAACGCAAGACGGCGTGCATCTCGCAGTTCTCGGCCATGTTTTCGTGGATGAGAACGCAGGGAAGCGGGATCGACTTTACTGGATCGCCGTACTCGCGGGGTAAACCGAGGTTTTTCGTCATGGGCTCGAGGATCCCGGCCATGCCGGTTTCGACGCCGTAGATGAACTTGCGCTGCTGCGCGAGGCGGAGCATGTCGAGCAAGCGCGTGTCGAGATCGGCGTAGCGCGTGATCCAGGTGTTGTAGGACTTTGGCAGGCGATCGGGCCTGTAGAACCAGGCGTACATAACGACGGAGCTGGAGGAGACGAAGGAGAGCATGTCGCAGGTGTTGAGGGAGATGGGCAGGCGATTGCGGGCGAGGATGTGACGTCTGAAGAGGTAGTCGCAAGCCGAGGTGAAGGTGAAGAGGGTGGTGTCGATTGTCCGGCTGTGGTCGTGGTGATCTAGCTTTTCAGAGACCACAGACTCGATCTGTTTGACGGCGACGGACTTGCGGACGCGGCGCTGGTGCCAGCGCATGACGAGCATGCTTGCGATGGCTGAGCCGAGGAAGGAGGATTGGCGGAGGGAGAGGCGGCGTTTGGGGAAGAGGCGCTCGATGATGCGGGTAGTAGAGACAGATGAGCCGAGGAGAAAGAACCAGAACGCGGGGAGTTCGTTGCGGGAGAGAGCAGAGAGGAGGATGTGTTTGACCATGCTGGGGAGCTGGCGCAGACGGTCGCGGGTCTGGAGGGCGCGGACGGCCGCGTTGAGGAGGCGGGGGCCGACATTTGAAGCGTAGAAGATGGCGAAGGCGATGAGGGCTCTGTTAATCGTTAGATGTGGAAGTGAGAGAGGAGGAGAGGAGGAGGTGGAGCATACGGGACTACGGCGGGATCAGAGGAGATGCGACGGGGAAGGGATGAGTGGAGATGAGGAGATGCGGGGTGGAGGGACCTGGACATGCTGAGCGGGAGATGCAGAGGCAGAGGCGGCCATTGGCCTGGCCGAGGAGTAGAGAGAAGAGTGGAGTGGAGTAGGTAGTAGATAGCAGAGTAGAGTAGAGAGTAAAGAGTAGATAGTAGATAGTAGAGTAGAGTATGGTAATGCTTTCACGTGCCAGGAGCTACAATAGAGACGCGGTCGCGATGCAGATCTGAGAATGAATACTCATCCAACGCGTTACTTCACCATGTTTACGAGTACTATTGACTACTAGGAATAGAATTGATAAAATATCATTACACAACCGCCGAGAAATCTAATATACAATGTAATTACCATTACATAAACCAGTCCCAAACAAAAACAGCAAATCACACGGTATCGATGTTAACCTTTACTATAGCATCCGAACAGCGAAAACAAATGACGAAAATAGTGATACAATAGACGACAACACGACCTGCCAATTTACAACTCCTGGCTGGGGCCCTTGCCGGGCTTGCCAGACTTCTTGGGGAGCAGGTTCTGGTGGATGTTGGGCAAGACACCACCCTGGGCGATGGTGACGTGACCAAGAAGCTTGTTCAACTCCTCATCATTTCGGATGGCGAGCTGGAGATGACGGGGGATGATACGAGCTGTATATGCTGTTAGCAGTGTAGATGATGATAGAATAAAGATGAATACTCACTCTTCTTGTTGTCACGGGCGGCGTTACCGGCCAACTCAAGAATTTCAGCGGCCAAGTACTCAAGGACGGCGGCGAGGTAGACTAATGAGTGTTAGAGTATGATAAATGGAGTGTGATGACGCGATGTTGTGATTGTAAGACGCGTCAAACAAGTTGAACAATCAACATCATCCAAGTTCAACAACAGAAGAGGTACACACCAGGAGCACCGGCACCGACACGCTGGGCGTAGTTGCCCTTGCGCAAGAGTCTGTGGACACGACCGACAGGGAAGGCGAGACCGGCCTTAGCAGAGCGGGACTGCGACGACTTGGCGCCGGACGCAGCCTTTCCGCCAGATTTTCCTCCAGAAGACATTGTGGTTGTTGTGGTATAGAAGAGCAGGGAAGCTAGAAGAGGTGATGGAGATGGAAGAACGACGGAGGCGGCGGGCGCAGGGTCTTTATAGGCGCGGCGGGCGCGGGCGCATCAACCCGGGTTAGGGCCCAGCCTGGAATGGGCGGCGCGGTGCTGGTTGATGCTCGCCCGCCGCAGACGCCTATAAAGACCCGCCTGCCCCCGCCCGCCTCCTCTTCTCTTCCGCACACATCCGCTCCTCTGATCTCTACTCTCTTCAGACTACTTTCACTACACAACAATGCCTCCCAAGACCGCCGAGAAGAAGCCCACCACCGCCGGCAAGGCCCCTGCCGGAAAGGCCCCTGCTGAGAAGAAGGAGGCTGGCAAGAAGACCACCGCTCCCTCTGACAAGAAGAAGCGCTCCAAGACCCGCAAGGAGACCTACTCTTCTTATATCTACAAGGGTGTGTATTTGCTCTATTTTGTGATTTATTCTGGCTATATATCGCGTCTTTTCATATTTCTAACGCGTCTTTTATATCTATAGTCCTCAAGCAGGTCCACCCCGACACTGGTATCTCCAACCGTGCCATGTCCATCCTCAACTCATTCGTCAACGACATCTTCGAGCGCATCGCCACCGAGGCCTCCAAGCTAGCTGCCTACAACAAGAAGAGCACCATCTCCTCGCGTGAGATCCAGACCGCTGTCCGTCTCATTCTCCCCGGTGAGCTTGCCAAGCACGCCGTTGCTGAGGGCACCAAGGCTGTCACCAAGTACTCTTCGTCGTCAAAGTAAACTGCTAGAGTGCTTGAAGTCGTGGTTTAAGATAGCGATGTGTAATGGAATATGGTGTATTTTCGTTCCTTTTGTTGGTTATGGTTTTATGGGCCGGTTAGTGTTTGTCATTTCTTGAGTCGAAGACTCCTGTGTTTTATTAGTCCCGTGTACATTATTATCAATCCTATCCCTCTTACATCTATTATTTATATTCTATTCTATATCTTACGCGTACAATATATCTTCCTTGCAGTAGCAATAATACAAATAACCAGGAATGTTGCTGAGAATGCAGCCTCAACGTCAGCATCGTCCCATCACCCACTTCCTTCGCCTTCTCCCTGCCCTCAAATTCCTCTTATGTAATAACTTACGTCATCACTCTTTTTTATTGCAAAAACACGCGTTTTACACCGGTAATCGCTCACTTTCTTGTTTTGATCTACGCCGCATTCTCATTGGCCCGAAACTCGTCACACTCGTGTGCTGCGGTTTACGCGTGCCGACACGTCGACGCGTGTAGTATCTAGCACACTTGTTTTGTTTTCTTTTTTTGTTGTTATGATCAACTACACGTGTTATCTATCAACATTCTCTATTAACTCTAGTATTTACAATGCTCATGCTCTCCTCACCACCTCCCTCACCAAATCTCCGCCCAACCTCTCCATCTCCCTCACCATCCCATCCACATTCGCCCGCACCGTAGCCGTCCCCTTCTGCTCAACCCCCTCCTCCTGCACCGGCCTCGTAGAGTACCCAAGATACACCTTCCAGCTTCTCTCCGCCATAATCCGCGGATCCCACACCCCCGCAATCACGTCGTTCCGCAGCCTGTTGCGGAAAAACACCGCCGCGCCATCAAACACGCTCTCCAGCTCCTTAAAGTACAGCTCGACCGGCTCGTTCAGCTGCTCAACGCCAGGCGGATACGCGCTCTCCTCCGCCGGAATCTTCTCCAGATAAATCACGAAATCAAAGTCCTCCACCGGCGACACAAACAACTTCCTAAACTCGTCCGCCTCCCCGCCAAACACAACCCCGCCGCTCTTCAGCGCCGCGCAACTCGCCCTCGCCAGCGCTGTCATCCGGCTCGCAATCACCTTCCGCGGATTCGGCTGCGTCCACATCATCCCGCTGCGCTCGTAGTTGATTGCAATAAACAGCGCCCCTTGTGACAGCTCTGGATCGTTCGCCCGCTGCTGCTTGAACTTCTCCCGCACCCCCTGCACATCCGCAATCGTCAGCGTCTGATCCACATCCAAGATCAGCGGCTCGCTACGCCAGTCCCAATGCGCAAGGAAATACAGCACCCGTAGAAAGCCCGTATACGACGACGCCGGCGCGCTCCACGGGAACGGCTTCAAAAACACCGCCAGCGTCAACATCTCCACCGTCACCGCGTCAAAATGATCACTCAGGTAGTGCGCGTGCAGCCACTTCTTCACGCGCCGAACCGTCCCCGATAAAAACGGGTAGCGGTGGCACAGCGTCGCAAACTCCGTCGTATGCCGCGCCGCCAACGTGAACTCCCGCTCGAGCGTCTTGAACCCGCGCAGACCGAGATCCCGGTCCGGCTTGTAATTCCTCAACATCGCCGCCTCGCGCTCTGTCCGCAGCCGCACCCGGAACGCGTACCCGGACGGCATCAGCACGTCCAGGAACGCGAAATTCTCAATCGTGTCCGGGTCCCGGTCCAGCCCGGTGTTTGTCACCACCGTCGGATCCATCCGGCAAAGACTCTGCCCGATGCCCAGCAAAAACGCAGCTTTGCTGTGCTGCACCGCCTTCAGATCGTCAGGCCACTTGGCCGACGTCTCAAGCTCGATCACGACGTTTGAGAAATCCTCGCTAGAGTGCACCGAAAACTCCACCGGCGGCCGAACGCTCGCGTACCGCAGCCGCTCTGAGGCAGGCAGAACTGCGCTGACCTTCAACGGCAGGTCGTCGATGTCAATCAGCATCTTCCGCAGCAGATCAAACTCGTCCAAGTTCTTCTGATACAGCGCGATCGCGTTCGTCCCCGGCGCGTCCGCCAGCTCCCGATCCTGCGCAAACATCTTATTCAACCCATCCCCAACCACATACAACCCCTTCGTCATCGCCTCGCCCACATGTCGCTCGAGCACGTACCTCACAATCTGCGTCACCACACTCTCCTCCGCCCGCGGCTCCCACACCACGCTCTCTGTGATACTCCCGTCCTTGAACCGCCGCAGCTCAGACTTGCGGCCCCAAAACTTGCGGAACTCTGCCGACGCCTGCTTGTCCTCCGCCGACGGGCCGTGGATCACCAACCGCTCGCTGTGCTCGGGATTCAGAAGCAGGCCGATCGTGAACGCAGGCTCGCCGGAGGACGACGGCTTCCGGCTCTCCACCGCAAACTTGAAGTTCTCCGTCGCGCGAACCGAAATCAAATCCACGCGCTCGCCAAGTCCTTGCTTCAGGACCTCGTACACGCGCGCGGAAAGGTAGCCGTAGTAGGACGGGTTGAACACGCGGCCGAGGTCGCGGAAGGACTTGTCTTCTGGTGGGAATTTGGCGCAAAAGGTCAGATCGCTTTGGTAGATCACGCTGTCTACTTTTTCAAGAAAGACAGAGTCAAAGTGGTCGCCGTTCACGTCGTCGAGCTCTTTGACTGTCAGCGCTGCCTCATGGCGGAACTACTTTTGTTAGCTCGTTATTCACAAATACTAAAGAGATAAATTACCTTGCTGTAGTCTGATGGAGACATGCGGTAGAGAACATTCAGGTTGACATCGTTCTGGACCAACACCGGACGTCCGTCAAACACAGACTTGTCAAAGTCAATTCCCTCAACACCAACAGCGACAGGCGTCTCCGCGATATCTGTACTTGCGACATATCCCAGCGTAGCCTTAAACAGCTGATAATTACTAAACCCATTCGCCAAAACCTTTGACCCTCTAGCTCCCCCGCCAACCAGCAAAGCCGCCATCAAAACCGCCCACTCCGCCGCACCGAATCCCGCCGTCGCAGACGAAAACCCGCGCTGCCGAAGCCAGATATCGCCGAGCTTGACCGCGTCGCGGAAGCCGTCGCTGGATTTGATCGCTTTGTTGATAAACACCGTGCTGGAAAAGTGCTGCGTGTCGCTGAGAATGCTGGAGTTGTAGTACGGCGTCGGCTTGAGTTGCTGCTGCGGCGAGACGGACGCGTAGCGCACACAGTTGCGGGCAGGCGAGAGCTTGGAGATTGGGAACGTGTCTTTTGCGATGCCGGGGACGATTCGGATATAGCATTTTGCTTTGTGGAAGTCAGACTCGCTGCCGTCTGTAAATAGTTAGCTCTTCAACTCTCTTCTGAAAATACTTCGATTCGGAGCTACTGTTACCTTTCAGAGAGTCAAGTCTAAGCACGGGACGTAAATGGTCGCCGTCGAGAAACTCATAAGAGAGATCAAAGTTGAGCTGCTCGCTGTTTTTGAACGCGGCGGCGATGTACGCAAGGTAAAACGCGCGCTTGTGAAAGTATCTGTAGTTCAACGTATCCTTCTCCGTGAACAACGCCGCCGGCATATCGACCACGACGTCGATCGCAAACCGCTCGGGACTCTTGATCATCGTCTTCAACGCGTAGCTTCCCACTAAATTAAAGTCCGACGGCGTGCTGTACGCGAACCGGTACTGCGCATCTTTAGGCGGCTTTGGGTCCGGGAACGGGATCGCGATCCCGCTCTTGGAAATCGTCTTCTCGGCATCGGACAGCATCAGGTCTTGCTTGCTGTCCGGGATCGCTTCGATAAAGTCCTTGAGCTTGTGCAGCACACGGTCGACGGCCTTTGTCTTTGTCTCGTCGACCTTGAGTTCTTTTAGCAGTTCGTCGATCTCCAGCTTGAAGATGTTGGACTTGTAGAGCTGCACTGCCTCCTGCAGATTCCGCAGGTCGTCAGCAAGATGGGCTGCCTTTGGCTTCTTCTTCTTCTGCAGCTGCTGCTTGCTGCCGGTAGCTGAAGAGGCCAAATCATCGCCATCTCCGTCGTCTGAGGCCATGTCCTCGTCCTCCTCGCTTTCGTCGAACCCATCAGAGTACGCGTTCTCCTCGACGTCCACAGACTCGTTGTTGCCATTTTCCACCGTCACCTCCTCTCTCTTTCTCTTTGCCACAGTCATATTCCTTATTCTTCCTTCTTTGTAGAGTAGAAAAAGTGCAGAGATGGAAGAAGATCAGACCGCAGACGGAGACCCAAATTTTTTTTTCTTTGCTCCCAACGCGCTCGCTCGGCCAAACCCAATTAAGACCAACTCAGCGCTGATATGACGACAGCCAGCAGGTTCGTTAATATGCGGTTTGTAGAGGCAGATAGAGGGCCTTTATCCGACCAACAAAGCATTATCTTCACTTATCTTCTTTACAATATACCAACAACACCTCTGTCGTCACTAATGCCTTCAATGCCGTTAATGTACCTGTACGAGCGAGGCGGATTAAAGTTCTAATCTAAAACTCTAATTTACGCAAAAAATCTCTGGTTCTCGTCCTCGTCGGCTGCCGCTTCACCAACCTGCCTTCTTCTCCGTTGTTTCTTCTTGCTCAGTCTGATTTGTGCCGGATACACCGCTCTGATCTGGCAGCTGCTTGTATTTTTCTGTTTAGAGCTGATTTAGTAGCATCTCAAAAAGTACATTGGTGAACATATACCATGCCCTCTTTCGACCGTCCCCCGACGGCTGTCGGCGCTACGATACCTGCAAACACCCCGCATGCCGTCTCCGTCACCCTCCCGTCCTGGGAAGCGAACGTTGCCTACGAGGAAGGCAAGGACTGGATCTTCAGCAAGATGAAGTCCGGATATCCTAGGTACTATACTCTCTATACCTCTTCATGAATCTACTTATCCAACTCTGACTCACCTCTCCATCAGATTCTTCTACCATGAAAAGATCCAGCAGGTATGAATCACTCTACACAGTTCGTCTTCCCTCCATCTAACACTCTCTAGCTCATGCAACTGCTCGAAGCCCGCTACTGCCAGCCCGGCGAGAAAATGCTCATCTTCCCCTCCTACACCGTCGCGTGCAAATGTCGCAACTTCATCCGCCAATACACCCCTCTCAAAGACGCCAGCATCCACGTCGTCGAAGTGACCGTGCCGCCACCCAGCAAAGGCGTCTTTGCAAACATCTCCTGCGTCATCTTCCCCGCCGACGACGCAAAGCTCGCAAAGGCCTTCTGGCAGCACAGTGGCGACGGCATCTCGAGCCGGCTGGCGGAATATTGTCTCGACTCGCTCAAGCACCTCGAGGCGCAATCAAAGGCCGACGCGAGCAGCACCGCCGCCGACGCGTTCAAGCACGCGCCACACACATTCAAGCGCTACGCAAAGAAAAGCACACTCGCGCCTTCGAGCACGCCCAGCCCGGACGACGACTCGGACGAGTCCCGCGAGTTCACAACCTACCTCGAAGAGCGCTTCGGTCGTAATCTCGACATCTCGTTCGTGACCCAGGTCAAGACCGCCCTGCGGCGGCGCATCGCCGGTACCTTGGACGAGAACCTCGACGTAGCCCAGGTCGTCGACATCGTCCCGCACGAGACCACCCGTGACGTCAAGGGATTGACCGAAGACGACGTTTTCCTCTACCCGACCGGCATGTCCTCGATCTTCAACGCGCACCAGATCCTGCTCTCGACCATGGAGAACCGCAAGAGCGTGTGCTTCGGGTTCCCGTACACGGACACGCTCAAGATCTTGCAAAAGTTTGGTCCCGGATGCTACTTTTACGGAAACGGCGAGCCCGAAGATCTGGCCGAGCTCGAGCGTGAATTGGAAGGCGGATTGAAGATCATGGCGTTCTTTTGCGAGTTCCCGTCAAACCCGCTGCTCAAGTGCCCCAACCTGCGCGAAGTCCGCCGGCTGGCTGACAAATACGATTTCGCCGTCGTGGTCGACGAAACGATCGGGAACTTCAAAAACATCCACGTGCTCGAGTACGCCGACATGGTCGCGTCGTCGCTCACCAAGGTCTTCTCCGGCGACAGCAACGTCATGGGCGGCAGCCTCGTCCTCAGTCCCGCGAGCCGGTACTACACGCAGCTCAAGCAGGCGGCCGCCAACGTGTACGAAGACAACCTCTGGGCCGAGGACGCCATCTTCCTCGAGCGCAACTCGCGCGACTTTGTCTCGCGCATCGCGCGCATCAACGTCAACGCCGAAGCGCTCTGCGAGCTCCTCCTCGCAAATTCCAAGGTCAAGAACCTGTACTACCCAAAGTACAGTTCGACGCGAAAGTTCTACGACGACTGCCGCACCGAGAACGGCGGCTACGGCGGCCTTCTCTCGATCCTTTTCCACGACCCCAAGCACGCGGTGCAGTTCTTTGACGCGGTCGAGGCCGCCAAGGGACCGAGTCTGGGGACCAACTTTACGCTGCTGTGTCCGTATACTATCCTCGCCCACTTTGTCGAGCTGGAGTGGGCGAAGGAGTATGGCGTGGATACGTACCTTATTCGGATCAGCGTGGGATTGGAGCCGACCGAGGAAATCGTGCAGGTGTTTGCGACCGCGTTGAACAAGCTTGAGGATTAAGAAAAGTAGATTGTGTATTGTTACAGTGTCGTGTGTATATGCCAGAGTATGATGTACATGTCCTGGATAAATAAAAGCAAATTATATATGAGTACTAGTCTATCTCTATCGGAGTATGTAGCGTCAACTCATGAGCTCGTTGAAATTCTCGTTGTGCTTCCGCAGTTCGGCGATGAACGTGCGCACGAACGGGGAGTATTCAAACTGTTTCTTTAGCGCGTAGTTCTGTAATTCTACTGTTAGTCAACATCTTGACAGAAGGAAGCAGAAAGATAACTCACCTGTCGGTCTTCGTTTGCTATCTCCTCAGGTCTCGCATCGCTGATCGCGTCAATCAACGCTTTTCTTTTCTCGTCATGTAGACGAGCTAACTCATCAACATCACACAACTTCCTGACCAATTCAAGTTCCTCGCTCTCTGAATCAGTCATCGCAAGCGCCAACTCCATATCGATCTGTCCGCGAAAACTCCTCGCCAGCTGTGCCTCGTCAGTCAGCAGTTCCTGCCACTTGCCCCCAGCCAGCACCTTCTCAAGTCTAACTTCAACCTCCCGCAGAATCGCGTGCCGCGCGCGGATCTCGCGTCTATGCTCGTAAAGCGCGTCCTTGACGACAGCCATCAGATTGAACCTGATTTCGTCGGCGGCATACCGCTCGATCCGGTGCCGGATGCGACTGATCGCAGTCTCGATCCAGTTGTCTGAGCTGCCGATTTGTTTCGGCGCGCCGGTTAGACCGTCTAGTTCCCAGAGTGCGTTTTCGAACGGGACAAAGCCGATGAAGTGGAACGCTTCCTCGTCCTCGTACTGGTCGTCGCTGTCGTCGTCTTCGTCGTCGTCGATATCGTCAGCATTACGGCGACCGCGCTTCCGCTTCTTTTTAGTTTTCTTTTTTTCCCGCGCAGACGCATCGGCTGCCGCCCTACAGATATCGATATCAGCAGAGCGGACGTCGACCGCGCGCGCAAACTTGTTGTGGATCGAGCGCAAGCGGTCAAAGTTTGCGAGCGCGAGCCCGCGATTCACGTAGTTGAAGTCTGCCGTGAAGGACTTGAATAGGCGAAGGTATTCGCCTGTGTCGATTGATGCTGTGGGAGTTGTGGTGCTGTCGGGTAGATTGAGGATGATGTTTAGAAGGGCTAGCGAGGCGCACGCGTTGTCTGCGACTTGGCTTGCGAACCAGGGTGTATTTGCGGTGCTGTCTCTGGTGACTGTGGTTGAAGGGGAGGCATGTTCTGTGTCGTCGTCGTCGTGGGACTCCCACCGAAAGAGAAAGATGAGTCCGTAAGCCTGAGGGAGAATTGACAGTTCCTGACTGTCGAGAGAGTAGAGCTCAGCTACTTTTGCGCCCTGCACCCCGATCTCCTGGAGGATCTGGGAAAACACCGCCTGCGAGGATAGCAGTTGTTAGTAAATGCAGGCACGCGTGCAAGACATAGCAGAGCAGTCAGATACCGGATCGCTCTCGACAGTGCACCATCTTCTGTGCTGCGTCTTCTCGCGCATTAATGACTCGGGATCCTGAGGAAGATAATCGTAAGAAGGCAGCTGCTGCTGTTCATCGTCCTCGTCGTTCTTGCTCGCCTTGATCTGCTCGTCGCGCTTCCTCTTCCCGCGGTCCTGATCCCGCGCGTCGTCCTTCTTCGCCTGCCCGCGGCCAGACCTTCGTAGTCGCGTCTCCATTCACTGCCCTGCGCCTGCCTTCACTGACGCGAACTCCATCAGTCATCTAGGCTGCTAGCAGAGGATAGGTTGCCGTTGTTTAGAACAATGACGTATGGGGAGGGTAAGGGCTCCAAACTCTGCTCGAGGCAGAAAAAAAGCAGCGAGAACCACGCACAAAACATCAACAACACTGCGACGACGACGATGAGCCTTTGACTGTGCTCGCGTTTGGTTCAAAAGTCTTGATATTTGTGTGGTATCTGAGTTAGACTGTTAGACACTGGTATAGATCATTGACCGGCCAAGATCAGATCTTACAATGTCGACGCCCTCGTCTTCGTCAGAGACGCGTCGTCGCAAGAGCACCAGCGCCAATGTTTTCCAGCAGGGTCGACTAGGCCCCACCTCTTCAGAGCCGGAAGGAAGCAGCTCGACTGATGATTACTCGGCACGGAGGACGCCGCCCGCGTCGGCGAGGAAAGCTATCCCCCCGCTGTTCTCGTCCTCGGTGCCAAAGCTCGAGGCTTCGATTCGCAGCAGACCTCTCTCGCGCCCGTCTACGCCGACCACGCGCACGCCGCTGCGTCTGGCAAACCAGACTGCGACACCACCGTCTCTGTCTTTATCTCCGCACTCTCCCTCTCAGATGTCGGCATTCGGCCTGTCGCCCGAAAAGTCAAAGTACTACACCGATCCAACAGCAAGCTGGCCTTCCAGCTTTCCTCCCTCGCCTCCCAAGCAACGGACCTCGCGCGCAACCACGCGCTCGATGAATGACGCGATCGCAAAGGGCGCCAGTAGTAGTAGTAGTGGTGGTGGTGGTGCAGGTGGAGGGAGCGGTCGATCGACTGTTATGTATCCGCCGCTGATCTCGGAGCAGTACATCGACGCGGGCTCGCAGCGACTGTACGCGATTGGCATCTTTGTCTTGATTCAGGCGGTCAAGCTTTACGAGCTGTTTCAGATCCATTATGAAAATAAGCTGGACATGGAACTTGCTTTTGCATTCAAGTATATGGTCATCGAGGGTCTTTACTTATTCGTATGTTGTCTTTCTGGATTAGTGACTGATCTGCATCTGCTAACTGAAACTGATACGAACAGCTCCTCCCTGTTTTCCGCATTCCATGGCTCACATTCACACCTGCCACAACTGTAATCCTGATAATCGGCTGCTCGATAACGACAATCGCGCTCTCAGCAGCCTCGACCTTCCCTCTCGCTGCCACGCTCTCGGCAATCGGTCGAGCGCTCTACGACCGTGAACTTTCAATAACCGAGCATCGCGTGCGAGCAAAGGACGTCGTCCATGGATCGGATCATATCTCCGGTCGCCATGTTGTGCATATCTTGCCCGAGAGCACTGCGAAGCTGAACCCCTACGGCGATGTCTTTTGTCTTGACAGGACGACGTCCACGCCCGCGTACGTCCCCATGAGGTTAAACGCCACCGAACCTGGCGCGGTGCAGCTCTACCACGTCAACTTTGACGATTCGAGCTACGAGCTCCTTAACTTTACGAAGCGCGAGCTGCGGAAGTGGACCGAGTTTGTCAGCTCCGAGTCTGTCGGGTCCGCAGAGGCGGGAGCAAGGGCGCAAAATTCAAAGATTTATGACATTAAACTGCCGCTTTCAAAACCAGGTTTGTATCGGCTGGCAAAAGTCTCTGACACTGCCAATCTTAACGTCAAGATCCATCCTGCGGACGTGGTGCTCTCGTACTGTCCTTCTGCTGCCATTCGTGGCGGCACGTCGCCGAGCAACTCGGCTGGATTGGCGCAGGACAGATGTATCGGTGCGCTCGAGACGCCAGAGCTGGTTATCGACGGAGTACCGCCGTTGCGTATCAAGTACAGCCGGTCGATCCAGGGCCGCGACTTGATGTTCGCCGTGCAGAGTATCCAGCCGGATAGATTTTCGTCGCCGCTGTTGCAAGGACGACTACCCCGGGATGGAAAAGTGTGGCACGCGGGCGAGACCCTCGAGTGGGCGAATGCGGAGAAAGTGAAAATTTCGCTTGATACTGCTTTGAATCAGGTTGGTCGCTGGGCGTATATGATTGATGAGGTTGAAGACGGGCTGGGCAACCTTGTGAATTACAGCAAGATCTTTGAGAATAAGGATCGCGAAGAGTCGCCGCTGCTTGCAAAGAAGGGTCTTAATTACGGATTCTTGGTTCATCCGAGACCTTCCATCCGATACGTTTCCTGCGACCCTGAGAAGCCTGTCAATCTCGCAAAGGGCAAGGCAGCAAATGTGCCACTGCAACTGAGCGGGACGTTAGATGAAGGTCCGTATCAGGTACTACTCCAGTACCAGCCACTTGACGAGTCAGACGAAGACGGCGACACCGGCAAAGTAGTTGCAGCTCCTCGACAGCTCGAGTTGAATATGCGAAACGGCATGGAGCGACTTCGCATCGACAAGCCGGGAACGTACACGATCCAGAGCGTCAAAGGCAAGTTCTGCGACGGCGACGTGCTCGAGTCTGCATCGTGTCTTGCGCTCACGCCGGCGGAGCCGACTGTGTCGGTCAAGTTTGAGGATATCGAAGACAAGTGCGTGGGGTCGATCGGAGTCACGGCCGATCTGACGCTGACGGGCACGCCGCCGTTCAGGTTGCAGTACCAGGTGATCACCAACCGTCAGCACGTCAAGACTGAATACCTTACGATTGAAAACACGCGTCATCAGCTCCAATTCAGACCGGAGAAGGCAGGCCACTACACGTACGAGTTTTACATGCTGAGCGACAATCTCTACCAAAACATCCAGCTCGACCGGAGCCAGTTCCGGACCGAGCAGACGGTGAAGGTGCTCGCGACCGCCGGGTTCGCGCCCAGATCGCTGAGCTCGCGGTGCTGCACCGGCGACTCTGCCGAGCTGGACGTCGATCTGCACGGAACGGGCCCGTTCACGCTGACGTACGAGACCGTGCACGGCAACAAGCGCACGCAGCATGTGATCCCCGATATCACGGGAGAGCGGTACAGACTGACGACGCCGCCGCTGACAAAGGGAGGCACGTACGTGGTCGCGCTGTTGTCGGTCGAGGACGGGAATGGCTGTCGCCGGGCGCTGAGCGAGGCAGATGCGCATGTCGAAGTGCGGAGACAGCGGCCGGCGGCGCAGTTTGGTGCGATTGACGGGCGGATGAATGTGAAGGGTTTGATGGGTCAGAAGGTCCAGATTCCGCTGAGACTGACTGGTGAAGCTGTGAGTGCGATGTTTTCTTTTTTAGTATATGGTATAGGCTAACTAGGTGATGCAGCCGTGGTCGATAACTTATGTGCACAAGAACGCGAGCGGAGGAGCTGAATCCTCGACAACAGTGATGAAGCACCGACCGAACGGCGAGTACATTACAGTGTCAGACGAGGGCCTGTATGAGATCACGGACGTGCGCGACGCGTACTGTCCCGGCGACTCGACAGCGTCGTCAAAGTCCGCGTTCGAAGTAAGCTGGTTCGACCGCCCGAGTCTGGAGTTGGTAGCCAGCGAGCGGCTGGCGTTTAAAGAGGCGAGGTATGCGGTGAGCAAGGACGTGTGCGAAGGCGAGGAAGACGCGCTCGAGATTGCGCTGTACGGAGCGCCGCCGTTTTCGGTGCTGTATGAGCGGGAGTACATTCCCAGTCCTGGCGAGTCCGGATCGTCGTCGTCGCTGCTGTCGACAACGTCGGGGTCGAAGCCGGTGAAGTTTGATTTGCAGGCGGCGACAAAGTACGCGAATATTCAGATGGAGACGTCAAAGTATGGTAGGTATCGGTACACGCTGCGAGGGGTGTCTGATTCTGTGTATGAAGACAAGAGTTTGCTTGCGGCGTTTGAGCCCGTGGTTGTGGAGCAGACAGTGCACCGGCGGCCCGAGGCGTCGTTTGTGAATCCAGGCACGACGTACCGCAGCTGCTGGAAGGCGGAGGTGGAAGACAGCTCGATTGAGCCGATCAAGCTGCGGTTCAGCGGAGTGGCGCCGTTTGCGGTGACGCTGGAGGTTAAGCATGAGAACGAAGGGCAGAGCGAGACGGTGACGATCTCGAACATTCGCGAGAAGGTGTATAGTCTGCGGTCGATCTACGCGGGGCTGGGGCTGGGCAAGCATGTAATTACGATTGCGCATGTCCGAGACGGACGGGGATGCACTCGTAGCAGTGGCGCGAGACTGCAGAGTCTGTCGTCGTCGCCGCAGTCGCAGCAGTCGCAGTCGCAGTCGCAGCAGCAGCAGCAGCAAGAGCAAGAGCATGTGACGGTGATGGTTGCGGATGTGGCGACGATTGTTGCGAGTTCGCCGCGGGAGGATTACTGTGTTGGCGAGCGGGTGTCGTTTGTGCTTACGGGGGTGCCGCCGTTCGAGGTCGAGTACGAGTTCAACGGCAAGCGGCAGCGGGCGACGACGCACTCTCCGTTCTCGCGGCTGGCGTCGAGCGCGGGGAATTTCACAATCACGAGCGTGAAGGACAGCGCGTCGACGTGCAAGGTGAATCTGAGCGAGAAGCTGACAAAGGTGATTCACGAGGTGCCGACGGTGAAGGTGAGCGAGGGCACGTCGATTGTGTCGGATATCCACGAGGGCGATCGGGCGGAGATTGTGTTTACGCTGGAGGGGGCGGCGCCGTTTGCGTTTACGTATACGCGGAGTGAGCGGGCGGGACATAATAAGTACCGGGTTGTGGAGACGCATACGGTGACGGATGTGTATGAGGACTCGTACAGTATATTCACGTCGATGGAGGGAGTGTATGAAGCGATTTCGATCGAGGATCGGTATTGCCGGGCGCGGATTGGTAGTTGATGATGATCAATCTGTTTAAGTATGTTGCAACGACTAGGTTATGACAGATCGACTTGGTAGTTGAGTGTAGGATGATAGTAATGAATTTTAGAGTACATCAGGACAAAGACAAAATATGAGCAGACAAGAAATATGAAGACAATAATATGAAGAAAGAAAAACACCGGTCCGATCTGATGGGCTCACTCTATAGTGTATTATGAGTAGGAAGTAGGAAGTGAGGATGAGTATGTGAGTGTGAGTAGAGGAGGGCGAATGATGAATGATTAACGGTAGTGAGCTGTAGAGTAGTCAGTATCTGAAGTTGAGGTAAACAAAAAAGAGATGAGCTTACAGTCGGCGTCGAGACCAAACTGGATCTCCTGCTCCCACTTATCACCGTTCGAGAGCAGCTTCTCCTTGTTGTAGAGGAGCTCCTCGCGGGTCTCGGTCGAGTACTCGACATTGGGGGTCTCGACGATGGCGTCGACGGGGCAGGACTCCTGGCAGAGACCGCAGTAGATGCACTTTGTCATGTCGATGTCGTATCGTGTTGTTCGGCGGGATCCGTCGATGCGCTCCTCGGCCTCGATGGTGATGGCGAGGGCGGGGCAGATGGCCTCGCAGAGCTTGCAGGCAATGCAGCGCTCCTCGCCGGAGGGGTATCTGCGGAGGGCGTGCTCGCCACGGAAGCGGGGGGAGATGGGGCCCTTCTCGAAGGGATAGTAGATGGTGTAGGGAGCGCGGAAGTACTGCTCGAGGACGACGTACATGCCGCGGAAGAGCTCAGCCATGAGGTAGAAGCGGCCGGCGCGGTCGAGGGCGGAGTCGCCTTCGTACCATTTTTCCTCGGGCTTGAGACGGAAGTCTGGGGGGTAGGGGGTCGGGGCGGGTTTGGCGGTCCGGGGGGCGGAGGAGGAGATGTGTCTGAGAGAGAGAGAAGAGACGGAGGCGGAGACACGGGGCCGAGCGACGGCGCGCAGGAGAGAAGAAGAGAATGCCTGGCGCAGCATTGTGTTTGTATTGTATGTGTATGTGTAATGTATATGTATATAAGAAGAAGAAGAAGAAGAAGAGGAAGAGAAGAGGAAGCAGAGGAGGAGAGCGCCGAGTCGATTGCACACTGAAAATGATCGCGGTCTGATTGGCTGCCACAAAACCCTGAACCCTCGTCTTCCTCACCTTCTTCTCTCCCGGCCTCGTCTTCTTCCTCGTCTCTCAGATATCCCCAATTCCTCCTCTTCTCCTGCTCATTCTCCTCAAAATGCTGCGTTCGTCCGTCTCCCGCGCTGCCGCTGCCGCTCTCCGCCGCTCGGCCGCCTCTTTCGCCCAGAAACAGTCCGTCGCGATCAGAATATCCGCGGCCCGCCCGCTCCTCCTCTCCTCCTCCTCCCCATTCACTCCCTCCTCCTCCCTCCTCTTCTCCCGCGCATACTCCGCCGACGCAGGCCTCTCCCGCGACGAGGTCGAGGCCCGCATCCTCGAGGTCGTCAAGTCCTTCGACAAGGTCACCGACGCCTCCAAGATCACCCCCGAGGCTTCCTTCGCCGCTGACCTCGGTCTCGACTCGCTCGACGCCGTCGAGGTCGTCATGGCTATCGAGGAGGAGTTCAGCATCGAGATCCCTGACAAGGAGGCCGACGAGATCAAGTCTGTCGGCCAGGCCATCGACTACATCCTCGCCCAGGCCGATGGTGAGTTCAGTCCTCTATCTTCATATCACTACTCTTTACTAACATCCTGCAGCCGTCTAAATCTTCGCTCTCGTTGTATATATACACATCATTTCATTCTCATTCTCTTTATAATAAACATCTATCCTAAGCAAATCTCACATTACGGTACGACGCTCCGTACTCGTCCGACTCCTGCGTCAAAATATCCAGCGCGCCCTCACTATCCGTCCCCGACGTCCGCTTCATCGTCTCCCGTCGCATCATCTGCACTATCCCAATCGTCTCCGTATTCGCCTCCACCCCGTTCGCCACAATCTCCTCCAGCAGATTCTTGCACTCAAACATATCCTGGAAATTCGTCCACTGTATCCTCAGCGCCTGGTTGTAGACGTCGATCGTGCAGCCCAGCATGTACGAGTACACCCCGTAGTCCCGCGCCCGGTAAAACACCGACAGCGCGCCGTACGCCTCCCGGAACTTGGTGTTCATAATTTTCATCGCCTCCAGCAGCAGCGCAGGGTAGTTCGTCGCCGTCGCGTGCGCAATCTGCGCCTCCTGGCCCTGGAAGTGCTTCGCCGCCTCCCGGAACGGCTTGTAGACCTCGCGCTCGAGCATCCCGTCCAGCTCGAGATCAGACTCGCACGCCCGCATCCGGTCCTTCATCTCCCGCAGCATCCTCTGCCGCTCCCACTCGACCTCGTCCGCCCGGTCCGGCTGGTCCATCATCACCGTTGAGTTCACGCGGATGTCTTGTAGACTCTTGGCAATCTCCCGCAGCGACTGCGGGTACATGTTTGCGTCCATCACCGGGCTCGCGATGTTGAGCCATTTCAAAGGGTCTTTTCTCGCCCCGGGAGTGAACCGCCTCTTGCGCATATAGCTGACATAGTCTCCCGACGTTTGGTTGTCAAACCGTCCAAAACTGAGCGGGCTTTCAGGTTTAGCAAACGACAAGGGCTGCTCATCCCAAAAGCTACTTGCAGCCTTCTTCTTCCCGCCTTTTGCGGGCGTTTTCTCTTTCGAGGACGTCGCGCCGCGCGCAATATCGCGAAACACCCGCTCAAACACCTCCCGCTCCTTGAGCGTGCTCCGGCCCGTGTTCTTCCGAACCGATTCCTGGTCATGCTCAAACTGACGAGCCGGAGCGCCCTTGCTGGCGTACGTCCAATCCTCGCTGCCGTCCTTGCGCACGTTGGATTGTTTGTATTGCTGCAGCATCGTCATCAGCGGCACCTCGGAGGTCAAGAAACTCCACTCCGAGTCGTCTTTGGCTGGCTCTCCTGCTTTATCCCCAGCATCCTTCTTCTCTGCTTTCGGAGTATTGTCTTCGGTAGGATCCGTCAGGCGGCGAAGCTCGTCGGCGAGAAAACCGCCTGCGTACTGTCGCGAGTGGGAAGACGGCAGGTGGCGGGTAGCAGTAGACTGCAGCTGCCGTACAAGGCCGCTAGTTCTGCCGGTACTGATCATCTCTAAGTACTGAACGTCCTTTGTTTTCTTTCTTATTTGTCTGTAGATCTGTTGAAGAGCTATTCAAAGCTGTTGACAAATGTAGTTGAAATAAGAGCAGTTGAGCTTTTTCGTGGGAGTAAAATTTGAGGTTGGGAGATTTCCCGGCAGCAAAACTGTTTTTGGTTTTAATTCCACTTTATTCTGCTCCAATCGACCTGAACAGCAGCACTCGCTCCACCACTGATCTTCTTCATCAACTATTTGATCTCTGTGTGATTTCTGTGAATAATCCAGGCATCGACAGCCTGGTTTTATGGACAACTAGCGACGTGGAGGATCCAGATCGCCTGCGATGGTCGAGTGGTCGGAAATGTCGAATACTAAAAAACAAAAACAGGTCTGCAAGTATTTCCTACAAGGTGCGTCCTTATCTTTCTCATTCACTGTTATTTATAAAACACTAGAAAAAACAGACATACTTATATACTAACTCTTGCTCAAGGCACCTGCAAGAAAGGCGCGCAGTGCTCGTTTCGCCATGAGAACTCCACCGACGAGCGCGCAAAGGGCCTGCCCAACAGCATCTACGACCTGACAGACTCGGACATCAAAGTGTCCGGTAAGCTTAATCTATCCTAATCCGCCTTCTCATCTCCATGGCTCATGCGAAGAGCTGGAAGCAAGATCAAGACGCAGCTCAAGGCTAACACGCACATCGCAGATGACGACAAGGCCGAACTCGCGTCGATGATGAAGTCGCCGCCCGTATACTTCTACTCCAGCTACGGACTCTCCAAGTTTGCGCGTAAAGGAATCATCAACCATCGCGACATCTCGCCCGAGGAAATGCGCGCTGTGTACTACGAAGCCAAAGACGCCGGCGTCGAGCTGTTCTACGTAAGATCCACGCCCCTCTCTCCACATAACTCAAACATTTTGCTAAAAACACTATAGTACCAACTAGAAGACCTAGTCCGGCAGGACATGCTCGATCTGTTCAAGTTCATTGCCTCAGACACGACCAAAGCCGCAAGATACGTCGAGCTCGCGCGCAAGCGGCCCGACAACGAGACGCGCGACTACCTCCCCCCGCCGAGCTGCACAACGAAAACACGCCCGCCTTGCTCGCCATCAGATACTTCAAAGGAGACAGAGCAGCTGGCGAGCAACTGAGAAGCGCTCTTGCTGGCGGCGCGGGCGGATCAGGATCAGGCCTGGCTAGCAACGGTGGACAGGCGGGTAACGGCGGGCTTCAGACAGGTCCCAACGCCGCCTCGCCGTTTGCTTTTCAGACTCCAAATCAGAAGCAGCAGCAGCAACAACAACAACAGCAATCGTCGCCAGCGATGTTTGGCAACAACAGCGGCAACCAGCAATCCGCGTTTGGAAACAACAGCAACAGCGCCTCTCCGTTTGCAAACTTTGGGAACAACAACAACAGTGGCAGAAATTCACCCTTTACCTCAGGATCGCCCGCAGCATTTGGCTCGACTACCTTTGGCAGCGCCCCCGCCACGAAACTCCCTCCACCACCGGGCCAGAATGCGGCGAGCGCGTTCGGGCAGACGTCTGCGTTTGGCGGATTTGCCAACAAGGCTTCACCTTTCAGCGCTTTAGCTTCAGCAGCCAGTCCCTCGTCCGCTGCTTCTTCGCCAGCTTCGACCCCTGCGTTTGGTCAGACCACGTTCGGGCAGACTCAGCAACAGCAGCAGCAGCAGGCAGCGGCAGCAACTCCTTCACGGCCGTTTGGCAGTGCATTTGGCAGTGGAAACAGCGGCAGTGCGTTTGGCCAGACCAATAACAATAGCAGCGGTAGCGCGTTCGGTTCGTTTGGCCAGCAGAATAGCACGAGTCAAAACAATTCACCATCGACGCAGAGCCAGAGTTCTGCGTTCGGCGGCCAATTTGGCGGAGCAAACAACAACAAGGCTCCAGCATTTGGCCAGACCGGATTCGGACAATCGCCAGCGTTCGGGGCGCCATCGGGATTCGGATCTGCGCCGGCGTCGAACGCGCTGGCGCCGCCAAAATCTGCGTTTGGAGCCAACGCGGTGTCGTCTATGCCAGCGTTTGGCAAGACTGGGTTTGGAAGCGGGAACGGGTCTGCGTCGCCGTTTGGATCGTTTGCGAGTAAGAATGATGGCAGCGGGAGCGGGGGATCGCCGTTTGCGTCGTTTGCGTCGGGGAATAATAGTAGTCCGTTTGCTCAGGACAACAAGGGTACTGCTGCAAACAGCGGTAGTGAGAACAACAACAGCAGCAGCAGCAACAACAACAATGCACAGCAGAAACCCGCATCTCCATTCGCTACATTCAATAACAACAACACGAGCGCGTTCGGCAGCACCAACAACAACACCCCTACCCCCAGCAGCAACAGCGCATTCGGAAACACAAACACCAGCACCAGCAACACGTCTGCGTTCGCGAATCTGACAGCTCAGTCAAATGCCAACGCGAGCCCACAAAGCAAGCCAGCTACGCCGGCGTTCGGCAGCGCAGCAGTCGGTGGTCAGAAGGCAGGCGCGTCTGTGTTTGGGTCGTTTGGAAATACGAATGCGACGGCGTCGTCGCCATCGCCGCAGTCGACGTTCGGAGCACAGGCGTCGGGTTCTAGTACGCCAGCGAAGTCTTTGTTTGGAAGTACGAAGAGCGCGTTTGGATCGCAGGCAGCGTCTCCGGCTGTGTCTACGTCTATGTCTACGTCTACTGCGAGCCCGAAGACGGCGAAGCCAGCGGAGGTGGCAGCAGGGGCAGCAGGGGTGGCAGCAGGCGAGTACTTTACGCACGCGATGCAACGATTCCCACTCTCCGAGGAAAGCTCCAACACCGACTTCCCAGGTCTCCCCGCGCGGCCGCGGACGATGATCGAGCAGATGGTTACACAGTTCGCAGAGCTTGGGCGGACGCCGGTCGCAGCCAACGCGAGGAATCCGCGGACGGGCAATTCGGTGTCGAGGCAGAGTTCGGCGGCGGTGTATTTGCCAGAGATTAGTGATCTGACAGAGACGGAGAGGAAAGCGTTTGAGGGGCGGCAGTTTGAGATTGGGAAGGTGCCGGAGGTGTTGCCGCCTTTGCAGTATATATGATTAAGAGTGTACATAGGATTGAGTTGCAGGCGTTTAGCATTATGATTATGATTGTATCATATTTATTTTTTTATTACAATACATGAAGTCCTAACATAAAACGGAAACGAAACCGGCAAAAGAGGAAGCAAAGACGACAAACACACACGCACACGCACACACACACAGACGCAGAGGAGGAAAGAGAGGATGAGTACGAAAGAAAAGATAGAAGAAAGAAGAGTCTTGTTGGAGATTAGTTGACTGCAGCTTCCTTCAGTTGTTGTATGTTAAAAGTATCATAATATTATATAAAGCGATAATAATACACACACAACCCTCTTTTCTTTTTTTTTGCACACATAATTCCCATTTTCGTTCCAAAACATGCCTGTGTATATACTTTTGATGAAAGGTGGTTTTTTTTTATTCGAAGACGGGGGTTTGCGTGATTTAAGCGGCGATGGTGACCTCGACCTCGACACCGGACTCGATGTTGAAGGAGGTGATCTGCTTGACGGCGTTGGAGGGGGCCTCGAGGCTGTAAATGATTGAGGTTAGAGATTGCGGAGGGAAGAGAGAGAATGTAGAGAGAGAGGAGATTGACGTACTCGATGATGCGCTTGTGGATGCGCATCTCGTAGGAGTCCCAGGTCTTGGAACCCTCACCGTTGGGGGCTGAGGAAGCAGTTAGCGACTGAACCGAGACTGGAACTGAACATAAGATAGAATCATACTCTTTCTGGTGGAGATACGGAGGAACTTTGTTGGTAGTCTGACGGGTCCCTTGACCTTCATCTTGAAGCCCTGAGCCCGAGCAACGAGCTCGCCCGAGACTAATTAAAGAGTCAGCAGTTTGCACAGATAGAAGACAGCACAGCGTCGTTTGTTCGAGTCTCAACACCCCAGCACACTGCAATCCCTCCTCCAGATCCCATCCCGTCCCAGCACTAAACAAATCTCGAATCGACGACGCTGCGTGACAATGACGACAAGTACCCACCCTTCTCGAGCTGCTGGACCTTTCGCGAGGTCAAAGTGATGCGGAACTTCTGGAGCTTCGGGGCCTCTCCGCCGGCGACCTTCTCTTTATCGTAGCTGCTCATGTTGGATGTGAGATGTGGGTGTTGATGCTGCGGTGGAGTTGCTGGCGAAAGACTGAAAGGTCGACGACGAACTGAGAGCTGAGCTGAGTGGTGTTGGTCGGTACGAAAAACTGCCATACTAAACCACAGTACCCACAACCGGTGTCGCCTGGCAGCCGGGCGTAGTGCGTGACTGCTGTTTTGTAACCCTAGGGTTATGTTGCGGTTAGGGCTGCTTGTTCTGGGGGCAGGTCTCGGACGCGTCGCGACGCGTGCTGGGAGTTGGCGCGTCTGCGATAAGCCGAGTGGTCTTCAACATCTGTCCTCGTCGGTGCTCACTCCTCCTCACCATCTTCATATATCCGCCACAATGAGCGCCCTTCTCTCGCTCACCGCTGCAAAGAAAAGCGACGGCGTCTGTGTACGTCCTTCTCTCTTCGTTCAATTGTCAACAGCACCGCTAACACTGCACTCACAGCCCGCCCCGCCCTTCCCCCTGCTCACCAAACCCGCGACTCCCGCGACCCCGTCCCACCTGCGTTCATCCTCCCCATCCTCTTCTCCAGGATACATCTACCACGGCTCCCTCACGCCAAACACCTCCCCGCCATGCCCCATCTCCGCGTCCCCCCTTGCCCTCAAAATGTTTGCGTCCGACGACGACCCCGTCTCGTCCAGCGCCGCGCATATCCCCTACACCCAGATCGACGACGCAGCCAGCGTCGACGACGACCTTCTCTCTGAAGAAAACCGCGACGCAGACGCCGTCTTTGCCGACTTCGTCCGTGACGACCACAGCGAAGACGACCAGCGTCCCCAGCAAGCCACAGTCTCTCCGCCTCTGAACAAGCGCCGCCAACGACAGCGACAACCCAGCGCGTCTTCCGATCTCTCTGTCTTCAACTTCCACACCGACGACGAGGCCGACTCTCAACTCACCTCCCCGGTCTCATCTCTGGCCTCCTCGCCTTTACGAAAAAAGCGCAAGCGGGGCTCGTTGACCGAAGACCCTAACGAGCAGACAACAACCCGGAGATCGGGTCGCACGCGCGTGCAGCCTCTTGAATACTGGAAGAACGAACGCATAGTCTATAATCTCGTCCAGGCCGACGACGGCGTCGTGGTGCCGACCATCAAGTCCATCGTTCGCGCCGAGACTGTAAAGTCAAAGCGGAAAACGAGCACCGCCAGCGCGTCGCCAGCAAGAAAACGGGCAAACACGCCCACGCAGGGTGCCGAAATTGGTCGGAAAAAGACTCTGAAGCCAAATAATACCAGCGACGTGAGCGACAGAGACAGCAGCCGCGTCTTTAGCGAGGGCCCTGAAGAAACACAGCAGTCTACACAGCAGTCTACACAGCTCGAGTTACCTGCTGCCGCGGACGACAGCGAGTTTGATTGCTTCGTGGCCGAGGTCGAAGATCTGTCTGCGTGCCAGCGGATACCGCGTCAGATCGCGGTCCCGTCGACTATGCTGCCGTACACCGCGGTCCGCAACAAGGCCTCGCGCTTCGACTTTGCAAAGACGTTCGAAGAAGACCGCGGGTTTCTCGCGACCGGGATCGTCAGACTTCCTGCAAACTCAGGCTGCAAGGGGCGGAAAAAGACGGGTCTGAACGCGCTTACATTTTGCGTGATTGAAGGGACGGTCGAGGTGTTTATCAATGACGATGTGCGGTTTAAGATTAGTAGGGGCGGACATTTCTTGGTGCCTAGGCTGAACTCGTACGCGCTTCATAATGCGGGTCGGAAAATGTGTGTTTTGTTTTATGCGCAGGCAACAGATACGTTTTGTAATATCGTCGAGGGTGGCAAGGCAGGCACACCTGCGGCGGACGAGGCTGACCAGGTGGATTCTGCTGAGGGTGAGATGTCTGACCACGAGGAGGAGGTGGAAAGCAGTAGTGCTACGGATGAGGATGAGGAAGATGACGAAGGAGAGGGCGAGGAGGATAGATAGATTTTATTTCTAATGCTAGTTGCTCTACGGTCTTACCTTTCTTACTCTGCTTGATCTCATTATCTACATACTACGAAAGCATTTATTTTTTTTCTTTGGGGTTTTACAATACGGAACCGCTCCGCGCGCACTCTTCCGTTCCGTCAGTCACTATCAGAATACAGTAACCCCGTCACAGCTTAGAAAGGCCCACAGACACATTCACAGCACAAGACAGGAAAGACAGAACAGGAAGCGCGCGCAAGAAGCGGCTGGTGCCAGGATCAGGAAGAATGCGTTACGCATACTCTTGTCCATGCTTGCTCATGAACAGCAAGCACAAACAAGAGTTATGTGGGACTCTGCGACGCCGCTTGTGTTGAACAAGCGGCCTCTCGATGTCGCCATACCCACTAAAACCCGACTTCACCCAGAAAACAGTTCAAAAACTGTCTCCGTATTGGTGGTTTGTCAACGTTGTCGCATGATCCGCTCGTCTTGCCGTCAGAAGTCTCTAGCCTCCATGGCCCCCCCTCGTGACAAGTCGGTTGGTCGCGCGGACTCTCTTCAACACTCCGTCGCCACGGGCTCCGTGCGCAGCGACGGCGCGGCCTTTCAGCGCGCATGCGTGAGAGACGCGACAACGTAGACGTTTTGAATCCGATGAGCAACCTGGCTAAAGAAGAATCTCATCAGATTGACCGCCCGGCCAACAGCACCAGTGAGGCACCTTAAGGGCGGTCACGCAGAGTACCGAGCCGGCAAGGAATCATCTCCCCGAGCATCTGCATGCTCACCCGGTACCTGCGTTGTTTGCGGAAGTTTGTCAGGCTCTAGACACCCTGCGATACCGCCACAACGTGTCCTCCCACGTTAGCCCAAGAGCTGTGTGCACTCTGCCACGCAGCTCAACACACAGCTCTTGGACTGTAGCGGCCGAGAAGCAAGGCGCGAGTAGCTGCAGCCATGGCGAAACTGTCCGATGACTCTCAGCGGCCACCGGTTCCAGAATGCCATTCTGCCGACAGCGTGGAATGCACCGTACTATCGCGCTCGCTTCCCGCTAGAGTTGACTGACCTCTTCACCTAACGACATCCGCGGTCGTTAGGTTGCTCGACGTCCTTGCTAACCAAAACAAGTGGCGGGCAGCCATTTGCCTGGTTTGGCTAGCAAGGGCGTTTCTGCCGCAGGGTGCGCGGTAGAGGAACTGCGCATCTTCAAATCTGCCGTTAGCTGAAAGCTCTGAGTCGACCGTGCAACTGTACTTACTATCTTTTGCCGTGGTAGAGCGAGATCAAGCAGCCAGCATCACCGATCTGATCTTCCACTGGCTGCTCCGCAGAGACGACTGCGTGGAGCGTCCGCTGGCTGTCCTGCGGGTCCCAGATTGACCTGTGCTATGGAACCACACAGCCCGCCCATACAAGAAGGCTCTCTGGGCAGGACTGCCTGAAAGCCGCTAAGCTGCGCACAAAAACATAAAAACAGCTAACCAGCGAGCTTAGCGGCGGGTATCGCAGTCGATCTATTGCCGGAAAATAGATGTGACTGATGAGGGGGAGAGGGGTATCGAAACCAACTGGTGAGGGAAGGAAGGAGAGAGGAAGAGGCGGGCGCGCTGAAGCGGGCGGATGTAGGTCGGGCGCGTGTGTTTGGATATTGGGGTTTCTTGATCTGGCTGAAAGTAAACAACCACCTGACGCGCAGGCCGTTTTGAAATTTTTACTTCTTAGGGAAATATGGATTGATATAAAATCTGATCTGACTTATTTTGAATAGTAGAAATGTGGCCGGTCTGTTGCAAAGAAATAACTACTGCGTGTTATTAGATATGTCCACGCGTCAACCGATCTTCTAAACTGGATACGCGACAACGTAGCTGTGAGAAGGATATAGCTAACAGCTTCCATGACTATCTTGCCTCTATACTCAGTATACAGTTCTTGACGTATTATGGACCTCTAAACATCCTCCAAGACACAAATAACGAACTACAGCTCGGAACTGGCTCATCAATAAAGCCCGAACCGGCATTTGCACGAGCCCCATAAAATGTAAGCGAAATTGAGCTTTCAGACGCGTCAAAGACAGAGACACCTCCTCGTCTAGCGCGCTATCTCCATTTCCTCCTTTAGCAGAGGCCAAACAGCAGACAGACCGCGCTTTATCTGGCAACAGAGATATGGCTCGCACAGTGCAGAAAAGACCTGTTGAGTTTGATGTCGAGTACGGAGGAACTGCGACTGAGGTAAGCTGGGAAAAGGGGTGGTGCGTGATAGACGCGTCACGGTGGCGGGCGTGGTGTTGCCAGGCTCAGCTAACGCGTATCAAAACAGCAGGGTTCCAGTCCGAATATGAAGCGACCTAAGAAGTCTTATGAGTTTTCTGATGACGACGACGATGAAGTAGAGGCTGTGATTGTTTCTGAGGATGGGGGCGAGGACAGCGGAGAATATGACTCTGATGAAGATTCCGAAGACGAGGCGTTTCGTCAGATTAACTCGCAAGCTACGCTCACTCCAAAGGCAAGAACCAATTTATTATGAACAGATTGTTTGATTTTGATATTTTGATATACTGACTCATCTGCAGAAACGGTCAGCCGAGTACGGCATTATCATGTCAGTGGAGCTCAAGAACTTTATGGTAATCAAGCAGCCTCCTTAGTTGGATTTAGTCAAGGTACAAAACAACTGACCCATTCGCGTAGTGCCACGACCACTTGAAACTCCAGTTTGGATCTAACATCAACTTTGTTATCGGCCACAATGGTAGCGGCAAAAGTGCTATTCTCACCGCGATCACTGTCTGCCTTGGTGGAAAAGCTTCGGTGACGCAGCGTGCAAACAGCATCAAGGGCCTAGTGAAATACGGAATGGCACGAGCATCAGTCACCTGCGAGCTGCTAAATAGCCCGAATGGCTTCAAATATGATGTGTATGGTGACAAGATTAGCGTGGAACGAACGTTTGACACGAAGGGTACAAGCCAGTATCTGATCAGAAACCACGCGGGCAAAGTTGTTTCCCGCTCTCGAGATGAACTAGTTGAGATGATGGACACCTTTTTGCTCGTCGTCGACAACCCGATGACGCTGCTCTCGCAAGATACCGCGCGTTCGTTTCTCACCAGCGCGAGTCCGGAGGAGAAGTACCAGCTTTTCATGAAGGGTATCAGACTTGACGAAGTGAAACTCGACTACGACAACACGCTAGTTATCCTGGACAATACCGAGCGGAGCTTAAGAGGTAAAAGGAAGGACTTGATGGAGCTCGCCAAGCAAGTCCACGAGTTCCGTGAGCTGTATGAACGCTCACAATCAGCGCGCGCTCTTACCGAGAAGATCTTTCGCTTACACTCGCAATTCGCCTGGACTCTGGTGCAAGAACAGGAGACTGCTGTGGAAGAGCTGGACGAGGAAATCAAGATCAACAAGGCGGAATACGCAATGGCGGCTGCTGAGGTTAATGCGAAGAGACAGGAAAAGGAGGAAGCTGCTCGGCAACATCAGGCAATTCTGCGCGAAAAGGCTGTTTTGCAAGTCAAGAAGGACGAAGCAACTCAGAATATTGTCGAGAAGCGAAATGACATGAAGTTGATCAAAGATGAGCTACAAAGAGTCATCGTACGTATTTTCTACTCGAGAGAAGCGATATGTTTTGTACTAACATGATCTCATATCAGGGCGACGAGCGCAATAACGCCAATGAGAACGATTTGATCCAGCGACGTCTCAACCTAGCGCAAGAGAAAATAGACAAGGAGATACAACTCCAGAGCGAGCGAGATGGTGGTACTCTAGCTAGAATCAACGCGGAGCACAATGAGCTTGAAGATCAGCTTCAGCAGCTAGAGATGAACAGGAAAACCACCAGCGACGATATCGCGCGATTGGAAGTGTCTCTGAAAGAAGCGGGTGATAGAAAAGCAAAGGCCGCTGCGCAAGTTGTCTCTCACGAAGGAGCTGTGACGGTGCAGGAGAAGCAGATTGAAAGTGTCAAAAGCAAAATGGTAGGCACTCTGTCGGCGTTCCCTCCAGCGACGGTGCAAGTTCAGAGGGATATTGCGAACGAACATAGGTTCCGCGTGAAGCCTGTTGGCCCGTTGGGAATGCATGTGAAGTTGAAAGATCCAAGCTGGAGCGGTATACTCGAGTCGTTCTTTGGTCGCAGTCTGGATGCCTATGCAGTGTCTTGCAATGAGGACGAAGGGCTACTAAAGTCTATACTTTCCAAGCACGGGATGTAAGTTAAGTGTCTGCGAACGTGCGGTGTGCTGTTACTAATGTTGCATCAAACAGAAACACGACTATCTTCAATCGCAAAAATACTCCAATCGACTATTCGAACAGTGTTCCATCGAGAGATTTCACTACTATCCTTGATGTTTTGGAGGTAATGTTAACTCAGATACATTCTAAAGCTATCGACGTGATGTCTAACAGCTGTTTATAGATTGACAACGATTATGTCAAGACCATCCTGATTGATCAGCACAGGATCGAGAAGATGATTTTGATTCCCTCTCGTGCACAGGGAGACTCTGTGATGGCGCAGCGACCTCGCAATGTGCTGTCCTGTCTTACACACAATGCTAAAGGCTTTGGTGGTTTCCGCCTCAACTCACTTGACGGCTCGTCTTCTACTAGTCCAATTCCGGGAAGGAAAGGTAACCCGAGAATGAAGACGGATGAAGCAAGTCTGCTCAGATCCTACGAGCAGCAGAGAGATCGTGCTTTAGCCGAACTCGAACGGTCTAGGATGGCGTCGGCTCAAGCACATCGCGCATATGACGACGTCAATCGTCAGCTTCAATCTGCAAAGACAAAACTGGCGAATTTGATACGAGATCGGAAAACATGTGCAGACAGGCTCGATGAAATCAAGAGAGACTTGTCTGACTCTCATGGTTCTGGAAAACTTGAATCGCTGCAAGAGCAGCTCGAGACTATCAAAAACGAGCTTGAGCAATCTGTGAGGAATTATGAGAATATCATCATAGAGAAGCATACTCAGGAGGAATCACTGAAAGCTGCCACTCAAGCGATTGAGGAGGCGAAATTAGAGAGTGAGAAGGCGAATGAGGAGCTTGAAGTTTTGAAGGTAATGATAACGAAACTTGAGTATTTTTATGTCGAAGGGTATCTGACCGATTTTTTGTTTACGACTCTAGCGAAGGGAAAACGAGGCACTTGAACGAGAACTCAGCGCTAAGGCGGCTCTTGAACATCGGGAAAGTCAGATGGCTGGTCGGCTTGCGGCGAAAACTAGTTTGGATAGTGCCTATTCCGAAGCCGAGGTAAATCTGCAGCTGTATAGAACCGAGGCCGCAAATCTCGAACCTACTCCCCCGGAACTGTGCGGCAAGACTTCTAGTGAGATTATGGTTCTGATCAGCAAGACTGAGGAGGAGCAGAAGAGAGCACGGTCGGAATTACCCATGAGACCTGAGGAAATCGAAAGGCAGTACAATACTTTGAACAAGCAGTATCATGGGATCAAGAAGGAACTAGAGGATCTGTGCGATCTCAGAATTGTAAGTGATTTGTTGTGATTGAGATTGACGCGAGATGCGGTGGGCTAATGTTGTTGTTTTCGTTGTATAGGGTGTCGGGCAGTCGTATGCTGAACGTGTCGATAACTACCTCAAATTCCGGAACCAGATTTGCCAGCGCGCGAAAGACATCTTCAGCATGTCTCTTTCGAATCGTGGCTTCCAGGGTCGGTTGTTCATCAACCATGCACATGGAACTCTCCACATCCAGGTGCAGCCGGTCGATACAGGATCCAAGGGAGAGCGAAATGTGAAGACCTTGTCTGGCGGCGAGAAATCGTTCACTCAGATCTGTCTGTTACTATCGCTATGGGATGCAATGAACTGTCCTGTTCGTGGTCTCGACGAATTGTGAGTTTTATTCTGAATGTTTATGTGTTCTTGTTCCTCTTGCTAATGTCTGTGATTATTCTAGTGATGTCTATATGGACGCAATCAATCGTGCGACTAGTCTGAAGCTGATGATTGACGCGGCATCCAAGGCGGACGATGTCCAGACGATCTTTATCACGCCTCAGGATATGGGCACTGTCAAGCTGAACGACAGCGTGAAGATTATCCGCATGGCTGATCCCGAGCGCGCAGCGGCGGCGTAGTCAGTACAAGAGTAGCTGTGGAGCAGCTGCTGGCGTCTCGGGAGTTTGATACTGTTCTTGATAACTGATAGGAGTTTTATGTATTTGATAGCTTTGATTGATAGTTAATAGCAATATCCAACGAGAAGTAGTAAGAGTAGTAGTGAGGCCCACACGTGATCTGAGATCTGATTAGAGTTTGGTTGGCCGGCGTGGCTCTACTGAGTTTTTCTCTTTTCCTGCTTCTCTTTTGTTCTTGTCCGCAGTCCCTTTTCCCGCCCGCAAACCCGCTTCCCTTTTTATGATCTCAATCTTCAACTGACAATCAATTTTCTTTTCGAATATTTGACATTATTGTCCAGAATTGTGTATTGTCAAATCTACCGTTTATCGCAAATCCTGATCGATTCCGCTGCTTCCTGATCGAACCCTGTCCGGATCAAACACTCACACTCACACTCACACTCCACTTCCTTCCCCCTTCCCACATCCATACAGCTATTGCCAACAATGACTACAGCTCTAGCAAACCGACTAGAATCAACCTCTTTGAAGTATGTGGCCGGTCTCTTCTGATGTGTTTTGACAATCTTGCTGATTCCTCTTTCCTTGAAGTGATGGCGACTGGAAGAGTCAGATTAACAGACCCACCCGTGATGGCCGACCACAGACCGAGGATGTCACAGACACCAAGGGCAGTGAATTTGAAGACTTTTACCTCAAGCGCGAACTCCTGATGGGAATCTTCGAGGCCGGTTTCGAGAAGCCGTCGCCGATTCAGGAGGAGTCTATCCCCGTCGCCCTCGCTGGCCGCGACATTCTTGCCCGTGCCAAAAACGGCACCGGCAAGACCGCTGCCTTTGTCATTCCTGCTCTCGAAAAAGTTAACCCCAAGAGCTCCAAGATCCAGGCCTTGATTCTCGTGCCTACTCGTGAGCTTGCGCTACAGACCTCCCAAGTTTGCAAGACCCTTGGCAAGCACCTCAACATCAACGTCATGGTCACCACCGGTGGCACCACCTTGAAGGACGATATCGTCCGTCTTCATGACAACGTCCACGTTATGGTCGGAACTCCTGGCCGTATCCTCGATCTTGCTGGCAAGGGCGTTGCCGACTTCAGCGAGTGCCCTATGTTTATCATGGATGAGGCTGATAAACTTCTCTCTCCCGAATTCACTCCCATCATCGAGCAACTTCTTTCATACTTTCCCAAGAGCCGTCAGATCCTCCTGTACTCTGCTACTTTCCCTCTCGTTGTGAAAAGCTTCATGGTATGTTTATGTCTACTGATGGTATCTGTGGTAAGACTTGCTAACATCAACATGTACAGGACAAACACCTCAACAAGCCCTTTGAAATCAATCTTATGGATGAGCTTACTCTTCGCGGTATCACTCAGTACTATGCTTTCGTGGAAGAGAAGCAGAAAGTTCACTGCTTGAACACCCTTTTCTCAAAGGTTGGTTCTACTTTGTTTGAGCCTGGATCTAGGAGCATCGTTTGTACTAACCTCTATGGCAGCTCCAAATCAACCAATCGATCATCTTTTGCAACTCTACTAGCCGAGTTGAGCTCTTAGCAAAGAAGATTACTGAGCTTGGATACTCTTGCTTCTACAGTCACGCGAGAATGCTTCAGGCGCATCGTAACCGCGTTTTCCACGATTTCCGCAATGGAGTGTGCCGCAACTTGGTGTGCTCGGATTTGCTTACTCGTGGTATCGATATCCAGGCCGTGAACGTGGTCATCAACTTTGACTTCCCCAAGAATGCCGAGACCTATTTGCATCGTATCGGTCGTTCTGGCCGATTCGGTCACTTGGGTCTTGCAATCAACTTGATCAGCTGGGAGGACCGATTCAACCTCTACAAGATTGAACAGGAGCTTGGCACCGAGATTGCGCCTATCCCGCCCACTATTGACAAGCGCTTGTACGTCTATGACTCGCCTGAGACTATCCCGCGCCCGCAGATCTCGCAACAGACGCAGCAGCAGTTTTCGCAGCAGCAGCAGCAGCAGCAGCAGCAACAGCAGCAACAGCAACAGCAGCAGCAGCAGCGTCAGTATCAACAGCGAAGATACCCTCAGCAGCAGCAGCAGCAGCCAGGACAGCAGCGCTTTCCTCGCGTGCCGCAGCCGCAGCAGCAACAGCAGCCTGTGCCTCGCAATTAGACGTCTTTAGTTGCCGTGAGGCTTCTTTTGTCGTTTTAAGTGGTGTTACTTGGGTTTGTTGCTTGAGGTTCAAAATGCTTTTTGAGCTTGCGGTTGGTGTGTTGGTTTTTGGCGTCCTGTCTTTGGATGCTACGTTTTTACGAAAGCAGTCTTTTCGTGAGTGCTGAGGATACTAGTGAGTTTGTATAATTGCTATTATATGAATGATCTTGAATCTTGCATCGAGCGGTAAAGACTGCTGAGGTAGTATTATCGAAGAAAGTGCGCCAAAAAAATTTAAAAAAATCTTAAAAAACCAATATTTTTTTGTTTTTTTTTACTTCAAAGAGAAAATTCGGGGGTGTCGTTCACGATACCTCATGACGCAGCAAAGGGATCTGATAGCTTGATCCTAGGTTGATTCCTGGTTGATTGCTTTGTCGGTTTGTGTTTCACTGGCTTTTTGACACGTACGCGTGTTGATCGGCGGAATATGTGTGTACTTTGTATTGTTCATACGCTATATGTCACGACCCGGCTGTTTCTTATTTCCTTCCTTCTATTCTACCCATCTCTCTCCTTTACCGCGTTTGGCTTTGTTTTGCGCAATCTTGTCTTGATTATCTGTTTTGAGTTCATCTCTCTTTGCTTGCTATTGCTGTCACTACTCTACTTTGTTTATTGTGTTTTATGTTATTAATGGTTACAGTGTATTTTTAGGGCGGGGCGAATGCTTTTCGTGTGTATTCTGAGATATGAGAATCGTTTCGTTTTTATTCTCTGTATGAAGAGCGTTTGTAGCGCCAGAACCATCTTGTTTTTTCGTGTTTTTGTTCTTTCTTTTCTATTTTATTTTTCTATGTAGTCTAGTTAGTCGGTGTAGAATACAAAGCCTTTGCTGCAAGGGACGCAAGTCCCTGTTTTCTCTTTGAGTCAGTGTCGATGGTGAAGATGATCGTTGATGATGGGCGAAGATGGAGTTGGAGGAGAACAGAGTTTAAAGAAATAAATTTAAATCAGAGCCCGGTGCCAATCCGCTGTCCATCATCCACACCGCTCGGTCTTCCTACCCTCTCCATCACCAGGAATCCCACAGCAGAGCATGAGCAAATCCAAGAAAGACGAGGTACTGTTGCTCACCACTGACTGCTGTTCTATTTTATCTGTCTTTATTGTTTCTGGGCTGACATCGCTGGCAATTGCAGGGATCGCTGGGCCAGCTTATGGCCGCCGGAGTGCTCGCCGGCACGGCAGAGATCGCCCTCACCTGTGCGTGATCCTCCACTTTTGTTCAGGTATACGATGCTTCACAAGTACCAGCAAAGCTAACTATGCAAGGATGTGCCTGCGAGGGCGCTGTTCGTTCCACTATAGATCCATTCGAGTACCTCAAAGTACGCTCGCAGCTGCCCCCCGGTCTGTCGAACCGCATCGGACCGATGGGCAAGACGGTGAGGATATACACCGGGTGCGGGACGATGATGCTCGGAACGCGGTGCGGACGGGCGTTAGGTTTGGGATGTACGATATCATGACGAGGCAGTTGCAGGATGAGCAGGGCGTGGTGTCGCCGCCAAAGGCGTTGGCGGCGGGGCTTTGTGCGGGTGAGTTTGTCGCTGAGGAGAGGGAGGGTTGATTGGTGTCTAGATAAATGAGCTAACGTGCTTGGCTAGGATTTTTTGAGTCGGTCATTTTGGTTCCGTTTGAGCGTAAGTCTTATCCAGCTCTTGATGTTTAATCGATAAACAGGCGCTAATCATCCTCTCTAGATGCCAAAATCCGCCAAATCAGTTCTTTGAAAAAACCCCCACCAGGAACCCGCGCCGTCTTCTCACGGATCTTCCAGCTCCACGGTCCGTTTGGTCTCTTCTACGGCTTCCTCCCCACGCTCTTCAGACAGGGCTGTTCCTCCGCGCTCCGGTTCACGGCATACAACTCGCTCCGGCAGATGGCGAGCGGGTTCGTGACCCCCGGCGAGCGAATGTCGAACACGATGAGCGGCTCGATCGAGCTTTTTGCGTGCTATGCGGCCGTGCTGTTTACGATGCCGATCGACGTCGTCAAAACCCGCGTGCAGACATTCAGCGGTCGGCAGGCGGCGAACAGCAGCAGTTTGCTCTGCGCGTACAACATCTTCACGAAAGAAGGCTTCCGTCCCTTGTTTGCCGGTCTGCTGCCGCGGATTATACGCGTGTCGGTCGCGAGCGTGCTCATGTTCCAGATCTATGAGAATGCGTATAAGCTCACTACGGCTGCGACCAATCTCTTGGGTATCGAGAGTGAGCCCAGTAGCAGTAGTGGCGGCGAGGGCGAGCAGGCAAAGGTGCGAGGATACCGTGTGATGGAGTGATTTTTTGTGGCATAAGTCTGATCCGACCGTCTTTTATATATCTGATAATTCAGTCTGGCGTTTCTGTTTGTCTTCTATGTCTTCTACTACGAGGAGCTTTAATTTGTTTTTTATGTATATAAAGTCAATGTCTGGAATCTAGAGCCAATATTAACTATTCATTCTTTGCTATCGTACAATTATAGAAACACAAACGCTAAATAGCGTTCCCTGATCGATTAGATATTATAAACCTCGTCGTTTGAGTTGAGTTGGAGAAATCACCGCCGTTTCCTCAAATCACCTCCTCGGCCTTCACCCGAGTCACCTTCGGACGCGCGAATAATCTGCCGAATCGTGGGTACAACGTCGCCGTCCTCGTCATGAACAAGGGTATACACGATCCTCTCGTTGCGCCAGTACTGCAACGGCTCGATTCTCCTCCGTCCCGAGCGCCGCACCTTCTCCGGCTGCTGCTGCTGCTGCTGCTGGAGAACTGTCGACGCCGGTTTATGAGCGCGCACATGTGAGGGTTTTGGCGAGGGTGTGCTCTGCGATTGCGTGGGTTTGTAGGAACTGCTGGGGGTCGGGGGAGCGGGAGTTGATGAGCGGGGGCGGGCTCGCGGGGATGACGGCGGGGTTTTGCGGCTTTGCTTGGCCGGACTTTCTGGTGCGGGGGTAACTCGTGACGTTGTAGGGGCTGCTACTGCTGCTGCTGCTGACGATGATGATGATGATGATGATGATGAGGTAGCTGGTTTGGACGCACTCGGTGCTCGCGCGGCCTTTGATCCCGCGTTTGGAGAATCACCTGCATCAGCCTCGTACACGCGAACGATCGACACCGGCGTCGAATGCCGTCCTTCAGCACGATCTGAGCTTTCTCCCGAACCCACAGTGCTCGGTTTGACTGTTGATATTATCCGCGTCTTAGTGCTCGTGTGCTGGACCGAGTCTGCCCGCCGTTTGACGATGCGGCGGGATGAAGAGTGCGGCGGCTGAGATGACGGCGAGGCGTTGGGTCTGGATTGGCTGCTGCTGGTGCTCCTTTCCGGCGTTTGCGGGCGGCCGGTGGATGTAGTCTTTGTGCTTTCTGCGTCGGGCGTGACTGAGCGGGAGGGAAGGGAGTTCTTCGAAGGCTCAGGTGTGGAAGATGTATCTGAAGCTGATGATCCTGGACGGAAGAGAGACTGAAGAAGTGACGACGCTGAGAACAAAGAAGAGGCTTTTTGCGGCTCTGTCGAGAGCGCTGGTGATGTGTGAGAGGGTTGTCGCTGTGCTCGCACCTCTTCTTTCTTTCTAACGCGCTTCAGTGAGTGCTTCTCTTCTGCGACATCGTCGCTGTCTTGGTCTGTTTCATTTCCCGAGTCTACTTCGACAGCCTTCGCAAGTTTCTCGACCACTCGCAGCGGCGATTTCATCGGTTTAGGTGGCGTAGCGCGGTCGCTGCTGGTTACATTCGTGCTCTTAGTTGCGGGTGTATTTGTTGACGATGTTGGTGCTGGCGTAGGCTGTTGGAACGGTGACGCAGAGCTTGGGAGTTTCACTCTAAACTATAGCAGCAAAAATAATCCACGTTAGATATAAATATAATCTGCACGGCAGAGAGAGAGAGAGAGAACGTACGCGAGGCATCGGACTCTGGTAAAACAGTTTCTGAAGATCCTCGTTCGCACCCATCCCCACTCTTTTCGCACTCGGCGCGATGATGTTGCCATTCGCCTTTGCCTGCGCGGTAAACTTTGGACTTGCGCGCAAGATACCGGGAGAAGCTGACGACGAGGAAGAAGACGGGAGGGAGAATCTTGGGGCGGGGGGTCTCGAGGCAAAAGAGGAGGACGAGGATGGGCCGCGGGAAGCGCGTGATGGGGCCGAGAGTGGGGTTGTAGAGCCATTGGCGGTGCCGGTGCCGGCGCCGGTGCTGCCGCTGCGGACGGCGGGGTTGGCGAGTAGGCGTGGATGAGGCGATCTGAAGGAGAGATCCTTGCTGAAGAGGTCGTTTGCTGTGAGCTCGGGCATGGCTGCGGGTATCTGAGATAGCGAGCGCACGCGAAGTGGAGAGGAGAGGTCGCTCCGCCAAAAAACAAAAGACTCAAGTCCAGGGACCTGATTTTACGCAGGACTCGGATTGTTTGGTGAATGAATTGGAGGACAAAGAGCTGGCTGCGGAGGTGGTGAAGCGGTGTGGATGCGAAAAGCTGGGAGTTTAGCTCATCGAACTCTAAATCGAATGTAAACACAAACAAACGAATACGAACGTTAATCTGCTTTTGTTTTGTATTAACAATGGAATAACTGGTTATGTCAATAGATGTTGTAAGATCGTATTATGCGACGTCAGAGACTGTGAGAAAGAAGTACACTATATAGAGAAAAGACAGAGAAAAGCAAATATAAACACGAGAACGACAGCGTCGCTACTTTCCATTCGCATACACCGCCATTTGATGGCCATTCCTTCCCAGCCCGTTCAACTCAACAGATGATCCCGCACTGTTGGTGCGACTCCGTATACTGACAGGCGACGTCGTGCCGCTGGCGTAGCCGTTGGATCCTCTTCGGCTTGTGCCGTTGCTCATGTTGCTACTGCTACTGCTCGTGCTGCTGTCTCTGCTTGTCGCATCACCGCCGTTGAGGCTACTGCTGCTGCTGTTGTTACCACTCATGTCGACAGGCATCATCTGTCTTGCCAGCAGTTCCCGCGCGTCGTGGACGGCGGTCATACCCGCTTTCTTGAGAAACACGCGTTCGTCGGACTCGCGGTAGCGGTCCCACACATCGATACCCTGCTGCGCCGAGATCGAGAGAGTGTCGTAGCCGTTCTTGATCACCTCCGAAACTTGCTCGGAGGACAGGTGGCTGGAGGAAAACATTGTGGATTTCTCCTTGATCAGGTTGCGGTAGTGCTCCGAGATTGAGACGAGGGTGCCGATCGAGTGCGTCGTCGGCAGTTTGTAGGTAGTCGACAGGCGCGTCAGCAGGTCTCCCGTCTCGACTAGCTTGTAAAACAGATCGTCGTAGTCAGCCGCCCCAGACAGAAACGATTCGCCGGCGGAGAAGGCGAGGACAAGGATACGGATGGTATCGTCGACGAGCTCGGAAACGCCGTCGAGCGATTGCACGTGGCTCGCCGAGGACACCATAAACCGCAGAAACGAGAATATCGACTTCCACAGCTCAGACCAGTGGTATGTCAGACGAACGCGTAGCCGCTTCAGCTGTGAGATGATTCGCAGGATCGTGCCCATCGCAAGCGAGTACATCGGCACATCTAGCGTGCGCTTCATGTTATGTCGGATAGCGCCGATCAACGAATCGAGAATTCCTTCGACTAGTAACCGATCACCCTGCACTCGCGGCAGCACTGGCTGACGTTGACGACATATCCTGATTGACGAGCGACACTCGGGCGCGACCAGACGACCCATCGTCGACGGATCTTCGACAAGAATCCGATTTATCAGCATCAGCAGTCGCGCGTAGATTGCTGTTCGCTCGGAACGATGCTGATGCTGGAGTAGATACGAAGAGAGAGAGATCAATGATCCGCACGGCGTTTCTGTAAATCAAAAGTTAGCATTTCAGTAGATATGATCTAGCAGCACGCACATACCTTCACTCATTTGTTTTGTCTCACACAGGACACGCGCGAAAAACTTGTTTGCATGCACGAAATTGCTCGTGGCCAAAAGAACGGTCGCAGACAACGGCGGCAGGGCGGCGAACTCCTTACTAATCTTTGACTCCTGATCCTGCTGCGAAAACGCGTTCTTCGCCCTCCGCGCGATCTCGGTGTAGGACAGCAACGACTCGAACGAAAACTGATCGACAGAGTCGTCGGCCACTGCGAGGTACTCTTCGCGCGCGTTCCGGCACGACTTGCCGATCGCGACGACGATTTTCTGCATGACGGCTTCGTCGACGAAATCAGACAGCCGCGTCTGGTATGGATTGTAGGCCTGCATTCGGTCGTAGCTAGAGAGGACGCCGAGGAGGACGAAGGCCTCGAATGTGTATTTGGTGGTGTGCTTGTCGTACATGATCTGGATGAGCGCGGGGAAGATGTCGCGGTGCAGAAAGTAGTTGATGAGAGAGGTGCGGTACGCGCCGCAGACGATAGAGAGCGAGGTGTGAAGTGCTGTCGAGCGAAGTTCGGCTGAGAGACAGTCAATCAGTGTACAGACATAATCAAAAACAGCAGAGAAACGCGCAGCTTACGTGTGGCGCCGCGACGCATTAGCAACTCGAGTCTGGCAACGAATTCCATAAACTCGCGATCAACCTGATCCAGGCCTACCAAGACCGTGATGATGTCAGAGCTCGTGAGCGGCTTTGCGAGCACTTCGCGCACCAGGATATGTAGAGTCTGAGAAGGAGATTTTTAGCCTGTCTGTTATCTAAAAACTGGAGAAAGGCAGGAGAGAGGTGTCACATACATCGAGCGCGTTCTTGACGGCATTGGGGTTCTTGTCTCCCAGAAAGCGCACGGCACGCGTGAAGATGGCTTTTGTGGTAGCCTAGAATACCACGACATCGCAATCAGTCAATTGTCTGCAGCACAATAAAAGATCAAGTCATCGGACCAGCACAAGAAGCGCATACCTGTGATTGTAGTAAACTATCGGGAGGGAGGCTGGAGATGATTACCGACAAGACAGACATGTTTGCCTTGAGCAGGAAGAATTCGACCCAGAACCCATCGTTTTCCGGCGGCGTAGCTCCTTCCTACAAGATACAGCAATAGTCAGAACATAGAAATCAACAACAGAGGTTGCAGTTCAGTCACAGAATGCAAATTCGAGGACCGACCTTGAACAGAGCCTGATAGAGGCCAATGATCTTTGGCTGTAGACTTCCGCGCTCGACGCGGACGAGAGGCGAGACCAGCGCTGCCATGCAGAGGAGATAGCAAAGAACTGCGAGCAACTACGACGCGTAAACACGCAGATTCTCTGGTTGAAGAAGAGCAGCGGTCGACAAAGGTCTGGCTCTGCGGGGAGCTGCGGTGGGCGCGCGAGGAGGCCGTACGCAGCCTCAACCTGAGTCACGTGACGGGCACGCGATAGGCAGCCGCAGCAGCAGCAAAAGGACAGCTACGCGGAGAGAGAAGGTTGCAGAGTATGTGGAGCATGTAGAGCACATTGTAGAGCATATTTTAAGTGTATTTGACGTTTATTCTTATTAGTTTCATGCAGCAACTGCGAGCAATCACCTTACTCCAGCCCGCGATACCAGGCAGCGATGCCGAGGATGAACAGCAGCAGGCTAAAGTCGGAGGCCAGGTTGGTGAGGATATGCGTGTACCGCGCAGCGAGAATGAGATAGCTCGAGTATGGAGGCGGCACGTAGAAGGCGATCTTTGTGAAGATCGATTTTGACGGCGAGCGGCCCTGCAGGTGGTAAAGTCGAGCGTTAGCAGAGTCCATAGATGATCTTACAAACAAGTAGGATAAACTGAAAGAGTAAAAGACATTTGACAACACACCTTCTCTATAAGAAACCTGCTGGACTGCAGCATGAGCTCGATCGTCGCAAAGTACCACATTATGCGCGAGTTGGCAGCACCGGCAGCACCAGTGCTCTCGATACGCGAAAGCTGGGACCCGCGCACTCCCAGGACAATCGCAGCATACAGTCCCAGGCCCAGAACGCTAAAGTAATGCAGCGTCCTCCACAACGACGAGCGATCAGGGCCCGAGGCAGAGGCAGTAGCGCCCGCCGCCGACGACGACGACGCAGGCGCGCCATTTCCACCGGCCGCGCCGCTGGCGCCTGCAGCAGCCCCTTCCATGCCTGCCATCTGCATCAGTCGCTCGAGGTTCATATCGCCGGACGCGTTCCCGGCAATTGCTTGGCTGAAAAAGTCTTGGAAAGCAGCATCTGCGGCGGGTGATTCGGCGCCGGGGGTGGTAGGCTGCTGGCGGCCAGCTAGAAATTTGAGTATCGGGTTCTCGCCCGTCGACGCACGTCGTAGTGGCGAGGTGAATATTGAATCGGGTAGAACGTCAGGGGGATCATCGTACACAGCAGGCGCCGAAAAAGCGCTGGACGTGTCGGCAGCCGTCGATGTCGCGGAGGTCGAGCTGTTGACGAGCTGAGCGACGGTGGGCTGGTGCTCGCGGACAAAGGTGGCCTCGCCATCTGTCGCTGTGTTTGTGATTTTGTCGAGTCTGCTGGTGCCGCCGGCAAGGATTCGTGCCTCGCGACGCTCACGACGGATTCTCGCTTTGTCTGCGGCCGACAGAGACGGTGCTGGTTCGGCCATGATTGGAGATGGAGATGATGGTGTTGATGATGTTCTTGATGGTGCCAAAAAGCGGACGAGATGAGAAGCCACGCGGGCTGCGCAGTTAGAGCCGCAACTGCAAAATAAACTTTAAATAAAGTTAAACTCTAATATTCAGGGGTCGCTTCGATTCTCACCTGAGCAGCAGCTGATCCCGAGCTGATCTACGAACAACAACAGAAGGCGAGGAAGAGACACGAAAGAGAGGAGACGCGGGCTGTTGAAGGAATAATGCCACGAACATGGCTCTTTGCGCTCGGCCTCGATCTGTTTTCGCAGCTCTCCGGCGCAGGCTCTGCCGGCTCCAGACCAGTCGGCAACAGCACCAGCGACGACGACGCGAGCAATGAGAAGGAGAAGGAGGAGGAGCAACGCGGCAATGGCACGGAAAACACAAAATCTGGTTACATTGACCCCCCGAGAATGATCGCTGTCGGCCAGGACCTGCTCAGAATACTGTGGGCGGGCTGGAACGATACACTGTATAGGCTTCCCCGCATTCAGCTGTTCATGAGGGCCATGCTAACTTCACCTGTTTATTTCACATCTAGTGCAGATCGACGACATCTTTGAACTCCGCGGCTTCTCTGCCGGCTCACGCGGTTCCGTCCAGCTCCTCTGTCCGCCCGGGATCAGCATCGTCTCAGGATTCGGCTGGACCGAGCTCCAAGGGGTCGTCTGCTCAGACGGCGAGATCTACTCCATCGCTCCTCCGCCCACCGACGCCGAGTACTCGTATCTCACCATCGCGCCAGAGTTCGACATCAGCGACGCTTTCTCACAATCTGTCCAGCACGTCTCTGTCGCCGGGAACGGGCTCGTGTCGGTGCTGCACGCAGATAGAACCTCGGTAACCGTCTTTGACTCCTACGCCAGCTTCAAGAACCACACGCCCTCGAAGCCGACCCACAAAACACGCAAAGAGTTCAAGCCTCACCACCGACGAACATTCATCTCCGTCCGCTCCGCCGAGTCGCACTTCGTCGCACTCGACAGCAACGGCTGCGTCTGGAGCTGGGGCGCACCGAACCTGCATGGCGAACTTCTTCGTCCGACACCGGCTAATCGCGGAGCTGACCACGCGCAGCTGCAGTCACTCACTCCGCGAATCGTCCCCGCGCTCGAAGGCATCCAAATGATCCAGATTGCTGCAAACGGGTGGGTGACCGCCTGTCTGTCGGGCGACACACGAGATGTCTATATATGGGGCTGGATGGCGGGTGGAGCGCGCGTCGTCGGCATGCCTGCGACCAGCGGAGGCGAGCTTGCGGGTATCATTGACCAGTTTGACGAGGAAGAGAATATGACAGTCGACTGCATCGGCGTCGCGAACGGAGCGGTCGCCACGACGATCGAGGACGCGCAGACCGGTATAACGTCGCTGTACGTCGCGAGGCCGCCCGTAGAAGGCAGTTTGGTTAACGACAGGGAAAATCGCGATGAAGATGCTGACGGAGCACGGTTTGAAAAGGTCAGAGGACCATGGGACGCGCTTCTTGAAGCCGTTGACGAAGTCTATAGACGGCCGTATGTGTACTGTTCGCCTGCAGCCACCTTTGTAATTATCGCACGCGACTACTGATCCTGCGTCGCTAGCAAAAGAAGACCTTTGTATATAATGTAATGTACATATGACTTTTATTTTAGAATCGTAAATCATAACCTTGCATATCCTCCAGGACATATCTCTCTTGTCAATTCATACAAGACCAATCGTGATGCAAATATCTACAGTCATAAGTATCCCGCAGCAGCAGCAGACATAGATAGTATCAACAAATCAAAAACGCCAGATCAAACCAATTCGTGCCACATATTTCGTTTTCTATATTAATCAACTCCCCTCTCAATCCTGCTCAAGAACGTCCTGCAGATACCGGTCGATCTCCTCGATATGACTATGCCGCATGCGGGCCTTCATCACGCGGAACTTGAGCTCGGCAAGCGACCACCACTCAGCAGCCGTATGCGGTCCCTCGAGATCAATCTCCTCGGCCACGCGGCGCCAGACCGCGGCGTACTGCAGATACCTCTTGTCTGGCACGTCCGAGCCGTCGTCGATCGAGTAGTCCGGTTTCGAGTCGCCAAACTCGCTCTGGCTGGACACACTGCTGTCGTCGTCGCCGTCGTAGTCCTCGTCCTCTTCGTCGTAGGTATCGAGCATGAGCGCCGCCGCGGAGCGGATACGTTCGGGATCGATAAAGTCGCGGTAGAGATGGGTCGCGAAGCAGACGGTGTCGCACTCGGCTTCTTTACCGACCTCTTGCGAGTGCACGGCGTACATCGAGTCTAGAAAACGCTCCTGCGCAACCTCGAGCCGCTGCATGATCAGGTGAAGCAGGTCTGCGCTGAACTCTTTGATGGCTTCGCGGCCGTCTTGTTCGAGTGATTGCTCTATTTGGGAGATAGAGGGCGGGAACGCGAACGTGCCGTCGACGCGGTGGAGCAGTGACCATGCAATGATATCAATTTGGTCCTATACAATACTTGTTAGCTTCAGGCGGTGACGAAGGCGGCGGCTATACAGCGACAGAGGCAAGACGTACAATCGCCTCGGTTGATATTTGCATGCTCACACGCTTGTTCACTATGCGCGCTCCAGCTGAGTTTGTGATATCAGACAGGATACTAGCCCGCGAAAGCACAACCGTCGTCCGCTTGCTATCGACGCCCGCAGGCTTTGTAGGCGTCGTTGGGTTCTCGACAGTATCAGCAGCTCTGGTCTGCTCCTCGGGCGATATGGGCGACGAGGAGGCAATGACAGACGTGCGCTTGCTCGCGTTGTCGTTAAACACAGTGAACGGCGGCTGACTCTTTTCGTGGACCGGAGTGGTGACGGTCTGCACGCCGCCGTTGAAGCTGTACACGCTCGTCCGCTGCGACGCGCTGCTCGATAATGGTCTGTATGACGATGCGGAGGCGGTGGTAGGCGTGTTGAGCGCGACGAGGTCGTAGGGCTCGAGGACGATGGTCGGCGAGCCCGGGAGGATACCGAGGGCGTTTTGCTCCTCGACTGAGAGACGCGAGGAGGCAGCGGGTGGGATCTGCAGGGTCAGAGACGGGGGACGCTTGTAGAGCAGGCGGGAGAGGGGGGAGTTTGTGGAGGGGGGCGAGGGAAGGGCGTCGAGGGAGGCCGGAGAGAGCGAGGGGGAGACGGTGGGAGTGGGAGAGTTGGGGGAGTTGGGGATGAGCTTGTCGAGGTCGTCTGGGATGCCGGAGACGGACGAGTCGGGGTTGGGCGATGGTTGTTGCCGCTGGATTTGTGGTTGTGAGGGCTGCTGCTGCTGTTGCTGAAGATGTTGACTTGAAGGAGTCTTTGCGGGCTTTTCGGAGACGACGGAGCGAGGATTGCTGCTTGCAATTGCAGGTTTGCTGCCGCTAGAAGGGTTTCCAGACGAGAAGCATACGGCGAGGAAGGTGAACGGGCTCGCGAGCAGTCGCTGGACGCGTCTGCGAGGGGTTCTGGAAGTGCGCCGGCCCATGTTTGAGGAAGTAGACAGTCAATTGGGCGACAGACAAGAAGAGAAGAAGGAAGGGTTCATTGCCGGACGCAGGATTCGCGAGGAACTAGAGCAGAGACCGAGGAAGAAGAAGAATGAAGGAGGCGAGGCTGGAATGTGGCGCCCTGCCGTGCACGCGCCGCACCTTCGAGCAGGAGGAGATCTTTGGCTGCCGAGTTTCCGCAGGGAGGAGTGCAGTTTAAAAACCGTTGATGCTGTCAGACCGACGTGTTCTGCGTCCGCATCTGCGTCTTCTCTTTTCTGCATCTTCTTCAGGTTCAGGACGCGCAGAACGCGCAGTGCTCGTGGCGAGCAGCAGCGGCACGCGACGCGTCGAGAAGGTAAACATCGCCTACGCGCCTGGCAGCAGCAGCCCGGACGGTCGACGACCGCGCGCTCGAGCAGCAGCCGCGCTGTCGAGAACTCTGCGGCGGCTTCTTCTTTTCTCGAGATTCTCGGCTGCCGAAAGCCCGACCGGCCGGGACTCGGCTGCGAAGGAGGAGCATTTGTAGCTGCCCAATACGGAAGTGTCTGGATTAGGAAGCACCATCCCAAAACAGTAATTACTGTGCTTACACATCTGAGTGTTTCGTGTATCATTGATCCCCGGCCAAAAAAAAAAAAAAAAAAAAAAAAAAAAAAGTCCCAACGCCGGCAAAATTTGTATCTGCCTCTCTGCAGCCCATCCACCCATCCACCTCCCGAACACAGCAGACACAATGAAGCGAGGGCCGACAGTAGTGAAGAGCAAAAACAAGAGCATAAAGGTGAGTGTCGCTGAGTGTGTTTGTGTGTGTGCTGTGTCCGTTGCTAACAACAGTTGTAGCCCGCTGTCTACAAAGAAGAGTCGACAAAGATCTCGACAGCATCCGCGCAAGATGTCGACATGAACGATGCCGCCGACGCGTCTGATGCGTCCTCATTTGCCGGATCTGACGACGAAGACGAGGATCTCAGCATGGCCGACCGCGTGACTGCCCTCGAGGCGGCGGCCAAGTCGTCGAGCAGCAGCAGCAATACCGCGCAGACAAACGGCAAGAAGAAATCCTCCAAATCCCAATCGTCAAAGAACTCGCTAGCAAAGGAGACCAACGGCACTCTCCCCGCGGCCGTGCTGCCGACCGTCGGATCGCTCACAACAGTGCTCACGCAGGCGCTGCACACAAACGACTCGACACTGCTCGAGTCCTGTCTTGCCGTTTCCGACACCGCCGTGATCAAGAGCACGATCCACAGACTCGACGCCACGCTCGCGGCCACGCTGCTCGAGCGGCTCGCGCTGAGGATATCAAAGACCCCGACGCGTGCCTCGCAGCTCGTCGTCTGGGTGCGCTCGATCATGGTCGCGCACGGCGGGTACCTCGTCGGACAGGAGAACCTGGTCAGCACGCTTTCGTCGCTGCACACGACGCTTTCCAGACACGCTGGATCGCTTAACCGGTTGCTTGCCCTGCAAGGCCGGCTAGATATGCTCAACGCGCAGCTCGAGCTGCGGAAAGAGGTCGCGGCGCGGATCACGGAGGAGGAAGAGGAGGACATGGATTCGGAGGTCGAGTACGTCGAAGGGCGCGACGACGAAGACGACGGGGTCGTGCTTGACGATTCGGGATTTATTGCGGGCGAACAGGACGATGACGAGTCTGACGAGGACGACGAGGACGATTCCGACGACGCTGCTGCTGATGATTCGTCTGATGATGATGATCTCGAGGGAGATATTGACGAGGACGACGAAGACGACGATGACCAGGATCTTGCGCCATCCGAGGAGGAGGACGACGATGATGATGAGGACGACGACGACGATGAGGACGACGACGAATAGATAGATGTACTATAGTATATACATTCTTACCACTACCTTTCCCTTCATTTCTGTTTTGTTTATTTGGCATTGTTCTTCTCTTTGTTCCGGGTCTTTCACTATTCTATCTCCCTTAGTACATCTTGTTTTGTCGATATTGTAATCCTGGTGGATTGTTTCTTGGGCTCCAAAAGTGTTAATAGAAAAGTCTGATTTATTCGCTCCTATCGTACATCACTAGATTTTACAAAAACAGCTCTACAGGCCCTTTGCTTGCCGTGCAATCAACGCCGCCTCGTTCTGCTCCGCCACCAGATCCGACTCGAGCGCTCGTAAATCCTGCTCGAGCTCGTCGTTACTCAGCAGCCACTGGTTCTTCCCCAGCAACGTCATGATATCCAGGTTCTCCTTCCGGATCTGCGTGTACGCGAGCGCGACGTAGACTTTCCGCAGCTCGGCCTTCTGCTGCTCGGGATCCTCGGTGTCCATCCCCAGGCTGGAGTACCGCGACGTATCAATCCCGGCCAGCACGCTTGTGTCGCCGTCGGCCTTGGCCAGTTGCTCGAGCGCGTCCTGCATCAGCGGTGTGAATTTTGAGTCGCGCAGGGCGGGGATCGAGGGATGCAGAGATGTTTGTGAAGGAGGATGCAGGGAGAGATCTTGTAGGACTTCTGACTCGGCTTGCTTGCGCAGTTCGGGGGTGGGTTCTGGCGCGGTGTGTAGTTCTGCAGAGGCTGTTAGTATGTGTGTTTGGCGGTGACGAGGAGATGCGTACCATCCAGTCTGTCGAGCCATTGACTTCTGGCACTCATGATTCTCCAAGCAGTGTTGACTGTCTATTCCGTGAACAATAAGAGTATTACTCGCAATATCAACAATCACCGACGAGGATTCTGCGCGCAGAGTTCGAATCGATGAGTTTTGGGCCGCACAAAACTTTCCTGCACAGAAAAGCCCATCCTCAGTTCCCAACCACATCTCCTCTCCTCCTCTCCCCATCACCACATCCAACTCCTACACCCCGTCATCCTCTCCTTCTCCTTCTCTGTATCTGTCTTAATCACACACAGCAGGAATGGTGAAGATCAACGAAGTCAAAAGCAGCGGCCGCGACAGTCGGACAGCGACCCATACGCACATCAAGGGCCTCGGGCTCGACGACCAGGGCTTTGCGACTCGGGTAGATGGCGGGTTCATTGGCCAGACTGGTGCTCGCGAGGTATGCTTTTTATCTGTTTTTTGTAGTCTTTATATCTGGATTCGATAGTTTGGTTGTGTGGTGGTTCTAGCTGGGATCAACCGCCAGCAGCCACCATCAACAACAGAAACCAAGCTGGAAAAAAATCTCTAACCTCTCTCATCTTCTTCACCAGGCATGCGGAATCATCGTCGACATGATCAAAGCCAAGAAAATGTCCGGCCGCGCGATCTTACTCGCCGGCGGCCCGGGTACAGGCAAGACCGCGCTCGCGCTCGCAATGTCGCAGGAGCTGGGCCCCAAGGTGCCGTTTTGCCCCATCACCGGCAGCGAGATCTTCTCGACCGAGGTTAAGAAGACGGAGGCTTTGATGGAGAACTTTAGACGTGCAATTGGTAAGTTTGTGTCTTGTGAGGACTTTTTTCTATGAGAAAGAAGACTGCTGACGGATTTCTATCAGGCCTTCGAGTTAAAGAAACAAAGGAAGTCTACGAAGGAGAAGTCACAGAACTAACGCCCGAGGAGGCCGAAAACCCACTAGGCGGGTACGGCAAGACCATCAGCCATGTCGTCGTGGGACTAAAGTCGTTTAAAGGAACGAAGCAGCTACGTCTTGACCCGAGCATCTACGAGTCGATCCAGAAGGAGCGGGTTACCGTTGGTGATATCATATATATCGAGGCGAATACTGGCGCCGTCAAGGTATGCTTGAATATTTTATGTTGATCTGGTAGGTAAACAAACTACTGACAGCTACTGTGATCTAGCGAGTCGGCCGTTCTGATGCGTTTGCGACCGAGTTTGATCTCGAAGCTGAAGAGTACGTGCCGCTGCCAAAAGGCGACGTGCACAAGAAGAAGGAGATTGTGCAGGACGTAACGCTGCACGATCTCGATATGGCGAACGCGCGCCCACAAGGCGGGCAGGACATCATGTCGATGATGGGCCAGCTGATGAAACCGAAAAAGACCGAAATCACCGACAAGCTGCGCCAGGAGATCAACAAGGTCGTCAACAAGTACATCGACCAGGGCATCGCCGAGCTTGTTCCGGGCGTGCTGTTCATCGACGAAGTCCACATGCTCGACATCGAGTGCTTCACGTACCTCAACCGCGCGCTCGAGTCCTCGATCTCGCCCGTCGTCGTGCTGGCCTCGAACCGCGGGATGGCCACCATCCGCGGCACAGAAGACATCGTCGCCCCGCACGGCGTCCCGCCCGATCTCGTCGACCGCCTGCTGATCGTGCGCACGCTGCCGTACAACAAAGACGAAATCCGCCAGATCATCGAAAAGCGCAAGACGACCGAGGGACTCGCGATGACAGACGACGCGCTCGATAAGCTCGCGCAGCAGGGCGTCGACAGCAGTCTGCGCTACGCGCTGCAGCTGATGGCGCCGGCGGGCATTCTCGCGCGCGTGGGCGGCCGCGCGCAAATCACAATCACCGATATCGAGGAGGCGGAGGAGTTGTTTATTGATGCGAAGCGGAGTACGGCGATCGTGCAGGCTGCGAATGGAAATTATCTGCTGTGATTTTTCTTCATGTCGACGGTTTGGCGGATGCGAGAGTGTTTTGGATCTCGGATAGAAGAGTTGCTGTGTGTACGAGTAAATTTCCACCTTTAATTTGAGTTGCTTATAGCGTTTATGTGCAAAATCAAAGAATAAAGAACCCAGAGTTATACGAATAGTAGTAGAAGGATGAGTATATTGAGAATGGAGTTTAAAACCAACGAAAAATGAAAGAGAACTTTGACGGGCTACCGAATAAACAAGAGAATAAAGAGAGAGAAAGAATTGGATTAATATAATGATAATAAAAAAGAAAAAAAAGGGGGAAAAGATAAACCAGCTCCGTTATTCCGATACAAAGAAGAAAGATAGATAAAGAAAACACCGTCGCCGATATAAGCTAAGCTAAACTGGAGAAAAATAATTTGAAAAGAGATGCGATATTGTGAGGAGGATGCTTTGAGCAGGTGAGTGAAGAAGGTTGGGTATCTTCGCTTTTATCCAAACCGGTGAACGAGTAGAAAAGCAAAGTACGGATTTCCAAGGAGAAAAAAGAGAAAAGTGTAATAATATAAAAAGCAAGAAGCAACCCGAACACTCTTATGAAAATATAATAGACCAAAAATCAAAGAATTACCATATACAACTTAAAAGGGGAAAAGTAACCAAGCCCAGATCAGAGAAATGAAAACATTCTAGAAAACAAGCAAAAAGAAAAGAATTCGAAGAACTGTGATGTTGTATCAAAACAGTTTAGAAGAAATCAAATCTAAACCTCTTCGATGATCGGCTCGGAATCAGTGGCGGCAGACTCGTTCGGTCCCCGAAGAATGACCTGCTCCATTTTCCGCGCACGGATAAAGCTCGTCAGCGATCTGACCAAGATCGCCCAGCCGATGAATATGAGCGCATAAGAGACGATAATGTTCTGGTCAGTGACGCCGTCAGTGGATCCGTCAGCAGAAGTGCTGTTCGAGCTCGACGACTGGAAATCATAGCTGTTTGGATCGGCGGCCGCGGCGGCGGTCACGGTCGCGGGATCGGTGACGACTTCGCCTGTGGACTCCTCGGGATTTGTGCGCATGTAGAAACCGTACTGGATCAGTGTGATTCCAAGACCAGCGCGCGAGCCGTTCTTGGCCGCGTGCGTGGTGTGGAGCAGGTATGTGAGTAGGAAACCGACGAACTGGAACGACATCGAGATGAGCATGTTCCACATGAAGTTGAAAAAGCTGCCGACGGGGAGACCCTCAATGTAGATCTCGTCGGTGGCCATGCCGGGCGCGATGACGGTGGTTTCCCAGTAAGGCGGCGTGGCGTCAGCAGCGGCCTCTTCGTACGATGGCGGGTTTTCTTCGGCGGGTTTCTCGCCTGCCTCGGGCTTCGCCATGATGTTTGCAAAGACGCCGTCGTTGTTTGACGGCGCGAGGTGGGGATGATGAGAGGACGATGATTGTGAAGGAGAAGGAGACGAGCTGGAGGAGGCGGCGGTGGAGGATTCGGCGAGCAGGCGAGCGTGTTCGGCGCGGGACTCGGCGGCGGCGGAAGTGCTTGTGACGGCGGCGTCGCGGGAGGGGATGGAGGAGTCGCGGCGGGCGAAGAACTCGTCGTCGGCGTCGCTGTCGTTGTCGGGATCGTCTGCGGGCATGTCGAATGAGCGGGCGAGGGGATCGTCGGGCTGTATTGGCATGTAGGAAGAGGTGGAGCGGAATGAAGGAGGCGGGGAGATGGGCACGCCGGCGGCGGTGGCGGAGGCGGAGGAGGGGTCTTCGGGAGTAGATGTGATGGCAGCGGCGGAGGAGGCGGAGAGGGCGGAGGAGGTGGAAGGGCGGGCGGAGGACTGACCGGCGGGATTGCGCGGTAGCTGTGGGGGGGAGTAAGTCAGCTTGGAGGTCATCACGGAGGCGGAGGCGGAGGAAGTAGATACCCTGGTGTACTTGCGGCCAGAGCGACGGGCCATGGCTAGAGCGAGTATGTGGCAATAAGAATAGAATGCAAGAAGATGCGGATGCGATGGCAGAGAAGCAGCAGAATAAGAACAAACGCAGGCAGATGGCGAGGACAAAGAGAGAAGCGGCGGAGGAGCAGATAACTCGCGATATGGCGAGCGCTGTGGCGGGTGTCCCGTGACTCAGCCTTCTCGCGCGTTCTGGATTCTACGCGCACCAAACTGTCACGGGGTTTGTGCTCTGGCCGCTGGACTCCGGGACCCGGAATAGGCCTTCGAGATTTTCTTCGAGAAGTGGGTAGGAGACCAGACAGGCCCGGTCTTCACATCTCTTCTCTCCTCTCCTCACACACCAGCAATGTCGAGCAGAATCACGAGACAGATCGCGCATCTTAAAAAGATCGCGCTGGGGAAAGCAGCGGTGGAAGTCCCGAAGATGACCTCGCTCTCGCTCGAGTTCAAGATCCGCAACAGCCACGGCCATATGGGTGCTCGGTAAGGACAGTATCTGCCTCTCTTCTCTGCGTCCGTCTCTCTAACCTGCTTTTTATCTCCTCTACAGCAAGTTCTGGAAAGAGCACCTCCCCTCGCTGCAGTTCCATAACCCGGAAGTGCCAATGACGGTCAAGCTGATCCCCGAACCCGCATCCGAGAAAGAAGCCATGCGGGCACCCTCCGTTCTCCGGGCCGAGTTCTGTACGTTCACCCCTCCCCGACTTCTCTCCACCGCTCTCAATCGCACTTTCTAACCTCTCGATCGTCTATCTAGCCAACCGCGCACCCGTCGTCATCGACATGAAGAACCGACAATCTGAAGAGATCCTCGCAGAGTTCATCGAGGCAAGCCAATCTAAGCCGGTCAAGCTGCAGACTTTCCCCGTCGGCGAATTCGCTAAAATCAAGCTCAACAAGATCCGCTAAAGACATACAGTAACCTTAGATTTTGCCTTGCTGAAAAAGAATATTGTTGAATTTGGCGTTTGTTTTCTTTTTGGGTTCTCTTGCAGTTATGAGTTTTCACCATCGAGATATAGTCTCGACTTGTATATAGTTTGACGGAGCTATAGTGGAAGAAAGTACATACAATAATACTAAACATATAGAATCACAAGAAGGAGAGCTGGTGGAAAGCCAGAACAACAGACAATCTATAAACACAATCACACTCTGATAACCCTTCAATCTTACACAACCTCCCACTCTTTCTCAGTCCTACTTTTTCTCAGTTAGGACCAAGATCGATGCCCTTTGCAATATCCCGCAATCTGCTAACAAATCTATCCTCAATCTCCTCGCCCTTCCCGGCCGCAATCCGCAAAATCATCTCGTTCAACTCCGCCCGCCCGAGAATGTCAACATGGTCTGCCGACTTCTCTCCGCCGCGGGGATCGAACCGCTCGGGCTCGTGCAGCATCTCCACGATCCGCACGCGCGATCCGCCCGGGTTGAATTTACTGCCTTCCTCGCGCCATTTGTGGCACATTGCGTGCGTGATCAACGACACCGTGCCATCTCCCTCGCCCATGATCACCGGGTCGTAGCCACCGCCGCCCGCGATCGTCACATTCAACTTGACGAGGTCCTTATCCTTCTCCTCTTGGTACACGTACGCGCGCTCGGTCTCCTTGCCGACTCCGTAGAAGCAGTAGATCTTCATATCGGGAGCATAAGGCAGCGCCGCTTCAAGAGGGTTGGCCCATTTAGTGTGATCCTGGTTGTTAGCCTCGAGCTCCTTGCGCGTCCGTGCAAGCCCGTGGCTGTAATTCTCCAGCACGCGGTTCTGGAACCAACCGGGTGCCTGCGTAAACAGATAGTCTATGCTCTCCGCGACCGTCAAGTTCTTGGAACTCAACGTAGACATCGTATCCCTGAACTGAATGAAGTTTCCAAAGCTGATGTTCTGATGCCCGAAATCGTCCGGCGCCGACAGTAGATCTCCCCAGATCGCGTCGCCGCCCTTGGGAAGCATGCTCGCGACGCCCGGAAACGTGCGCAGCATGTACGCGCGCTCGGCGCGTGAGAAAAACTTCTCGAGTCCGTAGACAGCCAGCGCGTTCAGCTGCACGGTATCCTTCATCTCTCCGCTCAGAAGCGCGACGATCGCCTTTGGCGTGCCGAGCATCGTGCCCGCGATGTCTACAAACGAGTCAATATGGTCGTTCACCCAGTTCGGCCCGCCGTTGCCGTAGTGCTCCCCCGTGGCTTCGGCCCATTTCAAAAAGTAGAAAAACACCTGCGACCCCATGCTATGTCCCAAAAACACAGTCTTCTGGCCCAACCGGCGCTTGTTGTCCTCGACGAGCATCTTGAGCTTGGAGAAATATCCGTCGCGGCGCTCGAGATCCATGTACGACAGACGCCAGTCGTAGGCGGCCGAGTACATAGTGTTGGGATCGTACGCGAGCGCGGCCAGGTTCTCGAGAATCTTGTTCCAGATCCAGTAGCCGGTGATAAAGAAATCTGCAGCGTCGAGGCCGTCGGCGGCCCGGATCTTGTAGCCTTCGGGATCGAGGCCCGTGTGTGGATCGAGAGTGATGTGTTTCTGTGTTTGTTAGTTGATGCCAACTACTAGAAAAGACTTTGACGTCACTTACAAGCCAGCAGTTTTTGTCTAGAAGCATAGAGCGTAGCATACTCCAGCTTCCCTAGATAGAGGTAAAGTACATGTCAGAATCAAGTGGAGAAAACATAAGAAGTTGACGAGGTCTACTGACCCAAAGACGTCTTCGGAAATAAGTCTCACACCCGCACTCCTTTGTGTCCTTGACCGACCAAGACTCAAGTCCGGTCGAGATAACACCAGGGACCATAACCACGGGATGCATCGCCCGGTATCCTTCTTCATACATCGCCTTTCCGACCGCGAACGACTCGCTCTTAGCCTTCGACTGCTCCTTCTTCTGGATGTCAGACGCCTCCTTGAGCATTCCAATCGGCAGCATATCGCGCATGTCCTCCATGAACTTTGGCAGCGAGTCAAGATTGAGATCGCCAAGGGCCTCGAGCGAGACGAGCTGCTGGTTCGCGGCAAAGTACCACGCCAGCGCGATACCGATCAAGGCGCCGAGGAAGAAGGTCACTCGTCTGCTCTGGCTGAGCTTCTTCTCGGTCTTTTTCTCGCGCGAGGACTTGTCTTTCGACGGCGCGTCTGCCGGATCAGACGAGCTGGTGCCCGACCTGTGTTTTTTACCGGATTTCTTCTTGCCGCTGCTGCTGCTGCTGCTGGCCGGCGGCGTGGAATCGCGGTCAGAGGGCGAGGGCGACTCCTGGACAGGCACGGCACCGACAGGTTCGGCGACGGCGCCGTTCGCGTCCGTTTCCTCGGCGCGGTTCTGCTTCTTAGCTCTGCGGCGGCGGGGAGGCATGTTTTCTTGTCTGATCGAGAATGGAAGAGATCCAGGCAGGAAGGAAAAGACAGGGAGGAGAGGATGTGTGAAGGAAGGAAGGGCGCAAGGCGTCGGTCGTCGGTCGGATGGCTCCGGGCACCGACGCCGAGGCCAAAAGTTAGAATTAGGGTTTTCAGGGGCGAGGCTGCCGTTGGTAGAGGAGATGCGCACGTGAGAGCGGATCCGGGGTAGTGGAGGTGAGGAGGAGGTGAGGAGGTGTTGAAGAGGAGTTGAAGAGGAGTTGAAGCAGTGTATACAGAAGCAGTATGCGAGTGAGGTCTTAAGCAGGAAACAGTCTCCCCGAGATCAACGATATCACGTGCAGATCAAAACCCTTAGCCACAACTACCGTACAAACCCCTTATCTGAGAGACGACGCTGACATAAGGTGCGCTGGTGCCACCGCGAGCTGATCTCCGCCAAAGATATCGACCCATCTGCGACCAGAGCACCATCCGATCCGCTTCCGCTGGCTTATATGTCGTCTTAAAACAACCTGAGAGCCTCTTCTTTCTTGTTTTTATATCATAATATTTATTAATTCTTGTTTCCTGTTCTTTGTCCTTGCATCGCATACATCGGTCTTCTTATTCCGCATCAATGCTTCGTCTGCAATCTACAATCTCGTCGTGGCGGGAGTATCTCTCGCCCGTGAGCCACGTCTCGACTTTTAAACAGACCGGCGAGATCACGCCTGAGGAGTTTGTTTTGGCGGGCGACTACCTGGTCTACAAGTTCCCTACTTGGTCGTGGTATGCCTCTCTTGTCGTCCTGCCATAGATCCTGCCGTATCCGGCTCCGCGGTGACTGACTGTTAGCTGACCTTCTTAACAATACTATAGGTCCTCTGCTCCCGCGTCAAAAATGCGCGACTTCCTCCCACCAGACAAGCAGTTCCTTGTCACCAAGCACGTCGCGTCACACGTCCGCGCGCAGACCGCAGCGGGCGAGTACGCGAGCGGCACGAGCGGCGTCGGCGAGACCGAGGACGAGGACGGCTGGACTATATCCTACGGCTCCGGATCGGCGACCGCGTCAGTGTCGGGAGCGGCGAGTTCTGTGGTGGGTGCTGCGGTAGGGACCGACAAGACCACGCTTGAGGAAGGCGGCGGCGACGAGGACGACGCGGATTCGATTTTAGATATAGACGAGATGGAGGATGAGGATCCTGGGTATTTTGACGGAAACTCTGCAACTGCTGCGACAACAGCAGCAGCAACGACGTCTACAGCAGCTGAAGGAAGTTCGACGACGACGACCTTGCCCGACCGATCATACAATCTCTACATCACATACTCGACCTCCTACCGCGTGCCAAAGATGTATCTATCAGGCTTCAACTCCTCAGGCTCGCCTCTCTCGCCACAGGAGATGTTTGAAGACATTGTTTCGGAATACAAAGACAAGACAGTAACGATCGAGACGTCGCCGTTTCTCGAAAACACAACGATGGTGTCGATCCACCCCTGCCGTCACGCGAGCGTCATGAAGATGCTACTCTCCCGCGCCGAGGCGCGACAGCGACGGATACGCAAGGCCGCCGCCGCCGCGAGTTCCGGCTCTTCCGCGCCAGAGGACTTGATGGCCGGTATCCAGGGGCTCGGATTGGATTCGGAGGAGTGGGAGGACATCGCGACAGAGCAGCAGAAGATCGAGAGCGGGGAGAAGGAAGAGGAGGCGGTGCGGGTCGATCAGTACTTGGTCATTTTCCTCAAATTTATATCGAGCGTGACACCCGGGATCGAGCATGATAATACTATGGCGGCGTTATAAGGTGTTTGCTTGTTTTTTGCGCTTGACTCTCTAATCTGGATGGTGTTTTCTGTTTACTTATGCGGCGACCTTTTTTTTGTTTTTCTTAATATTTTTGTTTTTGTTTTATTGAGGGAGTCACTGTCAGCTTACACTGCAGAATGGCTTCTATTGCCCCAGCTGTGAATGATCAGAGTAGGGATTTGGGAAGATGTCGTTTTGTATATCATAATAGCACACCCTCTGACATTTCCACCCGACTCGCCGTAAACAAGAAAATTCAAGTGACGAGCGGATTATCACCCTTTGAGTAGTAATACTCTGCGTCCGCGAGCGGGACGTAGGAAACGCCAAACTTGCGATTGTGCGTGACGACGCCGGCGCTGTCTTTGACGATTTCGTAGATGTGCTGCGTGTCGCCTGCCTCGCCGACGGGGATAAACATCTTGCCGGGGGATTTGAGGTGTGATATCAGAGATTCGGGGACGACAGGGATCGCTGCGCCGACGCTAGAGAGTAGAGGTTAGCTGGGTGTGGAGTGAAGATGAAGAACGAGGGAGAGAGAGATACTGGATAGCATCAAACTTGATCTCAGGATCCGGCCACCCCTTGCGCCCGTCGCCGGTCCAAAACACAACGTCGCCGTTCTTTATCCAGGAATTTCCCTGCTCGCCTTCGGAGCTGAGAAATCTCTCGACAGCGGCATCGTTCAACTCCCTGATATGCTCGATCCCGCAGACCTTTCCGCCAGGCATGACCAGCTTCGCCATCACGGCGAGCAAATACCCCGATCCAGACCCGATATCCAGCGCGGCCGCACCGGGATAAAGATACTCATGCAGCGACTCGACCGCGACGGCGTGCATGTGGGGCGCGGAGATGGTCGCCCCGTAGCCCAGGTACTGGGGCGCGTCTTCGTACGGCCTGCGGGGGGAGAACAGGCCGCGGTCGGTGGCTTTGAATGCGTCGATGACGCGGGACGTGCTCAGCAGTTGCGCGGCCGCGAGGTTGTCGACCAGTTTCGCGTTCGTCGACGCCGAACATCGCCAGGCCATGCTTTTTGGTTCATATGGATCTTGTGAACGAGCGATAGATCAACGAGGGAGATTGTAGATCTCTTGGTATCACGTGACTTCGGATAAACTGATTACGCGAGACAGGCGGAAGTATTCCAGCAGAGCAGAATGAGGTAGGAAAGGAGATGAAGTAGGAGATCAGAAGAATGAATACATAGAGAAGAGGAGACAAAAAGAGGAGTTTGAGAAGAGAAGAAGTGCAGGTGCTGCTGAGCTCTGAGCGAGCGGTGTGAATAGTGATTTATGACGGGCCGTGCATACGCTGCTGTTGTCGAGTCGACTCTTCTGCAGCTGTCCCCGGGCTTCTTTTGAAGTTCTCTCTAGTGTGTATTTTGTGTATATTGTATGTATTGTGTATACAGTATCTAAATATACTGTAAACAAACAACAGATCTGGAAGAGCAGAGAACAGGAGCATAGTACTACTACTCTCTTCGGACCAGCCACGCCGCCGCCTCCTCCGCCACCACCGCGATCGACCCTGTCGGCCCGGGCTGCCGACGTATCATAAAATGTCCTCGAGAAGCAGAGAATAAGAACAGAAGAACACTTCTCGCAGCAGCAGTTCACGAGCCTCTGCCGAGACACACGGCGGCGTAGGGGCTCTGTTTCCTGAGATCCGCGGACCGGATTTAGGTTTAGTTTGCCTGGCGTCGGTACTTGAGCCCTGTCGAGCAGCGCAGGTGGTGGTGATAGCCGGTTCGGGGAGTTGTCTGTAGATTTATAGAAGAGATAGAAGTACTATTCAATAAACAGACGTAGACACGAAATAATAGTAGACAAAAACAGGGCAGCTGGACCAGAGACAGAGAGCGAGGATTTGGTTCCGAGGACACTGGCGCGGCGCTCGGAGCTCTATTATCATAGTCCTCTCTTCCTCTTCCTTTCCTCTATCCACCTTCTCTTCCTTCCTCTTCCTCCTCTTCTACTTCCCGCGCTCACTACTCCTCTTCTCTCTGTCTCTGCTGTTCTCTCTACTTCACTACCACTCACCATGTACCCTGCCTTCTCCTACTCCACCACCATCGACCCCCGGTCACGACCCCTTCACCCTCCCCCGCTCCCACAACAGCACCCTCTCCCTCCCGCCCCACCACCACCACCACTACCACAACAATACCCACAACAATACCCACCCCCCGACGACGCTCGCCAGAAGCGCGTCGCGTCCGTCATGGACTTGCGCTCGATCCTCAACGAACCCGTCGAGGACGTCTACGCCCCCCACACCAAGCGCTCGTTGACTATCAAATCCGAGCCTTTAGGCGAGACCTCGCTCGAGCGACTTATCGACCACAACAGCATGATCAAGGTATGTCTCTGTTCTATTTTTCCTTTCTTGATGTTATTGCCGCTCTGTGTCTCTCCACGGCGTCGCTTAAAGTGAAAGAGAAAGACGGAAAACAGCAACCTTAAGTCTTAATAATAGCTTACTGATGTTCTACCCCCCTCCAGAACCTCCGCCACGACCTACAAGAAACAAACGAGCGCCTTTCAAAGATCGACAAGGAACTCAGCACGTTCAAAGAAACCCACTGCGACCTGCTCGAGCGGTTCGAAAACTACGGCGACGCCATAGGCGCCGAGATCAAGACGCTGCGCGCGGCAGAGGTGGTCGCGAACCAGACCGAGAAGCGCGCGACGCGGGGCGAGAACGAGGAAAAGAGGTTGCTAGAGCAGTTCAGCAAGCTCACGATCCGCCAGGACGCAGCTGCGAAAACGCTGGCGGATCAGGCGAACGGCAACGATCAGGCGATTTCGGCAGACATCAGCAGCCTGAGCGTGCTGCAGGACACGCTGCAGACCGAGGTCGCCGAGCTGCAGGTCAAAGTCAAGAAAAACTCCGACGAGGCCGACCAGGTCCGGGTCGACTACCAGCGGGAGTCGTCGCGCGCGGCCGAGCTCTGCCGCGAGGTCGAGGACGCAAAGGAGCTTGGTGCGGAGCTTGCGCGCAAGGCGTCGGGCGAGGCGATGCGGCTGCGGGCGGAGCAGCGCGATATGGACCTGCAGGCGCGCGACAGCGTGATTGACGAGCTCAGTATCCAGATTAGCAATCTTGAGGATACGCTGCGCCGGCTCGAGCTCGATCAGCAGCAGCGGATAGCAAAGTACAGCGCGTCGAGGCCTGCGAACGGATACTCTTCGCGACGGACGCGGTCGCCTGCTGTGTCTACGCTTTCGCGAGGATGCTCGCCGGGTACGTTCAATAGCCAGCAGTCGAACAGTAACAACAACAGCAGCAGCACCAGCAGCGGACATCCCTTGCAGCAGTCGCAGATTGTCTAGAGAGCGGCTTTTTTCTATATACATATCATATCATAAGTTTTTTTTTTTTTTGGTTTTGGTCGCTGGCGTAGGCTGGGTGAAAAGACGGGAACCGGCGTTTGTTTTAATGTTTAGTTATTTGTACAGGTTTGACAGAGATGCGTGCAAGAGCCGGAGGAAGAGAGAAAGTTTGTGCGATGGATTGTATATTCGTCTTTATTACCTATTTTTTTGGCGGAAGAGAAGGAAAGGAGAAGGAAAAGGGGAGAGAGGATGGTGATGAAGTTTGATTTTGCGAATGTGTTTATAAGAATTGTATATTGCCATAGTGATCTATTCTACTATAACTTAATCAATCTACTACAACTGTTGACGAGATTAGAGGAAACAGCAAAATGCGCAGACTTATTGACGTCATGCAGTCTTCTAACTTCTAACTCACTAGACTTGCTCAATTTTGACAGACAGTTGAGGTTTTAGTCAAACGAATGTAAAAGAAGACGGGGTCGAGAAGAAAGTAGTCGAGAAGAGAGCGGTGGAGATCTGCTATCGATCTCGAAGTCGTTCGGTGCAGGAACAACCACTTCTTCTGTTCACTTCACTGCCAGTTACTTCTACTACAACCAGCAACTACGAGAATCAACTATATACAAATTCTATATATCATCAACACCAGATCTAATACCGATAACCAACCTCCTTCAAATCTGGTACCTGACGTCATCGTATCTAATCATCACGTGCCAACCCGAACAAGTGCATTGATGCAGCCCTTCCCGGACCGCCAGCGGTGCCAGTTGCAGAGGCACAATTGGATAAACAAGAACCAGACAAGAATGTCTTTGTAAAGCTGACGCAGATTGAGTCATAAAGCGAACAACGACGGCGGTGCAGCAAAATACTCACAGCAACCCGCCAAGCAGCCTCGCTTCGGCCGCCGGAGACTCATCGAGCCCGGCCAGGCCGCTGCCTCTCCTTCTTCCTGGTGCTTACATGCAGACTATTAAACAGTGAATATAAAAAGCACAAAAGAACTGCAACCTGCAACCTGCAATCCGCACCGGACCAGACGGCAGAGGCAGCGGACACAGACCGGGGAGCAATGACGTAATGCCAGCTACACGCACGTGAGGCGAGCGTGAGGCGGGTGCGGCGATGACGCAGTTTTTCGGTTCCCGCTCTGCTCTGCGCTGCTCTGCTTCCCTCCCTCGAACCACATCTCCTCGAGCCCGAGTCCTGCGAAGCCGTTGCTGCGTTCTTATACCTTCTTCCTCTTCTGCCTGTGGATATCCATGGCACTGCCTCGTCCGTCCGCTTCTGCCTCGTCCACCCCGTCCACGTCCTCACGATCGCTTTCTCGCTGATCCGCACAATCCTCTGATAGCCCAGCCAATGCCGGTCATTGACCTCGAGTACTCTACCGCCTCCGACACCGGTAGCTCCTCGCCCGTGCCTTCTCCGTCATTACCGTCCCCGCCGCCTCCGTCTGCTGACTCAAAAATCACCGCCCACCCCCCTCCTCCTCCTCCTGCTGAATCCTCGCTCGCATCCTCACCCACTCCTTCCTCTCCTCCCGCTCGCTCTGCAGATTCCTCTATATCAGCATACACGCACGCCCCTTCGTCCTCCACCATGACAACAGCATCCATATCCTCCTCCCACGAGGTCGACGCCGCGACCTCGGTCGACGATCTCACGTACATGGTAGCGGCCATGAACCCCATGTCTGACGACGCAGACGCAGACCGCGCGCTGAACGGCGCAGTCGACAGCGACGATCACCCTGCTGATGACCCTGGTCTGAGTACCGAGCCTTTCTGCGACGACGGCGAGGTGGATGATACCGTTCGTGCGCGAATCGAATACGCAAAGTACGTTGACCTCTATTTTCTCTCTTTGATCTGTTGAATAATACTGACTCAAGGTTCTCTCTAGGATAATATCGCAGTACACAAAACGACAGCTTGATTTCTCGCTTCAGAGATCGCGGCAGCGCTCAGGCGACTCGCTAGCAGTCGATGACAGCCGCGGCCGCTCGCGCTCATGATTCCCTCACAGTCTATTATCGTCCACTTTGTATTTCCTCACCCTTTCCACGGAGAGTGCGTATAATTCCTGTACACTATTCCATCAGGACAGTACATCATCTGGACCTACGTCATCCTTGCCGAGTGCCAGCTCAGTCAAGTTTATTTGCAGCACCAATAGCCATCTGGCATGGCTTCAGTCTGGTTTTTGACTCCATGGTACTCTTTTCTCCTTGTTCTCCACGTTTTGTACCGATTTTGTTTGACAGAGGCGTATGGGAGCCGGCGATAAATGTTTTGTTTTTAAAGTTCTGTTTTCTCATTGGCTTGTTGACTTGTTAATACACATTAAATCTTCCATGTAAAAATAACAGCGAGAGTAGACTGGCAGCACGTAGTGTAAATTAGATGCACGTCCAGATCAAGACCACTCCACTCCACTCAGCCAGCACCTGCACCCCCCTGCACCTCACCTCGTGTTCATCACCCTCTCATTCAATTGCTCAGTTCAACCCACCACTTTCCAGACCGCGCCGGAAATTAGAAATCACGAGAGCCCACGCGAGGTCAGACTCTGAGTCCGTGCGGCGGTGGGCCTGATCGCTCACGAACCCCAGACCTCCGTCCTATGAAGAGCACCACGTGCGGTGTTTTCACCACCTCGCTGCGTCTGTGCTCTGGCGGGCCGCGACGCTGCCGCCGACGGACTCGAGGCCTTATTTATCCGGATTAAGTGTACTTTATCTGATTCTGCTTTTGTTGGCCAATCGCGACTGCTAAATGCCTGATGTGGTCCGAGATATCGGGGTCGGTACGCTGAGCTCTGGCTGTCAGGCGTTCGAGGCGCCCGTCGAGATTGCTGGTCTATAAGAGGACTGTTGTCCGGCGAGAGACCAGCCTGATTCAATTGCTCTCCTCTCCAATCGCTCTTCTCTCCTCATCAACTCGATTGCTCATTCTCCATCAGCTAATCGCAATGGCCCTCTCGCACTTCTCGACACTCCTGGCGTGCGCGGCCGCCGTCTCGGCGTACACCTTCGACGGCATCACACACTACGCGCCCGTCAACAACTCATTCAACGACCTCGATGCCGCCTTCTCGTCCTCGTCCGGCACCAACGGCGGATACTACAACTCGTCGACCGTCGCCGACGTCGACTACGGCGCCTACAACTACTGCAACATGCCGCACGTCCGCGCGCGCGAGTACAAAGTTCCCACCGGCTACTCGCTCGAGTACCTCGAGGTCATCCACCGGCACCACAAGCGCACGCCGTACGCGTCCAACCTGTTTCCGAAGGAGGACATCCCGCTGTCGTGCGACAACACCAAGATGTTTTTCTACGCCGCGACCAAGAACGGCGTCGAGAGCACGTCGATCTGGTGGAAGGACTACGTCGACGAGGATAACCCGATGATGTTTGTCGACAACGGCTTCAACTCGACCTGCCAGTTCCCGCAGATCTCGTACGGCGGCCTGACGGACTCGGCCCAGCACGGGCGGGATATCTGGTCTGTCTACGGCGACAAGCTCAAGTTCTTGCCGACCGAGTTCGATCCCACGACCATGAGCGTCCGCGTCACAAACAACGAGATCACGTCGCAGGTCGCGGCGGCGCTCATCAAGGGCCTGTACCCGGATTCGTCGGATTTCGCCGTGTACCAGCAGGTCGCGTCGCAGGACTCGCTCGAGCCGGGATACTCGTGTTCGTGGGCTGACGACGTGCGCTCGGCGTACCAGGATACTGATGCTTGGTACAAGCACATCAACATGTCGCAGGACTTGTTTGATGAGCTTGATGCGATCTCTGGTGTTGATTCTACTGATGACGACTGGCACTCGTATGTTCTAAATTGTTTTGTTCATCGGGTTTTAGTGACCGTACTAACGCATCTACAGGTGGTTCGATCACTACTTTGACAACCTCTCTTCCCGCACCTGCCACCAGCTGCCGCTCCCCTGCAACGTAACCAACTCGTCTCAGTGCGTAACGCAGGAGATGGCAGAGCAAGTCTTCCGCCTCGGCGACTACGAGTACAACTACATCTTCCGCCAAGCCGCTAACTCGACCGTCTACGGCGCAACCCACTACGGCGCCTTCATCGCCGAGCTCGTCGCCCACCTCAAGGGCAAGCTCGACGGCACCCGCTCGTCAATCTACCGCCACAACGTCGCGCACGACGGCTCGCTTTCCTCGCTGCTCGCCGCGCTGCAGATCGACTTCCTCCGCTGGCCGGGTATGGGCTCCGAGGTTGTCTTTGAGCTGTGGCGGAAGGATAACTCGAGCCAGAACTACATCCGCGTGCTGTACGGCGGCCAGCCGTTGTCGACGCAGACGCCGATGGGCGTCTTGGATATGGTCGAGGTCGAGACGTTCATCGCGTACCTCGAGGATCTGGTCGGCGTCAACGGCGAGAAGGTGTACAAGTACTGCACCATGTAGTCAACCTGCTTAGAACCCTCTTCTCTATCATAATGAACAAAGTAGAATACAATGACATCTGATAACTCCGCAGGCTAAGAAATTAGCGAGAAATCTAAACCGATGCACTGACCCTGCGCTGCTCCACACAAAGGTCGACTCACTTTTAGGTCACATAAAGTCACATCAAGTCACAGGATCCCGTTAATGGAATCATCCAAGGAATCTCGATTTATCTGCCGCTCTCTCCACATTCTGCTGATTGCACGCTGCATTTCGACCTCGGTTTTGGTTGTATTTCTTTTGGTTTCTGTACTTCTTGCATAGAAAAGCGTTATAATCGCTTCTTTTTTTGGTTGAATTGAGATACAGATGGCATCGGACGCAAGTGGCCCCAGCGGACGCGCCGATCCAGATCCTCTGTCCTCCTCCATCGACACGCACAACAAAGCCCACCCCGCGCGCACGAGCAGCGATGAGGAGTACGACTCCGGTGTATCGACGCCGCTGATTCAGGATTTCAACAGCTCGCGACAGTTGGCGGACAGCAATGTGGGCGCGGAGATGCTGCGCGCGCGGTCGAACGAGAGCGAGAGCGCGAGCGAGAGACTTGCGGAGCAGATGTTTCGGATGCCGACGAGGTCGATGGGGTATATCTTTTTGCTCACGCTTGCGATCGGTGGGTTGCAGATTAGTTGGTCGACCGAGTTTTCCAATGGAACAGTGAGTCAGGTCTATTCTTGTGATTTTCTGAGGTGCGAAGCTGACGATTTATATGTAGCCGTTCCTACTCTCGCTCGGAATGTCAAAGACGCTGATGAGTCTAGTCTGGATCGCTGGTCCGCTCTCTGGTGTACTTGTGCAGCCGATCGTGGGCATGCTAAGTGACTCGAGCAAGTCGCGGTTCGGCAAGCGCAGACCGTTCATGGTCGGCGGAACCTGCTTTACGATTCTCAGCTTGTTTCTGCTCAGCTGGTCGATCGACATTGTGCGCGTGCTGTTTGGATGGTTTGTCGATAACTTGACGGTCGTCACGCAGACTTTTGCGGTGTTGATGGTTTATATGCTTGACTTTTCTATCGGGACTGGTAAGTGCTGATTGCAGTGTGGGTTGTTTTGACGGCCTGGCTAATTTTGTGTGTAGTCCAAGCAAGTTCGCGAGCAATCATTGTCGACAACGCGCCGATCCATCAGCAGCAGACGGCAAACGCATTTGCAGCCGTTCTCACCGGTGCCGGCAACATTGTCGGCTTCATCCTCGGCGTGATCGATCTGCCAAAAGTGTTCCCGTTCCTGGGAAACACGCAATTCCGAGTCCTCGCTTTCTTTGCCAGTCTCGCGCTCATCATCTCCGTCGGGCTGGCGTGTCTTTACATTCACGAGCGGAATCCGAATCTGGAGGGCAGCGGTGCGGTGATGGTGGAGCAGGAGACGCATCCGTACTCGATCCCGGAGTTTTACTCTAAAGTGAAGCGCGGCGTGACGCGTCTGAGCCCCCAGGTCCGACTGATTTGCGACACCGAGTTCTTTGCCTGGATCGGATATTTCCCGATGCTGTTCTATACCACCACGTACGTTGGCGAGATGTACTACCGCGAGCAGATGGATATCCGCGAGGCGAACTCGCTGCCGCCGTTGTCGGACGACGAGATCGATAAGCTATGGGAAGCAGCCACGCGCTACGCCAGCCGCGCGCTACTTCTGTACTCGATAATGTCGCTGACCGCGAACCTCGTGCTTCCGCTCATCGTCGCGCCGTCATACTCTGATCCCAATGACGCAGCAGCCAAGACGGCTACGTCGGCCTCGTCGCGGCTGCGAATCAAGTGGCTGACGCTGCCGCGCTCGTGGATGCTCTCACATCTCGTATTTGCCGCCGCGATGTTTTCCACGTTCTTCATCCACACGGGCGCGCAGGCGTCGGTGATGATCACGCTGCTGGGGATTCCGTGGGCGCACGCGCTGTGGGCGCCGTTTGCGCTGATCGCGGAGGACGTGGCGCGGGTGAAGGCGAAGCTGAGGCATCCGTCGATGATTTACAAGTACGAGCACGAGGCGGGTATTATCATGGGTGTGCACAACGTGTTTGTGTCGTTGCCGCAGGTGCTGAGTTCGCTGGGGTCGAGCATTCTGTTCAAGTTACTGGCCAAGCCGGGACGGGGCGACGCGGGGGATAACAGCATAGTCTGGATCTTTAGACTGAGTGGGTTCGGCGCGTTGGTTGCGGCGTATCTGAGCACGAAGATTAAGACGCCGGATCAAATCAAGCTCGAGGATATCTTTGACGAGCAGGAGGAGGAGGAGGAGGAGGGTGGTGAGGAGAACGAGGATGTGGAAGCGGGGCGGAATGTGTGAGTAGGAAAGGGGGTTGATTTTGATAGTTTATTTTGGTTGGGTGTTTTTGGAGTATGTAAGGAGATTGTAATGGCGGCGTGTTTGAGGAAGGCAGGTAGATGACAAGAAATATACAGGAAGATGTCACATTGAGTAGTGCTGTGAGATAACACCACAGTTCTGCAGTCGATGAATGCTCTCTCGATAGACACGCATCTCCCTTTCTAGACTACTGATGGTAAACAAACAGTAGATATATACCAATCGAAAGCAACTAGCAAACACAAAGTCGTGAAAAAGTCAGAAACAAGCGTGACATATCGACCACGCATGTGACAGTCAGATTGAATAGCATTACCACAAGCCCGCGCGCACGCACACGCATACGCAGCACAGGCGCGCATAGACCGAGAAGCAATCTGTCGCTAGGAAAGCGAGGAGAAGAAAGAGACGTGCTAGAAAATGAAAAAATCACGGCTGGGTATGAATCTTGCGATGCAGCGAAAAAGGGGTAGGCAGTGTTGTTTCCTGCATTGCGAGCGCGGCAGGGTTCGCTTCCGGTATCTGATTATATCTCTTTCTCGTCTGTGGTAGTGTTGTGAATTCGAGGGCGAAAAGGAGGAGATGGGAGGATGGTGAGGACGAGAGGGGTTGTTGCGTGCGAAACGGAGTCTGACGAGCGGAGACCAGGAAGAGATGGTGGTTTTGCCTGATTAGGCTGGCTGCGATGGAGGGAGGGAGAAAGACCAGCAGAGCAGAGGTGTACTCGCATAGTTAATACATGGACGTGCATGCATGCACACATGCACCCGCGTGCATGAGAGAGTGCGTGCGTGCGTGTGTGCTTTAGGTACGTGTCGCGGCTGCGCAAGTCGTTGGATATACAGCGCAGCACATGCAAGCGAGACAGTTTAGTAATAATAGCGAGCAGGGCAGATAAAGATAAACAGAGAGAGGAAGAGAGGGTGGTGACAGTGGGGAAGAATGATGGGGTTTTTTGAGTGCGCGTTTGGAGAGAGATGATGATTGATTGATTGATGGACTGTTTTCTACTTTGTCAAGAATAAAAGACATATTCTTCAGTCTACAGATAGACAGCTTTCAGACTTGTCTTCTATCGATATCGACTTCTGTGCTAGTGTAGCGTCTTTTGTCTCGTCTCGGCACTTCAGACCGTTTGTTTATCAACTGCTGTCTTTTTTCGCTCGCAATCGCGAGATTAGCGAAATAAATAAAGATAGATAGAGTGAGCAGGCAGACCAAACGCGGCAATAAAGATAGAAAGAAAAAAGAAAAGTGAATGAACGGCCAGCCAGTCAGACAGACAGATAAATAGACAAAGCATAGACAGGATAGGAGACTTCGAGAGAGAGATGCAGACACAATTTGTGACTTACTTCCTGCCCATAGCTTTCCCTCTTTCCTTTTCAGTTCTGTCTCTTATCTTGCAGCAGGCAAAAAGAGCAGACTCGACAGAATAGGCAGGTGATAAGATGAGTGTGAGTGTAAAAAGATGTGCTCGCAGCACGCTCCACAGGTTTGCATCGCGCGCAGGTCTCGCGGCTTGCTTTTCGCATGGGTCTGGCGCGCGTGCATTTTGGTGTCCAAGTGAGTTTTGCAGAGAGGTGGAGTGGACGGTTGACTACTACAAAGCGAGAGAGGATGGGCTATGTATCAGAGGAGGTATAGGAAAGTTGATGCTCGCTTCCCCCTTTCTGTCAAACGATGACGAAATAAACAGAGACAAACGAGATCCAGTAGACAGATTAACTGGTAGCCAATGGAGAAAGCCCGCGAGTAGCGAGAGATTGGCAAAAAAAGCCTCCCGCTCGCTCGCGCGTGCTTTTCGTCTGACTTTTCCGGTACCGGTGTTTGCGAGATGCAGCACCCAGCACCACCTTCAGCACCTCCGCCAGCACCACCACAATCAGCGGCTGCGACGGCAGCAGGAGTAAAGTCATTGCGAGCTGTGTTTGCAAGGACGGATGTACGGCTCTTGTCGCTTGGAAAATGCGCAGAGCAGAGTCGTCATCTCTTGATATGCAGCACACCCGTGCTTGCTTGCTTGCCTGCCGTCTTGCTTTGCTTGACCGAGCGGCGCGCGATAGCGAGAGGAGGAAGTAGAGTTTAGCGATGACGAAAAGAAAATTCCGAGTTTGAGTGACTTGAGAGTTGCGAGCAAGTCTATATGCCGTGGACTGTGTCGAGTCGCTGCATCGCTAGCGTAGAACCCGCGCGCAGCAGCAGCAGCAGCAGCAGCAGCAGCGGCGGCGGCGGCGGCGGCGGCGGCAGGCGTGGGCGCGGGCGCGAGTGCACAGTGCGTCGTCAAGTGCGCGACGTGAGCTCGTTCAGCTAATTGTGTGTTTGGCGGGTATTAAAAGAGACTGTCAGACGTGTGGTGACGCTGCTGCTGCTGCTGCTGCTGCTGCTGCTGCCGTCGTCGAGGTCGATGGTGTGTGGTATCAGCCATCATCTCCAACATCTGTAATGTGACTGTCTCCTGTCGACTCGACGCTAATTGTTATCTCATGTCAAGTTTTCCCATTACTTTTTCTTTCTTTGCTCTTTCCTTTTTTCCCGTTTTTATTTTCTTTTTGCTTTTTTGCTTTGTGTTTTTTTCATATGTGACTTTTGGACCCGGACGTGTCTGAGATTATTTTCAGATATCATATCTATTTCCTTCGCTTCCGTAATTCCCTCCTTCTAATCTCCCAGTTTCTTTCTCTTCAGTTGAGTCTTTACTACCTCAGCAAACAGGCAAAACCACGACCGCGCCCAGATACAACACAAGATGATATTCCACATAGACAAGGAGAATCCCGAGAACTCCTACCCTGCCGCACCTCGCGCACTTAACGTCAGCACCGAGCGAGGTCAGAGTGCGCGAAACAAAGTTTAACGAGAACTCGTTACCTAAAGTTTAGTTAAGATCCCTCGTCAGCCTCGCCGCTACCGTCTATCGTCGCAGGAGCTTGGATGTTCTTTTAGGAAAGATAGTGAATGCAGGATGTTCTGACTAGTCTGCAAACATCTAGATTGCAGCGCGCTTGACTGTTCCGGGCTATCTGGATGAGCAGTCTGCACCACAGCCTGAGAGATAAAAGAAACGACAACCCGAGGCAGCGCGAAGCTCGGACCGCTCGTGAAAGTCGAGTTTGTTTGACACAGACACCGGGTTCAGGTTGCAGAGCCGGGCTGCACAGCTGCTACTGATTTCTTCCTGCAGAAGGTAGCGAGAAGCAGGCAGCAGCAGACGAGACAGCAGCAGGCAGCACTGTCGCTTACAAACTAGATGTAAATTGCTGCTCGAGGTACTGAACGCAGGACTTCGTTTATCTCGAGTTCATCGGCAGACGAGAGCAGACAACCGCTTTTTCCGACGCTATCCGGGCAGACAGGAAGAGAAATCGCTGATGACGACAGCATTTCTTTCCCTCCGCCCCCTGCGCTATTATTCCAGCTCTAGCGCGGGTTTCTTTTTCATTCTCTCTTGTCTCCACCCATCGCCTCCGGACCCACGGATAGAAGAACTACAAAAGAAAAGAGGAAGAGAAAAAGAAAAAGAAAAAGAAAAAGGCCGTAATTTTAACCTTTATAGGAAAGCCGAACTGTATTTGGGTTACTGGGCGCGGCCCTCGGCCTGCCCTTGGTCTGCAGCGCAGAGCCTCGTCGCTGGCTCGTTCGCTTAATAGGCGCAGGGGATATATATAGCACCACATCGTTCGGGTGATGTCTGGCTTGGTGCGGTGGTAAAAAAGGCGAGTGCGCACGCGGGGAGAGCCGGGAAGGGGAGGTGGGGTGAGGAGGATGCAGGAGGAGAGGACGCGCGTGAAGGCGTCGTCTCGTGCGTTCGAATTTCACTCACATCAAGGACGTAAGGCAATCCGACGAGGAAACAGAAAGAGAAAAAAGGAAAAATGAAAAAGAAAAAGAAAAAGGAAAAGAAAAAGGAAAAGGAAAAAGAAGGAGGAAGAACAGGAAAAGAAGCAGCGGACGGACGGGTGCTGGCGGAAAAGAAGGGCTCGAGATAGGATGGTTTGGTTCGAGGGGCCGCGCGACCTGTACGTGCAAAAGGTCAGCCAGCCAAAAGCCTGTTTCGGGATCCGTGCCATCATCTTTTGTCGTACTTGAGATCAAAGGCACTGTCTCTGTCTCACTTTATTTTGCATTCTTTGATCGAGGCATTTGTTGCTGTAGCAAAGAGATGTTATTCGATTACAACCACGGTGGTAATCAGATCTCTTAAGAGTTACTTTTGCTGCTTGTCGACTCTGCCCTTTCTGTAATTCGGCTACTTTACTGGAAGGGGCAATACGCCAAACCCAAATCTTTTCCTTAAATGTTTTCTTTCGTGGATTCGTAGATCGCCGACCTTTCTTCTACTTTCTTTCGGACCACTGTAAAGAGGTTTGATTCTGTTGGGTGCATCACGGTAAGGAAACAATTACGATCTGAAGTGTTGTGGTTGGCGGAGACGGTAGTGTTGATACATCTGCTCTGCGAACAAACCAGCAGAGCTATTCGCAAAACCGTGAGTTTCATTCCTTTCTTCCCTAATATATCCAAGTACCCAGATCAAGTGAAGTCAAAGCAATCTCCTTTCTGCGCATAGTATGAACTTGATATATGACACAGGATAATTAGGACGGATCACAGCAGCCGTTCACGCTGCCAGCGGGCAAAAGTGCGAATTCTCAGATCCTCTGCGCCTCGCCATATCCTCAGCTTCTTTGACTGCCATCGCCTTCATATATTAATATACGTCACATAGGTATATATACATATAAGCACTTATTCCGATATTTTCTACCGTCTTTTTAATTTACGCAATACAAGTACTGTCAAGTGAGCTGGAGCAGTGAAGAGGGCGGGGATGGTGAGCAGGGTACCGAGCGTGTGACCGAGACCTTTTAATATGTTGCCTACGTCAGCTAGTTTAATATCTACCGACTATCCTCAAGAATCCTGCGCTGTCTAAATATTCAAGCATATGATATAGATTGCTTTCAGGTAGGCCGGCATCAGTGTCGGAGAGCTGATCTGCTCAGGATGCAAATTTACGACTGTATGGGGGAACAGTCGAGTATTCAGTCTACCCGGTTTCCTATCCCGTTCACTGATTTATTTCACTTCTCTTGTCTTTTGTCTTGACAATCATCTAGAAGATCAGACGAGCGATACAGGATCGGAAAGTCATTCGAGATACAGGCGAATTGCGACGATCGCCAGCTCTGCTCGCCTGGTAGGCCAATGTCTATGGCGCTCAAAGCACCCCGTTCAGAGAGAGTCCGATTATGTTGTATTTGATTACAAAAAGATTATTTGTGCAGCTATAACACAAGTCATCTGAGTTGGTAAGAATTCATCTACTCGTCTAGATCGAATGTGTGAGCTTCTACCACCGCCGCCGCCGCCATCCCCGCGACTATTAGCAACTGCAACGGCCGTTTCGGAAAGCAAAAACCAGCGACAGGGATTTCTTGCAAGTTGCTTTTTATCCCTAATTAAGTAAATAAAAACCAGACCATTCGACTCTTCCCTGTCGGCGTTCCTTTTCTAGCTGTCTCAGTCGTGGCAGGATAGAGTAGGCAATTCCTAAACTGAATTAGACAAAGCAGCGGGACAACGGTCGACTAACTGACTGATCAGCAGCTAGGGCTCCGTGCTAATAAACATAACGGGACAATCACATGGACGTCAGCTAGCTTCAATTGAGAACCAGAGCTGAGGAGAGGGAGAGGGGGTGTGAAAAGGAACAAAATAGCACTATAGCTAGCAGTCATCTTTACTTTCATCTTGCTGAAGGTTTTTCCTTTGCACGCAGGCAGACCCGAGGGTGCGCTTTAGAGTTAAGGTTTAAAGCTGTCTGTTTTTCTGTTTTCTTTTTTGTTTTTTTGCCTCTGGTAAAATGCGAGCAAAAATCGCCGATTTCCCACTAAAGCAGCTCTGAGAAGGAGAGTTTGCTTCTTGGCTCACACTCTCGCTGCCTTACTTTCCTTCCGCCCTTCTCCACTAGCATAATCTAAAAAGCCCTCTCGGTCCTATCCGAGTGCAATGTGGCGGCGATTGCGGTCGACATGAACTGCAGTCTGGCGGCGGGTGGACGATAAGGTGTGACAGGACAACAGATGGGAAGTAGGGAAGCCGACTAAGCAATAGTACGCGTGTCTGTGTGACGACTGTGCTACCGCAGAGCAGACGATGAGTGGCCGTTGCCGTGGCTGTGGGAGCTCTGCAGAAACGAGCAGCAGCATTAGCAGCAACAACAACAACAGCAGCAGCAACGGTGGGGACGGCAGAGTGGGCTGGCAGTAGCAACGGATATCTACAGGTAGATGTGGGAGCGAAAGAACGCACGAGCGTATGGAAGTAAGACTAGCAGACCTCGCCCTCGCTCTGACGGTCGGGTTAATTTCCACGCGGTTCGCTGTTCTCGAAAACTGCGCGAGATTGGTATTAGATATAGCAGCAGCACCTGGAGCGGTGGGGCCAAGTGGCCTCAGGCTCTGCTCTCGCTCCAGCGCCGTCGGTTGCGTTGTCCTCCAACTTTAGATAGCTGCACGCACAAGCGGATGAGGGTCCACAGCCGCGTAGCGGTCTTATGCCTATGGGCTAGCTGCAGCCATGCAAAAAGGAGCAGGCGACGTCGAGCACCCAAAGAGTCGTCGTGTGTTGTCTAATTTAGTGGCAGATCTGCTCGCGGGCGGGTTTTATTTGGGTACGCGCCAGGTGTGGATAGCGCGTATACAAACGCACTGCAAAAGTGTAAACAAAAACAACGCAGATAGAGTGCTACACAAAAGTTTAATCAAAGTTCCAAACTAGCCGCGTGTTGACACCGACCTTTTACGCTCCAGGACATGCGATCTCAGTTTGATCGTGTCTGCTTCGTCAGTCCCGGCTTATGAAAAGGGAAATAAAAAGGCCCAGCAGATGCGCATAGCGGCAGGACCCCCCGGGCAAGTGACAGTTCCCTGTAAACATTCTTCATGGTCGAGGGGGGCCACATCGTACTGCTCGTTCTCGATTTCCATATTACGTCCCTCCTCGGCTCCAGTCGTCCTCGGTGATTTCTCCAGATTGCGCTCCTGACCTGTCGCCGCGCTGTTGGTTTCGCTGCTCTGTTTGCCGGCACTCTCTCTGGCTTTTCTCTTTCTCATTCTAGAGTCCATTCCGCCCGCGTGTTTCAGGAGGTCTGCGTGTCTTTGTCTTTCCTGCGATGTCGTCGGGAGGAAGGGCGCTGCGAGGGAAAGGGATATCCAGAAAAGTAGTTTTTATGTCTCTCTTGCCGACGGTAGTGTCGCATTTGATTTAATTCTAATTCTGTTAGTCTCTGTCGACCCGATATCGTCGCTCTTGTTCGCGGTGCCCTCCACCACCTTTTCCCATACCATTCTCCCATCATCGTTCTCTCTCTGTTGCATCTCTTCTCTTCTTCCTCTCTCTCTCTCTTTTAACTTCATATATTGACTTTATTACTCTCGTATACTTTTTTCCTCGTTCCCTTCGATCCTCTCTTTTATCTGCATTTCGGTCGCTTGCACGTTTCTTCTTGTCACTTTAGCTTCCAAGATTTAGCTCCAGCAACTTAAGCTCGCTTCGTTCTCTCCATACTACCTACCACTACCAACTACTAGCCCACTCAATTAAATTCCACCTTCCTCGGCATCTGTCTGGTCTCGCGGGCTTCTCAATAACACCTCCGTCGGGCCGCTCTCCTCTTCCTCTTCTTCTCTTTCTCCACATCTACATCTGCATATATCTTTCTCCACATTATTCGCTTCCACCCGCTCGACAGTGGAACGTTCGTCGCCCGCGCAGTCACGACCCGGCAGAGTCTGCTCATATCTCAGCAGCAAGCGACGCCTCGGATAGCATCCAGTGTACGTCCCTCCGATTCTTTCTTTGTTTTCATTCGCTCTCCTTTTCCAGCTCCGGCTTGTTTTGCAATTGCTGCCTCTGTGATCTTCAGACGAGACATATATCCGTTCTCTTGTTCTCTTTATTTCTCGCACATCGTCACATCCACGCTAACTTATCGTTCCGTCTTATCCTAGATCAAACCACAACACGGTCTCGATATCTATCTGCACAAGTCCGATTTCCACGAATCTCGATCCTCTCTTCATCAACCTGTCATCTACCGCACCATCTCCAATCATCTCACGCTACTGATCTGAGCACCAGCAGCTTCGAGCGCACCGCAGACTTCCAGTTCAAAGTTCAATAACAACAACTCTGCTCAAAGAGTTCGATTCTCCTCTCCTCGGCTCTCATTATCCATCAACTTGCTGTGATTTTCTTTTCGCGGATGGGGAATAGCAATCTGCACCTGCCATAGAGTTCTATTTTCCTTTTTCCCGTTGTTGGCGTTCTGTCTTCTTTCGCAATTAGTTCTGCATCTATCGCTTCCATTCTGTGATCTTTGTCCTTGTCGACCCTACACTCTCTCTCTACGCCAGTTGCCCGCACGTTGCTATCGGATCAGGACTGCGAACGAGATCTCAGGTCTATGAATATTGATCAGATTCTCAATGAGTCTAACCGACAAGGCAATGCCAAACTACTCCCATCTCATCTCCCCTCTGACGACGATCCCCCGAAATCGCTGCCGCAGCCACAGCCGCAGGTTTCAGAAGATACCACCGACGCTGTGAATCGGAGATCAAGCACGGCTGCGAATGCGTCGCCGCGAGCGCAGTCAGAGGATAGCGATGGGGTGGAAGAAAGAGGTGAGAAAGAATCGTCGGCGGGTGTAGAGGCAATTGCGGGGGACAAAAGCTCGCCTGCTGTGAAGAAGGATGTGGCAGAGAGTCTGCAGTCGTCTCCGGTGGCTCCGGTGGAGGGGACAGGGTCGTCTGAACAGCGGCCGATTGCAAGTGCCTCGAGTAAGCGAAAATCCATAAGTCAGTTTCCGTCATTTCCGCATCCTCCTCCACCACCACCTTCGCTACAGAATCAGCAACCACAACAGCAACCACAACAACCACAGCATCAGCATCAGCAGCAACCACAGCATCAGCATCAGCAGCAACCACAGCATCAGCATGAACAAAATTTCCCATCACAGCCACCCATACAATACGCCCAGCAACCTCAGCCTCCGCCATTTCAGTACGCGTATCAGGGCCATCCGCAACAACCCGCCTATGCTGTTCCACAACACTACCCTCCCTACGACCAACAGTCGTACGCACATGTTTCTGGACCGGGCCAGGTTGGATACATCACACAACAGATGCCGCAGCCGGTCTCTTGGCCGGCGAGACAGGCGCAGCAACAGCAGCAGCAGCAGCCACTTTCGCAGTCGCAACCACAGGGACAGACCTGGGCACCGTCGACCGCTGAATACGCAGGGCCTCAGCCTTATGCGCTGATTGCGCAACCAGCATACGGCGCGTACGATACAGTCCGGCAGCCACCGTATATGCCGCCTGGTGTCCAGCAACAACAACAACAGCAGCAGCAATCGTCTTGGACGGTGGCTCAACCACAGGCGCAACGGCAAGTACAGCAGCCAGAGACAATATCGCAGCCACGGACGAAGGGGTACGGATATGAAAGTCAAGCAGCGGCCGGAGCAGAGGAGGAAAGCCAGGAAGATCCACGATCTGCTGGTTCTAGCTCTGGTGTGCGCCCGAAGAGGAGGAAAGCTCCGAATTCGACATGGACGATTGACGAAGATCGTCAGTTGGTATGTATTGCTTGATAATTTTCCCTAAGTTGATGTACTGACTTACGGATGCGATAGGTCGAGATGGTGCTACGGACATTGCCACGACAGGATTTTGGCGAATATGCGCAGGTTCTGAATAAGAGAGATGCGCAGACTGTGCGGTACCGGTGGAAAGTATTGGTGCGGAGAGCAAAAGGCGAGATCGAGGAGCAGTAGCGACTGCTCTTTGAGTTTGCTTTCATTTTTGACACACTTTGCATTCATGCAATCTTAAGATGACGGTCTCATTTTGATTCTAAATGACTTCTAGTTTGGTTTCTTGCGAGAGCAAAAGTGTATGTATAACAGCTAATCATCGTTCGCCCACCCTCGCTCTCTTTGTAATTACAACCTGTGGGAGTCACTTTACTTCGGCGTTGATCAAAAAGTGCGACGGTTGTTTTGCTTTGCTTTTCTTTTTTGATTTTTTTGATTATATAATGTGTAATGTTGTTTTGGACTGGCTTTGACTGGTTTTCAAAGAAAAGTCTTGCGAGACAAAAAGTGATATTGGGTTAGCTAATGGATAACTAATAGTAATAATAATTAATAATGGCATTCGAGCAGCTCGGAGAGGATTTCTAATGATTGATAACAAACTTCTGAGCGCTGAGAACAGTTGTGGTTATTCAAAGTTGGGAATTCGACACGGATACCGGATATAAAGCAATTTCCGCGGTCGGTGCTAGTCGATATGATATATATTTAAGATTTGATGAAGCTGCCGGTGTTTAGGTTTATGAAAGAGGAAGAAGGGGAAATGCGAGTCGTTTAGACTGGCGGTGTAGATAGATGTATATCGGGCGCAATATGCAATATCACGAGATGGAGCTCAATGATCTTCAGCAGATAAACAAGCAATTAAACAAGACATCGTCCCCACTCGATGCAAACGAGCGATAAAGAATGTAGTCAATCAATTCGAGTTTTTTATTACCTTCGCCACGATGTTTTCTCGGTGCAGAACCACTGTTCTGGCGTCGTCGTCGTCGGGATAAAAGCAGACAGACGCAAGGAGGAAAGTTTGGAGATGATTAGGATTTTCACGTGCAGACGGTTGTTGGACTCATTGTGATTTCGTTTTGGTTTAATTTCAGTCCAGGCTGGTTTTTGGTGGAGGAAGTTGTAGTTTGGGCATTGAGCTATGCTGTGAATCAGAACATAATAACAAAAAGGATAGAAAGGGGAAATTGAGAGAAATAGAGGGAAAAAAGGTGCCTTGCATGATTCTTGACTATGGCGTTCGAAAAAATATAGAGAAAGGGAAATAGAAAATAGAAAACAAAGAAGGTTTGCGAGCGTATATGAAAAAACGACAACTTTAACAACAATCAAAAATAAATAGACTATAGGGAAGGGGGCATAAATAGACTAAGGCTATATTTGTTGTATATTCGAGCAAACAGATAGAGAAAGGTGCAAGAAAGGGAATAATGGCTAGGCATGGCATTCAGTCTTTGGGCCCTTTCCATCGCCGCCATTCCTAAAATATCTTTGCCTTTTGCTATGTCCGGCTATATGAGTGCATGCAAGTAATGTAATAGTTAATGTAGTGCTTTAATTGGATTATAGACACCTTCCGCACCTCGCCGGACTGATTACCAAACGATTGAAAAGCATTATTCATCGCTATATCAGCCAGTGGTTGTCAGATTTCGGTCTCTCTGGATTCCGTCTTCATTTCACTGCCTGCGCCTTTCACGCCTTCATTCTCGGGAAAATTGACTGTTTGTGACGACAACTCTGCTACTGCTGCCACTTCTACAATCCCACCGCTGCTCTCCCTGCGTATACCTGCATCCTCTCCCAAAGTTCGCCGCATCGGCTCTTTGCTCTTGCCGAATGCAATCTGCAATCTACGACCTGCAATCTACGATATACGACGAGGATCACCCTCGATAAATCTCTCGAGATTGCGCGTACCCGATTCCTCCCTCTTTGGGTCCAACACACCCAAATCGAGCGCACGCAGTCCTCCTCTCTCGCTCCTGCCTGCATTCGTTTGCGCTGTTGATATCAAGCAATATGCCTTCTCTGTCGATCCTGCTTCGGAGATCCCTCGGTTCTCGCCCGCCTGTTTAATCTATTGATCGTAAACAACTTTGCGTGTCCTGCTAATTCTGGGATATTGCGTATTCCGCAGTCGCATCTCGTAGATTGTATATCGTCGTATATTGATTGCGTACTGCATCAGGCGTAGATTGTAATCTTCCCCCGCAATCATAAACCTGCGTATACTCACCAGCGCTGACGTGTTGACGAACATGTGTTTTTCCCTCTCAATCCAGGGCTGAGTAAGTCCCTTCCCTCTTCCTTCCCGCCAAAAACAGAAGGCTGGCAAATCTCGAGATCCTCCATCATCACACCAACTCGCTTCTCTTTCCCATCTCACCTCTTCCAGCTTCTCTCTTTTACTTCTTCTCCACTCGCTGTGATTCACTCGCTACAAATTCCACGTGTCTCCTAGCTCTGGCGTCTTTATTCTGCATAACATAGAACGCTGGATTCCGCGTAATTAGCCGGTCGGCGTTGACCGATGACACACTTCGTTAGAGGATCTCGATTTTCTGTCCTTACGTCTCCTTCCTTTTCCTTATTCTTTCTGCTTTATGTTTTTGTTTGTAAGCTAATGTATTCCTCGGTATCTAATAACGAATCCCAATCTGTTACCGCGACATTCTGTCGGCAACTATGAAATCCAATAACCACAATCCCCTCTCCAAGACCTTCCATACTCTAATACCCCGATCGGAACAATTAGTAGCCAACCCGCCCCAGAACTCTCTGTCTTAGACATTTCTCAACCCGTCCTACAATCCTGTAAAGGGACAACTCTGAGCGGGTCGAATCACAAACAGGGCGGTTTGGTTGACTGGATATTAAGTAAGCTGAGGTACGAGAGCCGGGGTTGGTGTCAGCGTAAGCGACGAAGAACTGGATATCGGTTTCTCAAGCATTTGTATTCCATTCGATTTCGATAGCAGTCTACGAAGCGATTAGGAGCGACCGAACGTTGATCTCAGATTGAATAATTGAAAATACTGTGATTACTTGTGGCTAGAATCGCTTATATACCTGCGATAAAAAACAGAGGCTTTCTGATAGAGCGCACACTACAATGTCCGAGATCAACGACTTCCTAGACCCAAGCAGCAGCAGCCATAGACCCGGCGACGAGGCCGTCCAACTCACAGGTTCAGACCTTGTTGATCTTCTTTCAAGTTTTGTTGCCGACGAGCATAGCGGCTTACACCCGCAAGCGCGGCACGATGAGGATAATGACGTTCAGCAGCTCTTGAAAGTGATGCAGCAGCAGAAGGATGCTGAGAGCGGCAAGGTGACTGACGTGGCTGGCGACGAGGAGGGAGACTTCGTTGATGATGACGAGAAACAGCGGGAGGCAGCGCGAGAAACGTATCCCGACTCGTTGATTGATTTCTCAGATGACGACGACGACGCATCCGACGTTTCGTACGAAAGCGACATCTTCGAACCCTTCAGAAACAGCATCGCGCAGCTCTACATGTTTTCAAAAGCAATCGACATGCGCGCCGAGCAAACGTACATGCGCGCCATCGCCCACACAAACGGATCATGGCTCAAGATTGCGTACGTGACGGTCAAAGACCAGGTTTTCTCGCCTGCGTTCCAGGGATTCGGATGGCGGATGCTTAAGTTGTTTGCCGTGCCTTGGATGGCTGGTACGGCGAGGAACGGGAAGCGTGTTGGGGGTATGTATTTATTTGGGTTTATTATTGTTTGATAATGGCTGACGGTTCGATATAGTTGCGCTGCGACAAGCTTTGAAAAATGGGCTGTCGGTTTTGATGTTTAGTCTCACGGGAAAAAGAGCATGATGCTGCCTTCTTCCTCTTAAGACTTTTGTTTTGTAAATAGGTTTTGGCGTTACATGGTGTTTCAATAGATAATGTAGATATTTATCTCTATCAGTATCTACAACCCAAACTAATGGTGACGATTCCACTCCACACACTCCTCAAACTTCACCAGCTTTCCTCCAAAGATATCCAAAGCGCTTCCGTACGTGAGATCAACTTTGCCCCCGCTCAACCGCTCGACGAGCTGCAGATCCTCGATGCTCTTGGCGCCGCCGGCGTAGGTGACTGGGATGGGCGACCATTTGCTGAGCGCGACGACGAGGTCTTGGTCGATGCCGCGGCAGAGTCCCTCGACGTCGGCGGCATGCACGAGGAATTCTGAGCAAAACTGGGATAGGAATTCCAGTGTTTCTGCAGCACATATTCGTCAGTAAGTGCACATCAACCACTTCCATAAAAAAGTAGAGAACAAACCTTTGTCAATCTTGGTCTCGGTTAAGGTCTGCCACTTATTCATAGCAACGATCCATTCCTCATTCCGTCGCCGACAGCTCAGATCGATGACCAATCTTTCCTTGCCCAGTTTCTCTGTCAGCTTCTGTAGTCTCTCCAGGTCCAGTTTTGCGTTCGGGAATAGGTATGATGTGACGATGACCTCGACATGTCGTTAGCATTTGTGCGAAATGTAGACTCTTTGTGAGGGGACTTGGTACCTTATCTGCTCCTTTATCAATCCACTCCTGTGCGTTCTCTAATGTAATTCCTCCACCAATCTGTAACCCACCTACTCTCTCCAAAACCACAAATCAGCACAACTCTCACCTCACTCCCCCCTCCAAACCAGCAAACTCACCTTCCCACGCTCCCAACGCCTCCGCCGCGGCATCATCGCAGCCGGGTCCCAATTTAATCACATGCGTGCCCCGCACATCGTTATCCTTGTACAGTTTCCCAAAATGCGACGCAGGCAGGCTCGCGACGAAATTCGTCTTGAGCTCCGCGCCCGCGGTGTCGGATTCGGAGAGCGTGCCGCCGACGATTTGCTTCACTTGGCCGGCGTGGATGTCGATGCAGCCGCGGAAGCGTGTCATTGTTCCTTTTCGTAAGTAGATTCCAAGTGCAGGTATATCACCAGAACAGAAAGAACAAACACGAGCTCTGCTCTGATATCTATAGACTATACCAACCTTCTCGAGAAAGAACAAAAGTACAACCCGATGAGATACTTTTAAATTTTCAGATCACGTGAACGCGCTACCCCTGAATTATTTTTTCTCTCTTTATTGCTCCCATCTCGACCATCTGAGCTGAAGATACTGATCTAAGCTCGATAAATCTACGCGAAAGAAGAAGGAGGAGATTCTAGGGCAATATGGGAGAAACAGCAGCGAGTGTGATGATGAAGCTGGCGGCTATGAAGGCCGCTAAGAATCAGAAAGCAGCAGCGGCGGCGAGTAAGAGCTCGGAGAGTACAATCAAAGCCGAGAAGAGCAAAAGCCAGACGAAGAAGGCGCGCGGTGATGACAGGAGCACCGACAAAACTTCGTTGAAGAAGAAACGAAAGGCAGAAGAGGAGGAGGAGGAGGAGTCTGCGGCGGATGTCATGGAGAGATTGCGGAGGATGAAGGAGATGAAGAATAAACAGTCTGCTGTGGGAGGAGGACAGAAGAAAGCGCAGGATAAGAAGAAAAGTGAGATGGTTGATGGGCTGAGGATCATTAGACCTGAAGAGGAGGACGATGATCTTAGCGAGGACGACTTTGATCTGGACGATGAGGGTCTGGATGAGGAAGAAGACGACGAAGAAGAGGAAGACGACGAAGAAGAATCATCACAAGACGAAGAAGATTCCGACAGCGACTCGAGCGAATTCAACGGCTTTGACGACGAATTCTCCAGCACCAAACCGACCTCTAAAAAGACGCATCCGACAACAGACGCGAAAGAAGATGACGAGTCGGACGACGAGCCGATTGTTATTCGCTTCGACGGCACGAAATCTGAACGGCTTGCGAAACCTACACCGAAGGAGAAGCGGAATTTCATGGTATGTCTATCTCAAATTTGACCGACCGTGAGATCATCAAAGCTAACGATAACTATAATAATACAGTCTCAGAGCGTTCCCAAATCGGACCTGCAACTCGAAAAACAGGCGCTGCTCAACAAACACAAAAACAAAAAACACAAGCAAGGCGACGACGACGCCAACGACGACGAACTCAACCTCAAGCACGACCTTGCTCTGCAGCGGCTCATCACCGAATCACACATCCTCTCAGAAGCCAACAAGCACGGCGGCCTGTCGACGATCGACGGCGGCGATCTGAGCTTCGATCCGATCGGCAAGACGAGGTTGAAGACGCTAGATGCGCGGATCGATAGCTTGGCGATTAAAAGTAGCGCGCAGCATGGCCGGCTGAAACACGATTATTACTCGCTGAATCCGCAGAGTTTGGCGGAGAAGCAGACCGAGCGGTTTAACAAGACAAAGATGCCGATGCAGATGCGGAAGGGCATGATTCAGAAACAGGGCGAGCGCAAGACAAAGTATGAAAAGGACGCGAAGGAGGCGGGTATCGTGCTTCCTGTGGCGCCCAGGACGGGAAAGAAGGCGAACGAAAAGAAGAGAGATCGCGGGTTAAAGGTCTCGAGCGTGGGGAGGTTTACGAATAGAGGTCTTGTGTTGAGTAAGAGGGATATGGCGAGTGTAGTTGGTAGGCCTAGTGGACGTGGACGTGGACGTGGACGTCGCTGATGTCGGGTCTTATGAGCAGTGTATGATATTTTGAGTCCGATATATTCTACTTGAATGAGCATTGTGCACGACAGCGAATTTCACCCTAGCAGATGTCTTGATAGACGCATGAGAAACAGACAGACAACAGTCTTTACATTATGATTCAAGACTATCTATAAATAGTAATAATAGTCCCACTAAATAGCCGTCCGACATAATTCAAACAAAGCATTCGTTTACTCTTCATCCTCATGCCCCTATTATCCCGCAGGAAAAAGTCAGTTTGTGTAAACAACAGATATATCAGTAGGCTTGGGAGTAAGACTTACGTGCTCGAAAAGGTAGTTGGCGGCAACCTCTTCGTTTTTATCACAAGCAAAGTAAGCTTGTATGACGACCTGTCTGTCGAAACCCAAGTTGCAGAGCTACACGCAGATCAGTTAGCAAGCAATACTTATAGACGATCAATATAACAATACATACTCTGTCAATGGCAGCGGATTCCTCAGCAGTAACCTCGATCTGGTAGCCGCTTCGCTCAGCACCCTCCTCATCGGCACCCTCGGTCAATAGCCGAACAAAGCCATCCGGGTTGGACTGTATAAGCGACGCAAGCTGTGGGTTAGACTGAGCGACCTGGTGCAGTATAGGGTCCAGAAGCTGGGGCTGCTGGCGGATCAGGTCCCGCAGCTGCTGGAACTGACTGCTATTCCTCAGAAAATCAAGGCTCGAGGCACCAGCGCTGGCCGGCTCAGGGTTGGCTCGCTGCTGAGAAGCCTGCGCGGCCGCCTCGAACAGGTTGAGACCAGTTGAAGGCTGCGAAGTCGCCGAGGCAGGAGTTGGGCTAGTGGGCTCGGCAGCACCCGCGGATTCTGTAGCAGCAGCGCCAGCGGCACCAGGTTGGGGAGCGTCACGGATCAAGTGCTCTGGGATTCCCTATTGATGGCTCGCTGTTAGCAAACCAAGTCATGTCGTTAGATGATTTACCAGCTACTCACGTTAAGTAGATAGTCGACTGCACGATCGGGGTTGTTGAACGCGGCGCGCATCGCTCGCTCGATAGCCTCACGCTCGTATCCCATCTCCATCATGTTTCCGATAGCCGCTTCGCGCGCATTTCCAATAGCTTGAAGATATGAGTCAGATCATATACAAATATACAGCTTGATTTGTCAGCACTTGAAACTTACAGAATGCCGACGGATCGTTGAATGCGGGAGAAGGAGTAGCCGCATCGGCAGGAGTTGCGGCCGGGGCCGCAGCAGGGGCGGCAGCAGCAGGAGCTGCGGGCGTGGAAGGAGCCTGAGCAGGAGCAGGAGCAGCAGGAGTGGATACAGGAGCCGGACCGGGAGTGGCAGGAGCCGGGGTCGAAGTCGAAGCAGCAGCAGCAGCAGGGGCGGGTTTCCGCTATTGAGGAGGTGGGGTTAGATGCTTGTCCATACCACAACACGTGCACAGAACTTATCTGCGCAACCATAGCCAGATTCCAATCAAATAGATAATGCTCACCTTGCTGACCATGCACACGATGAAATCGGTCTCTTTGACGTTGTAGGACTCTACGGTGCGATCGTCTACTAATGTCTTGCCTGCGCGTCGGAGAAAGAGGTGGACCACGTCAGCATAGTGGGCGAGAGGCGTGGCGCACCAAAACGCGTGGAAGCAGCTTACCTGAGTAGATCAGCATCTGTAAATCGGCATCCCAGCCCTTCTGTTCCTGAATGGTCTTTTTGACTGAAGCAATCTAGAAGGACGAGCGGTGATGTTAGCAAAGAAGACGCGATTGATCCAATGGGGCGTAGCAAGGTTTGTAGCGTGTAGCTAGGTCTCTCTTGATCTAGCAAAGACGAGATCAAGACCAGGCCATCACGACTATTTACACAACCCAGACGGTGCATCGCAAAGAGCCACAGTGAATCCAAACAGGCTGATGCAAGATAAGCGGCAGGATATAGGAATGAACACGTACCGTATCGGTGGGCTCGACGTCGACGGTCCACTTCTGACGCTTGATATCTCTCAGAGTCAACTGCATCCTGCGTTACTTTTCCCGCTTGTTCTCAGAAGATTCGATTGTAAGATAAATGAAAGAGGCCTTGAAGAGCAAAACACTGAATGAAACACAGCAGAATAAATTGAGTGCAGCAGCAGCGGTGGTTGAGTCTGGCGCGGAAATAAAAAAGAAGACGTGGAGAATCTTTGGGAGGAGTCCTTTGGCCGGCGGTGCACTCGATGTTTGCGCATTTGTGCCGGCTGTTAGCAGTCATAGTTGGTTTGTTTATTCTCATTGATGCAGCGGTTTAGAGGATATCGCGGACTAGAAAGCGCATTGAGCAGGATAGCTCATGTTTGATCGTCAGTATGAATTGTTATTCTTGTCGGTGTAGACATCTACGCGTAGTCGGGTATTCTCATATCCGTTCCAGTCTCGGGCATCTCGTAGGCTGCCCTTTTCATCAAGAAAAAACCAGACTTCTTCCTCGCTCTGTTCATACATTGCTCAATTGGAAAAAATACACAAGTCATAACTCTGGAATCAATCTCATCCTGTAGCAGCATCAAGTAAATCTCCTCCAAAATCTCGCAAAGGGGAAAAATCGTGAACCGGATCTGTGGCCAAACGGCTCTTTGTCTCTTTCTCCCTCTTCACCACCTCCACACCTTCTCTCCTTCCTCAGCCAATTCGCCCTGCACCTTCTACTCACTTCCAGGAGCTAATTCGCCTTTCAATTCTCAATCGCAGGCGAGCTCGCGCTCTGCTCCTACCAGCAATCATCTTCTCTGTCCTTTACTTTTTGCTTTCCACCTTTTCAAGCCTCTTCTGCGCGCGCTGAGAGCTGAGCGCCATCTCTTTCTCCACCACGCAATTCAGTCCTCCACTCGCTCCTCTGCACCAACTACCACGGACACTCCCTCTGCATACTTCTTTTTTCTACTTGCTGCATTTAGATGACGTCCGGCGACTCGACGACCAGCGACGCAGAGCTGCCGGCCATCAAACGAGAACACAAACCTCTCTCGTCCTCGGCCTCGGCGACCGCCCGCACGCAACGCTCGCAAACAGCTTCCTCGCGATCCTCCGCGCTGTCTTCGCCCGAGCCCACCGCAAAAGCCATGATACTCGACAATGCAGACAAATACGCGTCCTCTGGATCCGATGAGTCTCGCGACAACTCAGACTCGGGGCGTTCGACTCCTCTAATCGCTTCTGCGAAAGCAGGCAAGAAGGGCAGCGGCCTGGGTTCTGCTAAGCCACCCTCTTTGTTCAATGAGCTTCCTTCGAAAACTGAAGAGGCGAAAAAGACCTTTGAGGAGTTAATGGAATGCACTTATGGAAATAAGTATCTCGGCGATGCTGGACAGGAGGAGATCATGACATGCGACTGTAGAGAGTCGTGGGGTATGTCCTTCTGCGGTCAAAATCTTTTCACTGTATTGCTCTAACGCGTAAACATATCTAGACGGAGGCAAAAACACTGCCTGTGATGAATTCTCAGACTGCATAAATCGAATGACCTCGATGGAGTGCGTCAACGGCGAATGCAACTGCGGCGACGACTGCCAGAACCAGCGCTTCCAACGCAAAGAGTACGCGCCGATCGACATCATCCGCACCGACATGAAAGGCTACGGCATGCGCGCGTGCGCAAACATCAAGCAGGGCACGTTCATCTACGAGTACATTGGCGAGGTGATTGACGAAGGACGGTTCCGGAAGCGAATGATTGAGTATGATGAGCAAGGGATCAAGCATTTCTACTTTATGATGTTGCAGAAAGGTGAGTTTGTGGACGCGACGCAAAAGGGCTGCCTGGCGCGCTTCTGCAATCACTCGTGTAATCCAAACTGCTTCGTCGACAAATGGGTCGTCAAAAACAAACTCAAGATGGGCATCTTCGCCAAGCGCGACATCATCAAGGGCGAGGAAATCACATTCGACTACAACGTCGACCGGTACGGCGCCCAGGCGCAGCCATGCTACTGCGGCGAACCAAACTGCATCGGCTTTATCGGCGGCAAGACGCAGACCGAGTCAGCATCGAAACTGCCTCAGGCGCTGGCGGACGCGCTCGGGCTGAGCGACGACGAAGACGACTGGGCGACCGTGGCTCCGAAGCGGAAACGGAAGCAGAAAGTCGGCGAAGACGACGAGGAGTACGTGTCTACTCTGCCCACGCGTGCTGTGAAGGAAGAAAGTGTTTCGAAGATTATGAGTTCGTTGCTGCAATGTAAGGAGAAATGGCTGGTCAGCAAGCTGCTCAAACGCATCCACATGAGTGAAGACCAAGGCGTGCAGCGGCGCGTGATGCAGATGCACGGGTACCAGATCCTGGGCACGTTGCTGCGGGACTGGAAGACCGAAGACGACATCATCATTATTGTACTTGAGATTCTATCGCGCTGGCCACGCATGACGCGCAACAAAATCTCGAGCTCGAAGATTGAGAATACGGTACAGGAGCTGGCCAAGATGAGCGAGCACGAGCGGATCAAGACGCTCGCGAGCGAACTGTGCTCGGCTTGGGAGAGTCTGGAAATGGCGTACCGCATCCCTCGGCGCGAGCGACCCGCGAAATCCGACAAGAAACCTGAAGAAGCAGCAGCAGCGACGGAGTCGGCACAGACACCGGATCGGCCAGCGTCTGCTGCGGCGCCAGAAAGAACTCCAAAGAGCGAGCGGTTTGCAAAGTCCGATTCGCAGTCGCGCACGGAATCACCTGCGTTCGGCAACCGCAACCAAAAGCAGTTTCGCCAGCAACAACAACATAAAAACAACAACAACAACAACAACAACAACAACAACAACAACAACAACAACAACAACAACAACAACAACAACAACAACAACAATTTCAGACAGCAGCAGCAGCAGCAAGCACAGCAGAAACAAGGGCCTCCCAAGTCGCCAAAACTTCATCCGGATTGGGCTGCAGCGGAGGATCCGAATACCAAGCAGATCTATTACTACAACAAGATTGACAATCGGACGCAATGGGAATTTCCAGCCGCTGAAGTGGCAGCCGCTGAGACTGGATCTCGAAAACAGCAACAGCAAGTACCACAGCAACCACAGCAGCAGCAGCAGCCGGAAAAGTTTGATTTACAAAAGATCATTGATGAGGCGCAGCAGACGATGGCGGAAAAAATGCGCCGAGAAGAGGAGATGAAGAAAGCGAGCGAGGCGAAAGCGAAGGTAAAGGACGAAACGAACGGTCATCGGCGACATAAAGAGCATCACAAGGATCATCACCACAAACACCACAAACATCATAGTCACAATCACACTTCGACCTCATCGTCATCGAGCAAGCCTGAGAAGTCGGAGGCGAGCCCTGCTGCGAAAGACGGCGAGAAACAAAAAGACGCGACGATGCTCAAGATCCGCAACACGTTTGCCAAACACGTGCCCAACATGGTCAAACGGTACGAGAAAGAATTCGGCCGGGACGGCGTGAAGAAGTACTCGAAGGAGATTGTGCAGATTTTGATTGAGAAAGAGATGCGCGTGGGGAAGCATACTGAGAAAAACGCGAGCGAGCTGACGGGTGAGAAAAAGAAGAAGATTGATGAGTTTGTGACGCAGTATATGGACAAGGTGGTTGCGAAAAAACGGTATTCGGGGACGAGAAGTTAATGGTTAGAAAAGGAGAGACGTGTGTATGGATAGTTTGACGATGCTGTAAATTATGGATATCTACGTTCATGTCTTTTATATGATGTCTTGATCTTTTTTCATGCTGCTTGCACTAGTTCATAGACTTCTCTAGAGCTAATTGTTTTCTATGTACTTTTCCCATGTAATCATTATAATCATCCTATTGTTATTAAATATATCCCACCGTATCCAATTATACCCTTCCACTCCAGCAAATTTCTCTAACTATTCATACACTTTTTTCCCTCTATTACTCAAAACTTCCGGATCTCCTCCTCATCCTCGGTCGTCAAGTCGGCAACCGCATTGTCACCCGCAGATGCCTCTGCCGCCGCTGCCGCAGCGAGTTCCGCATCCGCCCGCTCTCTGGCAGCATGCTGCTGCGCCCACTGCGCTTCCCGACTCATGGGGTCGCCGAGCAACTTCCTGACGGAAGTGCACATACCCGCTGCGACGATGCTGAAGCCGACCATGGCGAACATGACCATGTTTGAGTTTCTGTAGCCGTTGGCCTTGTCGGACGGCCATCCGGAGTAGAGCGCGTAGGTGGTTGTGATGGAGCCCAGGTTTCCGAGGCCGGAGACGACGGCGGTAGCGACGGCGGTGCCGACTTCGCCGTGGCGGGGTTGGAAGATCTCGGCGGTCCAGGTCATGCAGATGGGCACGGTGGGGCCGAGTCCGAGACCGGTGATGAGAAGACCGACGTAGCGGGGCCAGTCGTGGGGCGCGTAGGTGGTGACGATGAGGCCGGTCATGATGACGAGGCAGGGGCAGGCAAAGAAGATTGCGCGGTGGTTGTGGAATTTGTCAGAGATGGAGGTGACGAGTAAGATGCCGACGAGGTCGCAGATCCAGATCGGAGCCGAGAGAAGCGAGAGGTCGACGGAAGACCAGTTCGGGTTGATGGATTTGATGATGACGGTCGCGAAACTCTGCAGACCGATTCCGGTGCCGACGACGCCAAAGTACATGAGCACGAGCGGGTACAGTCTGACGTCGAGCATGACCTTGACGAAGTCGCGCATCGTCCATTTCTGGGCAATGTAGGTCCGCTTCATGTCTCGGAAATGAAGCTTGGCGTCTTCGGGGCTGAGAGGAGGCCGCTGGGAGGGCAGAAGACGGCCCCAGCCGGTGCGCGACCGCGGGCGAAGCGACGGACGGTCGGGAAGCCACCAGAGAAGAGATACACCGAGGACGAAGGTGATGAGGCCGTAGATGAGGAACATCCAGGCGAAGCCGGGAAGGCCGCGGTCCATGTTCATGTACTGGAAGCCGGCGGAGACTAGGCCGACGACGGCGGCGGAAAGTTGGGCGGCGGTGAAGTAGAAGCCGATGCGCTGGGCGCAGCGGTGGGGTGGGTACCACATGGTGAGGTAGTACGCCATACCGGGCCAGAGGCCAGCAGTCATGATACCGAGGATCAGACGCAAAAGACTGGTGATTGTCAGAAGAGAGATCAGAAGGGAAGATGAAGATAGAAGGAAGGATCATACATAAAACTCCAAGCGGCCTTCATGGCGGCCATACAAGCGCCCACGATGCCGATGCAGGTGACATTGCGCGCGATCCAAGCATGGGGAGCGACGAAGGTCATGATGAGATTGAACGGAAGATCAAAGACGACGTAGCCGACATAGTACAGCGCAAGACCGAGGGAGGTGTCGTGGGTGGTGAGATGGAGGTAGTCAACGATGGTGTCGCCCTCGGACGCGTTCATGGTCAGGGCCAGACTGACGTTTGACCGGATCGACGAGGTGAGGAAGTAGAGACACCAGAGACCTGCGGGAAAGTGTCAGTAAGATCAACCTCAAGTAGTCATCAAAGCAGAGACCACGAACTGACCGGGAATAATTCGCAGGTCGAGCTTGCGGTAGATTTTGTTCATGACCTGCGGATCAGGAGGTTGGATATCCTCGAGCTCCTCGTCTTCGTGCATCGCAAACGCAATGTTCTCGGGCTCATCGCGGATATGAGTCGGATGCAGGTTCTTCTCCGGTCCTTCGCTGTCCATGATGAAGTTCAATTACAATCAAATCACCTGCAAGAAGTTATTCAGCACAAACAGAGCAGGCGACGACGACGTTCTTTATAAAATTTATTCCTCGGCGGGCGGCATTTTTCAATTTATTCCAGTTTTTGTTGTGTGATTAAGGTTTTATTTGTGCGACAATGAATTAACTTTAATCCGGATCACAGATTTTTTGCTCGTCGCTTCTTCAGAGCCGAGCAGTTGTTCCGGGGGTGTTCGTGTTATAGTAGTAGTAATTGTTATAGAGAATAGAAGATGGTAATAGCAATAGTAATAGCAACAATAGCAATGTAGAAGAACTACAACTACACTCACTACGGCACCTGGTCGAGACCGCGGCAGACAATGAGTCACACCTCGGCACTCTCATCGGACCTTTTCCTCTCAGACTTGTTGAGACCTGCGCTGTTGGTGGGGAACGTGGGGTTCCGCGGGTAGAAGACCTGGCTCCAAACGTAAACAATCCATCCTCCCGCCTCCTCCCCAACGCCCACTCCCACTCCCACTCCCACTCCCTCATCCACATGCTCTCTGATCATCGCTTTTCAACGCAACTGTATTTCGCTACCTCACAGCCACAGACTCAGACTACCTGACCCTTCTCTTTCCCCACAGCAATCACCTCTCCAAGCAACCGGCAACCAGCAATCGGCAATCAGCAATCAGCAATCAATAGCAACTATTTGACCCTTCCACCCTAATCCTTCACATCAAGGCCAAACTCCTGCATCACCTCCGCCACTCGAACTCCCCTCGTGTCCGCAATCTAAACCATAATCTCTTCGTTAGCATCCTGCATCATGCACCCATCATCCCTCTCTCATCCCTCCACGCACATCCCCCAAAGATCACAACATTCAACAGCGCTCTTGCCATTCCCAACAGTCCAACTCCGATATCTCGAATCGTGTTGTATCCTTTCAGCAACTCGATGTGTCGTTTAATCGTCTGTGCCGCATCCGGATTCCTATAAAATAAAATAGCGCCATTCGCAACGCAGTAAGCACACTACAACTTCTCACTCAGTCAGTAAACACAAACAGACTTTAGCTTTGCGCTCTCCTCCGCGCACTGCGTCTCCAGCTGCTTCCGCAGCTCCGTCTTCCTGATTATCCGCTGTCGTATCGCGTCCTCCTACTCCGTCCCATCAAAAAGCTTAATTAGTCAACTCAATCTCCTCCCCCGCTCTCCACCCCGCCCCCTCCCCCTCCCCCTCCCAAATCAAACCGCTCACGTACCTACCTTTGCCTCGATAATCGCATTGAGGCCCACAGGAGTCTCGGTCGTAATCACCTCATCCTCCTTCTCTGTCAATTTCACCTTCTTCGTCTCTGAAATCTCCGCGCCGTCCTCCTCAGCCTTTCGCGCCGCCTTTGCTCCCATCACCGGCAGAGAATTGAACGGATCAAACACCAAAGAGCTCTTCGCTGCCTTGCTGGATGCTGCCACATCAGCATCGATATCGCTCTGGATTGTCGTCTCGCCGTCAAACACCATGTCCTCCAATGAGATATCCTGCTTCACCACACTCGGAGGTCTCGACCGAGGAGTCACATCGCACTCTTCTTCGGACTCGTCTGAGTTCATCGGAGGTTGTTGGCTCGCAAACGAGGCATTCGCAGACTGATAGTCTGCGTCTGTAGGAATAGTGTCTGCGATCTCTTGAGCTTCGGCTGGTGCACCAGACACATCAGCAGCCTGAGCTTCATCTGACTCTTGCTTGATAGGCTCTTTGGTAGACTCTTCCACAACTTCAGCCTCGGCCTTGCTCTCCTCTGCAACGCTCTCCTCTGCACCGATCTCCCCTGCAACCTTCTCTTCAGTAAAGACCTCGGAGCTTTCAGGAACAATCTCAGCATCGGGAGTTTTTGCCTTTAGACTCTCCTCAGCAACTGCAGCTGCAGTCGCTTCCGTCGTCGCGTCATCAGACGCGTCGCCGGTCGTAGATTTATCAACAACAACCGCTTCATCTACTTTTTCTTCTGCGGTCTCTATCTCTTCGACAATCTCTTCAACAGACTCTTTAACAGTCTCCTCAACAACCGCGTCTGTCTCAATTGCATCCTCAGCAGCAGCATCTGCGACAGTCGCGTCCGCAACAGCCGCGACCTCTTCAACCGTACCACTCTCCTCGGCTTCTTCAGCATCACCGCCATCGACCACCACAGAGTCTGTCGCCGCAGCAGACTTTTCTTTCTCAGTAAACGTAAGCTCGACAAGCTCAGCCGCCTCGCCTTCTGAGATCTTGGCCAGCAGCTGCGAATCAGATTGCTGGTCGCCGTCAGTGCTCGCGCGTGCTAGACAGGTCGCGTCCTGCGATGCAGCAGCTGCACCTTCGTTTTGTACTTCAGCGGAGGGCGTTACTTCCATTATAGTCAGAAAACAGTCAGTAGTGATAAATATAAAGAACAGTAAGAAAAGAGGCAGAAAGCGAATAGATGTAGAGTAGCATGAAAGAGATCAAGATCAGATCAGAGATCAGCAGAAGGAGGAGCCGCGAATTACCCGGCCCGCGTCCGTCTCACTGCCACGCGCACCGCCATTTTCGAGTCCTCGAAGCGTACAATCGATTGTCAGAAACGACTGAACTCCGCAATTGATCTGCCATTAATTCTCATACTTCTCATTTAATGGCGCTGCAGTCGTTTGACCCGGCGACGTCGGCACAGCTGCTGCGGCAGGCGACGTTCCCCCGATCCGGCGAGCCCAACGACGCGAACCTGGTGTCCTACGCCGAGAAGGCGGTTCAGTCCTGGTTGAAGCGGGGCCAGAACGACAGCGTGACCGCGCGGGCGCTGGCGGATTTTCTGTACAGAGCGGCGGCGAAGACGTATCAGTGCCAGCCTATCCTGCGGTGCTTGATGACAGTCTTGATTGCGCTGGGTAACTACACCGACGCCGAGAGGGCGCTGAATACGTATCTCGAGTTTGCAGACAAGGGACGGTTGATGGCCGTCAAGGGATCGTCTTTTGTCGACGTCGACGATGCGCTCATGACTTTGCGGACTGCGACCGAAGGTGTTGTCATGCTTTGCCGACATGTGCGCGACGCTGACAAGGCTCGTGCTCGGGCTGATGGTCTCAAGGATTGGATAGATGTGGCCGTCTCGCAGACCGGAGCAGCAGCCACTACCACAGACGAATCAACAAAGGAAAAAATCGAAGACCCCGAGATCTCAAAAGTCGTCGCGACGGCATGGACCGCGCACGGCTCTGCCTACGCGCTGGCAGCGCGGTACGCACTCGACGCCAAAACCCGGACAGAGCGAGCAGAGACTGCGAACGGGTCGTTTGAGAGCGCGCGCGCACACTTCTCTGGCAGCCCCGACACGCATTACGAGCACGCTTTACTACGGGGCGAGTTCTTCCAAGACCTAGCCGGCGCGATCGAGCTCTCGCGCATCGCACTCGCGCTGGATTCAACGCACCTCGGCGCGGCGCATGTGCTTGCGCTGGCGCTGTCGGCGCGCAACGAGACGCTTGTCGAGGCCAGAGAGGTTTGTCGGACTGCGGTGCGCGATACGGCGGGCGAGGACTCGCTGCGGAGGCGCATGACGCTGCCGGATAAGCGACTTGTGCTGCAGGTGCGCATGACTGAGATTGCGCTCACGGAGGCGGTGGAGGGCGTGCAGGCTGCGCTTGAGCAGGTGTCTGACGGACTGTTTGCGGTTTACAATGATTTATTCACGTGGGATGAGGATACGGTTGAGTCGCAGATCCACGAGGCCTCGACGTCTACGATTTCGGTGCCGCGGACGCCGGAGAAGAAGCGCAATGCGATTGTGCCCGCGGCGGCACCGCCGACTATCCAGGTAACACCGCGGAGTAGCGCGTACTTAGACGACGAGTCTACAGAGAGTGATTCCGAGGCCGACTCGGAGGAGGATAACGAGGTCACAGAGCCGGTGAGCAACGACAAGCTCGAGCGACTGCCGCAGGAGAAGCTGTCGACGGGGACATCGATTCCGGCGGAGATCCTGGCCGAGGTGCGCAAGTCGTCTCCGAGACCGAAGAGTATGATGTCGAAGCGGAGTCTGATAATACCTCGCTCGATCAGAAGGCGGTTGTCGGACGTGTCGATCTCGTCGCGGCGGTCGGCAAAGTCGGTGGCCCGGGTGCCGGTGACTGCGGCGGCGATTATCGAGAAGAACAGAGGAGGCGCGAACCGAGTGCTGCGCAACAGTCTGAGTGTTGACGACGCCGAGTTGAAGACGATTAGTATGCAGTGTCTGCGGGATATCTGGCTTTTGGTCGCGGGGTTGTTTCGGCGAGGAGGACGGTGGGCGGAGAGCGCGACTGCGATCACGGAGGCCACGCAGCTGGGCGGTGCGAAGGAGGACACGTTTGCGGAGGTGAGTTTATGATTGTCTTTGATTTTCGTTGATGTGCGGCTTACTGACGAAGCGTGGTTTAGCGTGGATTTCTTATGCAAGCGCAGCAGCTGTCTCGCGAGGCCTTGGAGGCGTTCGAGGCGGCGCTGACGGTGTCGATAGACTACGTTCCGGCGATCATCGGGCTCGCCAACGTGCTGATCTCGCTGCCGGAGGAGGAGCAGCCGATGGCGCGGGACCGGGCGTTTGTGCTGCTGGAGACGGCGTCGCGGCTTACCGGGTGGGACTCGCCGGAGGTGTGGATGCTGCTGGGGCAGGTGTATGAGGCAGTAGGGGATGTGGACCGGGTGCGGGGGCCGTACTGGCGGGCGATTGAGTTGGAAGAGACGCGGCCGGTGAGGCGGTGGCGGAACGCGTGGATGTGGGAGACCGCGCAGACGGACTACGAGTAGGATAGAGAGAGCATGATGGGTGAGATGATAGAGGAGGAGCGTATGTGTACTGATAATACGACAAGTGGTTAAACATGTAAAAGTAAACAAACCAGAACAAAAGTAAGACAAAAAACGCACAGGAAAGTTCGATCTTGTTTTGTTTCATTGGTTTTGTTATTTTAAGTCGCCTTTTGGAGCATTTACGCGGGTACTTTGAAAGGCGCGAATATCCGAAGTTGCTCGGGTTCGGGCACCAGAATCAACTGTGAGCCCCATCTCAGCGATCAGCAGTCAAGAGCCCTGATGGTTGAGGATTAGTGTATAGCAGCGATATAAGAGATGTGACAGATATAAGAGACATATCAGACATATCAGACATATCAGAGATATAGAGATATAGAGATATAGAATACAGCAGCTTGTATTCACATGTCTACTCAACACGCATCCACTCCTCATGTCATCCTCCCTCATATTCTCACCAGCCCCTTCTCGCTCGCTTGCCCGCCCTCCAAACGCGCATTCCCGGCTATTTTAGATTGATTCCTGCGCATGTGCATCCCGCGATTCCATTCGTACGGCTGAGGCTCGAGCTTAACGCGGCTGGGCGTGGCCGTTCCAAGACCCCTCCGACGTCAACAGAGGAAAAAAGGGAAAAAAAAACAAAACTGTGGAATGGTCCCGAGGTCGTCTGGCTCGCGTTTTTTCTGTTATTTATACCCTCCTATACCCCTTCTGCTGTTTCTGCTTCTGCTTCTGTCTTTGCTCCTGCTTCTGCTGCTATTGCTGCTCATCATCTGGACCTCCTCTGCTATGCTGCTGTCTGCGAAAGCCATCTCTCTCCTCGCGCTCGCGTCCCTCGTCGCGTCGCGCCCCTCCCCCCACCTCGCGCGTCTCGACCTCGTCGCCCGCGACGTCGTCCTAAGCCCCGACAACTCCTGCGGCGGCACAAACAACTACACCTGCCCCGACAACGCCTGCTGCTCCGCCAGCGGCTGGTGCGGCACCACCCTCGACTACTGCGTCGACGGCTGCCAGGCAGACTTTGGCACCTGCGCCGACCCCGGCGACTACGCCGGCACCGTCTCGCCTGACAACAGCTGCGGCGGCACAAGCGGCTTCATCTGCCCGACCGGCTCCTGCTGCTCGGCGAACGGCTGGTGTGGAAACACCACCGACTACTGCGGCACTGGCTGCCAGTCCGACTTTGGCTCCTGCAGCGCGGCCGCGAGCGGAACCGCCTCGGCGGGCGCGCCTGCGGCCTCGGGCGGAACCTCGCCGGATGGAACCTGTGGTCCGAGTAATAACGGCTACACCTGTCCTACTGGTGAGTGCTGCTCCGGTGCTGGATACTGTGGATCGACTTCCGGTTACTGCGCGTCGCCGGGCTGTCTGTCTGGATACGGCGACTGCGATGCTGATACTATTCCGGCCGGCACCAACACTTCTTCCGTCGTTCGTACGCTCTTTGGCGATGTTCCTTTTGGATCTATCATTGAAGACTGCCATGACGCAGGAAACATTGCCCTTACTTGTATGTCCTCCTCTTTCTTTTATTCTGTAGTTCAGGTCTAACTAGCTCTAGTCGACGATGGCCCTTACACCTACACCAGCGACCTTCTCGACCTCCTCGCAAACTACTCCGCCAAAGCCACGTTCTTCATCACCGGCAACAACAACGGCAAGGGCGAGATCGATCTCTACTGGGCCGACGTGATCAAGAAGACCTACGCGGCCGGCCACCAGATCGCGTCGCACTCGTGGTCGCACGCGAACTTTGACGAGCTCGCGCCGTATCAGATGCGCAACGAGCTCTACAAGAACGAGATCGCGCTCGTGTCTATCATCGGAAAGTTCCCGACTTACTTCCGGCCGCCGTATTCCGCGTGCGGTGACGCCTGTCTGGCGGTGATGGAGGAGCTCGGATATCATGCTGTTTTGTTTGATCTCGACACCCAGGATTATCTGCATACCACGGCCGATACCATCCAGCTCAGCAAGGACGCGGTGTATGATCAAATGAACGGCCTCGATGTTTCGGAAACTGATATGCTCTCCATCGCGCATGATATTCACTGGCAAACGGTGTACAATTTGACTGGCTACATGCTCGAGTACATGCAGGGACTTGGATATAACTGTAATTTTCTGATATTTGCACTTTTTGGTGTCGAACGTTGCTAACTTCTTCTTTAGTCGTCACGGTCGGCGAGTGCTTGCAGGATCCTGAGAAGTACTGGTACCGCTCTGCTGAGGACGGAACTGTCTCTGTTTCGTCTGAGGCTCCTTCTTCCTCGTCTGAGGCTCCGTCTTCTGCGTCTTCCGCGTCTGCATCGGTGTCCTCGTCTTTCATGTCCTCAGAGTCCTCCTCGTCTTTCCTGTCCTCTGCGTCATCCTCGTTAGATTCTTCAGAGTCGCCCTCGTCGTACTCAACCCTCCCTCCGACCTCCTCATCCATCCCCGCCGCTCCCTCTTCGACCCCATCGACCCTCTCAACCTCGACGATCTCCTCCTCCCCCGCGTCTTCGTCCGCAGTCTCAACTCCCGCACCCATCACTTCCTCATCAATCTTGAGCTCCTCCGCTTCCTCTTCTTCGATCTCCATCACCACTTCTCCCACGAGTACTACTACATCCTCGTCCGGTCATAATCATACTGTATGAGCCCCCTTCTTCTTTCTCCTATCATTGCTTTTTTTCTTTCTTTCTTCGTTCTTGTTGGAGTTTCCTTTCTTGCTATAGAAGACATTTTACTTACTCCGGCTCTGGGTTCTAGACTACGACTAAGCCGTGGTGGTTATGGTGGTGGAAGTGGTAAACGCGCTATTTCTCCCGCCCTGACTAGTCCATCATATTCAGTCACTGGCGCGACAGCTATCTTTTTAGCTAAAATGTTTGTCTGCTGTGGTGTGTAGTTGTATTTATCATTGTGCTTTTATAAAATGTGAATTTTGCGTGATGTATAAATAGTCTTGGCGACGTTGTGTTTCTAATTTTGATTTTAATACCAGTCATTCTCCAATGATATACTCTAGCATAAGCTCTGAAGAACGTGCGAATAAAATTGCTGATTTTGTTTACATTACATTAGCAATCGGGATAATAACCAACTCAAGAAATGCAACTTGCTCGCGTCTATCTGCCGTGCTGTTGTGGGCCAAGTCAATCGCGGAACACTCTAAATTATTGTCATTAAGTAGAGACGGGCTAGTGATTGTGACAGTGATTGGAATTTTGCAGGGTGTGGTTTTTGATTGATTGATTGATTGAGTGCTGGGGCTTGGAATTAAGGGGTGGAAGGTGAAGAAGCTGATGGAGATCAGAGGAGCGAGGTTAAGTAGGATTTCAAGAGAAGCGTATCGAGCGGATAAATACAGAATAGATATAATATAAGAGAAAGACCAGCGATTGCAATGATAACTACCAGCGATAACATAAAGGAAAGCACCCAAACGGATGATGTGCGCGAAACAAGCTGCTGAGGCTATGATTGCCTACCAGCACCCACCCCGTCCACACCAAACGCAAACCAAAACACAAAGATGAAGAGACGAAACAGCAAGGAGAAGAGGAAAGCGAGGATCATCTTTTTGAAATCATTGAAACTACCTGTCCTCGGCCCACTCGTTCTCTCTGCGGATCTGGGCCTCTTCCTCGGGCGTGAAGTCCATCTGGATGTTGAACTGGCGACGGATTTCCTCGGGCGATTTTCCCTTGATCATGTTTGCGACGGTCTTGCAGCCGACTTCTAGTAGCGCCTTGATGTCGAGGTAGTTTGCGGCCTGCAGTTATCGCCGGAGTGTCAGTAGAGCGTTATAGAGAGCAAGAGAGTGGTAATACGTACGAGAATGATTTCAAACAGCATCTCCTGGTCGACCTGCATAAACTTCTGGTCCCACTCGTCGATATCGGTCGATTTCTTGCGGGAGTCATTGTCGTCGTCGCTCACGGGGACGGGGTCGGATTTGTGGTGCTCGCACCACTCAAGCACCTTCTTGAGCACGTTCGCGGTGACCTGTGCGAGAGGTCAGTGACTGTTCTAGTATAAGAATAAGATAGAAATGGAGAGCGTACGTTGGGGATGGGGATCTCGGTGGAGGCATCGCCGACGTCTGTGGGGAGCGGGGTGGTTAGTATGGGAGGTGGACAGGAGGTTGATGGAACGAGCAGGAATCTGGCAACGTACCCTCGATCATGTTCTTGATCAGGATTGATCGATCAGCAACATCCTTTTCTGAAATATTAGTCAAGTTAGTAGAAGCACTAGAAAGACCATTGTCTCAAGAGAATCAAGAGAAAGAAGATAGGCAGGAGTCAAGCTCTGGAATATCGCATGCCGCCGCATTTGAAGGCCAGGGGAGAGCACGAGCCGGAGCAGGAGTGGGCCGACATACCAACTGTGAAAGTCTCGCCGTCCGAGGAGGTGAGTTTGACCATGCTGTGCTATGTAGTGGAAGAGGGGATGAAGACTTGAATTGGGGATTGTAGCTGGTTCGCGGGGGTCGGAGGCAGACCGTGATGGAAGCGTGCGAGATGAGAGCGGGCGAGGCGGTGGGGTTACCCTGCGCGACGAGGGGTCTACCAATAGCCAGGTGCGTGCGTGACATCACCAACGCGCAAAAGTGGCTGTGATGGCGAAGACGCGGCTGTGAGGGTCTGAGTCCGAGCCCGAGTCTGTGTGTCTGGCAGTCGACTGCGTGGCCTCCGAAGAAATCTGCGCAGGACCCTCTCTTTCTCCGGCTTTGGCCTCCCGCTGCCTCGCTGCTGCTCGTCGGTGTCTCGAGACTGAGCTGTGCTGGACTGGATATCTACTTCTTCTCTCTGTGGTTCTCTACTGCTTATCCTCCTTATCCGGACGTGATATACAGCATCTGTCGCTGTCTGTTGATTGTATATCGATGGCGATGGCCCTGGCGAAACACTAATGAACTCTATTTTACTTGGTGCCAGATTGCTGCCGGTACCCCCTCCTGCTCTGCCGGTTTCTTCTCAGAGGCTGGAAAGGTTATTAGACTATAGATATATGCAATAAAGCTTTCAGTCTACGTGTCTCTACATTTCACCATCCCTCTTCGCATTGCCAGCTTCTCCGTAGCGGAGCGGTGAAGCTGCACTATGCTCAGGGCGGGTACTAGTTCAAACTCAATCCATCCTGTACCTACGCTCGTACCCTTTTCCTGCCGGCAGGCGGCATGACAGCACCCATTCTCCCTCACCACCTCTGCTCCTGGTGAAGCAGGCAGGAGACCGTGCTCGTCGATCTGTTCAGTCTATCTAGGCCACATATCAACCAGCGCAGGTGTTTCTGAGCCCCCGCGAAAGAGAGCCGTCGAACGGGATCTGAACCGGCCGAGATCCACTTCATATCTAGTACGCTGGTCCGGTACTCTTTCCCTAAAACCTTCCAATCCTCGTCTCGCGTAGACCGCCAGACTCGAGTTCTTCTTCTCTTCTCGTCCACTTCACCTCTCTCTGCCCCTCCTCATCCTCCTCTTCTTCCTTCTCTTCCTCTTTCTTCTTTTGAGCCTGCGTCTGTCAAGAGCTCCCTGCAGCACACAGCATGGCCGGCTCACTTCGCAAGCGGCAGTCCTCGCAGCCCGACGCAGCGACCGACTCCGCTACCACTCCTGACCCCGAGCGCCCTCCTTCGTCGTCGACCCGCAAGAGCGTCGCAGACAAGAATCGTGAGTCTTCTTCTCCTCTTTCTATCATCTGCGCTGCTTTGCATTTGCTGCCGAGCAAACTGACACTCTTCTTCACACCCAGGCGAGAACTTCATGCACTCGGAGCAGTTTGGCGCAATCGAACGGCGACAGGCAATGCTCTCGTCCCTGCACTCAAAGTTCACAAACCGACTCCTCGACCTCTTCACCGCCCGCGTCGACCGCCAATACGGCGCCCTGACTGCACCCTCAAGCACCCACAACGACGCCGTCTCCTCGCTCGACTTCTTCCTCGCTCCGTACCGCGAGCACCTTGCCCGCAAAGTGCTCAGAGCAGAGCAACGGCGTGCGCTCGAGCGACGACGGATCCAGCGTGTAACGGTCGGAGCCAGAGAGGTTATTCACCGCCAGTTTCTGCGGCAGCGCAGCGAGCTTCAGCAGCGCATGATCGCCGAGACGGCGGCCAAGATCGAGAGGCTTCAGCATGAGGCTTTGGTGTATCATGAAGAGGAAGATGCCGTGGTTGGCGAGATGACGATGAAGCGGAAAGCGGCGGCTGTTGATACTATCGCAGACGGTCTGCCGCCCCGCAAGAGAATCAGATCTTTGACTGAAGGAGTGGAGATCTCGAGCCTGACTTCAGAAGAAATCGAAAGCGATCTCGAGCTATTCAGAAAACCGCCGCCGTCCGCTTCCTCTGCACCGGTCCCGAGATCAACACTGACCCCTATATCAGACGAATCCTCCTCCGACTCCGACGAAGCCTCCGTCGTCAGCGCAAAGCTGGAGACGGACGAGCATTCGATGTTTATGAATGCGGCGGCGTCGAAATTGCTGGACGCGAGTAGGCATCTTGAGCCGCTGAAGGATGCGATGTTTGGCCTGTATTCTGCGGCGATCGAAGTTGACGGCGGCGCAGAGCAGCAGGTCGCAGCAGAGATGAACACAGAGCAGCCGCTGTCTGCTGCTGCTGCTGTGGGCGCGGGCAAGTTCCAGGATGACAAGTCGTCGCTACATGTGTATCCGTCGCCGGACTCGCAGACCGACTCGCAGAATCAACGAGTGCAGAAGGCACTGCAGCGACAAACTAGTCCACCGCGACTGGCGACTCAGCAGCTATTTACGCCGGCGTCGGTCCCACAACTTGAACCAGCGCCGCTGCCGCCTCCTGTTCAGCAGACGTACTATGCTCCTCCTCCTGTACAGCAAGACGTGCGGCAGCAGTACATCCCAGATGCCTACCCGGCTCAACCGGGATCCAGCCCTTTCCCACCTCAACACCAAGCCCCTTATGACGGCGTCCAGAGAATGATGCCGTTGCCTCACGAGCCGCCAGTCGTGGGACATAACCCCGTTCCACAGCAGCACATGCCGCCGCAAGATCGCCAACCCCCGATGCTGATGCATGCAGAGCAATATCCTCCTCCTCCTCAGCTTCAACAGCAGCAGCAGCAGCAAGCGCAGGCTTATCAGCCGGCGTCACAGTACATGTACGCTACTCCGCAGCCGAATTCATATGCACGACCGCCTGCGATGTACTATGCGGACGGGCAGTATTACCCGTCGTATCCCGAGCATCAGCGACAATACAGCGGCCCTGCACAACAAGCTCCACCTCCACCACCACCTCAACAGCAGCAATTACCACCACCACCGCAGCAGCAGCAGCAGTATGGCGCAGAGTATTACCCGCCTGCGCCGGTACAGTCGTTCCAGTACCCGCAGCCTCCTCCACCGCCTCCGCCGCCAGGCCAGGCATATTACCAACTGCCCGCTCAAGAGCAGTACCACAATGTGCGTTAATTCCATCTTTTTCATACTGTGTTGAGTGCGTGTACTAACTTTACATGTGTGCAATAGCCTCCTCCGCAGATACAGGCTGGGACTCCGGTGATGCAGCAGCCTTTGCCGTATGCTCCTGCTCCTACTCCTGCTCCTGCTCAGCAGCCTGGTGTTTATTACGCCAACGCTCCTCCTCCGCCACAGCAGCAGCAGCCACCACAGTATCATGCGCCTGCGGATTATTCAAATCAATACCAACCTGCGTATGATCCGCGCCAACAGCAGCAACAGCAGCAACAACAACAACAACAACAACAACCACAGTCTATCTACCAACAACAATATCAACAACCTCTCCCGCAGTACACGCACCAAGTGCCGATTTCAAACATGTACCACGCGCCTCCCCCTCCGCCGCCGCTAAACGACCAGAGACCAGCCCAAAACCCGATGATCTACCCTCCTCCTCCTCCTCCTCCTCCGCAGCAGCAGCAGCAACACAAGGAGACAAGCCCGGGTTATATGTCCAACAGTATGACGAGGACGTTGAAGCGGAGACGGAATCCGTTGCTTAAGGAGCTTGTGGGGAGGACGTAGTTATGCATTATGTATTGTTTGTGTTTTCGTTTGTGTTTGGGTGGTGATATCAGGGACGGATGAAGAGTGTACGAGATTTTAAAATGGAGCAAATAGGCGTTTTTCCTCTTTTGAATAGTTTTCTTTGTCTAAATAGTTTCTCTAAACAGTCACAGATCTGCCCACTAAACAATACTTGATCGTCGACACAATACTCGATCGTCGAATGAGGCAAAGGAAGCAGTGAATGTATCCGAGAAGAGAAACCAAGTGCACGGTAAACCAAAGCAGAGTACGCACCGCCAAAGTACACCGCCCAAATCAGGAACGTTTAGGGTTCGCGCCAATGCACGCGTGCCGTCTGTATTCCAGACCGCAGAGCGATTTGCCTCAGCTGCTCGCGCGCGCGGTGGCTTCGTGTTGGGGAGAGGGTGGGGAGCGTGCAGGGATGGGATAGCAGCGAGGGGTGGTGAAGGGATTTGGTGGGGATTGTCGAGGGCGCTGGGTGGGGTGGTGAAGGGAGGGAGGGGGGAGTGGGTATGCGGTCTGTGATGTGGGCTGCTGGACATCTACAATCTCCTGGTCGCCAACAAGAGCCGATGAAAGTAGACAGAGCAGACAGAGACGAGATTGCGCCGTCGACAAACCACCACTCATCCGCCTTGAGCAGCAGCAGCAGGCGTTCTTAGCTCTCAGCCAAAGCAGAGGTACAGCAAACAGAGCGCGAGGAAGATACAGCAAACTTTAGCCAGCACCCGGCGAATCTAAAACCGACGCACCTGAGCTTAATTGTTTACGCTGGTTCTGCGTAGCTGATATCGATCCAGATCTGCGTCTTCTTTGTATGTTCTATCTTGCATCTGTGTCTGTATCTGTATATGTCTGTGTGCTTATGGCTTGTTCAGACATGATGATGAGCATCTGCTCTGTTCCAAGTGCTACTACTTGCCCATCACCCCTGCGCGGTGTATCGCCCACATGACTGCTATTTCTGTAAATAAATTGGGATACAATTCAGAGACGGATTATGTACAGTGCACTAAACTGCTACCGTCCGCAACAATCTCAGGCAAATCTCATTAAAGAAGCAACTGTATCATGACTTTTACTCATCCACCCATCCTCCTTTATGCCTCCGCGCGCATCACGACCGACCACACCCCCAGCCCCGGCCGATTCTGCATCGCAATCGCGCGCGCCTTATCCCAAAATCCCAACCCCTCCTCACCCTCACTCTCACTCTCGCCCTGCCTCCGCTTGTGGTACCGCGCCTCCTCGTAATCGACCCCGAAATCGTCCATGTTGATGTGCTGCGCGTAGCTGTATTCCAGGTGTAGATAGTACGGTAGCTCCGGGTTTGCCAGGAATTTGTACAGCCCGCTCGCCGAAAGCGGCGCCACGACCAACACGTCCTTGTCCGTGCTCTTGGCGCGCGTCCTCACGAGCTCGGCAACCAGCGCGTCAACAACCTCGCCGTCCGAGCCCATCATATCCCAAATCCTCACTCCACCGCCCGCATCCGCCTTCTTCACCAGCTCGACCGCCGCCGTCGCGTTGTCGACCCCTCCGCGATGCAGATATCCAACCAGGTCCGAGTTCCGGCCTAGCAGCCAATCCGGCGGCGAATACGTCCGCCACCAGACAACGTCGCTCGCCGTCGCCAGCCGTGGGCCGATGTGAGCCGCCTGCGTAGGCACCACGCCGCCTTGGTGGTACACGCCAAACAACATCGCGAGCGCCAAATTAAACGCCCCAAAGACTCCTAGCAGCATCCGCCGTCGGCCGGGGTGCAGCATGAGCGCGTTGGGGAATTTGACGGTCGTCAGATAAAGCGGGATCGTGGGAAGCAGGAACCGCGCTTCCTGGTGCCGGAAGAGCGAGAGCATGGCCGTGCCTGACAGCGCCGACAGGAATGGGATCGAGAGCTGCGGCCGCGTGAAGAGGAGGTACGGACCAAGCAGTTGGGGCAGATTGATGAGGAAATGAGTGTATCGAGGATGCAGGCCGTGTTTCGCGAGGTTGTCGGGGTCGGAATTGTAGAGAAAGTTGTTGAGCGGGGTTATTACCATCCCAGGGGATCCGTAAAACCGAGTGTCGATGTAAATTGCAATTAGAGATGTCAACACCGCAGACACACTAATCAGTGCAATTGACACGGGACTATAGTTGTCAGCTTTTGCATGAATCGCGATTTATAAAAGAGAGACATACTACTTGAGAAGTTTAGGAACCAGATATAGACATGGCAGGATCAGAAACGCGGGGAACGTTATCCTATTGAACACGCCCAACGAAACCAACACCCCGAGCATCACGCAAGACCAAAAATGTGAAGAGTGCTGGTAACAGAATTAGCATCATCAAACAACTGAACAGCAAAAAAAAAGTAGCATACCCCGAAATTGCGACTGGATATCCGCTTGATCAGCACCAGAGCCCAAGCCAGCACGACGGTCTCGACAGAGTTGGAAAATGTATGGGTCTGGAAGGTCCATGTGATGTACGAGCTCGCTGCGCAGAGAAGGTAATGTGCTCGCACTTTTTGTGTGCTGCCTAGCTCTTGTAGTGCCCAGTCCTCTGTATAGGTCAGTATGACGAAATCAGGCAGAAGAGTGAAGAAGCTGACGTACCCAGAGAGAAGGAGACGATGAAGAAGAAGATGCGCAGACAGTAGTAGACAAGATAAGGACTAACGTCGCCTAGATTGAATGCAGATATCGTTAGAATCGCTACTAGAACAGCTACTCGAGCAACTTCTAGAAGATCGACATACTCCCTTGAAACCACCTCAGGATAGTCATTGGAATGCCGTACGCGAGCCAGAGCGGCACTATACTCCTGATCGGCTGGTCGCTGGTGAACTCCCATGTTTTTGTAGTATTCCAGCCAAAGATCTCGCCTGGGAGTTAGATGGTAGAGTTAGCGAGAATGCTGCTGACGAAAAAGAGAATCAGAGGTGGACGCGTACCTGCGATTACCTCGGGACCCTGGAAGTGCTCGTCAGGGTGGATGTAGGAAGGCGAGAGTGTGAAGTAGAGCCGGAGAAGGACAAAGATGAGGTATGTCAGTCTCCAGGACATTGTGGGAAGAGTGTTGTGGAAGAAGGGTTGGAGAGAGGAGACAATCAGATTGTTTGTTTGTGGTGTGTATGCAGGTATGCAGCAAGCGACGCGCCTGGGTGCCGATGCTCGAGAGACGAGTATGCAGAAGAAAAGAAGCAGGCCGGTGCAGGGTGTTTACCGGGACTGGTGGACGATGGCGAAGGACATTTCAGCGGTCTGCAGGCTCACGAGACCAGAACGAGCGGAGGAAGAGGTGGTCGGGTCGAGGTACAGCGGCTGGCTCGGGGAGCAAGCGAGGAGTGTACGCGGGTCCGGTCGCAGGGCAAGGGCTCGCTACTACAGATCCACGCGTTCTACGGCCTTGTTCGAGTGTTTCTGTTCTTGGTTGTTTGTTCTTAGTTGTTATTAAGACTATATAGAGACTATACTGATATATTGCCATTGTCTTTTGTACATAAAAGACTGCTCTCAGGTGAGCGCTACCGAGCTGTCGTCTCTGCGCTGCGTCTGAGCGCTTTTCATTCAACTCGAAATGCCGATTCTTCCGCTGAGTCGGCGAATTCTGAGTCTGCGGTTTAGTCTTGAGTGCGGGATTGCGTATGGACGTGTCTGCATTGAATACGACAGCTGCTAAGAGATATGTCAATTCTTGTTACTACTGCCAACCTCTTGTCTGCTTGTGTCGACTATAAACTACCAGCATGAAACCCCGAGCTCAATCTCTAATATTACCTAATCTCTTACGCACCATCATTACATAATCTCTCACTAATAACATGGCCCGTGCTTAAGCCTCAGATTTAGCGCTGAGTCTTCCGTCTGTCGGACCGGCATCGGACCGGACGCCTCACTCAAAGACTCACGGAGCTTAATCGGCTTCTTTGTTTTAAATCCCCTCCTCCTCCTCTCCCTCCTTCCTTCTCTTCTCTTCTCACACCTCAATCGCCCACCATGCCCGACAAATCTGCCGCCACGCTCTACTTCCCCGACGAGCCCGTGCAGCCTCGTCTTGTATCGCCCTTCCGCGGCCCGAAAACCGTCAAATCTCTCGAGTCTCTCGGCGAGATCTACGACACCCGCGCCGCCTACATGGTCTGCGACTACCAGCACAGCATCGGCAACTACATCTGCGACGCCGACGGAAACCTCTACCTTGACGTCTACGCGCAGATTGCCTCCATCCCGCTCGGCTACAACAACCCCGCCCTGATCGAGATCGCAAAGTCACCCGAGATGATCGACGCCATCGTCAACCGCCCTGCGCTCGGAAACTTCCCCAGCACCGAGTGGGAGCAGATCCTGCGCGAGGGACTCATGGCTGCCGCGCCTCCGGGTCTCGACAAGATCTGGACTGCGCTGTCGGGCAGCGATGCGAACGAGTGCGCTTACAAAGCCGCGTTTATCTACCATCGCCTCCAGCAGAGAGGCAAAGGCGTCGATTTCTCTGACGCCGAAAAGACCTCGACCATGCTCAACTCCGCCCCCGGCTCGCCCGATCTCGCGATCCTCTCGTTTGAGAAGGCCTTCCATGGCCGTCTCTTCGGTTCGCTGTCCACCACGCGATCAAACCCGATCCACAAGCTCGACATCCCTGCCTTCAAGTGGCCAAAAGCGCCCTTCCCGGCGCTCAAGTACCCGATCGAGGACCACGAAGAGTACAACCGCAAGGAGGAAGACGCCTGTCTTGCCGCGCTCGCCAAGATCATCGACGAGTGGAACGGCACGATCGCTGCCGTTGTCGTCGAGCCTATCCAGTCCGAGGGCGGCGACAACCACGCCACGCCGTACTTTTTCCAGCAGGTGCGCGAGATTACAAAGCAGAAAGGCGTGCTGCTGATTGTCGACGAAGTGCAGACCGGCGTCGCAGCTACCGGAACCTTCTGGGCGCACGAGCAGTGGCAGCTTCCGTCTCCTCCTGATATGGTGACGTTTTCAAAGAAGTTCCAAGCTGCTGGGTTCTTTTACGAGCTCGACGATTTGAGACCGCAGCAGCCGTTTAGACAGTTCAACACCTGGTGCGGCGATCCATCCAAGGCTCTCATCGCGCGCGGAATCGTCAAGGAAGTCAAGGACAAGGACCTCGTCGCGCAAACAGCTCGCGTGGGTGATTATCTCTACAACGCGCTTGCAGAGCTGCAGACCAAGTACCCGGCAAAGATGAGCAATCTGCGTGGCAAAGGACGCGGAACGTTTATCGCGTGGGACGCGCCGGACGTTGATGCGCGCAACCAGTTTTTGCTGGATATGAAGGCTGTCGGGGTTAACATTGGCGGATGTGGCGCGCACTCTGTGCGTCTGCGACCAAGTATGTATTTTGCTGTCTATGACTGATTAAAAAGAGATGTGCTGACTTGTGTTTTCTAGCTCTGGTGTTTGAAGAGAAGCATGCTGATCTCTTGGTCAAGGCGATCGAGGCTGTGTTTTCCAAGTGATTACATAGATGCACTGTACATAGACAAGATAGTATTTGAATAGACCATGAGTAATTATACATAAGTCACTGGGCAAATCCATTTGGTGGACGCTATTACAAGCAGCTTTTCATCAACTATCAGCCGCGTCTGACGCGATGATGTCATCCAAAAAAGGCAAAATAAACAAAATTTTCGTCTGGCGCAGATTTGGCTCGGCCGCAGTGCAGTTAAAGCCCATAACCTCAACCCTCGGTGGCCCGCGAGTTTTCTCTTTAAAAAAAATTCTGGCGAAGGTGTAGATTTGTTCTGTATCGTCTTTACTGCTCTTATTTGCTGCTTTTGCCGGATACCGTTGTGTTTAGTTGTCGGCTTGCTGGTTATTTGTGCTAGTGCATTATATATCCTTGTTCTCTGTCTTTGCTCGTTAGCAGACTCCTCTTTCTCTTGATATCAGCTACTCCCTACATCCCCCCCATCGAATCTTCACCATCATGGCCGTTCGCGCACAGGTGCGTCTCCTCGCTCTATTTGCCACTATATCCTCTATCTGAACATCCTTCTAACTCTCATCTTGCCTGCAGTTTGAAAACTCCAACGAGTAAGCTCCCCGCGGACAAATTCTCCGTTTCTTGCGATCCGCTGCTTCCTGCTACAGCTGCTACAGCTGCAGATGCACTACAATTTATCTGCAATTTGAAGCTGACTGGTTTATCTAGGATTGGTGTTTTCAGTACTCTGACAAACTCATACTCCCTCGTCGCCGTTGGTGCGTCTGAGAACTTTTACAGGTAAGCAGTGCCTCTCATTCTCACACCTCTAGTCGACCAAGCGTAGCAGTCGTCGCAGTCGTCTCAGTCGTCGTTTCGGAGTGAGAACTTTTATTGACAACCGTAAACAGTGTCCTGGAGGCTGAACTCGGAGATGTCATTCCTATTTGCCACACCACTATCGGTGGCACCAGAATCATCGGTCGGTTAACTGCTGGGTATGTATCTCCCTCTCTGAAAGATTTTCAGCACGCCTCTAATCTCCTTCTAGCAACCGCCGTGGACTTTTAGTCCCTACCTCTACAACCGACCAAGAACTCCAGCATCTACGAAATTCCCTACCGGACAGCGTGCGGATCCAACGTGTCGAAGAGCGTCTATCGGCTTTAGGAAACGTCATCTGCTGCAACGACTACGTCGCGCTTGTGCACCCCGACATCGAGCGCGAGACCGAGGAACTGATCTCGGACGTGCTCGGCGTCGAGGTGTTTAGACAGACGATCGCAGACAACGTGCTCGTCGGGTCATACTGCGCGCTCAGCAATCAGGGCGGCATCGTGCATCCCAAGACCTCTATACAAGACCAGGACGAACTCTCGTCGCTGCTCCAGGTGCCGCTCGTCGCTGGTAGCATTAACAGAGGTTCTGCGGTCGTTGGCGCGGGTATGGTTGTCAACGACTGGCTTGCTGTCGCGGGACTTGATACTACGGCTTCCGAGCTCAGTGTTGTGGAGAGTATCTTCAAGCTGCAGGATGCTCAGCAGGGTGCCATCACTGGTTCGCTGAGAGACACTTTGATTGAGACCTACACTTGATTGCAGCCGCTTCTCTCACTTTTTCTCGGTCACATAATTTTACTTCTTTTTTGGTCTTCCAATTAGGACAGGAAAGGAGACAGGAAATAGAGCATTGGCAGAAAGATGGCTCCCGCAAAAGCTTTATCTCGCTCGCACGGCACTTGTTATATACGACTCGAAATTCTTTCTTCTTTTTATATGTTTTTGCGTATCCTGTTGATTATAAGGCGCTGCATTGTTCTCAATCGATTTTGTCTTTGTCCTCTGCTTATGTATATGTTTTTCTTTTGTCACGATATGAACTGGTCTCCTTTTCTGTATCTTAATTGTAAGTTGGTGTTCTCATTATCTATTCTCTCAATTTATTAGTTGTCCCACCATCTTTTGTTTCCTCGTAGAGTGAGTTTGTCATGAGTATGCTATCATACATTTTTGATCGCCTCGTAACCGTAGTAGCTATAAAGACAAAGACTTATAACAGACTCGAAAAGTTCTCAATCACTATATGAGCTTTACGATCTTCGTCCGTCAAAGGCGCATTACCTGGCCGCTCGACCACAAACGCCTCGAGTCCCGCTTCCTTGGCCGCCGCGATTTCTATAAAAATTCATATATTAGCCTCCTTCAGATTTCAAATAAAAAGAGAAGCTAGAGCACCACACCTTTAACGTTATCGCTCAGAAACAGGATATTGTTTTTCTGCTCCCCGGCCGCGATCGTATCCGCGATTTTCTCGTACGAGGACTTGTCCTGCTTCATCCCCGCGTTGACGGTATCATAGTATCCCTGAATTCCCCGCGTCAGATCGCCTTTTTCCGTGTGACTAAACAGCAAAATCTGCGCGTCGACCGATCCAGAGGAGTAGATAAACACTCCTTTCCTCTCCGCCGCCGTTGACTCCGCCGAGGTCCAGATCCTGAACGCATCATACACGTCGTCGAACAGCGGCGCCTTGAGCTCGCCGGACTCGTACCCGCGCCGCCAGACGTAGCCCTGCAGCCCTTTCAGCTCGGGAACTTTCTTGTCCGCGAGTGTGAGCTCGCGGATGTGCTGGTGGAGCACGTCGTAGCTTGTGCGGGAGGTGGGAGGGAAGGCGTCGATGTAGGGCTGTAGGTCTGGAGGGGGGTTTGCGGTGAAGTGGAGTTGCAGCACTGAGGGGACAGTTTTTAGAAAGTATGGAAACTGGGGATTAGTTAGCTCTTCGTGTGCTGTAGATCGAGGCAATTGACGATACTTACGAGAACATCTTTGACAAACGAGATCGAGCAGACAGTTCCCTCTGCAAACAAACGACCGTTAACAATCTCTTATGGGCCACATCCCTCGCCATTCCGTATGCATTTATACTTACCGATATCAAGCAGTATTTTCTTTTGCAAAACAGGCATTCTGGGTATGTCGTGATGTTGTATGATCTGTGTGATGCGAGAATCAAATGTTTCTGGACGGGTGGAATTGATGGGCAAGCCGCAGCGTGCGTGTATTTAATTGAAAATTGCATTTATTGAATTGGGGAAGTAACGACAGCGACTTTTAGAACGTAGCTCGAGTAGTCGGTGTAAGGATTTACAGACGAATCTTAGATAGAATTATGTAGCTGCTTTCACCGAATAATGAGAAAAGTGGGATTGTTGAAGATACTGACGTTCAATTGGAGCAGCTGAACTAGGAACTGAGTGGAACTCTATCTGTCTATGCACCGTCTCGACCAGCTCCCCCACTCTTGTCTTGTATCCTGGCATAGGCAATCACTACTTCCAGCAGCGAAGTAGCTCCGATGAACATCTTCCGTATCCGGGGCGGTGCCGCTACGGCTATGTGTGTATGCACGATCGGTACGTGCAGTAGCTGGTTTTAACTGTACGCCTGTGCTATTCTACGGGATCAAATACGACATAGCAGACGACGCATCTTGGTTATACGAGACGACCGCAGCGAGAACCGTTCGTGAAGCTTACGAGGCGCGCGACTACGACCTGGCGCTTTACGAATACGTCAAGGCTGACGGTGACCTAGCCAACAAGATGTCTGCTATCTACGGCTCGGGCACTCTCAAACCTGAGACTTACGAGTACATGCAAGCAGTAGTGCAACTGGCTATCGAAGATGGCGAAATGGATAGGATAGATTGTCTTGAGCAGATACTACGTTCTGGCGTAGGATTCGATCCACGGATCAGGAGCATTCTGGGATCTGCCGTCGCACCAAGCGAGATTATACAAGCGGAAGAATTGATTGTGACTCCGGAGGAAGGATGTGTGTGTGTTGAACCGATTTATGATTGTTGAGAGTTCGTACAGCAGAGGTGATCTGAAATGGTCGGAGGAGTATGCACGTCGGTAGAGTCTGACAATAGAGCAAATACACAGCCCACTAAAACCGAACTTTTCTCTTCTTCATACAATACACACAGACCCCGAACAGATACCCAAACAATACACAGGAAATAACGAGAAAACACAAGATTACAGCATAAACAGATAGTTCCATTACAGGAAAGAACAACTGGGAAATGGGCGGCGCGTTGACTGTTTACTTTCGGCCAGATGGAGAAACCCCAATATATCGAGCGCGCGTTAACTCAAGTCCGCCCGCTTCGCGCGCCCGCCTCTTCTTCCCTTCTTCTCCCCACCCCCCGACGCTCGTTTTTAGATAGCTCCCCCCTTGCTTTCTGATACCCTCCGTCCTCCAGTCCGAGAGATAGATCGACTTTGATACCCGTCTGATCCCCCTTGCTTTCTGATACCCCTCCGTCCTCCAGTCCGAGAGATAGATCGACTTAGGTACCTGCCTGATGGGCATTCTTGCTGCTTTTTTGTTTCTTGTGCACTTACCCCCCAAGCGATCCTGCCCAGAGACGAGAGTCGTATGGGTAGATTGCTTGGATCCGTAGAACAGGTCCCCTCGGACCCGCGGGACGACTGGAGGATGCTCCACCCCTTCGTCTCTGCGACGCGGGCTTAGTGGTCGATCAGAATAGTATCCACTGGCTCAGCTTGAGATCTCTCTATACCACGGCAACAATACAGTGAGTCCGGTCTTTTTCGATACAGAGCTTTGAACTAACAGAGATTATACAGGCGCATGGGTCCTCTACCGCGCAAACTGCTGCAGAAACGGCCTTGGTAGCCGGTGACCAAGGACGTTGAGCAACTTAACGACCGCGGATGTCGTTAGGTGAAGAAGTCAGACAACTCTAGGGGCCGCCACATTTCTTGCGCTATGTGCGAGGATCACACAGCTCTTGAGCTGACGTGGGAGGACACGTCGTGGCGGCACCGCAGCATCCCCAGAGCCTGACACCCTCCGCAACAACGCAAGTACCGAGCGAGCATGCACATGCTCAGGGAGACACTGTGTTTCCATTGCCGGCTCGGTGCCCTGCGTGGCCGCCCCTTCAACGCCGAGATCAAGTTAGTCTGGCGCAGTTGGTCAGGGCGGTCAATCCGATGAGATTCTTCAAGCCAGGTTGCTCATCCGGATTCAAAACGTCTACGTTGTTCGCGTCTCGACACATATAGCGGCTGGTAAGCTGCGCCGTCGCATGGAGTTAGGCGACGGTCGTGTCGAGAGTCCGCGCGACCAACCGTCTTTGTCTCAACAAGACAGACGAGCGGATTATGCGACAACATTGACAAAACCAGCAATACGGGGGCAGGTCATGAACTGCCTTGGGATGGAGTCGGGTCTTAGTGGGTATGGCGACATCGAGAGAGTCGCAGAGTCCCACATAACTCTTGGCCAGTAATGGCCAAGAGTATGCGTAACGCATTCTTCCCGGTCCTGGCACCAGCCGCTTCGCGCGCGCTCGTTCTGTTCTGTCGTTCCTGTCTGTGCTGTGGATGTGTCTGTGGACTGGTCCTGGCAGTAGGCGGGGTTACTGTTTTCTGTAATGGTAACTGACAGAAGAGAAGGGCGCGCGCGGGGCGGTCCGTATTGTAAAACCCCAAAGAAAAAAAAAATAAACGTAGACTTCTCGTTTGTAGTAGAACAGTAGACAGGGGGATCAGACAGATGGGAGGAGAAGAGTTGGAAGAGAGGAGTTCGAGCGCGCTCGCGAGGGCTGTCCTTTCTCCGCGACGGGAACGCCACTGAATACCGACATATGGGCTTATCATGTTTATTGTAAATAAATGAGATTGATTTTAATCATGCAAGACAGAAGAATAAGGATGATTGAGACAGAGTCGCGAAATGCTGATAACAGCACAGGATCAATACATCGCATGTAACTGACAATACAGCAAATACATAGCCCTGCACCCCACTTAAACCAGACTTCTCTCTTCTTCATACAGTACAAGTCCACTGATGCCTCCTCTCCCCCTCTGACCTCAAACAAATACCCAAACAGAACACAGGAGAAAACGAGAATTCCGTACTGGAGCTGAGCAGGGATCGTCGTTCAGTAGGTGATGACTCCCGCTAGTATCAACGTATACATACCAGACCAGAGACCACAAACAAACCCCTCCAGAGCCCTCACTCGCTCAATTATTCTTCTCAATCACCGTTCGTCAGCTTCAGACAACGTTTAACCATCCTCGAAGCAACATCAGCAGCAAAGTCATAAGCCTCCACGTGACCTAAAAGATGACACACCAAGCCCTCAGGGTTAGGTCGCAAAAGTCAGCGACAGTTTGCAAAAACTTCGCTGGAAAGGTGAAAAAGAGCAAATCGAGGATCTTTCTGGATTGCGTTCTGATTCACCCAATTTCTGCTAATCGAGTAGTTATTTTTGTCTGAAGAGGAGATTTCTTGTTGCATTGCTTGCAGGAAGGAAGAACTGTTTTCGGATTTAAAAACAACGGAAGAAGAAGAGGAGTAGCAATCATGGCGTCTGTTGAGGATGTGACCCCTACGGTCGATGAGTCGGTAAGGATTTCTCTTCGTGCTGCTTTGCATGCAGGGCGGTGACGATGTTTTGTACAGTATTGTACAGAGTGCTGATTGTTCTCTGTAGTTGGAGTTTGATCCTACGATGAAGAAGAAGAAAAAGAAACCCAAAGCGGTGTCTTTTAATGAGTCTGGTGATCTCGATGAGTCTACACCCAAGGAGGAGTCTGGTATGTAATTCTCGTTATGGTTAATCTGTGGAGTAGATCGGTACTTATGGACAGTTGCTAACGTGCGTGTATAGCTGACCCGGCTGTTGACGAGTTGACCGACATGTTTGCGAACCTGAAGAAGAAGAAGAAGAAACCTGCTGCGACCTCAGAGGAGAGCTCGCCAGCGCCGGAAGGCGCCGAGGACGAGAACGTCGAGGACTTTGATTTCAGCGCCAAGAAGAAGAAAAAGAAGAAACCGGCTGTCGACGTTTCCGAGTTTGAGCAACAACTGGAAGAGGCCGGTGTTGTCGAGACCGGGGAGGACGACGACACGTTTACAAAGGAAGGCGAGGAGGGTGCCGAGGACGGCGAGGAGGAGGAGGCAAGCTGGTTGAACAGTGACCGCGAGTATACATACGAGGAGCTGCTACACCGGTTCTTCAAGATCCTGCGCACCAACAACCCCGAGCTTGCGGGCGAGAGAGGACAGCGGTACAAGATTCCACCACCGAGCGTCATGCGCGAAGGTAACAAGAAGACGATTTTCGCGAATCTCAAGGACATTTCAGACCGCATGCATAGACCGTACGAGCACGTCATGCAGTTCTTGTTTGCTGAGTTGGGTACCTCTGGTTCAGTCGACGGTAACGCCCGGCTGGTCATCAAGGGTCGTTTCCAGCAGAAGCAGCTGGAGAACGTTTTGCGACGATATATCAGTAAGCCTATCCTATCTTATTTACTTTTTCTTTGTGCTTCAAGCAGATTTTCTAACAGCTATATGTAGTGGAATACGTTACCTGCAAGACCTGCAAGTCCATCAGCACCCATCTGTCCAAAGAAAACCGTCTTTACTTTTTGGTCTGCGAGTCGTGCGGTAGCCGAAGATCCGTCAGCGGTATCAAGACCGGTTTCCAGGCCCATATCGGAAAGAGAAAGAGACTGCCTGGTTAAGCCCGCTAGAGCTCGGAGAGGCTTTGCTGCAGCAGGCAGCAAGTAGCGTGGCGTGCGAACGACTCAAGATTCATGCTTTGTGGGTTTTCGTTGTTTATGTTTTGTATGCTGTGCTAGCTTTTTGTTGTAGTGCTTCTACTTTGTTTTTGCAGACTTGACTATTTTTGTGACTTTAAGACAGTTTTTTTTTCCATATTTTCTGATTTTCGATCATGCGCCTGTGTTTTAAGAGTATATACATGTATTTTCTCGAACCAAAAAATACCAGCGACTAGCAACTTATTCCTGATTCAATAATGATCGTAGTCTTCTTTTTTCAGATAATTAAGGCACAGCGACCTTGACGCTGGTGCCGTCCTGCTTCCCACTCTCCACTGCCGCGCAGATGACTGCGAAATGGTGGAATCCCTTCTCGCAAGGAACTTTGAGCAAACTCTTATCCTTTGCCCTGACGGCCTCGGCAAAGTTCTTGAACTCAGCAGGCACGCCTTCTTGCTCGTTGCGCTCGACGGCAAGGGATTTTCCAGAAGGCTCGTCGGGGGTGAAGAGGGTTAGCTTGGCGTTGTCTTTGTCGGCAAAGTCGTAGATGATGGAGCCTTTGGTGCCGTGGATGGTCAGTTTGTTGATCCGCGGGACTGAGACGGCCTGAGTGCGTTAGTATCTATGCGTAGAAGAATGAGATTGAAAGATTGACTTACAGAGGTGTATGTGAATGATCCTAACACCCCGGACTTCATTTTGAGGGTCGAAGTGAGGGTGTCGACGTCACCGCTCTGATCCTGAACCTGGGTGGTCAAGGCGGAGAGCTATGAAGAGTCAGCACTATGATTCGGGGAGTCCTGAAGAGATGAATGTGCATACCGACTCGACCTCACCGAGGATCTCGGTAAAGATAGCAACCTGGTGGACGCCGCCATCTACATGATGTCAGTAATCGAAGAGCTCTCTGGCCAGCAATTGAGTCGACATACCAGACAAGAAACCTCCGACGTGCTCGGGCTTTTGTCTCCAGCTCGTGTTGAGATATATATTGTTTGGATTAAACGGCGCGACCGCGTAGTGCGAGAAGTAAACCACGTCGCCGATCTGGCTGAGCACCGCTTTGATCTCGTCGACGATGTGCCAGAACGCAAAGTTCTCGAGCACCATGATCGGCAACTCGGACTCGCGAGAGATGCGCACAATCTCCTTCGCCTGCGCAAGGTTCGCCGCAATCGGCTTCTCGATCGCGATCGGCTTGCCCGCTGCGACGCACTGGTTGACTGCGTCGAGGGTGTACTGCGCCGGGAGGAGGGCGTCGATGGCTTCGACGTCGGGGTCGGCGAGGAGGGCCGTGATGTCGGCGTAGACCTTGTCATGCGGGATCGAGGACTTGGAGGCAAATTCCTGTGCCTTTTCGATGGTTCGGTTTGCGCACGCTGTGAGCTTTAGCTCGGGGACGGCGGAGATGGCGGGCAGATGGCGGGTGTGGGCGAAGATCTATGGAGAGGTTAGCGGTGGATGATCGGTGGAGGCAGTTGAGGAGGGTGCTCACGCCGGTGCCAATGAGTCCAACTTTGAGAGGCGTATCTTGCGACATGATGGTGGTTTGATCGAGGAAATAAGATAGAAGAAGGAAGACGAGGAGGAGGCAAATGAAACAAAGAGCAGGTGGATGATCTGAGCTCTTTGTCTGCAGCCATCGATCCAAGCCGCACAACGCGTAATGGAGGTGGGATGCGATTACTTGCTGGTCTGAGTAGAGTATTCTGGGTATTCTACATTGCTTCTGTTTTATTATTCGAGACGGTCCTGATCTGGGTGGTTGTTTGAATATGTTGCTGTAGTTGAGTTCTGGCTTGATATATCTGTTAAAAGAGTATTCTGCTATGCTGACTTCTGACACAGCAGGCTGACTATACATATCTGGCCAGCAGATACATCATCTGTTGGTTGGCAAACTGCACATGTAGTTCTGTAGTCTATCATAATAAGTATGCCTGTTGAATGGAGATGTAGTTCATATATACAATAATGCAGCAAATGCAGTCTAATCGCATCGCCCGTCCTTCCACCCATCTCTCCACCGCTCCTTCCAGAGGTTACAGTCAAAGACCGGCTTACCCAGCTTCTTGTTGACATCATTATGCGCATCGCAAAGCCATCGGCCAAACTCCTCCTGCGTAGCAACCTTCGGCTCGTTCGCTGGCTTTGCCACGTATTCGCGGAAATCGCTTGCGCAGAACCAGCACGGGTAGATGTTTCCAAATATGCGGATAAAGGACTTCATATCCTTTTGCTGCTCGGCCGAGGCGGTCTCGGGATAGGTCGCGGCTACCGAGTGCAGGAATGTCCATGTCGACCGGCCGATTTCGTTGACGTCCGGCGGACAGTCTTTCGGCACTGGTTTCATGAGGGCGGCGGCGCCGGTGAGTCCCTTTGCCTTGCGGAAGTCAAGAAGGGAGTTGCATGTTCGACAGCTGCAGGCGCGTGTTAGACTGTAGACATCACATAATAGAAGGGGAAGACTCGGTATCGACTCACGGCTTGCCGTCCTTGTCGAGGACGTAGCCCTTGGGCAGGTTCTTTGGATCGATAGGCTTCTTCGAGTCGTCGTCGCCTTTGCCTTTTTTCGGCGGCATGGGCGGATCGTCGACCTGCTCTACTAATATTTCCGACATTAATGTGTAGATGAGTATATGCGGTATGCAAGGACGTGGACACGTAAAAGAAGGTGGAGTGCGGGTGGATCAGGTCAGCATCAGAGTGAATCTACAATAAGCTCGGGGATTCGATAAGCTGCGCGAGGACTATGCTACGGTTCACCACAGTCCTTTACAGCAGCCAAAGACAGCAGACAGAAGACTATATAATCATATAGTATTCATTCAAATCTATCTACTATCTCTGCAGATCATACAAATATCCGCAGAAATCACCACTCTCATCCCGCTCTGCAGAAGGCCTGCGAACAAAACAAACGACCAGCTGGTCTCCGTGGTTAGGGCCACCAGAATATCGACAAACATCCTCCATCGTCTCGCATCCATCTCCTCCATCCCATCCACCCATGTCCGTCCCTCCGAATCCCTCAGATCCCTACCAGCAAAACGGCTACGGGGCCCAGTACGGTGCTGCTGCTCAGGTCCCCCCTGTCGCCGCCCCGGGATACCAGTCACCGCCGCCTGCCCAGGCTGCTGGAGTTCCCCCGGCTGCTCCTACTGCCGCCGCTGCTGGTGTCCCTCCCATGGCCGCTGCAACCAACCCGGCGCCTTCGGGCCACAGGTCCAGGCGCATGTACCCTGCCGAGCAGTACACCTTCGGCACCGCCCCCGTAACCGGCGCGGATCCAGCCGTCGTCCAGCCTGCGGCCGCTCCCTACGGCCAACAGCCCGTCTACGGTCAACAGCCGCAGGCTGCCCAACAGCCATCCTACGGCATCGACCCGGCTGCTGCTGTTCCTGCTGCTCCTGGTGTGCCTGCTCAGCCTGCTTATACCGGGTTCCAGCCAATTGGTGCCCAGCCGGATGCGGGCCTGTCGCAGCAGTTCTCACAGATGAACATCGGCACTGCCCCTGGCTCCGCTCCACCTGTTGCTGTACGTATCCTGATTGTTTTTTCTTCCTTTCGTGGTTTTGCAATCGCTGTGGGAACAGATCGTTTTTAGTCTGATACAGATGTGATCTGTTTTGCGTGTTTGCTTTCTGGAACCGAGCCGATCTGATGGTGCTCTCCTCAATGCTATACTGACTTCTTTTCTCTCGCCAGGGTCCACTCAATCAACTGTATAACATTGACCTTCTTCAGCAAGTGCCACCACCTATCAGCGACTTGGATCTGCCTCCGCCGCCTATTATCCTTCCTGCGAAGGTATCTTGATCTCCGATTGGTTTTTCTGTTGGAAAATTTGTCCGCCTACTGACGATCAATAGGCCTCCGTGACCAACTCGCCCACCGCCAATGCTGGTCTTCCTTACATGCGGTCAACTTTGAACGCGGTGCCCACCACAAACTCTCTGCTCAAGAAGAGCAAACTTCCTTTTGCCGTTATAATCCAGCCATATACGACTCTGCGCGAAGACGAGGCTCCTGTGCCAGTGGTATCAGACTCTGTTATCAGCCGATGCAGACGCTGCCGAACTTATATCAACCCATTCATCACCTTCATCGAGCAAGGCCACAGATGGCGTTGCAACATGTGCAATCTCACCAACGATGGTATTTATCTCATGTCTGGAGTCATTGTTGGAGTACACTCACTAACTGGAATCAATCTAGTTCCCACCGCGTTCGATTGGGATGCGCGCAATCAGAAACAGGTCGATCGTTGGAGTCGTGCCGAACTTAATCACTCTGTCGTCGAGTTTGTCGCTCCACCAGAATACATGGTGCGACCGCCACAGCCTCTCATCTATACTTTCCTTATCGATGTTAGCGCACCGGCCGTTGCTAGTGGTAGGTTCTGTATGCCTTGGTCTGAATGTTGATTCTCTTTGTTAACACGTTCTGTCTAGGTCTCGTTGCTACTACTGCTAGAACAATTCTCGAATCACTCGATCGCATTCCTAACAAGGACAAGCGTACGCGTGTTGCGTTCATCTGCGTCAACCAGTCGCTTCACTACTTTTCAATTCCTCCTCCTCCGGCCCCGTCAGAACCGGCCATGCTTGTCGTTTCTGATCTGGACGAGCCTTTCTTGCCTATTCCTCACAACTTGCTTGTTCCTTTGGCCGAGTGCCGTGAGGGCATCGAGCTGCTTCTCAACAAGTTGCCAGATATGTTTGCCAACAGCGCCAGCACTGGCAATGCCATGGGCCCTGCTCTCAAGGCCGCCCACAAGCTTATTGGAAACATCGGTGGTAAGATTGTCTGCCTGATGGCCAGTTTGCCAAACCTGGGAATTGGAAAGCTTGAGCCCCGGGACGATAAGAAATCTCTCAGTGCGGGCGCGGAGAAGTCGCTACTCCACACGCAAAACTCATTCTACAAGGCCTTTGCGGTGGAGTGCAGCAAGAGCCAGGTTACGGTTGACATGTTTTTGTTTTCGTCGCAGTACCAGGATGTTGCGTCGCTGAGCAACCTGCCTCGTTACACCTCCGGTCAGACATACTTCTACCCTGGCTGGAACGCGGGTCGATCAGAGGATGCAATCAAATTTGCGCACGAGTTTAGTGAACATCTGTCTATGGAGATTTCTCTCGAAGCAGTTCTCAGAGTGCGCGCTACGAACGGTATCCGCATGAACACCTTTTACGGAAATTTCTTCACTCGGTCCTCCGATCTCTGCGCGTTCCCCAGTTTCCCGCGCGACCAGAGCTACTCGGTCGAGGTTGCGATCGATGAGACGATTGCGAAGCCGTTTATCTCTCTACAGGCGGCGGTTCTGCACACGACTTGCAACGGCGAGCGCCGGATCCGGGTTATGACGCTTGCGATCCCCACCACGCAGAACCTCGCCGATGTGTACGCGTCGGCGGATCAGGTTGCAATCACTGCGTTTTACGCGCAGCGCGCGGCCGAGAAGGCGTTGTCGTCGGGCTTGCCTGAGGCGCGTGACTTGGTTGTGGGCAAGCTTGTGGAGCTGCTGACTACGTACCGCAAGGAGCTGATGACTTCGAACGTGGGAGCGAGCGCGCCTCTGCAGTTTTGCGCAAACTTGCGTCTGCTGCCGTTGCTGTTTCTGGCGTTGATCAAGCACGTTGCTCTGCGAAAGACGGCTGCGATCCCGTCTGATTTGCGGTCTGCTGCTTTGGATTTGCTGGGAACTTTGCCGGTCAAGTACTTGCTGCAGTACATCCACGCCGATCTTTACTGCTTGCACAACATGCCTGAGGAGGCCGGCAAGCCGGATGAGAAGACGGGCGAGATCGTGCTACCGCCGAAGCTGAATCTGAGCGCTGCACTTATCGAAAGATACGGCTTGTACCTGATCGACGACGGTCAGACTCAGTTCTTGTGGGTCGGACGTGATGCCGTGCCGCAGTTGATTATGGATGTCTGGGGCCTGCCTTCGCTGGAGCACGTGAAGACCGGCAAGACGACGCTGCCTGTTCTCGATACTGATCTGTCGCAGCGGATAAACGCGGTGATCAGCAAGCTACGAGAGAAGACGGGGTCGATTGTGTGGCCGAACCTGTACGTCGTGCGTGAGGACGGCGATCCTGCGCTGAAGCTGTGGGCGTCTACGTTTTTGATTGAGGATCGCGCGGACCAGGGCGCGAGCTACCGGGAGTTCTTGACCAACATGCGGGAGCGTGCGAACTGAGCGGGCGGGGTTCATATGTATATGATTTTATAATATAGTAGCGAGGGCGAGAGAAGGCGAGAAGAAAAGAGAGAAAAAAGACAAAAAAGATTGGAGAAAAGAAAGAGCAGTCTGTTGAAATTTTCTATATAAATTTTTAGTTTTCTTTTTTTAGTTTACAGCACCACCGATGTACAATGATTCTGCAGAAATAATTACTATTTTGCTTGTTCTTTTGAGCGTCAGAGTTGAGTTGAGTGTTTGATGCATATATTCGGTTCCAGCTGAAGTTGTGACGAAAGTGGTGAAGAGGGATTGCGTGGACGACGATGAAACACGGGACCGAGGCCAACCCTGCGGCAGGCACGCGTCGCGCACGCAGCAGCGAGAGGAGGATGAGCGTGGATGTAAACAGAGATAATGGTAGATATGTAGTCTATAAGAGTAGTAGATGTATAATCATCTATTATAAAATGCGTTATCTGCAAACACTTTTGATTTTCTCTTATCAGAACTGAGTCTGAAGGGGTTCAACAGTTGTCAGAAGCTGCTGGGTTTGAGAAATGAGCCTCACAGCTTAATAGCCCTCCTCCACGCGCACTTGCCTCCTTCCCCCTTTGTCTGTCTTTCCCAGCGGATTCTTGTTTCTGGCTTTGCATTCTAGTCTTCAAGAAACTGTTTATTGAAGATCGTTTTGGATATATTTGGAAATTGGACACGGTAGGTTGCTGGTTCTCACTTCTGACGAGCGGCGGCGAGGAAAGCGTGGCTTTTTGATACTCGTGCTGACGAGACGCGCGGTAGTCAAGACCGCTATACTCCAGGAAGGAAGAATTAGCAAGAACTGTTGAATTTGGTTTGAATATTACTACAAAGTGAGTAGAACCAGCCCGACTGTGCTTTATCTTTCGCGAATCTATGCTAATCTAATCCTACTGCACCGCGTCAGGTCAGTCCATTCACCATCCACCCACACCCACCATGGCTGCTTCAAATTACCAGTCCAACCCGCGTAAATTCTCATTCAACGTGTCAGATCAGTATGAGATTCTCGATGTAGTAGGCGAAGGCGCTTACGGTGTTGTCTGGTAAGTACCCCAAGTCTCTTCATGAGATGACAATGGGATCACGATTTACTAATTTGATTCGTGTACAGCTCCGCTATCCACAAGCCGTCTGGGCAGAAAGTAGCGATCAAGAAGATCACGCCTTTTGATCATTCTATGTTTTGTCTGCGCACACTGCGCGAGATGAAGCTTTTGAAGTACTTCAATCATGAGAATGTACGTATCTTTGTCTTCTAATTTGTCTTTTTATCATGTATACCCCACGCGTGTTGAACACCACAACTAACAAATCGCGAAATGTGCAGATAATCTCAATCTTGGACATCCAGCGACCTAGCAGTTTCGATCTATTTTCCGAAGTGTATTTGATTCAGGTTCGTGCTTTGCTTGTGCTTTTTCTGATCCTAAAGATCACCCTGCTAACTTGGCTGTTCAGGAGCTCATGGAAACGGACATGCACCGAGTAATCCGCACCCAAAAACTATCAGACGACCACTGCCAGTACTTCATCTACCAGACCCTCCGCGCTCTGAAAGCCATGCACAGCGCAAACGTTCTCCACCGCGATCTGAAACCCTCGAATCTGCTTCTGAACGCAAACTGCGATCTCAAAGTCTGCGACTTTGGCCTCGCGCGCTCGGCGGCCTCGACCGACGACAACCAGGGCTTCATGACTGAATACGTTGCGACGCGGTGGTATCGTGCGCCGGAAATCATGCTGACGTTTAAGGAGTACACCAAAGCTATCGATATGTGGAGCGTGGGCTGCATCCTCGCCGAGATGCTCACGGGCAAACCTCTGTTTCCAGGAAAGGACTACCATCACCAGCTGACCCTGATTCTCGACGTGCTCGGCACTCCGACTATGGAGGACTACTACGCCGTCAAATCCGCCCGTGCGCGCGAGTACATCCGCTCGCTCCCGTTCAAGAAGCGCGCGTCCTTCGCCGCTATGCTGCCGGATACGAACCCGCTCGCCGTCGATCTGCTGGAGAAGATGCTGATGTTCAACCCTACCAAACGCATAACCGTCGAAGCCGCGCTGCAGCATCCGTACCTGGAGCCGTATCATGACCCTGATGACGAACCCACGGCGCCGCCGATTCCGGAGGGGTTCTTTGATTTTGATCGGAGGAAGGATGATTTATCCAAGGAGCAGCTTAAGCGTAAGTTTTCGCGTGTGTTTTATTTAATAGAAAAGAGATCGAGCTAATAATGATGTTTTCTGCAGAGCTGATTTACAACGAAATCATGGGTGTGTAGTTCAAAGTCTATACGCAATATAAAGCATACATTTCACCTCATGGACTTTCGATATAATCACAGCAGATGTGAATGAAGCTGTGGAATAGTGCTCTGCAGCCTTAATTTTTGCCGTAGTTGTTGTACCGTTCGTAGTAGAGATGGAGGAGTATGAGCTCAAACCATTTTGATCGTAATGGATCGGTAAAAGGAACTCGAGTAATCATCTCATACCACAAGAAACAGAAAAAAATTCTAAGACAGAATAAAGGCCACAATTCAGCAGAAACAGCAAACTTCAATTCAAATCGATACTTCCACTATAAGAAAAAACAATGGGGAAATGGGCGGCGCGTTGACTGTTTACTTTCGGCCAGATGGAGAAACCCCAATATATCGAGCGCGCGTTAACTCAAGTCCGCCCGCTTCGCGCGCCCGCCTCTTCTTCCCTTCTTCTCCCCACCCCCCGACGCTCGTTTTTAGATAGCTCCCCCCTTGCTTTCTGATACCCTCCGTCCTCCAGTCCGAGAGATAGATCGACTTTGATACCCGTCTGATCCCCCTTGCTTTCTGATACCCCTCCGTCCTCCAGTCCGAGAGATAGATCGACTTAGGTACCTGCCTGATGGGCATTCTTGCTGCTTTTTTGTTTCTTGTGCACTTACCCCCCAAGCGATCCTGCCCAGAGACGAGAGTCGTATGGGTAGATTGCTTGGATCCGTAGAACAGGTCCCCTCGGACCCGCGGGACGACTGGAGGATGCTCCACCCCTTCGTCTCTGCGACGCGGGCTTAGTGGTCGATCAGAATAGTATCCACTGGCTCAGCTTGAGATCTCTCTATACCACGGCAACAATACAGTGAGTCCGGTCTTTTTCGATACAGAGCTTTGAACTAACAGAGATTATACAGGCGCATGGGTCCTCTACCGCGCAAACTGCTGCAGAAACGGCCTTGGTAGCCGGTGACCAAGGACGTTGAGCAACCTAACGACCGCGGATGTCGTTAGGTGAAGAAGTCAGACAACTCTAGGGGCCGCCACATTTCTTGAGCTATGTGCGAGGGTCACACAGCTCTTGAGCTGACGTGGGAGGACACGTCGTGGCGGCACCGCAGCGTCCCTAGAGCCTGACACCCTCCGCAACAGCGCAAGTACCGAGTGAGACTGTGTCTCCTTTGCCGGCTCGGTACTCTGCGTGGCCGCCCCTTCAGCGCCGAGATCAAGTTAGTCAGGCGCAGCTGGTCAGGGCGGTCAATCCGATGAGATTCTTCAAGCCAGGTTGCTCATCCGGATTCAAAACGTCTACGTTGTTCGCGTCTCGACACATATAGCGGCTGGTAAGCTGCGCCGTCGCATGGAGTTAGGCGACGGTCGTGTCGAAAGTCCGCGCGACCAACCGTCTTTGTCTTATCTCGACAAGACGAGCGGATCATGCGACAACATTGACAAAACCATCAATACGGGGGCAGGTCATGAACTGCCTTGGATTGAAGCCGGGTCTTAGTGGGTATGGCGACCTCGAGAGAGTCGCAGAGTCCCACATAACTCTTGATCACTCGTGGTCAAGAGTATGCGTAACGCATTCTTCCCGGTCCTGGCACCAGCCGCTTCGCGCGCGCTCGCTCTGTTCTGTCGTTCCTGTCTGTGCTGTGGATGTGTCTGTGGACTGGTCCTGGCAGTAGGCGGGGTTACTGTTTTCTGTAATGGTAACTGACAGAAGAGAAGGGCGCGCGTGGAGCGGTCCGTATTGTAAAACCCCAAAGAAAAAAAAAATAGACGTGGACGTCTCGTTTGTAGCTAAAAAGTAGACAGGGATATCAGACAGATGGGAGGGAAAGAGATTGATGTGAACAGTATTCGTCGGATCCACAAAGACAAGTCCTCACATTTTTATTCTAATATACATTTGCAAAGTCAAATAGATCCAGCCTACAAATAGCCCTGCTAATACAAGACAACTATTAAACCACAGAGTAGAAACAGCAGAAGCAGCGGATAGAAACCTGGCCGACAAGACCTCATGAGCCGCACAGGGACAAAACCTCCTGTAAGCGGCATAGTAATTGGTTGCCATAGCGACGCAAATCTCTCACGCTAAGCCTAAAACAGAACACTAAACACAGCCCGATTTGGCAAATGGTAAAGCGACCGGTCCGCCGCCCTCGAGTGCCGCATGAGCTCTGACGCCGTCCTTCCTTCTTTTTCTCTTCCGCATCTTCCTCTCTGCTCTTCTTCTTCTGCTCAGTATATACGCTTGAAGATTTCCTGCTTGCTCGTCTCTGCTTGTGCTTTACAATTGTGCTTATAAAAGACTCTTACTCTCGTCCTCGATCTGTCCTCTTGCTACCGACAGTCATCTACAATGTCTTCTTCTCTGATGAACATCCAGTCTCTGGATCAGAAACTTGCTTCTGCCTCTGCCGTCGCCCCTGCCGCTCCAGACATGCAGCCTCTCCAGGCTACTGAAGGACAGAACGTCCAGCGCCAGATCTTGCACAACAAGTTCCTCGAGGCGTAAGTATCCCGTCACGTTTCGTCAATCGAGTCTGGGCAGTCGGATCTCGTACTAATCACACCTCTTTATAATTGACAGTCGCACCAACTTTGCTTCGCCTACCGATAACCTGATGTCGCCTTGCACCGCTAAGCTCCAGGCCCACAAGAAGAAGCACTACACAAAGTACGCCATCCCGATCACTCGCTCTTCCAGATTCGAATGATAAGCTAACAAGTACATCACCAGGACTAAGCCGCAACTGTTGAGATTCGGCAACCTTGCCACCTCAACCACCGCCGACAAGGAGAACGCAGCCGAGAAACCCAGCCGTTTCGCCAACTCTGGTGTTTTCGGCTTGTAATCTCTCTTATCGTTTCTTTGTTCTTGTTTGCCTGTTCTTTTCGACGGGCATTTCGCAGTACGCATCTATTTAATTGGGTCCAAAGTATTTTTTTCCAATTTTGTAATTGAAGCAATTTCATTTCTTCGCCCGGTCCCTGTTTACAATATAGTTTGGGATTGTGCTTGTTATCAATCGTTTCGTGAGGTTTTCTTCTCTTTTCATTTGCTTGTCTTTGTTCACATTCTTTCTGCTTTTTGCTTTTCTTTGTTGTTTGTTCTTTTGTACAATGGCGCAGGAATTTTACTTCGCGGAGTATTGCGAAGAGGAATAATTGTTTTTTTATATATCTCGAAAGTATTGTACGCCAGTCGGTCTATACTGTCTGTGCGTCGTGTGGTGGTTGTGGAGGAGAGGGTTAGCAAGTTTGTGGGGCCGATTCATTAGTTTTAAATACAGTCAAGAATTTGAATTGCATTCTAGTCGATGTTCTGTAGAGACGATATATTGATTGCCTATTCACTTCTTCGCCATGCGAGCAAGCAACTCGTCGTCGCTATCGCCAATCTCCCCTTCAGATGCATTCTCGGCATGTTGCACTTTGACTTTCCCCGACGAAGATCCTCTGTGCCGTCGCTCGGGCGCGGTAGCAGCCTCTGTACTCTTCACAGCCGCCGTGGAGCCTGTATTCTTCACGGGCTCTGCGAAGCCGATCGGGACAGACCTCGGAAACGTGCGGTGCCCCTGCACCTGTTGTGGAGTCAACGGTACCGTGCCGCTATCTGACATTGCGACATCGTAATCCGGCGCAGGTTCGGACGGCTCAGCACCGCCGCCGACGGTGAACGAGATCAAATCCGAAGGCTCGTCATCTGCTTCCGCAGAGTTCGAGGTCGCTTCGTCCGACGAGCTCGAAGATGACGGGTCTGGGTTCAGCTCGCTGGCTAGAGCTTCGTTGTCTCGTCTGAGGAATTGCAGGAGGCCTGGGTTCAGTAGCGGAAGATCGGAAGAGCTGGCGTATGCAGCGTCAGAGGCGTAGATTGCAGTAACCGCGCCTTCGACGCGGGCGGTATCAACTACTTGCTCGACGTTCACCTGTCGGATTATAAACGGCCCATCACTCGAGCTGCTGTCGTCAATATACGTGACGTGTAGCCACTTGTCGCTACAGAGCGGCGGTGTATCTGCCGTTGGATCTGAGGACTCAGGCTCGTCCATGTCAATCAGATCATCTTCCTTCTCAAGCACCCCTGTTTTCACAAAGAACGAAGAGTCAGAGATAACAACACCGGCGAGCGTATACCGATGAAACTCAAGCTTCTTCAAGTTTTCGTCGTCAGGTACTGAAGAAGGATCGCTCATGAAGTTTGAGAGAGCGTCGATTTCTCGGGACAGCGCGGTGATTTTCCTGTTGATGCGATCGACGAGCGAGTCGAGAGATGCCGTCAGCTTTGTGATTTTTTCGTAGACTTTGATGTGGTTTTTCGATGCTGACGAACGCTCGGACTCGGAAGGTGGGGTGAAGTATAACCGAGTTGCGTTTAGTAGTGAATGGGTATTGAAGCCCTGGAAAGTCGTTAGCAGCAATTCTATAACAGAGGAAGTAGTCTCGACGAAGGTAGCGTACTGGGTATTCGGTTATCATCTTTTTCCTCTTCTCAAGCTCCTCAATGCGACCAAACAGCTCTGTTCGTCGCGCTACATTCGGCTTCATGACATCTTTGAAAGCCGGAGTATACCGATCCGGATACCACGTCGTCGGCAGCTCAACGCCCGTACCCGCCATCCCGCTCTCCTGATGGATTGTCATTGTGAATATGTGAGCTACGGTCTTCAAACAGACGTCAGGTTCCGCGGACCACAGGAGACTATCGAGGTGGCCGGTAAGCGACTTGTAGATATCTCGCAAGTCGCTTGAGATCACGACGTCCAAAGTGGTGAATTTCTGCTCGGTGCTGGTGTCGTCAGGGAGAGAGATCGGGCTGTCGACAACGGCAAGACTGGTGAATAAGTACTCGCCGATGGGATCGAGCGTATTTGTTGACGGCGCCACGGTGTTGACTAACCGTTTCAGATCTGGGCTTAGATCGAGAGTGTCGGCGTAGTGGCCGGTGACAAACTCCCAGGTTCGCTGGAGTAGGACGACAGGTTCACTATCCATCAAAAAATCTGCGTGCACAAGATCGACGTACGAGTCCCCGCAAGACGACAACGCACGAACGAGGTTCTCAATGCTCGCCCATGCGCGCTGCGACTCGTCCGAAGACCCGGTTTGGTCCAAGAACGCCATTATTCGCTGGATCTCAACCAGAAGCGAGAGACGGTGCATGTCTTGGTTGGTGATTTCGGAGGAGGCAAATCCAGGCACGAAAATCTGCTGCTTGTCCCACCACCGGTCGGCGAAGCCGTAGTCTTCGACCAGCTGTTTGCCGAATAGCGAGAGTGCGCTGCGAGCGAGGGGGACTGAGTGTAGGACGGTGAGGTAGGGTGCTAAATAAGGAGCAGGAGCGCAAGGAAGCAGTGTAGGGATCCTTGAGATGAGTTAGTCGACTATACATATACTTCGAGTAAGGATCACAGCAGTACTTTTCAGGCTCGCGCCGAGCATTTTCGAGGATCTGGGGAGAAAGCCCTCCGCTCCCGATCTGAACTACACCCCACTCGTCTGCGTCATATGTTTGTCTGGTGGACGGTCTGAGCACGCCAGTTTCCTGCTGTGAATCAATGTCCATTCCGGAGTCTGTCAGACTTTGCAGGGACATGCGCATAGCTTTTGCCATATCGTCTTCTATCGGACAATAGTGTTAAAACGGGCAATAAAAGGAGGTAAGGCCACGGCGATCACTTACCCTCGTCATCGTCCTGCCCGCTGAGGTCGACGACCTGCTCACGAACAAATGGCCTGTCATTCGGGAGAGGCCGAGACGTGGAATCGTAGAATGTTTCGGGTGCGAACGCCTCTTCACAATACTTGATTAGCAATAGCAGCACAGTGACCAGACACATGGACACATACGAATCTCGTGCTCGCTGATTTGAGGTTGCGGGCTCACTTTCGCCGTTCCTGAGCTCTCGTTGAGGTCCTCCCAATTAGCTTTGGTGAATTGAGTCTCGTCCCAGGTCATTTTCTTGCGGTCCTGGACAAGATACGAGTGAGAATGCTGTATAGACTCTGACATATATCAGTAGACAAAAACAAACCTCCTCAATCCGACCGGAGAACATGTAGTCGATCGCGCGCTCGACATCGTTATTCGATTGCTGGAATATCAAGATCAGCTCGCGTTAAACAACAACCACCAGCTCCTCCCACGATGCCGACTCACTTTCAACGCAAATATGGCATCGTCCCGGCTAATGCCCATGTCAACCATCGAGTTGACTTTGGCGTCCGCCATGATTCGCGCTCTCGGATCTGTTCCTGATCAACAATGGGGGATCCCTCACACTTCCGGCTCGCGAAGCCTGACGGTGTTATGACGACGAGCACGAGCCCTCGCCTGCGTTCCACGTGACTTCCCAAAGCGACACTCACGTGACTACTCCGACAGGCGGACCCCTTTTCGTGTTTCCTCTTTCGGACTTGGCCCTGCGTCCACGTCTTCGGTTCTTCGCCAGGTCCTCCTCTGTTTCGCTGCCCGTCGGAGAACTTCTGAACAGCAGCATCAGCAGCATCAGCAGAAGCACCAGCAGCTGCTCTTCTCTCGTTCACGCGCGTAGGTCGACTTCCGCTCGTTTAAGTCGAACTGTTCCCGTGTGGCCTCTGTCTGCCGCGTGTCGACTTACCGCCCGCCGACTGCTCTTCGCGACCTTTGTCTGTCGCGAGCCATACCCAGACCTCTCTGCAATAACCCCGTCCGCATCCACCTTCTTTTGCAGCATTCACTACTTTCCCATTGTCTTCTTATATGGCAAACGCCTCCTCCACCGTCTCGGCCTCGGCCTCGTCCGGCCCCGCGAACACGCCGATGCAGCTATCCGCATCCCAGCACTCGCAGACCTCGCCCGTCGCCGCCCCGTCCCAGCTCGGGACGCAAGGCTTCCAATCCCAGACCCAGGCAGCGCTGCCACAGTCCTCGTTCATGCAATGGTACGACTCAATTGACAGCACGAACAGCAGCAACAGCGCCGGCAGCACCCTCACAAACAGCTCGAGCACCGCGTCCTCCCTGCAACAGCCTTACGGCATCAATCCGTCCATGCAGATGGCAAACGCCCGTCAACATCACTTGCGCCGCGCGCAGTCCCGGTATTTCGAGCCAGCCAGAGGACAACCAGAGACCGTCGGGCTCGACGGCCTCGCCGGCGCGATCTCTGGCATGAGTATATCGTCCGGCCGACACCCCTTGCTCGCGCAGCCATCGTTCGACCAGTCCGTTGACGCGCCGATCGACGACTTTAGTCTGCTCCCTGGCGAACAGTCTACTCGTTTTGACCCGCTAGGACGCGGCGGTCCTCAGCTCATTCAGCAGCCGTCGTCCGAATACGTGTGGAAGCAGGTACGCGCCTCCAACTTTTTTATACATATCTACAAAAGAAGAAATAGCTAACGTGAATTGATTTGCTTGATTGTAGGAATACCTTGCACAGCCTCGGATGCCGTTTCTAAGCAATGGAACATACTCCATCCCATCATCTGCTGGCGCGCAATCGCCCTCCAAATCCGAACAGAGCCTATTCTCAGAGACCAACGTCGAGTTTTCCACCTCCCCCCAAAACTACACCAGCACCCTCAACAGCAATGGTTCGAATGCTCAACCCAACTCGTACAACACCCCTGCCTCGAACGCGACTACCTCATCGTCGGCTCCGACAACGAGTGCCGCGCTTCCAGAAGACGATCTGATTCCGACCGCGATTGTGATCAAAAACATCCCCTTCGCGGTGAAGAAAGAGCAGCTTCTGGACACGATGATGTCGCTCGGCCTCACGCTTCCCTACGCATTCAACTACCATTTCGACCAAGGCGTGTTTCGGGGCCTTGCGTTTGCGAACTTTGCGACGGCCGAGGATACCGCGAGCGTGATCAAAGTGCTCAACGGGCACGAAATCTCGGGCCGCAAGCTGCGCGTGGAGTATAAGAAGATGCTGCCGGCTGCGGACCGAGAGCGGATAGAGCGCGAGAAAAGGAGTAAGCGGGGACAGCTGGAGGAGCAGCACCGGAGTAGCTATTCGCAATTGCCAAAGATGGCTTCGACCTTGTCGATGAATAGCTTGACTGCAGTCGACAGCGCCTCCAGCGGCGGCATGTCGTCCACGACTGCTGCCGGATCCTCGCCGGCGTCGTCCGACCTCGATCTGAACGACCCCGAGACGCTGATGATGTACTCCGAGATCCTTCTCTTCCGCGACGACCACAGCCGCGACGAGCTGATTTTCGGTGCGGATCTGTCGCCTGTCCAGCGACGGAACGTGGCTATGCTGGCGAACGGCATGGGTCTGAACCACACTGTCCGCGGCACGAACGACGGGCGCGAGATTGTGATTCGGCGCCGGACTTCGCCTGCACAGGCGCCGTTCGCGCAAGCTATGCTAGCGAAGCAGAAGCAGCAGCAGCAACAACAGCAGCAGCAGCAGCAAAAGTTGCACTATCGTGCACCACCTGCGGGTACTCGGCAAACGCTGTTTGACTCTGCCGCGCGAAACGAGTTCCTGGGTCTGAACGAACCGCATAACCTACGAGGCACGAGATCATACGCCGACATCCAATCGACGGTGCGGTATAGCGGGCCGACTTTACACCCCGTGTCGTCGAACGGCAACATGCAGCATTCGATGATGTACGGCGGGTACCGCCCCGGTCCCTGATCTTCATGTCTTGACCATCTTTTTCCATTTTTGTATAAATATCGCGTTCTGTACTGTACAGCTAAAAAAACTATTGGGTTCGGTGTTTTTTTTTCTTTTCTTCTTCTATTTGCTCGCTTTGACGCACTGTATTGTTAGCCGCCCACACTGTTCCCGTTCACGCAACAAGAACGAGCAGTATCTATTTGTCTTCTTCTTTTACACCATTTTGTTTCTCTTTTGGGTATACATGCGCAGCAGCAGCGCAGCAACCGCTAGCATCTTTTGTTGTGGGGTAATGTCTTGCTTTGCGTTATATACACAGTCTTTGTTTTTGCGTGTATAGCTACATCTACATGTCTCTTTTCCTTTTTGTCTTTCTATATATAACTGTTTTGTTGCTCTGTGAATCTTATGTACCATTTCTCTTATATTTTGTTTCCTTTGTTTCTCATTGCTTTTTTCCTCACGAAAGATATTCGTCTTTCCTATGTTGTCTTGTCTGTCAACACCATGACACCATTAATGTCAAAAAACGAACTTCCCCGCACGCATTCACGAGGGAAGCCAATCACGCGAAAACGAACCAGGAGCTCAACCGCCAGCACCAGCACCACCACCACCACCACCACCACCAGCCAGACGATGACGGATGACCACGAGATGAAATAATTACGCACTAGACGACGAGGATGAGCGACGGGGCTGTACTTTGGAGCCGCTGAAATGGGGGGAAGGAGGGGGAGACGAGGACGACTCATGTTTATGCGATTGCTGCTATGCTGCTCATGAACTTCAGCACGAACACTATCTGCTTTTAGTCTTTTTTTCTAGTTGTTGTTGTTGTTGTTGTTGTTGAAAACGAGTGCACTAAAATTGGCATCGGGCTTTAATCATGTAATAGAAGCACTTCTGCGTGCTTGATTTTGATATACCTACAAAATGTTTTCTGTTTTGTTTTGTTTTGTTAAGTTTTGTTTTGTATTGTAACGAATGAGGATACGGGATATACGACTACTGCTCTTTTCTCTTTCTTGTTAATCGTCGAGTTTATATCAATCATAAAGACTTACTACATATCTCATGAAGGCAGATCTTGATCTCGGTTACTTGCTCCTGCTGTCGTATGTATTTTGTATACAATCTTTAAATCCATTCGCGTAGTCCACCAAGACCATTTATCGTCTATACCACCGACATATATATAACCGACTCAAAACTGAAACAACATGTTTTTATAGTCACGCCCGACATCGTTCCCGTTCGGCGAGACGGAAGACCCTGCCCTGCCCTGCCCCGGCATCTTGGTTCGGCTGTTTTTCTGATCCGGCTATTTTTGATCCGAGCGCAAGTTCGGTGTATGCTTATAGATAAAATAAATAAATATATATGAAAAAGGAAGTTGATTTGTGTATGAAGTAGGTTGTGGAAGGCAAGTTATATCCTAAAAAAGCGAGTCTTTTGTTAGCCGATCGCTCGTAACGGTCTCCATCTCCGTCTCAGTCTTTCTCACTCAGTGAGCGATAAAAGTGCAGCAGAACTACTTATGCAGTGTATCAAACGAAATCAATTTTAGAGTTACAATAAACAGAAGACAATAATCAGTAGTACGTATTCTCAAATAAGCAAAGAAAAATTTTTTTAAAAAAAGATCATGTATCAAACACGAGCGAGAGAGAATCGAAGGGTGTGATGTCGGAGATGGGAGATCTAGGATCTAAGGTGTGAAGATGACTTACTTCGCAGCAGGAGCGACGATGAAGTCGACGCCCTTGGTGATGTTGGTGGCCAAGCCCTTGAAGGCGACCTGGAGCAGACCCTTTTCGTAGTCAGAGGCCTTGGTCAGGATGTTTTCGACCTTGACGGCACCGGAGGGCTATGAACGAGTTAGTAACAGTCTACAGTACAGAGATAAAAGAGAGAACTTACACCCAGCTCGACCGGAGCGGCAAAGAAGTCAAGGCCAGTGGCAGCCTTGATGGCGTCACCGCCGGCAACACCGGGGAGGTAGACGTAGGTGTTTTCGACGATTCCAGTCTGGCCGCTGACAGCTTTCAAGATGCTGTCGACGAAACGGAAGCCGGCGTGGGCCATGGAGAGAGTGGCTGATCCCTTGCCCTCCTTGGCCTGAACGACCTCGTCACCACCAAACTGGATACGCTTGATGAGCTCGTCACGCTTGGCACCGTCGATGGAGACGGGAGGAGAGGCGAGCGAGAGGAGGGGAACGATGGTGTCGCCAGAGTGGCCGCCGACGACGGGGATCTTGAAGACAGCGGGGTCGGACTTGCCGAGGACGGAGGCGGTGAAGGTCTCTGAGCGGACGGTGTCGAGGGTGGTGACGCCAAAGAGTTTGGCGGGGTCGAAGACGCCGTGCTTCTTGAGGACCTCGGCCGCGATGGGGACGGTGGAGTTGACGGGGTTGGAGATGACGGCGACGAAGGCCTTGGGGCAGTAGAGGGCGACGCCCTCGACGAGGTCGCGGACGATGCCGGCGTTGATGTTGAAGAGGTCTGGGGGAGGTTAGTGATGAGTTCGGCGTTAGGGAGGAGGTGTGACTGATGACAGGATCAGATCAGATCAGGTGAGGAATGACGTACCATCACGGGTCATGCCGGGCTTGCGGGGGATACCGGCGGGGATGACGACGACGTCGGCGCCGGTGAGGGCGAGCTTGAGGCCGTCGTCGGCGGGGAGGTAGCCTTTGACGGTAGCCTTTGTGGAGATGTGGGAGAGATCAGTGGCGACGCCGGGGGAGCCGACGACGTCGTAGAGGGCGAGATCGTCGACGAGGGGGGACTGGAGGGTTGGAGAGTTAGAGAGGTGAAGAGAGTAGAGGAGAGGGTAGAAGGGGACATACGAGCTTGAGGAGGAGAGACAGAGGCTGTCCAATACCTGGAGGTGAGGTCAGCATCAGGCCATATCAGAGAAGAAGATGATCTACATACCACCGCTGGCACCGCAGACGACAGCTTTGACCATGATGAGGAAGAAGATGAGGAAGAAGATGAAGAAGAAGAAGATGAAGATGGAGAAGAGACAGAGACAGTACTGATGATGGAGATAGATCAGGTTCGGGGGAGGAGCGGGGCTGATATACCCGCTGGGCCGCGAGACATAATTTTCTAGTGCCGGCGAACACGTGGGTACGAGCCCCGTGGTCCCAACAGGCAGCCAATGGCGCGGTGGCGGAAGTAAGCGGCATAAAGCCGTGCAGCCGAGCAGAGGACGGAAGAGGAGCGCGGAGGAGGAGGTCAGGAGCCAGCCCAGCGCGAAGACGCTGATCACAGTCAGAGCAGCCGTCGAGCACGCGAAGGAGGGGCAGAATGCGGGGATAGCGCGGCGCGGGGTGGTGGGCGGGTCGCCATTATCGTCCTCCGACTTGTTCCGAGCAGCGTTCCGACGGGTCTCTCTGCTGCTCTACCTGGACTACCTACACCTACACCTACAGCTGCTGTTGAGAGTGAGCAGCTAGTTGTTGTCTTGTTATTGTTATTGTCACATAGTCATCATTCAGCATATTCACTACTTCAGAGTATAGTCTTCTCACAGGGCTCACATCGTTGATACATAACACATCCTCGGCTCGTCGAGCAATATACAGCATCGGGTCTCTTCCAGCCTGATACTCTTCCCTGCCTGGTCTACAACATACAACATCTGCGATAACGTCATTCTCTGCCTCGGCTGCTGGTTGTTGACTGTCTGAGTACTGAACTGTGTGTCCGCAGTGAGCTGTCCATGATCTGTTCATGACACCCTTCCGGCGCTCTTCTCTTCTCGTCACCCATCTCGTCCTCTTCCGGTCGATCCCAACCATCTCCTTTCCTTACTTAACTACATCGGCTCACGATCCTCGTCTTCTCTTCCGACAGATCACTGCGTGTACAGATCACTACGCGTACACGTATCCACGTCTCAATACCAGTCGGATACCAGTCGTCTCAATCTTCTGTAAACGGTGCTTCATTCAGTCAAAAGCTAATTACATATACTACACAACCGTTCCCGTATTCTTTTCTTTTTTATCCTTCATCCCTCGACTCTTCCGCTTACTCAGAAGCCTTCTTGCCCCGGGGCTTCTTAGCAAAAGTCTTCTTGGCCTTCTTCGAGTACAGGAGCTGCGACGCCCGCTTAACAGCAGTCTAAACATTATTCTGTTAGTAACCCTCTCATCAACACTCCAACAGACATCAATAATCCCTACCAATCTCATATCATCTCTGTAGTTCTTGGTAACACCCGCAATAGCGGCGTACACCTTTCGCTGGCTGGTGTAAGGCTTGAACTCGGTGCTGATCACAGACTTGGCAGGAGTAGCAAACGATCCGACCTTCTTGCTCTTGAGCACAACAGCGCCCTCAGAGGTCAAAGAAACACCAACTGACTTCTCGTTGGCGTATCCAGAGGCAGAGTACGAGTAGTCGCCAGACACGTTAAGAGGGTCCCGCGAGAACTGGACACCGCCGCCGGTCTTGCGCTTGAGCAGGTACGATGAGTTGTTGCGGGTAAGCTCCCAGATGAGGTCGCTAAAGTAATGTTAGTCTTCTTCTTCTGCTTCTTCTTCACCGCTTTGTTCTTTCTCTTTGTTTGTGTCCATCTATATCATCCACCACATCCACCACCTCCTCACCCACACCACCCCACCCAACAGAAAAAAAGAAAAGAACCTCCCCCCTCAAAACAGATAAACAAATAGGAAACGCACTTGGAAATAGAAGACATTGTGTACTGCTGTGTTGCTCGATTGTATCGTCGATAATCTAACCAACTCTCTCCTCGATTCACACAACCAAATCCCATCCCAGCCCTGCTCTCTGTGTGTTGTAGGGTTGACTCTAGGGTTTGAGCCGCATATTTAGCAGTCACATTTATAAACTCGAGGGGTTCGTGTGGTTATGTAAGATATATGTCAGCGGAACTTGCCGTTGCTTCTATAAACAGACGATGATATATTTATCAAAGCTGCTGCTATGATGATGATGATGATGATGATGATCATAAATCTATCAACTACTGCGGATTCAAAGCGAATTTATTACACAATTCATGTACAAGAAGAAAACCGCAACCTGCTATCTACATCTATAAGCAATCATATACTTCTCCACCCCTCTCTACAATATCCAAAACAAGCCACAGCTTCTTAACTTTTCTAGTTCGCCGCGCCAAACTCCTTCGCAATAGTCTCTGCAAACAACTCAACACCTCTAATCAACTGCGCCTCAGGCACAGTCGCAAACGTGCCGCGGAAGAAAATGTCCGCGTCCTCGCCCTCGCCCGGAATAACCTTCGGATCGACCGGGTCCTGGTCCGCTCTGAACCATGACCCCGGAATGAACAACACTCCGTGCTCGATCGCGGCCTCGTAGATCTTGCTCTCGATCTCCAGCGGCGAAAGCTTGCCAAACGAAGGGTGCTTGCGCGCGTTGAACTTCAGCCAGAAAAACATACCCGCGGTCGGGCCAATCCACTCAACGTACTCTCCCAGTCCCTTGGGCGCATACCCTGTCGGCTCGATAAAGTACTTGCTCAGCGCATCAAGGCACACATTGCGTCGGTGCGTGTACTCCTTGCGCAGCTCAACCAGCCAGTCGAGGTACCCCTCCTGCCCCCACTTCGACAGCAGAGAGTACACAATCGCCTGCGACATACCCGCCGGCGTCTGGATCGAGACCTCGTTCTGGCGCGTCAATCGCTCAATCAACGGCGCCTGCGCGACAATCCAGCCAAGTCGGGTTCCGGGCGCCATCACCTTGGAGAACGAGTCCAGCCGCAGGACACGTCCGTCAACGTCGAGCGAGAGGTACGACGTGATCAGCTTCGAAAGGAACTTGCTGTACTTCTCAGGGTCCTCCTGAGCCGTCGGAGGAGGGGGAGGAGCGGTCTTGGACGCGCCGGGGACGTACGGGTCCATCTGCAAGAAGTAATAGGGCTCGTCCTCGACAATCATGATGTCGTACTTCTGGAGCACCTCGTAGACAGCCTTGCGGCGCTCGTTCGAAAGAGTACCTCCGGTGGGGTTCTGGCCGGTACTAAATAGAAAATATGCTGTGTTAGTAAATACAAAGCATCATCATAATTAAACAGAACGACATACGGGATGGTGTAGAGGAACTTGGGCAGAGGACCCTCCCAGCTGGCAAGCTGCTCGTCGAGTTCCTTGGGAAGAATTCCCTCGAGATCGACCTTAACCGGCACGCTCTTGACGCCCTGGGCGTGCGCAGTCTCCATCGCGGACGAGAACGTGTACTCCTCGGCGATGATGGAGTCCCCACGCGAGCACAAAAGCCGAAGTGCGGCATCGAGACCCTGCGTGTTTCCGACCGTCATAAGACAGCCCCAGTTCGAGTAAGGCGGGTGGTGCACGGTCTCTGTGTGCTCGTAGATCCACTCAAGAAGCGGCTTGCAGCCGTCGGACTGGCCGTACTGCATCGCGGTCGCGAGCGGGATCATGCCGGGGTCGTTGGCGTGGTTGTAGCGATCGACCGAGACCGAAATCATGGGCGCGTCCTTCGCGAGCTCGGGGTTGTTGTAGGTCTGGAAGGGAGGCGCGGGCGCGGTCGCCGAGAGGGACTCGAACGGGAAGTAGGCGGGCAGGGGCAGACCGCCGCCGAGGGAGACGATCTTGGGGTCGATCGCATACTTGAACGCGGTCTTGAGCGGGGAGGGACGGCGGGAGAGGGCCTCAGGCGAGAGCTTGTACCAGAGGTCCTTTGCCTTGGGCAGTTCTGTTCCGTTTGCGGGCATTGCGGGAGGAGGATAAGAATACAATAAGGATAGAGGATGAAGGCAGGCTGAGGGCGGAGATGGGGAAGAAGAAGGCGAGGCGGAGGAGCAGCAGAGTCTCCGAAAGAGGCCGACGTCGGTTTTTAGAATTTTATTAAGAGTCACCTGCTTGGCTGGGCGGTGCACGTTTAAGCAGAGCACCCACTGACCCCACAATGCTCTGTCTTAATTCTCCATCCATCTTCAAACCTTGCTGGTTCTCGTCGGCCTTGCGTACAGGACCCGGTTGCTTCTTCTGGATTAAAGATGTGATAAGTTAAGGATAAATGAAGGTAATATGGGTATTTTACACATATCAAGATGTCAAGTCTGGGCGGGTCTCCTTGTCAGTGATGGTAGTCGTAGCAGTAGCAGCGGCGTAGTATCACTGCAAAACAGCTCAGTTTGTCGTTATCAGATATCAACAAATATATTCTAGTATTGCATTCATCAATACAATACTCAATCTACTCTCATAATCTCTCATCACCACTGTCCGTCGATGATTGCTGCCATCGCGACTTAACCCCCTCAACACCGACCCCCACCATAAACTCTAATCCACCACCTCCATCCGCCGGCTCTCTCTAATCTTCCACTCCACCGTCTCGCCGTACACCCTCCAGCCTCCTACTCCCTCCCGTCTCATGAGGCCATGCCGATCAGCCTTAGATGAGACACAGAGTGCCAGTCCTGCCGCTTGCCAGTCTCTAGATGCCATCTGCCGCTCTCTCTGCACGTGAGAAGGATAAGACCGCCGATGATCGTGCCTGCCCTGGCGATGATTCACATGAACGGGCTCGGACCCCCAGCAGTCGAGAGTCGATGATCTGCGGAGGTATAGCTGGTCTGACCTCTAGGTGCGTTTACGCTTTTTCTTGCCTACTGCCATTTTAAAAGCCCTGCTCGTTAGTTAACGCTCATCTCTGAAGATTTTTCGTCGCGCCTCTCGACGTCGTCAAAATCCGGCAACAGCTCGAAACTCATTCGTTAAGAGGTGCCGCACCGCGCCGCGAATACAGCGGAATCCTATCCTCTCTGTACAAAATATACAAAACCGAGGGCTTGACCGTACGCTTCCATTTCTCTCTCTCTCCTGTCGTGAGTTCAGATCTAACTTCGCATAGGCTCTATGGCGAGGAAACCTTCCTGCCGAACTTCTCTACCTCGTCTACGGATCCTGTCAGTTCGCCGTCTACAGTCACATCCAGAATAACCTCTCTCCTCTCGACATCCCCGATGCGGCCAAGAACTTCGTCTCCGGCGCCTGCGCTGGCGCAACCGCAACAGCGGTAACCTACCCTCTCGACCTTCTCCGCACGCGCTTCGCCGCCCAAGGCGACGGCGCCCATCGCGTCTACAAATCGCTGCGTCACGCGTTGCTCCAGATCCACAAAGACGAAGGGTTGACAGGCTACTTCCGAGGTCTGCGACCCGCTATCGCCCAGATCGTGCCGTACATGGGCTTCTTCTTCGCCTCCTACCAGCCGTGCAAGTTAGCCATGTCGAGTCTCGAGCACGAGTACGGCGTCAACACATTCGGATCGGGAGACGCCATCGCCGGAATGATCGCTGGCATCGTCTCCAAAACGTGTGTCTTCCCGCTCGACGTCCTCCGCAGACGCTTACAAGTCCAGGGCCCGACCCGCGAGAAATACGTCTTGGCTGGCGTCCCGACCTATCCCAACTCCATAGTCGGATGCGCGCGGGCAATCGTGAAGAATGAGGGCCCTCGCGCGCTTTACCGTGGACTATGGGTCGCGCTCGTGAAAAGCGCGCCGACGAGCGCAATCACAATGTGGACCTTTGAGAGCTCTCTTATCGCCTTGCGCTGGTTCGACAACAAGATGGAGACTCTAAAGGCATAATGATCTACAGAATATGATATGAAACAGTGTATTATAATAATGCATCAGATTTTAACAAATAATATTACAGTTCCCATCCAGAGAGATACGCTTTGCTGTCTGTACCCCCAAACACATTCGACACCAGCTCGAACTCCACCGCGGGAGCCTTTCTAATCGTCTTGACAAACTCCGCATCCAGCATCTATTAAACAGACAATCAGTAAACCAATTCTCTCGATTCTGATAAACACGGGTGCAGAACTTACAGTGCCGTACGAGTGGTCCATAAAGTCCTCAATGTTGTACGATGGCTTGTAAAACGGCTCGGAGAGAATCTTAGCAAGCGTGCCGACGTTGGGATGGTAATGGTCCTGCAAAGTTGCAAGTTCCCAGAGCGAGCTTTCGAGTGCGCCGGTATGGTTAGGATCGGTTTCTTCGTCATTGAATGGATCGTCTTTAGAAAGAAGTTAGTCAGACAGAGCTGTTAGAGGGAGGGTGGTAACAGATACTTACTCAGTCCGTATTTCTTGGCATCTGCGTCGGTGAAATCGGTCCGTTGCAAAAGCAGGTTACACGTGTTATGCCGCTTGAGCAGGTTATAAGTGAAAGGCACGATGATGACGATCGCAGACGGAGGCGCGGAAAGCGCAAGTCTTGACAGGCGTTTCACAAACGAGGCTACCAAAGCTGCCGGCAGATGGCTGTTGATATCATTGTCAGTAAAAGAGTGTCGAATTTTTTGCTGATAAAGGGGGGACATACGTCGAGGAGAGGAAGAGATCGAGAAGTCGGAAAAATCGGGATCTGTGCTTCACGTGCAGAATATTGCGGTCTAGGAGTGCATATAGCTTGGTGTAGAAGTTCGGGTAGTCGAGGTTGTATTTTTGCATGAGCAAGAATAGCGCGTTCAAGGAGAGCAACGAGACGACTCCGCCTGTATTTCAAAAAAGAGAATTAGAGAGGGCGTTGAAGAACATGAAAAGAATGAGAATTACCTGTATCGTAAGAATCTGTCAAGAAATCCATAAGCAGTTGAGGCTTATTGATATTCGGCACGATTTTCTTATGCATGACCTGCAAGATATACTTGTACTGCTCGACCGTCAACGGCCGCTTCAAGATCGCAAGCCAGCAGTCCTGCAGCGCACCACGCTGAGACGACAGTTTTTTGACTGGCGTCTTTGCTTCTGAAGGCACGTCCACTAGGAATTCGGTGAGCTCGGATGAGTCGATTGGGAAGCTTGAGAGGGTGGTTAGAGCTGAGAGCAAGTTTGCGGTGAACAAAGACTGTTCTTCGGCTGTTTGGTCTTCTGCCTGCTCTACGGCCACCATGCTGTTGATATATCACTGTTAGTCTGTGAGCGGACGACGCCAAGTATAAATGTTGAAAACTCACCAAGCAGAGTTCAAGAAGTGGTAACGGATGTCATGGTATTTGTCGACATACTGCTCCACAAACTCAAGAAGCAAGTCATCGCTTGATAAGTTCAGTAGCGCTGAAGTGATCCTTTTGAGCAGAGTCTTTGCAAAATGGTATTCGCCCTTGTTTGGTGAAAGGTATGTACTTTCCTCCTTGGCGATCCGGATAAGGATTGTTAAGGACGTGTACTGAATTTCTGTCTGTTAGCAGTCTGCACTACAGTTTAGGACAGGATAGAAAAACATACAGCTGCCTCGGCGTCTTCTGCCGCTAGTAGCAACACCAAATCAGTCTTGAACTCCTTGTATTTCTCCTTCAACCACAACGCCACTGTCTCTTGTGCGGTGCCAACCAGCGATTTCTTGACAGGTGACAGTAATCCGGCAGCCATCATCTTTGCAAACGATCTGAAAAGCGCGGTAGCAGAAAGTAGTGCGATTTGCGGATCGTCGTTCTGCAGGTTCATTGTTCGGTCAGCACTTGTTCACAGTCGCAAAGTTTTGAAAACTATTAGACGTACCTTCATGTAATGCAGGAGATATACTAGATTGTTATAGTGCTCTGTAGAGCTCGAGATCTGCTTCTCCAGCTCGAGAATCACCTCTGGCGAGGGCTCCAGTATCGCAGCACTCTTCTTCATCGTAGCCTTTTCAGAGCGAGATTTCTTCAGCAAAGGCGAGTCAGACACATCGCTTGTCAGCGATCTCTTGACCTTCTTTTTGTTCACAGCAGCGTCGGGCATGGTGTCGTTCTTCTATCCTTCTGCCTGGTCCTCTGCTTGTTCAACCGTACAAAATATTTCAGTTGGGAGTTCAGAGAAAAACCTGTAAACTCAAAACAATTCTGATCACTAAGCAGCTGCAATTATCTTACATAATCCCACAGTCATGTGATTCCTGCGTCGCAATTGGCCCAGATCCCGCAAAATTCTCAAGAGCCGGGCAACCCAACCACTCAGCGCTCGGAACAAACAGTTTGCTGTCCACCTTCTGCCTCCTCCTCGACCTCTTTTCACCTCCCCACCCTCCTCGCAATTCACAATGAGCTCCGTTCTTGCTGCCCGTTCCCTGCGTAGTATGTCTCTCTCTTGCTCTTTCTGTCTTTTAAAGTCTGCTTTTATCGCCGCAGAGCCACGGAATCTAACAGTGTCTGTACAGTTGCCGCGCGCTCCCCGGCTGCGTCGATGCTCCGCGCACAGCGATTCGCTCCGTATGTATCACCATCGTCCTTGAGTCCTCGGGGCTGTCGAATTCTCGGTGGTTTTGGCGTGGAGATTGAGTGAAAATTGGAGATTTGAAGTGATGGCGGTTGCGCGGGCTGCAATCGCCAATTCTAGATTCAGCGGGAAGGAAGGAAGGAAGGAAGGAAGATTGCAGGGATTCGTTTACGCCAGACACCGAATTCGAGACTATCCATCGTATTCTTCACTGCTAACGACTTCTGTTCTTCCCTCTACAGCATACTAGCAAACACCTATGCCACCAAGCCCGAGCCCAAGGCTAAGGCCGCCTCGCTCATTGCCTCCATCCCTGACAGCATCGTCTCCAAGACTGGTACCCTCGTCACCGGTACCGCCGCTGCCATCTATGCCATCAGCAACGAGCTCTACGTTATGGGAGACGAGACCACCATCGTCGCCGTCTTCTCGGCCTTCATCTACATGATTGCCAAGATCGGTGCCCCCGCCTACACCGAGTGGGCTAACGGCTACATCGCAAACATGACCAACATCCTCAACAAGTCCCGCGAGACCCACACCGAGGCTGTCAAGCAGCGCATCGAGAGCGTCTCCCAGCTCAAGGACGTCGTCGAAACCACCAAGGTCTTGTTCGAGGTCTCCAAGGAGACCGCTCAGCTCGAGGCCAAGGCTTTCGAGCTCAAGCAGTCCGTCGACTTTGCCCATGAGGCCAAGAGCGTTCTCGACTCGTGGGTCCGTTACGAGGCCTCGGTTCGTCAGCGTGAGCAGAAGCTCCTTGCTGAGTCTGTCATCGCGAAGATCCAGAAGGAGATTAAGAACCCCAAGTTCCAGCAGCAGGTTCTTACCCAGAGCGTGGCTGAGATTGAGAGTACGTTGCTTTCCTATCTTTTTTTGCGCCATCTAATCGGAATTTCTCGCTAACATTTGTGTTTAGAAATCTTTGCTCCTGCCAAGTAAGGGACATACTACGACTTTTATTTATTAGATTATATATGTGTCGTGTAGACAGAGTCTGAATATATTCATTTTATCCACTGATTGAGATGTGCGCGCTGAATATGAACGCTGTAAAATCCGTCCCTTCCTGCCCGTGTCTCTGGCTGAATACTCTAAATTGGATTCCACCAGCTAGAATATCCGGCAGTTGTATTCTAATAATGCTACAAATTAGTAGACTATTTCCTCATCCGACAGGTTCTTGCCGCATTAGGTGAAAATTATAAACTCTAATGGCGAAGTGCTCTTAGTATCCCTTGGTGGGTGACTATCGAGACTCGCGACGTGTACGCGTAACCAAGCACTTATCCAGCTTTCTATCCCCACATCAGCGACTCGAAACCAGTCGTTTTTACAAGCAGCTAAACAGTCAAGTGATAAAAGCAATCTACACGTGCATACCGACTAAAATGTCTGAACCTCCATCCTACACCGACTCGATAGCGACGAAGGCGCTAAACCTGCCGGTGTTTGCTCATCTCAAGGGCAAGCGGGTGATTCTGGCGTCTGGCTCGCCGAGACGGAAGGAGCTGTTGCAGCAGATCGGGCTGACAGAGTTTGAGGTTGTCAAGTCTGACTTTGCGGAGGATTTGGATAAAAAATCGATGAGTGTTTACGAGGTGCGTGGATTTTGCGAGATCATGAGAGGGTCGGAGGTTATGGATGTGCTAACGAGGGAGATTTGGCGGATGTAGTATGTTAAGGAGACAGCGAGTCAAAAAGCCATAACAGTCTACCAGCGCGAAGTGAGTCCAACCGTTTTAGCATATGCACAAGTGCTCAAACTAATGCTGACGTCGTGTTGTATAGATCGAAGCCGGCCAGGAGCCCGCGCTGGTTATCGCCGCCGACACAGTGATCCTATCGAAGAACATGATTGTCGAGAAACCAAAGTCGTCGATGGACCATTTCCGAATGCTACAGTCTCTCCGGGACGAGAAGTTCCCCCACCGAGTCTTTACCGCCGTAGCTTGCATCGCGCCACTGGAGCAGCCGGTTTATCCTGGATACAATCTGCAGTCGCATACCGAGGAGACCCAGGTATATTTCGACAAGGACGTCTCGGACGAGTTTCTGAGTGCGTACGTGGCAGATGGAGAAGCGAACGATGCGGCGGGTGGTTATTGTATCCAGGGAAAAGGAGCTTTGATGATTGACCAGATCGTTGGGGACTACAACAACGTCGTGGGACTGCCTCTGAAGTCGTTGGTGAAGCTTATCGAGAAGACTATTTATCCGGAAGACGATGATTTCGAGGATGGAATGTGAGGCCTCTGAAACACGTTTTTGCTTAAAGTATACGATGTACATATAACGAATATCATTTTTCCGACTTGGCTTATAATCCGTGTCCATTTCTATATACATCTAATCACTATCCGAATCCTCAAACGTCTCCTCTTCCTCGTCTAGAATTACAGGAATCACAAACGATTCATCGCTAAACTCGCCGCGCACTCTTTCGATCGTTACCACATCTACGTCGTCCTCATCTTCTTGGTCCAGCCTTCGTTTGTTGGCGATTTCATCCGGGATCTAAAATTCGGTTGTCAGATGACTTGATCAAATCGAGCTGGCTCGTAAACAAGACAGTAAACGTACCACGTCAAACTCATCCTCTCGTTCTTCATACTCGACGTTCTCGTCCACTTCGACGAAATCAGGCGCGAGCGCACTCCACTGCTGAGGGGTAACCGTTGCCCATACGTAAATTGTCCCTTTGTCCAATCCGGTCGCAGCTATCAGCGGCCGATTAGGATGCCACTGCACGTCGACGATCTCCTCCCTCGGAGCCTCGATAATCTTCACTAGCGAGCCGACTTCGGTCTCCCAGATGTATATGTCATGCTGATCCTGATAGGTCGACGCTAGGACGTAATCGCCGTTCGAGTTGAACGTGATGGAGTTCCATTGTAGACGGTTGACAACGTCCTGGAATCTGTGGATTACTGACAATTCCCAGTTGTTTGGGTCGGTATAGCTCAGATCCGGGGTGTTGAAAAGCCGAATAGTGCGATCAGAGGAGTTGATGATAAACTGCTTTCCTGAGCTACTAAACGCTATATGCTTAATATTCGACGTCGTGATCCTCTCTGAGCGAACGGTCTGGAAACTTTCGCTGTCTATGATGTTCAGCCAGCCTTTGCTGGTGCCTGTGAATATGTACTGTCCGGAAGTCGTGAATGTTGCAACCAATGTTGACTGTTTTTCCTGTACTTCCTGTTGATTCTCCGGCGACGGCGAGCCCGAGGCATTCTCCTCGTCATCGCCAGACGACGTTTTCGCGAACGCCACGTCGTTCAATAGATGTTTCCGTATCGTTCCGTCTGTAAAATCAACCAAAGTTGGGGCATCTTCGAATAACGAGACGACGAATATTTGGTGGCTGTAGGGGTGTAGCTCCGCGCCCCAGATCGGAGCTTCGAACCGTACTGTTTTGACTCGTTTTCCGTCCTTGAGGTCCCAGAGGATGCATAGCCAATCTCTGGACCCTGATAAAAGATATCTTCCGTCACGAGACCAGCTAGAGAGATAGATATTGTTAGAACACGCGTGTCTATAGACGCGACGGCAGATAGTCGTACCTCAGTGAAGTGATTGGACGCGTGTGGCCGCGTAGTACTCGCGCAATCCCATACGTATCAAAGTCAAACACAATTACAGATCCGTCAAACAACCCGGACGCCAAATAATCGCCTTTCCTATTAAATTTCAGACATGTCGACCGTCCGTAGTCTTCACATTGCACCTGATGTCAGAACTAGTTCGATCTCAAGAGTCGCAAAATAGTAGATACATACTCAAGATATGCGTCAGGTTCTCGGGGTAGTCTTGCGACAGACTGAATGGATCTGTCAGCAGTAGATTCATATTTTCTGGTCCCTTCTTTCGCTCGGACTGCCCATCAATATGTGTTTTGCGCTCGATGGCATCTACTCGTTCAGTGATGAAGCGGCGGTTCCATCCTCGAGCTCCAGCAAGGCCCGCGATGGGATTTCGTTTAAAGTTTTAAGGTTTTCGTGACCTCATCGCGCGGTGGGAAAGATTCGATTAAAAATTGCTATTCACTCGCAGTGCACTGGACAGGTGCGACTACCAGCAAGATACTCGTGGAAGTCACATATAATGAGTGCGTTGACTAGGACAGTGCTCAGGAGGACGCTTCTGGTCCCGCTGGGTGCGCGGTCAAGTCTGAAAGGCGCTTGTCAAGTCGGAAATCTCCAACCGCTGATATCGTCAGTCTCCCAGCCTCGAGGCTCCGTTCGGCCGCTATCGTCGCTATTCGGCAACCTCATTTCGAAATCAAAGAAACCACCATCAGAGGCAGAGAAGGATGACGATGACGACGATATCATGGGCGAGATCAATTCCGCCTTTTCCCCCGAGCAGCTCAAGGCATTCGAAAGGGAAGAACAACCAAAGAGTATATATGACGACGGAAACAGCCCATACGAAATCACAACAGACAAGGCGGATCCGGAGTTTCCGACCGAGGAGGAGATCGCAAACGCAAATGTGCCAAAGGGATTAGAGACTTATTTCCTACGGGCTACCTGCACGTCCTGCGGGACTCGGACAGCGCACTTTATTGCGCAGCACGCGTATCACCAGGGGACGATTATCCTATACTGTAAAAATGTTGCATGTTCCCGCTTTAGTATCTTTATCGATAATCTTGGCGTAAGTACACTTACAGTGAATTCTTGTTTGTCTTGTTTGTACTAACATGCAGCAGATCTTCCCTGAGCGAGAAGAAAGAGAGTACGCGCTGGAAGAAGTCATGACCGAAACAGCAGAGGCTATAGCGCAAGGCAACCGGGGCTTTACTCGTGATTTGGTCGTCGAAATCAGACCACCTGGTCCGATGGCACCTGAGGAGTTTGACGAGTACGTGCAGGAAATGGAGCAGGAGGAGTTGAAGCGTGCGGCAAGGCGGGAGGCGCGGGAGAGAGAGCTCAGCGGCGAGGCGCAGGAGGAAATTTCGGAGGAGACGGAGGAAAATTTGGAGGAGATGGAGGGATTGTCGGATGAGATGGAGGGATCTCTTGATCAAATGGAGGCGTATCCTATTCAAATGGAGGGATTTGCGAGTGAGTTTGAGGGAGTTCCGATGGAAGAATTCGCGGATCAGGCAGAGGCATCGTCAAACGAAGCTGCCGCTGAAGACAATGCGTCAGAGCTAGTGGATGAGACTGCCGAAATTGACGAAAGCCTCGCGGGCAAGATATTCGAGACCGGTGCAATCGATGAAGAGATGTTATCCGAGCTCCTGCACGGCAACGTATTTGAGACCTATGCACCCGACGACGAAGATGTGATTGAAGAGTTCTTAGCCGGTTTCGAAGGAAGCGACAGAGAAGCCTTGCGCCTCAAAATTGAAGAGATCTTCAACGGAAAAGTGGAGGAAGATGTCTATGACGACCTCAACGACGGATGGAATATGGACGGCATCGACGACATCGCAGAGGGTTCGGAGAAGCTCTTTCTACAAGATGAATCTGGCAACGCTGGGTCTCAAGAACCGCTCTTTGACTTCAAGTCGCCAACTGCGGTTGCCGATTTGAGGAAATTGACGCCGGAGCAGACTGCGGCGGTGTTTAGAATCGAGCTGGAGAAATATAAAGCTCGCAAAGGGCTTTAGGCTCGCTGGGTTTATGCTTGTCTGTCACAGTTCACCAATCCCTTCATTCAAACATAATATACTACCACCTCAACGGCCACATAAATACATACAAGCACCCCCCTCCCATACTCATGGTTTCCAAACATTCAACAACTCTCGCAATAATTCAAATTCGGTCATCCCACTTCCCTGGTTTCTCATTTCTCAAATTTGCGCACTTCGAATGCAAACTGTGCGGCTTGGAGAAGATATATGCTAGGATCGTCAGCGATATGCGAGGTCTCGTAGAGCGTCTTCAGAGCGCGGATGACTAAAGCAGTAGTTGTTAGTAATCATGTTACCTTAATGGATGTTGTTTTGAGACAGAAACAAGGAATTCAACTCACCCTTCAGGTAGTGCGCATCGAATCTCATGTCCGCAGATAAGGCATGCTGCGAGATATACTCCCAGTTCCGATTCTCCTTCGGCACTCCCTCGTAAGACCAGATCTTCTCGACATCAATAGCCGGTCTTCCTCCACGGATATAAGTAAGCACAACAAATATCCAGAGCGAGATCACGAGCTCAGTCTTTTGCGCCTTGGGCAGATGGGGAAGAATCACTTGGACTGCGTGCGCAGCCGTGAGAGTGTGAAGGAGCGCAAAGTCTACTTCATACTTGTCTGACTCGTGCGAGGCAGTCACGAGCAGCGATGTAGCATGGAAAATCCTCTCAAAGGTTTTTTGGAAGTCTACAGAAATAGTTAGTTTCAAGACAGCCCTCATAAACAGGGGAGGATCAATGTACCTGAAAAGTCAAGTCTGGTAGCGAATGCCAGCAGCGCGGCACTTGAGCTATCAAGAGCTTCGTCTGAAGTGTCGAAAGGCCCTAGCGTGCTAATAGGTGTTGCAGTAATCTCGGGGCTATCCTTGATCAACTGTAGTACTTTCAACGGATCCTTCTCAAGGGTCTCTGCGCGCTCGGCGATCGATAGATTCTCGTACGCTTTGACGAAACCCTTGATCAAAAGAGCGGACGAGTCGTAGCAGGTTGCGTCAAGAGTCAGAGCTATTGAGTGTGTTATGTTAGTGTCAAAGAGAATAGATTAGAGCATGATTGCTGTTTTGCTTACCTTCAGTCGCAACTTCGGCGCTGTTGAGTTCATAGGCGTACTAAATAAGATTAGTCAAACCGATAACAACCAATGGATATATTAAAAAGGCTTACAGCAAGATGAATCAAGGGATGAGCAACTGTGAAGGGTCAGCGAATTATACTCAGATAATCAAACAATTATATATAGATAAAGGTGCATGCACTTACGATCGCTAATCAAAGCATGTAGCAAAGCCCCTTTGCTATCAAGGAGCAACTTGCTAACAATTTTCTTCCACTCGAAACTAGCATCAACAACAAGATCGTCAAAGTAGTCTCTGTATCCGCGCTGGAACCTGAATTACACAAATGATCGCACGTCAGCTTCGATGTCATGCGGACTCGTCGAATCGCAACAGACTTACTCTCTCTGACCGTAAAACTCACGCCAATCAAAGTGGGTAACTTCTTGAGGACTGTCTTCTTTCCAGCTCTCGAGTTTGCTGGAGTAGTCCTCGTAAAGCTCCATCAATTGATAAATCTCTGCGCCGAGGAGGTACGCAGAACCGAGTAGCTGTATCGTAGACTTTTAGTCTTGGTCTTTCGAAAGAATATCATTCTTAAATACATACATGAGGCATGTGATTGTGATATTCACGATCATGATACAGCACAGCGTACGACGCATGATTGGCACGTAGAAGCTGGTGAAGCTTTTCCTGAGGGGTCGACTCTTTCTTCTTGGGTCTCGGTAGCGGCTTCGGCAGCTCAGGTCTGTTCGGATTATATCCCGGCTGCGTCAGCTGTACTGGCTCAGTGGATTCTGATGAAGATGAATTGCCCATGTTGAAAATAACGACTGTGTTTGTATTGCACGATCGAAGGGTTTTAGATGTGAGGACGGGTGAAATCTGGAGAGATACTGATACGAGATAACTGGTTGTTGGGACTTCGTCAGTTAATCCTCGACTTCCTGAACATGAAAAGTTAATATGACTTCATCCCCAACCAGCAGAATCACTTCTCTCAATGTCATGACTCTGCAACCAGGTCATGGCCATAAATAGCAGCAATCCAGCATGGAATTACGAAAATGTGATTTACTACTCTGAACTTCTCCCGCGCGTGTCGAAACTGTCGCTAGTTGTCTCGCCTCTCGAATCTGAACCCTCCCATCTGTCGCGTCTTGGATCATCAAAACTATTCGTCAAGCTGTCTGCTAGCGACAGTTCTAGCACTATTGAACTTCCAGCAAAGGTCTCTCCTGATACGCCAATCTCTCTAAAACAGCTTGCTGCTTTCTCTGAAGGGTCTCTCTCTCTTCGACTCACGGCCGCGCGACAAGAACGCGAAACACATACAGTACCGTTCCCTGCGAATGAGTTGTCTCAAGCACGTCAACTTCACTGTCGATCATGCGACGAACCTCTGCTAAGAAATGAGGTTAAGTTCCTGAACATGCCATCTGAAAATTGGTACGAGATGATGGACTATTGGCACTGTCATAAACCAGATCATGACCATAACGCGTCCAACGCGATCTCAAAAGATATGCTCAAACCCCGGCAGGGCGTCTCTTTGGTCGGAGTTTCTTACATTGATGTTTTGGACGGCGATTTAGTTGAGTTATCTGAAAAGGTGTGTATTTTTTCTGTTTTTATTTGAGCTGTGGCTGCGTGAACTGTGAACGAAATGGGTCTAAAGAAGGTTCTTCAACACTTGCGTTTCCACGTTGAAGTATCGATACACCGACCCTATATGAACCATGAAATGCAGGATCCTTCAGTGTGATTTGTATACCAGATTGGCTGACGGACCATCTGTACCCGATCGTTGCTGATCTGGGTTATGACTTGAGTCCGATCGTTGCCGTCTGATATCCAATCATGCTCGCAGCACAGGCTCTTTCACTCTTGCTTCTGTCTGCAATCCTCATTCACACATTAGAATTTTGAATTCTTCGTGTTGTATTTGCGTCACTCACCGTTCTAACGCTATCTCTTCACTTAGAATCATTCGCCGCCCCTTCGCTGCGCAGCCTGCACCAAACCGATAGGCGTTTTCGACGCCGTCGACAAGTCGATTGCAAAGATTCACAAATGGAACATCAGTCTCACTTTGGATGGAGAAAAGAAAGTACACGACAGCGAGATCTATTTTGCGGAAATTTTGCTGGAAATCGGTGATATACATGCAAACTATCACTTTGCTGTCTCACGAGCATCGGCGAAGGATGATGTTGTTTTTTACGTATGTTGATCCGAACGATTTACCTTCCGCCTAAGACAAGATGTTTACGATCCGTTTCCTTATCTAGCTATGGGTTTTCAACAACGACTTGACGTACAGCAGCTCATTCCAACCCCACCCTCAGCGCGCAATGAAGATTTTTTATTCAACCAGCCCTCCCACTACACAGGTCGTCACCGAAAGTATTGACATTCCGGACGATTTGCTGGAAGAGACCATGTGCGTTCTGAATACTCGAAACCGGCAGCTACCAGAGTCCTTGAGGAAGTTTGGGGAGTGGGACGTCAGTTTGTTCCATCGATTGTAATATAGTAGTATATATATAATGCATTTTATGCTCATTAGATTAGAGTTTAGATATAAGCAAACAACAAGAAAACTCCAGATAATGAACACCGGAAAAGGAAAATCTACGAAATATGCGAGTCTCTATGCACTCTTTAACGACTTTGCAGCTTGTCGCAAGCGCGAAATCTCAATGCTATACCAAGCAGCTCCTCCAAACACGAGTATGGCACCAGCAGTGGTTCCCAGCGACAGTTTGTTTCCAAACAGATAGATCGACAACAACAAACTCACGCATTTTCTTACATTAAGTACGATCGTCACCGTGACTGCGGTCGCACTGCCGGCTAGATTGTTAACGCCCCTCACGCAGATATACTGGGTGGCTGCGTTTAGTAGCAAGTATAGAATCTGCTTTGGGATACACACTTGAGGAACCAAGGCTGACAATATTGGAGGAGTAACAGAAACGGGTGTCGATTTTGCGAGATTGTGGAATTCATCGATGATTGAGTTCCGCACGGGATAGAATAGCGGCAACGTAAGAAAATGCTATTAGTGCTGGTTAGCGTACATTCAAGCCATATATTCCAAATTTAGTTTGTCTAAGCAGCAGCACCGTACCATATAAAAAAGGTTTTCACGCCAGAAACTTCCGTATTTCTTGTAGGTGTTCTCGTTGATCTGGCTCATTACAGCAGATAGCACTTGAGCTAGGAAGAGGATGAGTATTCCGATCGCAAACTCTCTGGTGTTTGATGTTTCCGTTGTTCCCTCCTTCTGATCCTACAGTCAGTAAAAGTATCTCACCAGTCATAGTAAAGGAACAAATACCTTATCTTTGACATTCTTCGCGTCGAATAATGTAGCGCAGATAACGCCGGCAGTCAAAATGACCACGCTAGCAATCTGCGCCCTGCTAAACTTTTTGCCGTAGATGAACCCGACGACCAACGAAAACAGAGGACCGCCCGATCTGAAGATGATATGAACCGGAATAGAGATGTGGTATTTCCATACAAAGTTGTTGAGCACTGAGACTAGGAAGAACAGCGTAACCCCCACGGCATAGCGCTGGAATGGCACGTGGGGCTTGGCGATGAAGAGAGGTGGTTGGGTAGGTGCGAAGAAGTGAATGTAGCCTTCTGTAGCAACAAATAGGAATTGAATAAACGTTATCAGGTTTCCTGTAGTAAATGTGGTCAGTTGTGGATCATCGAATATACACGTATTAGACAGCAGTTGACGAACCAGCATTTGTGTTTTCTCTGTCGTGATGAAACAGTCGACCGTTAGCTCACAATTTCCTGCAGAAACCAACCGACATGCTAAACACAATCAAACTCACTGTACTATAGCCTCCAATGTAAAGACATTTGAGCAGCAACCCCCGAAAATGAGGCCCAGAATGAGAATCCACTGCGCAGAAGCGATCTGAGCAACAGCAGAGGCAGCCTTGACGAGCTGTCCTTTGCCAATCGGGCTGGCGGTAGAAGAAAAGCTCTTCGCCTCTTTCTCGTCTACTGTATCAATAAATCCAGTCTTCCGGTTGGCTGGAATTGTATTCGCAGACATTGTGTTTCTCTGGTCTATGGAAGTGGGGGTTGAGCGACAACGGGAGGGCTGCTGGGACTTTCTTCTATCTGGCGTTCCAGAACAAGACGCCTTCGTGCGGCGCAATTTCTATTTGGCCTCGAGCAGCCGTACCTGAACTTCCTATAACGGAACTTCATGTCCCAGCCAATACGAAAAACAGCAGCGATCTCGGGAGTCATTTCATAATTGGTGATTTTATTTACAATCTAAATACTCGCTGCCTGAGCCATATATACAACATAGTTGACCATCTCGCCGGCATCGAACCTGGAAACCTTTACAATTTTCGGTACAAACGCACAGTTGGCAACTAGCCATAATCACGAATAGTACTTCCTCGCGTGCTGCACCTTTCTGGCCTTACTCGTCTTGGGCGACCGCAGCATCATCACACACATAACAGAAGTCGCGAGAAATACGCCAGCCCAGGTAGCGATGTACTGAGAGTGAGTGTTGCGGAGGTCATGCTTGGGCAGACGACCGATCGGGATACCTTGGTCTGACAACGTTTCCCAGGAAACGAATGCGTCGGAGTCGAGATATTGTGTGACAAGTTCCTCGATGATGACTGGCTCCGCGTTCGTCATTCTGGCGAATTCTTCAACGTCGACAAAATAAAACTCATTTTTCTCGGGCACGTTTTTTGGAGTGAAGTAGTTTGGCTTAGCGGGCGATTTGATCAGGCCCTCGACAAATACGGGTCCCTCGGGCTACATATGGTTAGTTAGCTGATGTCTTGAACATAAAAAATTGAGCCATGAAAGTCGACCACTTCCAAAGACTAAGCACCAAACTTACCATCGCTGCTTTGGACCGTTTCGACTGGTCAGCCATATCTTTTCGAATCCACCCACGATTGATCAGTATAGTCGATCCGTCCTCCCGTTCGAAAGGAGTAATAACCGCGTAACCGTTCTCTCCTTCATACAATCGCGGACCAACTTGGAACTCTTGATCGTAGCGGAACTTTCCCTTTGTGAGAACTCTTCGATATTGCAGCTTGTTTATCGCCTCCGAGCTAATTGGGGTGGAGAAGTTAGCTCCTTTTCCAATGTACAATAAGTCAATATGAAAAATAACGGGGACTACCTACTCAAGTTTGGGCGGCAGAACCAAAGGAGGGAGAAGCAATCGGTTCTCGTATTCAGCAATGAGATTCGTTTTCCACTCGAGTCGGTATACTTGCCATGCCGCGAGACCAAATGATATTATCGGCATGAGCACTATCGTGAGCGAGTATAGTTAGCCAAAATGCCTTGTTTGTTTCGTTTGATACAGATATAAAAGGCGATTGCGTACACATAAGTGTCAATACAGATGCTCGCCTCATGGTCCTCTCCGGCTTCGTCTTGATGCTCTCCCAGTCATACATTGTCGATACCGACCTATGGGCTGGCAATTGTCGCGCCGACAGAACCGACGGCATAGCAAAAACAGCCGGCCGACGGGCGCTATGCAGCATGAACGCGGCATTCTGCCTCAGGACCGCTGATTTAAGGCACTGCATCTTGACTGCCGATATGAACGCGGTCAGACTGCGAGAAGCGGTGCGAGGAAGACTCCGAGATTTAAGGTTTGAAGGCCAAAGTCAGGAAAAGGGTTCGGAGGTCGGGGCAGATCACAGGACGGGCAGGTTTAGGCTGAGAATAATAATCCACGCGCCCAATTCACTCTTCAGTCCTCAGAGCATACGCATACGCAAGTACGGCTATAAGGGATACTTACTTATCACGGTTGTTGATATTTGCTTGTTCTGCTCAGCAAACGCGATTCAACCCCATCATCAAAGCAGAAGGTCGAAGGAGTGATGTCGACTAGTTCCTCAATCCAGGAAAGGCAGGTGTTCGAGACCTCGGTAGAGGCTGCGGTCAGTCGATCTGTCCAAGAGCATCTGCCTCTCGTCGTGTTTATTGCAGGTATGTGCTACTAGAGTTGTGCTTCGAGTGTGGGCACAGGACTGGCTTCTGGTCTATCAAGCTAACACGCGCATGAATAGACGAAAGCGAGGAATCGAACAGATGGGCGCATGATCTCCTTGGTGACGATGAGGTATGCCGCGTCCGGTTCTTGATAAGATCGTGTTGTTTGCAGATTCTGATACGTTTCATACTATAGGTCGACGATATTCTGTTGAGATACGCGGTCTCTCTCAGACTCGAGAACGGCTCGACCCAAGCTGGTTATTTCGCTCAGATCTTCCCTATCACTCACGTTCCCTCTCTCTACGTCATCAAGTACGAACTATAACCATCTATTGATTGCTTTGTTGAAGTGATGCTAAATTCAGAGATAGCAACGGATCCATGGTTGACTACGCATATGGCGATATCACAACAAGTACTCTTATCGAGCGGCTAAAGCGATCAGTGGTGCCTGGCGATTCCCCCGCACCACCTGCTGCCGCTGCTCCCGCGACAATGCCCACCTCTACCGCAACACCGACCCAACAGCTACCTTCAAGTGCCCAGTATTCTACGTCCACTCCCATCTCCACTCCAGCAACCGCCTCTACTCCAGCTGCAAGCTCTCCCTCTGTCACCCAGCCTCGTCAGCAACCTCGTCAGCAGCCCGCTGCTAGTGCGACTATGCCAGCTACTACTCCACTGCCATCCGCGACCAGCGAGAAGAGAAAGCAATCTGCTATGACTACGCCGTCTGATTCTTCTTCACAGTCCAGCAACGAAAGATATCGAGAAGAGCTACGACGCAAGAGACTGCAGGAGTCTGAGGAGCGCCAGCGCATATTGAAGCTATTACAGGACGACCGGGAAGAACGGAAGGCCAGGAGTCAGGGACTGTCATCTCGTTTATCCTCCGAGCTCCCGGCCAGGGGGTCAGACAAGAAAGTGACTAAGGACATTCATCACCACAACGACTCTGCGCTGGCAATCAGACTATTTGACGGCTCATCTATCAAGCAAAGATTTCCACTTGAAGCTACTTTGGGTGATGTAAGAGTATGGATCGACTCTAATAGGACAGACGGTGATGTTCCATATTCGATAATCAGCCAGTTTCCCCACAAAATATTCTCAGCCTCGGACGAACAGGAGACCCTTGTTGCATTGGGTTTACACCCTACTGCCACCCTTATTCTGAAACCGGTCTCCAATTATTCCAGTGCCTTCATCCCAACGACTGCTCTTGGCCGTGTGCAGCAGGGAGTCTCGAGCGGGCTAGGTTGGGTTTTTGGTGCTGTTGGTACGTTTCTAGGATACGGCTATCAACCTCCGGAGACCGAGCCTGAAGAAACTTTCAGAGTTCCAAATCTTGCAGCTCATGACCCCGCCAACGACCAGCGGTCGAGATCGACTTCACCTTCTGGCCCACAAACTATTCACGATTTCTCTGATGGCGAGAACTCTGATCGTGGGACGTATAACGGAAATCATCTGAGTCTGGAAGACGATCGCTAGATCGTATAAACTCCTCTGAAAAAGACAGATTAAATTAAATGTCTACTCGCTCTCCCAAATTTCGTTCAGCTCTCGTTTTTGGTTTCCTTCCTTTTATAGCGTCATCTTGATAAATAAAGTGGGATTTGTTTTCCCGGTGGATCGGTAAAAAGGGGATTTTTCTTATCATTCTTTATATTGTTCGGGATAAGTTTGGTTGGCTGGTTTGGTAATTTGCATCGTTGCCCCATTTCTGATTAATCTTACTATGCTCATGATCATGACCTGATTCTTTGTATTATATAAAACCTATACTGCTGCTGTTTCTATAGCCTCAAGGCCCCATGAGAGATCCTCTTTTGAGGTCTGGCAATTCTTCATATCATTCGCCAAGCTTTGCAAAACTGCGTCGTTCGCGGTCTGGATCCAGGAGCAGTAGTCCTCGGTGACGATTTTCGAGTAAACGTAATATACGTCGTGGAACGCGAATAGATGATTCACGTCCAGCAGAGCTTTCAAAACTACTCGTTTTCCTGCCCGCAATATCAGGTGCGAATCTTCCCAGCATTTCAGGGCAAGGTCGTAGTTTCGGTAAAGCGGGTATGCGAGAGCTCTCCGGAGGCAGGCTATCTTGATCTGTTGAATCGAGGGGAATGAAGAGTCAAGACAGGCCACGTTTGCTGCTAATTTTCCAACCGTCCAGGCTGATTCTGAAGTGTGATCGTCCATCATTGTCCGCATATCGTAGCAATAAGCGAAAACGATGGGAATCAGGTTGAGATATAACGATCTCATGCTCTCCATCGAATCGATCATGTAAGTTCTTCGAGGCAGCTCCAACATCTTCTTCTTTTCTTCTTCCGAAAATTCAACCTCAGCAGTTGTGCCTGGCACCTCCTTTGCCAGTCGTATTAACGACGGCTCGTAGGCGATGAGCGCAGGAATCTCGTCGTTGCCCGCAAAGTCTGCGTAGTAATAGTCCGGGTCGAATTTCTCGTTTTCCTTCTTGATCCGTTCCTCACGTCTCGATTCGATAGTACTAGTTTCGGGGTCATCTAGGTCGTTTATGTCGTTGCCTATATCTCTGGTTTGCTGCAGATACCCACTGTACTGTAGATTGAACCCATATCTGGCTGTTAAAAGCTCTTCGCTGTCTGGCATCTCCTGCTCGATCTGCCAGTCAAAAGACTGGGCGTCGGTCATCTCTTGAATATAGCTCTTTTGTTTCTCGCTCAAGTCTGCCGGATCGTCTTGCATCTCGGAATCATCGTTAGGCGTTGATCCAATCTCCTGAATCAGAGGTTTCTTCACCGGCGCCTCCGAGCCATCCAACTTAGCAGCTTCCGCTGTAGCTGATGATTCTTGGGTATCTGAAGGCTCCTTAACACGAGCTAGCAGTTTTGTCATCAGATCTAGGTCTGGAAACACTTCACCGGGCGTCTCTTTGGGGAATTTCACGTTCAGTATCGATTTTGAAATGTCTAAAGAAGCGCTTGCGCGGTCGTCGTCTACTATGTTTCCCGGAAAATGGAGGCTGCGACGAGAGTTAGAGCAAGAGGTTAACAATATTTGGTGCTGCATTAGAACTACTTACCGCAAGTAGTACGGCGACAGAGAAAACCAAAAGACATCGCCCTCAGCGCTGATCTCTGCATTCTGGGCCTAAGAGCATATAGATACCAATGGTTAGTTTAAGTGCAAGACCGAGAAAGGATACAAGTTGGGTTCCAACCTTTAGATGAACGACCTTTATGTCAATATACACATACTCGTCGTCCTGCCGTACCGAAAACTGCGGGGTGATCATCGTGCTCACTCGATATCCAGATCTCTTCAAAGTCGAGATTTTTTTGATCCTCGGTTTGCTGATTGCAAAATCGAGAAGTCATCGCATCGTGCGGCTCAGAGACTGTGATTGTGAAAGCGTGTCTCACGTGAGCCTGAAAGCGTTTTCTTCGAGAGGCTAGAGTCGGGCTCACGGGAACTTGGTGAAGGATCACGACTTGGGTTGATAACACAGAGAGACTTTACGCTACACTCATGCTAAGTACAAGATGGTGACTACAGAAGGATTTCTAGCACGGTCTCTGCGTGCCTTGAAGGTTCTCGTCAAGAGCAGTAAGTGTTTCCGGAAAGAATTCCATGCTCTACACAAGCGCGTACACCTCGCTAACCCAACTGCAATCCGCAGGCACCACCGCGCAAATGACCCGCCAGGAAGTCTTTGATTTGATCAAGTTCGACTCTCCGGAGTCAATCTCGAAATGCCTTACCCGGTCCGATCAAGAGCTCGGTGGTTATAGTACCGTAAACCTCGACTGGGACGAGAAAGAAAAGTGCGCGCATTTCCATGGAAATTTATCGCTGGATCTTCCGCCTTCGAGACCAGAAGTCACGCGCTCGGGATACGCAATGTTTCGAACTAAGGATCGGCCGAGGAACTTTAAGGATGATGTTATTTACTGGAATTTGTCTGATGCGACACATATCGCGATGAGGGTGAAAGGTGACCGGAGAAAGTACTTTGTCAACTTGCAGTCCAAGACCGCGCTGCCGACGGAGATTCATCAGCACCGATTGTTTCTTTATGACCCCGGGAATTGGGAGATTGCAGTTGTACGTTCACTGTGCTATTTGCACTCAATGTTAAAGCATATATCATTAACTTTAATTCCTACAGATCCCGTTCAAGAACTTCCTGCTCACGCACTGGGGAAGAGTCGAGCAGCACCAGCAGATTGACCAAGCGAAAGTGAAAACCGTTGGTATCGGTTTGCTAGACAGAAGATACGGACCTTTCAGTCTAAAGGTAGGCTGGATCAAGGCGATTACCGACGATGAGGCAATGAAATACCTGCAGGAGAGACGGGTGCGGTACGAAAATTGGAAGAGGAATAACCCGGCGGCTGCGGCAGAGTCAGAGAAGAAACTTTCCGAATTCGAGGAGAGAAAGAGAAAAGATCCTAATCCGATGGAGTTATAATTGATTTACAATTGTTAGTTACTGGTTGTACATGTAATGTTGATAATCCACTTTTATTGAGGCTCTATTTGTTATTAAATTATTCTACTCTCGAAAACCATGCTTAGCTTAATTTGCCCACTTGGAGCCAGTGAGCTGCTCATAGGCCTCAATGTACTTTTCACGAGTCTTCTCGGCAATCTCAGCGGGCATCTCGACACCATCTTTGTACGCGAGATCGTTAGAAGTGAGCCAGTTACGAAGGAATTGCTTATCGTAGCTGTCCTGCCCCTGTCCGAGGGCATAAGTGTCAGCGCGCCAGAAGCGCGAGGAATCCGGAGTCAGAACCTCATCAACGAGCACGATGTTGCCGCTCTCATCCACACCGAATTCGAACTTTGTGTCGGCTATTATAATTCCTCGCCCGGCGGCGTAGTCCTTGGCCTTGACGTACAGCTTAACTGCCAATTCAGCAATCTTCTTTGCGTTCTCTTCGCCGATGATCTTAACAGCCTCGTCAGGGTGAATGTTTTCATCGTGCTCCCCAAGCTCGGCCTTGGTACTCGGAGTATAGATCGGAGTATCGAAGGCCTCGCTTTCGCGCATACCTTCTCTGACCTTGATGCCGTGGACGGTTCCTTTGCTCTTATATTCCTTCCACGCTGATCCTGTGAGATATCCACGAACGATAGCCTCGATGGGCAAAATCTTAAACTTGCGGACGAGCATGCTGCGGCCCTCGAGCTGGTCCTTGTATTTCTGGACAGGCTCGGGAAGGGACGAGACGTCACAGGTGATGAAGTGGTTGGGACAAACGTCGGCGAGGATCGAGAACCAGAACTTTGAGATTTGAGTCAATAGCTTTCCCTTTTCAGGAATGCCCTAGGTAAAAAATATGGAGCGTCAGTTTCCGAGTAGCAGAAGGTAATACCGTAGTCCAACTACTAACATTTTTCATGATAACGTCATAAGCCGAGATACGGTCGGTAGCAACGAAGAGCAAGGTCGAGTCGTCGACGGTGTAGATGTCGCGGACTTTTCCCTTTGCAATCAAGGGAAGCGTTCCTTCCAGATTAGTAGTTGTCAATGCCATCGTGAAGTCCGAATACTGTTTAATTCAATAAACGGGAGCAGCTTCAACTCTGCTGGGCTCGGTTGCTGATCTGGAGCAGATTGAAAAAGCGTAAAAAAGCTTTTAAAATCAGTAATTCTTTAGAGTTCACTTTGCAACTCAATTCGATGAGGCTCGCGATCGTGATATTGAAAGTGACCGTGATATTTACGAAATCTGGGAACTAAGAAGAGAAGAGTATGACTGTAGATGCTCTATTTACGGCTGTGCATGGGAATAGTGAGAGATGCTGCAGGTCGGAGGGTGCACGTCCAGTTTGACGCCCAGAAGTGTCGCTGGGACAACTGCTATCAGATGTAGGATCGAACACGCCAACGTCGGCCGCAAGATGAAAGAGAGTTGATTGTTCAGTTGTGAATATAACGTTCTTTTCACTAGAAATAACTGAGATGTACCTGTGCTGCTACTGGACTGAAGCGGGTGCTGTGATTCTTCGGCAGTGTTCCTGTGTTTGAGGTTCTTGATCGCTCGCGAGCGCGGAAGTAGCGTTGCAGCGACGCGCTTCACAGGTCTCAATTCTGAAAACACGCTATTCAGCAGTCTAAATACACGCTATTCAGCAGATTTGGGGTCGCTGTTCTGCAGTAAATAGCTAGTTATCTGAGCATCTGAGCGCATCTTTGCTTGTGTTATCTGTGGTCTCAGCAACTGACGCTCTGGTTCGAGCGGGCAGAGTCGCACAAGGCTCGCATCTGCATGCTGGCCTTATAAGCACGCTCGCCCGCTCGTCCTTTTCTCTTCCTCCTTCATCCTTTGGCACCACTTCTCGGGTTTTTGCACTAGATCGTTTTCCTCCTGGCTTTGCTTGCTGAGATTTTGCTAGCACCTTGCGGTCTGTTGCTGCTACTCAGAGCTATAAATCAAACTGGCAAATATGGATCAACCGATGTTCATGTCGGATCCCACCGACTATCAGTCTAGCAGCCTTGATCAATCCGTTGCGATTTTGCATCCCCGGCGATCGAAAACTGAAATTGTCTCTCAATTTCACCAGCCATCTGAGCTCAGCTCGTCTCCTCCTATGTCTACTGCTTTAGGAAATTCCAACGATAATGAACGCGTCCCGCCTATGTCTCTGTCTTCCATGTCTGATGTATCACGCAGTCGCATGGAAACTGATGATACCGACATGTCAACCGCATCTGCTCCCGTGGCTTATGGTTCCAATTCTGCTCTTTCGACTCCTGTGTCTAAACGGAGCGTCAACTTTTCTTCCACTCCCGCTACCACTCCTTATCGCTCTGCCGAGCGCAGCCGTGAGGAGGCACATGCATCAGAGATTGAATTTAGCTCCCCCGATCAGGAAGACTGCGGCAAGATTCAGACAGGGGCCTCTGATTTTACAGAACAGAATACCGAGATTGAGTCGCGAAGATCAGAGAACACTGCTCAAGACGATTCCATGGTGATTATTGTTGACGAAAAACCGCACCCTTCGGCTTGTATATTCGTTGCTAGGTACTGTTACTTTTTGTCATCATTTTCTCGAAAAGAGCTAACAACCCATCACTGCTAGTCTCTCGTCCTCTCATACGCTGGAGGATTTGAAAGTTGCCGTCAGTACGGTCTTCACAAAGGTGGATATCTATTTTGCTGAAAAAGTTCGTCTTTTGCCTTCCATTATAGGCTAACATGCGTTCAATAGTGGAATCCGGTTGATATTACTGTCCATCGAGACAGCTCCGACCGTCCGTATGCCTTCGTCCAGCTTCGTTCATTTGAGGATGCTCGCGACGCGCTTGAGTCTCGCCGGGGAGTGATTATCTTGGATCGCCCCATCAGATGCGAGTTTGCTCGTGTCAATAGATCAGTCTTTTTGGCATCTTCTAAGCGCATTATTGATAACGATGTGAGTATACTGTTGCATTGCCGTCGAACTTGAAAGCTATTCTAACAGCGCGTTTGTGTCAATTAGGAAGCGGAAGCGATTTTCAGCAAGTATGGCCAGCTAGAGCTACTGATCGTGGCAAACGTGCCTTACGGTCGTGGTATTCTCAGTGGATGGTGCGCCAAATTTGAATATCGAGAAGACGCGATTAACGCTTATTTTGTAAGTGCTCTTGACGATGTTTCAGGGAAAGTAACGCTAATGCTGACGAAAAATTTCTAGGATCTTCGGATCGAGAAGGTAACGAACTATCTGGAAACCAAAAAGTCGGCATCTCTAGATTTGATCTAACTGACAGTGTCTTCAACAGGATCTGATTATATTTTATGTCCAAAATCCGGATCCGAATATTCCAGCTTCTGCTGAGAACCCTGCAATCTCTATCCGCAACCTTGATCCGAAGCAGGTCACGGTTGAAATGCTGGAGAACAAATTCAGACCTTACGGGCGAGTGATGGATGTCCAACTTCTCTCGCGCACATCTAGTACGGGTAAGACCGTTTCCTAGGATTCTTTCCGTCTTCGGCGAATCAAGGCACTAACCTCAATATCTAGACCCAAATGAACCGCTTAGCGCATTTGTTCGCTTTGAGAACATTGATGAAGCTCGCCGTGCTATTGTTGAAGAGGTCAGTAAACAGTCTAATCTTTGCATATTGCTTCGTGCTTTTCTAACAGGGATGAGTTTGAATATATAGAACAAAACACTATTCCTTGGGCGCAGAATCTACCTCAGCTATGACAATCATTTGGCCGTGCCCACTATGGTCAGACTTGCTCCCGCCCCCAAATACTCCGAATCTTCGATGAGTTGGCCAGAGCAAGACGCCGCTAGCGAACGAGATTCCAATGACGCGTACGGTAACGACAATGCAGCCAATGCTTTTGCATCTCGTTACCACGACCCCCGAGCGCGGAGAGTTATATCGTCACCGACGTTCAAGGGCGCTAATGGTGTGCGGAGAAACAGCAATGGCTATAGTCAAGAAAAACAGCTGCAGCAGAAGCAGATGCGGGGTCGCAAGGCGGTACTCGGGGACTTCACAGAGTCATTCAACAATGAGGCATCTCCTCAAAGCTACGACGACGTAAGTATCTATCTCCGCAGTTCTTTATGTGCCATTGAAGAATACTAATACTCAAACTATCTAGATGGATCAGTCTCAGCACTATATGGATGGGTCAGTGTTATACGGCAATTCCTACTACCCTCCGGTAGTCGGTTAGTATTTTCCTTGCTTGTGACGTCGAAATTAGAATTTGTGACACTGACAGCTGGTTTAGGCAATAGAATGGTCGGCCCTGAGTATTATCAGATGCAGCATCCGATGTTTATGATGCCGCCGATGCAGGCACCTGTTCATTCGCAAGCTGAGCCGCCGAATTACCCAGCCTATATGGACAACAACGGTGCGCCCATGCCGTACCCATACATGCCATACCAGATGCCGTACCCTTATTATCCCCCGCAGCAGCAGCATACCGACGTGAACGGAGCGATGAACACGGCGGCCAAGGCCAACGAAGGCGGGTACACTGATAATGCTTCCGCCCCGGCACCACCTTCTGGGATGGCAATGATCCCGCCATATGACTATAATGGACAGATGCTTTATGCGATGCCGTATCAAATGCCGCATCCGTATATGTACGCGAACATGGTTCAGCCGATGGCAGGAGAGGGTGAGGCGACAAACTGAGGGTATTAAGTTGAGGTTTTGTTGACGATGTAGCTAGTTTGTGTTAATGTAAAAACGAGATGGGAAAAGATTTTAGTCTGTCGATGAAGGTATATATGCGGAATGAAAAGAGAAAAGAGTCTTAATCTAAAATCTATTGTCCTAAATGCCAAACGTACAAATCATAGCTTAATCATATCCTATACCCATAAACGAATGCCAACCACTGTAATAGCGACAAGAAAACAAAGCTGACAAATGTCAAGTACTTTAGTCCAGCATCTGCCGGATGTTTAAATTAATCCTCTTGGACAAAATCCACTCGCTATAGTTTTCCCTTCCCCGACACACTTCAGGCGCAGCACAGGTCTTTGGATTAGAAGGTAGAATGTTGTTTGTATAGTCGAATTCCGTGAGATAGTCCGGCGCGGTGCGGTCCCAAACTCTTCCGACGCCGTGATAGGCGAAGCGCGATTCGCCGCCCATGAGGATGATGTCGCCGCTGCGCACGCGGATCTGGAGTGGCGGCTTGGATTTGTCGAGGCCGCAGAAGAAGACGGCTTCGCAGCCTATGCTGAGAGACGCGAGGTCGGCGTGTGATTTCTCGGCGACGTCTTGGTGTGGAGAGAGGATGTCGCCGTCGGAGTAGAAGTTGATGATGCTGGCTTCTGGGACTAGTGACGACTTGAAAATTGAAGATGAGAGGCCTCGGAGCAAGGTTGTGAGTGAGTGCGGGAAGTCTGGGAACCCTTTAGTATGGGGCTCCCATGACGGGTATTGTTTCGTGGTCCAGTTGTACTGGCCTCCGAGGGTGACCCAGCGGAGCTTTCGCGACTGGAGCGCGTCTAGTGTTGTCGGAGTCTGGGCAGGAGTAGAAGAAGTCTGAGAGGGCATGATCTTGAGATCTGAAGGGTAGCCAAAGAGATTGAAAGGCTCGGGAATTGTGTATGACGGATGTAGGTTCGTGAGGTGATCTTTCGGTGGCAGGTATTCTTCAATCACGTTGACAATCAGCTGTCGCTGAAGATCTGGCAGGAGAATACCGGGATATATCCTCAACCCAGGAACAGATGCAACTCTGATCTCTGAATACGTGGAGTCTAGGTAGCTACTCACGCTTCCAACGCCAACTTGGGACTTTGAATCGTAAATAAACGCTCCCAGGGCATCGACAGTCTCTTGCGTGTACAGGAAACTCGACACAGTCACGTCACCCGGATGCAGCTCTTCATACTCATCCAGAAAGAGCGGGTCGATCAAGTTCGCAGTCTCGGGCGCCGAGCTCGGCCGGAAGGCGTACTCGTCAAAGGCCTCATATGGCAGGTGCTTGTAGAACTTGTACAGCGGCTTGAAAGCGTTCTCGTTGTTTGCGGGTGCATCCATGGATTGAAGAGCAAAAGAAACCGTCGTGCTGTCTTCTTTGAGGGTCTTGCGCGTCGATTGATCAGGTAATAACAAAGACCATCAGCGGTGAACCAATTCTTTCAGCAGACAAAGTAGTCCGACCTCTTCAGCTCATCGACAAATTCGAGCCCAGAACTGTCTGTCGTCATTTATCCCAAGAAAAATTCAGAAATAAATATAAAAGCCGCCACAAGCCCCGCCTGTGGTGGTAAGCGAGCCCGCCACGCCTCGCCAAACCCGCCAGTTTAGAACGTAGGCTCGCAGAATTCCACTGACATCATCATCTTGACCGATTGTCAGTTTCTCTTTACTTGCACCTACAACAACTATGGACGGAGGATCGGAATTATTTGCCTCTTATGAGGCTGATTTTAGACTGGCGTATGCTGAAATCACACAAAAGATTGATCAGATTCCAGATTTAGCTGCTGGTAAGAGCGTCTCATTTGATAAACCTGTGGTTTCAGGTTTGTTGCAACTATTTACTGACTCGCTTTCACTGCAGAACCACGGAAGGCATCTATTCGGGCTGCTGAGCGTGCTATTGATGAGGCCGACGAAATCGTAAGAATTTCTCCTGCTGCCTATATCTTACTCCATAGAGTCTAACAGTCATCTAGATGGGTCAAATGACCATCGAGCTGCAAAATATCTCCTCTGGTCAGCGAGCAAAACTGAACGCCCGCCTGCGCAACTACCGAGCCGAACTCGACACCGCCAAGCGTGATCTCCGCCGTGCGACCGAGCAAGCAGATCGGAAAGAGCTCTTCGGCGCCCGCGCGCGAGCATCCGGCGGCGCCACTCTGTCTGCCGACGACATGTCGCAGGACCAGCGCCAGCAACTTCTCTCCGGCACCGACCGACTCGAGAACTCGTCGCAGCGTCTGCGCGACTCTCAGCGCGTGGCTAATGAGACCGAGACGATCGGCGCCAGCATCTTGACCGATCTCCGCGGCCAGCGAGAACAGATCATCAACTCTCGCAACGTACTCATGACTGCTGACGGCCATGTTGATAAGAGTGTCAGAACCCTACGAGGCATGGCTCGACGGATGATCACAAACAGAATCATCACCGTCGGTATCGTCGTCCTGCTCATCCTCATTATCGCCGCCATTCTCATGGGCCGCTTTATCCCTCGTCGCAGGTAGAAAACTACTACCTGTTCCCGTTGTATCCTCTACTTCCATACTCTTTATCAGTGCTCCAAAGCATATTAGGTTGTGACCTTGGTTACGGTGTCGGTTTATCTGTTTTGTTTCAATTTTGTGCCGCAATATTTTTGTATTCAAATCTTGTCTTCTCTTTAGATGTGTGTTGGGGTGTTTGTTGTTTGTAGGGTAGTCAATAAATTAATTTTCCCATCCAAGTTTATCCATTTTCTGTAACAAAATATATGTCCTTCTTCAGGCAAATAAAAATAGAGCTATTAAATATTCATCATCATATGAATAAAAAAAATAGAAAAAAGTAATTGCGATCTCTGTGGATCGAACACAGGACCTTCAGATTAACAACCGAAGTGTGACTTCAGTCTGACGCTCTCCCAACTGAGCTAAGCCCGCAATCTTGAAAAAACAAGTTCTGCTGGCCTTTATAAGCTGTTTGTAAAATACTCAGTATAATGCTTTTTAGTCAATTAAATAGATAAAATCGATGTGAATTAGTTTGAGAGCTTATATCATGTTGCTGAAATGTAGATCCTAAGCTCGTGAGCTTTGTAATCTATATAGAGAGTCCGCATGTGGGCGGAGAAGGCTTCAACAGAGAACGCAAGAGCGATGCGAAATTGCTATGTACTCCGGCGAGATACGCCTTCTTGCTCGATAAATGTTGAGAGGCTGAGAAGTCAATAAATTTACATTGTAACGGATACATCAGTTATGCCATATGATACCATGATCACAAGAGATCATAGAGATCGCGCAGAACGATAAAAGTCAAAGGCAGTTAATGTCGTCGCGTTCCCCGTGTTCTGTGCTTTCTAGAACTTGAATTACATGAACAGAATCGCTGCAAATCCGACAATCATATCGTTATTTTTTTATACTACTAATAAGCCAACGAAAGAGATAAACTCGGTATAAAGGATTACCGTAAGGGGTAAGAAGAATTACGAAACGGCCGGCGCGTTGACTGTTATTTACTTTCGGCCATATTGAGAAACCCCAATATATCCAACGCGCGCACTGAAGTCCGCCCGCTTCACGCGCCCGCCTCTTCTTCCCTTCTTCTCCCCACCCCCCGACGCTCGTTTTTAGATAGCTCCCCCTCTTGCTTTCCGATACCCCTCCATCCTCACCAGTCCGAGAGATAGATCGACTTTGATACCCGTCTGATCCCCCTTGCTTTCTGATACCCTCCGTCCTCCAGTCCGAGAGATAGATCGACTTAGGTACCTGCCTGATGGGCATTCTTGCTGCTTTTTTGTTTCTTGTGCACTTACCCCCAGGCGATCCCGCCCAGAGACGAGAGTCGTATGGGCGGGTTGCTTGGATATGTAGAACAGGTCCCCTCGGACCCGCGGGACGACTGGAGGATGCTCCACCCCTTCGTCTCTGCGACGCGGGCTTAGTGGCCGATCAGAATAGTATCCACTGGCTCAGCTTGAGATCTCTCTATACCACGGCAACAATACAGTGAGTCCGGTCTTTTTCGATACAGAGCTTTGAACTAACAGAGGTTATCCAGGCGCACGGGTCCTCTACCGCGCAAACTGCTGCAGGAACGGCCTTGGTGACCGGTGACCAAGGACGTTGAGCAGCCTGACGACCGCGGATGTCGTTGGGTGAAGACGTCAGTCAACTCCAGGGGCCGCCACACTTCTTGGGCTAAGTGCGAGAGCCACATAGCTCTTGAGCTGACGTGGGAGGACACGTCGTGGCGGCACCGCAGCATCCCCAGAGCCTGACACCCTCCGCAACAACGCAAGTACCGAGCGAGCATGCACATGCTCAGGGAGACACTGTGTTTCCATTGCCGGCTCGGTGCCCTGCGTGGCCGCCCCTTCAACGCCGAGATCAAGTTAGTCTGGCGCAGTTGGTCAGGGCGGTCAATCCGATGAGATTCTTCAAGCCAGGTTGCTCATCCGGATTCAAAACGTCTACGTTGTTCGCGTCTCGACACATATGCGGCTGGTAAGCTGCGCCGTCGCATGGAGTTAGGCGACGGTCGTGTCGAGAGTCCGCGCGACCAACCGTCTTTGTCTCAACAAGACAGACGAGCGGATTATGCGACAACATTGACAAAACCAGCAATACGGGGGCAGGTCATGAACTGCCTTGGGATGGAGTCGGGTCTTAGTGGGTATGGCGACATCGAGAGAGTCGCAGAGTCCCACATAACTCTTGGCCAGTAATGGTCAAGAGTATGCGTAACGCATTCTTCCCGGTCCTGGCACCAGCCGCTTCGCGCGCGCTCGTTCTGTTCTGTCTTTCCTGTCTGTGCTGTGGATGGTTCCTGGCAGTAGACGGGGTTACTGTTTCTGTAATGGTGACTGACAGAAGAGAAGGGCGCGCGCGAGGCGGTCCGTATTGTAAAACCCCAAAGAAAAAAAAATAAACGTAGATATCTCTGAGCATTGTGAAACTGTGTTGTATTGAATAGTTTCGTGGACTTGACTTTGATCGCGATCGACCAGTACACGAGGGAACGGCTGGTAGATCATCATAGACAACATAATAATCAAGTAGTATAGTGTCAACAATAGACATTATATTTTTCATCTCATAATATTCTCTGTCGTCATGTGTACACCGCTACTTCCAACATCCCCGTAGTTTCAACAAATCGCTCATGAGAGGCGGAACAGTAATGACATCCCAGCAAGTTTATTCCTCTCGTTAATCACACAATCATCGATCTGTATAAAATAATAAGAGCATAGACCAGAACGCAGGAAAAAGTTTTCGATCCCAACAATAGAATTTTAATCTAATAGGGGGTTAGAGACAACGAAGAGAGGGAACATAGTGGGGAGCAGGGTATGAGTGTGATGAGAAATAGGGGGGCTCGCGGTGTTTGCAGGATGAATATGCAGAATGATCAGCGCAGAGTACGGGAGAACGCACAGAGTGGAGATGCTGTATAGGGGCATGGTATTGATGAAAATATTTGGCAAAGCACAAAAAAGTGCAAGGAAATAGAATTTGTTGGACAGAGACAGAAAGAGGCGATAACGACAAAGGCAGGTTTTGTGAAATTGAAGGGCAGAGGAGTAGGATAATTGGTAGAGCGATCACTGGATCACGAACGATGAAGCCGTTAGAAACAAGATAAGGGTATGCACGATGCAGGATGTTGAAACAGATGTTATGTGTAAACATGAGTCAAAAAGAAACGAGAAGGAAGGGGTCCTCTCATCCGCAGAACAATGATAACAGGACAGCGAGGATGAGCCCTGTTGCGATTTCTGGAAAGACGAGGCTTAGGGTATACCATGCACTCACTGGAGCTCAAAGCCACCTGCTCGCCTGTCTCTGTTAGTGAATAGACAAGAAGAGATGTGAAATACAGTGGACTGTCATCATTAGTGTTTTTTTCGGTAAACTAGGGCGCATGTCGCGGCCTCGGTCTCTGGCAGGATTGGCGCAAATCCGAAATATGAAGTCAGATTCAGATATGTCGGCGAGATATGGGAAAAGTCTAGACCGATGAGCTACGCCGTGATCCGGCAGTCTCGGACAGAGGGAGAGATAGAGATGAGATGGGCTGAGGATAAGATATCTGGTGCTGCGGTCCTGTGAAGTCTCAGGAATTCTCGCATGCGTGCGAGGGACGTTGAAAAGGATGGCAGGCTACGCTAGTTGATTTTCCGAAGCAACATTACGTCTACCAAGACCCAGAGCGATGGTCAAGAATGTGAAAAATTCAAACTACTGTCAACGCCTCGCTTTCCACTCTACTCTGAAGGACACTCGGGAGGAGGCAATGGCATGACCTATACTTCTCGTACGCGTTGGCGCGCCAAATTAGTGTCCCTGTTGGCTCGGTGGGCTTAGTTCAGTTAGTTTAGCCAAACTTCGCGTCTCTCTGAAAAAAGGGTTTTAGGTTCGTTCGTTGGATCTTCTCCGGGGCAAAGTTCGGGGTCAATAAAGCGCGATACGGTTCATACCCTGCTTCCAATCAATTTCGAAAGGGTGTGAAAAGTGGATATCGCCGGTCCGATGAGGTTGATTGAACACCGACTTGTTCAGACAGAGGTTGAGAGGCATCCTGCGGTGGTCCCTATGACGACATCTATAGCGCTAATGCAGGATGCGTGCATCTGCATCTCCTTCAACGGTGTCTTATCTCAACGGTCGGAACACGATTTAGTGGTAGCGACCTGCTAGCTGTTCATTAGATACCGGAGGTGGGTAGGCGAGCCAACTACTGTTCCCAAGTGCTATATACCCAATTCACCACTGTGGATAGAGTAATTACGGTGGAGCATATTACTATCATCGTACCAGAAAATACCAATGAGCTGTTCAACTGTATAGGTCTCCGAATGAAGTGGAGATTTGATGTTCTACGGTCGATTGCTGATGAATCTGTATCTGAACAAAACTTCTAACTGTGCTTGGCTCCACCGAGCTACCGAACGATATCTCTCACGACGCATGATCAGACTATCGTATCGTCGTCCACACATCTCTGAGCGTTTCTGTTTCTCCGCGACCGTTAAACGTCCATTCTCTGGTCTGATCTATACCTACTTTTGGAATACATGTCGTCATTAAACACCTGTTGCTGGCCAAAGTCACTTTTTAGATTGCCCTAGTGTACGTTTTATAGGTCGGTCGCGCATATTGGTCTCAGTGGTCTCATTCTTGGCTCCGCTTTTACTGGTTTCCTTCACTGGTTTTGGGTGAGCTGTGCGTGGTGAGATATCGAACGAGGAAACACGTCATGGAGAGAGGGATGTAGACGTGGAATATAAAATGGAGGGATTGTCCGTCGGCTATAGGACATATCTTTAAGCCATTGAGTGCAATTGTCTACCGTCATGAGTCTTATCGTCGCGATTGCTTTGCTGTTTGCGGTCCAGGTGCTGGCTGCTACCACCCTGTCGACTTCAACAACTACAACCACCACCGCGACTGCCTCGACGCAATACGCGGTCCCGACATACTCCAACCCCGTCGTATGGGCCTCGCCAAAGTACAACGTGGGCTCGATGTCTCGCGCGATCTCTGTGAGCAGCAAGACAGAGTACGGACAGATGGTCGACCCGGATAACACGTACACGATCTACCGCGACGGAGGCGGCTCGTGTACGCTGTACAACCGCACGTTCTTCATCTTTGACGATACGACTGGGTATAAAACCAGCGGGGCGCTGGGCGGTTTTGCGACGAACAGTATCGCGATGGCGAGAGATTTCAGCGACCCGACCTCGCTCAAGGATTTCTCAATGTCAGACTCGGTGGGCTATTTCCTTCCGATTCCGATGACGACCGCCGAGGCGACGGCGTCAAAAGTCACGTCGAAGCGGTACGCGTTCTGGACGTACACAAACTGCGTGCAGCTTTCGGAGACGTCTGCAGCGCATTTCTTCTTGGTGAACAAGTACTCGTCGTCGACGTCGGACACGTTCCTAGGCAACACGGTCGCGCAGCTTTCGATCAATCCGACGACAAACGTCATGAGCGCGGTGCGCTACACCGAGTTTGCGTTCGACAACACGACCTATCCCTACGGCTCGTTTGCGAGCATGGTCGTCAACGGCGTCGCATATCTCTACGGCCTTGACGCGACGTACTCTTCGAGCTACGACGTCCACGTTGCAAGCGTGCCCGTCGGGAGATTTTGGGATTCGTCAAAATACCAGTACTGGGACGCGTCGACGTCGACGTGGTCGTACACGCAGCCGATACCTACCGCTCGTCGACAGTCCAGTGCGGCGATCCAGGGCACGATGCCGTTTTCTTCCGGCACGGTGTTTTACTCTGAATACCACAACCAATATCTCTTGATTTTCTTCAACAGATGGATTGATAGTACTTTCCGCGTGATCACGGCGCCGACGCCGCTCGGACCTTGGAATATCACGAATTCGGTGCTGTGGAAGACGACGTCGGGCGCGAGCTACAATTACGGCGGCGTCGCGCACCCGGTGTATGGATCGAGTGACGGGTCGACGATCGGGCAGTCGCTGAAGGTGCATTTTTCGTATCAGGATGATGATGGTACGACTTATCCGAAAATTGGACAGATCACGTTCAAGTGATGGTTATGTTGATGATGTGTACGGCAGCTCCGGCACTTTTTACGAGTTTGTTTTCTATGAGGTGGTATATGATTTTGTTTGTTATTTGATACTTACTTTTTTATTTGAGAATGCGATCATGATTTGAAATCTAACAAAATGCGAAATATATACGAGTGGAATTGAGCAAACCGTAAAACAAAGAAAAAAAACTCCTAGATGCAAATGATGTTTGTAGAGCAGCAGATCACGGGTTGTTGCGCAGGCCCATGATCCGTTTCAATCCCTCGTTTTCGGTCTGCAAAGCGTACAGAATTTCTGTGACCGACAAGGTAGATTCCTTCGAGTCGCCAGAGGCAGTAGCAGAGGTGGCCGGGATCTCGGAATCAACGTCGTTGAAACGGTAGGCGAGACGCAACGACTCTGAGAGTTTTCTGATGTGTTGCTCCTGCTCGGCGTATAACTTGTGCAGCTCGTCGTAGCGGCGCTGTTCTTCCTCTATCTTTGCAGCATATGATTTGTGGATCTCGATGACGGATTCGGCGCGGGTGAGGGTGTACTCGCGCAGGCCGTCCATTATACGGGAGACGGTGAGGTCGTACTGCTGGGTGAGGACGTCGAGATCGTCGCGTTCGGAGCGAAAGGCGAGAAGTTCTTTCCGGAGCTGCTCGTTCTCAGACTCGAGATTCGACTGCTTTGTCTCGTTTGCGTGCTCGAGGCTTTTCTGCAGCTCCTCGAGGCCGTTGGGTGCGGACGCGGCGGCGGCGATGGCGGTCGAGGAGTCGCCGACGGACTCTGCGAGGCGGAAGAGGCGCGCGGTGAGTTCGCGGTTTGTAGAGAGGGTAGAGGAAAGCTCGGCCAGCATTGACCAGAGCATGCTCATGTTTGGGTCGGACATGCTAGGCGGTGGGGAGGAGAGCGCGATCATTGGAGGGAAGGGAGGGTGGTGTAGTGAGCAGGAGCCGAGGATGAGTGAGATTGGAGGTGCGGCTCATTGCTCGCGCTTTGTCTGCTCTCTGCTCTGTTCTCGAGAGTGCCACTCTCTACTCTTCTCGTCTCTGCAGTGCCCGAGCGTGCTTGGGTGATGATCTGAGTCTGCTGTTGGGGTTGAGGATATTGGGTAAACGTGCAGGTTTGTGCAGATGTCTGTTTGGCATTGAGTGATTAAACGGACCCGCAGATGGCTGTTACTTGGTCTGCATGATCCTGGATGGGGCGCGTGTTAGCTATGATGTCTCCTTGAGAGCACGTTGAGTTGAATAGCAGAGTGTTTATTTGCAGACCATTTGTTTGAATGTTTTGCGAATGTGTTGAATATGATCAGAATACTCAACATGACTGAGTGTGAGGTTGCTGTGGTGGCTCGTCTTCTATGTGTTTTGCTATGCTCAACGCGATCCACTCTGTTCTGCTCTGCTCTGCTCTGCTCTCTGCTCTTTACTCTTCTCTGCCTCTCCTTATTCTCGCTCTTCTCTTCTGCTTGTTCTCTGGTCTCTGCTGATTCAGCGCTGACCAACATCCTCCTCCTCTCCCCGAACAATACCAACCCCCTCGCGACGCCTGCTATTGTTCTCTTCCTGCGGCTCGGCCCCGCCAACCGTTCGCTCTCCTCGATCCAAAACCTCCTCACTCGGCCTCACTTCACGCCTTTGTCTGCCTCTTCGGCCCCTATTCCCTGCCTGTTCCTCCTTCTCGCCATGTTTTGCTGATATATGTCCCTGTCCTCTCTCCTCACCACCTTCTCCTCCCCACCACCTCGCCCGCAATGGATCCCAGTAACATCTACAACACCCCCGCCAACCAGACCCTCATGGTCCTCGTCGCGGACGGCTCCTACACCCCCGTCGCTGTAGCCGATCTTGATTCCTGGCGCAGGTACTACATCACCGCCTGCACCGTCTTCGGCGTCCACATCGGCGCCTGCTCCGCCGTCGCCATCGTGCTCGCCATCCTCACAAAGCCGTCTCGTCGCCAGACCCCCGTCTTCATCTTCAACGAGATCTGCCTCTTCCTCGTCTCTCTGCGCGCCGGTCTCTGGATCTCCTACGCGCTTGGCCCGCTCTCTGATTTTGCCTACACCTTTGCCGCATATGAAGGCGTCGTCTCGCACCGCGACCTCGTGGTCTCCGCCGTGACGGCCGCGATGCAGGTTCTCATCACGCTCGGCATCGAGCTCTCGCTCATCTTCCAGGTGCGCGTCATTTTCGACACGAACCGCGTGCTGCAGCAGCGCGTCACGATGGTCTGCGCCTTGCTCCTCGTCACCACCGTCGCGTTCTGGATCCTGGCTGTCGTGCGCAACATCCAGGCGATCTTCGCCGCCGGCCCGTACTACCAGTCCGAGTGGACGTGGATCGTTGCCAAGGTCCTCTACGCTTTCTCAATCACCTTCTACTCTGCGATATTCTCCTACAAGCTCTACCGCGCCATTCGCCAGCGCCGCATCCTCGGCATCAAAGAGTTTAGTCCTCTGCAGGTCATCCTGATCATGACCACGCAGATCATGATCATCCCGCTCGTGCTGACAATCATCCAAATGGCCACCGATCTCGGCCCGCCCATGTCCTCTCTCGGCACGCTCTTCGTCGTGCTCTCGCTCCCGCTCTCGACCCTCTGGGCCTCGGCGACAAACGACACGATCGTCGCCAGCCGGCGAACGCACGGCTCCGGCGTCACCTCGATGCACGGCTCGAACGGGCACGGCGGCGGACGCCATGTGGGCGTGAACGAGTCCAGCGGCGGGAACTCGGACTACTCCGGCGCGACGTTCATGTACGATCCCACGACGACGACGACGAGCTCGGCGGACGAGTTTGGCGGCGATCTCGAGAAGGACGAGGATTGGAAGGGCAGCCGTAGGGGGAACGTGACGGTCACGCGTACAATAATCGCATAGAACTGCCGATGATTCTAATCTCTATTATACTATTTTTATTAATTTTTTGGTGCTTGGAATACTCTTCTGGACGAGGCGATTTTTGGATATACGTAATTGACCTGAATTTTTCTCTTTTGTGACTTGCAGTAATATAAAAACAAGGATATTGAACAAAAGATTTGCTGATTTTCTAAAATGAGTCAACGCCTGGACAAACGACAAACTAATCATACAACACCAAATGATGTAAAGAAACAAACAAGCAAATGAAGAAAGGCAGTTGATATGCGAGAGAGATCGATGGACTGGACTAAGAGCAGCCTCATTGGCGTCCAGTGGCATCGACGCACGCCACCCATCACCGTCTTTGTGTATTGCACTTCGCCATAATCATAGAGAAAGACAAAGAGGAAGACAAAAGAGGGAGATCATATCGCGAATAGCTTATTTGCCCGCCTTCTGCAACTCGACTCTGTGACGAACAAGTTAGCGCAGCTGATCACCATCATCATCGATCTGGATCAATCGGCAGATAAGTCAAAAACATACTTGAGCTGCGACGAGAAATCATCGTCGGCGTCGTCGTCGTCCCAGTTCTCTTCCCATAAATGCTCCTTGCCGCCAGGAATCGCCATCTCCGCATCGGCGTCGTTCCAGTCTGTGGATTTGTAAAGAAACGTGGTCAGAACATCGCATCAATCGTCGGGGTAGGAGTATAGATAAGTACCTTCGGCAGGGAAATCCTCAAACTCGTCGTCCTCTTCTAAAGTCACGACGGCGGCCTTGTCCTCTGTCTTTGCGGTAGCCGCGTCGACGGGCTTCTCAGTCTCTGGAGCTGTTGATTTCGAGGACATTTTATATCCCTTTCTTCCTCTGTGTTCCTGCTAATCAGTATGCTATCCTTTATCGTTCTAAAACAGCTTTGTATTCTGCAGCAGTCGTACTTAGATCAAGCGTTTGAAAGACAAATGCGGTGGTGGTCGATACGATAGATGACGAGCGAACAGCGCAGAGCGCGGGAGTAGTCCTTCAATCCATAACCACGTCACGTGATCTGTAAAAACCTGCAAAGGCTGGGGCTACACATCTGATTCAATGAACTGTGAGTGTTTGGCAGAAAAAGCTGCAGCAACCAGATATTAAAAGGAGAGAAAGAGAGATAGGGAGATTGAGATATGTCGTCTACGTCCTCGTCGTTGTGGAAAGAACACAAAACTTCAGATGGGCGGAAATATTACTACAACACGCAGACGAAGGAGACTAGTTGGGCCAAGCCCGACGAGCTGCTGAGTCCTCGCGAGGTGAGACTATGCTTGTTATTACGTCAATATTTATTTGTATGCTTTGGATGCTAATTATGGAATCTAGCGGGCGCTGGCAAAGACAGATTGGAAAGAATACGAGACTCCAGACGGCAGAAAGTACTGGCACAACAAGCAGACGAACGAATCTGTGTGGAAGATCCCGGAGGCGTACAGGCTTGCGCTGGAAGAGGCCGAGGAGGCGGAAGAAGAGGCTGCCGAGCGGGCGAAGCTGGAGGCTGAGCTGGGTGTTGGGCAGACGCGGATCAGTGATGCGTCTGCGGGCGCGAAGATGATTGAGGGCGCGGGCGAGGATGTTAATGGTAGTCAAGACAACCAGCACGCGGAGGTAGCTGGAGCGCGCGATGAGTTTTCGAGGTTTAGTGCCGGCGGCGCGCGCTACGATGATCCAGAGGCGGTGTTTACGCAGATGCTGAAAGAGCACGGGATCGATTACACGTGGACATGGGAGCGAGCGATTCGGGAGATCATCGAGGAGGACACGTACACTGCGGTTGCGGACGCGAAGCAGCGGCGGGCTGTGTTTGATAAGTTTGTGGCCGAGAGTCGGAGGAGAGCGGGGGAGCTTGCGAAGGAGACGATCGAGAAGCGGAGGAATGACTTTGTGGGGCTGCTGAAGCAGTTGCCGGAGGTCAAGTCTTACTCGAGATGGAAGTGAGTATTTGTGTTTATATAGATGGGTGATCAGAACTAACAGGGAATAGGACTATACTGCCACTCATCAAAGATAAGTCAGAATACCTGGCCTTCCAAGACGACGACGCAAAAGAGACGTTCTACAGCTACACGGGGGAGCTTCGCAAGAAGGAAGACGAAGAGACGGAGCGCCGGCGACAGGAAGGCATGGCGTCTGTGCGCAAGTTTCTCGAGGACCGAAGCAATATCGACGTGTACACGCGGTGGCACGACGTGAAGACAAACATGAAGCGCGACGCGGACCTGCGCGCGGAGCTGAGCGTGCGGGAGCTGAATATGCTTGATATCCTCGCGGTGTTTGAGGAGGTGATGAAGAAAGTGGAGAAGCAGTTCCTGGACGAGCGCAAGGAGGCTAAGCGCGGCGTGCGGGAGACGGAGAGGCATCGGCGGGAGGCGTATGTGGAGCTGATGGAGGCGCTCGTGCAGAGCGGGGAGATCAAGCACGACACGCGGTGGATGGACATTTATAAGCGGGTGAAGGACGACGAGCGGTATGTGGAGATGGTCGGGCAGGTGGGGTCTACGCCGCAGGAGCTGTTCTGGGACGAGGTGGAGAAGCAGAAGAAGGATCTGCGGATCAAGCGGGATATCGTGCTCGATATCCTGGCGGAGGAGCGGTTCGAGGTCGGGGAGGAGACAAAGTACGAGGAGTTTGAGCAGGTGGTGCGGCGACATAAGCAGTCAGAGACGATCGACGACGAGGCGCTGGAGTACGTGTTTGAGCGGCAGCGGGCGCGGGCGCAGCGGCGGGCGGAGGAGGACCGGCATCAGGAAGAGCGCAGGCTGCGGCGGAAGCTCGACGGGCTGCGGTCGGTGATGCGACATCTGGAGCCGCCGATGACGGCCGAGTCTACGTGGGAGGAGATACGGGAGCGGGTGAAGGACACGGCGGAGTTTGCGGAGCTGGAGGAGAAGGAGCGGGTGGTTGCGTTTGAGAAGCAGCTTGCGCGGACGAAGGAGGACTCGCGGCGGCGGCGGGAGTAGTAGAGTAGATGATGTACTATTAACTATTTTAAACAGTATGAAAGTCATATGGAGATCCGGTGGAGCTGTCTGATTACATAACCACGCAGTGATTCAATTACTAACAAGGTTCGGTAAGCGGGAGGCAGGTCCGAAGCCAGGGTCGAGGCGACGAGCGGCCGTCCGACTGGCTGCTGCCCTGCGCCCGCACACAGACCGCCCCGGCCGAGCCGCTCGAATTTGCGCGGCTCCGGAGGGAGAGAGGAGAGAAGAGGTTGTCGATTAACAGTAGACTGTGGAGATGGTCGAGATAGTCTGGAGAAGGCAGGAAGAAGAAGAAGAGAGAGACTGTGGAGGCCCGACGAGACCCGACCGGGATCCAGACCCCGGCTTCCTCGCCCCGGTTTCTTGCTTATTTTCTCTGATTTGAATTTGTTTTCTGTTTTTCTGTTTTCGCCGTCTTTTTTCGTGCTTCGCGAATGTTCGTAACCACGCAAGAGTCTGCGGCCCAGACCGAATCAGGTTAATAAGCGTCTTATGCACCTGCTTTTATGCACTTGGCACCGCAACTCACACACCGAGTCCTGCTTCCGAGGCCCTCGTCCGGCGTATAAATCAGATTGCTTATCGCCCTCTACTCCCTCTCTCTTCTCTTCCACCTCTCCTGCCTCTTCTCCTCTTCTCTCCTCTTCTTCCGCCTCAATCAATCAACCACAATGGCCGTCACCGTCCAGAAGCCCGCCCCTGCCTTCACCAAGACCGCCGTCGTCGACGGCACCTTCGAGGAGGTCTCCCTTGACTCCTACAAGGGCAAGTGGCTCGTCCTCGCCTTCATCCCCATGGCCTTCACCTTTGTCTGCCCGACCGAGATCGTCGCCTACTCCGACGCCGCCCCCAAGTTCAAGGAGCGTGGCGCCGAGGTCGTCTTCGCCTCCGTCGACTCCGAGTACACCCTCCTTGCCTGGACCAACGTCCCCCGCAAGGACGGCGGCCTCGGTCCTATCCAGATCCCCTTGATCTCCGACAAGAACCACTCGCTCTCGTCCGACTACGGCGTCCTCATCCCCGAGGTCGGCGTCGCCCTCCGTGGAATCTTCCTCATCGACCCCAAGGGAACCGTCAGACAGGTCACCATCAACGACCTCCCCGTCGGCCGCAACGTCGACGAGACCCTTCGTCTCCTCGACGCATTCCAGTTCACCGACGAGTACGGTGAGGTCTGCCCCGCCAACTGGACCAAGGGCTCCGAGACCCTCAAGCCTGACCCGACCGGAAAGCTGGAGTACTTCGAGAAGGTCAACTAAGCGTTGTCTTCCTCTCTCCTCTCCTTACTCTCTTCTCATGATACATTATAGCTACATAGACTTACTTAAAATAATAAAATAATAATGACTCTACTCTATAATTCTCTCAATTATCAATACAATTGTAATGCAATTGCGTAATCCTTCTAAAAAGTGGCAACTGCCGCCGTGGCGAGATGATCTCGCCTACTGCAATTGAGTTTCCGCCGGAGCGTGTTTGTAAGCACCTGCACGTGTTTAGCACGTGACTCTACCACACCCTCAGATATTATAAGCGCACAACACCCTCAGATATGTAACTGCTGCTCATCGCAAGTATCGAGTATAGAGAGGAAAAACCGAGCTGGATTCTGATACTCGATATCTTCATTCTGCACGCGCCAGCAGGAGAATAGAGAGACAGAGAGAGCAAGATGAAGCTCACTGTTGACCTGATTAATGCGTCGCCGTCGTATATCAATCCGCTGAAGGATCGCGAGCTCTCGCTTCGAGGTGTGTATTGCTGTTCTTCTCACATATCTACTGATTCTCGACGTTTGAACTGTCAACGTTTGACTTGTTTGTGGGATCTGAGTTGATTGCTGACGTTTTATTTGAAGGGCATCGGATTCCTATGATTGAGAACCTCGGTGTTTCAAAGGTGTGCTTCTTCTTCTTTATAAATACACGCACTCTCTAACATCACCAGGACCTGAACGACACAATAGACCTAACAGACAACGACATAACCACGCTCACCAACCTCCCGCGCCTGATCCGTCTCCGCAGACTGCTCCTTGCGCGCAACAAAATCACGCACATCGCGCCCACGCTCACGAGCTCGGTGCCGAACCTGACAACCCTGATCTTGACCTCGAACTCGATCCAGAACCTCGCGGATTTGAACGGGCTTGGAGCGTGTCGGAGGTTGACGTATTTGAGCTTGCTTGGCAATCCTGTGGCTAGAAAAGAGGTATTGTTACTGTTTTTGCTGATGCGGTGTTTATCGAATAAAGGCTGACAGTTACAGCACTACCGCCTTTTTGTCATTTGGAGGATTCCTAGCGTTCGAATCCTGGACTTTGAAAAAGTGCGACAAGCAGAACGCGAGCAGGCAGCAAAACTATTCGGCACCACAGACGAGCCAACCGAACTCGCCACAAAGGTACGTCTCCTCCTCAGAAGTGAACCGTACAACGTACTAACCTCACCAGCTCTCAACCGTATCCAACGTCCGCACCTTCGACGTCGGCTCCTCATCCTCATCTTCCACATCACAATCCGCATCCGCCAGGAACGGCACCGTCAAGCTCACGGCGGCCGAGCGCGAGCGTATAGTTGAGCAGCTGCGGAACGCAAAAAGTTTGGCGGAGATCGAGAGGTTGGAGCAGACGCTGCGGAGACTGGAAGGGTGATGTAGCTATGATTATCTTCTCTTTTGTAATATTAGATTTGACTATTTAAACAAAGACTCCAAAACACCTGTACTGTATCCCATAAACTTTTACTAAACTAGTGTCTATAGCATCAAGTAGATAATATCGAATCTCTCAGCTCTTCAATCCTCAATATCCAACTCTGCACCAGCGGATGCGACCTCGCGACAACGCCCGGATCCCGCTCAACCATCTCCCTGACCGCCTCAAAATACGCATTCTCATCCCTCTCGATCGACAATCCATTCGATCCCGAGATCCATCTCGGAAGAACCTCGCCCGTCGCTTTATTCACGGCCCAGTATTTATCGCCAAAGAGGACAGGCAGGTCCATGAGTTCAGCGCGGAGATGGCGCTCGACCCTTTCTACCTTTGCGAGTTCGTTGTCTGTAGATTTAGAGGTTCCTGATGCTGCTTGACTGGAGACAAAACCCCGCAGACCTTGCAGGATGCCTATTATACGTCCCACGCAGAGGCCGATTTCAGAGCCGAGCGGATAGCCATCATCAAACCCCTTCTGAACCGACGACGGTTTCCCGCTCGTGACGCCCTCGAGGTATCCCTGCTGCGAGTGATCACGCCGCAGACGCTGGATGTCTGGCGAGACGAAGGTCGAGGGACGTATCGTGGAGTCGGGGGACGCGTCTAGACCGTCGTAGGCGAGGTCGTCGTCGTCGTCGGTGAGGGAGGCGTGGGATGGTGGTGAGGAGGCGGGGGAGGGGGAGGTGGAGGGGAGTTTTTGGTCGGTGACTGAGTCTGGAGAGGAGGAGGATCTGTCTGGAAGCATTGCTGGTGTCTCTATTTGTCTGATATCAGCTGAACTGAGCTGAGCAGAGCAGAGTGAAGTCGATATTTATTCTCACAGAGCGTGCGGCTCCGAGAACTCTTCTCTTCTCCCATCAACGAACCTCTTCCCGAGAAAAGCTCTCAAATTCACTCTTCCGCCTACTCCCCATAATCCCACCATCTTCCGTCCCTCCTCCATCCACACCTCCAATGAGCCTGGCAATGGCAGACTCAACACCGACACAGTCCGCCGCGTCGACGTCGCGGCTGACGCCCGAGCGGAAACGCCAGGTTCGGAATTTCCTGCTCGCGACGACTGTTGCGTATATGTCTACGCTGGTTGCGAAGCGTGCTGCGCTTGCGAAGCGACGTGAGTTCTTCTTCCTGTCTTGTTGCTGTTGCTGCTGTCGTCGTCAGAGACGATGAGGTTAGAGAGGAGTTTGGACAGTGGCTAACGTGTGTACAGATGTGCCCACCCTCTTCAGTCACAACCACACCCCTCCCCCCTTCAACCGCTACCAAGACGCGATCCACGCCGTCACAATCAGCTCTCTTCTCTCGTGCTCCGTCTTTGCCATGGGCGTCACCGGCACCGCGCTCGTCATGGACATCAACTCGCCGCAGGAGTTCAACGACAAGATGAAGCTCTGGCTCGGCGGCTCGCAGCGCGAGAGCGAGCGCGCGAAGAATATCGATCCCGAGACCGTCAAGCTTGAGGGCGAGATTGAGCAGTTGCTGGCGCAGGGGTTGGCGGCTTTCGATGGGGATAAGAAGGAGGAGAAGGAGAAGAAGTAAGAAAGGAGGGATAGAGAACTGTATATACGAATTATGAGCTATAGATATTTGGTGTTTATTTCCGTCTTGTTTACAAATTACCGGTACAAAAATCATCTGTTTAATCTCCAATCACACGCCATTAACACCTAAATACCTATATAATAATCATTTGATAGCCGCAAGTCTGTTCCTCAATCGATCAATCCGGCCAATCATCAACTTCTCAAGCTCCCGATCCCGCACAACTTCCTCCTCCTCTTCTTCCTCCTCCTCCTCATTCTCCTCAATATTCTCACGCGCAACGACCCTCGTAGCATACGCGCTCTTCACATGTGTATCGTCGCAGCGAAGGTACACGAACCGCTCGCCGGTGTCGGGAAACTCGAACCTCAGCTTGATCAGCTCGCACGCCTCGTCGGCTTCGATATCGACCACGCGGGAAAGACAGGACAAGTGCGTGCGCTTGTTTAGGTCCCAGATGATATGTCGGCGGACTGCGCGGACGAATAGCTATGTGATATCAGAGTTAGAGGGGGGAGAGGAAGGGAGAGAGAGGAAGGGAGAGAGAGGAAGGGAGAGAGAGGAAGGGAGAGATGCAGGAGGGGACTTACGTTGAGGTTCTTGTTGAGATACTTGCTGGCAAGAGTGCCTAGTGGGATATGCAATGGGACTGTGTGCTGGTATATTTGGTAAGTTCCGGTCTTTTCGTTGTGCGAGAGGATGATGTAGTGCGGTGCTCCGAAACTCTCTACACATCAAGAAGTCAGCACTACTCAGCATAAGAAACAAAAGATGATTAAACCTACTCAACGCAAAGCACTCGATACGTATCCCAAGCAACTCCTCCTTCGCAACAGGATCCTGCACCGAAAACGCAGTGACGCCAGTGAGCCGGTACAGATTCTTGAGATGGATCTCCTGCTGCTGTCCATGTTTCGCCGATATATGCGCAAGCAGATCACGTCCGCGCGGTCGGTCTTGCTGGATATACGTGTCCGGGAGCGTAGCCTGCTCTGCGCTTGGGAGATCTGACGATGTCAAGAGGACTGCGCGGTCGCTTTGGAGCTGGGCGAGTTTTGCGGCGAGCAGGGCGCGTTTGCGGGCGAGCGTCGAGACTGCGGGGGTTAGTATAAGTAGCAAATAAGTATATTAAAGCAGAACACTCACGCTCGAGGTGAAGAGTCCCGATCTCCACGCGGTACCGGTCGAGGGTCGAGGACATGTTGCGGTGGTTGAGAAGTAAACAATCGAGGGGAGGTAAATACAAATAAAAGATCTGCGGCTCATATGACGTAAATCATTACATAATCCACCCTCGCTAACAATATCTGGCCACATCACTCACTATCTCCTTCACACGCCTTCACTCCTGCCAAGTCACGAATAAACTGCAAACAAGCCCAATTGCACCCGCTTTCTCTTCTTCTAATCCATGAGCGTGCCGCGTGAACGTCAGCCGTATTCCACCGCCGACTCAGAAGAGACATCGAAAACCAGCAGCAGCGAGCCTGCTTCCGAGATGGGCGATTACTACAAAGACATCGACGTCTCCCTCGAGCTCGACGACCTCGGCGCGTCTAACTTTGACGGCCAGCACCATCTCTCGCTGCCTCCCCGGCCGCGCTCGACCGCTGCCTCCTCCCGTCTGCCGCAGTACGACGACGGGTCCGAGGCTGATAAAGGACATGGCGGTGCTGCGAGCAAGGCTGCTGACAAGGACGCGCCTGCGAAATCGCTCTGGCAGCTCCCGCCAGCCGATCTGCGCAACTTTTCGCTTCTCTGCCTGCTCTATCTCCTGCAGGGCATCCCGGTCGGTCTGGCGATGGGCTCGGTGCCGTTCTTGCTCAAGAGCAAGCTGAGTTATGGCCAGGTCGGCCTTTTTTCGCTCGCGAGCTATCCGTACAGTATGAAGCTGCTTTGGAGTCCTATTGTTGACGCGATCTACTCGCGCAGAATCGGGCGGAGAAAAAGTTGGATCGTGCCGATTCAGACGGTGTCGTCGATTATGCTCCTGTGGTTGGGATCACACGTTGACACGTTGATGGAAGATGTAAGATTTGCTCTAATTATTTTTGAAAAAACACAGAAGTTAATGATCATCTAGGCTGAGAATCATCTTGGATTCATCACTCTTGTATTCTTCACCCTCGTCTTCCTCTGCGCAACCCAAGACGTCGCAGTCGATGGCTGGGCGCTCACGCTTCTTTCGCACGCCAACCTCTCCTACGCGTCCACAGCCCAGACTATAGGTCTCAACACCGGCTACTTTCTCAGCTTCACAGTCTTTCTCGCCTTCAACTCGCCCGAGTTTGCAAACAAGTACTTTCGCTCTGTGCCGGGCGACACAGGGCTTTTGTCGATGAGCACGTATCTTACGTTCTGGGGATGGGTTTATCTGATTATGACGATCGCGCTTCTGTTTGGTAAGCGCGAGGAGAAGACGCGTGGCGACGCGCGCACGGGCAAGAGCGGTATCATGGACGTGTACTCTGCGATGTGGAAGATCGGCAAGCTCTCGAACGTGCAGCTGTTTGTCGGCATCCACCTGATTGCCAAATTCGGCTTCCAGGCCAACGACGCGGTGACGAACCTCAAGCTGCTCGAGAAAGGATTTTCGAAAGAGGATCTCGCGCTGACGGTCTTGATCGACTTCCCGTTCGAGATCATCTTCGGGTACTACGCCGCCAAGTGGTCTGTCGGCGACCGTCCTCTGCGGCCGTGGCTGTACGCGTTTGCCGGCAGACTTGGATGCGCGCTTCTCGCGCAGGCACTGGTGATGTGTTTTCCCTCGGGCGGGGTCGGCAACGGCTACCTGCTGCTCGTCATTCTCGTGCACGTGCTGGGCTCGTTCATGAGCACGGTGCAGTTTGTGTCGATAAACGCGTTCCACACGCAGATCGCGGACCCCGCGATCGGCGGCACGTACATGACGACGCTCAACACGGTGTCGAACCTCGGCGGGCAATGGCCGCGCGTGCTCGTGCTCTTCGCGGTCGACTACTTTACGCGCGCCGACTGCGAGATGGACGCGGCCAAGTCGACGGCCGACCAGCTCGACACGTTTGTGCCGTTCTCGTGCGCGAAGCAGGCCGACCGGCAAAAGTGCAGCGCGATCGAGGGCGCGGCGTGCGTGATGAAGGTCGACGGGTACTACATCGCGAACCTGATGTGTGTCGCTGTCGGCGGCGCGCTGTTTTTCACGGTGATCCGCAAGAAGGTGGAGTATCTGCAGACGCTGCCGCTGAGCAAATGGCGCGTCGAGAAGTAGATGGCGTTGTATTTATTCCATTCCCAAACAGGACATAGACACGGCTTCTGCATCATTGTACATAAAATAAAAAACAGAGTTTTGCGTCACCTTCCTAATACGGAATAGCGCAGTTCAGGGTCCCCAAACGCGCTCTCGCACATTTCTCGGCGGCCGCCTGCAGTCTGTCTCTCTTCCTCGTCACCTTCTCTTGTGTTTGTATTGTATTGTATTTGTTGTTGTTGTAGTTGTATTGTTATTGCAGCTGTATCCTACTCTGCTTCTCTACTTCTTCTTCTCCTCTGTATATTTACCATGCGCACCTCCCTCGCCTCCGCCTGCCTCGCGCTCCTCGGAGCGGCCCGTCTCGCGACCGCCCTCCTCCCCGTCTCCGTCAAAGACAACATGTTTGTCGACTACAACGGCGACCCCTTCGTCGTCGTCGGCGTCGACTATCAGCCCGGCGGCTCCTCCGGCTACACCAACAGTGCCTCCTCCGACGTGCTTTCCGAGGAAGACGCCTGTCTTCGCGACGCGTACTTGCTCCAGAAGCTCGGCGTCAACACCATCCGTGTCTACACCGTCAGTATGTCTCCTTCTTCTCTGCTTCTCTTTATCTCTTCTTTTTAGTATACAAAACTAACTCTTCAGGCCCCTGGCTTAACCACGACGCCCTGGCTTAACCACGACGCGTGCATGTCGATTTTCAACGCGGTCGGCATCTACGTGATCCTCGACGTCAACAGCCCGCTTGGCGGCGAGTCCATCTCGCGCGGCGACCCCTCGTCGTCCTACAACGAGGGCTATCTCAAGCGCGTGTTCTCAATCGTCGACGCCTTCATGGGCTACTCCAACCTGCTCGGCTTCTTCGCCGGCAACGAGATTGTCAACGACGCCGCGTCCGCCGCGGTCTCGCCGCCCTACATCCGCGCCGTGCAGCGCGATATCAAAAATTACATCGCCCTGCACGCCAACCGCACGATCCCCGTCGGATACTCTGCCGCGGACGCGAACTCGCTCCGGCTTGCTGGGTGGGAGTATCTCCAGTGCGGCGGCGAGGAGGACACCGACTCTGACATTTACATCTCGCGCTCGGACTTTTACGGCCTGAACTCGTACCAGTGGTGCTCCGGCATCTCGACCTGGGAAACTAGTGGCTACGGCACGCTCGTCAGCACTTTTGCAAACTCCTCGATCGCGCTCTTCTTCTCCGAGTTTGGCTGCAACACCGACACGCCGCGCACGTTCACCGAAATCAACGGCGGCGTGTACACGGAGAAGATGATGGCTGTCTTTGACGGCGGCTTGGTGTACGAGTACTCGGAGGAGGACAACAGCTACGGTCTCGTCTCGATCGACTCCGACGGCTCCGTCACGCTCAAGGACGACTACGCCAACCTGCAGAGCGCGTACGCAAACATGACCTACTCCGACTTCATCTCGGACTCGCTCATCAACAACGCGACCTCGCCGACCTGCAACGCGACCTACATCGAGTCGATCGACTCGGACTTCAACGCGACCTTCACGCTCCCGGACTGCCCGGCCGAGAGCATGCTCAAGTCCGGCAGCGGCAACAACAACATCGGCAAGTGGATCAAGCTCAACAGCACGCAGACCTCCTACTCCATCTACGACACCGACGGCAACGAAATCTCAGACACCGAAATCGACGTCGTCTCGGACCAGACCGTGCCCGACTACTCGTCCGACTCGTCTTCTTCCGTATCGTCGTCCACAACCGCAAAGGCAACCGCCACCTCCGCATCCTCGTCGTCCTCCGCCTCCGCCTCCGCCTCCGCGACCACAACCGCGGCCTCGAGCTCTTCCACCGCGGCTGCTCCGGGAAGCATCTACTACTCCGGCGGCACCTCGTGGGCGATCTCCTTTGCCTCTCTTTTCATGGCGATGTTTGCTCTGTGATGAAGCCTGCTTTTGTCGCGTCGTCTTCGTACTATTTGCAGTGGGATGTTGACATCTCGCGTGTAGTGTAGTGTAGTGTAGTTTAGTTTTAGTTTTTTTTGGCTCTGGTAGTTTTGTGAAGCAGGGGCAGTAGGATCTGCGTATTTTCATTTGTGTTTTTTCCTTTCGAATCAATTTGTAATTTCTACAGTTATTGCTCGTAAAGCACTTCCTATCCCAGATACAAAGCTGATACTTTCTCAACGCGTAAACCCTCCCTTCACCAAAACCAAACCTCCCAACCACGACCTTCACCACCACCACATGATCCTCTTCCTCTTATAACCACCATGTCCTCAGGCTTTGTATCCTCGTCAAAGGGGAGTGCGACGTCGAGTAATAATGTGCCATTAGGCTCCTCTTCTTCGTCGTCGGCCTCGTCACAGAGTAATCCGCGGGCGGGCTTGGTGCCCCGGCAGAAACCGCCAGAGGAGAACGCAGACGATCGGTCACTTTATGAGATTCTGCAAGCAAATAAAGGTACCTACTTCTCTTTTCTTCTACTGTCTACGTTCGCAATGCTAACTCGTAATCTGTCCAGAGCGCAAGCAAGCAGAATTCGAAGCCGCGGCCGCGGAGCGCAACCAGATCCACAGACTGGACGAGGACGAGATCGAGTTTCTGCAGTCCGTGGCCGAGAAGGAGCGGCGGAAGGAGGAGATGCTTAAGAGTGATGTCGATCGGCAGCTGCGTGAGTTTCGGGAACGGCAGCGGGCGAAGGCGAGTAGTGGTGGGAGTGGGAGAGGGAGTGGGAGTGGGAGTGGGAGTGGGAAGGGAGGTGCGAAGAAGGGGATTGAGAAGGAGGTGGAGGCGGAGATGAAAGTAGGTGAGGATGCGGACGAGGAGAAGAAAGTGCAGTCTACAGGCAACCCGCATCTTGACGCGTTAGCAGCCGTGGGAGTCGACATCTCCGCCTTTCAGAAAAAATTCGTCTCCTCCTCCTCCTGCCCATCTTCCTCTTCACAAAAAGCCACAACCACATCCACACCCACCGAGGACACCCCCAAAAAACGCACACTGGAACCCGAAGACTCCGCCGCAGACGCGAAAAGCACGTCGACGCAGCAGCCGCCTGCGAAGAAGCATGCGTCCGCGATCGATAAGTTGCTCGCGAGGAAGAAGAGCGGGACGGGGAAGTTGGCAAAGTTGGGCGGCGTGGTGGTGAAGAAGAAGAGCTCATGACTTGGGTTGGGTTTGGATGATATTGCAGGACTTGGATGCGTTATATGGCAGGTGTATTGAAGACTGCACTGCACGTATACCTGCAACCCTCACTCTTCATACTGGACGCAAAGAACCACGTTTTCGACAGAGTGCTGGTCTAGTACTAGACTACAGCCATACTCGCGTACGGTACTACAGCGATCGAATGTACACGGCTCCAAGAGTGGGTGCATTTTGGCTACGGTGTACTCTGATATGAGCAAGTGAACTTGTCACATGTATATTCAAATAGGAGATTTTGATAAACGACATATATATACCACAATACATAACTCAATCACAAATATAAAAAAAAAAACGCAAATCCCTAGTAAAAATCAGATAAAACTCCCTTCCCCATCATCCACTCCTCACGCGTTCTCCCGAAACTGCAGCTCGAAATCCTCCGACCTAGGCGTCGAGCTTCCAGACGCATGCCGTCGTCCTTCGTCGCCAAAGAACTCTTCCTCCAACGTACTCGTGATCATGATAATACGCTGCTTGTCTTCGTGCGCGGTGTTGTCGTTGAACGCGAGGTCCATTTCCTCGAGCGACTTGCCGCGCGTCTCGGGGATGACGAAGAGCGTGAAGAAGAATGCTAGGAGGCAGAAGATGGCGAAGAAGATGTACGTGCCGTAGGTGATTGACTCCAGCATGCGCGGCGACACGAGGCCGATGATGAAGTTGCACATCCAGGTCGCGGACGTGGTGATTGAGATACCTTTGGATCTGATGGCGAGAGGGAAGATCTCCGAGGGAAGAACCCAGCCGATAGGTGCCCAGGAATAGGCAAAGTTCACATCGTAAAGGTAGATAAAGACAACGCTCGCCCACCCTGCGACTGGATGCATAGGTAGGCTTGCCTGGTAAGATCCGACAATTCCTGCTACGAAAAGCAGAGAGATCATGGTCCCGATCGCGCCGACCATCAGCAGCACACGTCTTCCGATCTTGTCGATCAGCGCGAGAGCAATGAACGTAGCCAGACAGTTGATGATTCCATAGACTCCCGTCGCCAGCAGCGAGTTTGTATTCGAGTCCAGACCCAGCTGCGCAAATATCGTCGGCGCATAATATATCAGCGCATTGCATCCCATAAACTGCTGGAAAAACATAACCGCAGAGCCGATAAACACGCGTCTGAACGACGAAGGATTCGACACAATTTCGCGGTACTGCGCCCATTCAAGCTTGGCTCCGGTCGCGGACCCGTACTTTTCTTCGTGCTGGGAGTGCTCAAACAGCACCTCGGCTTTGATTCCAATGAACTCTTCAATTATAACCGGGTCATCCTCCGCGCGTCTGCGGATCCGGCACAGCGCCTCGCGCGCTTCGGCGTCGCGACCGCGCATCACAAGCCAGCGAGGCGAGTACGGCATGAACAGCATTCCTACACCAAGGACCAGCGCGGGAAGCAACTGGAGCCCAAACGGAACCCGCCAAGCGGCCGAAGACTGCTGGCATGGGCCGTCGCCGACGTCGGTGTAGGGATTGAACGAGACGCCGTTGGCGTAAGGTTGATCGGGCCAGCAGCGTGTGCCGCCGATGTAGTTTGCGCCGTAGTCGATCCAGAAGGCGAGCAAGATTCCGATCGTAATTGAGAGCTGCTGGAGAACCACCAGAGATCCTCTAATCTCCGCAGGAGAGATCTTTTGTACTAATTAGCACCTGGCTCTATGAAAAAGAGAGAACAATGACATCATACCTCGGCCATGTAAAGCGGCACGACCATAGTCAGCATGCCGACCGACAAACCCGCCACGGCGCGACCGGCAAAGATCATCGGGATAGAAAGAGCTGTGGTTTGAAGAGAGGAGCCGAGGAGGAAGATCACGACTGCGACAATCATTGAATTTTTGCGGCCCATGCGGTCGGTGATTTGACCGTTGATTAGAGAACCGAACCATGCACCTGGCACTGTCAGTATCAAGGACGGAAACTAGATGTGAACAAATGCAAATGACATACAGAGAAGAAAAGTAGAGACAAACCACCCTTTATAATCCGAGTCCATATACACCCTCGGAAACCTGACGGCGAAGTTCTCCATCGTGATAATCCCAGACACAACGCCCTGGTCGTATCCAAACAGCAGTCCACCCAGCGACGAAAAGCACGTCACTCCCAAAACAAACGGGTTCTCCTTCACGATGTCCATCGCTGATCGTTCAGACGCCTGCGCGGTGTGCGGAACGGGAGTCGTGCCGTAAGAGGTTTGCGAGTATGTGGATCGCGGGTGGGCTGATGACGATGCCGAGGAGGGGCGGATGATGATCCGTCCGTCGACATCTTCTAGCAATGGAGTATTGTCTCTCGCCATTCGTATCAAACAATTGATTGTAATCTATCGACCTGTCGATATGTATAGGAAGAAAGACGGAAGAAGTGGCGAAAGAGAATGAATTGGGAGGATGAATATCGCGTTCGGCAGTGATTTACCTGGAGAGATAAACCTTAATTGATGATCCAGATTGGGCTCTTGTAGTATATTTCTGCTACGATCAGCCGGTTCAACTGATCTGAAGAATTAGAACTAAGATTGAAAAAGATATTATAGTAGATGTATTTGATGCAGTTCAAATTTAGCAGGGAGAGGGAAATGAAAGATGCAGTGCCGCGATGTACTCCCTCAAGACACTTCTCAGCCACTGTAACGAAACAGTACGTTGTGGACGGGCGTTGGCAGAAGTCCGGTAAGCTATAGGTACTACTAATTATTGGTTTGTATGCAGAACTATTAGCGGCGATAGCACTAATAGTAGAGATTCATATTCACGCTCAAGTCGCCCTGGATATGTGAGTGGGGTGTGCAGTGTGGTAGCCACTCATCCGTTAGGGACACGTTAAAATAGTCATCCGTTAGGGACACGTTAAAATAAAAGACGGGTATATCTATAAAATAGAGCATGAAGATAAGCTCCAACAAAGTCGTCCGTTGTCAACATGGATTATGCAGTGATACACAACAGGCAGAAGATGAATGCCCAGAGCGACCTTGGATGATTGATCAGAGCGGAGAAAGCTTATGAGAGCTTAGCCACAGATAGCTCGACAAAAGTCAAACCAGATGCACCAGATAGTCAAGTGTTCAGTTAAAGGTCAGGAAACGAAGTGGTAAAGTTGATGAATTCAAGCACGTGGGATAGCAGCCAGAGTGGTTGCAGCTCCGACTGATCGGTGCCGTACCCATCTTCTTTAATACATTCAAGCACTCAACGCAGCGCATACCATGATACTCCTCTCAAATCATACCAGCGACGCCATCACCAAGCAGCAACCGACAGAAGACAGAAAGCAGGTAGAGATATCGACTCGATCTCACGAGGACATATGCGAGTGTGCGGCTCGAAGGTGTAGGCGCCGTGCTGGTTGCGGCGCCGGTCTTTGTATAGAAGTATCGGCCAAGGCTCGCTGCGTGTCTTTATTTGCGGGTTATGATGTGGATGCTGGTGGTAGTGGTGGTGTTGAAGTAGAGGGTTTGAGGTGGGAGGTTGAATATGAAGGAAGAGGGTGTGGCTGGGCAGGCGATGTTGCGTGGGTGCTGAGGTAGCGACCAGGTTTGAGCATATTGACTGGCTGCATGATCTTTTGATCACATCAATTGTGACGTCGTAATTTAGCAAGAATACAGAACTTGTGATGACCAGCAGTCAAGAAGGCACGCGTCGCAACTGGTGAAGTACAGTAGATCCGACCAACGAACGGATATCAAACCACAGCACGACATCGCGATGGACGCACAGATAGTCCGCCTCCGAGACTGCTCACAACTGCTCACATCCAGCTACCAAAGAACGGGTAATAATAGCTGACAGAGCTAAATCGCTGGCGAGAGGCAATATAAACGCAAGGCAGCATTGTCTCTGTATATAGCGATGAGCGGCGTTCGCTAGGAGCAGCTTGAGCATTAGCCCGCGATGAGTCTGCCGGTGTCTGCGGTACTTTACATTAGAATACAAGCACTGCAACTAAACAGATATTCAATAGAAACATCTTCACGCACTTACAGAATATAAGAAAACAGACAAAACAAAGCAAGGAGGCAGTCCATTTACAGTAATTGCATGCGGCTGTAATTAAGGGGTTTAAGTCAGGCTTGTTAATGCCGGTAAAACCCCTTAATTTCAGCCTCTTCCCCTGTTTCCACGTCGGCCCTGTTCTCCTCTGCTTTGTTGCAAATTGGCAAAAACAGTTAATAGTATCTGTTGCCGTCCTAACCTTCTTTGCAATTGAAAAGCTTTTAGTTTTTTTTTGTTTGTTTATAACCGACCAAGCATGTCTGCTGTTGATCCGGAAGATGAGCTCGTCGCTGAGCCTGCCGAGGGGTAAGTCTCTGTGCTGTCCTGTTTCTTGCTTCCCTTTCTAATCTCCAAATAGATACGTCGTCGGTCAAAAGAAGACCGTGGAGGAGTACGTCTCTTTAGGTATGATCTGGGGCGTTGTTGTCTGATTCTGCCCGCAGGCGCTGACCTCTGATCTAGACAACAACGACGAGTCGCTTCGAAAGTGGAAAGAGTCCTTGGGCCTCACCAGCGATGCCACCACCGGCTCAATTGGAGAGCCAGGTGACAAGCGCAAGGTGTGTACTATATATTGCTACTGCAGAGGGTGAGAGTACTGTTTCCTGACTGTGTTTACAGGTCGTTATCCTCAAGCTGGAGCTCGAGTTCCGCGACCACCCCACCATCTCTGTTGATCTGTCCGCAAAGTGTACGCCCGTGTCCCACCTTGCTCTATCTTTTTTAATTTCTACTCCCCACTGACTGAACGTGATCCAGCCGCTCTGGAGGCCTTGAAAAACAAACCTCTGGTCATCAAAGAGGGCTCCCGCTACAAGGTTCGCATCCGATTCCGCGTCCAGCACGAGATCATCACCGGTCTGCGATACTTGCAGCTGGTGAAGCGGAAAGGAATCAAGGTCGACAAGAGCGACGAGGTGTGTATTTGTATTTCAAGCTGCTTTCTTACTGTTCTCTAACGCAGTACAGGTCTGCGGAAGTTACTCGCCAAACACCGAGCAAAAGCCATACTACGAAAAGACATGTAAGTCTCTCTCTCTACTGTGCAACCCCGCACTCGCTAACCCAACCACCACAGTCCTCGAAGAAGAAGCACCGTCGGGAATGCTCGCCCGCGGCACTTACGATATGACGTCCAAGTTCGTCGACGACGATAACACGACACATTTGCTCTTCACCTGGCAGCTCAGTATCAAAAAGTCCTGGGACTAAGGTGGTAGCGTGCCTGACGAACTGAATGATAAAAACTCTTCCTTTTTGTAAACCAATAACTCTCAATTGTCCATGCTCGATCTATTAAGCAGTAAACCCATCTCATCATCATTCATACACAATACTTTTGTAAGAAATCCCAAAATATCCCACTATTTGATGTGGCGGTGTAATCAGCCACTGCACCGCCGCACCGCTGTGACCGCCACCTTCCTCGAATCCCAAACAGAGACCGGCGCAGACCAGTGCAGACCCCAAAACCACCTCTCAAAAGACGATGCCGGCTCTCCCCTCTGCTCCTCAGAACTACGGAGTTGTCATCGATGCGGGCTCAAGCGGATCGCGCGTGCAGATCTACTCCTGGTCCACGAAGTTCGACTCGTCGTCGGCCACCCTGCCAAAAGTAGGCAAAGGCGGCGACGACTGGTATCTCAAAGTGAGCCCGGGCATATCCTCCTACGCCGACCACCAAAAGGACCTGGAAGGCAAGCACCTCGATCCGCTACTTGAGCGTGCTCTTGCTATCGTGCCCAAGGAGAAGCAGCCCGAGACACCCATCTTCCTTCTCGCGACTGCGGGCATGCGACTGCTACCGGACGAACAGCAGAAGCAGCTCCTCGCGAAGACCTGCTTCCACATCAAAAAGACAACAAACTTCCTACTTCCGGACTGCGACAGCCATATCCGCGTAATCGACGGAGAAACAGAGGGCCTCTATGGCTGGCTCGCGCTCAACTACATGCTAGGCGCCATCGACTCGCCAGAGAAAACAAACCACGGCAAGGGCCACCACACCTTTGGCTTTCTCGATATGGGCGGTGCGTCAGCGCAGATTGCGTTTGCGCCAAATAATACAGAGGCGAAAAAGCATATGGACGATCTCTACGGCGTGCGACTACGAACGCAGGCGGGCGAGCCTCTGCAGTTTAACGTGTTTGTCTCGACATGGCTCGGATACGGAGCCAACGAGGCCCACAGGCGGTACATTGAGCTCCTTGTCAAGAACGCGTCAGCGAAAAGTGCCGTGCCTACATTACTGGAGCGGGATGACGCCGACAGCGACGACGAAGGCGACGACGAGCATAAAGTTGGGACCAAGACCGCAAAGGATACAATCATAGACCCGTGCTCACCTCGCGGCTACACCGACAGTTCCGACCCACTACTCGCGGGCAAGACTCTGTACGGAAGTGGGAATTTAACCGAATGTTTACAATTCACATATCCTCTACTCTCAAAAGATCTGCCGTGCCATGACGATCCTTGTCTCTTTGGCGGAGTGCACGCGCCCGCGATTGATTTCGACGTGAACCATTTCGTCGGCGTTAGTGAGTACTGGCATACGACGCGTTCAGGCTTGTTTGCCGACGCATTGCCCGAGAATGCTGATTCGGCGCTGAAAATAGACGCGACCGTGAACGCAGGTGGTGCATACAACTACGCCAAGTTTTCCAAACGACTCGAAGAGTTCTGCGCCAGTGACTGGGACCCGCTGGCCACCAAGGCAAAAGCACAGGGTATCGATCTTCACAAGTTGCAGGAAATGTGCTTCAAGGGGAGCTGGGTTATGAACATGCTGCATTCAGGCTTTGGCGTCCCGCGATCGTCAGAAGGAATCGCCGAGGCTGCGGCGGATGCTGCTGCAAAGGCGAAGGAGAAAGGGTTTTCGGACGACTCTTTCCAAAGTATCGACAAGATAAACGGCGTCGAGCTTAGCTGGACGCTTGGGAAAGCCGTGCTTTACGCTGCGAGCCAGGTGCCGCTGAATCCAAAGCTTGCCGACGCGGCGACAGGCAACATGTCTGCGATGTACGACGTGGGCTATGGTCCCAACAGCGGGATCTTCATTCCCGAGCGCGTAGACGTCGGCACGATCATCCCGGACCCGGTGATTGTGAACGACGTGGACGAATGGGGCGTAAGCGCTGCCGCGATCTCGTCGCAGGGCACGTTTGGCAAGCGACGGATGCCGGGGCTGGTGATGTTTGCGCTGATTTTCATGCTGATGGCGTACGTGCTCGCGGGCAAAGTGCGCCGGCGCAAGTTCACGTTCACGCTCACGCCGAAACGGTATCGGCGGCGCGTCACGGGCGTGGGGAATTCGACGGCGATGGAGAGTAGCTCGCATTTGGTTATGGGGAGCGGGCTCGGAACGCGGGAGGTTTGATTGAAATGCATGAGAGGAAGGGTTCAGCTCTGGATTTGTTTTCCAAAAGGCGTTTGTAAATTAGTTGTTGCTGCCTTTGCATTTGTTGTTATTCGTACATTTATGGCAATAGTATCGTATCTACACTGCTTCTTGTAGACGTAAACAGGTGGATGCTCGCTGGAGGAGCAGGAGCCGCGCCGCACGTCGTCATAGCGACTTTTACACCTCCATCACCAACTTCATCTTTATCAGCATCAGCAACATCATCCGTCTCTGCACTCGGCACCGCACGCACACTTGGTTCCCGGACAATGAATGCTGTGGACGGATCTGCACATGTGCCGCAGGAGAGCTATGCCGAGGAACTAGGTACGCAGCCGAGATCATCCCTCAGACGACTTTCTTTCTTGAATCAAGACACCCGCGACTAACTTGCAGAATAACAGAAGAGGAGCTTCCGTCGCTGCTCGTGATTGTTCTTGACGTCAGTCCCGCGGGATGGGGAACAGAGTCGCCACCGATATCACTAAAGGAAGCGGTGGCGTCGCTGCTTGTGTTTGCAAACTCGCATCTGGCGCTGAATCACTCGAACGAGATTGCGGTTTTGGCAGCGCATTCGTCGACAGTTCGGTTCCTGTATCCGCCGCGGCAGACTACCTCTTCTACGGACGAATCTGCGGATGGGAATAGTACCAACAACAACGGTAGTCAGGGAGCGAAAGGACGGGTGGGCGGATTGACGACAGAGGAAGGCGCCGATCCGAGTTTACGAGAAGGTTCGCCATCCTCAGGAGCAGCAGGCGCATCGATGTACAGACAATTCCGTGTCGTGAACGAAGCAGTAGTTGAGCAACTCGATGCCTTACTTTCAAAAACCTCCGTCGCCGACATCGCGCAGCCGAGTAACCCCGACGTAGCAGTCGAGACCTCGATGGTCTCTGGCGCGCTAAGCATCGCGCTCTCGTACATCAATCGGCAGACAGGTGGCGGCGAGGCGACGTCGGGAGAGGATGTTACAGCTGCGAAGAGGGCGCGGATATTGTTGGTCAGCGTTTGCTCTGATTTGGCGGCGCAGTATGTGCCGATTATGAATTGCATTTTCGCGGCCCAGAAGATGGTAAGTAATATCCACTCAGTTCTATAGCTGATTGATCCAACGCGCTGACTTTGTTCTTAAATCTACAGAAAGTACCAATTGACATCTGCAAAATTGGCAAAGACACAGTATTTCTACAACAAGCAGCAGACACCACCGGCGGAGTCTACATCCATCTAGATCATCCCAAGGGACTGACGCAGTATCTCATGACTGCCTTTCTCCCAGACCGACTCCTGCGAACACATCTCGTGCTTCCGACGCAATCTAGCATTGACTTTCGAGCTGCGTGTTTTTGCCACAAAAGGGTGGTTGATATCGGATACGTTTGCAATATCTGCTTGTCAAGTAAGTTTGCTCTTGCTGTCTTTGGTCCAGAGTGCTTTGATTGCTAACTACATCTACACTACCAGTCTTTTGCCAGCCACCAGCAGACCGCAGCTGCGCGATCTGCAGCACGGTCTTTGATCCTCTGGAACTGTCTGATCTCACTAAACAGCCGGTCCTAATACGCCCGAACGGGCAGAAGAAGAAAGCAAAGAAGAAAGCTAAACGGGACGAAGGGTCGGCGACGCCTGCTCCTGCGCCTGCTGCAGCAGCAAGTTGATCAATGTAAGAAGGATGCTTTCATAGTGGGATAGTTTGTATTATAGTCTAAACAACAAGTTTGAACGAAAGATAGAGCTCGCAAGTAGTAATTTGTAGCTGGTTAATAGTGATAAAGAGTATGTAAGCACCGACTTGGGACGATGAGCCCGAGCCGCGTCGCGCCCTTTCACGTTCCTCCCCTCCTCCCTGCCGCTCTCTTCCTGATCCAAACCACCCATCTTCCGCACCACCGCCCTCCAACACCCTCTCCACTCACAGCATGAACACAATCGAAGAAGACCCGGTCTCACCGACCAGCCAGCCCATGCGGCAGACTCGCAGCCGTGGCCGCAAGCGCCGTGGCACCGTCACCGCCCCTCCGCCTCCCCCGTCTGCGTCCGCGGCGGCGGCCGCTGCCGCTGCTGCTGCTACGCCTGCCAGCGCGGAGGCGGGGTCTGATGGACGTCGGCAGTCTATTATACCGTCTATGACTACGAGCAAGCGGCTGTCGACGACGCTGAGGATGCACGATGAATCTGGGAGTCACCATAGTGATAAAGTACGTTCTGTTCTGAGCACGGCTGCCGCGCAGTCGATGATGATCTGTGACGATTCTTTGTTTGCTAATTGTTGTGGTTTTGTGTAGGTTGGCAAACTGCTGAAACGGTATTCGCACCGACTCTCGGACAACGGTCTGGGCAACGCAAAGCTGAAAAAGGGAGCAGGCAAACACGACAAATACGCAAACGGCTTCTTATCCCCTGACAACATTCCCCATCCATCCGAGAGACCACAAGCGATATCGCAGCCGCGCCGGGATGCTGACCGGGGAATTTCAGTAGATCACCCATCTTCTTCCTCTTCTCCTTCGAAAAAGTACATCCCCAACACCAAACCGGTAGACGACCGCGCGACAGCCTCGGCGGCGTCGACACAGCCGGCGGCGGAAAAGCCGGTGCTGATCGGACTGGACGAGAAGAACTACCCTGTACCTATACGCGACTTCCAGGACTCTTCGTTCGACGCGCGACAGTATGTGCGGAGCCATCTCGCTGATTCGGCGGATTATCAGGTCCGCGACTATCTCGAGAAACTGCGGATCACGCGCGAGCAGATCGGGAAGGACATGCAGAAGAATTTGTTTAACAATTACAGCCAATTTGTGAAGATTTCGTCTGAGATTATGACGCTTGAGCAGGAAATCAGATATACGCGAAACATGATGAATGAGCTCTGCGGGCTTGTTGTCGGGATGCGACTGGATAAGGACGCGGAGAAAGCTAATGCGTCAAAGGATAGCAAAACGGAGGATAGTTCGGTTGCGATGCCGATCTTGCATCAGGCTACGCGGGGGGATCTTGTGAGCAACACGCCGCCGCCGATCCCGGAGACGCCGGAGACTAGACATCATCTCATTCGGTCGATATCTTCGGCGTCGTTGAAGAATCCGCCGATAATTGGACACAAGGCTACGGGTAATGGGAACAAGGAAGAGCAGAAGATTCCAGAGGAACAGTTGTTGGAGTTGGATGTCATGATTGCTCACAGGCTTATGGATGACGCGGTTTCCACTATCGAGCGGCGTAAGTTCTCTCTTTCTGATTCTTTCTTTTGCAGGTGCTAATAATTTGAATATCTGCAGTGAAAGGTGATCTTGAGTACGAAGACATTGATCCGGAATTAATCGACCGCGGCGACGAGGTCTACGACATTCTCGCGCACGACCTTGCATCCGAATTCACATCGCGCAAGAAAATCGGCAAAACCATCCAACTTCTCATCAGACTCGGATACGTGGACGAAGCACGAACACAGCTTCTCGACAGTCGCTCGGAGATCATCCGCCGCCGAGTCGACCAGGTGCGCAAGGATTCCGAGGATATTGCGTTCTACGTATCTCAAGTCGCGACGATCTCGTTCACAATCATCAAATCCACCATCGACATTTACCGCGAGTGTTTTCCGGCGTATAACCTCGCGTCGCGGATCGCAGACTGGGCATACCAGGAAGTTCACAAGTACATTGATTTCTTTTCGGAAACGATGAAAGGCGTGCAGCCCGGAAGCGAGCTTTATACCCGTGCTACGGCTGCGACTAGGTCGCAGAGCGACAAATTGAAGGATATCGGAATGTCGATGAATTTCCTGCTCAATGATGTCTTGAATCCCCATGTGCCCGTGACGCCGCAGCCAAGTGTACAGTATGCGGATAATACGGTGTATCGAAATGGGTCTACGCCGAGTACACCTGGCGGGCACCAACTGACTATTGATGTACGATGATCTGATTGTATTTTTAAGTGATAGATCCCTATACAGTGATTATATGTACATAGCGAGGGTGTTTGTGCAAAATGTATATTAGATTCTATAGTCGCATTCGGGCGACAAGCCCAGAAACCGTAGGTGCCCCGGTCTCATTCCGCGATATGGTAACTTTCGGAGCACCCCAATCTGGAGTCATGAACCCCACACACATCGACTTTGTCGTATGTCCATACACGGCTTGAAGAAGTACATCGTTCCCGCCGTCCTCATTGCCGAGCTCTGTTTTCACCGCTAGGATACCAGCAGACGCAGGACGGAGTTGCAAAGCGGGGGAATTGGAAAAGTCGGTGGAGAGGAGGGAGGATACTAATCGAAGCTCGTCTTGGTCGTCGCTGGGGGATGTGGTGGGTGGTCGTAGTAGCGTTTGCGCGCATCGGCTCGCAAGGTTTGTGCTCATTATGTCTTCTCCTGTCCCTGGGGATGGAAAAAAAGCATTTCGTCAGTTCTTGTCGAGGTTGTATTGACGTTAGATGAAGAGAACTCACCGCTGGTACAGACAGCGACCTTAGACCCAGCATCATCCTTAGCCGCCCATATCCCACTCCCGACAAGTGCAGCAGGACCGATCCTACCTTGCTGTTTCATTGCAACACCACCAGAGCTCGAGGCAACCGCGATCTCTCCGTTGACGTCCACGCAGATAACTCCGACTGTATCAGTAATCAAATCGCAAAGCACTTCGTCGTCTCCCCGGTGAGCAGCTTCTTCAGGATCATTGTCGGTGGATGGGTCTAGAATCTCGTTCCAGTATTCGTACCTGATGATTGAGGATCGAGTGGAGAGATCTTCTGTAGTCGCCAGTTCCATATCTTGAGCTTTTGCAAACTGCAACGCACCATCGCCAACCAAAAATCTATAACCCATCAACATCAGGTAGAAATTTAAATACAGAAGATCAGGGAGGACCTACAACGGCGCGACCCGCCCAGCCGATAACGGCACAAACGACTGCCGCAGCAGTCTCTCAGCCACCAGCACCGGGTTCCTCACGCCAGAGATACAGCCGACGGCGGCGCCGCGGCAGAACTCGGAGCTCATGATCGACGCGTCGCATTCGATCGTGCCCGCGGCAGTCAGGTTCGAGCCCGTGCCGGCGTTCGTGAGGTTGGAGTCTTCTAGGAATTTGCAAACTGTTGCGGCGACTGTTTGCGCGGACGGCGAGGGGTGTGAGATGAGGAGATGGGTGCCTAGTCTGCAGGCTCTGAGGATGAGGAAGAAAAGGAGATCAGTTAGTTGATAGGTTATCTCTGTTGGATCTTGATAGAGTAGCGTACTCATTGCAGATGGCTTTGTATCGTTTGCTCAGCTTTTGCGAGTGCACTCCAGCACCAAGATGCACAGCTATAAACACCATCGCAAAGCACGCATCGCAATTGCAGCCGCTGTTGCTGTCGTCGAAGCAAAACAAAAGCAAAACAAAAACAAACAAAAGCAGACGCGTCTGCGCGTGGACGAAAGGCGGCAACTAATTGGCAGATTAAGGTTTTGCTGCTGATCCAGGGGCCGACCTCGAAACTGAGGATTCAGAAAGGGATGCAGTCAGATATCCACCAGATCCGCATCTAGAGTCTTATCTACAGCACACAAACACACAATGAGGTTAATATCCGCTGTCTCTCTTCTCGCTGCTTTGGCCTCGGCCGGTTCTGTGCTGGCAGACCTGAGCTGGGCCGACAAGCACATGCGCGAGGAGCACAATATCAACAGCTACGACCCGTCTTCGTTCTTCATCCTCCACGACTCCGACAACTCCAAGTTCTGGACCCGCGCAGATATGCTGTCTCTCTACGGTATCATGAACCCGATTGACCCCACCGGCCACAGAAAAGATCCGATCTCGCCCGCGCAGCAGGATCAGGTGTACAACCGCATCTGCGAGCTCATCGACAAGGACCACGACGGCTCGGTCTCGCTCGAGGAGTGGCTCACTTTCTCGAGGGAAGGTGGGCAGTTGCCGGATTTTGGATTCGGGCCGGGACATCATGGCGATGTTGAGTACGAGTACGAAAGTAAGTGGTTTCTTGGTTTTATGTGCAAGTGCGGAGGGAGGAGCTAACAAAATCGCAGTCCATCATTGGCTCAAATACCACGCCGACGACGAAAACGACGACAACGTGAGTTCGCCTGCAAAACTGTTGATGTGAGAGTGTAATTACTAACAGTTCTGTGCATCAGTTGAATCACCCTGAGGACATTGAGCACGAGCAGCTCTTCCATCACATGGAGGACAAGGCGGAGTCAGACCAGCACAAGAACATTCCCGCCAAATTCCGGGTTCAAAGGTGAATTGTACATAGTACTGTAAAATCGACTCTCTCGTTTTAGACATGAACATGATATATGCTTGAACATTCATGAATTGATGATATTAAATCAAAAATATAATTCCTGTATTAACTAAATTCCAAACGCCAAAATGCACAGACTATGTACTACTTGCTATGTATATATACACGCTTCTTCTGAATAAGAGTCTCTCAAATCCCATTCTTGAACCCCGTTCCAAACTTCGCGCCCTGCTCGGCCTCCCATCTCCTCACTTCCTCTTCCCATTCCTCCTCCGGCGTCAATTTCCGCTTATTCTCCTTCTCAAACTCCTCCATCCGCTGCCTTCGTTCCTCGTCCTCTATTGCGTCGTATTCGGCCTTGTTGTCGATCCATCGCTCTTGGATATCAGCTATGCTGCCAAGGTAGCCGCCTTGCCGCGTTGCTTCGGCCCAGACGGTGTCGCCCCCGATTTCGGTAGCGCCGAATGTGTAGCCCGTGGCTTTGTCGAGAACACTGAGGAGCGCAATCATACTTTTCTTGTCTTCGATGGCTAGGACTTCAAACTCTACTAGGCCAAAGTCCATTATCAGGTCTGCAATAGCTTCGTTCAGGGATGCGAATTTCTCGCCTAGGAGAGTGGGAGACTCCTTTTTGATCACCGGTAGCAGATATCGGAGATCTTGTACTTCGGTGTAAAAGTCGAGATTGAATGCTATGATAGTAAACGTTAGATCGTGCTTCAAAAGTGTCTTGGGGAGAAAAAAATACATACGCAGCGGGCCGTAATTACTCAGTAGATCAATCTTGCTGAGCACGTTAACATGCGGCAGATCCAGCTGTAGCATGCTTCTCAACGCAAGCAGCAAAACAGAGATATACTGCGAAGCCGAAGTGATGTAGTAAGAATCAATCAAATTGACGACCACGAGTCTGTAGTCTGCCTTTTGCAGCTTGAGAAACAGCGCTCTCAGCGAATGATGATGTGTAAACAACTCGACCTGGCCGGGGCAGTCAAACACAAGGTAGTCATGCTTCCCGAGCTTTTTGATGCGCTCGAAGAAGTCGTCCCAGTTCGATTCGAGCTCCTCCATCGCGCGCATGATCCCGCCGTTGGGACCGAGTCCTTCTTCGGCCATCACTGATTCGAGCGTGACGAAATCTCGAATGTCGAGCGCGGCGTCGTAGTTTGTGTGGTCGTTTGCAGGGTCGAGGTTGATCACAGAGGCTTTACGGCCGATAGCAGATAAGAATTGCAGCACTGGGGAGTTGGGGTTAGAACAGATCATTGGGGGTTGAAGACGAGAAAAGAACGTACTTCCATAGCAGTATGTCGACTTGCCCGAGCCCGGTGGGCCGATTACAAGCTGTAGATGATTCTGATTAGCACACAGTTCCTCTTCTCCACAATGAAAGCACAAACAACCCACCTGTGCGTACGGCATTGCTCAGTCGTAAAACAGTCTCGATATCTTTCTTCTTCCTTTCTTCTCTGCTCATCGCGCGACGCGAACAATGTTCAGAAATATCTTAGTCATCAACGTGGTTAGGGTCTGTCCGCTTCGGGCCGGCGGTCGTCGGGATTCTCGCGAATATTTTTTTAGAGAACAAAAGAAGATATTTGATACTGTTTCTCACTCGGCCGGTCTTTAACGTGTACTGAACCTGTCTTGTTGCGAAAAAGTAGAACGAGAAAGAGAATATTGCTTCAAGTGCATAACATATATCTATACATATCAAAGGTAAGTCCGGCTGGTGGCTCATTGCGATGCTTTGGACCCCGTCTTTTGGTTGCGGGTTGCTCATTTGCTCGGGACAGCGACTGATCTCTTTTTGTTCTTCGTGGTTATAGATGCGGACGTCCGTTGCTATAGCCTCTGCTGCGGCCCTTGGTGCAGGTAGGTCATCACCAAAACCAGATACAGACATACTCTACGCACGCTGCTAACGTTATATATCCTGGGGTACAGTTTCCTACGCTATATACTTTGACTACCAGCGACGGAACTCGCCCGAATTCCGCCGACGCCTGCGCAAGTCCGAGAAGAAGTACCAGCAGTCGATCGAGAAGAGCAAGAAGAAGGCTTTTGAGGAGTCCAAGGGCGCTCTCAAGCTGGCCATCATCACTAGCTTGACCGAGGACCCTATCCGTGTCTCGAGCGCACAGGAGTTCGAGGGGTTTATGATGAAGGAGTTGACTGAGATTGACGCCTACATTCGCGAGGGTGAGTGCATTTTGAGCAGGTTCGATTGATATTGGTTTGAAACTGATCTGTCTGTGTTTAATAAATAGGTGGCAAGCGCATTAACGAGATGGTCGTGTGCATGTACCGTCTGCTTGTTGTCCACCCCATGCCCCAGCAGATCATGGAGGCTCTGAAGGAGACCGTTCCTGCCGTATGTTCCTGCTGCTTCTTTATTTCTTATGTAAGGATTTCTAACGACTGTTGGTTTGTAGGAGGCGATGCTTAGCTTGGCTGAGGTCATGAAGGACCTTCCTCTTGATCAGATCAAGCCCACGGGATCCGCGGAGCCTGAGACCCCGGCGGTCGAATAAGCATTCTAAATCCCTGGACTTCCTTTCTTGACGTGTATAAAAATATATATACAGAGATACTACACCATAAACTCATTACGACGTGAATAGACTTACGAAGCTGAAACGAAGAAAGTTAGTCTACCCCGGCGTGAAGAACAACAAAACGGTGTTTGTCGTCTGTGTTTTCTTCTGGTGGTTTATTTTGTTTTGTTTTTTTGCCTATATTTCTGTTTTGTTTCTCTTTGCAAGTTAACAGTGGGATCCGATCGATTTACGGAGGACTTTTCTGCTCTCTTTTCTTGTTGCCGAGAATGCGACGAGTTCTTGTTTGTGCTTATGATGTATATATCTGTAATTGAGTCCTGCGACATCCCCCTCTCTCCGATATCTTTGCGTCCTTCACTTCTTATTAGACAGTTAAGACTCCAGACGAACTGTAGATTTTTGAATCGCGTCTCTTTTACGACACATGTTGTAGACTTGCTGCCGTTTGACACTCGATATTCGTCCTCGTCAGGCTGCGGTATATATTGCAAGGTGATATCTCCAATATCCTCTCATCTATGGAATCCCTCATCGCTGGCGTGACGCCGGTATCGTTATAGGCCTCATGATGCTTGTGGTTCAATCTCAAGCTGACTATCTGCATCTCCACGTCTACATAGAGAACGAGTCTGCCTTCGCATGGGAAACGAGTCATCCGTACGCGGTCCCGTTGCCTCAGTCGACCATCATGATCACGCTTGGTATTGACTCTGGTTTCATCCTGACAGCAGTCGAAATGCAAGATCTTGCCTGAACTAGTTCCGCGATATTTGAACCGGTAGCCTCCTGCTTTAAAGAGAGCCTCCATCAGCTGTGTGGCTGGCCGATGGAATCGTTTCCGCTGCAACTTGTCGCTAATGCCTGAATCTGGACTGTTGTTGATTGAGTTTGGAGTGTCGGTAAAGCTAACTGGCAGGTCTTTGATCAGAAAGCGTTTCTCGATTGTCATCAGTTCCAAGTCTTCCTGATATTGCCGTCAGCGGGAGAATAAATGATCTTGAAAACATAAAACCATACCTTGTCATGCCAATCCTGCGCAAATTCCAAAAACTCCGACCAGCTGTCATAAACAACTTCTTTCTTCTTCCGCTTTCGACATGTCTTCCTCCGCATCCCATTCGGCGCGATTCCAAACCGGTCCAGAGTGTGGTGATAATGGCAATTAGAGCAGTGCTGGGTCTGTGGCTTTTCTTCATACATCGGTCCAGCGGTGAACAACGTCGCGCCAGAAACTGTAGTATCAAATTAGTTTAAGCTGTTGATTCAGGATAGTAGCATTGAACTCACAGTCAGTCATGTTCTGCCTAACGAGAGCGCGTCAGAGGTAGAAAACGCGTCAGAGGTAAAACCAAGACTACTGCTACTGAGCACAAGATACCAGATGTATGAGAGAGCGCGTTTTCAGCTAAGAAACGTTCTACAGAGCGTTAAAGCAAGAATGGTAAGCAGCGAGCAGTAGGAGAGGGAGATTGGACGTGGTCGCGCGTCGGGGCAGGTAGTTTGTTTACGCGTACATAACCAGGAACAAAGTGAATTCGATAGGGTTTACTTGACTAATCAAGCAGTTTCAGATGACGTAACTCAGGGCAGGTCCCAGTTCAAACCAGTTCTTCCTGCAACCGACCTCAGGTTTAGGATTAAACCGAACCGGGCAATTGATCAACTTGAGTCGCGTCTTCAACATGGCCGCAAATTCACTGATTATCGCAATCAGACTTATCACCCAACCCCCGCAAAACACAAACCAGGTCTCAACAGCTCAGCTTCCGCGCGCGTTGTCTGCTTGATCTGTGAGGATTTTGAGAGGGGCGCGACTAGCTGTTGTTTGATTGCGAAGAGTGTGCTCGGCTTGGCTGCCCGCGACCGTGGTGTAGTCTCTCCTATCGAATGCTGCATCTGCTGCTGCATCTGCCGCAATTATCGACGACGACGCTTCAATGACGAGATCAAGGCGTGGTGTTGTAGCTATACTGGTTGGATCAGTGCTGCTCTGTCCTAGTAAGGCCCTATCTCCTTCTCGATATCTCTCCGAGCACACCCGCGCTGACCTTGAGATTCTAGTACTCTACTGTATATATTTCGACTACAAACGACGCCATGATCCAGCCTTTCGCAAACTCCTCCGGAGAACGGGCAAACATCACCGGCAGAGAGAAGCAAAGCTGCAGAATCTGAGGTTCAGGCGGTTAATCGACAGTCGCATATCTGAGCTCGAGTTGAACAGACGAGCGACGCTGCCGCCGGTCGAAAATTCGCGGTTTATTCTCGATAATCTGTCGATTGGAGAGAACTGTGCATCGCAGGGTGTGTATTTCTGCACTTTGTGGTTTTGCTTTTTGTCTGCTGTGTTAATACTCTTGCAGGCGATTATGAAAACAGCGCACTGGCGTTCTACACTGCTCTTTATGTATATCCGAGTCCCGAAGAACTTTTAAACTCAGTAATGGCAGACGATGTACGTACTCATACTTTCTCTGGCTATCAACTGCTTTGACTAATATACATATGAACCTCATACAGAACGTCCGACCAGTACTGCAGCAGATGATCAAACTGCGACCCTTCAGACCGCCTGCACAGCGATACCACGTCTCTCCCACAATACTCTAATTTCCCACTCCTACTCTTATCCAACGTGGTCTGTCATCACCTACCGCTCTCATCATATAGATATTGCTTTTCTTCCTTTTTTTTGGCATACGTGGGTCGTCGTCAACTTTGCGCGGTCGCTCTCACCTCTTGTATTAATCACATGCCAGTCTGGCATTCCTTGTCCTTCTGCTTTCATCGCTCTGTACAGTGTTCTCGAGACAACATCTGCTGCAAGACACTACTAATCTAATCCTTTGTACTTTTTGTTATCTTTTTTTATCTGGGTTTTTAGATTGCATATAATGGCGAGTCGGGTTTTCTTTGTTTTTATTCTCTTTGCTGATTACTAGTAGTATATAATTTGTGGAAAAAGCGATTATTTAACCATCAGCTACAAAAGCTCATATTCTACTCTGCAAATACTTCAGGTCAAAACTATTCAATATCGTCATTAAGCTTTGCCTTTCCCCTCGCCCGGTGCAAGCGGCCTGATTGTGATTCCGCAAATCCCTCTCTCTGTGCCATGCTGTCCGATCTCCACATCGCCTCCGTGCGCGATCGCAAGGTTTGTTCCGCGTCGGTCAATGTCCAAAGACTGCACCGGGCCCGGGTACCGCGGATACTGCCGCAGCCGTTTGCGGGCTTTGTAGTCCCAGAAGCAAACGAGAGAGTCGCCGCCGCCGGAGACGAATGTGCCGTAGATGGGGTGGAATGCGAGGGCGTTGACGGGGTAGACTGTGTCGTGGTCGCCTTCTGCTGCTCTGTGGCATTTGAAGGCGTATTTCTTGGCTTGGACTGAGGAGCTGGAGTCGAAAAAGTCGACGGCAATACGTCCTTCGATCGAAGATGACGCGTATCCTAGAATTTTCAAGTAAATATCTCATCTTGCTGAGAAATAGTAGAATCACTCAAGAACATACCCTCACCAGACGGGATACACTTCACAGTGCGCGTCATATACTTCAAACTACTCTCCCGTCTCTGAAACGGCTCGTCCATATTCCGGATATCGTAAACATACACCGCCCTGCCCGCCATTCCGACAACCAAGAGGTTTCCCGTGGCGTCCATCGAAAACACTTTGTGCGGAACCTCGGTGCTGCATACCCGAGAGTTGTTTCGGTGGTCGTGAAATTGCACGGTCTTGTCCCAGGAGCCTGAGATCAGCAGACCTGAGGTGTCGTGGTAGACTAGGCTTTTGACTGGTTCGTCGTGTTCGCCGATAGTAGTGCATTCAGCAGTTTCCAGGTCGACCCTAAGCCCATAGTGTCAGATTTCTATATAAGCTAGCAGATAGCACTTGAAATCACTTACATTCTAACACGGCTCTCTAGTCCACCGATAAACGCAGTTCGACCGGTATCATCCCAGCAGCAATCCAACAGCGGCGCTACGCCATCTATCCTGGTTAACAGTCTGCCTCCCTCTCTTGATGTGTCGTAAAGATTCAGCGTGGCATCCCAAGAGCTGGCAAGAAGAAAACTGCTGTATTTTTCTGTGGGATTGAATCTCACGGAGGAGATTATATCGGCGGGCGAGTTGTGTAGGTTGACTGTAGAATAGCAAAGAGAACGTTAGATCAGAGTAGCTGCTACAGTCAATGAATAGTATAAGAGAACTGATACTTACATTGTGAAGACATTCTGGATGGGTATTGGATATGATCAGGAAGGAGAGCGCGTAGCTGGAGGTTGGTTTGATTGTTTGCGTTGGGTGTTCAGTTTTTGTTTACTTTGCGTGCGGCTTGTTACCACAACAACGCGCAGTTTCAAGGTGTTCCTTGTATGCTATGAGAAAGTGTGAAGGGTGTGTTAATTCTTATGTTAATAGATAGTTGAAATTGTTGTAATAAACAGAATAGTTAACTATCAGTTCCTTACGTTACAAAATGCAACAGCAGTTATGGAGCAGACAAGAACAACCACCCTTTCGTTAGGGTTTTCGGTCTCCGAGCTCATCGCTCGCTTAGCTTCCGTTGGCTGACTTTTGACTGGCAAAAGCTCGTGCTTTCTAGAAATCAACGGCCAAAATATCTTCAACAGAATCCTGCCTTCCCTTCTGCTTCCTTTTCTGTTTGATATATGTGTTTATAATCTACTTCTCTCATTGCTGTTCATATAAACCATGTTTGGTGCTATCTGTGCTGGACGGCCTGGTATGTTCCATCCTCAATCGCTTCTCTTTACTCTCGATATGACGTCAACCCGGCTAACTGACAAAAACTTTCGATTCAATGACTTTCAGTCCAGACAAATCTACAGCAGATCGATCCCACGAAATTTGTATTTCAAATCGAAGATGGAGCGTCGGTGAATCATATAGTCGTGTTTTTGCTGCCGGGAAGTATGTCTGATGCTGGTTGTTCTGTCGGTGTGGAATATCGTCCCAGTTAACTCGTGATTTTTATAGCCGTGCTTGATCCGTCGGTCGCTGCTACTGTATATTTTCAATGGCCCGGAAAGCCGTTTCAGCTGCTAGGAGCGTAAGTCCTCTCTTCATATCCGAATCTCAACGAGCTCGTTGACAATCTAACAACCGCATGATCTTCCATTCTAGCATCTCAAACAACAAACCATCAGCCATCTTCAAAGTCAACCAACGTACACCAGCTCCCCGTGTCACAGCATCGATAGACGACATGGTCGACGACGACACCGACCTAGTCTCCGCCGGCGCAGAACCCATCACGATCTCGCTCGGAATCTCAATCGAGCCCGCAGATCAGGTCGAGGCGCAGATAAGCCAGATGCGCGCAAATAGCGCCGGCTCGTCGACCGCGCTCGTGCCGTCGTCGAAAAGGGCGCCGCTGAATCCCAATTCGACGGCGGCGCTGGCGAATAAGATTGTCTCGAACGCGTTTAATTTCTTGAGCGGGTTCGCGACCCCGGACGGAATGGTTCCTTTAAAGACATTTAACGATTGGTGTGTACTCTGTTCTCGTTTGAATCAACGATTTGACACTTACTGACATCCGCTCCAGGTGGACCAAATTTCAAAATAAGCTAGCGGTCGATCCACAGTTCATACATCGGATAGAGGAGGACTAGTTAATCGCATGTAAAAAGATCTAGGAACGGGATGATTAGACTGTCAATTTATTATTTGTACATCAGGGAATATACACGCTACGATCATCCAACAAATAGTCATTCTTGAGCGACAAAGTTTGATATGTATGCAAGAGATCTATATTATCTGCCTTTGAGCATCAAATTACTTGAGAGGATGCTCGATCTGCCGATGCATTCGCGACACGATTTCCAGGAAATCTGGCTCGTTCTCAGCAGTTATTATACCGTGGCGTATAAGAAAATCGATCGTGACTGCAATCATTCCAAACGTCAGCAAATAATCTCTCTTTAATCAGACATTGGAATACTCACCGAGCGCCGTATTCGGCTTGAAGTTTCCCGCCGCGATTTCTTGCCGCACCGTGTCCACATCCCACAGATAAAACTCCTCGACCTCGCCATCGACCGGCTTCGGCTTTGGCGAGCTCTCGTCCAGCTCGAGATCATACGTATACTGCACCTCCGGCTGCAAAAACCCGCTCTCGCCGCCTGCCGCGGCAGTGCGTAGATAGTGATAACTCACGCTGCCGACGCTCTTCGCCCGCTCTTTTATAAGCTGCGCGTCAAAACCGGCCTCTTCACCGCACTCTTTGATCAGCGTATCAAAGACACCGTACGGATACCCGATGCCGCCGGCGACGGTGTTGTCGAGCATGCCGGGGTACGTCGACTTTGTCTTTGATCGGCGCGGAACCCAGAGGCGTAGCGGGGCCGTGTCGGTGGCGGGGATGTAGCCGATTATATGGACGCCGTAGGTGACCAGGCCGAGGACAGAGCATGCGGATCGCTCGAACGTGAAGTAGAGCTCGCGCGAGGGATAGTACACCGCGTACTGCTCTTCCCGCCAGCCTAGAGTCGATTTCGAGTCCTATTAGCTCCCAGGATTGATCCTGCCATCTTCAAATCACCAGCTTACCTTTTAGAACCTCAAACTTCCCTTCTTTCCTCCACTCCAGCGCAAGATCAGCCATCATCTTCGTCCTCTTCTCGAACGTGTCAAACGCGGGCGCAATGCTGATCGTCTGATCCAGATCATCAATCACCAATTTCTCCGGATGATACACCCTCAACTTCTCAATCGTGGACGCCAACACATATCCCAGGTTCCCTTTCAGATCGTGGCTCATGAACTTGTACAGATGGGCTAGCGAGGCGGAATACGCGGACGCGTCGTGCGGGTAGGGAAACGAGTCGACGAGCGCGATCACGTCGAGATTTGTTAGAGCCGGCATGCAGATATATTCAATGCAAGAAGAACTGGAACTATGTCTGTTCTAAGAGGAATTGAGGTGGTGACGGAAAGTATGGAGAAGATAGGTAGGCAAGTAATGCAAGTTGGCTGGTGGCTCTTTGGCTGCATCCGTCAGATGCTGCTCGTGAGCCTCAGAGTAAATTGATTCCTGCCACTTTGATATCGACACCCATTCAGACAATCAGAACAGCTACAATTAACTCCACAAAAAAACAAAAAAAACAATTTACTACTTCAATTGATTAACAAACCACTTTCAACAGCAAAAAAACAAAAACAGAAATAAAAAGAATAAAGAATGCCCCCTGTCGGAGTCGAACCGACGATCGCTGCATAGCGCATTCAAAATACGAGTGCAGCGCCTTACCAACTTGGCCAAAGAGGCAATTCTTGTGCAATTTTTCGACTTTGTCGTTGATAAACAGATGTCTGCATATTAAAGTTTGACCGGTGTGGCTGACTTTTGTTTTCTTGCTGGCTTGATTCTCTGCGCTGTGTGACTTCAAATGTATTGTTTAGAACAGATATAGATTTATTTAATGTATAGCTAGACAATCATAAAACCAAGTGATATAACACGTCCTCTTCCGCCGTGTGCTCAACTATTGCAAACAGGACGAAAGCAATACGTGGCGGTGCACAAGATGTGTGGCGGTGCCCAGCAACTCTCACAATCGCCAAACCTCCACCCTTTGATATATGTTGACGTTCTACCAGCCAGGCACGTCGAGCACCGTCACAGCCCACCAGCAGATCTGAGAACGACAGCAGATTGATTGTTGTATAGATACTGAGAAGCTATTGGAGGAAAATTCATATTATTCTGCATCGACATCACATCGCGAGTGTACATCTGGTCAGATATGTCAAATTCACCTCCGCTTGTAGATCCGGCGGCTACTTCGCCCATGGACATCGACGGAGACGCCGCGACCTCTCCTCCACAGTCACAATACGAGCAGCAGCAGCAGCAACAACAACAGCAACGTTTCCAGCAGCAACAGGAAGACCAGGAGACCGAGCAGCAGCAGACGGAAGAGACCGAGCAGCAGCAAGACCAAGCACAGTCCGACGAGCAGGCGCAATCGAATCAGGATGGACCAGGGCTGGACGTTGACCAGAGCATGACTGACGACAAACTGGACGACCTGGGAATGGACGCTGATCTGCTAGACCCAGCGACTGCGCAGAAAGAGGGCGCGATGGGCGCGCAGCCGCAGACTATGGCCATCAACGGAGTCGAGATTCCGGTGTTTCTTGACGGCGCTGGTGCAGCGGCTGATGGAGAGGCTATCGGGGTGGGTAAAGCGGTGCCGGGTATACCAGGCGTTGGTGTGCGACGGGACAAGAGTCTCAAGGAGTTTTTGGGGATGATGGACGAGTTTTCGCCGATTGTGAGATCTCATGTGCTTGATTGCTGGGTAGATTTGAAATTTTGTGACTAACCCGATTCTTCATTTTTTTAGATTCCAGATGCGGTTACCGACTACTATTTGATGAAATCCGGATTTCAATCTTCTGATGTGCGAATGTAAGCAGCTCCAGTCATGATGAGATGATAAATCTCATGCTCCGGTGTATTTTGATTCGATTTCGCTAACACTTCTACTAATCCCAGAAAACGACTTCTCGCGCTCGCAACCCAAAAGTTCATATCAGATATTGCGACAGACGCGTACCAATACTCCCGAATCCGCTCCGCCTGGTCCGCCTCCTCCGCCTCATCCAACCCTATCGGTGCCTCACAGGGCCAATTCAGGCCCGGCGCCGGTCCTCGCTTCGGCGGCGCGGGAGGCGCGGGTGGAATCGCGGGCAGCGGAGGCGGTGGTGCGGGCGGGAGTGGGAAGGTCGTGCTTACGATGGAGGATCTGGCGAGTGCGTTGGCGGAGTACGGAGTGAATGTTCATCGACCTGAGTTTTATAGATAGACGGGGTTGAAGCTGGTGGGTTTTCTTTTACGTTTTGTTGCCGCTTGTGTGTTGATGGCAGAGTCGATGGTAATGATTGCGACGATGGCTGCTTTTGTATATTATTTTGTAATGAGAAATATTTGAAATGATCTAGGTTGGACCATGGCAATATGCCCTTCTCGGGTCTCCAAATACTTCATTCGCAGTCCACCCAATCTCGCCAGAAAGCTCTGGCTATAACAAAGACACACGAGAGTAATCTTACAAAACCCACACATTAAAAAAAAAAGAAAGCCGAGATTAGTCACATACAAAAACTACTCCTAATCCTCAGTCCACGAGAAAAGCAGAGAAATTAAGTTATGAGTCTTGGTGCGGCGGAGATGATTTCATCGTGCGAAAAAAAATTAGGAAAACATCACGATTACTCTTTATATAAAACCCCATACTCCTGCTCTCCTCTTCATCTCTTTTATCTACCTCTGATTGCGGCAAGCACATCACATAACAGAAACAGAAAAATGCCGTCCCCAGTCACGCTTCATCTCCGCGCGGAGTCTAAGCCTATGGAGCACCGCTCTGCGCTTACGCCTACTACCGCCAAGCAGCTTGCCGACGCGGGCTTCAATGTCATTGTCGAGCGCTCGACGCAGCGTGTGTTTAAGGATTCCGAGTTTGAGGAGTGAGTGTATCTCTTCTGGGTGGCGGATTTGTTGGATTTGGCTAATGGATTGTCGCGCAGAGCCGGATTGCCGCTCGTCGATGAGTTCTGCTGGCCCCAGGCCCCCAAGGACCAACTAATCATCGGCCTCAAGGAGCTTCCCGAGGACGACTTCCCGCTCGTGCACGAGCACATCCAGTTCGCGCACTGCTACAAGGACCAAGCCGGCTGGAAGGACGTGCTGAGCCGATACCACAACGGCGGCGGCACGCTTTACGATATCGAGTTTCTGCAGGACGAGAACGGACGCCGAGTCGCGGCGTTCGGGTTCTACGCCGGCTTTGCGGGCGCGGCGATCGGTCTGCTTGATTGGGCGTGGCAGCTCGAGCACACGGAGCCGTTGCCGGCGGTGGAGTGGTACGATAACGAGGGCGCGCTGATTGCGGACGTGAAGAAGGCTGTCGAGGGGGTTGTCGAGCGGACGGGTGCGAAGCTGCCGACTTCGCTTGTCATTGGCGCGCTGGGTCGCTGCGGGTCTGGTGCGATCGACTTGTTGACCAAGGCTGGAATTCCGTCCGAGAACATCACCAAGTGGGATATGGCGGAGACCGCCAAGGGCGGCCCGTTCCCGGAGATTGTCGCGTCCGACATCTTCATCAACTGCATCTACCTGTCCAAGGAGATCCCCCCGTTCGTCACCAAGGAGACCCTCAACACGCCGGACCGCAAGCTCTCCGTCATCATCGACGTCTCGGCCGACACCACAAACCCATTCAACCCGATCCCCGTCTACACCGTCGCCACCACCTTCGACAAGCCGACCGTGCCCGTCGAGCTCGCGACCGGACCCCAGCTCAGCGTGTGCTCGATCGACCACCTGCCCAGTCTGCTGCCGCGCGAGTCGTCAGAGACGTTCTCGGCTTCGCTTATGCCGTCGCTGCTTGAGTTGCCGGATCGGGAGAACGCTCGGGTGTGGAAGGAGGCGAAGGCTTTGTACGATCACCACGTCTCGCGATTGTAATTTGGGTTTTTTGTTGTTTAGCTTGCGGAGTGGTTGAGTTTTGATGTAGATTTACAATAGTTATACAGAAATAAAGGGGCGATATAGTTCTAATCAATTTCTAACACTGAGACAATGTCAATACAAACAAAACTGCTGGGAGAATTTACCAATGACCGCAACGATGAAAAATACAAGATAGACGAACGAAAACGAAACAAGAGAAGATACAGTACATAGAAAAAGTTTCCAAAAGTGGGAAATAGAAAGATAAAAGAAGACCACCATAACGAATAGGATAAATGAAAACGAAAGAACAAATGGACGATTAACAAGAAGAGAGAACAAACACCCGTGAGATTAGACACCAACCCACAGAGATGTGAAGTACATATACGCGAGCACGCAGGGACATCAGTGCGGAGAGAGAAGTCGCCGAAGCAGAGAGGCAGATGGAACGTTGAGAACCCGTAGTGACATCAAGAGGGAGAAGGCAGAAATAACAAAGAGAAAACCATAAATTTACTTAAACATGACTAGAACAACTACAGGAAATACTCTGACCGCTGATTCCGCTGCGGCATGAGCCGTGTATCGTCGTTGACGGCGTTGAAGATGACAAACTCGGGCTTGAGATCGTCGTCGGTGAGGCGCATGATACTCGCGACGTTGCCGCAGCGGTAGCAGTAGTTTGGCGCGGACCAGACTGTGACGACGCTCTTTTGTTCGAAATGGTATTTGAAGCCTTCCTGCACGAGCTGGTGAGCGCGCGCGACGAGTTGTAGACCGTTGACGTGGTTGAACTGAATGATAGTTAGATACATCATCTTCAAACAAAGTAGATATTAGTAATGCTCACCTCAGCTGCCACCTTCGCGCCAAAGATCCATCCAGCTCCACGCGGCGATACTCCCCACGTATCAACATCATCAGGATCCGACCACACGAGATCGCAAAACGCGCCTTCCTGGGGAATCTCCTGCGCGCGCGCCACGACGCGGATCTGGTCGAGCGTCCTGATCTCGGGCGACAAGCCGCCGTGCACGCAGAGCACGCGGCCGTCAATCACGGCCGCGAGTGCGAGAAAGTCAAAGACTTGGCAGCAGTACTGCCAGACGCTGGCGCCGCCGTACTTGTTGTGGCATTCTTCGTAGAAGCCGTAGACTTGGGTGATCTGTCGGGACTCGTGGTTGCCTCTGACCAGCGTCAATCGCTGTGGGTATCTGCGATGTGCTGTTAGCATATAAAGTAGAAGAGAGTGGAAGTAGTACATACTTTGCCTTCAAGCACATCAATAATGTGAATGTCTCCAAGCTGAAATATCCTCTATCAACAAAGTCGCCCTAAACAAACGATAATCAGCACCCCAGCCACCAAACACAAGCAATCGCTATAGATCGTCTCACCAGGAAAACGTAATTGACATTGTCGGGCATTCCACCGCCTACTCTAAACAGTTCGAGAAGGTCGTGAAACTGTCCGTGGATATCTGCGCCGGCATGATTAGTACTTCGGGTTGTCGTTATTCGGAAAGAGAGACAGGGGGTTGGAGATAGCGAGACATACCACTGTTGACGAATATGTTAGCAAATCAGTCAATACGTAATAGGCCGAAACGATGGCAGGAAATACATACCCACAAACAGTTACCGGTGTGCTGACAGGCTGCACGTTCGACTCTGTAACAAGGCGATGCGTTAGAACACAGCTCATCTCCACTTCAAGCCGCGATAGACGACCGCAGACAGCAACAGGCGATTGCACGTACCTTCCATCAGCAGCTCCTTGACCATCTCACACAGCTGCTTCATCTCATTCTCCGGCAGATACTGGCATTTTTTTGTGATTTCCAACCACTCATCAGGACCTCGAGCCATCGTTGACCGTTTTTCTTTTCTTTTGAGACTTGTTGAACCTGCGTAGGACTATAAACAAAAACAGCAGAATGCACTAGCGCACAACTCGGATATCAGAGCGAGGGGCGAAAAGAAGCGTGGGGAGTTGACCAGGGCGCACGCGTGGGCAAGTCCGTGGTAGCAAGACAAGGTAGGGCACTATTACCACAGAGTCAGAGGCGAAAACAAGACGGGTAGGGACTCCCTCAAACCAACAAAGTAGACAAACGCACGAGCAGAGATAGATTCAAGCCTAGAATATGACAATAAACAAGCTATTGCCGGATATCTCTACAACTATCAAGTAGTCAGGAAGAGCAAGTAACGAACGGCTTCTGTGCCCGCAGCCGCCCAGCGTTCAGAGTCGCAGGACACAAAACCCGTCGTTTTGTTGCATCGAGGCGATATTACATCATCGAGCCTGGTCTTTCGTTTCGCTCTGGGTTCGTCGAGAGATCCTGATTGCTGGAGGCAGATGAGCGGGATACATTGACGAGAGTGGGAAAGAAAAAGATATTTTGCATAAATGTCTGGAAAGCGAGTTATCATCGCGCGACCGCCGCGGCAGGAATCAGAGCCGGTAGCAGGACCGTCGTCGGCGTCGGCGTCGTCGGCGCAGGTCCAGTCGCGACAGCAGTCTCGTCGGTCTCGCGACTCGCGGAAAGGGAAGAAGCCCGCTGTTCAAGAGCAGCCGGGCGAGGAGAGGGTGGAGCAGCAGCAAGGTGGAGATCAACGCGCGCTGTCGGAGCAGAAACGACGGAATAAGCAGAGAGACAGGAAACGAGAGTCGTCGCGGCAGCAGGATACGGTGAAGACGAAGTTTGTGGTCCGGCGGTTGCCGCCTTTGTTTACAGAGGCGGAGTATAATGCTCTTACAGCGGGACTGATAGATCCAGAGAGCGTCGAGTGGGGATACTACGTACCGGGGAAGGTACATAAAAGGTATGCGCGATATTAATTACTGTTGACGACGAGTATAGACGCTGATTTATTAGTAAATCGACGCCGCCGACTCTCTCGCGCGCATACGCAAAGCTCAAGTCTGTCGACGGATTGATTGCGTTCAGCAAGGCGCTGAACGGGAAACAGGTCAAGGACAGCGCGGGCAACGAGAGCGTGATCCAGGTGGAATTCGCGCCGTACGACAAGATCCCAAAGACAAAGACAAAGGCTGATCCACGACAGGGAACGATTGAGTCAGGTAATGCGTTTTATACTGCTGTGATGATGGAGAAGGTCTAACATTTTACTAGATCCGGAATTTATAGCGTTCCAAGAGTCGCTGAAGGCAGAGCAAAGCGCTGCCTCGGCGCCGGCGCAGATCCCCGTACCAGGAGCGGCGAACCCGGACGCGGTGGTGATGACGAAGGAGAACGGAGAGACGACTACGCCGCTGATTGAGTATCTGCGAAAGATCAAGCAAAAGTCAGGGAAGAAGAAGAAGAAGGCGGTGGACGCGGCGGGTGGATCTGGGAGCGGCGCTGGCGAGAGCAGTAGCAGCGGCAGCAGTCGAAGGAAGAAGCGGAAGGAGAAGGAGAAGATGAAGGAGAAAGAGAAAGAGACAGAGAAGGGAAAAGAGAAAGCGAAAGACGGGCAGAGTAACGAGCGAACGAGAGCGCGCCGGGAACGGCGGAAGGAGAAGCGGGAACGGGAGGAAGAAGGCGCGGGGGGAAGTACGGCAGCAGCTACAGCAGCTACAGAGACGGGCGCGGGAGGGCGCGGGAAAGAACGCAAGAGAAAAGGAAAGCGCGAGGGAGATGAGGGACAGGCCGGGGAGACGAGTGGTGGTGGTTCTGCGGCGGGCGCGGGCGCGGACGCGGTCACCGGACAGGCGTCGTCAGCGGGAAGTGCCGCGTCGACGGAGACGGGGCGAGCGGAAGGAAGTACGTCTGGCCGCGCGCCTCGGAGGAGAGGGGGACGCGGGGGGAAGACTACGGCTGAGGGAGGATCAGGATCAGGATCAGGAGCAGGAGCAGGAGCAGGAGCAGGACCAGCATCAGGATCAGGACCAGGGCCGAATGGAGCACCCCGAGCCAGAGGAGGACCGGGACGACGAGGCCGTGGTCGTGGCGGTCAGCAGCAGCAAGGTCAACAGCCGAGCTCATGACGTCAACTACGATAGCTACGCAATTAATGCACTCTACAGAGTAGTAGTTAGTAGCAGAGCAAGAAATCTCTCATTGTAGAGGAGAGTCGAGGAAAGTTCTCGAGAAGGATGATGTAAGAGATGAGGCAGTGCAAGAGGCTGAGCAGCTACTGCGCCGCACGACTCCGTCAAGTTGCCTTCCGCAGTTCATATTTGGCTGGCGACCCTGCTTCGGCTGATTGCTTGTCTCTCCACCGCCTGAATTAGTGCTCGAAACCGATAACGATGTCTGCCGCCGAATACCACAAGGGTGTATGTGTTTAGTGATGCTGTGTAGTAGATGCTTAGAGTGTTGCTAACCACCGACAGTACCAGAACCAGAACTACGCTCCGCCCCCGGGGCCTCCTCCGAACCAGCAGTCCGATCGCGGGTTCAGCAACTACCCCCAGCAGCCTCAGCCCGCGTACAACAACTACCCGCAGCAGGGAGGATACTACCCGCAGCAGGGCTACCCGCAGCAGGGATATCCGCAGCAGGGATATCCGCAGCAGGGCTACCCACAACAGGGCTATCCGCAGCAGCAGGCCCCGACGACGGTGTACGTGCAGCAGCAGCGACCGCAGAATAACAACGACGACTGCATGATGGGATGCTGCGCTGCTCTGTGCGCGTGCTGCGCTTTGGAGGCTTTGTGCTGAGCGATGATTTGCGTCGAAGTTAGTGGTGGTTGTGTTTGGTAATTTGCAAGTGATGTTGTTTTAGTTATGTTTAATGGTCGGACATGTGTAATTTTAGAAGAGGGTTGGTGATTCTAGATAGTATATTATAATGCAGCGTATTAATATCTATGCTATGATGTGGTGTAATCGCTATGAGACTGTTCTTTGTCTGTAGAATTTGAGATTAATTAGTGACTGTGAATAGATGTGGAGAGACAGAGACAGCTACTCACTTGCGTTTCTTGTTCAAACTTGAATCGCTCAGTGGACTGGTGGCATCCAAGTCCATTGGTTCTCCATCCACCTCCTCAGAACCGTTCCCGTTCCAATTCTGTTGTCCATGTCCATGCCCATGCCCACTTCCGCCCTTGCCCGTCCGACCAGACTGAGACTGAATCTGTGCATTGATCTGGTCGACGACGCGGTTATACTCCCGCACGTCCTTGCTCTGCTTGATACTCGCCTCGCGCGCTTTCCGCGCCTCGAGCGCAAGTTCCTCAATCGTGGCCCGACACCGCTCGCTCCATGTATCAATCACGGTCTTGAGCTGCTCGACGCCGCGCTTATCAACCACATCGCGACCCGCGCGCACGGCGCTGACGCTGACGATCTGCGCGCGCGTGTCGAGTGTGGCCGAGAGCAGGTTCGAGTACACGCAGGAGACGACGAGGGACGCGAGCGCGCGCGAGTCGGCGAGATCGAGCGACGAGTACAGTGTCGCGTAGGGGATCTTGTGCGCTGCGGAGGCCATCGAGACGAGCGTGAGTTGCTTGAGCTTTGTTGCCTGCGCGTCTGAGAGAGAAGGCGCATCAGTCAGGGCCTTGTAGTCTGCCCATGTGCCGCTGGCGAAGATGCGCAGGAGGGAGGAGGCTGGCGGCGGGAGATGCTGCGTGAGCGACGGGTGGTGGACGAGGTATGCGAACGAGAAGAGATCCGGCGCCGAGGTCGCGCGAACAACAAAGTCTGCTGCTGCAGCGGGCGAGTTGACCAGCGGCAGCAGCGCATATAATGGATGACTGTCCATTGGTGTGTGATTGTGGAGATGCAGGTCGAGATGGAGTAGCGGCGTATCGAAGATCTCTGGGGAGGATGGAGGGTTAGGGCGCAGACGGGAGTGGTCGTCGGTCGCGTAGGTTTTTTCTCTTTTATTGTCGTGAACCTGTGTTGAGATCTTGACACTGTACTGCGGGCACACGAGCACAGCTGGTAGTAAAAAGGAAGAAACAGAGAGAAGAATATGCGGCCAACGTTAATTGCGCAGATGCGGGTGTCGTCGGTGCAGATGAAGCGGTCGATATGGAAGCGTGAGAATCCCGTGTTTGCAGTGTTTTAGCATCATTATATGAGCAAAGATGGACTGAACTACAGAAAAGAAAGAAGAAACTAACGATATGAACAGCACCATATCTCGCCCCACTACCAATCGCAGCAGCAAAGAAGAACAACACGCCGATCCAGACGACAGCGCGGAGTTGCATGATTCTCCCGAGCTTTGTCGGGCTCACGTTCCAGGTGCACAACGGCCTGGAGTATTTGTCGGTGACGGTGACGGAGGAGATGGTTGGGTATAAGCTGGGGGAGTTTGTGCCGACAAGAAAGCGGTTTTCGTTTAAGGGAGAGTTGAAGGGGAAGTTGCGTTAGGTTGATATTACATAGCGATGATATTGCAGTGTTGAAATTACAGTGTTGGGTGGATATAGGGATGGATTGTAAATAGGCATTATGAGTGCAGTGTATATAGCACAATCAGAGATATCAAGAGATTGTCAACTATCAACAGATAAGAGAATAGGAGTGAAGAGAAGAAGAGCAAGAAAGGATCAGAGCAGAAGAGCCAAGAGCGAGTAGTCATCGGAGTGGCTGAGGGAGAATGGATCCGGTGGAGATAAACAGTAGCAGTAGCAGTAGCAGTAGCAGTAAACAAACAAACAAACAGTAATAATCACAGCAATAACACTAATACACTCAGTTAATACAATCATATACACACTACAACTACTCACCATCTACCATTTCCACAAACAGACAATACTCGCGAGCTGGTCCATGTTCTTCTCAGTTCTCGCCGGAATAGCCGACAGCCAAACACGAACACGAGAAATACGCATACGATGTTGTGTCTGCGTGCGCTGCCCCAACCGGTGGTTGAAGGTGCTATCGATGCGGGCGGACGAAGAGTAGCTGGAAGTAGAATAGCAAAGTAGTTTGTGTATTCTTATTGCTTTATTGCTCTGCATCAACACACAAACAGACCACAATAGTGAAGAAGGATGAGCATATTTGTCAGCCGGATGCACACATGTTTGCACACTTACGCCACAACTCACCCAGCCACTGTGGCTTGTCAGATTATCTCGCCAGCCCGGACCCGGACCAGACACAATTTCTGTTGTCGCCTCTTCCTCCTCTTCCTCTTCCTCCTCTTCTTCACATCCCTACCATCATCACCTCTCCTCCTCAACTATGCCCCTATCGACAGTCTTTGCCGTACAGGGCATGACCTGCGGTGCCTGCACCTCCGCAATCACAAACGCAGTCCAGTCTGTCGAAGGCGTAGACTCCGTCGCCGTCTCCCTCATAACCGAGCGTGCCCAGGTCGTCCACGACGAGGACTCCGTCTCCAGCGAGGCCGTCCGAGAAGCGTATGTTTTTCTTATTGTTCTGTTATTCTTCTTCTTTTTCTCTTCTTCTTCTTCTTCTTCTTCTCTTCTTCTTGTCGTCATCTTGTCGTCATCTTGTCATTCTCATCATCTTCTCTATCTAACACTCTCCCCAGCATCGAGGACTGCGGCTTCGACGCTCAGATACTCTCCTCCACCCAAGTCGAGCCCGCCTCCTCCTCCTCCTCCATGTCCGAATCCCAAGACAAATCAAACCTCCCCGACACCGTCTTCATCAAAATCTACGGCATGACCTGCTCAAACTGCACAAACTCCGTCGAATCCACCCTCAACTCCCTCCCCGGCGTCACCGAGGCCCTCGTCGCCCTCGCCACAGAGGAAGCAAAGGTCACCTACATACCCTCCCAGATTGGCATCCGCGACATCATCGACGCCGTCTCAGACACCGGCTTCGACGCCATCCTCACAGACATGACCTCAAACTCCACCCAGCTCGAGTCCCTCGCCCGCGTCAAAGACATCAGAATGTGGCGCTCCGCCGCAGCTCGCGCAATCTCCCTCGCCGTGCCAATCATGTTTATCAACATGGTCCTCCCCATGGCCATCCCCAAATGCGACTTTGGCACCTGGACCTTCCTCGTCCCCGGCCTCCACCTCCGCGAGCTCATCTCCCTCACCCTCACCATCCCCACCCAGTTCTACATCGGCCGTCGTTTCTACGTCTCCGCCTACAGATCCCTCAAGCATGGCTCCCCCACCATGGACGTCCTCGTCGCCCTCTCCACCTCCACCGCCTTTGCCTACTCCTGCGTCGTCATGATCGACTCCATCATGGACGCAAACCCAGACCCGCCAAACACCGTCTTCGAAACCGCGGCCATGATCGTCGCCTTCATCACCTACGGAAAGTACCTCGAGAACCGCGCAAAGGGTCAGACCTCCGCCGCCCTCTCCCGTCTGATCTCGCTCACGCCGCCTATGGCCACCATCTATTCTGACCCAAAGAACATCGCCACCAACCCGGCCGAGCGTGAGATCGCATCCGAGCTCATCCAGGTCAACGACATCGTCATCCTCCGCCCCGGCGCCAAGGCTCCTGCTGACGGTGTCGTCGTCGCTGGCTCCTCCTACATGGACGAGTCCCTCGTCACCGGCGAGCCCATGCCGGTCGAGAAGGCGGTCGGCGCTGCCATCATCGGCGGTACCATCAACGGTGTCGGTCGTCTCGACTTCCGCGTCACCCGTGCCGGCAAGGACACGCAGCTTTCGCAGATCGTCAACCTCGTGCAGGACGCGCAGACCACGCGTGCCCCTATCCAGCGTTTCGCCGACATCATTGCCGGAAAGTTTGTCCCCGTCGTCATCGGCCTCGCCGTCTTCACTTTTGCTCTCTGGATGGTTCTCTCGCACTCGCTCAAGCATCCCCCTGTTGTTTTCGAAAGCCCCGAGGGAAAATTCTTTGTCTGTCTCAAACTCTGCATTTCAGTCATCGTCGTCGCCTGCCCTTGCGCGCTTGGTCTCTCCACTCCTACCGCCGTCATGGTCGGAACCGGTATCGGTGCCCAGAACGGTATTCTCATCAAAGGCGGCGCTGTCCTCGAGCAGGCCACGCACGTCACTCGCATGGTCTTTGACAAGACTGGAACCCTCACTATCGGCAAGATGTCTGTCATCTCTCACAAGAAGACCATGACCTGGGACGCCTCCGAGGCCAAGCAAGAACTGTGGTGGCGCCTGGTTCGCGCCGTCGAGCGCGGCTCCGAGCACCCTATCGGCAAAGCCATCGTTGCCGAGGCCAACGTCATGCTCGACAACGTCAACGGAGAAGACGCAGACGAGGACAAGGATAGCATCGAGAGCGAGTCTGTTGACTTTGAGGCTGTCATGGGCCGCGGCATCCGTGGCGCTGTCAAGGTCGACAAGGAAGGCTACAACGTTGCCGTCGGAAACCTGCAGTTTATGAACGACAGCCGCATCGAGATCCCGGATTACGTCGAGCGCGAGGCTTCCTCTACGACCTCTACTGCCATCTTTGTTGGCATCGACGGCCAGTATGCCGGAAACCTTTCTCTCAACGACATCATCCGACCGGACGCTCGTGCAACGATCCTCGCCTTGCAAAAGCTTAACGTCGAGGTTGCTATGATCACCGGTGACCAGCGCGCTCCTGCGCTTCGCGTTGCCCGGGAAATCGGTATTCCCGACTCGCAGGTCTGGGCCGGCGTGACTCCTTCCGAGAAGCAGTCGATCATCAAGACCATGCAGATGCAGAACCCGAAAGCTGTGATTGCAATGGTGGGCGACGGTATCAACGACTCCCCCGCGCTCGCTACCGCCCACGTCGGACTTGCCATGGCGACCGGTACCGATGTCGCGATCGAGGCGGCCGACATTGTCCTCATGCGACCAGACACTCTTTTGATCGACACTGCTGTCGCGCTCTCGCTCTGCCGAACAATCTTCAACCGCATCAAAGCAAACCTGGTCTGGGCCTCTGTCTACAACGTCATCATGATCCCCTTCGCCATGGGCGTCTTCCTCCCCTTCGGCTGGAGCTTACCACCCATGGCCGCCGGCGCCGCGATGGCTCTGAGTTCAGTCTCGGTCGTGACCTCGTCACTCGCTCTCAAGCGCTGGAAACGTCCCCGGTGGGCCACCGACGAAGGCCGTCTCGACCGCGCCGTTAGCCAGCGACGGAGTTGGCCTGTCCGGTTCTGGAGTGCAATCTGCGGTGGCGTGCGCAAGACTGCTGGCAAATCTAACCCCACTGGAGAGTATGCATTGATCGGATCAGAGGAGAACGTTTAAACGTTTTTTTCTTGTTATCATTATTTTTATCATTTTTTCTCTATTTTTTTTTCTCTTGCTTGCATTCTAATTTTCTTGACTGTGTTTTAATTTTAATGGTGTTGGGCATGCCTTTTACATTTATCTTCTTTTCTCATCATTCTGCATCTCTGCTTCTCTGCTTCAGAAGCAGAATGACTTCTTTTTCAACCTATTCTGACAGAAACGACTTCTTTTTTGATCAGAAAGAAAAACATGAAAAAAAATACTCGATGTTACTGTATGGTGGAGTTGGTGTGTAAGATATGAATTCTTTCTTCTTTTATTCTTTTGTATAGATGGTGTGATGGAAAGCAACTGGAAAGTATGAAGTTCGTTTACGAGTTGTTTCTTTTTCCCTTTTTCCTCTTTTATAATTCTTTTCTTTTTGTTTCGCATAGACTTTGCTGTTGTTTCTTTTATCTTTGAATATCTCTTTTTGGTTAAATCCGCCAAACCTCACGCTCATTACGTCTCTTTTGACAAATTCCCTGTTTGGCTATTTACTATTAATGCTACTATATACAATACATCATTCATCAACTATATACACCCTCACTCCTGCCCCACCACATTCTTCACCCCCCCGAACGTCAAAACCTCAACAATCCTCTCCTGCCCCGTCAAAAACATAACCAGCCGATCGATACCCATCCCCCACCCCCCCGTCGGCGGCAGTCCCCACTCCATACTCTTGAGGTACGCCTCGTCCGGCAGCGGAGTTTCGGCATCGCCTTTCTCGCGATCGCGTTGCTGCGCGGCGAATTTCGTGCGCTGCGCGAACGGGGAGTTTTCTTCCTCGTAGGCGTTGACGAGTTCTTTGCCGTTGAGGTAGAGCTCGAAGCGGCGCGCGAGGTTGTGTGTTCGCCCGTCTTTGGAGGAGGTGGTGGTGGTGGATTTCGCGAGGGGCGAGACGGATTCGGGGAAGTTGAGGAGGAAGACGGGGGTTTTTGCAGACGAGAGAAGGGGTTCGAGGAAGTGGTCTGCAAGTTTATCGAGATACCTCGCAACGGTAAGCGGCGACGGGATCGGGATCTTGTGCTGATTAAACACTGCTTCAAAAAATTCGAGCGCGGCAGCGTCGTCTGCACCGCCGGAGATCGAGAGCACAGAGTCTGGTAATCGACACCCGATCCCGCGTTCGATCTCGCCCACGAAATCAACCCTCCGAAACGGCTGATCAAACACCACGCCGCTCGCCTCCACAACCTCACGCACCATCCCGCTCCGCTCACAGCTCCGCTTCACAATCTCCCTCAACAACCCCTCGGTCATCTCAACAAGCTGCTCGAGACTCGCAAACGCCATGTAAAACTCACAGGTTGTGAATTCGGGGTTATGAGTACTGTCGATGCCTTCGTTGCGAAACACGGGACCCACTTCGTAGACCCGGTCGAAGCCGCCGACAAGAAGCCGTTTAAGCCACAGCTCGGGCGCGACACGCAGCGCAAGCTGCTTCCGCGTGTCTTTCTCTTTCTTCTCTCCTGTGCTGCTGCTGCCGCCGCCGCCGAGCGCGGTCGCGTGCGTCACGAACGGACGCGCGGTCGCGCCGCCGGCCGAATCGGACAGGATAGGCGTCTGCACCTCGATAAAACCTCTCTCGTCCAAAAACTGCCGCAGCACAGCCAGCACGTGCGCGCGCGCGCGGATGGTCTCGCGCGCGCGCGGGTTGATGATGAAGTCGACGGTGCGGTGGTGCGAGCGCGAGTTTGCGGAGAGCGAGAGCGGGAGCGGGTGCAGGCAGGGCGAGAGCAGGGTTACTTTGTCTGTTGCGCGGAGGGAGAGTTCGCCTGCTTTTGTGCGGGCGATGTGGCCTGTGAATGCTGTAGGGAGGAGTCAGTATGCTGATGCAGGAGAGGTGGTGATGGGGAACACGTACAGATGAAATCACCGCGGCGGAGTAATTCCCAAGACTTTGCAAACTCGGCCGGATCTAAATCGCCCTCGATCCCCTGGCGTCTGTAGACGCCCTGGATCTTGCTCTCGTCCTGCTCGATATCGAGAAAGACGAGGTTCTTTCCCGACGCGCGCACGCTCCTGATCCGGCCACATACCGTGATAGACGGGGCGGCAATGTTCTGCAGTTCCTCGGACGAGAGGTTATCGTACTGCGCGCGCACGTCGCGGATCTGGCGTGCGCGAACGGAGTGCTCTGCTATGAGCGGGTACATCTGCGGCGAGGACGGCGCGAGAAGGGATTGTAGACGGGCGGGGTAGTCGATTTCTGCATCTTTTTGTTTTTGTTTGAAGGAGGAAGGAGTGGATGAGAAGAGGAATTTCGGGACGACGGGGAGGTGGTGACGGAGGAGGATCCGCGCCGACGACGGTAGCGGTATGCGACGACGCAGTCGCATCCTTTTGAAAAAACGAGAAGTTAGCGGTGAAGAGAGATGGTCGAGCACAGCACGAGTCAAGACAGAGAGAAAAAGATGCAGATTCAGAGAGAAGATCAGCTATTGAACTACACTAGCACATCCCAGGTCCCGAGACCAGCGCCTGCGCTCTTGCTTCTGAGCTCATGCTGGTCTTCAATCTAGAAGACGAAGACGAGGACGAGGACGAGGACGAGGACAGAGAGCGGAGGCAGACGGAGGTTGGGTGTCCTGTTGGCTTCCAATGGTTCGTGTCTCATCATACTGCAGTATCTCTGATTGACTAGTGCTTATATATTCATGCAGACTTACCTTTAACAATAGTAAACGCAGCAATTGCAACGCTGATTCAACTATTTCTCAATATCAGGAAATAATTGAAGAAACTAAAGCGGGTTAGGGCTTCGACGACGAAGATTATTTTCTTTCATCGCGGCTTTTGTCGTGAAATTGTATCTAAACCACTACGCCTTTATCATCAATAAAGGAAACAAGAAATAATACATCTCAGAACAATCACTAAATTACAGCAACAATGTCTATGTTTGGAATGGGTCTCGGACGTCCGCAGACGGACTACGACGAGAACAAGGTCAACGCTTACAAGGGCGAGATGCTGATGGCCAGCCATATGAGAGAAACGTGTGTCTTCCTCTTCTCTCCTCCGCTGCCTCTTTTAATCAGTGATTAATATCGTGATTCTGTTTATTTAGGATGACCAACGTTTGCTACGCAAAGTGCATTCCGGACCACTACTCCGAGCCTGACCTTAACAAGGGCGAGGGCAACTGCGTTGATCGCTGCGCGGCCAAGTTCTTCCAGGCTATCAAGATTGTCGGCACTGTATGTCTCTTTTCTAATTATTTCTGAATTGATAAGAATGTAGCTGACATGAGTGTTATAGGACCTGCAAAACCAGGCTAGCAAGATGTAAGCGGGCTAGCTAGTGGAAAGGATAGGATACTTGATAATTGTACATAGGTGTAAAGATATTCTTTTGTCGCCATTAGTTCTACTCTCAATGTTATGAAAATACTCAAACTGCTGGCACTTTCCCCATCAACAACTCTCCTGCTTTATCCAAATCCACATTCCCCCCACTCAAGATCAACCCCACGTTCCCCTTCACCCCCTCGGCCTTCCACCGCTCCGACAAAACAACCGCAAGCGGCACCGCAGCCGACGGCTCCACCACGATCTTCATCCTCTCCCAAATCAGCCTCATCGCTCTCAAAATCTCCTCCTCGCTGACCGTAAACACCGCGTCCACATGCTTCTGAATAACCCCAAAGTTCGTCACCCCGACCGGCGTCCGCAACCCGTCCGCGACCGTCGTGGTCGCCGACACCGGCACCCGCTCGCCGCTCGCGAGTCCACGATAGCAATCGTCCGCGTCCGCCGGCTCGCCCGCAAACACGCGCACGCGGCTGCCGCCGCCGCCCTGCGCCGCTAGCGCCGTGCCAGCAAGCAACCCTCCTCCCCCAACCGGCGCGATCACCGCATCCAGCTCCACGCCGTCCTCCTCGGCAGCTTGCGAGACGAGTTCGAGGAAGGCGGTGCCCTGGCCGAGGATGATGGCCGGGTGATCGTACGGCGGGACGAGGGTCGCGCCGGTTTGGCTTTGGATTGAAGCCGTGAGGGCTTCTCGCGCGGATGCGGAGGGGTCTGAGAAGTAGATTTTGCCGCCGTAGCTCTTTGTTGCTTCGATCTTTGGGCGGGCGGAGTTGGATGGCTGTTGCGTTGTTAGCTTGCGAGAATAGAGAGAGGGAGAGAGGAGGAGAGGGAGATGGAGGGAGGAGATACCATGATGATGTAGGCCGGGACGCCTTTTGCTTGAGCTGCTATTGATAATGCCTGCGCATGGTTCCCGGACGAGTGCGTGATCACTCCAGCCTGTAGTTGTTGCGGACTCAATCGTTCAAGAGCATGCGTCGCGCCCTGCCGTCGTCGTCAATTACTATCAACACCAACACCAACACCAACAACAAAAAAGACTTAAAGAAAGAGCATACTCTGATCTTAAACGCCCCTCCCTTTTGAAAATTCTCACACTTGAAAAACAGTCGCGTGCGCCCGCTCTCGTCCGCGATCTTGGAGATCGACTCGCTCGTCAGCACTGGCGTCTTCTTTACTTTTTCTTTGATCAGTTCGTAGGCTTCTTCAACGCCTTTGTAGCTTAGATCGAGGACTGGGGGTGGGTTGGTGGGCATTGTGGGGAGAGATGAGGAGGGGGGTGGTGGAGGAGGAGGAGGGAGATGAGTGGGGTATGGGCTGAGGAGAGGTCGACTCATCAGCGCGATCTGGTCGGGATGTCAGTCGACGACCAAGCCCCGACTGGCAAAAGATTCCAAATAGCAAGTAGATCTGAGTAAGTAGATCTTCATCGCTCTTTACACCTGTTCACCACCTCTTTTACAACTCGTTCACAGCGGCAGACCGAGCGCACTGAGTATGAAATGCATGGTTCCCACTCCGCTTCGTTGACCTACGAGCAATCTACCGCTTCCACGTCGTATACCTAAGTAAACAATCCCCCTCCATACGTACACGACTGCTTTACATTATCATCTACGGTCTCATCGCAACTTTGCCAACCAGCTCTCCAGACGCGACTTACATGGGACTCGATAGAGAGGTTCACTATCAGCAAAGCCGCTCCACGAACGGCTCTTCATCTAAGCGAATCTGCGAATCTGCGATGTTGATCTCGATAACTTTTATGCTAATTCAATGTGAATATGATGAGCCATCCTGCGAGTCCCTCCTACTCCTCCTCCTCTTCTCCGTACATATTCTCGTTCTCGGTGTAATCGTACTCTTGCTCCTCGCCCTCCTCCTCGTCAAGGATATCATCCTCCTCCTCGTCCGACTCGCCATCATCGTCCTCATCGTCCTCCTCCTCTTCAGCCTCCACCCCGATCGCCGTCGCCCGAAGCCGATTCGCCAGCCGCCCAATCGGCTCCCGCCCTTTCTCCTCCTCCTCATCCTCGTCCGACAACTCCGGCACCGGCTCGCGCCAGTAATTCACGTCCGTGAACCGCTCGTCGCCCAACTGCGCAGACACAGGCGGGAAGAAATGATCCACCAGGTCGGTCATGTGCACGTAGCTCGACTTGTACCCCGCCAACTCAAGCAGCTCCATGTGCACGTCCGCGTTCGGGTTAATTGTGAAGATCCGCGACGACGGAACTCCGACCGACCGGTACGACAGCGCGTCCGTGATCCGGTTGCCAAAGCCCGCGTAGAACGGCGTGCCTTCGCGCAGGTCAAACAGGCTCTGGATGTCTCGCAGACAGGCCATCTTAAACACCTCTGGTTTGCGATAAATCACTTCTCGCCGGAGCGCGGCGATCGTCCGATCTGGTGATAGGATCACGGGTCCGTTGGGCACCCTGTACATCCCTTGCTCGATCCCGTTCAGATAGTGCCGGGTTGAGTCCGCCTGCCCGACCGAGCGTGAAGTCAGATACATCAGATGATATCCGTTATTCGCGATATCCGTAAACAGCTTCGCCACTCCAGCGTGCGTCCAGTCGCGCCCGAGCATCGTCAGCACATGACCAAGAGCATCCGACTTTGTAATCGTGCCGTCGATATCCGAAATCACGACCTGCGCGTCATACCGCCAGTAAAACATGCGCGCAGTGCACAGCGCCCGTCCGCCGTTCACACTGAACGAGACCGAGTTCGCGCCCGGGTTCAGGTTCAGCGTCTTGAGCTGGTCTGACGTTAATCGCAGCGTCTTCACATATCTCTGCTCCTTCGCTCCGTCCATCGGATCGTGATCTAACGGTGGCGTCGACGGCGGACTCGATAACTGCGGTAGTGCAGGCGTAGACGCAGCCGAGGACGACATAGTAGCCGGCACGATATCCGACTTGGGTGAAGACGGCGCAATCAACTCGTCTGGCTCATAGTCAAACTCCATCGACCCATGCTGTCGATTCGCACCACTTTCCTGCACCGCCTTCTCCCGCGCCTCTTCGCTCGAATAAATCCACAGATTTCCATGCTCGTCCGGTGCAATCAGATTCGCAATCTCGGTATTGATCGCCAACTCCTCCGACAAAATCTTCCGCGCAACAGACTCCGCCCGCGCCGTTTCCTCCTCGCCGGCCTGATACCCTCGCATATCAAGCACAAGATCGCCAGAGTCCGTCACCGTCGTCGGAATCCGGCTCACGCTCAACTTCCTGCTCAGCTCCTTCGCCCGCTGAATCGCCTGGTCCCGGCTCAGCGGCGGACTTCGAGGCCGCAGCAGCGGCGTCGAGTTTGAGCTCAAATGAATCGCGGACGACGACTCCGGGTCGTCTGACTTCACCGCGCTCAGAAGCGCACGTGAAAGCTCGACCGAAGGCCAGTTGTCTGTCGACAGCGCCCGCGACCGCGTGGTTGACGCGTTTGAAGTCGGGGCGGACGACGGTCCGCCTGAAGTAGCGGCTGCCGCGTCTGCGATCGAGCCGTCGTAACCCTGCTCTCGAATCACACGACCGAGCGCCTCGTCGGCTCGCATATCCATAGTCGGCGTAGATGTCACCGGCGGAATATTGCCGCTGCCGCTGCCGACAGACGCGGCAGATTCGGTTGACAGCGGTGGAAGTGTTTTGGTGGTTGTCGGCCGAGAGCCGCCGGACAAATCGAGATACTCCGGTTCCTGTAGATTCGACGTAGATAGGTTGACGGACGAGGGAGAAGACTGAGCTGAAGAAGACGGAGAGATGACTGGGGATGTGAGAAGGTCCGAGGGGATGGCGTCGTCGTCGGTCTCGAAAACAAAGAAGGCTTCGCCGCCGTCGCCAAGCTTCATGGCGAAGTCGACCTTCGAGCCATTGACTGCGAACTCGACCTGATAGATAAAAGAGGGTTTTAGTAAACATGATGCATTTGATGATGAGAATAGTGTAGATAATTACCTTCTTCTGAGACGGTTGCAGCAGAGCAAACTTGCCGAAGCGAATGTGGAACGGGGAACATGCCAAATCACCTGTTGTCAAGACGAGTTAGACAAGATCTACCACAGTCACGTCAACTAACAACAACAACCAATACCATTTTCTTGCTCTATAACAATGACATCAATCGCGCCGGTGAGAGTAGCGGGATTGATGGAGTTCCAGGTCTTGGAGACCGAACCTATGGCTCTGCCGACGTATTGCATTGCTGCCACGCGGGGCAGGTGCTGTCTGGATCCCGGGAATTACAGACGAAGGAGGGATCGAGAGTCGATATGCAGAGATGCAAAACAAGGTAGATATCAGTTAAAACACAACAAACTCTGCTGAGCAAAACAGCGCACAGCAGACAAAGAGCTTGGAGAACGAGAACGGGTGGTGGAGGAGCCGATATGAATATGTTGGGATGATCGATGGAAATAAACCGATGACTGATGGAGCTCATTATGTAACGTAATCTATTATTAAGCTATGAAATGCAGTTGAAATGCAGAATTTTGAGACTAAAATTTTCGACGTTTGCGATCTGAATTTTTCATTTTTCGGCGCCCATAATAATTTCGCTCACTCTTCTGACTCTGACTCGTGCCTGGCAGCTGCGAGTAATCTTCCCTCCGTCTCTCGCGCTTTTCTCTGCTTCTTATTCTGTCTGCTCTGCTATTCATCAAGATACTACTTGATACCACACTCTGAGAGCATGCTCTTCGCGTTCGTAGCCACCGCGGTCTCGCTGGTCTGGCTCCTACACCGCGCAACGCGTCTGCTGCAAATCCCAATCCCGACCCTCGTCCAGCTCCTCGGCATCGACATACCTGCTCCACCCCACGTCTCCTTGGACGCGATCACCTCGGACTCTGTCACTCTGCACTGGTCGCTGCCGGACAGAGCGTCCTCGGTTGCGAAGCATGTCATTCAAATGAACGGGCAGAACGGTGAGCTTCTTTACTTTGGATCGTGTGCAGACTGTCCAGTTTATCTTTGTCTGTGCGTCTGTTCTTATAGAAGAGCATGCGTTCTAACTATTTATCTGTCTTATAGTCGGCGAGAGCGAAAAAAGAGAAACAACAGTCACAATAACTGGTTTAAACCCAGATCAAGTCTACGGAGTGAGAGTGCTAGCCGTATGTTCCCCCGATTCATCTCTTAACTTCCTCTGTTCCACTGCAACCTCTACGCCCACCGGACCAAGATCTAATACTAACAACATATTAAACGACTACAGGTGAACTCAAATCACTACTCTGCAGCCGGCCAGCTGATCCGTTTGCGAACCCGTCGAAAAGCCGAGGATCTCATTCTCACCCACATTCGTCCCGTCACCCGTGAACTGTCCGACGACAGCCAGCCTTGTACGTATTCCTGTGATCTCTGTATCATCTGACTTGGAGTCGTTATCTAACTATGTCGTAGCTACGCCGACCAAGCAGGTCTCGAAAGATGCCTCATCGACAGTGACAACCTCGTTCAAGCGCAACGGCATGCGTTCGACCTCGTCCTCTTCCACTCCCCGCCACTCATCACCTTCATCACATCACAACACTCCTGACCGTCAATCTTCATTCGCAGCCGCGACGCAGCCGTACACCATCGAATCACTTGCCGCCGAACTCGAGCAAATACGAAGCGAGATCAGTGAAGTTATAGCGCAGCATGCGCATGCCGAGGAAGAATACGCGGCGGCTGAGTCCGCGCTCGTGTCCGAGCTTGCGACGTTGCGCGAAAAACGAAAGGAGGAAGATGTTGCGCGGTCGCAGATGCGGGGTGAGAGCAAGGCGCTCGAGGAGTCGAAGCGGATGCTGGAGGCGCAAAAGACAAAAGTTGAAAAGACGGTGAAGCAAAAGACAGAGTCGATTGAGAAGATCAAGAACGACTTTGAGAAATGGGAGAACGAGATCAATGCAGGCGAAGGACGGAAGGACGAGATTGAACGGCAAATTGTCGAGCTCGAGAACCAGATCCGGGAGAAGGAAAAATCTAACCGGATAGCACTACGAGATGGGCATAAACGGATCAACGAGCTCGAAGAAGAGATTCGAGGTTTGATTGCAAAAGTGAAAAAGGCTGAGATGGAGAAAGACGCAAAGACCGGGGACATCAACGAGAATGCGTTTGCAAAGCTGCTGCACTCTGAAGACGCGGAGGACAGGAAGCTGGAAAAAGCGTGGAAGGAGGTGCAGAAAAGTCTCGAGCTCCGCTACGTTGATGTGTTTGAACAATACCGGGACGCCGAGGATAAATTCCGAAAGGCGCAGGCCGTGCTTGCGATGCTGTCGGTACCCGGGAGCGGACCGCCTCCGCAGCCGGTGTCGCCTGAGCTCTCAAAGTCTGCCAAGCGGCGGAACCGGACGAGAAATAAGAGTCGCCAGCCTGTTTCGTCTCCGATCACGTCTTATCCGATTCATGATCCTAGGTTCCCGGATGCGTCAACTTTCAACAATCTACAGTTCCCGCCATCGTTCCAGATGGCGAATTTGTCACCGACGACGTCACCGCCGAGTAACTCGACGTCGGCACTTGCGTCGAATAATAATCTGTTTCCGTTTTCGTTGCAGCATCTGCAGAATTCGTCTTCGCTTCCTAGTCTGTATATGGACGCGATGGAGGATGATCTGCTGAACTCGGGCGGGCTTACCAGTCCGTCAGTTGACTTGCTGCTGCCGTCGAATCTGTTTGACAACGATCGCGGCGCACTTCAAGACCTCGAGGCTTCAGCTCCAGGCTCGGCTTCACCAACGACTGACGACCGACTTCCTCCACCGCTTGTCGGAGGCGGCGACAGTGCAGTTTCGTTCGAGACGTTTGCGATGCAGAGCACGCCGACGGCGCCATCGGTTGGCCCGAACCTGCTGCTTTCGTCGCCCGCGTCGCCGACGTCGCAGACCGCGACCGCATCGGCAGTGCAGCAAACGCAGCAGTCGCAACTGCAGGCGTCGTCATCGCAGCTCTCGCTGGTGTCGCCGAGCTCGCGGCCGCCGTCGCAGTACTCGCATCTGTCGTTCCCGAACCATTCGAGTACGTCGCTCGGGAACGGCACTGCCACCAGTCAGTCGTCGTTCTTCCCATCGGTGGGCGGCTCGGGCCTGAAGAACGTGATGGGGATTAACAACTCGTCGCCGCTGCTCGAGACGCTGAGTCTAACTCACTCTAGCTCGTCGGCCGGAACTGACAGTCTCCTTTCGGGTCCGTCATCATCATCGGCGGCGAACGCGAGCGCGACGGGCCAGACAGGGGGCGCAAAAACTCCCGGCCGTGGGTCGAAGCTGCTGAACGTGTTCAATCCCGCCTCGCTAACACCGTCTCCTGTGGTATCAACGCCGACACCAGTCACGACATCCTCGTCGCGCACGCACGCCGGCAGCCCGATACTGGAAAGCGACGACGACATGCTCGCGCAGCAGAGCACAAACTCTTCACTCTCGAGCACGGGCGCGTTATCAGGCTTTTCGAGTTTTGCGAAGCGGTCGCCGGTGCGGAAGCCGCTGTTTGGAAGTGTGTCTGCGATCGGGAATAGTATTGGCAGCATCGGGCAGTCGATATCGCGGAAGAAGGACTCGTTCGAAAGCAATGGCTCGTCTGCTGGTGCAAGCTCGCTCCTGGTCGGCGGCGGCCAGCAGCAGCGGCAACATCCACAGCTTGCGTCGGAGACGGACGAGTTCATCATGCTTGGTGGTGCCGGCGGCGGTGCTGGTGCGGGCGAAGAGCCGCGGACGCCTGGACGGCGGTTTGCGGGGCTGTTTTCGTTCTCACGGCAAAGATCGCTGAGCAACAGCGCCCCGAATGCCACGAACCCTGCGCTGCTGTCTGGCTCCGACAATGCGAACGAGGAGCAGCAGCAGCAACCGCAACCGCAGAAGCTGCAGCAAGCGCCGATCGGCACGCGCCGACGCAGCGGGAGCTACAACTCGTCGACGCCGGACTTTCAAAACTCGAGTCCGGTGATGATTGGCTCGCCGACGTTTGGCAGTCCGCTGCCGAGCGACGAGGCGCCGTCGACGACGAGCGGAGATAGCAGCAAGGCGGGGAACAAAGAGGGCTCGGGTCTGAGTGCGTTCGGATCGCAGGTGGGTAATTTGTTCACGGGACAGAGTCCGGTGTTTACGAGGCGCAGCGGGCGCGCGCTGTGGGATTTCAACAGTCGCAATGCGGGAGGCGGGGCGGGCAGTGCCACTGAGTGGTAGGCGGTTTAGTATCTGTACAATAGCATCCACAACAAGCCACAGTCTATCTTATAAACTACAACAACTACGTCACAGCCTCAGCCGTGCGGTACGCGTCCGGATGCGGAGGTTGAAAGTCGAAGCAAAACAGGCACCGCGTTGGTGCAGACCCGATGGCGATCTGGCAGCGCGGCTGAGTCAGTTTTGGGTTAGGGCCAATTCAGAGGCTGAGCAAAACTCAATTCGCGGGGCTCAGCCGCCTCGAACAAACGAACGGTTTAAAAGCAGCGGCCGGGCCTCGATCGGGTGGTTTGTTTATCTTCACCTTCAGAGATAGTCTCACGTTCAGAGATAGCGATAGCAGCGCAATGAGCAATTACAATCAGCAGCAGTACGGCGCTCCGCCGATTCCTCCGCATCCGCAGCAGCAGCAGCAGCAGTACGGTGCTCCGCAGCAGTACGGGGCCCCTCAGCAGCAGTACGGGGCCCCTCAGCAGCAATATGGTGCACCTCAGCAATACGGTGGTCCACCTCAACAGCAGTATGGAGCTCCTCAACAGCAGTACGGAGCTCCTCAACAGCAATACGGAGCTCCTCAGCAGTACGGCGCGCCTCAACAATATGGCGCTCCGCAGCAGTATGGTGCCCCGCCTGCGCAATACGGCGCACCTCCTCAGCAATTCGGCGCCCCTCAGCCATACGGTGCGCCGATGGCCCAGCCCGGTCTGGGAGGCATTGCTCCCGATCCCTACTACGACCCCACAGCCGACGTGCACACTATAATAAAGGCCACCAAAGGCTTCGGCACCGACGAAGCGGCGCTCATCCGCACTCTCGCGACAAAGACGCCCGCGCAGATCGAGAAGCTGAAGCCTGCGTTTGAGCATGTCCGCGGCAAGTCGCTGCGGTCGGTGATCAAGAGCGAGACCCGCCATGGCTCGGACTTTCAGAACGCGATGCTGCAGATCGTCAACGGCCCGCTCGCGTCTGATGTCGAGAACGTCAAGAAGGCGCTCGAGGGGCTGGGCACGAAGGAGAGACTGCTGAACGACATTGTCTTGTCGCGGACGAACGCCGATCTGGCGGCGATCAAGCACTTGTATCAGCAGCGGTACAACAAGCCTCTGGCTAAGGACGTCTCTGACGATCTCAGTCTCAAGACCGAGAAGATGTTTGCGATGGTGCTCGACGGTGTCAGAATGGAAGAGTTCGTGCCGGTTGATATGAACAAGGCTGCCCAGGACGCCGAGGACATCTACCGCGCGACCCTGGGAAGTCTCGCCAACACAAACGAGCTGCTCGTCTGCTCCATCCTCACCAACAGATCCGACAACCACATCCGCGCGATCGCCGATGTCTACCTCCAGCGACACGGCCAGAAGCTGGTAGAGACAATCAAGCACAAGTTTTCGGGCCACATGCAGGAAGCGCTGCTGCACATCGTCAAGCACGCCGTCAACCCGCCCACGTTCTGGGCCGAGATGCTCGAGAACACGATGGCCGGCCCTGGCACGAAGGACTATCTGTTGATTGAGAGAGTCGTGCGGATACACTGGGATCCCAACTTGGTGCGCGCCGTCAGACAGGCGTATATGACAATCTACGGCAAGGATCTGATTAAGCGGATCAAGGGTGAGACGAGTGGTGATTACGAGAAGGTCCTTGTTGCTATGATGAATGTGTAATTGTTGTAATTGTTAATTTCTACATCTACCTTTATTTACATTAATGTACACGCGCCGCCGACCGAGTGTGGACAGTCGGCTCAAACGTACTATTCTGCTCAATCTTTTTCAGTTTCCGCAGGATAGCTGCATTCCACGTCTCAAACTCGGCTTTTCTCTTCCTAGTCAGGAACATAACACTCGGTCGAATCATACTCCCACTCACGACCGCCTCTCGAATCTCTTCCGTAGTAGACGACGGCGCCGACGCTCCTTTCTTAGACGCCGCGATCTCGCGCGCCCGCGCAACCCACCTTCGTACTCCGTCCGCAAACCGCTTATTGAGCACCGAATAGCGGACTTTAGCCGCCGCCGCCGCCGACGACGAAGAAGGTTTAGCGGTTCCTGAGACGGCGTGAGAGTTGTTGTAAGTGCGCATGTCGCGCGCAAAGCAAATCAGCTGCAGTTCCTGGATCGCGTGGTCGAGCGCGTGCTCGTCCGTCGCCGCACGCGCGAGTTTGAGGAATTTGGCGCAGAAGCGGTCGTGGTCGGGTGATTTTCGTAGGAATGCGTGTAGTTTCCGTTTTGTGGGAGATTGTTTCTTGGTGGTGGTGGTGGTGTCGTTGTCGTTGTCGACGACGCCGACGCGCTCGACGACGTCGCCGTAGAGGAGCACGAAGAGTACTGCTCCAAAGACGGCCCACTCCATCTCTGCACATTTATATGCTGGACACCGCGGCGGAACGCCGAATGGTCTGGCTGTGTTTAGGATCTGGCTCGATGGTCCGGCGGAGGGGTTTGTGGTGAACAGGTTGGCGACCCCTGATCTCGCGAGCGGGACAAGAGACTGAGGAAGGCCGAGCGATGCAGAGACGCCAGCGATAGAGGCGCGTGAAAGAGTTGACAAGTTGTTTGAATCAGCAGTCTTTAAGAGGTCGTTGTCTGGCAACTGCTCGAGCGGATCAGCTGTCGACGCTGACTCGAGCGCCGTCGGCTCGGAGGAGAACGCAGGACGAGCGACGGACGCGCTCTCGTCCGGCAGCTTTGCGTCAAAGAGATCAAAGAGCGCGCGGTACTGCTTCTCAGAGCACGGCAGCTGGTGAGGCATTGCCTTGTCGAGCGACAGCACGGACTGCAGCCGGACGCAGGCCAGGTGGGCGCAGATGTGTGCCCGACAGTGCTCGTGCTTGGCCGGCAGCTGGACGAGATGGCGCGACTGGGCGAGCAGTCTTGCTGCGTGGCGGGTGAGGTCCGGCGGGACTATCGACATTGCCGGGAGCAGCGTCTGGATGGTAGACGCGAGTGCTGAGTTCATGGTTGCTGGCTTCTGATACTCCACTGACTGTCCTTACTCCTTGATCCGACTCCTCGTTGGGGCGCGTTGGCAGCTCGCGCGGCGGCGAAGCGAAGTGCACGTGATCTGGCGGAAGGCATCACCGCCAGGCGCTCGCCTTCTCCCACCGGCCGCTGCTCAGTCTCGCTCCGCTTCCTCTCTTCCTCCCTCCACCTTCCCCCTCCGCACCGCGACCGCACCGCACCTGCTGCTCCGTCTTCTCGACTCGTCTGTCTGACTCCGCTGCAGCAAGATCTCCGCCTCGCGCTTTTTATCCACCCAGATCACCCCCCCGCCCCCCAGCACGCAGCCCGCGCGCCAGATCCCTCTCGCCGCCACCGGGCACCCTCTCCTGCCGAGCACCATGTCGGCCTTCCGCGCCTTCGCCGGCGCTCCCGACCGTCCGGACGCAAGATATCCCTATCTGCTGCCGAGGACGAGTCTGCCCGGGAGCCAGACTCCCAGCAACACTCCTCTGCCCGCCCCGCAGCAGCTCCTGCTGCCGACTAGACCGATCCACTCGGCTCCCGTGCAGCAGACCCAGCCCGGCGCGCTCGCGGTTGCCACCTCGCCTCGCAAGACCAAGAAGTCGTCTGCCGGCGCCGCCTCGACCGCGAGCATCTCCTCGTCGCCCTCGTCTGCGCCGGCCGCCGCCCGCTCGGCTCCTACTGCGCCGAAGACCACGCAGTCACTTGCGGCTTCCCCGCACACCGCTGCTGGATCCCCCTCTACGAGCAAGCACTCCACCACCTCTGTCCACTCGTCCCCCACCAGCACTACGACTACTCCTGCGCGGATCAAGCCGCGCCGTCCGTCTGCGTCCTCGTTGGCGGCGTCGGCGGCCGCGCTGCAGGCCGAGCGTGACGTCGGCCTGCACGCCGTCAACTTTGCGGCCACACCTTTCGACCCGGCCACGATGCTTCCCCCCGAGCACGCGGCCCAGATATCGACGCCGTTCACGCTCGCTCGCGGGCGCTACGCGACGTCTGTCGACGAGCGCCATTTCCTCACAGGTAAGCAACTTCTCTGTCTTTTATTCTCTATCGTCGCCGTGGTCTGCACCCCAGGAACGTGGCCGCTATCGCGCAAGGGCAGGGTTTGTTCGGAGTGCGGTGTTCGCGGGTGTGACTAACTTCGGACGCGCGTTGGGAGTTGGCGGCGGCGCACCCGGCGTCGATCGCGGCCAGAGCAGCTGAGCAGAGCAGCCGGGCCCCCTTCGTTCGCGGCCCAAACCCTATGGCGATGACCTGGTGATTATGTAAATATGAAAGCTAACCTCAGCCGCGCTCTAGTCTACGAGTACCAGATCAACGGATGCTGGATCATGTGGGACTACTACTCTGGATACGTCCATCTCACCGGTCTCTGGAAGGCGATCGGCAACAGCAAGGCCGATATCGTCAAGCTGCTCGAGAACTCGCCCAGTCTCGAGTCGGGTATCAGGCGAGTTCGCGGCGGGTTCCTCAAGATCCAGGGCACCTGGCTGCCCTATGATGTCGCAAGAACGCTAGCCAGTCGCACATGCTACCACATTCGCTATGCGCTGATTCCTGTCTTTGGCGCGCAGTTTCCGGACTCGTGCTTGAAGCCGGACGAGCCCGGGTTTGGCCAGCTGCAGCTCACATTCACCGAACACACGCGGAAGCGACGCAAGCGCGCCTCTGTCGCTGCACCGAACGCGAACGAGGAGCCGTCGTCGAAGAGACCTATGTCCGCCGCGACTGGCAAAGATGGCAAGAAGGACAGTGGCTTGGTGCAGCCTCATCTCTCGAGCTCGGTTATGTCATCTCCGGTGCAGTCGTCGCATCAGAATATGACGAATCTCCAGGTAGCATCCTACTCCCCCCCAGCCGAAGGGAAGCGCGTCAAACTGGACTTTCTTGAGAATTCCAGCCTGACGTCGTCGCCATCCGACTTCCTTGACGCCCTGCAGGCCACCAAGTCGCTGCAGCTGCTGTCTGCAGGGGTGTTTGTGAACAATCACAACGGTTGCAGCAACAATGAGAACAGCAATCGAGCTGCGCTGTCTCCCGAGCTTATGTCATCGTCGAGCTCGATGAGCTCCTCGCCCTGTGAGTCTGCCGTGACGGACGTGGATGGTTGCGGCTGCTTCCAGGACGACGGCAGCGAGTTTGAATGCGGCGACTATCTCTATAGATGGGACGGCAAGCAAGAGTTGAATGTAGTGAGACTGTCGTCGCTTCCGCGGACTACACCTTCTGCTGGTGAGAGAGATATCGGCGGCCTGCTCAAGTTTGCCGATGTTGCCGAAGAGGAGATGAGTCGCGCGCTAGGAAAGGGAGTTATGAATACTCCTGCGCTGAGCGATGGAAGCGCGTCGCCTGCAGATGTTATGATTAGGTCGTTGTCGGAGTCAGAGCCCGGCCGGGGAAGTATCCAGAACGGACTGAACATGTTTGGTCCGCACCCGGACGAGAGAAAGAAGTTGATGATGATGACGAATGGTGTTAATGTTTCTGGCAATGCTGCGAACGCAGAAGGGTACCAGGTCGTGGAGACTGACAAGGAGACCGAGGTGAGAAAGGTGATGGGCATCAGCGGCCTGCTTTCCTGAGTGAGATATCTCTACTCTTCTCTCTCTCTTTTTTCTTTCCTTTTTTTTTTTCTTTTTCAACGATATATTCTGGGATTGTTTTTCTTTTCGGTTCATTTTCTTTTGATTATAATAATGGGCTAAGGCGCACTAGGACTTTGGGGGGTTTCATTACGGACATGAGAATGGAGTACGCATGGGAACGGCATACATCTTGTGACTGCCTAGGTAGTTCTGCCATATTTCTTTTTTATTCTTTATTCTCTCTTTTCTTTAACTACTTTTGTTAATCCTTGTTGCTTATAACTGATGATAATGAATGGGTCTGTTTTTTATTCTACATATTTCTAATATTGGTTGGTGCATTGTTTACTTATATAGCGGTGGACATCGGCGCTGCGATCCTCTTTTGTTTCTTAGTTTACTGTTTAATGTTAATGTACCGCGTTGTCGTATCAGTGACTATGAATCCCGTGATGAAGAATGAGGAAGTAGAGAAGGGGGCTGAGCGGAAAGCGGCTGCATGTGACTTTATTACGTAAGATGTTATGTAACGACGCGACGCGTGAGCGGTGTCGTTGGATCCGGTTTCGAGCGGACGGTTCCTCTTCTACAAGTAATCCAGATGCAATTGACGCGTTCTTGATCAATAACAAGAACAAACAGCCAATACAGACGTCTGCAGGCGGGTTTTATGTGAGGAATTCGGGCACCGCGATAAATCGATCTTGAAACAGACTTTTGCTGCTCGGCAAACCTTAAAACTCTTCCTCCTTCGCTCCAACTTCCAACTTGCTCTTCTTCTCCTCTTCTCCTGTCCTGCCTGCCTCGTCACCTTTCTACTCACCCAACTGCCTATTCCCTTCCTGTTCACATATCCCGCCGCTATGCAGCTTCCTCGGCCATCATGGAAGCTGGCCTTCTTCGGTCTTGTATTCGCTGAGGCTGCCGTGGTTCTCGCGCTCGAGGGCTACGTCTTTGGCAAGTTCCAGTATAATATCAACTCCAAAATCAGCAGCGAGCAGCGCAAGAGTTCAAACACTGTCGCAATCCCAACTTATCTTGCCTTGTTTATTTTTGCAGAGGTGTGTTTCTTGTCTTCGTTTCCCCGTGTGGTTGTGTGCTCGATGCCGAGCAGAGGTTCGTCGAGAACTGTTCGCCGGCGCGTTCTTCTCCTTTCGACCTCACTCTTCTAACCAGAGACTGACTTTCTTATCCTCGCGCAGGTTTTCCATCTCGGAATGACTTTCGACGCTCTCCGAATGAAAAATACTATCCAGGTGCGTTTCAGCCTCCTAACATTCTCCAACTCAGCATCCAGACTAATTTAGTTCTTTCGTCGTCGCAGGTCATCGGTCTCTGCATCTTCAACACCGCGCTCTTGGTCTACGCCGGCATTCAGTACGAACAAATTAAGACCGCGGTCGATTACCTCTCCTCGTGGCATTTGGACGGCGACATGGAGAACTATGTTCTCTCGGGCTCGGCCTGGGGTGGTACGTATTAGCCTTTCACGAGACATGCTAGAGACGCACATTCTAACAAGTCTGCTATAGAAATGAGAGCAACTCTTATTGCAATCATTTGCGTTATCGGAGTGATTGGATTCGCAATGTTCTACGTCTGCTACAAGCTGTACATCGACTTTGGATGGTCAATCTACAAGCAGATCGGCGCCGACATCGAAATGAAGCACCGCTACCTTGCCTACCAAATCTTCATGACCCTCCTCAAGTTTGATGCCTTTTTCTTCCTTGGCTTCACGGTCCAGTTCTGCGTCATCATTCTCAACCGCAAGGACGTCGAGTTCGGGCTCACCATCGCCGTCATCCCTTGCACCGTCGTCGCGCTCTTTCTCACCATGATTGCCATCCGGAACGAAATCAAGTCGGCGACCGCGCTCGTGTTTGTCGTTTTCTTGGCCGGAATGGCGTACTTCATGTTCAAGCTCATTCGCATGTACCAGCCTTCGCAGGTGTCAAAGTACGTCGCGGCCCGCAAGAGTTTGACCACTTTTGCTGTCATCACTTTATTCCTCCTCCTGGTCTCAGAAATAAATATGGTTTTCTGCGCCCGGAATTTCAACAAGGGCCTCAAGCCCTATATCGCTTCGCAGTCCTCAATAAGGAGGCTCTGGACCCGCTCGTCTTCAGACAGCGGCGAGGCCGAGAAGCTCGAGGGCGAGGACAGTATGGGTGGAAACTCGCCATCATCACCGGGCTACCGGAGGCGGTTCTCGCTCGACTAAGTGTAACAACAAAGTATCATATTTTTTTTTGCGTTATCTGTATCTGCTTTCTTGGGATGTTTGTTTTATATTTGGTATTTATATACTACATAGTTTCTGGTACATGGGCTTTTGTTTTATGTTGATGAGTGTATCTTGTTTTGATGACTTTTTGTCATGGTCTGGTTTTGATTTTTGAAAAGCGCTTATTACGTACATCTATTTTGTGAAGATCTGGTGGAGGGTGGAATTTACTACAATATATTCAATTATCTATGCTTTGCTGTTCGTCTAGTCAAGCTGAAGATTTCCTAAACAAGAAATCTCCGCTTTCGGCAGTCAGATCTCGCGTTGGGAGTTCTCCGCCCAGAAATAAAGTTCGAGCTCGGACTGGTCATCACCCTTATCTCATCATGCCGCCTTTCACCTCCTCCCAGTTCTCAGCCCACGCGCCCCCTCTGCTGCTGTTCCCTCATTCACCCCGCGCAGCCATGACCGAATCCACCTCTCCCGTGACAGAAAAGCTCAAGAGCGCAGTTTCTGAAGCGCAGGACCTCGCGTCCGCGCAACTGAGTTCGCTCAGGGCGAGTTCCGGCGCGACCGTGACCGCGACCGAGCGCGCGATCTGGACCGAGCAGCAGGCTGCTGCCCACGCGGTCAGCCTGCACACTTTTGTCGAGGTCGACAGCGAGCTTACGGAGCGCGACAGACGCGATTTGGCAAGTGGGTTGCGGCATGTTAATACCGGGTCGCTCATGTCGGGATCAGTTATGGGTCTCTATATGTTTTCTGCAAGTGCGTCGTTTCTCGCTGCTATCTACGTGATTGTTTGTTGTAAACTAAAGCTAACTGTACTGCAGCCTTGCGACGCGGTCTTTTTGCGTTTCGTCTCGTACGCTTTCTAGGTAAATCAGCCTGCGGCCTCACAGGCTTCTACCTCGGCACCCAAGTCGGCATGCAAATCGGCACCGACGTCGTCTCCTACCGCTTCGGCTCCTCCCGCCCTGCCTGCCACGACGCAGTGACTCTTGTCCGCAAGCGTCCGCACATCTCAAAGTGGAAGCGGTACTATGAGGGTGATCGGGATCTGATGGTCGATCTGGTGTATCCCCCGCCGTTGGACGATCTCGCGGTCGATCGGTCTAGTGCTGGGATCTTGCTCGACCGTCGCAGATCACCTGTTTCCCGCCCTTCCGTTTCTGCTACTGCTGCTGCTGAGTCTTTTGTATCTAACACAGACATGGTATCCACCGCCGAGCGCGACTCCCACGACGCCAAAATCGCCTCGGGTATAGCAGAGTACTACTCCCGTCTCTCCAAACGCCGCGAATCCAACCAAGCTCGCACGCGCGACCTCAAGTCCCTCTACACAAGCTCGCTAGCCTCGCTCAGTAGCCTTGAGTCAGAGTCAAAGTCTGCCGGTGCATCGCTTGTGCAGCAATTACTTGCCGTCAGCGATAAGATTTCCGCGCGATTCTTGAATAGTTATGCGGTGTATCTGTCCAATGACTACCGGCGCCCTTTTTGGTGAACAATCTAGCCAATATTTACGATCAATCCTCTAAATCTTTAACCCTCTTTTATTTTTATTTTTTTTTTATGGATTTTTTCAGCGTCTTGTTTATGGAGTTTCTAGGTCGGCGGACCAAGCACGGATGGGAAGGGCATATTACGGTTGGTGGGACAGGGCTTCGAATAGGCTGGAGCGGCGCTTAGGTTTTTTGCTGTTCACTCTCAATTTATATCTCGTTATTTACTACACTTAGTTTTTCTTACAACCAGCTTTTGTTTGTTTTTTACAGCTATTTATGCGAGGAAATATAGTAGTGATTTGTTTATTCAGGTGGTCGCTCTCAATTTTCGTAGCGAAATCAAGTGAAGTATGGAAACTGCAGCTACTCACACTCTTAACCAGTTCTACATAGGACGCCGATTAAACCACGCAAAACCAGACCGCACAAAGCTTTAAAAAGTTGTTTACAAGATTACAACAATTATATACGACAACTGAAACAAATAAACAGTAAGAAAAACAAAAAAACAGCAAAAACGTAAGCAAAGTAAAAAACTTTTATAAGGAACCAGATAATCTTTTTTGTTATAAGTTTGAAGCGGTGGCTCAATGGTAGAGCTTTCGACTCCAGTTAATAGTTGGTCAATCGAAGGGTTGCAGGTTCAATTCCTGTCCGTTTCAATCATATTTTTTATTTTTTTTGCATTCATTTTTTCTGATGCGAGTATTTGTATATTTATTTGCGCTGATACGTAGTTATTTTTTTCCTACTTTACTTGCTTCATACAGCTCGAAAAGAACAAAGAAAATGGTGAAGAGAGGAAGAGGCAGCAGCGCAAACAGAGTTTGGAGGCGCCTCGGTAATCAAAGGAAAACCGAAAGCCGCCTGTGAATCAGTTGAGCCCATTCTGATAGTTCATCACCAGGATTCCTAACCGGGACGATAGAGAAATGGTATGTGTTTTGATATGAAGAGATTTTAGGCAAATGTTTTTGGTGAGGTTGTTAACATGACTGTCATAGTCGCAATCACTATATACACTCCCACCGACAACCACAAAGTCGCTCCGCGACCTGCGCTTCGGCTCGGCCCGGGCAACCACGCCTCAAGCGCGGATCTACGAGATCTCGAAGGCAGACATGTCGATAGTCGAGACGTCGCCTGCGGAAGTCTACACGAGTCTCGAAGATCTAGCCGATGCGCTGCCCGGCAACACGCCGCGCTACGTGGTGCTTAGCTACCCGATGGTCACGAAGGACGGACGGCATAAGGCGCCGTATGTGTTGTTGTATTATCGACCGGTGACGGCGACGCAGCAGGCGAAGATGTTGTATGCTGGTGCGGTTGAGATCTTTAGGGCGCAGGCGGATGTGAATAGGTGAGTTGTGATGGTGATGGCGCTGTTGGAGAACACTGGAAGCTAACGAGTGCGGTATTCTAGACTTTTGGAGGTAGCAGACGAAGACGAGATTTTGGAGATTGACGCAATGCTTCGGGAATAAACGCATCTCGACTTGCAAATATTCAATGAATTGTGTAAAGGGTAGTCCGGATATGGTACGCTGGCGGATCAGGATGGATCCGGGGTTTGAACTCGGATTGATGTAATATATGAGGGTATACAATAATCAGAGTATTGGTATGATGACGAGAGCCTGGGTGCATTATCTTGATACTGTTATGCTCTTGCTTGTACCATTATAATACGGAACGCAGCGAGAACAAGTATCCTCGTAGCACTACCTCCTTTGATCGAGAATTGCAGATCCGCTCGAGTCAATAATGAGGATCCATCGCGGAGATGCGATAAGAAACGAGGCATCCCGGAAATCAGCTATAGTTCATGATTCTGAGGACGTAGTTGAATCTGTGTAGAGCAAAGATGAAGGTAACTGATGTAGCGATCTAACCACATTCTTCCTCTTGTTGTAGATGAGAGCGCCTCAATAATGCATGTAAATCAGTATTTAAGATATATAGTAAACTCGAAGATATACAGTGGACTCCTCGACACTGGATGTATACACAAAATATAGCAAATGCTCGAGGTAATAAGAAGGTGCAGGCAGCTGGGCGCTTAGTGGGCGGTACGGCGGCCCGCACAAGCGCTTTATCGCTTAATCTAATCCGGTAGCATCTCCGAGACCCGGTACTCCACACAATCGCTCTTTCTTTATCTGTTCCCGGCAATGGATTCTTGCTTGTCCGGCCTTGCGTGCAGCTTCCTATTGTTATCCACATAGCAAGAATGGTATGTGATCTTTATCTATGTTCTTCTCACTCATCTAATTGACCACTCTCCTCTCGTCACAGAATTTCTCCCCGCGGCGGTCCTCGGAGGCCCATCCGTTGCTCGCCAACCCACTGACCGACGACGCGCTCGACACCGGCGACCTCTCAATCTCCGCCACGCGCTCCACAAGTACCAGCTCCAGATATGTCCGCGGCGAACAAGACCTGGAGCGGTTCGAAGGCATGGTACTCGAAGACGTGATTCCCAAACACAAAAAGTACTGGTTCCAGTATCCGCACCTGCTGAAGCTCAACACGCTGCTTCTTGCACCGATTCTGACAAACATGACAAACGGATTCGACGGCTCGATGCTGAACGGTCTGCAGAGCGTGCCTGCTTGGATAGAGTACTTCGACCATCCCTCCGGTACGCGGCTAGCATGGATGGGCAACGCCATGATCGTCGGCCACCTAGCATGCGCGCCTGCGTTCCCCTACATCATCGACAAATACGGCCGCCGGAAGCCAATCTTCTGGGGCTGCTCGCTTATTGTTTTAGGATCGCTGTTCCAGGGCTTCGCGCTCAGCTACCGCATGTTTGTCCTCGCGCGAGCTCTCATCGGCCTCGGCCTCGCGCTCGCCGAAGCCGCCGCGCCGCTCCTGATCGTCGAGTGCGCGTACCCCCCGCAGCGAGGCCAGATGACGTCCGTACTCGAGCCCGCGTGGCCTGTTGGCTCGTTCTGCGCCGCGATCGCGACGTATCTGACGTACCGGATGCAGGACACGAATTGGAGCTGGCGCATCCCGAGTCTTTTGCAAGGGTTTTTCCCGCTCGTGCAGTGCGCGCTCGTGCAGTACGCGCCCGAGTCGCCGCGGTGGCTGGTCTCGAAGGAGAGATACGACGAGGCGTTTGAATTCCTGGTCGAGTACCACGGTGGTGGCGACCCGGATTCCGATCTGGTGCAGTACGAGATGGCTGAGATCTCGGCCGCGATCGAGGCAGAGAAAGCAGCAAAGCAGAGCCGCTGGTCGCAGTTGCTGGCCACGCCGGGGATGCGACACCGGTTCTTCATCGTCTCGATTATTTCGGTCATGGTCCAGTTCTCGGGAAACGGCGTGCTGTCGTATTACCTCCCGATCGTGCTCACAAACATGGGCATCGTCGACCCCAATTCGCAGCTGCTCATCAACCTCGGCAGCACGATCTTCACTATCTTCGTCGCGTTCTTCATCGCGCTCCAGATCGAGCGCATCGGTCGCCGGACGGCGTTCATCATCGGCTTCTCGACCATGTTCCTCGACTACAGTCTCTGGACCTACCTCTCCGCACTAAACGAAAAACTCGACTTCCAAAACCACGCCATAATAGTCCTCACCGTCGTCGTCATGATCGCATACAACTTCTTCTACCACTTCATCGGCCCCTTCGTACCTACCTACGTCGTCGAAGTCGTCCCCTTCTCCGCCCGCTCAAAAATGTCAATGTACTCCCAACTCGTCCAGGCTTCCACCATCGGCTTCTCAAACTTCATCAACCCCGTCGGCCTCGAGCGCTGGGGCTGGCGGTTTTACACCGTATCCTGCGTCGCGCTCGCGCTCTGGGCTGTTCTTGCGTATTTGTATTTCCCGGAAACGGGAGGCAAGGGTCTTGAAGAGATTGCGGAGATCTTTGATGGCGACGAGGCGCTTGGGATTGTTCATCATGGTCATCGATCTGAGATTAGCCAAGATGAGGACACGGATTTGGGCATTTATGGATAAAACAAAAACGCATTGGCGACAGCATTGTATTTTTTTTTGACTTAGCAATCCTACGAATAGAATTCAAATTAATCAACCTCTATCTCTCTTCATCTACTTCAACAACTCGAGCACATCATCAACAGCAGTCAAGATCCTCGTCTCGCCAGGAAACCTGACTTTCAAAACCGACACCGCTTTCTCTCCGTCCAGACTCCGGCCTGCCTCCTTGACCTCCGGACTCGGCAGCGAGAGCAAAGTGCCGAACGCAATCAGCAGCCGATAGCCCGCCTCGGAGTCTTGTACGAGGGTGATAAAGTCGGGGATGATTCCGATGACTGAAAATGCAATCTCTGGGTCGCTTTCATTGCTGGCTAGAACGCTGAAACTATAATGATGATAGATCTTGTTAGAATATGTGCTTCTTATCAGAAGTCCAGAGTAAAAGATGGCTTACTTCAAAATCAACGTAGACAGAGCCACGGCCGCCATCTTCGACAACTCCTTCACCGCACTCGCTCGCACCGAGTCAAGCACGCTCTCTCGAACCTGGCTATCCTGAATAACCACCCGCCCGACCTCGTTCTCAAACATATTCACAAACACTCTCGCAGCCATCATCGCGTTATTCGGAATATCCACAATCTCAGATCCGAGCTGAATCAAAGCCGACGCAATCTCAGAAATCACTCCCGCGTCTTCGATCTGCCCTACAACCGTGCGCAAGACGTCTAGACCGCCTAATTTTTCGTTCGCAGGCCAGTTTTTGGCAATCTTGAGACCGGCCGAGGCTGCCTTGACCGCTCCCGCCGAGTCGATCCCAGATTCAGCGGCGGTGAGGATCGTAGAGAGCGCTGAGAACTCATCGTCGCTGATTGCGATAGAAACATCTTTTGACGCATTGAGTTCTTTCGTCTTTTTGATAAACATAGGTACGTTCATCTTCTTTATGTACAGATAGGTTTTCTGCGGGAACAAAGTAGATTTTGCGCGCTTCGGCTATATCATATGTCGTTAGTCTTCACACTTGCATATTTAGTAAGTTAAAACAAGGATCAACGCACCTTTGGTGCAGAGTAGGTGCTAGTCGAACCCGAGCCTGATCTGTCGGAATAAGGATCGCGAACAGGTTCCGATGTTCCAATCTGGACGCCCGCAGTATTCTTCTCAATGAACTTTGCAGTTTCATCAAGATACTCCTGTGGCAGCTCGTTCTTCTCCAAAAACCTCTGGGCCGCAGTGTATGGATTCTCGTTGGCATTGTACGGTAGCTTCAGAGGTGGACTACCCTCCTTCACGTCAACATCAAACACGTAATCGTACTCTTGGCCGTTATACAGCTGTTTCTGCTGCTGCCCGACTCCGCTCACGACCTCGCCGATCTTGTCCCATTTGTCGCCAGACCATTGGTAAGCATCGATACCGCCGGTAGCGGACTTTGCCATTATAACCTGCCCGATCTTCTTACCCGGGATCTGCAGCGCGTCCAGACCGGGGATCTTTTCCTTGTTGATGTCGCCGACCTGGTTGGTCGAGATTGCGAATCCTGCTACCTGCTCTTCGAATTTCTGCATAATGATTATTAGCTCAGCTCAAGCACTTGACGAAAAGTCGACAACGTATTAAGCACATACCGCAAGCTCGTCCGGAGTAGCCCAAGATTGTTGGTTTCTAGAAAAAATCCGAACAATTTTGTCACTACCGCCTACAGCGATATCAGAGTTTGCGGGGCAGACAGCCACAGACCAGACCGAAATGCATGGCAGATTGATACTTTGCACGCACTCGCCAGCTTTCCAAACCCGCACCGATCGATCCTCGCCGCTACTGATTATCTCGTCCGTAGCCACTGAATAAGCGAGAGAGTAGACAAAGCTGGTGTGACCGTATAGCTCTTGGAGGCAGTTCCCCTGGAAGTCCCAGATACGGATCGAGCCATCGTTGCTCGAGCTCGCGAACCGATCGTCACCGACCATACATATGCTTCGAACGACATCGGTGTGGCCTCTGAATACAGAAACACATTGATTCCCGCTCCAGAGCCGGATAGTCTTATCGGCAGCGCCGGTGAGGAACGAATCAGGGCCGATGACCAACACAGCCCAGACCGCTTGCTCGTGACCCTTTAGAATGTACTTGCACTTCCCGTCGATCCATACCCGAGCAGTCTTGTCCCAGCTACCACTGATCAGTACACCGTCTGAGTAATGCAGAGAGCAGATATTAGCTTCGTGGCCCTTGAGCGCACTTTCCGGGGTCAGGCTAGCATTTGGCGAGCAGATCACGATTTCCTGATTCAGACCAGCACACGCAATCAGACCTATTCAGTTTAGTCACAGCTGTTAGCTCACCATCTTGCAACTGTTGCGAATCTCACTAGAGTCGACTCACCTTGATCGCTCATCCAGGCTATGCTATTAAGATACTTGGTAGCCTGATAGCTAACGTCCGAAGTCCATTCGACGCCCGCCTTCGATCCCGCACTCCCAGGAAGATGTTTCCACACCCGGAGCGTGCAATCGCGGGACACAGATGCCAACAAGTCCTCCGCCGGGAAAATCACACCTCTCACATCTCCCGAGTGCGATTCAAGCGATCGCGACAGCTTGTAATCAGGCATTTTGGGTCTATACTTCAAACACGCTTCGTAAACACGGAATATGATCCCTGATCCCTGTAGTCTGCGTCACAAACTGCAAGATCCAGTCGATATCTGCCCGATCAGCACGAATTGCGAGATCGATCTGTATGATTTGACTAAAGTGAGGAAGCCAGCAGAAGGTTGGTGGAGCGATAGATCTGTGGATGCCCAACGCCGCTTACGGTCATCCATCAAATCACGTGCGCTGTTTGCACGCGTTTGAAGAACAACGCGCCCCCGCAAACAGACCCGAGTCTCTGTTCGTATCAGGTCCGGAATACAGTCTTTCACTGCAAAAGACCATAGACCTGCTTTTGATTGTGCGAAAAGCAGAATGGCGGACGAGAAATCGATATTGACGTTTCTCACCGAGAGCGCTGATTTGCCAGAACTGATTACGCGTCGTCAGTTCGTAGGCCTGTTTCCAGCATCCAAACGCGAAGACCCGGCTGTCCGGGCACTGTATCAAGACCTCTACGACACACGGTCAGCGCAGATTCACAGGATACAGAAGAAGATAAATTTAGAGTGTTTGGATTCTGCCCGCGTTTTGCGTGAGGATCTGGCGCGCGCGAAAGGATTTGCGGACGCGGCTAGTGAACGAGACGATAATGACGAGATATACGATGAGATCTTGCTGAGACGGGTACGAGACGTCATTCAGTCAGGTTGCTCTCTGTCATTATACCGCTGGCTGACTTTTATATTATATAGGATCGGAAGCAACTATCCCTGGCTGAAATGCTCTCGCAGATGGAGCTCGCGGCTGATTTGATCAAGCGCCAACTAGAAGAAATCGACGAGAGCACGGCTCAGAAGCTCGAAGAATGTGATACAGTCGTTGACTCGCTGAGTGACTTGCGGTATAAGAAACTGCGGACCGGAGCGGTCGATGAGTGTTTAGAGGGATTAGCGGTAGGTTAGAAAGTTTGAGGAAGGTTGTGTGTTTGCTTGATGCTGATGGTTTTGTAGGATTTGCAACATTCGATTCTGCTACAAAAGGAGCAAAGCCGTCAAGAGTGAGCTGGATATAGAGAGTCTGATTGTGTTGCTTCTTTGTTGTAATGGTTGGCGTTCTGGTTTCTTTTTACTTATTTTGGGATGTCTCGCGAATTTGCAATTTATCGTTGCCGGCTCAAGAGAATATGATAGGGAATTCTATACAATGTACAGTAGATATGAATGCAAATATGTTACATATTTCAGCGACCAGGACCTTTATCGTCCCTTTCTCTATTTCCTCTGTAGTCTGGCCGCCTGGAGGTAGCCTCGTTCGGCCGACGGCTAATACGACCAATTTTTTCCCATTCGTCCAATATCCTTCCTCCTCGTCGCGCCCACCGGTCAAGAAACTCCTGGTAGTCCTCGTCTGTATGCGGCTCCCAGGTACTCTTGAGAATTCTTCGTACTGCCTCATGTGATATGCCGAAGAAGTTGGCCAAGTTTGAGGCTTTGACGTCCGGGTACTATAGAAGATGTTAGATATTTACAGCATAGCAGACTTCTCGCCTCAGCAGCTCAGAAACAAACGTTGAGAAATGAAAACATACCAGAGCTTTCACTGCTCGAAGTGCTCGTCTGGCCTCAGGCGACAATTTCTTGTTTGGACTCCAGGCGGATCCGTTCAATTTTTCCTTTGTAGCGTACAGTCGCTTTTTCCATGGCTCCAGCGGCCGGTTCTCCCAGTCTTTTGGGATTTTCTCTAGTCTCTCGGGTTTAATGTCGTCAGATCTACCCGGTCGGGGGACAAATGGTTCTGGGATGCTGTATTTTGGTTTTGGTCCCCGCTTTCGCTTGGCTGGTTGTTGATCTGTGCTGCTGGTTTCTGTGGATCTGGATGCCGTTGTCGATGTTGAAGCCGCTTTCGCCTTGCCGGGTTTGGCGGTCGTCGAATAGTTCAGGCGTGTAATGTAACGACTCTGCCAGTTACTTTGAAACACTGAAAAGGACTGCGAGATCGGCGCTGCGGATACTGAAGTCTGACTGAGGCATCTGCTGCGAGAGAAGTTGCACAGACTTTTGGAGATAATTCTCGACATTGCAGAACAGGCCTGATCCTCACGGTAACAAGTGAGAGATAAATTCCAGTAAGCCAACTATCTACCAAGATAGTCTAGCAGTAAATACTTTCTTCAACGGCAAAGCAAAGCTCGCCTGTTTCTCGTCTGCTCAAATATCTCGTACAGAATTTTTTGACCGTTGCTTGGGATATTTCTATAGTCACGTGACATCTCCCAAGCAGCGTGGGAGTAGATATCCCGCGAGTCTGCTCTGCTCGGTGCAATTCCTCCTTCCCCACTCCTCTTCACGACAACTCGCTGGTCCGGAGAAGAGAGAGAGAGACTGTCTGGAAACTGAAGGCGGGGAGAACTTGAAGAGCTGGATAGGATACTGCAACTTTCTAGTTTGTTATAGACAACGACTACGCGAAACTACTCTGCGCCGCGAAGAACCCCATATAGGCGACCGGCCACGACATACTGCAGCTATGGATATTTTGGGGCGCCTTGAGGATGATATTTGAGATTGGAAACTGTTCTGTTTATGCTGTTATGTTGATGTTGTGTTTTGGACCTATAACCTATACTTCACGATACCTCTTGCTGATGCGTGCTTGACTCGGTTACATGGCATGAGCAGATACCGCAACTTCCTCGATGAATCTTCTGCCTCTTTCTGGATTTGACCAGTCAATTGCTTCCATTAAAGTGTTTGGAAACATTGCAGCTAGTCGCAGCTTATCTCTATGCATTAGGCTTGCGTGACGAACATACGGATGCAAGCAAGTTCACCAACACAGACCTGGTTCCGGGCATATTTCTCATGAAGCACGAGGAGCTCTTACTGAATGGTTGAATTGGGAAACGGCAGACTACTGATACCATGTACTGTCCAGAATGAGAGAAGAAGGTTACTACTATCATACCAGGGAGCTGGGAAGAGGGACTGCAGCACGCATTACGAAGAATCTCTACTGTCCATATCAAGTTTCATGAGAATGCTCATACTGAGAGAGAGATAAAGAAAAAGTCAACTTTTGGATTCAACTTTTGAGACTTCGAAATCACATGCAAGCTACTGAGAACTTTTTGGTTCGCGACGGTCGCGGACAAAGATCACAAAGGACATAATCAAGAAAAGCATAAACTAACAACGCCGATACAAAACAAGAACATAACAGGGAGGAGATCAGACAAATCACTGGAGGAACAACTTTTGCGTGATCAAAAATACATATCGCCGAACACATCGCCGAACATTTTTGCAGTCGTCATATTTTTTCTGCTTTCATGGTTTTGGATCTATCAGAAAAGACCTGTGATACCCGTCGATGAGGGACTGTTTCAGCCGATAGGAAGAGAGACTATTCGCTCAAAGAAATCGCTTGGCCAAATTTGATGAAGGTCCACGCAAGATCGACTTTTGAGAAAATGTGCGGGGTGAAGTCTGGCTTTCGCGCGCTATTGATCGACCGCCTGATGAACAAAATGTTAGTTCGCTGTCGAACGGGATGAAGGTAGAGAAGGGTATAGGCGAGTAAAGGAGCTGTGGACATACCAGGACCATATAGGACAAAAGGTTTTCTTTCGGTGGACGACTCTGGCACAGGCTGAACCTCATCGGATGAGGGGTTTGGCTGGGGATAGCTTGCGTGATCCATGGAGTCTTGCGACGGAGTCGACACTTCAGAAGTTTCTGACTTGGGGGAAGTGGTGGAGGCAGGAGCTTTCTTGTGCAAAGTGGGTTGCGTGGAAGAAGAGCTTGGGAACGCAGAGGGCGATGAGAAGTATGGGAGCTGTGGGTCAGGTCGGATCATGGTTGATGTCTGTGGAGCTTGGGCCAATGCAGGAGAAGAGGGTGCTGATATATCTTGTCGACGACTAGTCAAGGCAGAAGGCAGGCTATTTAAAGGAGGGAACAGCCGGAAGGTGATGAGATATGAGCAACGGTCGACAACGAGTGAAGTGAGTAATCGAACACGTTCTGCGCTATTGGAAGTCAAAAAACCTGCTCCTCGGCGCAAACATCGGCGTCGGTTTTTTTCTCCCCGCCAAACCGCCAAAGGAGCGCCATCGCCTCCGTCGCCGCACCGACGTCAAACATCATCGGATGTGGTCGATGTCTGCAGGATCCCTTGCTGGCTACAAGCGTTGACTACCGACTCTCTGCTCGTCATGGTTCTGCATCTGCCTTTTCTATATATGTTTTAATTCGGGCACCACGCGAGATTCCACCGCAGCCAAACAAAGAGCAAAACCTGAGCGCGACTTCCACGCTGCCCCGCATTAAGATTAAGCAGCTGCGGATTCAAAACATTGGGCGGTTTAAGGCCACAAATCTCGCATCATGTGACCTGAAAGCTGCATTAACTGCGCAGACGTTTTGCCACTCTCGCCGTCCCTGAATATCATCCCCGTGACTTTCGTGATTCCCGTGACTTTGCTTGGATGCTCGAAATCGGTAGCTATTCAGACTACTAACGATACACTTGATTGCTTCAAACTACATCTTTCATACATCCTACTACACTCAGAAATATAGCAAACATTAGATTAAACAAAAATTAAAAGAACGCAGTTACAGAATCAAAAATTAAACACAGAGATAAGCCTCAGTTATTTGACATAGTTCCCAGGGAACTCGCCCTTGCGTCCGTCCATCGTCTCTCCCTCCCACCAATCATCCTCGTCTCGCTTGTAGACCTTGATCTTATCTCCGACGTTGAACGAGAGATCAGAGTCCTGCACCGCGACAAACGTGTACTGCGCAGTCATAATCTCGTACTTGCCGCGCTCGTCCTCGCCAGTCGAGCCGGCCAGATTTGCTGCCGCGGGCTCGGATTTCTCCTTCACGTCTGCGTGATACCCGTTCGTCCCCTCCTTCTCCTTCAAAGCAGCAGTAGCCTCGGTCGCCGCGTCGCCACCTTCAGAAAGGGGTGTGCCGGCCGCAGGCACAGCGACGGTGCTATACCGCGGCAACGCCTCGGAGAAGTTTGCAAACTTTGACGAATGCGACGACATCGAGAACGCGCGCGACGGATCAGGCGATCCATCCGCCTCAGCCCCGCTCTCGGACCCGAGATCTGAGCCTACTCTGCCCATGCTCGCGGTCCTGTTCATGCTGCTAAAGTTGCGGTACGACCCGTCCTTTGCGGTTCCGGTCGGGCGCTTCTTGTTGTTGAGCGTGAATGCTTTCTTCAGTTTCTCGTCGAGATGTTTGGAGTCCGGATGCGTCATTGGTTTCTTGACGGCTTTGCCGGTGCGGATGATGGCGAGGCCTTCTTCGCATTTGTGCTGGATCGGGATGAATTGTTTCGTCCACTCTTCCGTTACCGAGTGTTCGGGATCAGCGAGACCTAAGCAGATCATCAATGTTAGCTAATGCAGAACCAGTCAGAAGTGTAGTATGAGAAGAGATGGCCGTACCTTGTCCTTGGGCAAAAGGAAACATGAAGTCGTTGTAGATACTAACGACGCTGATCTGGATGTTGAACAGCATGGTCGCAAGAGGCGCGATAAACTCAGAGAGCTGCTCAATGACTTTTGGCATGGTTTCTTTGATGTAATCGTCGAGGGCTTTGAAATCCTATATAAAACACAGATAACCGTCAGCATTTATCCGAGCTGTCCGATGTGATCACACACGTTGCATATAGGCAACTTACCTCAGACGCCTTGTCGAGCTCCTTGCTCTGTTTGTCAAGCGACAGCTGGGCCTTATCGCCCAGCGTCTGCTTGCGGTTCAACTTCTCGACGGAGTTTGAATGTCGGTCGTAGTCAATCTGGGGAGAATCAATGCGTCAGAATAATGGTCTGTTGACGTCACACCTTGTTCTTGCTCGCTCAGATTGCCCGGGCTCACCTTCTTATGTTCTCTCTTTTGAGAGTTTTCTTGATCGTTTCGATATGGCCCTGATGATGTTTCGATTAGTCTACAGCACTTTCACCGAGCAAGGCAACATGTCAGCTTCTCGTACCTTCATCACCACGCAGCGCTGGATGATGGTCCGGTCAATGCCGTCCAGCATAGGCACGATCGCGTTCTGGATCTCGACCACGACATCCCTGTACTTGATAATAGCATCCAGCGTCGCCTTTGGCGTCTCACGCACGACCTTGGTCGGGTCCTCCATCGGGATCGGCTCATACAGCTCGACAAACTGCTTCGCCATGCCGACCTGGTGTGCCAGCGAGTCGATCCACGCCGACCGGAACTTCTTTGCGTTGCTGATGATCTCGCCCATCCCGTCCTCGGCCTCGTTGATCGCCTTTGTCCATTCGATCACGGTCAGGTCCTCGGGCGACTTGCTGCCGATGAGGACGTGCGGAGCGCGGATGACGGCCTTCTTGATCCCGCGCAGCGACATTGCAGCGGCGCAGACTTCTGTGGTTTGTACACGCGGTTAGAGCTCTAGGCTTTGCAGCAGCAGGCAGGAGATGCACAACAGAACTGCGCTGAGGGCAGACTAATTAGCAGCCGGGACCGTTTTCTTCGTAGCTTCGTTGCCAGCGGCTTCTCGTCGCTTGTCTTCTCGGCTGCGACGGAAGAAAGTCACGCAGACCCGTCATCGGCGGCTCGGATCCCGGCGAGGCGAGGCCGGGTAAGAGTCTTGTGCTGCACCCTGCGCCGGGCTGACGTCATCTTTCCCCGGCGCCGCTTCTCCGGGTGGATTTGTTTGGTCTCATCCAAGATTATCTACCTTGTCTATCTTACAATACTCTCTTCCCTCACCACAGCGCCCATCCCCGCCAGCCGAGCACCCCGTTCATCAGCCACCAGTGCCGCGCCGCGCCGTCCGCTGCCTGCATCGACACCCGGTTCGTCGAGTCGTCCGCGATTGTGCGCCAGCCCGCTTCCCCGCGTAGATCCAGCGCCTCCTCGCTGTCTCTGAGGTACACCGGCAGCTCGATCTCGTGCTTCAGAACTAGCGACTGGTGCCGCACAATCGACCCCAGATAGTCCTCCTCCGTCGGCTGCCGGAACCCGATCGCGCCTCCACGCGCGCGCCGACAAAACACCACCGCGTTTGTAAAATCCTGTGCGCCGTCGTCGCTGCTGCTGCTGCTGCTGCTGCTGTCTGGCGGCGCGTCTTCTCGAAACGCACGGCACTTGCCGCCGCTGTCGCGAAATCCCTGCACGAGCGTCCGCAGCATCGTCCTCGTAAACGTCGTCGCAAAGTCGCCGCCTAGATTAACAACCAACACGCCGTCCGGCGACATGATCCCTCTGATATCCTCCCACGTCTCGGTCGTGAACAGCGTGGGCGAGACAACCCCTCCTGTAAACACGTCGTGGACCACGTAGTCGTACGTCCGCAGACCTTCCTCTGCCGCCGCTTCGGGCGAGTACTTGAGCGTCTGCGCCAGGCTGTGCGCGAAGTACCGACCGTCGCAGATCGTCACCCGCGACTGGTTTATCGGGAACTCAAAGTAATCGACCGCGTACTGCAGCACGGCCGTGTCCAGCTCGACGACGTCGGTCGCGATCCCGTGCGACACCAGTGCCTTTGCGCAGGTTCCGATCCCAAGACCAATCACGAGTGCATTGTTGACTTGTTTTCCGTCCTGCTCCACACCTACCGGCGCGGGCGTAACCAGTCTGACCGCCTCCTGCATGGCGAACGAAGAATAGATAGGTTCTCGAGTCCAGACTGCGCCTTTTGGTATCGCAACACTAGGCGGGGGCTTGATGTAGTCACCTCCAAGCAGCGAGTGGTCATTTCGTAGCGCAAGATATCCCTTCTCCGGTTTCGACACCACAGAGATATACCCGGTCGTCGAGATCGTCGAGGCTACGATCCCCCCGTTATCGATCGCAGACAAATCCGTGTTACCAAAATTCGTCTGCGCTCCAAAATACGATATCTGCAGTGCGATCGCGCACGCCACAAGCGGCAGCGTAAATTTGCGCGGCGGACTCAGCAGCGCCAGCACGGCCGTCGCAGCCGTGTTGATCACCACCGCCTGCTTGAACGCCATATACCCTCTCGGCAGCACCGCGACCAGCAGCGGGACATACAGTCGCCCGATAATCCGTCCTTCGCAAATCATAAATAATCTAGTCGTAAACAGTGCGATGAGAACCATGCGCAGGCCGGACGCGCCGGCCTCGCCCAGGGCAGATTTAGCCGCCTTAGACGTCGACGAGTGGAAGATGCGCGCAGCCATGCTGCCCGCGCCGATCAAGATCGGATAAAAACAAACACAGTCCATAACAAACGCACCCAGCCACGGCCCAAGTAGCATGCCCGTGTACTCGCCCACCGAGCGCGCGACGAACGGGATCGCGGTCGAGTAAACCACGGTCGCGGCGTGTATCCTGCGCGCGCTCCGAGATCCCTTGCGCTGCCGCAGAAAACGCGCCATAGACACAGCAAACACAAACGGCACAATCAAGGGACGGTAGATGTCGCTGAACGAGCTGCCAAAGACTGCTTTCTGGCTCAAGAGCGCGGTGTGGGATGCGGTCGCCAGCTGGAGCACCAGGGCAACCAGCCGCACTATGGTCATCTGGAGAGAAGCCATGGAACCGAGTCGCTTTTTCTCAGTCCAAAGTCAGAGTGTATTCAGATTCCCTTCACAATCTTGTAGAAAACAAGTCCCTTTTCTCCTGCAAACCAGAAATCCCAGATCTTTCTCGTCCTAAAACAAATCTCCCAGGTCCAAATTCTCTTCCCTGTCGCAGCCCGTGCGGCTCACGGAGGTTCTAGCCCTTCCGGATTCGATTTAGCCCTCGTCATTGTCTTCTTTGTCAAGTCCACTGCTGCAGACAGAATACAATTGAGCAGAGACAGTTCGCCAGACAAAGAAGGCAGAAGCAAGCAGGCATGTCTGCGGCAAGCAGCGGCAGCATGGACGGTAGCGGGCAGCAGCAGCAGCAGCAGCTTCCCGCAAAGACGATCCCTGCCCGACTCCGGCGCCACAAGACCATCACCAACCGCCGCCTGCACTACCTGCAAAAGCACACGCCGGACTACTTCTACAGCTCGGGACTTGCCGAGGCGAGTCCGCTTCTGTATGACCGGCTTGTTCGGCGGTTTCAGACGCCGGCAGAGCGCGAGGTCGAGACCGATAGGCGCGGGTGGGCGGGTCGGATGTATGAGGATCTGATGCGTGCCGAGCGGAGGTTGGACAAGATCGAGAAGGAGAAAGCGGAGGAGCTTCGACGGCAGGAGATGGGTGATCTGAGCAACAGTAACGATGATGAGGCAACGACACAGGTGTATGGAGAAGAGGAAGAGGCGGGCGATCTGGTTGTCGATGCGGAGATCAGCTCGAAAGAAGAAGGTATACAGCAATGGGAGAAACTCATGACACTGCGATTTCTGAGTGGATTAGATGTGAGTTCCAGAGATCTTCACTGACTGTGTATTTGCTGACGTTTGTAAAAGACCGACTTTGACTATGACGGCATCGATTTCGACGAAGAATGGGACGACTACGTGCAAATCAACCGGGACAAGGAGGACGACTATTTCGATTCGGAAGAGCCTACGTGGTGCTATGACGATACGGACGATTCAGTTTCGGAAAGACCTTTGAACGGACAGACTGGTGTGCAGGATTTCTGAGTAGGTACGATCCAGCTGTAATATCAGGCTGCATTGTAATATCTCTTGAGAGATACAATAATTACATAATGACTCGTAATGAAATACATGACGCAAGAAAAAATATCGACTATATATATATACATGATGCTGTAGCGAAATCACTTTTCATTCCACAACCCATATGACCCGGGCTCGGCCTTCCAGAGCCTGATGGTTCCATCCTCGCTTCCCGAGGCACAGATTTGACCGTCTGGCGAGTAAGATATCGAATGGATAGGTCCATGGTGTCCTTTCAAGGTTTCTATATAAAGAGTTAGCGCAGGTAGAAATAGGATGATAGAGTAATGGCGTGTACTCACCAAGAGTCTTTGCAGATTCAAAGTCATGAACTCGAACCCACGTATCATCAGGACATCCGGTCGCGAACTTTGTCCGCTTGGGATGAATCGACGCCGTCGAAGCATTGTACGAGAGCGACTCCTTCTTGAGCTGTACGCGCTTCGTCCAGTCAAACAAGTAGATCGACGACGCGGCCGCGACCGTCAGCGACCCTTCGCGGTTTTCCATCTGGGTCACCGGCCCGTCGAGAGGCGTTGCTTCAATCAGTTTCTCGGCTGTCCGGAGATCCCACCATTTCAGCTGCTTGTCGTCGCCGGCCGTTACCACAGTGCTAATAAACCATAGTCAGCCCCTCACTGCTCTATATTAGAGTAAAAATCCATAAAACACAGTCTTCACATACTTCTGATCCAGCCACAGCGCACACCGGATAATAGACTCTGACCCAATCCACTCCATACAAGTCACTCCGTCCGGCACATTCAGATCCCATATCCGGATCTTCTTCTCATTACCGGCCGTGACGGCAAACAGCGGCGACTGCCGCGAGGGCATGAACGCCGCCGTGCGCACAATGTGGTTATGTGGCAGCGAGTACAGCAGCTCGCCGGTCTCTGTGGTCCATGCTTTGCTGTGCGGTTATGTGTTAGAACAGGGAATGACGCGGGTAGGCAGGAGAAACGCGATACGTACGCTGTGAAGTCTGCGCTGGCGGTGATTGAGTAATGTGCGTCTGCGCTAAAGTTTGCAGACCAGACTGCACCTTTGTGGCCAAAGAAGGTTCCGATCCTTCATGAATTCGTTAGAGACTGTTTTCTTGAGGGCGAGCAGAGATCAGTTGAGATATTTCATACCAGTCGCCAGTGATTCCATCGCGGAGCATTGGATTTCCGTCTAAAAAACACAAAGTAATCAGCACCCGCTGCAATCCTCATACAGCAAGCAAACACAAATAATCCCCACCCTTGCTTGCGCTGATAATCATATAACTCTGATCTTCATATAATGGCGAGAAACTGAGATGCGTGACCGGTCGCAGATGGCCCGTGAGCGTGAGCGGGACATATCTCGAGGAAACGGTGTCCGAGTCGGTCGTCATCTGTTCATGCAATAATGCTGGAGGTAGTCTGAATGCAAATATGCGCTGGAGAATGAGGAAGAGAGAATGGAAAGAAGGCAACCGCAGGGCTGAAGACGGCGATGGCAGACAATGAAATAAGATTTAAAGGAAGAAAGCCTCTCTCGCGGGGCAAGGGCATCGCGATGGAGGTTTTACTTCGCAGTCAGGAACCTCGTATTTATCAACAAAGCCAGCAACAGGTATAGAGTGCGCAGAGCTGAATATATAAAGATGGCGCGAAATAGTGAAAAGGCACAGTCAATGCTGTTCCGCTTCAGAGAGCAGGAGGCGGCGGATATGGGTATGTTGCAATCATTCAGATAGCGTGACTACGAGTAGCAAACACTAGATACTAACTGTCTTTTCTTCTCCAGGAATCATCGACGCCAGCAGAAGACGTCGTCCAAAAGTGATCTCCTCTGTCGAATCTGTTCAGGAATGCGAGCGATGGCGAGGACAAGTGGTCCGGGATATCAGCGTGAAAGTCACCCGGATCCAAGACCGTATGACCATCACCTTTTCTTACTACTGACGTCTCTTTTTGAGAGCAATAGGCTAACGCATTTTAAATGTAGCTGTTTTATCGAATTACGAAATCCGCGATTTAAACGACGAGATCAATAAACTGATGCGCGAGAAATACGTCTGGGAACTACAGATCCGGAACCTGGGCGGTCCTAATTACCTGGTAAGCCACACTTCTCTTGATACGATTTTTAAATCTCTTCTCCCTACTGACATGGACTCCAGCGGATGCCTGCAAAGACATATGACGACGACGGCCGCGAGATCCCCACCACACGCGGCTACAAATATTACGGCCGCGCCAAGGAACTTCCCGGCGTCAAAGAACTTCTCGAGCCGCCGCCGAAAGATGAAATCCGAGTGAACGCGCGCGCAAACTACAAGACCGACGTCGACGCGAGTTACTACGGATACCTGGACGAGGAAGATGGCGAGGTGCTGAAGTTTGAGGAGAAGTTGGAGAAAATCAGTCTGGCGAATACGTTGAAAGAAGACGAGGGCGTGCCGGTGGGATGGATGGGTATCGACCGGCCTGATTCGATACCGAGTTTGAAAGAGGTCGAGGACTGGTTGCTGGAGCGGAGGAAGGCAAAGCTGATGGAGCGGTATGATCTAGGCTCATGAGCCGTCGGCAAGATAGAAAAAGATTTGTACGATATGTATGTTGTCTATATACAAGAATAAAATATTACAGAACAGAAACCGAGAACCCACCCAACACGTAAACCTACGTTCTATCTTTTAAATACAATCGCAGCAGCCACAGCTGTTTAAGCAATTCTCGCGTGGCTGGCGTAGACACGATAGCGACCTCGTCCAGATCTGGTGTCCCCGCTTCTGGTGATAAGCGCTGAAACAGCAGCTTCTGCATCTTCGCAGCAAGATCGTACCCGCAAAGATTATTGACGAAATATCGAACTACCGGGGTCTTGCCATCCGGCGCCAGGAAAAACTGCGTTGCTCGAATGGCATCGCCGGTTGGTTTCCACGAAATCGCGGCATCGATGATCCCGTACTTCTCTACAGCAGCAGCGGCATCTGCAAAAACGCCATCAGAGAGCACAAGTCTATCGAGAGCGAGCTCGATCCTCATCCTCAGTCGCCGCTCGACGACCGTAGCCATGTCGTTCTGATACACGAACGTGCCGTTTCTGTTCTCGGGCAACGAAGACTTGATCGCCTCTCGCAGGCTATGATATCTGCCGGACCTTTCGGTGATATTCAAAAACTCCCGATTGAGAGAATGGTAGCTTGTCGAGCCGATATGTAGACTGCCTTGTTCGAGAGGGAGAATGACGAGCTGATTGTTGGGATCGATATGTTTTGAGATTTTGGGCTTATGTCTCTTGCGTTTAATCTTCTCGGTCGGAGCGCTTTCGACTATGAGATGCTCGAGATTTTCGGGGACTTTGAATGCAGCGAATCGAACGAGAAGGTGGTGAGGAAGACGCGCGGAGGTGACGGCGCACTGCCGAATGGGTCTGCAGAGGATGTGTGCTAAATTGTCAGTATAGAGCTCAATTCAACAGAGTAGAAGGAAGCAGCACGATCTGAGCATACCATATGGGTTATTTTGAAATCTCCGCGACCAGTCTGAAAGGTCAAGGTTGGGTTTATCAGGGTCGATGGATTTCAGACGTTTTCTTTTGGGCTTCTTCAGCAGAGCCGGCAGTTCAAGCTCATCCTCGTCCTTTGTCTCTTTGCTCTTCTCTTCGTTTGCTATACTCTCCGAGCTAGTCGAGACTGCTCGTGCAGGCACAAACAACCTACGAGGTTGACGCAATCTCAAGACAATATTCCTATTCATCAGTTCGTCATCTCCATTCTCTCTGTCTGCCAACGTCTGCGCAATCGCGGTCTGCGGTGACGCGACGGGGAAAATATGAAATCACGTGACTTTGTGCATTTGTATATTTGTGGCTCAACGGTCGCGAACGCAGCGCTGAGCCTCTCTCGAAATAGAACCGCTTTGCTTTCTGCTTCTTGTTGGTTTATAAGTGGTAGTTCTCTTGAGTGAGGATATATACACGTTGCTTGTGGCTATCTGAATCTATAGTCAATTGCAATATTCTTTCGCTGTGCTGTGCATAAGCCTTTGTTCGAGCGCATTCCCGATCTCTGCTGCTACTCGGTTCCGGCCAGACTTGCAGCGATTCCACCTCGCAATTCAACTGCTCCTCTCTCCAGACCGCAAAAACAACAATAAAGACACTATCTAAAACCAAAACAACACACACAAAAATGTCGCTGGATCAAGAACAACAAGACCAGATGATCCTGCACCAACTCTCGCAGATCGAGAAATTCTCGTCCGTCCATCGTCGCCCTGACTTCGACACAAACTTCGCCTACGGCACCGCCGGCTTCCGCATGCGCGCAGATCTGCTTGACTCGGTCGTCTACCGTGTCGGTTTGCTTGCCGCGCTGCGGTCGCGCAAGTTGGACGGCGAGACGATCGGGGTTATGATCACCGCGTCGCATAATCCGCCCGAGGACAATGGAGTCAAGTTGATTGATCCGCAGGGCGAGATGCTCGAGGTATGCTTCTTTTTTTATATGTTTCTGTTTTGTGCTGGACAGGTGCTGATCTGATCTGATGTACTTAGGCTTCATGGGAAGTTTATGCAACCAAGTTTGCAAACGCGAGATCGGACGAGGAGCTCGCGCGCGAGTACTTCAACGTGGCCGAGACGTTGAAGATCAGACTAGATGCGCCGTGCAAGATTGCTTATGGCCGCGACACGCGTGCGTCTGGTCCTGCTCTGGTCTCTGCTCTGAAGGACGGGCTGAGCGCGGCGGGCGCCGAGTTTTCCGACTATGGCGTTCTGACGACGCCGCAGCTTCATTACATTGTAAAGTGCATCAACACTGCCGAGACCTCGAGCCCGTACGGCGAGCCGTCGCAGGCTGGATATTACAAGAAGCTCGCGGCTGCGTTCAAGGCGGTGATGAAGGGCAAACCCAAGCCTGGTCTCATCACTATCGATGCCGCGAACGGCGTCGGCGGACCAAAGCTTGCTGAGCTTCTCGAGGTTCTCGGATCCGAGTCGCTCGAGGCGGTTATTGTGAATGACGACGTGGAGGCCACGCAGAAGCTGAACCAGCAGTGCGGAGCCGACTACGTGAAGACGCAGCAGAAGCTACCTGCGGGAGCCGAGCCAGAGGCGCTGCAGCTGTACGCGTCGTTGGACGGCGACGCCGATCGCATCGTGTTTTACTACGTCGACGAGGCCAAGAAGTTTTTCCTGCTCGACGGCGACAAGATCGCGTCCCTGGCGGCGATGTTCATTCAGGAGCTCTTGGAGGTCTCTGGGGTCGAAGACGTGGAGGTCGGCGTGGTGCAGACCGCGTACGCGAACGGGTCGTCGACCGCGTATCTGCAGGACGTGCTGAAGGTGCCGGTGACGTGCACATCCACGGGCGTGAAGCACTTGCACCACGCGGCGCAGCTGTATGACATTGGCGTCTACTTTGAAGCGAACGGGCACGGCACGGTGCTGTTTTCTGCAGCGACGATCAAGGCGCTGGAGAGCTTTGAGGCCGCGAGCCCCGGGCAGCAGAGCGCGGTGGACACGCTGCTGTCGCTCGCGGACGTGATCAACCAGACTGTCGGCGACGCGCTCTCGGATCTGCTGCTCGTGCTGACGGTGCTGGCGCACAAATCGTGGGGCCCGAGCGAGTGGAACATGGCGTACACGGACCTGCCCAACCGACTTGTGCGGGTGGTCGTAGACGACCGGTTTGCGTTCAAGACGGAGGACGCGGAGCGCCGGCTTGTGGAGCCGCAGGGTCTGCAGGCGCAGATCGACGAGCTGGTGAAGAAGTACAAGTTTGGGCGGAGTTTTGTGCGCGCGAGCGGGACGGAGGACGCGGTGCGGGTGTATGCGGAGGCGGCGACGCGGCTGGAGGCGGATGAGCTTGCGTTGAAGGTGTCTGAGCTGTTGAAGGGGTTGTGAGTTGTATATATGGTTTAAAAGCAGTGTGAATCAATCTCTCTTCTATTATTTATTTGCATGTATAAAGACAACAAAATTACAGAAGACAAGAAAACACAGATTAGATTAAAAGAGGACAATTCTAGTTTACATATTTGCCAAGAAAAAAATAAACAAAAACAAACGTGATCATCGCTGACGGTAAGTAGAAGAGTTTATGTTTATGAGGTCTTGAGCTCGTTGATGGCCTTGAGAGCGGCGGCGTTGACCTGCTCGGGGGTCTTGCCGGTGACGTTGATGATGAGCGAGTCGATCTGCTCGGAGACGGAGGGGAGTTCCTGGAGCTTGACCTGGGAGAAGACCATGGATTCCTGGGGTGGTGTTAGCAGGGCCTTTTAGAAGAAGAGGTGGGGGGCTGGAGTGGGAGTGGGGAGTAGGGCGTGGGGTAGTTAAGTAAGAGAAGAGCATACCTTCATGTAATGATTCTCGCGCCTGTGGACGCGGGCGAGGAGGGTCTCCTCATCCGCAGTCAGGTAGATAAACCGGACATGGACGGAGAGGCCGCGGTGGTCTCGCTCGTGGCGGGCGGCGTCGCGGATGATGTTGCGGTACCTGTGTCTGAGGGACGAGCAAGTGACGACGCAGTTGTGGGACTTTGTGCCGGTGGAGTGGAGGCCCGCGGCCTGGATGCAGGCGGGGACGATGGACTTGAGCCAGGGCTCGCGGTCCTCGTCGGTGAGCGGGTCGTTGGCGGCCATCTTGCGAATGTTTTCGGGGGAGTGCAGGCTGTCGCCCTCGACGAAGGGAGCCTCGAGGGTCTTGGAGACGTACTCGGCGACGGTGGTCTTGCCGCAGCCAGCGGGGCCGGCGATAACCCAGATTGTGAGCAGCATTGGAGATGTAAGAGAGAGGTGGAGGTGGAAGGAGGATGGAGAGGAGGAAGAGAGGAAGAGAAGAGGAAGAGGAAGAAGCGGAAGGTGAGAAATAGAAATAATCGAAACTGGGTTCAGGCAGCTCGGCACTGGGGCGCACTCTGTCAATGGCCGGAACCACCCCACGCACACCATACAGACAATAACAAGGCCAGGACCAGACTGAGAATGCACGATTCTGCTTGATCTACTGCAATTGTATCTTGTAATCCATTATAATCCACTAAAACACCCCAAACAATGCTGCTTTTGCCCGTCTGCCCACTGTTGAACCCTTTCCCTCTTTGGCATTTTGCTTTAACCTCGTTGCCGCGCTTGCCGACGAGCTCCCTGAGCACCCGGCAGCGAGCCCGGCCCACGCGGATCCGACTGCGGCCCTGTTTATTGTGTCGTCATTGTGTAGAGCGTGAGAAGCTGTAGACAGGCTTAGTAGCTGACTGCTAATGAGGTGCAATGGGTGTCTATTGTCTGCGCTGGTTGTTTGCATAGTCATGCTATGCTTATCGCAGCTCCACGCCGCCAATCCCTTTGTCCCATCACCCGCCCTCGTCTCTTCGTCTCTTCTGCCGGTCTTTGTTACATAATGCACTGCTGTTTTGTATTTATACTTTGTACTTTAAACTAATTCGACATCCGCAAAAGCAAATCCGCATTGTGCTCATCGGGGCCTGATTAGGTAACGATAGCCCAGTCATGACTCAAACTCAAAACCCTTATCGACAACCTTCTCGCTAATCATTTCATTCATTACTCTTTCTCCTCCTCCTCCTCCTCCTCCTTCTCTTCGTAGTCCTCGTCGCTCTCGCTCTCGCCGTCGTCGAAGGTCTTGCTCGCAGGCGACGACACCCGGCGCACGTAGACCACGTTCACAACCACCGCCACCACCGCGACCGCAGCAGCCGTGACCGCGAGCGGAAACACGGTCTGCAAATCATACCCCACCTCCGCCAACCGCGGCTGCTTCGCAAACATCGCAGCCGCTGACATAGACGACTCGCTGCTGCCGCTGCTGCTGCTGCGGAGGTACCGCTCAAACTCGGCGGGTGAGCGAGGGCACTTGTGGTTGCCGTAGCAGGCGCTGCCGATCACGGAGGCGGTTACGAGCCAGAATCCGGGGATGACGATGTCGAGAAAGACACTGAGTTGCAGGACGCGGAAATCTCTTTGCTCAAAGTACGGCACGAGGATGAAATCAAACAGCAGGACTTTCAGTCCAAGCGCGGGCTGCAATCGAAATCAATCCAGTCAGTATCTATTACCACAATGTCTCTGCAAAAGAGAAACGACTTACGCCAACGAGGATGAATTGCCCTGCGATGGGCCCGACAAACAGCCACCCGCTGAGATCATAGAGCTCGTTATATCGATACCCGTCCGCGCCGTCGCGAGCCCTGACGAGCAACACCAGGGCTGCTATCGAGAGCGCCAGCAGCACCGTGCTGACCGCGATCTGAACTGTACGCAGCGTCGTGCGCGGGAGGATGGAGACCGTCATTGCTGTAGCAGTAGTAGCAGTAGTAGCAGTAGTAATTGTCCCCTCTGTAGACCGCTCAATCTACCCCTGCGCTGTTGGGGCATGGTAGGCTCGTTATATACGCTCTGATCCTATCATACACCGATATTCACACCCCCGGCAGCGACAGACCAGAGACGGTTGTCAGACCAAACAGGAATAGCAGGCCGTACGCGCGATCTTGAATCCGACGCGTCGGTCGCGCTCCGAAACCCAATCTCCGAGAGCCTCTGGGAGGGAAGCTGCTTAATTGTGTTTACTCTACTCTTCTCTTTGTGCTCTCGCTGCTCTCAACTTGCTTGCTCTTTATCCAGAGCCGAGAAGAACATCGCGATAAGTAATCTCCATAAAGCAGACCAACTACTCCAACTGCACCAGCGCCCACCCGTCCCAGTCGTACCCATCAGCCGTGCGTCGCCGCGTACGCAGTCCGGTACCGCCCGTCCTCTGTCACATTTAAAGAATACGGGAGATCCGCTTACTATCGCTGTTAATTACCTTCTTCCCGCGCTGCTTTCTTCGACGTCTTCGCTAGAAGGCGTACGTCGGTAGTGCTCCTACTGCTGATTTGATTTGATTTTGATTTCAATTACTTATAGCATAACAAGCAGGTATAAAAGAAGAGCATCCATAGACCTTCATAGCTCCATAAACAACTTCATAGGAACAACCGATAACGCCACTCCCGTCACTTGATCGACACCTTTCACAATACAAATTATATATTCACCCCTCCCAGCGTCACTGCATACTCCCATCACTGCATCCCCGTATCTGTCTGTGTCTCAGCACGTTCTCATTCCATACACCATTGCACACCACACGCACGGACGCGCGCACGCACGTCTACTTCATTTCCAGACGCCTCAAATAAAACACACACTCCTTCATGTACTTGACATGTCGTCAAGTAAACCTCGCCGCCAGATTCAGAGTCGTGGTGACCACGACTGCTGATGTTGTTGGTATCAACAATTCAAACTGATAGTAAAAACAGAGAGAAGGATATCACGGTATCATTAGCCGCCCTCGGCTTCCGCTTTCACGTTCGTGATATCAAAAGCAATAAAGATACAGTACAAAAACAATAAACAATAGCCACAGCATTTGTGTTCCTCGCTGTCGCGCGCCATAATGGTATACCTCCCAACACAAAAATAAAAAACACAATACAGAAAACAGGTATCAATAACAGGCATACTCTAAACAGACGCAACTTATTAGCACACACACACACACAGAAACAGTAAAGGGGATATAGCTCTCGCGCACGCACGTAATCAAACCATTCTCAAACCACCTCCTTCCCGTCTCCGTCGACAGCAGGACTACCAACCGGCACGAAATTGCTTGCTTTCAAAGACTTTGCCGCGACCGGAGGTCCCTTTCGACTCTTTATGCTGGATTTGTCCACAGACATGTCGTCATCACCAGCAGCAGCAACGTCACAAGCAGCAACATCACCAGCAGCGGCAAACCCAGACCCCGCATCAGCCTTCACCGTCACCATCCGTCGTCGCCGTCGTCCACTGCCGTCCGAGCACTCGCCAGCCTCATCAGCAGGAACAAAAGCCGAGTCCGCGTCTGCACTCTTGTTCAAAACAGTAGGCCGCCGACGACGCTGCCGGATCGCGCCGCCCGTAGCTACTTTGGCTAGAAACCTGTCGATCGAATCTGGTTCTTCGCCCACAATCGACCTGGCTACCTCTCTCGGCGCAATTTCGTCGACCGTCACTGATTGCTCAAAAGATGCAGACGTGTTCTCTTGCGTTGACGGCTCCGCCTCCTGCTCGTCGTAGCTGTGCAACACAGACTTTAGCAACGAACTCGTCGACAAATCCGACGCAGGACTTTCAAACACCGCCCGACAAGGCGATCCTACGTCTTCTTCAGAACGCGCCTTCTCACGCGTGACACTGTCGACTTCAGAAGACGCGTCAGTCATCGAATAGTGCTGCGCGATATCGAACGCGTCCGGCAAATTCTCAGACAACCACGAAGACCGGCTCGGCTCAGAAACCGGTTCCGAAACTGGAGGTGTATGCGTCTTTCCCGACACGCTAAGCATCCCCTCAATCGCCTGCAACCGACGCGTGCTCTCTTCAACCTGCAGCTTAAGACTCCACACCTCCTCCGCATGCTCAGACTCGCGCCTTTTCGCATTCTGGTCAAGCCAAACCGATAAATCAAGATTGTCGCCGTACATCTTTGCCTGGCTTTCTTGCTGGCTTGCGCTCAGTTCGGTCTTTAGCGTCTCGATATCCTCGCGCGCCTCCGCGATCTCGGACGCAAGGCTTTCTCGCACATCGCGAACGACGTCGATAATTTCTGACGCTTGTTTTCTGAGACCGGCGTCGGTAGCTTGTTGTCCATCGCGGATCTTGCTGATCTCGGCCGTTAACTTGTCGCCGAGATCTTCAACGAGCCTGGTAATCTGATCTGGTTGCGTCAACGAGACGCTCAATTTTCCCTCGAGGTCTTTGACAAGTTGGTTCAGAGTATCCAGTCTCTGCGCGGACCCGTCGTCAGTAACTTTGATATCGCGCGTCTTGCCGATCTCGTTCATAAATCTTTCCTCGAGGTCTTTGATGAGCTTGTTCAGAAGATCCAGTTTCTGTGCAGATCCGTCATCAGTAGGCTGAACATCACGCGTCTTGCTGATCTCAGTCGTCACTCTGTCCTCGAGGTCTTTGATGAGCTGACTCAGAGTATCCAGTTTCTGTGCAGACCCGTCATCCGTAGGCTGAACATCGCGCGTCTTGCTGATCTCGGTCGTCAATCTTTCCTCAAGGTCTTTGACAAGCTTGTTTAAAAGTTCAGCTTGCTTGGCCGAAACGTCTTCAGCAGGTTCGACTGTGTGCCTCTTGCTGATCTCAGCCAGTAGCTGTTCTTTGAGACCTCCCACGAGCTGCTTCATATGATCGAAAAACTTCTCTGAATTGTCCTCAGCGGGCAGAACCTCTCGCGTCTGGCTGATCTCGTTCGTCAATCTGTCCTCGAGGTCTTTGACAAGCTTCTTCATAAGATCAACTTGTTTGGCCGAAGCATCTTCAGCAGGTTCGACGGTGTGCTTCTTGCTGATCTCGTTCATCAATTTTTCCTCAAGATCTTTGACAGGCTTGTTCATACTATCGAAAAGCTTCTCTGAACTGTCCTCAGCAGGCTGAACTTCTCTCGTCTTGCTGATCTCAGCCGTCAAGCACTCTCTAAGATCTTTGGCAAGTACGTTCATATGATCCAACTGCTTGGCGGACCCCTCCTCAATAGAATGATGACAGACCTGAACATTGGTGATCTCGCTCATCTTTCCGCCAAGATCCTTCGCGAGCTCGTTCATGCAATCGAATATCTTCTCAGACTTGTCCTCAGCAGGCTGCACGTCACGAGTCTTGCTAATCTCAGTCAATAGCGTTTCTCTTAGACTCGCGAGCTCGGTCATCAGATCTAGTAATTTCTCAGAACTGTTGTCGGTATGGCTACAGGCTTGTACTTTGTCCGATACTGTCTTTGACGGCGGAGTAATGTCCTGAATCACAATCATCACTGTCTGGATCGATCTGATCATGACATCGGTGACGAGCGCTGAAACTTGTCCTACGACAAGCTTTTTGTACTTTTCGAAACAGCCGAGCACGCTGGATCGATATTGGGGAACTCTATGGAGGAATTTGACAGCTGGGTTTGGTTAGTCAATATCATAAATGAAAAAGTTAACAGCTTGATGCTCACCAGATGTGCTGCCGACTGTGGCCAACTGCATGCCCTCGATTCCGCAACTGTACGCAAGTTGCAAAATCCGACGCACGATAGGTTTGACAAAATACAAACTCTCCGCAGAAAAGACAACCCAGAGCATCATAATCCGCAAATGACGCAAGATAATCACATGGGACGGCACGTTCAAAGCCCGAGCCACGCGGTAGACGGTGCCGGGGGCGTAGTGCGTCCGGCTGTAGGCTTCGTGCAGGAGAACGACGGGGTGGCTGCGAAAGTAGGTCGCTGGCCAAGGGACAAGATAGAGCGCTCTTTCAATGCACAGAAGCGCGGGCTTCCAGTGCTTTGTGAGTTCTGGGAGTAAGAACGCCGCGACGGAGTATAGCATAAACGCGGCAGCAGCACAGGCGACTGAAGCCGCGAGTATAGCTGAACCGGATTTGCGAATGATTCGCCAACGGGTGGGGTGGTTGTCAACCGCAGGATAGCAGAACTTGTATGCTGACTTAAAAGTGCGGCAGACGCCAAACGCGAAAACAAATAGGTAGACTGCAACGATAGCGCAGACGGTCGCAGACCTAAGAAAGAGGGAGCCAGTACTGGCCGGGAACTTATCGAGCAAGTCAAAGACGAGCTCCCAGACTTTGGCACCAATAGGATCTTCAGGCACGGGGCAGTACTGTCTAAAAACGACAAAATGATAGCGGAGCTGGTGCGCTTCTTGCAAGGCGTAGAAAAGAGGAGCCAGCGCGAAGCGGACGAGGGGAGTCGACCAGTTGATAAGCCAGAGAAGCATGTATGCCAAAGGCATCCATACACTCTCGGCAATAAACATCTTGGTAGACAGATCTGAAGGTTGATAAAATCAGGAAAGCTTCGGAAGTAGTGCGATTAGTTATGGGAGTAATAGGAATCAGAAGGAAGTTGGAGGATGATGTAGTTGGGAAAGAAGAGAGAAAGAGAAGCGGGCTGGGGACGCGTTTGAGTTAAAGTTGCGAGTTTCACTTAATATTCCCAAACGGGCTGATCCCTGTTCGCATTCACGCGTGGTTACATACATAAAACTTGATCCTGAAAATTCAACAACTAGACAGTTTAGATCAGTTGCAGATAGCTTACAGATGTATAAAATAAAAAAATCTACATGCAAAAAAAATGCAAAAAGTAATGGGCTCAACCGGGAATTGAACCCGGGACCTCTCGCAAATTATACTTAGGGTGAAGGCCCTAAGCGAGAATTATACCACTAAACCATCGAGCCTCATTAATGATTGGGTTAGGGCCCTCAGTCCAATATAAAGTGCAACATGTATTAGTCACTGCTTAGCTGTAAAGTGCGAAACTGCGTCATACAACGAGTCATCTGACTGCTGCGCCACGAAATAGTGGCGTGTGTATGTGGCGAGTGCTATCCGAGAGCCATCGAGAGAGTTCTTCCTGCGCACCGCAGACAATAAATCGCCTTCGTCATCCTTTCTCTCTTCCTCATCTTTACTCAACCACACCCACAGATAACAACACTCACAATGGCTTCTACCGCCTATCCAACCGCACCTCCTTCTTACGCCACCGTTGCTTCTGAGGAGCCTTTGCTGGACGCACCTCATGGGTCTCAGCCCGCGAGAGGCGACGGCATTGCTGCTGACTCGGACCTGCCCGATGACTTCAAGTACTCGACCTCTGTCTCGCAGTGCTCGATCTCCGTGCGCCATGCGTTTGTGCGCAAGGTGTACACTATTTTGACCGCGCAGCTGCTGATGACTGGTGGTCTGTCGTCGCTGTTTATCCTGAACCGGCCGATCCGATACTGGGTGCAGAGTCACCCGTCGATGATGTGGATCTCGCTCTTTGGGTCGATTGCGTTTTTGTTTTTGACGTACTGGAAACGTCGATCATATCCTACCAATATGTTTTTCCTGACCGGATTCACTTTGCTTGAGGGATACTCTGTCGCAACCATCACGACGTTCTACAACACCAAGATCGTTGCCGAAGCGCTGCTGATTACGCTCATCGTGTTTGTCGGCCTGACAGCGTTTGCGATGCAGACCAAGTACGACTTCATGGGCTGGATCCCGTACCTCGGATGCGCGATCTGGGTCTTGATCGGCTTTGGACTCATCTCAGCTTTCTTCCCGTACTCGTCCTTTGGCGAGATGCTGTACGGCGGCCTTGGCGCGCTTATTTTCTCGGGCTATGTGCTTGTTGACACGCAGTTGATCATGAAGCACTACCATCCTGAAGAGGAGATCGCTGCGAGCATCAGCTTGTATCTTGATTTCATCAACCTTTTCCTGAGCATTCTCCGGATTCTGAACAGCAGCCAGAACAACAACTAGGCAGTCAACAAGATCGGTGAATATATACATTTTAACATGATGGATTGGGTTCCTTGGTGTTTTCAACATAATATTTGATACGATTGGGATTTTCTTTTTTATTTCTATTCTTTCTTTCTTTTCTGATTTCTTTTGTATGTTTTCAGAGTCATTGGTTTGTGGTTTGTTTTAGTTTTAGTTATTGTGAACTGGAGTTCAATGAAATTGTTTTTTGTTTCACACAGTGTTGCTCTCTGTAGACTTATTTTCCAGTCTTCTCTACGCGTCTACTTCATTATGCGGACGACAAACGCGCTAATGTCTCGACGCGATCGGGAATAGGCAAGAATAATTTATGATGGAAGGGATAATAGGGGTAGTCAATTTCTGTTCACCACTTACATATACGGGCGACGACAAAGACAAACAAAACAAGAAAAGGAGAAACGAAAAGCCGAGATCATGAACTCCGAATAAAAAAGTGAGAAAAAAGGGAGAAAAGGGATAACAGGGAAAAGAGGAGTAGACATGTAACTCGGAAGATATCATAAAACAGAGCAAAACAAACACCGGGACCCAATGGTACAGAGTCTTTCAACAATGAAAAAGACGTAGAAAACAAAACATGAGCAATGCAGATGCATTTGTAGAGTAGACTGCTATACAGACTGCGACTGGGGAGCGCAGACCTTTTCGAGGTAGATCTTGTCGATGGACTCGCGCAGCTTTCTTCGTGAGAGGCACTTGCGGACCTCGTTTCTCCAGCACCAGGAGGACTCTCTGTTTTCGTCGTCCATGACGTCGATAGAGCGTAGGAGGAGATCAGAGACGACTTGGAGATCTGCAGAGTTCTCTATGTGGTGCGAGGGTTTTGCGGAGGCGTAGGAGGGAGGGTGGTGGTGGTGGTTGTGGGAGTGAGAAGTTGATTTGGAGCGGATGACGGCATGGCGGCGCTGCTGGGAGAGGGGGTTTGTGAGGTCCGAGTCTGCGTCGAGGATGGAGTCGTCGTCGAGGTCGCGCGAGGGCTTTGCGCGGGAGGAGGAGAGGTGGCGGAGGGAGGTGGTGGAGGGAGAGCGCTGGTGATTGGGGGAGCCTGTCTCTGAGGAGGACGAGTCGTCGATTCCGAGGTAGAAGAGCGGGCGGTTGGTCTTGCAGAGGGACATGGTGGAGGTGATGCAGAGGAGAGCAGTGCAGGATGAGGAAGAAGAAGAAGAAGAAAGAAGAAGAAGAAGACAATGGGGCGGAGGAGGTTAAAGAAGAGGAAGAGGCAGAGGTGTTTATTATCCTTCGGTGGAAGTGTTCCCCGGACGACAGACAAGACGAATCCGACGTCATTGCGCCAAAACTTAATTTAATTGAAGGATTCGCCGGCGCGGGGCCGAATCTCTTCCGGCGGCTAATTAAGCGCCGCGCGTGGCCACCAGCGCTGCTTTGCTGCTGTTTGTCTTGTAGATGGAAGTGGTTTATGTAAATGGTTATGGAGGTGTTGTTGTTGTTTAATGGTAGCAATCTGTGCTGTCCTGAGTTGTCTTCTTCCGCGGTTGTGAAGCAGGAGCGAGGGAGGCGATAGGGGCGTGTGGGGTACTCAAAGAGAGTTGCGGTCGGCTAAAACCCTGAGCGTAGTCCAATTAACGTGCCGGCCCTCGGCCCGCCCGCCCGTTGTCTGTCTGCTACTGCTTCTTCTTACAATACGCTCATCTTGTAGACAATAGACAACAATAATCGCTCTGAAGCTCAATAGTAGAGGAGTAGTTCGAGTAGTGTATCTTGAACAGATGTCGCCGTGCAGAGGCTGCAGATCAAGACTACCTGATCACACTCCGGAGCGAACCCCGAAGTGGCAAAGAGATACACCTCTTTTCGGCCTTCGGTCCAGTGCTCGGAGCTCTCTCTTCTATCAATATTCGTCCTCATTCGGCAGTTACTCCAGTCTGCTCAGATTACTGCACTTATCGTCAGCTGAATGTCATCGATTGTTACAGACGGCGTCATATGATTCGGGTTGAAACATATCGTGCCGTGAAATCTCGCTCAAGGCTCACAACTTCTGCTCCTCAACCTCGGCTCTGCTTCTCCTTCCTTGTCTTTCTCATATATCTAGTAATCTTCGGATCATGAAATACTGCTCGGAATTGAGAACCAGACGAACCCCGAACTGGTCAAATCATATGCGCCTCCGTCTGGCCGGCAAGTGCCCTGCCCTTCAGGCTGACTTACCGATTCACATGATTCACATCACCTCCCGTCGGATGCTGTCAAATTCAAGTCACGTGTGATCCTCTCTGCTCGGCTCTGCTTACTGTTGCCTTACTAACTGTTCGTCTTACACAACCCAAGTGGTGCGCGAAACTATTATGAACGACGTTGGCGATGTAAATCATTCAACACTGGCCAGTTCAAGTCATTCACTGCAATCTCTACATCGGCTAGAGATTAACACTGCACCAGATGGTTCGTTTATCCATTATGGCCAGGCTATGCACGCGCAGTGGTTTCACTAAGAACCCAATAAAACATAGAATATTGAACATAGACCTGGACTACACTCGATTAGAAAATTACATCTTACAAAAGACATAACCAGTTGGAGGTAATAGATCAGCAGGAATTAACTAGAAGCTTGATAGACCAAATTTAACATTACATAACTGCTACAAACAAAAATAAACGCAATAAATACAAACAAGGCAAATCAGACAAGCCTGAACTAGACCTGTGAACATCCATTCTATCTCACAAGTCCCCCCGCCTTTTTCTCATATTCGGCTTTCCATTCTTTTATCATTTTCACAACTTTCATCCTCTAAAAGCGTCCACGTCCACCGCCGCGGCCACCGAAGCTGCTACCGCCGCGGCCGCCAAAGCTGCTACCGCCTCTGCTTCCACCGCGACCGCCAAAGCTGCTTCCGCCGCGACCACCGCCACGGCCACCAAAGCTGCTGCCACCACGGCCACCGCCGCGTCCACCAAAGCTGCTTCCTCCCCGGCCGCCGCCACGGCCGCCGAAGCTGCTTCCTCCACGTCCGCCACGACCTCCGCGAGCTCCTCCGCGACCGCCAGCACCGCCCGATCGCTTGGGGGGCTTAGATCCAGGTGGGGGCTTGGGCTTGGGCAGGAATCTGTATCAAACACTTGTTAGCTTCTGCTCTTCTTTTACAACCTAAAGCCTGCCATGGAAGCAGCAACACAACATACCGATCTAAGGGCAGAAGTTTATCAGGTCCAATGTAAAACTTGTCTCCAAGCTTGAACGACGTCGCAACGATTCCGTCCTGAGGTTTGATGGTGAAGTAAACCTCGTTGATAGGGCCGAGAATCTCGTCGACCTTGCCTATTGTCGTCTTGTTCTCCAGGTATATCGGCGCGTTGAAATATGGGATCTTCGTATTTATTGACTGGCAGACAATCTCGCCTTCGCAAGCCTTCAGAAACGTTCCCATCTCTGCAATAGCGTCTTCTAGTTAGATTTCACTTCTCTCAATTTCGTGCAGAGCACTCTCTATTCTTTCGCGCCAGAAACCAAACGAAAAGCACTCACCCAAAACAGTGTCAGGAGGTCCCATGTTCATAGCAGGTCCAGTACGACCACCTACCACAAATATCAGTCAGCAACAGTTCAAACATCTCCAAATCACTTGAGCTATTAAAAAACAAATAGAACAATACCTCTGAATCCTCCGCTGCTGCCTCCACGGCCGCCGCCAAATCCTCCTCTTCCTCTACTCATCGTATGTATCTTTTAAGGAAACGGAGAAAAAAGGATGTAAAGAGACTATAAGCACAATGTCAATCTAAAGAGTCCGTCACGCAGAATCGTTCAGTCTCTAGCAATCTCTCACTTTTTCTTTCCTTTGGCCTCTTGCAATATTGGGAAAGAGGGACCAAAAAGAGAGTGAAAAAATTAGTTTTTGGTGATCCAATTCTGAAAGTTTTTCTTTTTTTTTTTTTTTGGGACTTTTCTTGCTCGCTGCGTTTAAGTTTTTCTGCTTCTCTTTTGGGAATACACCTAACCCCCAATATTTTCTTCATTCGTCCAAACACGCTTCCTCGAATTCATAGAATAAACAGCTCCCTGAATTCAGGTACCGTTTGCAATCAAGCGAGCCTCTGAAGAGCAGTTACCGGACTTGTTTCTTTTGAGGTGTGATAAGGGATTGCCGGCTACTGGTACCAGTAGACAATCAAGACCTGAGAACAATGGAATCATGGGCTGCGCTGCCGTCCGTGGCAGAGATCTATCAGTCGCCTGTCTACAACCTCGCGAAAGCGAACTGGCTGGTTTCAGATAAGAAGGTCAAATTCAAAGAGAGTGCTATTGCCGATCTGATAGCTCTTGTCAAAGACTCTACCGATGCGGAGCGAGAGCTGTCTGTTTTGAGTTATCTGTTTACGCTAGAGAAGTACGTGTTTTCTGTTTTATTTTGATCTCGTCGCTGCTGTTGTTGGAAGATCGTTGCTGACATTGGACGTTGTATAGGTTTTTGTGGCCGAACTGGTCTGGCAAGTCGTCGGATGATCATGCTATTTTAATTGCGATGGTGTCTGCTACCAAGAAGCGCGAAGGCAGTCTTGATTGGGGTATGATCTCAGATTTCTTACTGGCTTTGTCTCGATAGCGATTGATATAACTCTTGCTAATCGGTTTTTATATACAGAACTGTTCTTCAGCAAATCCGACGAGGACTTCCCAGCCTTGGTCGAACGCATACTAGCACTTTCGTCGACAGCAGGCCTCCCACTTCTCATCAAGAACTACCTCATCTCATTCATGGACGCCGCGTTTGCATCGCTCGAAATCCCCTTTGTCAGGCAGCAATTTGCACCGCTTGTTTCAACCTCGATCTGGAACTCCTTAAGCTCAGCTAGCTTTCGCGACTCCATCTTCGCAACCACTCCCAGTCTAAAGAAATCTTGGCGAAGTGCAGGAAAGCGCTTCGACGCGGCCGATGATCACAAGAAGACTAGAATGCGTCTAGAACGTGGATGGCTGTTCACCGTTTGTCTTGATTTGCTGACACAGGTGCATTCCAAGGACGCCGAAAAGGATATGCAGCTGGTAAAATATTCTGAGCGCGTGCTCGAGCTGCTGATCGATATTCTCTCGCAACTTCCGACGCGCAAGTTCACAAACACGATGCTCAAAGATATGAATTTTGCCGTCGTTTTCAAATTGAGTCCGCTCTATACGACCGAGAAGAACTGGCTGGCGAGACAGCTGCTCGAAAGACTCGAATACTATATTCATTTTCCCGTCGACGACTTTTCCGGCGCCGAGGTTTCCGATGAGCAAATCAAAGCATCGCGTTCTAAGGACGTGCTGAAACTACAAAAAATTGCTTTGGATCACTTCAAAGACAAGCTATTAGTTCTCGCGCTGTCAAACTACGGATCCGTCAGCACGCGTTCATCTCTGCTCGAGAGTCTTGACGCACTCGATGATACGGAGCTCAAGCAGCTTTGCGGATATGTCGGCATCTCAACCGCGTATCCCCCGGCTGCCAATATTCCCGCTAATCGGCAACTATACCTCGAACTGCTTCTCGATCGCTTCGTGAGACGGCCTCAGCTTCAAGAACTAAACGACTCCCTTGAGCTGCTGCCTACCGAAAAGAGTCTGAGTAATCCTATCTTGAAGCAAGCTGGAGCTTATACGGGACGCTCCCCGCTGCCTATCCCGCGCCTCAATCTCCAGTTTCTCACGCTATCTGACTTTCTGCGTCGAACATTCGAGCTTTCGCGACTCGAGTCGTTTTACGATGTAAAGACAGATATTGAAGCAATCATGAACCGACTGAAACTCTCGCCGGGCGGAGGAATGCTCAAAGTGAACGGAACGAGTCGGATGGCCCACCGCATCTCGAGGCCCTCGATTCTAACTGTCGCTGACCCGTTAGTTGGCGAGACGCAACCGGCTTTCGTGCGTGCCGAACTGTATCTCGAGTTTGACCGCGCAACAGACGAGGTCTTGAAAGAGTGGGATATGCTCAAGCCTGGCGATGTTGTGTTTCTGGCATGCGTTGCGGCGCCGCCGAACGCGGCGGTAAAGTCTGTTGATGATCTGACAAAGATCGGAGTCAAGTGCGTTCGTTCTGCCGAAGTAGTCGATATCTTGGACCAAAACAATCAGTCGCTGCGCTCCGCTTCGGCGGGAGGTGCGAATGACGAGTTCAAGACTGGTAAGCCAGCCAACGGAAGGTACAGCAGACAAGATCGGAAACCACTATTCGGTAAGCTCGCTCGTCGGCGGCGGATCCATGTCAACCTCGACGCGGCATCATACGCTACCGATGACGACAAAGTCTACGCGAGCATTAACTACGTTTTCCGACGGCGGCCGCGCGAGAACAACTTCAAGCCTGTTCTTGAGAACGTTAAAACTCTTGCGACGTCAAGCGAGCTGTCGCTGCCTGAGTGGCTTGTGGATGTCTTTATGGGATTCGGAGATCCGATGGCGGCTTCATACGAGACCCTTGTCGGTAACGATAAGAGCGTGAACATGAACGACACGTTTGTCGACTGGGCGCATCTAAAGGAGAGCTTTGATGAGCCTGTAGTGTTGGCGGAGGGAATGGGGTCGTTCGAAGGTGCTCTTCCTCCTTATGAGATCAAGCGGACTACGCGGACGGTTGAGCAGCAGTCTAATCCAGAGCCGCCGGCGAAAAAGAGCAAGGGCCGCAAAAGCAAGAAGACTGAGGAGAGCGATCCAGCTGAGACTACTACGGCGGACGAATTCGTCGTCGAGGTTTCAACCTACCGCTTGCCAAACATGGGCCCTTACGCAGTCGACACGCGGAAGCGCAACACGATTCCCTATACACGCGCACAGGTGCAAGCTATCTACTCCGGCACCCTTCCCGGTCTGACGCTGATCGTCGGTCCTCCTGGAACCGGCAAGACTGATGTTGCGACGCAGATAATCAGTAACATTTACCACAATAATCCAGACGAGAGGATTCTAGTGGTTGCCCATAGCAATCAAGCGCTCAATCACTTGTTTGAAAAGATCGCAGCGCTTGATATTGACGAGCGGCATTTGCTGCGCCTCGGACGCGGAGAAGAGGATCTGAAGACGGACGAGTCTTACTCTCGCCTAGGTCGCGTCGAAAGCTTACTCGCTCGTCGTAGCGTTTTATTGGCTGAAGTCAAGAAGCTGGCAGACTCGGTCGGAGCACAAGGGTCACCTGAGGAGTCATGCGAGAAAGCGGGTTACTTTTACAAAGTCTTTGTCTCCGCCGTGTGGCAGAAATTTAAGGCCAAGGAGTACGAGGACGTCAAGTCTCTGGCCGAGAGTTTCCCGTTCTCAGCATATTTCGCTGACGCTCCGCAGCCGCTGTTCAACACCGACACGCACAGTCTGGAAGAAGCGGCTGAGATTGCGGATGGATGTTTTAGACACCTGCAGAAGATCTTCAACGAGATTGAGGATGTGAGGCCTTTCGAGCTGCTGAAGAGCGGTAAAGCTAGAGCAAATTATTTGTTGGCTAAGAAGGCGAGAATCGTGGCATTGACGGCAACGCATGCGGCTATGCAGGTATGTTTATTATCTATCTTATCTTAAGGAAAATAACTAACGATGACTTATTTTACAGCGAAACGAAATGGTCGCTCTCGGTTTCCACTATGAAAACGTGGTAGTCGAAGAAGCAGCACAATTGACCGAGCTGGAGAGTTTCATTCCGCTGACCCTCCAGTCGTCATCCGACAGGCTAAAGCGGATTGTTCTCGTAGGTGATCACCACCAGAACGCACCAATAATCAAGAACACGGCGTTCAAAAGTTACGCAAACATGGAGCAGAGTCTGTTTTCCCGTCTGTTGAGACTAGGTGTACCCCGCGTTTCGCTGGACGCACAGGGCCGTGCGCGGCCTTCGCTGGCAGAACTCTATGCTTGGCGCTACGAAGGCGGGTTGCGGAATCTTCCCCGATGCGTGGAAGACGAGGCGTACAAGACTGCGAACGCCGGATTTCTGCGCGAGTTTCAGTTTATTAATGTCGAGGACTACCATGGCCAGGGCGAGAGCGAGCCGAGCCCTAACTTTTACCAGAATCTGGGCGAGGCGGAGTATTCTGTCGCAATTTACATGTATATGCGGCTACTTGGATATTCTGGCTCGCAGATCAGTATTCTGACGCCATATGCCGGCCAGAAGGTCTTGATTGAGAACGTCCTCGCCGAGCGGTGTGAGAAGAACCCGATCTTTGGGCTGCCGGCAGCGGTGGCTACGGTCGACCAGTATCAGGGCGAGCAAAACGACTATGTGATTTTGTCTCTCGTGCGCACAAAGAGTGTCGGCTATCTACGGGACGTGCGTCGGATGACGGTAGCATTGTCGCGCGCCAGACTGGGCTTATACGTGTTCGGACGACGGGAGGTGCTCGAGTCGAGTTTCGAAGTGAAGCAGTTTGTGGATAAGCTAGATGTCAATCGGACGGAGAACGATCGTCTTGTGCTCGCGCTGGGTGAAATGTATCCCTCGTTGCGGGCGGTAGGGGAGATTGAAGAGGGAAAGCAGGCTGTTATGGAAGGCGTCGAGCACCTTGGTCAGTTTGTGTATGAGATGACGAAGCGCAAGATGGAGAAGATGAAGGAGGAAGGATTGCTTGCTGCGGCGGCTGAAGAAAAGGCCGAGGAGGCGGTTGGTGTGTCGGATGAGGAGATGGCGGATGACGACGACGACGAGGATGAGGATGAGGACGAGGACGAGGACGAGGATGAGGAAGATGGAAAAGATGACGACGCGATGGAGGTCGATGAGTAGTTGCTGTCGTGTGTACACTAGTAGTATATTACCAACATTTCAAGCTTCATTCTCCACTAATTTCATACCAGCTTCCACTTGGGTGATTGCTATAATGAGTAATTCTGCAAAGAGTAATCACAACCAGGCGGGACTGATGAATAGAGTTTTAGGTTCTTAGTCACCTACCCGCTCGCGATGAGCAATAGAAAAAAGCAAAAAACGCGGTGGTTTCTTGGGACTTTGTCAATGACGCATTTCTGCGAAACTCCGCGGAGTTCTGCGCTCTCAAAAGCATCCTCCGCCGTCTGGTCGTCCTTTTCTTCTGTTTTGTTGTTGTATTCTCGTCGCAGGACTCCTCCGCGGTCTTTTTTCTTTTCTTACCTTCTTTTTTCGTTCTTTCCTTCTTTTTTCGGTATCTGTCTTTCGCTCGTGTAGTAAATGTCCTTCAAAGTTCCGACGCGTCCTGCCAGTGCGTCTGGCGCCGCGACTGCCGCGGACGACTCCTCGGCCAGCACCCGCGCTGTACGTCCTCTCGCTCCTTTGACCCTGCCATTCCCTCGTCTCCCTATCCTCTAACAATTGGAATTGCTATTTTAGTGCGACTCCTGCCGATCTCGCAAAATCAAATGCGACCGCAAAGAACCCTGTCTGCAGTGCACGCTGCGCGATGTAATCTGCGTCTACTCTGCGCGCAAGAAGAGGAAACGTCGGATGCCTTCTTTTTCTGTTACATCCCTTCAGCACGCCGACATTGACTCTCAGCCTCCAGACCTCTCTGAGTCACTGTCTTCGCGATCGTCGCTGTCGCTTAGGTCGCTGGCCGAGTTCTCGAATGACGATTTCGAGCAGCTCAGGTTCGATCCCCAGCTCGAGCATGACCTACCGCAGTCTTGGCCTTCGTCGTCCTCTTTGGTGCCGGCAGAGCATATGTATCTGGATGGCGGAAAGCGACGAAGCAGCCTGTCGAAGCCAGATCAAACGTCCGTACAGCAGCAGCAGCAGCAGCAGGAACAGGCTCCAGATGTGCCAAGCTCTCAGAGCGCTTTGCGTCTGACTAAGATTGAATATCATCTAGAAAAACTAACCGAGCTGCTCGAGCAGCAGCAACGTGAGCAGCTCCGCGCGTCAGCCGCGTCTTCATCATCATTGCCTCCTAGAGACGCCGCTGCGATAACTCTAACGTCGAGTGATCCCCAGGCGACGTCTGCATATACCACCGCCGCAGCTCCGGATACGATCCGCTCAGACCTAGTCACAAAAGTGAACGCCCAACTACGAGATTTGGGCGCGACATCGTCCATGCTTATCGGCATGCGGCAGACTGAAAAGCCCTCGCCGGAGATGTACGAGGCGCTCGATAACGACCGCTCACTGATGTGCTGGTCGAGCGCGCTCGCTGACCAGGCGTCCTCGATTGGACTCTCGGAGGAGGTCGCGGACTCTCTCGCTATTGACTCGCATCGGCCTTGGTTACCGGATAAGGAATCGGGTATCGAATTGCTTGACTGTATGTGTTCTTCTTTGTCTGTTTTTATGCAGATGTTTTCTGTATTACTGTATGTGGTTTTAAACGGTTTTTGTCATTTAGGTTTCCTAGCAAACACTGTCCATGCCCACCCCATGATCAGTCTCCCGCTCGCTCAGTCGATCCGCGACTCGATCTACACCCCCGAGTTTAACAACGACAAATTTTTCATCCAAAAGCTGGCTTGCGCCTCATATATGATGATCCAGGCGTTGAACCATACAAACCTGCCGCAGTGTGTGAAGATCCAGGATGGTACTCCGATCGAGAACGTTCTTTACCGGAATATGTTTATGGTCTTGCGTGATGTGCGAGTGCTGTTTGTGCCATCGTTGATCAACATTCAAGCACTTTTCTTGGCATCGATTTCAGCAAAGCAAATCTATAATCCCGGCCTCTGCTGGGTCATCATCTCCCATGCCGCTCGGCACTGTCTTGATCTCGGTCTTCATCGCGCGGGATCACTCGCAACAGCACCGTCTACCGCTGACGCCGACACGACCAGTGGAATTGACGCTGGAATGGTCTACACAGAGTCTATGAACCCAAAGTCCGAGCGGTCGCGCCTGTTTTGGTCGTGCTTTGCTGTCGACAAGGTCATGTCGCTCACGTTCGGTAGATCGCCTAATTTCCAGACGAGGGACTGCACGCTGCCAGTGCCGCCAGAGAAACCGTTCATTGCCTCGGAGTTGACGTCGCTCGGGTACAGCAAGTACCGACAATCAGTCGAGATCGCGTTCATGTACGATGCGATCTACACCCGTTTGTACTCTGCGGCCGCAGAGGCCGAGCTTGCCGCTCTGGGACCGGAAGGGTCTCCTGCGCGCACGCGGCGGCGAGGTGAGGTCGTTTCGAGGTTACACTCTGATGCAGATCAACTGCTGAACAATAACATGGTTTGGATAAACACCGTGCGGGACTCGGGATACCCCGGGTGCGAGCAGTTGGCAGACAGCTTGACTACGGAGATCAACTACGCTCACCGCGTCTGCCTGACGATGATTCACAGAGTGCAGTCGTCCTCGTGCGCCGAGTCGCGTGAGATTTACGTGCGTGTGTCGAGAGACGCACTCCAGCTTTTCAAAAAGATTCTGGAAGATCTTCCGAACGATCGCCAGAAGCAGGCCGCGACGTCCTGGGCGCTTGTGTTCCAGCCCTTTGCGCCCTTCTTTGGAGTCTTCAACGCCATTGCCGACAACGGATCCGGCGTCGACAAGGACGACGCTGATTTAGAAACGCTGTTGCACATCACGACCGAGCTTGAGAAACTTAACAAGCAGGCTAGTACGGGTGTCGTGCGCAGACTTTTGGGTCTCGCGAACGAGTTCACGGAGGTGGCTACGGAGATTATCAGTCGGAGAAAGTGGCATCTTGATCAGCTCAAGATGGCTGACAATGTTGATATCGGTGACATGGCTGGAAACGGCATCTACATCGACGAGCATAAGCGGGAAGGTTCAGCCTCGTCCACGGATACGCAGGTAGACGACCCGCCACTGACGACAGCAACGGCTTCAGCTCTGGCGGGCATGTTTTCCCTGAACTCGTCCGAAGAAGCGGCGCGCAAAGACGAGACCGAGATATGCCGCGAGTCGTACTCCGAAGCAGCGAGGCAACCCACGCTTCCGTCGTGGCTTGAATTCTTGTCGGACGAGAACGTGACAAACGAGGATCTGGCGTGGCTGGATGAGCAATTCGATAGCGCTCGTGCGGCCACAGGCGGAAACGTTAGCTTTGGTAGCGATCGGCCGGTGGCTAGCGCGACTGAGAGCTTGCCGTTGAATCTCGTGGATGTGAATAGCTCTCTAGATTCTGCAGATGCTGAGAGAGTTCATGAGTTTTTGCGGAGTCTTTCCAGTGTCTAACCGGAATACTATATGGGTTTGAGGTGGAGGTCCGGGACGGAAGAAAGAGGGATAGATAGCAAGATGTGCTGGGGTGTTTTGGTTTTTCATTTTGCGTTTATACGAGTGATATACAGGCGCAAGAATTGGTCGGTGTGCCTTCTCTATGAAAAGAAGAAAAAACGGGAAAGCAAAAGTCATTGTTGGTAATCAGTCAGGGACTGTGGTCATTTTGTTTTTCATTTGTGTTTGTTTCTTGTTTTTGCTTTGTGTGAGTGACTGGTAATAAGTTCTCTTGGTTATGTTTTGTTCGTTATAGTTCAGTAGATGTAATGTATGCTGATTTTCTATTATCAAACTTTTAAATTCTTGATTGACCCATGCAATTTTCTTCCCGCACAAGAGCATCAACCAATACCTATCATACAACCTCAACTTCCTCCCGCTTCCTCAACAAAGTTCTTAATAGAGCACAACTTTAGCTCCCGGAGCCCCCACCAGCAACCGCTTAACAGTCTTGAGCGTCTCCGGCACGTCATCGAGCACGCTCCGCGCTTTCGAATCCAAAAAGGTAGAGTCGACAACGACGAGCTCGAGGTTTTCGAGCGAAAGCGCGGTCTTGGTGTTTGTCTCGGGGTTTTCGTAGTCGAGCATTAGTCTGAGTCGCTCGGAAGTGCTGAGAGCGATTGAGATGCTGGATGGCGAGAGTGAGTTAGTTGATGTATGAGTGTGGAGAGCGAGTAGAAATAGTACTTACGTTGAGTTTGCGAGATATTTTGAGTCAGAGGCTATACTGTTTTTCGAGATCAGCTTTGCTGATTTCATTGGTTTTGGAAGAGCTCTGGAAGCAGTTAGCAAAAAAGATCTCAATTCCTCCTAAAGTCTTCAGAGTATAAAACGTTGACGCACCTTCGAACTTCGCAGACACGAATCCCAGAGATCGAGATGATGATCACGTAGGGAGCACCTTTTTCGCTCGGTAGCTCATTTAGCTTTCTCGGTTTTGCGACTACAGAGCGTTCATTAGCCCTCTATCCCTCTTTCAATAGCAAATCATATGAAGATATCATACCTTGTGTGAGAAACTTCTCAAAGTTCTTGTCATCTCTCGGCAACTTCCAGCCCGTCATATCCATGATCTGATCCTGCTTGACGACGCACAAATCATCGAGTTCCACAGTGGAGAGTTTGGGAAAAAACAGGCGCGCTTTTTTAGCAAAGTAGTCTGCGATTATACTCGAATCGACGCCCGCAATCGTCGTCTTGACTGTCACTTCTGTTTCCATTCTTTGACGTTTCTAGATTGTTTGCGTTAGCTTCGTTCTGCCTCTTCTCTCCGGAGAAGACGTAACAACACATACCTTTTGCTTGATCCTTTCCTTCATCTTTTTCCGCTTCTCAGCCTTCTTTGCCGCTGCCAATGCACTAGTTTCAGTAGCAACAACAGTCGCAGTGCCCGTCGCTTCTTTCACTGCATCGTCCTTCACTTCATCCTCCTCGCCGCCAGACACCACGACTCCACCGTCATCCTCGTCGCTCGCAAATGTAGCATCGTCCACCTCGTAAAGCAGTCCGTCGTCCAGATCATCGCCGCCGCCGACCGCGGCAGTCGCTACCTTCTTTTGTACTTTTGATTTCTTCGCGCTCATATTTCGTGCCGTAGCTACCGCAGACGATGAATCTCTCTCTTAGTTATGATTGCCTCACCAAACAAAACCTTCTCAGATCCTCTTTGATTTCAGATACAACTTTAGACTTCTCTCTATGTCGTAAACCCTTCTCAAAGACCAAAAACACGTAAGAAAAAATCGAAAATAATTCGAAAATCTCTAGAGGAACCAGAACTCCCAACTAGAGCTCTATTTTTTTCTTTCTGTTTTTTTAAACCAAAATTCGCGTGGCACGAGATAAAATTTAGAGGTTGTGGGTTAGGTGGTTAGGTAAGCGGTCTTCGGTGCCTGAGAGCAAAACACGCGTGCAGCGGCGCGTTTGTTTACTTTGCTGTTGCGGAGCTCTTCGATATCTGTTTCTGCCGTCACGCTGGTTACTTTATTACTGAGTAACTATAGCCAGAGGTGCATATTGTGTTAGATTCAATTACAAGTAAGACTGGTTTAGTAACAAAGACTCCTGGATGAGCGGGATATATGCTAACATCGCTCATCAAAAGTGGACGCTCGCTCAGCTGCCACGACAACTCCGCTACGCAGCACGCCCAAGACTACCTCGGTAGCAACCGGAGGAGGAGGAACGTCAGCATACCGTGCTATTTCCGCGCACCGCACGCCGATCTCGCGCACACCGTACTCGCGAACAGCTAATCGACGATACAATGTGCTGACGCCAGGCCGTGATCACCGGCGGCGTAGCGGCGTCGGCGTAGGAGGCGTGTCTACGCCTGGAGGTGGGATGGCGGGACGGAAGCGGACGCCGCGCGCTGATTTGCGGTTACTTAGTCGGATGCTGAAGAGGCCGTCGCCTGTCATTCAGCCGGGTCCTGTGTTTGGACGAGGGAAGGCGCCGAGACGGTCATCGTCGCAAACTAGTGTATCGTCGCGGTCGTCGCTTGTCGGTAGCAGCGTAAAATCAACGCTGAAAGACGAAGATGATGACGACGACGCACTTGAAGCGCCACGGCCTGCGCGGCAGCGAAGCTCGTTGTTGTCAACGCGGGACGATGATATTGAAGACGAGCAGATGATTCGCAATCCGCCGCGACTCTCGACCAGCGGCGTGGACGGTGGCGACGAAGATGAGGCGATGGATGTGACGTCGATGTCGATTGAATACCCACGGCGACTGACGATGGATGCGCGTTTGAGCATGGATCAAAGCAGGCTGAGTTTTTCTGCCGAGGACGATGAAGTGGTTGAGACGGTGGGCAGAAGGAGAGAAGAGAGTACGACGTTTGTCATTCAGCCTTTTGAAGACGCCCCTTTGGATATGAGTTCCATGATGTATGTTTTGCTTCTATGGCCGCTTGGTGTTTGATCTACAGTTTACTCACAGTTTCTATATAGCGAGGACGATCTCGATTTGCAACATGATAATGGCAACGCATGGCAGTACGATGAATCAGAAAAGACCGAAGACGTGACAGAAGAACTCCGCCGTGCCCATTTACAGACCGAATTTGAGCAAAAGGCGCGGTTCAAGTCAATGTCAGGAAGCTTCCAGCCTCAAGATAGTTTCACAGAACAAGAAAGCCGACCAAAAGCTGGCATAGCACGGAAACCAAAGGCAACTTCCGGACCCGGATCAAAGTCGAGCGAGATGCTTCCCCGCAGACTGGTGAAAGATCTGGCGAAAAGCCTGTCCTCGCTGCCGACATCGGTCGATGGCATGAATGCCATAATGGCGGCGTCGGAGGTGTATTTCAAACAGGTTTCAGAGGATTTGACTGCGTATGCTCAGCATGCTTCTAGGAAGACTATTGATGAGGCCGATGTTGTGTTGCTACTGAAGAGGTAAGTCTGACGTACTTGGCAACTGCGCTGTATGATATCGGTGGCTGACTTTTACTTATAATGCAGACAACGTCTATTAAATTCAAAAGCGACGGTATACGGACTAGCCCACAAATATCTACCAAACGAGCTTGTCAGTGAAATCCGGATTCCAGGCCCTTACAGTCAGAAAGCATCAAAAGAACGAGAGAAAGCGCAGAAAGCACAGCAGAGAAAGGACGAACGCAAGCAAAAAATCAAGCTGGACAAATCAGGCAAATTAGTCCGCGCGAATGATGACAGCGATAACGAATAGGTTTGCAGTTCTATTTTATGTTCAGCTCTAGTCTGCTCGCCGATTAATATGACATCATGAGAAGGTGGGCTTACGTCTGATTGTCGAGCGGATGTGTTGGTGGCGGTGTTTCCATATTTTGATATGAATAGTTTGTACTAGCGTGTTCTTTATGGGCGCGCATCATGGCGATCGGTGTTGTCATTTGTTATTGTTTATTGTATCTGTATGATAATGATGAGGATGCCTGTATTAGTAGTTTTTGATTACGAAAAAGTGGATCTTCGTTGTTCAACAAGACGTAATGACAAGAACTCAGACCCATGTAATCTGCTATATGGCAATCCCGAAAATAAATGAGCTAATAATAATCTATTGGCGGCCATAAGCAAACCGAGTGTATGGGCAGCGTAAAGACATCAGTCATGATGAGAGTATGGGTATCTCGGAAGACCACAGCAGACTATCTGTAGCCAACGCACTTATTTTCAGATGCGGCGTGGAGATAAAGTATCGTCTCAGTTTTGGGCGCAAGACCAATGTCGACGATGTCTACAGGGTTATGCTGTGTCGAGTATCTTGGCCTGCTTGTTTTGAGCTTTTGTGGAAAGATCCGAGAATCCGCTGGAGCATTCGCGACGATATCTGGCGTTGGAGTGCGCGGGGAGGAGAGAATGACGCACGAGCCGAGGAGGGCCTGAACACCGAGAGAACGACAGGTTGGCGAGCGCGGACGCGATGTCGAAGTACTCCCGTCCGGTACGGTGTACCAGTTACAAAGACTACGGTGAGGGGCCGGAAACTAGCATGATGATGTAAAAATAAAGAGGGGAACGGCGTCATAGATCGTCGTCGATAGAGCGAACAGCGTAGAAAGGTCCCGGCTGCCGTCGGCAGTGGCCGTGGCGGTGGCAGTGGTAGAGATCGGGCTCTATTCTTAGGCTCAGTGGGCTACTATAAATTGTCATCTGTCCTAAGTGTGTTTAATAAACGCTAGATTGAATGAAGTCTGATACACGCCACCCGAGCGATACGAGAAGCGGGTCGAAAATAGAAGGGAGATGGAGTCAAGAGTACGATGAGGCAAGAGCATGAGGAGGTCGTAGCAGATTATTTTTGGCCCCATGGCTCGACAATCGTCGCGACCAAAGCCAGGGAGTTGAAAACTCTAGTTCCGAGGCTTGAATGAAGTCACTTAAGCGCAGAGAAAGTGGGATTTCCGGTTGAAAATAGTAGCAGGCTATGAACTAAACTACGTCATTACACGATGACGATAGGCGCAAGCAGCTGAAGGCTGTGCTTTTCTTTCTTCTGGAGCTTGGGGCAAGTAGTCCAGACGACAATGAAACAAGGTAGTCTTTTTATAGATATTTAGAGATAAGGTGACTGACTGGAATAGCAACTACGGAGAAGCAGCCAAAGTCGTGTTGGAACAGAGAAGAGAAGAGGACTGTAGTTCGAGGATGATGTGAAGATTAGGGACAGAGCCAACTATCTTGCCTTCTTTCCGGGTGTTCCGTCTTTGCACCATCCCCCTCCGTCTTCGATATAGTAAAGTAACCTGACCGGAAACGGAGCACTTAGTCCACTATACAACTTACCTCTTTATGAGATTATGAAATTTCGAGAGAGGAGTAAGCTGCTGATTTCAAGAGTGGAGAACAGAACGCGAGTTTAATCTTGTAATTATTCGTCTTCCTCTGTGCTGGAAACTCGCTTTCCTCTGATCTCGGTCGCTTAATCAACTGAACGAGAGTCCACCAAGTCGGCTGGGTATAACCATATTTTGTTTTCCACCACTCTATTCACAAGAACAAGCTGTGCAAAAATTATGGAGAAATGATTCTATTTGAAGCGGAACACCGTAAGAAATTTCTGATAACAGAAAAAGGACAAAATAATAATAATAAGGATAATGAGACAGAATATACACTGACCTCGGAAATCCACTCGCTCTTTGCAAATAAAATAAATAATAAACAATAGAAAAATTAACTACAAAAAAATTAAAGATCAAGCGTTGGTCAGAAGCACAGCCGCGTGCGCCGTACATTTCATCATCGCATCGGCAATGTCACGAAGATGACTAATTAAGGTTTATCTTCTGGTTCGACCTCGCGAACCTTACCGACTTCTATCGCCCGACAGCCAGACGGCCCCACAAGGCCTCGGCCGGATAGATAGGAAGTTGGAAGTAGCTACAAATCATACGATGCCAGGATCAGACCATTCGCCGGATCTGGCAATCCTTCCGAGTAGGAGCAGGGGAAAGAGATAAGAAGTAGATATAAAAGGAAGCCGGAGTAGCCAGCTTCCTTGAACCCATCTTTAACCTAATCAACCTATTACGCTTCCACTGCAAACCTTATTCAACTATCGCTCAATGTCTTCCACCAACAACCCCAGCCCTCTCGACCAAGCTACTTCGTCACAGGCAATCCTGGCCTATCGCGACGAATAAATAGATTTCGATATGGTCTTTCGAGCAGGTTTTATTTTGATTATTTGTCGAATGATCGAGTGATGTACAGAGACATACTTGTTTATTCGCACGATTCAGATCAAAAATTATTGCGAAGACCCACTGCTTTCCTGAATAGTCGCTCTCGCAAGGTCCATATGATCTAGCAAAATGCTTAGTAGAATCTTGCGTGTTTGCTCGTGCACTCGTCCACCTCCGTCTGAACGAGGATGCTCAATTCATTGCTAATATAACCCTTTGGGAGGCACTTTAATATATAAAAGTTTAGACCGCAATTGGACGACCTTTGCACCCTGCTTTCTCTAGGCTGATCTCCACTCTTCCCTTACATCTCGGCCAGCAACACAACTCTGCCAACTGGCAAGCAAGCCAATAGACAGCTTATTTACTCGTCTTTATTTACAAACAAGCACACTCTAACCCCGTGGAGCTCACGTATGCCGACCGATGAATTAATTCACCGAATTCCTTTCGCACCGTTTCTGCTCCATTCCAGGACGGGGCGGGGATCGATCGACACCACACCGAAATAGACGAGCCAAGAGGAGCAATGAAAACAAAACCAAAAACGATTCTCGGACAGAAGTAGTTTAACACTCGGTAATTACTCGCCGGCTGTCCCTGCCTATACTCAACCCCACACTTTCCTCGGGACTCGAGACTCTTTGTCTACCTCCAATGACATCCTGCTTCGTATTCCCCGCACTGTCACCTGCCAACCAGTCTCCTCCTCCACCTCAATGTACTGCCGGCAGATGTTTTCCTTTGCCTCCTTTTACTCCTCTCCTGTCAAACATAACATTATCCTTTCCTCACTGTATCAATACGTGTCGAAGTACACCGATCGCTGTATTAATTTATTGCCCATGCAATCAATCCACGATACGAATTCGGCCATCCCCGTAGATCACTACACCTGTTACCAAGAAATCAGCAGGTAAACAAACAAACAGGCCATCTATAGCAAACAGAAATTCTGTTCACCGCCAGGGCGTTGCCGGATTCGGGCGCCGATCGACCCTATATTCGTCATCGTTGCTTGAGTTTTCGGTCTCCTTCCTATATCATCCGGCATCATATAACTGATACTGTAAGATCCCAATGCGGCGAAGTATACAATCTTCAAGACTGCAAAAGGGGAAGCCAGTGACATCAGAGGAAGACTGAGTCGAAAAACAGATGCCGTTCAATGTAGCATGCCATTGCTTCTTTGATCAGATCAGACGATCGTCGTCATTGCTCTAGATATACCGACATATGCATGTGAACTCTCACGAGAGTCGTACAATCTGTACCAATTTTCCCTTTACCACAAAAAAGCAAATAGCTAGACTCGGAGCCGAGATACAGTCAATACCGCAATCCAACATTTACTCAAAACTTGCCCGCTCTGATTTTGATCTCATAACTTCACTGCTCCATACGGGCTGTAAACCACCAAATAATGAAATTTCAAGTTCATACTCGGCAGGTATTTTGTCAAGCTCATCTGAATTTTGCCCAAATCATCTGGTCATAGGACCAAGCATATACCGACTCGATATATGCTAGGTCGAAGCAGTTCACTCAGTGAACATGAACGTACTTTCATGTCCTCACATCTTTGAAGACGACGCACTGATGACATAATATATTACCATACAATTTCAAAGCTGAGCTTCTACTTCCTCGCGCGTCGTGCTATTACTCCCGTTATCCTACCTTTTTCCATCCCTCCCAATTAAACTATTTCGGTCTTTCCGTACGCCGTCGCGGCAGCAGCCCTTCAACGGCCGTGAGGCAGCGCGTACAGCTTGGGAGAAAGCGGATACGTCCTCGCAAGAAGCTTCGACCCACCACAGCTACGGCTCACGGCTCTGCTCTAGTATACTCAGAGTAATCGCATAGTCGAACGATTTATTCTTAAGCTTGTTAAGATGTAGATAACTGTTTATTTTGTAGCCGAAACTTGTTCATATATTGCCATTCCCTACGTCTCCTGGTTCCGGAAGCAAGGGACAGCTAGAGAATGGTGGATAGAAAATAGAAAAATTTTCTTTCATTTACGAGGCCACAGAAGCCAGGAAAAGTGATAAACGTTTAATACCTTCCGACGCAGGCCGTCTTCTCTCCTTCTGCGCTCGTTCCCTGCTCTCCCTTCCTTCCTCCTTCCTCTCCCTCGCGTTGCTCTCGCTCCCAAGCGGCGCCCGACGCGACTCAGCCGGTGCGGCCCATGCCGATGCAAAGTTTATTCGGATCCAAAAAGAGAGAGCATCAGAACCCAAAAAGGCAAAAAGAGAGAAAAAGAGAAAAAAGAAAAATTCAAAGCTCGATGCACTTCGCGCTCCATACGCCGGATTTGGTCAACAACAAAGGAAGCCAGCCTCTTTGATGCCCTATCTTTCTTGTGTCGCTCTGCTCATTTGCTTTGCTTCGACGTACATCCTACTTACTCTGCTCTACTTCTGATTGTTGTTTGTACACCTGAAGAGCGAGACTGGACTATTAAAAATGTAACAGCTGTAGATAACGTCTAACGGGCGGCAAAGGTCCCGATGATCATCTGTCGTTGAAAAAAACGGGTTATACGTTCGACGGGAGTGAGCACCGGCCAATGACGAAAAACGACGTTGGCGATGGCGCGCGCGACAGCAGGTTAACCTGGCTGCCCAAATACACACATAATCATACGCAAAATGGATCGCCTCGCTCTTCCCATTTTTCTTTCTTGTACGTAGGACACACAGACCGTAGAAGTACGAGCGGAAAGGAAAACTACTCGAGAAATTCTACTCGTCTTCGCACTGTGCTCCTTCTGCGCTAGGGCCACAGCGAAAACTTCGGTGGCGGCTGCCGCAGCAGCAGAAAAGCCAGAAGCAGTGGCAGCGTCCGAGCCAGGCTCAGTCGACAACGCCGATAATACGATAGCGAGAAGAAGCCCTTGCCAGCATTATCGTGTCGGGCGCAGTTTGGGTCGTTGGCTGGCAGAGCCACCTGCAGAAGCGAAGGAGAAAATTATGCGGTATTATGCGCTCTCTGTGATGTCAATAGCGAGAGTGGCTTATCTTGCGGTTCTCGATAGAGGAAGGGGAGCGAGAGGTGCGCTTACCATGGCTCTTGTCTGCTCTTGATTGTGTGCATATCTCTGTCCTCTATATCGCGCTCGGCACGCGACTCAGAATTCAGTCGTTCCGCTTCAACCTGTCGGGGTTATATTCAAGCCTCTCGTTACTTCTCCAAGCGCAACATTTATTGCGAGCCCAAGACATAGCTAAATTCCCAGCGAGACAACGACTTGTTGTTCCCACCCTCGTTCAACGGTCAGGCATTCCAGGAACCAGGAACGGGATCCACCGGTCAAGGTCTCTTTTGACAGGGTAAATAAAAGAAAAAAAATAAAAATACTCAATTACCCTGCTCTAGTCCTCCTTCCCTCCTGCGTTGGACCTTCATACATTTTAAAACCCGATTTGCTGGGTCGAGCTTGCACGCTGGTCCCAGATGCTGGAACTAGACTCTCATAGCTCGCTCTTGCATTGCAAACCAAAACCAAACAGTCAGCCGTGCTTGATTAAAGGGTGAATAGCGTGAGGAAATGGTAGGAAATATTAGGTAAGGGACAGAGGGAAATATGAAATGGCTGGCGATGTGCGAATGTCGTCATCTTGGGTTGCGCCGTAGTATCTCTACTCCCACGGCCTTCGGATCCTCTTCATCTCCCCGATCCTCTGATTGTTCCGCGCTCGCTGGTCAATGAAAGACGCTGGTGCCGTAGAGATCAACGGGTACGCGGACTTCGGAGAAAAAGGTATCTCTACTGCTGCTGCCATCGCCGTCGCCGTCGTCGTCGTCGTCGTCATCATCCTCGTCGTCGCCGTGGACGCCGTGGCCGCCTGTCGCTTAACAGGGCAGGGTCGTGTCGCCGATGTCGCGCCGGTTGACGGACGCATAACCTGTGTCTGCGCGCTCATTATCACTTCTGTCACTTGCTTCTTTCTTTCCGCCTTGCCCTTCTTCTCTGCTCCCCTGATTTCCTGTTTCCCTTTTCACATTTACTAGCGGTTGATAAAGACGGATTGCAGAAAGCATAACAACTTTTTTGCTTTAGAATTAAAGCTCTTCTTTGGAATAGTGGTGTTCTTCAATACCATCTTTTGGATCGACTGCATTTTTCAATGCCAATAATCGATTGGGTTAACGTTTGATCGAGTCTTGGTTTTTAATGATTGAGCATCTAGAAATTGCTACTATATTTTGCGTGACGTATTGACGCAAGATATCAGTCAAAATTCCCGTGAACACAGCAGAATATGAAGCTAGACAGAAAGCAAATGAGCAACACGAGTAAACAATAAACAAAGCCAGGGGTCTTCCATCCCGACTGCATGCTCGCAGTGGTTATCAAGCAATGAGGTGCGAACAAAAGCAATAGCAAAATCCGCCAAAGTGGGTTTCTGAAGAGGGCAAGATGGCTTGCTTGACCGAAAATGTGAGCTCACACCCACTACGAGGTGAATACCAGTACTGCTTGTATCTGCAGTCCTTGCATTTAGCTTTCATACTACCAAATGTTTATGCGTAATGGATTAGGTAACAATATGCGACAAGATTACTTGTCGGCTGTTCGTCTTCGAGGATGTTGTCGTGAGTGGAGGAGCTAATCCAGCTGCTCCGGCACAGCTCCCATCAGCAAACTTCGATTTAACAACCTTCTCTCACGTCTTATAGCCCCGTAGACCTATCCGGCACACTCTCTTCTCTACTTCTTGATCTCTTACACCGCAATCTCAACCCAAATACAGCAAACCGACCGGTCCGTTTAGATGTATTCGACTCTGCACACCTTCCCAATCGGGAAGGCATGGCTCCCAAGCAGGCAAATTCATAGCGGCGAGATCGACACGGATGTGAATCCCAAAGCACTGCGCTTTAGTAGGAATTACGCGTTGCATGCCTTGAGCAAATAGCACACGAAGACACGAATATAAGAAGATTAACAAGTACGCGAGTATGTACTTCGCCGTCGTTTAGGTTGTGAACGATGTGAACATCAGATTAGGGCATTTTTAAGATCGATTGATCTGTTTTGTCCGCTCTTGCCGACAAAAAGCCATACGTATTTCTAGATTTCTAGCCTTTTCTTGTCGCAGTACGTCGCAAATGTCTGCCCAATTCCTCATCGGAGAATAGATTTTTGGTCTTTTCTGAGCAATTGCCAGAGAACTCCGCGGCCAACTGGACGAATTCACTGAGATAAGCCTAGTTCAGTTTCGATAGGGCGCTAATCACGTGACTGATTTTATACTGTACCACGCCTGCAGTAGAGAGTCGACGGAAAAGATAGCTTCTGCTGCTATCGCTGCTAGCCTGAACCTGACATATTAGTGAACTCTGCACATGCAGCGCAGTATTTTTTCGCCACTGAATCTCATTTTATCGTCTTGGTAACTGAAGAAATTATGATAAAACACATAAATCACTGATTTGAGAAGAATAGTGAAACTTGCGTGTCGAGCTGTTGTGACCTTGAGTTTTCATGGAGCAAAGCTGATGTCAAGAATCACCGAGACGCAACTCCGGTCTCTGACTTTTCAAAAAAACAAAATAAAGCAGCACGTCAGCAGAAATAAGCCTTCACTCAGCTGCTGCTTGATTTAAACGACACGAGCCTGAAAAAACTCACCGCCTGACAATACAAATATTAGCTGCTGAAGGTTACGTTAGTCTTCCCGCTAGCTTGACTCTTTCACGCTGCGAGGACGTCGTAGACGTCGAAGATGCAGGAACGGGAGAGTTGAGCGGGAAGTCTTTTAGGCATGGGTTGGCGACGAGAGGGAGTATAGACTGGCTGTTTCCTCTTACCGAAGGTGCTGCATGCAAGCGATCCGTAACGATGAAGGAAGAGGAAGCAGCAGCAGCAGCAAGCAGCAGCGGCAGCAACAGATCCAACTAGATAAACAAAACCAGAAAACGAGAATTACTCACATCTTCCGCTATGAAAGCAAGAGATCGCCACTAGTTTCCGCATTTCCTTCTATTCTCCTTCTTTAGCCTTATGATTTTAGACATAAACACTAGACCAAGACAAAAAGCAAGACACAGTTAAAAGCAGCTATCAGTTGATGGCAGACTATGACGCCATAGAGTAGAAGCCGTTGTTACTATTACTCTCTGCCTCTTGTCGGCTGCGGCTGTTGTTTTTTTGAGTCGACAGTGGCTTTTTTCTCGCTTTAGCCAGCAAGTCTGAGTTCGGCTCGATCGACAGCCAAGCCGTTGCTGTTGACGCTTTACCACACGTATATAGGCTGTGCAACATGAGTGAGCGAATGACGTCGGCAGATGGCTGTGGTTTATTTTTATGTTGCTGCTGCGATGGTATTGTCTGCTCGGTTGGGTGCAGTAGGGTTGCTGCTACGATGAGGAACTGATTAGCTCGCGGAGTCGAACCGCAGAAGCCCTGGCCAAAAACAACCTCCTAACTATCCCAACAAACACACGCCGGAGCCTGCAGGAACCGCCAGTAAAACTGGTGTTAACTAACAAGTCTCCAGACGCACGAGCTAGGCAAGAACATAGCAGCGCGACAGGAGCGGAATAAAAGTTAATGGCACGAGGTGCCGTTGGCAGCAGTACGCGGCTGACTAAAGAAATGTAGAGAAACCGTTGGGAGACGAGCCTCTTCTCGCAGAGCAAAGTCGATTGCGAGAGCGAGCAGCAACGGACGCTGCAATCTAATCGGCAGCCCTGCAGCATCAGCGCACCCAAAAGAAGCTGCTCCAGGTTGCCGAAAATAACTGTGCTGGCAGCAGCAGAAGCGAGCTGGCGCAACAGACGAGGGAGCGAGCGAGCTGTTCTCTTCGAGGCGGTGGAGTACAAGGCTCGGTAGGTCGGTGCATTCGCCTTGCATGAGCTTTCTTTTTGGTATACGCGCAGTCGTCGGTACTCGTATTTTTCGGCTTCCTTTTCCATATCTTTCTTTCTCACACTATCTTCCCTCTCAGCCTCTGACTGTGTCCTCTGTTGCTCATTTTAATTGTATTTTAGAATCGTTGTGCGCCCGTAAGCGGCTAGTATCTTCTCGCAACAGTGGCGAGTAACGATAAAAACCGCCCGAACCGCCGACCGAGAACACCTTTAAAATTACGTCATGAAAGCAGCCAGCCAGCCTGTCAGCTATTGGCTGACATCCCCAAAGACAGCCGTTCCTCATGAAAAGGCCTTGACAGCCTTGTCTATTTTATCGCCGTCCAGCCGTGCAGACAAGCCAAAGTTAGCTCACTGGCTGGGGGAAGGGGAACTAAATGGGCTGGCCGCAGGCAAGGGGCTGTTTAATTTCACAGCATTTGCCGGTAAACTCGCTTATAGACGAGCGCGTCCAAACTTCATGCTCTACTTCCCTCTTCCTTCTTCCCCTGCCTTCTTTGTCCATCTCGGACCTGGTCTATTCTTTGCAGCCGACTTGACTCTTTGCAGCATGTCTCGTTCTTTCAGAAGCCCATCATTTAGCCCGCTACGTACAAAACCCGGCCTATTGCACGCGACTCGCGAGCACTGAATCGAGCACGACCGTGCCCGTTAGGGTTTAACGCGCTTTTGTTGTCTGTTTCCCTCTTCTCTCTCGCTGCGTTTTTATTTTATTTGTGGATTTTTTTTTTTTTCGACTTGACGGACTTACCGACTAGCCCCACGAGGCCACCCTGCGCTCCTCCATCTATTCTCGTCCAGCACCACCTGTCATCCCATAATGCCCCTGTGCTGTCAGCTAAGCTCAAACAGAAATAACAGAATTGCAACACAGGGCTGGCAAGGGTGCTAGCCAAGGGGGAAGGGAAGCACGAGTCTGGCTCTCGTCCCTGCGCGCAGATTGGTTAGTCTCCACCTCTTCATGGCCCCCAACCCTTCCGCTCTTGTGGTTTCGCTAACTCGGATTTCTCCTGGCCTGGGCTCGGCAACCTAGAGTTTGGGTGCCAACAGACCACATTAGGCTGTTTCTACACACTGCCCAAGCGGCTGCACGCGGACTAGGGAATAGCCCCTTCCTTGACTCTCCCTCAATTGTCGCCCGAGAAATTGCAGCGAGCCAGCGAGCTATACTCGATTGCGGTAGCAGATGACCGGCGTTCGGTCTAGCAACGCTGGTCCTACAGCTCTAGCAATCGACTAGTAAAAAAAATCAACACACAAAAATTATGGCCAAGACATTTATTCTCTGATTCAGGTAGGAAATTCAAAGTCTGTTGAGCAAGGCCTTCCCCCTTGCGAGCGAAGAGCACCCAGAATAGATAGTTTCGAGGGCAAGCGATATGTAACCCGCTCGCTCAGGAAAGACCGAAAAAGCATCTTAATCTCGTTTCACTCGTCAGCCTTACTCCTCCTTATGTAGTGAAGAGATTTTCGAGATCTGCTAAAAGAAGTAGGCAAGCAAATAAGTAACGCGTATTTGTACGCAATCTGCAGAGCGTACGAATATTAAAGAGATAACATTGCTGAGACAAACAAGGTTCCCAAACAGGCAGGCGAAGCCCAACCGAAGAGGAAATCCACTTCCTCGAGCGGCTTCCCATTCAGGCTAGTGAATTCCCTCTTGTGGATTTACTTGTCGCACTGCCTTTTTATTTTTTCTGTTTTCGCACGCAGAACAAGTTTTTGGACATGCACAACTGCATTGGTTGTTTACAAACAACCGCTTTGAGTAATCGTCCAGGTCAACCAGCACTGTGCAATTATCCTCTCGCCTTGAGTCCGCCAGTCCAGTGCGCCATTTTTTGGTTTGTAGTACTCTTTGTTGTTTGTGTCTTTCTCATATTCATCTCTCATATCCATCCGCGAGGTGGTCGCAAACGATTGTATGTGCCTGGCGGCCTTGTCGGCTATTCAGGCTACTTCCCCTCCGAGACACAGACCACCAAGATATGCCATGACTGCCTCGCCTCTTGTTTCCACTGACTTACTCTATAGGCTTTTTCACTCTTATGTCGACTGGAGGGGCGGCAGGAACTGAAATTGCTTTTCGGTGTCTGTTTTGGTGTTTCTTCTTTCTCTTGTTTTTCAGTCAGCTACATTTGCGCAAATGTCAAAGATCCCAAATTTGGAAAAGTCGCCGCATATTTCTCATGCTAGAATATGCAGCAGGCCACTGAAATTTGACTCAAACTCACTCACCACAAACAATCATCCACAGACAAAATATCGCATTTCTTGGACAACTAATCCATAGCTGCTGCGTTTTTGGTCCAGCTGGTTTGTTTACTTCATCTACACAAACCAAGCTTTTCTAGAACTCTATGCGCTCTTCAGAGAGGGATATTGCTTTTCAGCAAACAGCTGCAGCAGAAGCTCGCCATGGCATGCACGGCGCTCACAGAGATTTTCGTATTCCTGGGGAATATACTCTGTGGTTCGTCCTGTTTATATCGCTCGGTCCGTGTGGTCCCTGATAGTAGGACTGAAATAGCAGTCCCATAATCTTGGTGGAGTTGATCAGACCCTCGTGCTTCGGTACACTGAAGCGGGGTCTGAACATACTCCTCAAGCGATCAAGTGTCTATTCTGCATGTGAAATCAGTCTCTGTATATACTTCGTCCAGACTCGCTGCACGCTCTCTATTCGATATTACTCTATAAACAAGAATGCTGGATATGTCAAAGACACCGAATCAAAGGACTCTGGGAGACTCGAATTTTCTTTTCGTGTCCAAGACGTACAGACCAATAAATTTAAGGTAGGCCCTGCCCGGCTGATTTATATGAAAGGGTAGGCAAAAGGAGGTGCAATTGCTGTTAAGCATCTTACTATTAGCAATCTAGACGCTAGGTGCTTCAGAAATATGTGCTTATCTAAACTAGTTTGGCAACGTGTGACTATGGCGTTTGCTGATCGAAAGAGGGAGAGTTGGATCAATCGTCGGCTCACGTAGTCTGTTTAGTATCAGCTGTTGCCAGCTGCCGGAAGTAGGCAAATGAATTGCAAACGTACGGACAGGGAGAGGATAGGGATCAGTCAGTGTATGCCGTGGTCGTATAAAATCTCTGCAATTGACAGCGCAGACGGCTAATTGATTGCATGTTTATACTATATTTCAAGTGACGACAGGGAACCATTTCCGGAGATGGGCGGTGCCGAGAAGAGGAGGAGGGTCGACAGGGACTACAGCCTGTGAAGAGCAGGAAGAACAACAACAGAAAAATATACAGTGGACTCGAAGCAAAGTAAACAAATATCAATCGCAAGTTTGATCGGCAGGAGAGAGAGGAGCAGGCAGGCATATTATGTTATGTTGCACTGGAAAAATAAAAAAAGGGAAACCACGCTAAGCCTGATTCGAGACGAGCAGCAGCCGCACGCAAATCTGAGCGCAGTGGCCGCTGACAGAGCGCCTTGCTCGCAGGGCTGAGCGGAGGCAGGAGAGCAGCGCGAGAGAACGCAGCAGGATCCAAAAATAAACCAAACCGGCAGCCGAAAGAAAGCCCACGAAGAAGGGAATCCGACGGAGGATAAGACCAAGCGACGCCTTACACAGCGCTTAGATAATCTGAGTCGCAGCGCTGTATCGCCGGCGTCCGACTCAGCAGAGGCCAGAGCCATATATTTCCGACGCGACGCGGCGCTGCAGCGGTACCCGTTGCTACGGTACCGGTACGCAGCAGTTCCTGGGCTAGGGCTATCATGTGCAGGCACATGCCCGGCCGAAAGTGTCACCCACAGGGCTCTGGCTGACACAGGTGGCCGTATATGAACCCTAGCCCAGGATGCAGCAGCCACGCTCTGCCGCTGCCGCCCGCTCTACTTCTTTCCTACGCCGCCTTCTTTCTCTTTCCTGTTTACTCTCGCCCACGTTATCCACGAGCTCTTCTTCCTCCTCGTCCTCCTTCGGTTTCCTTCTGAATCGGTCGTTTATCACAAGGGTTTCCTCGCGTGCCGTGCCTCTTGCTCGATCTGCTCGCTCGCTATTCCCTGCACCGCGCCGCCTCTTCTTCAGTACATAACCTGCTCCTCTGGCCCTTCCCTTCAACCGTCTTCCTTTTTTTTCTCCCCCTCCCTCGCTCTCCTCCTCCCTTCCGCCCTTCATCCAGTCGCTCGTTTTGTCCTGCTTCGCCCTCTTCTATTCCTGGACAGCTTCACAATCTCACCTCTGCGAAATATCCTTGTTCGAACAGCCGAATCAGCCTTGTTCGACCTGCCGCCTCTCGCCATCCGCTCCTCACCAGCAGCCCCCTCAGCCTCTCGCAATCGCAATCACACACACATAGAAATGCGGTCAATAAGTCGTGCTTTCGCCCTTCTCCTCCTCTCATATCTCGTTGCCGTCGTCGCGGCCGTCTCAGACGCTCCATGTGTGTATTCCCCCTGCTCCTGCGCTTCTTGCGTTATCGCTCGTGTTCGTCTAGCTATTTTGGCTGTGCCGCGCCGCTCTCCCTGCGCACCAACAAATTTCTTCACTGTGATAGCCACCTCCCCCTTGCAGCACCTTCTACGATTTGAATATTCGCCGTCTTTTTTTATTGTTGGCTATATTTTATTGTTATTGTCTATCGCGGTGCTTTCGGCTTTTTTTGCGGCAGTTTTTTTTGGTGCGCGGGACGCGGCTCATCAGCTCGCTTGTGTGTTGTTACTCAGCGGCGTTGAAAAACAACATTCCGATCACACACTGCTTCGCGACTGTTGACCCTATCTCTGCAACCATCTGGCTAGACGAACATTAGCAGCGATATTTTATATCATACAATTTTTTTTAGAACGATTTACTGACTGAATTTTTTCTTGCTGCAGCGTGCTTCCAGCCATGCATAGATAACACAAAGATCATATCACCGTGCAGTCTAGACGACACCGAGTGCTACTGCCGAGACGAGTCATATCAGTCTGCTCTTTACGGCTGCTTATATTCACAGTGCACGTCGAAGGAGCTGCTGTTTGCTCAGAACATGGCGACCTCACAGTGCGTCAAGTTCAACGTCCAGCCAGGCGCCAACCCTCACATCGCAAAGAGATTTGACGTGCGCAACTACCGACGAGATGGATACTCTTCCGGCATGTCTCTATCATCCACCCGACTGTCGTCATCGCGTCTGTCATCGTCAAGATTCAGCTCGTATGGCTACAGTTCGAGCATGCCTTATGGATTCTCGTCGGCTGTTCCAGTCAGCTCTGCCGTGTTCCATGCTGAGGCGCCCGCACACTCAAAGCACATTGTCAAGCGGATGGAGGTTCTGGGCATGAACGACTGCGGTCAGTCGTGCTTCTACTCCAAGCTGCTAGTAGCCGGTTGCGATCCTACCGACCTGAGCTGTGTCTGCTCGGCGGCTTACTTCAACGCTGTTACCGACTGCCTGGTCGATAACTGCTATGATCAGATCCCACTGGCATTCAAGACCCGACTGGATCTGTGCGCCGTGAATCAACCGCTCTACTAAAACTTTTCCTTGTTGATTGTTTAGTGTGTTTTCGTTTCCTCGCGAGTGTTTTCGTTGTTCAACTATATTTTTCGTTGCGTCGTTGTGAGTGTGTGCGTATGTAATGTTATATCTCGGGTCTTTATTTACATCGGGCGACCTGAGTGGTCTCCCAAAAATGTGGACTTTATGTGCTTGTGAGATTCAGACTCTTGATGAGTTAACGTGAATTTACTTTTCAGTGTCTAAGTCCATGTCTTTTATTTATCAATCTCCTGCTTAATACTTTTTCTTTTTCTCTTTGCTCTCAGTTGTGTGTACGGGTTTCGGGTCCTTTGGTCTTCTTTATTTCACCCTTTACCTCTTTCCTTTGATTGCATGAAGGCGGCGATGATGAAAGAAATGAGGTTACATGAGAAGTGCTCGATGCTTGTATGATTCGGAAACGAATCAAGATAGGCATGGCGGGGACTTTTGCGCCTTCCTTGTTTTTCTTTCTTTTTTTCTTTCTTTCCTTATTTCATGTACTTTTGTTTCCTCTTCCTCCTCACCTCCTTTTTTTCCACATATGTATCTAATATGCTGCCACCTTCATTGCTCTTTTCTCTTTCCATTCCTTCTTCTCTTATTCGTTTCTCCCCCCTACCCCTTTTATCTTTTATGTCGACCTCCACCATATCCTTTTGTTTCTAGAGTTTTCTTTTACTGCTTTTATTGATCTTTGCTTTATTGTTTGTGTTTTGTGCCATCGGTGTTACTTCTTAATGTTATTCATTATTGATCAAATGACAGAGCGTAGAGCGTTAGAGTAGAGTAGAGGGGAACTTTGACAGGGAGTGAGTAGAGAAGAATGAAGGGAGGTGATAGGCGACGGTTTGTTTATGTTTTTGTTTTGCAGGAAAGTGCACGGCTGGTATGGAGTGTGCTGGACGTACATATGCAGCGTGCGTACACTAGTAGCGCAGGGCAGGTTATACACTAGCGATTTTAGTGCGTGGAAGCTATTCAATCGAGTACGAGCAAAGAGGAGAGAAGAAGCATGCGAGGAAGGGAAGAGGAATGTAGTGTCGCAGAGTAAAGCTAACCGGATTGTGGATGGTTTGCTATGGGCGCTCGAGATCCTGCGCGTCGAGCCATCTCTTGGCAAGCGAGCGCGTTTTCTCGGTGCACGCGCGCTATGTTGAGCAGATGAGGCGATTGAGGTTTTTTTTACTTGTTTGATGTAGAGATGGTAATCAGAGAAGAGATTAGTAGATAGAAAAGAAAAAGAGATATGTATTGGAGTCTAGAGAGACTCGACTTTGTGTTGTCTGGGTCGCCGGCCGTTAGTGACAGTGATTGACTTGCTCGCCTGACGCGACGTCTACAGCTTAGCTTTTTCATTCAGCCCTCTATATTGCTTCGCCATACTTTTTCTCCAGAGTAAACATACGACTGCCCGATGTAATCCCGCACAGACATTGCAAATATGAAGTCGCCGGAGGGAGTGCGAATAACCCTCGCTCTGTGCGCGTTTCTGGGACTCCACGTGTCGCGCCGCTCTGCGCGCGTTCTACAAGGCGCGTCATGTCGTCACCAGCTTCGTCACCACCGCCCCTGTCGCGATGATCCTCTTTTTGTTCCTGGATATGGGATCACTTTTCTGCGCTGAGGGTTAGTCATTGTGACGCGTGATTTTTCAAGGCGGGGAGGAGAGCGTGGGAGAGGGAGGGGGTGCTACGCTGGTTCTGTAAACCGACGTGTCACTCAAACGTCATGGCATCTCGCTTACTCCACGCATCAGACTCAACACTGAACAGCACGCAGTCCCAGAACGAGCTGTGGTCTACAAAATCCAGCGTTCGGAGGCCTCGGATTGGACTCTGTGCGATTATATCCCGAGCCCGATATGCGTTCTGTCGTGGTCGCGGTGGGCGCTCTACATCTGCACAGTTACCGGATCCCCCGGTCGATGGGCTGCGTACACACTCAAGACAGCCGTAAAGTAAAAGCGCTCGAAGCGAGACTGTCATCGATAACAGATCGCGCTTAACGCGCTTTGCGGAAAATCTAGATAAAAAAGGGAAACTTTTGAGCGGTTCTGGTGCGGTTGAAGTAATTGATACTGGCGGTAGAGGTAGCGGCGGTGGAGCCGCGTGGATGCCTCGTGGCCGACAATTGTAGGCAAAGACGCGCGGCGGTGGGCGACGTGAGTTGGGGAGAGGATTTAAGTTGGCAATTGTAGTTTGTGAGTCGCAATTGAGCGAGAGAGTTGGATGCGCTTGCGAAAAGGAGGGAGAATGAGAAGAAAGAAGGGTTGGAGGTGGTGAAGTGGAGTGGGGATGGTGAGGCCAGCAGCTGCAGATCTCGGAGATTGATAACTATGCAGCGGTCCGCACACATCGAATATATATAGCAAATGCTCAGCCTCTGCCTCTTATTAAACAACACAACAATCACATAATGAATATTCAATGCTTCTGTTTATAAAAAGAAACCAGATCGACAAAACATCCGGGCCGCACATTGGAGCAGGTAGTGGTACAGTTCCTAGTTTAACTGCCGCATTCGGCCGGGACGACCCAGGTCTCTGTCTCTTGTCTCGCGCTTTACTTTCTTTTCTCGTTATTCGCGCCTTCTTGTTCTCTTCTGCTTATGCAAACCAGAGCAGCTCGCTGACTGTCCTGACCGGGCTCCTGGACACAGGTTATGGGCACCGACTCAGAACGGCTAGACCGGAAATGCAAGCTCCCAAGATCTGACTTTTATCTTTTCTTTTTCTTTCTGGTATCCAGGGCTCTGGTTAAGGAAGGCAGATCTCTGTCCTCTTTCGTCTCGCTCGCTCTCTCTGCGCAGAGCCAGAGTCCGCGCTGCAACGGCGTCGGAAATGTCTATTTTACTCTTCGTGTCTGCGCGCTCTCCCTATGTACGTCTCGTGAAGTCGACGCGGTAGACGTCCTACTCACCTCTTTGCTGTCAATCTATTTCTCTGCTATCTCTCCAGGGACTCTCAATTTATTCTGAAATTGCATACGCTCGATGGACTCTGCGGGAGCGCAGTGGGCCCAACCCCATCTATCTCAAAATGCCATAACTATAGGCAAGAACAAGAAGACGAGTCTGACGCGCGCGTACGAATAAAAAGGACCGCAAATTCACTTTAAATCAAGAAACAGGGTCCTCGAAGCGAGCACTAAAAGCCTTCGGCAGGCGTTTCTATTTTCCTTCGCAGAAACAGAGCAATGAACTAGACTTTGCTGTATTAAAACAACGTGTATGCCTCCTGGTCGATTCGGGCATTCTCTCTTCGACATCTCCAAGCAACTCACAAAGGACTCACAGCTACGTGACTCAATTGTGATCTCGAATTGCACCGAAGACATTACTCTGTTAGCAATTTCCCCCACCCGCCCCACCTCCCGCCGGGTAAACGAACTCGGCAACCACCGACCAGCAGCAAAATGCGTAAATTATTTTTGAAGTCCGCTCTTCGGCTCTTCTACATGTCTGATCTCTATCATCTCTCGATCTTCTCTTGATCTGTCCGAGGTTCTGTTTGGCCGTTGCTTAGACGTCTCCAGGTCTCAATTACCCAGTTAGCAAATATCGGCACTGTTCGGCTCCTGGCCTGAACGATAGCGCTCATTACACGCCTTTGGTCGCATATACCCGTCACTTCCCATCTCTTGATATCCCCTCTCTCGTCGTCATCAACCATGGCCTCGCTCCCTCACTCCGCCATCTACGGCATTTCCCGCGCATCTCTCTCGCGCAGCAGCTACTTTGCTCGATCCACCCTCTCTATCACCGCCAAAGCGACCTTCAAGAGCGACGCGAGCCAGAACCTTGCCGCCGTCGCCGTGCCCGAAGATCATCAGCCCACCCCCACTCCAAGCAACGAGACTGTTCTCGAGCGCGCACTCAAAGCCTCTGGACCCAGAAACACATGGACTCGAGAGGAGATCCAGGAGATCTACGAGACTCCCTTGATGGACCTTGTCTATCACGCCGTATGCAACCCCACTCGCTGCATCTCTCAATCCAATGCTGTACCTAACAGATTACTTCTTTCCATCTAGAGCACCGTCCATCGCAAGTTCCACGACCCGTCCAAGATCCAGCTCTGCACACTTCTCAGCATCAAGACCGGAGGATGCACAGAAGACTGCTCATACTGCGCGCAATCCTCGCGACACAAGACCGGTCTCAAGGCCTCCAAGCTCGTCACCCTCGGCAGCGTGCTCAGAGCCGCCCGCGAAGCGCGCGACAACGGATCGACCCGGTTCTGCATGGGCGCCGCCTGGCGCGACATGCACGGTCGTAAGTCGGGCCTCCGCGACATCAAGGAGATGATCACCGAAGTGCGCGGCATGGGCATGGAGGTCTGCGTCACGCTCGGCATGGTCACCGACGCTCAGGCGCGCGAGCTCAAGGACGCTGGCCTGACGGCGTACAACCACAACGTCGACACCTCGCGTGAGTTCTACCCGTCCGTTATCACCACGCGTACGTACGACGAGCGCCTCAACACCATCTCGAACGTCGACCAGGCCGGTCTCAGCGTCTGCTCGGGCGGTATCCTCGGCCTCGGCGAGGCGAAAGAGGACCACATCGGTCTGCTCTACACTCTCTCGACCCTTCCTAGCCACCCCGAATCCGTGCCGATCAACACCCTCGTGCCCATTCCCGGAACCCCGCTCGGCGATAACAAGCCGATCGAGTTCAAGTCCGTCCTGCGCACGATCGCAACCGCTCGCATCGTCATGCCAAAGTCCGTCATCCGCCTCGCGGCCGGACGCATCACTCTCGACGACGAGAAGCAGGGCCTCTGCTTCATGGCGGGCGCGAACGCCGTCTTCACCGGCGAGAAGATGCTCACCACCGACTGCTCGGGCTGGGACGAAGATAAGCGTCTGCTCGACAGCTGGGGACTTAGTCCTATGAAGTCCTTCGAGAAGGATAACTCGAACCCGACCATGGCTGCTGAGGAGCAGGAGGAGAAGCCTTCTGCGCTCTTTGGTACCGAGCGCTCGTTCGACTCTGTTTCCAAGATCTAATTTCTCTGCGAACTTCACTAGATGCTTAAAATACATACAAATATATACAACTACATGACATCCTTTTGGAAAAAAGGCAACGTTTCATTATTTCTTTGGTTTAGTTTGATTTATCCACTTTGCACGCTGTTTTGTTCTGTTTTGCGCAGCTCTATATTTCAATAAAGACATCAAAAAGCATTCCAATCCTTTCTTTTGCTGAATAATATACTGTGGTACTGATCCGCAGTAGACAAGAGGGCGTTCACAAAGTCAACCTATTCGGCGGAGAGACCTCACCAGCTCGCATGCGCTCTTTCCCTGCCAATGCAGCTACCTTTTCTGTAGCAAACGTCTTCTCTATTTCTTCACCTCGAGCTCGTTTCTGTTGGACAATTGCTTATATGGCTCGTCTGAGTCGCACTTAGCTATCCGGCGGACGAGTATGACTCTCTTGGTATATTTAAGAGCTCTGTACAACACAAAATTAGGAGACGGGCAGCGCGTTAGTTACGCGTTAAGCTTTTTACAGATCGGGAACCAGCAACATAGTCACGCGCCCGCCTGAACTGCAATCCGCACTTTTCAGCGCGCTCGCCACTTTCTCCTCTTTTCCCTTCTCTTTTTCCTTCCCCGATACACTTAGGTGTCATGAATGAACCCCCCCAGCAGTCCGATCGTCTCTGTGAAGAAGTATCGACTCTGACAGAATGGATCGACTGCTGCGTGCACTATTTATAAAGCATCTATGCTGTTTTTGGAAATCTTGCGTTGTGTGTACAGCTTTAGCTGCCGTAGAATGCCTGCCCCCCATCTCTGTGAAGAAGTACCGACTCTGACAGAGATGGATCAGCGGATTGCTGGGCATAAGTTTTGGAATATGTTTTGCGTTGTGTGTACAGCTTTAGCTGCCTGCTAACCCACCAAACAATCCTAGCCGTATGGATCGCGCTCTGAGTGAGTCTTTCTATATGGCCTGGTTTGTTTGGCTCTTTCTAGGTACCCGGGCAGATGATACGATGGCGGCTGCCCCGGCGCGTCGTCCAACGATCTCTCCCAGAATCACGGCAAAAACAGTCAGTACAGTTATACAGTCAATCTAGCACCCTCAGCTAACAGCAATCATACAGATGCGCGCAACCTCCCTGTGTGCCCTGCTGCAAAGGCGCCTTTGGCATACCGAAGAGGTTCCCAAAGCCGTCTCCACCATCAACGATCACCGCGGATGCCGTTGATGCCGTAGTCACTCGACTCTAGGGAAAGCAAGCGCGATCAGCAAGACAGAGTCCGGACCCTTTCTCTCTAGGACCTTCCTATGAGCGATGAGTTTCTTTCGCATCATGATCTTGACTCTTAAACGCTGACTGAGGATCTCATCTCTAGGACATTATCGCAGTTCCGGCCGGTACTGAAACATGGGCTTCGATCCTCTCCTCTCTCGTGTGCGTGGTACCCCGCGGACCTGCCACAGGGTAGCATATACCACGCTAGGTAGACTCTCTGAGAATAGCAGATACCTCCAGAGGTAGCATTCTCATGCAGAGAGTCGCCGATGATGCACCAGGTAGTATTCTGTGGCAGACCTCCGCGGGGACGCCAGAGAGCAGCCTATGCCGTTCGCGGTAGCACTCTCCTATGAAGTGGCGTTGTGCCGCTCACGCGAGGGACAGAGGAGCGAAGCCGGCTCTTGCGAGAGCACATGTCAAGCAGACTGGCGACCGCCTGTCGATCGGAAGACTTGCAGGCCCTTGACCACCGGCTGGCCAGGGGAGAGTCTTGTCCTGTCTCTGTCTTGCACCGGTCGCGCTTGCTCGGTGCTTCGTGCACCATGGCCGCCAGACAGCTTTCGAGCTTGGGAGTTGATGCTCTGGTGTCGCCTTGCAGCAGCCCTAGCAGCATGACAACGTCCGCACGCAGATGCCGGGTGAGCATGCATATGCTCAGGGAGATACTCCTTTGCCGGCTCGGTACGCTGCATGACCGCCCTCAGCGCCCTTCAGGTCATGGGCGCTGGTGACCAGGGCGGTCGATCTGATGAGATTCTTCTTTAGCCAGGTTGCTCATCGGATTTAAAACGTCTATGTTGTCGCGTCTCTGAAACACGCGCACCGGTAGGCCGTGCCGTCGCACGGGGCCGGTAGCGACGGAGTTGACGAGAGTCCGCGCGACCAACCGTCTTGGCGAAGATGGGCTCTGCGGCCACAGAGCCCTCGGAGGCAAGACGGGCGGATCATGCGACAACGCTGACAAACCATCAATACGGGGGTAGCCCTTGGGCTGCCTTTGGTTGAAGTCGGGTCTTAGTGGGTATGGCGACCATTGAGAGATGGTCGCAGAGTCCCACATAACTCTAGGATTTTGAATTCTAGAGTATGCGTAACGCATTCTTCCCGATCCTGGCGCCAGCCGCTCCACGCGTGCTCTGCCTGTTCTGTCTTTCCTGTCTATGCTGTCGACTTTCTCGTGAAGGTCTGTCTTAGCAGTGACGGGGTTACTATTTAGTAACAGACAGGATAGGAGAACACGCGCGGAGCGGTACCGTATTGTAAAACCCAGAAAGAAAAAAAAATAAACCGTTTTCATTCTCTCAGTATTTAACACTAGTAGTTGGGCAGTACATTAAAATACAGTAAACAGGACGATCTAATAGACAGACAGTATAAAAAGCGAGCTAGTAGAAAACATTCAGATTGTTCTCAAGCCGATTTCCGTCAGACGGAGGTCACGATTGCAAAACTGCGCGGCTGGCTTCAGTAGGAAGAAACAGGGCGCATGCCTCCTGCCCCTTCCCTATCACAATTCTTGTGTCGGTCGCTGCTATCTCTGGAAGACACAAAAACAGCCAAGTCCAAGCCCAGTTGTGCATGATTGCTTGAGTATGGTTTTCCCAAAGTCCGCTATCCACATTATCGCCGGCCGCTCCGCGACCCGCGCTTCTGCGTCATGGGCGATGCGAACGGCGCCTGCGATAAATAAAATGCACAGCATCAGCTGCTCGGATGTGGAAGCCCCTCCCCACTAGCTGTACGCGCAGTCCCGCGAATTTTCGTGAACTGGTAGTTGCAACGCGGTGAAGACTGCAGATGAATATCAGCTACGTGGCGTGAAGGGCGCGATCGTTTTAAGTCTGCTTCCAGGTCTGGACCCTCCAGGTCTGTCAACGTAACCAGATGCCTGATACGTATGAATGCTTACTCATTTCTTAAAAATATTACTCCTCACCAGAAACGATTCTCATAAATAGCGATATATCTTTACATTATGGCAGTTTATCTAAGCCTCCTTTTAAATCGTAAAAACGCATTTCAGTAGAGATTTATGTTGTATATTGTCCATCTTAAACAGTGCTTCCTGCGCTTTTGATCGTTTCCTACGGTTTGAGTATATCGATACAGATCAAGTGTCATGCGACTGCCTCTCTCAAGCAGTATTCGTTCGAGTGATTAAGAAATTGAACAAAAGAAGCCTGTTTATTGTAATAGTTTATCTCAAAGTGTAGAAGATCGCGAAGCGGCCTACGCGTCAGGTGTATGTTTACTTCCGGCCAGATCGAGAAACCCCATCATTCTAACACGCGCCCGCCTGACTTAAAGTCCGCCCACTTCTGCGCGCTCGCCTCTTTCTCCTCTTGAATCTCTTCTATTCTTCTATCTGATATCATTTTTGATCCCATCCCTTTGCTCTGATGTATTTCCCAGCAATATATCGACCACGACATCGCCTGCCGCTGCTTCTCACTAGCACTTTTGTTCCTGTTCATGTTCTCTGGTAAGTCTGATCTTCTAACGCCCAAAGTAACCCACCCATATGAAAAATGACTCAAGCTTCACCCATGCAATTGGATTTTTTCGGTTCTTTGTCTGGTCCAGGTGTCGCGAGCGCGAGACATACGCACGATACGATACGATACGACCGGTTGTTGCTCCGTCACCGGAAGGGCGGCCTAGTAGTTGTTCTGCGAATCATCCAACTGGTTTTGCTTGCAACCTCTCTATACACACGGCAATAATAGTAAGCACAGCTATATAATGTAACAGAACTCTCAGCTAACAGATATAACACAGACGTGAGCGTCCTCCAGCTCGTACTCCGCTGCAAAACGCCCGAGGGCGTCTCCCCAACCTACGATCGCGGATGTCGCTAGGTGAAGTCGTCAGTCAACTCTTGGGGGAAGCAAGCGCGACCAGTACAGGATACACACCTGTCGGCAGCATGACATTCTCAATCCTCTGGCCCGCGGACTGGTCGGGAGAGAGTCTCGTCATGGCCTGCAGCTATCGCGCTTGGTTCATGGTACCCACCCAGCTCTCGAGCTACACGGGAGAGAAGTGTACGGGTGGCTGGCCTGCAGCATCCCAAGAGCCTGACAACCTTCCGCAAACAGCGCATGCACCGAGTGAGCAGCCATCAGCTAGCATACGCACTATGCTCAGCCTATACATGCTCAGAGAGACATTCCTTTGCCGGCTCGGCACCTCTGCGTGGCCGACCCTTCCGCGTGTTGTCAAGACATCTGTCACGACGGGCGCGGTTGGTCAGGGCGGTTAATCTGATGAGATTCTTCTTTAGCCAGGTTGCTCATTGGATTCAAAACGCCTGACGTTGTCGCAGTCTCCGAAACGAGCGGCTGGTAAGCTGCGCCGTCGCATGGAGTCGTAGGCGACGGTAGTGAAGAGAGTCCGCGCGACCAAAGGTCTTGTCGACGAGGGAAGTCTGCTTTAACAAGCCCTCCGATGACAAGACCAGAAGATTATGCGACAACAGCAGACAAACCATCAATACGGAGGTAGTCTTCGGACTGCCTTTGGGCGAAGTCGAGTCTTAGTGGGTATGGCGGCATTGAGAACACGCTTGTTTAACGACAGGCGTGGTCGCAGAGTCCCACAGAACTCTAGGATTCTGAATTCTAGAGTCTGCGTAACGCATTCTCCCTGATCCTGGAACCAGCCGCTTTGTGTGTGCTTTTCTGTTCTATCTTTCCTGTTTACGCTGTGAATCTTTCTCTGTGAGGATGTTTCTAGGCCGTGTATAGAGATGCTGTTTTTGGAATAGTGACTGACGGAAGAGAGGAGAGCGCGCGAAGCGGTTTCGTATGGTAAACCCAAGGAAGAAAAAAAATAAACCGTTCTCATGATACTGACAATTGAGACGTAGTAGAACATGAAAGGAAGGTCATGCAGGGTTGGGAGCTTAGGTATGAGACCAGCTCTACGAGGTCGTCAAATATCAAGCGCGCGAGCTCGAAGAGCCAGACAGACGATTCAACCACACGTATTCTACTCTGATACGACAAAAATCATCACCACCCACCGACTTTGCAGAGGACGAGGAAAATAGACTTCCAGATAAATTATCTAATTCGTAGGCAGAAAACAATAGAATGGCTCGTGCGCTATTGTTTATGTTTACGTTCGTCCTGATCGGGAACCACCAGCATACTACTCACGCTGAATCCGCCTGAACTGGAATCCGCTGTTTTTCAGCGCGCCCGCCTGTTTCTCCTCTCTTTCTCCTTCTCTTCTTTCCTTCCCTCATCACTTCTCTTGATCTCCCCCCCTCCCCCCTGCCCAGTCCGATCTGTTTTCCAGCAACAGATCGGCTGCGACGTCTGCTATCTCGCGCGCTTCTGTTGTTTCTGTTCATTTTCCTCTGTGAAAGCTAAGCTGCTTCCCTGTTCTTTCTAACCCGCTACACACATGCTCTGTTTGCAAAGCCCGGATAACAAACCCACCAACGTTTCAGCTGCTGCTGTTGATCTTGAATCAGACTGGTAAATATTTCTTCTTCTGTCTTTGATATACCCAATACCCCGTAACGGAACTTACACCCCCGCACTCCCCGCTCGACATGCGCGTGATTCCCAGAGCAATCCTGCCTGTATAGAGAGCGTTCCAGAGGCTCTCTATACAGCTGGGGTTGCTTGGCTTGTTCTTCTTTCTATTTAGGTACCCCCGACGCCCGATACTCGACAGACACGACCGCCGGCTGCTCCACCCCGTCGTCCCGCGAAGCGGCCTAGTGATGGATCTGAGGATCATCCTACGGCACGGCTTGAAAACTCTCTTGGTTTACTCACGGCAAAATAGAGTGAGTAGGTTGACAGTCGATACGGTGCACTTGGCTAACAGTAGGATTATAGACCCGCGCACACACTACAGCGCACCCCGCTGCACAGGCATCTTTGAGATGTCTTGACCGCCGACGACACTCGCGGATGTCGTTAGGCGAAGAAGTCAGTCGACTCTAGGGGGAAGCAAGTGCGATCAGTGAGACAGAGCTACATATGCCTGTCAGCAACATGACACTTTTGAACAGCTGCACCTGAGGGTCGATCGGGAGAGAGCCTTGTCATGTCTTGCAGCTGACGCGCTTGCTTCACTCACCACGGCCGCCAGACAGATCTCGAGCTTGTATGGGAGAGACACGTTCTGGCCGGGCCTCGCAGCACCCCTAGGAGTTTGGCATACTTTCCGCACGCGCAGATACCGAGTGAGCATGAGTGAGCATGCGTGCTCAGGAGCCTATTCCCTTGCCGGCTCGGGTACCTCTGCGCGGCCGCCCCTAACGCGCCTTACGTTCTATACAGGCGCCGTTGGTCGGGGCGGTCAATCTGATGAGATTCTTCTTTGGCCAGGTTTCTCTATCGGATTAAAAACGTCCACGTTGTGGCATCTCGGAGATATGCAAGCTGATAAGCTGCGCCGTTCGCAAGGAGTCAGAGGCGGCGGTAGTGAAGAGAGTCCGCGCGATCAACGGTCTTGCTGAGGAGGAGAGTCTGTGGACTGCAGCTGCAGAAAACCCTTCGAGGACGCAAGATGAGCGGATAAGGCGACAACGATGGCACAATCCCCAATACGGAGGCAGTTCTGGAATGCCTTTGGGTGAAGTCGGGTCTTAGTGGGTATGGCGACAACGGGAGCCCGCAGTTTGGTACAAGCGCGGTTGCAGAGTCCCACATAACTCAAGTTCACGAGTATGCGTAATAGCATTCTTCCCGATCCTGGCACCAGCCGCTGATGTCTTCATCAACAGATATCATGCGCGCTCGATTTTTTTCTGTCTTTCCTGCCCACGTTCGTAGTCTTAGTTAGTCTTAGTTAGTCGTGGGCAGAGTTGCTGTATATCTTTGTTAGTGACTGTAGAGAGCGCGCGCCGAGCGGCACCGTGTTGTAAAACCGGAAAAGAAAAAAAAATACATCATCATTGAACATCAATATAAAGAGTTGTGGGCGTAGTGGAAGATGCGAGTGGGAGTAGGTATATGAATATATGTGTACATTATTAGCTAAGACATGCAGAGGTTTAGACCAGAGAAGCCGAGCAGGGGATGTTTTGGCAACTCAGAACGAGGAGTAGCAGAGCAGAGAGCAGCGATAAGAAGGAGGGTGGCTTAGACTTGGCCGCAGACTTCTAGAAACAAGTCAGGAAGCTCGTGCGAACGGTGCTGATCTGCGAGCAGCTGCCTTTTCTGGCTGCGAACGACGAACCACCCACCGTTGTTCTGTCGTCGTCTTCAAGCTAGTAGAACGATGAATAGAACCGTTGAACGACCTTCTCGAGCCTCCAGAACAAAGGCGAACCGGCAGCGAAAGGGAGGCAGGAAAGCAGGCTGGCCGGAACAGGTCGATGACATCATCGGCAGCTCATCGCGATGGGCGCGGGCCCAGTGATCAACAGCGGCGCCGAGAAATCCTAAAACAGGGCCGCACGCTCGACTGCCCTCGTCACCTCCCTTTTGTGCATCTACTTCCCGCACAAGTTTCTCGAGTCAACTTGCTTGAGGTTGCTGTTATTACTTTTTGGATAGCTGTTGATAGTTTGGAAATATGTCGTCTTTTATTGGAAAGTATATTGCGCGCCGGTTCTTCCAGGAATCGGTCAACAACGCGTTCGGCACCGAGGATCCCTACTTTGAAGAGGTGCGCTCGTCTTTGGTCCATGTTCATTTTTAGCCAGGCTTCTAATGCGCTTTAGTAGGTCCCGATGGAAGACATGGCGGCCAACAAAAATCGGAAGCAAAAGAAGCGCAGACGGCCGCCTCCGGCTGGGATCTCGGACAACGACGCAAAGGTCCTGACGAGGGTCAAGAGGAGATCGTATTATCTCGATATGAGTCTTGGGATGTGCTGCTGCGGACTGGGGATTGGGTGCGTTATGCTTTCATGCAACTACTCTTGCTGGTTATTGTTTGGTGTATCTCGGGGTCGGGACTAACGTGCTGTGTAGATGGAGTGCTGTTATAGGCTTTATACCTGGGTATGTTCTAACCTCCAACCCACAACTCGTTACAAAACTAACAACAGCTCACCTCTTCCTCCCAAAGAATCGGCGACATCATAGCCTGCTACCTCTCCTACCAAGTCGTGCGCCTTGCGAACCAGATCGACGGCGGCCTGCCGACCGCGCTCTACTCGCAGATGATTGGCAACGTCATGCTCGACTTTGCGTTCGGCCTTGTCCCGATCGTCGGCGACGTCGTGAACGTGCTTTATAAAGCTAATAGTCGAAACTCGCTCTTACTAGAGAAGCATCTTCGAAAGGTCGGACAGCATAATTTAAAGGTGAGCTACTAGTGTTTTTCTATTGACTGAGAAAAAAAATTGTAGAGAAATTCTAACGCCTAGGATAATGCGACATTATAGCATGGTAACGCACCCACCCCTGCTCCTAATCAAGCAAGGCCGCCTGCTAATCCGAACTCTTTCCAGCGTCCGAACACGACGGCTCCAGTCGGCTCATCGACCAATCCGGAATCCACTAACACCGCGCAGCCCCAATCCTCTAGTTGGTTCGGCTGGGGATCGGGAGACCGTGACAACGGCGGTGGGAGTAGTGGCACGAACGCGCAGCAAAGCGGAATGCGGAATGTTGAGGGTGGTGATTATGATGTTGAGACTGGAGTGAGGCGATAGGATTGGTGTTGTGTTCACTTCGTCCTGAAGGTGTTGTTTATAATTCATATTGACTTATGATTTCTTCTTTGGTACTCCGCGGCGGACAGGGCCACGTAAATGATGCAGATTTTGTAGCCACCAGACACCCGTAGCACAAAATGTCTTTGTCCTTGGTAAGTGTGTCGCTGTCCGAGGGTTCTTGGGGATTCTCGACAGCTGAAGTATTGACAGTAATATTCTGCAGCCACTTCTCCGGCTCAGACGCGCACTTTACACCGCAGATAGCACAAGCCATATCCATCTCGGCCGTCGTGTCTTTCAACTTATCCGCGGTGCGCACCACGGTCGAGACAATACTCGGGAACCCGGCCTCGATCTCGCGGAAATAGTTGACGAGCAAATCGTCGATCGTCATCATGCGAAGAACCGCAGCCGGCGTGACGGCCGGTTTGATAATGTACTCTGCAAACCCCTGCATCGCCGCATACTCGCCCGCTTCGGCGCGCATGATCTCACGCATCGGGAAGAGCTGCACGACGGATTCACTGATGGAGTAGTTGTCGCTTATGGAAGCGGGGATCGAGGCGCCGCGGCCTTTGGCGGTTAGACTGAGGACGCGCTCGGCCAGACGGGACATTGTGTCGCCAAAGAGGAGCGTGGGCGAATCGTGTTTGACAGCGGCGCAGACGACAAGCGTTTTGATGATGGTCGAGAGGAGATCGCGTTTGGATGTCCGGTCGCGGACTTTGTCGAGGATATCGGATTTGACTGTATGCGGAAGCGCTTCTGTGTCGTCGGCGGCGGCCGGAGAGGTGAATGAGTACGATTCAAGATCAGGACCGTGCGAGAATACGCCCAACTCGTCGCTGCTGTTGAGCAAGAAGTCGTCTAGGGGGATGATATCAAAAGTGCAGATGTCGCCAAACTTGTCTCTGAGCTCGTCAATCGCCGCTGCCGGAGACCGCGAGTACGCACTGACGGACGAGCAGTCGACGTGCACGGCGGTGACGGCGAACCCGGTTGCGCCGCGGTGGGTCTCAATCTGATCGCGCAGATGCTCGACGAGCATCTCAAGCAGAGCAACTGACGACGCGCCAAGAGAAAGCGCAAGAAGTAGACGCACGGGCGGGGTTGGCGAGGAGGAGCGCGGGGGGTAGGTTACTTTGTAGGGAGCCATCTGCTTGCGCTCTTTGCCGCGGATGTAGCGCACGAAGCAGGGCCTTTGATTGTCATGTTGTTAGAACGGAATTGCACAAGGAAAGAGGAAGAGTAGATACCTGCAGAATGGCTCCTTGCGAGAGACAAAAACCGCCTCGGCGGCCGAGCACCGTTTACACAGCTGCGCGGTCATCGTCAGATGCTCGACTGGTTTCTTCCGAGAGCACTGAGAGCAAAAAAAAAAGATGATCCGTTGGGAGTTTGCGGGTAATCACGTGATGCGGGGAAAGCAGCGGATCGGCAAAAAGGCGGCTCGGAAGCCTGGCTGTCGGCAATCGATAACGGGCCGAAGATCATCTCGCTGAGGCCCCGGGTTTATTTAGGCTGCTGCTGCCTCCTTCTCTGCCTCTTCACCATCGACGCAGCACAACAGCCATGGAAGGCAGACAGCAGCAGCAGCCCGTCTTCCTGCCGCTGCTCCCGCTCGTGCCGGACGAGGAGATCGAGCAGCGGTCCCGCGTCCTGCGTATCCGCATCGACTCTTTCTGCACACGCGACCTCGATGCGGTGCGTCAGTTCCTGGTAAGCAGCACTTCTTGAAGCCACCATCAACCCCAGCAGAAGAAGAAAGAAATAGACTAATATCCTGACAGAGCAATAACCTCCCGCTCACATACTCCAACTCGTTCCTCCTCCAATTCATCACCGCCCGTGAATCCCGCATGCTGATTGCCCGTCACGCCTCTACAGACGCCATCGTCGGCATCGTCGGCGGCAGATTCGTGCACTCGCTCGCCGACCGCCGTATATGCCACGGCCACATCATGATCCTCGCCGTGGCCGAGCAGTGCCGCCGGTCCGGCGTCGGCCGCATCCTTCTCCAGGTTAGTAGTCTGCACTGCGCTTCACGACAGTCCACCGAGACTTCCGCTCGTCCGACGAGACTGACATTGTACTGTAGAAACTCGAGTCCAAGCTCCGCTCATCCGCGTCCGCGACAGTCAAGACCAGCTTCCTCGAAGTCTCGCACACGAACGCTGCGGCAATCAAGTTCTACCAGAACGAAGGCTACTCGATCGAGAAGCGTGAAAAGGGCTATTACAATGGGAAGGTCGACGCCCTCATCATGAGAAAGTATTCTCTAGCAACTGTATAACACAACACAACGCAGTATCAGTGTTTTTGGGTTATTTATTGAAAGTAATCTGCTCTTTTGTTTTATATCTACATCATAGTTGATGTAACCTGGCTACGGTGCATGGTATGTTTTCTACGTCTGGCGTCTCGTTCGGTACGGTCTTTGTGTATTCATCTTTCTGCTTTGTGTACACTGTTTTTATTCTATCTGCATATTTGTCGCTTAAATATAGCGGCACCATCTTGGCTATTTACCTGTTTGCCTATTCCCTATGTGAGTATCTTGATCTATTTGATGCTGAGTACATAAGCCAGCCAGTGCCCTCCCTCGTTCTATGCACTTCCTTTTTCACACATATCTCCAAACCCCTTGAGCCCTGATAATCACTATTTGCGCCAGTCTCAATCAAACTCAAGAATAGAGAATGTAAATAAATCGCACTCAGTATACAGAGATAGGCCGCATAGTCACATGACCCATGCACACTCATCCACAACACTTATGCCATCTCTTCACCCTGAAGAAACAGAGTTTTATGATTTTTTTTTCTTCAATTTCTCTTCTTCGAGTTCTTCAGTTTACTATTCTTCATACAAAACAGAGCCAGCAGTACTGCGCTTTACATACACTATTTCTTTTTAGTAAAGATATACACAGAAAAGAACAAGTAATATAATGTCGGAAGAACAGCAAACTGGCGATGGCGCCATGACGGTCATTGGCGTTTCGTTTGGAAACGCAAACTCGTCGATTTCTTTCACCGGTTCTGTATGTATTTGTCTGTCTTCTTTGTTTGGATTTGAGTTCGTTGCTAACATGACGTGACTAGGATGGAAACGTCGATATCATCGCAAACCAGGACGGAGACCGAAGCATTCCGTCGACGCTGGCGTACGTGAAGGAAGACGAGTACCACGGCCTGCAAGCAAAGGCGCAGCTGATCCGCAACTCGAAAAACACGGTGACCAACTTCCGCGACTACATTGGCAAGCAGTTTTCCGAGATCGACCCGACGTACTCACACAGATCTGCGCACCCGGTTGAAAACGCAGGCAAGGTCGGCTACCAGCTCGATGTGCTTCCTGAAGAAGGCGCCGAGCCCAAATTTTTCTCCGTCGAGGAAGTTGCCCAGATCCACCTGCGGAGACTGCGCGAGTCGGCCGAGGACTTTTTGGGAAAGCCAGTCACGGGCGCGGTGCTGACTGTCCCGACGGATTTCACCCAGAAGCAGCGCGAGGAGCTCAAGCAGATTGCGACCGAGGCCGGCATTCCGGTCATGCAGATCGTGTCGGAGCCCGTTGCTGCGCTGCTTGCGTACGACTCGGTCACTTACGGCGCGTTTCCCAAGGACCGCATCGTTGTGGTTGCCGACTTTGGATACACGCGCTCGGACGCGGCCGTGATTGCGGTGCGCGGAGGGATGTACACTGTGCTTGCGACCGCGCACAACTACGAGCTCGGTGGCGCGAGCCTCGACGAGACGCTCGCGGACCATTTCGCCAAGGAGTTTGAGAAGAAGAACGGGATCGACCCGCGCAAGGAGTCTGCGCGGTCGATCGCCAAGTTGATTGCCGAGTGCGAGGTGACGCGCAAGACGCTGAGCAACAGCAACTCGTCGACGATCTCGATCGAGTCGCTTGCCGGCGGCTTCGACTTCCACTCGACGATCAACCGGCTCCGGTTCGAGATGCTTGCGCGGAAGCAGTTTGATAACGCGGTGTCGCTGGTCGAGGACGTGGTGAAGAAGGCGGGTCTGGACGTGCTGGACGTGGACGAGGTCGTGCTCGTCGGCGGCAGCGCGCAGACGCCCAAGATCCTCAGCCGGATCGAGGCCATCTTTCCCGAGACCACCAAGGTCGCGTCGCCGTCGGGCAAGGCGCTGAACCCAGCCGAGCTGATTGCGCGCGGCGCGGCAGTGCAGGCGTCGTTGATTGCGGGCTTTGAGCAGAGCGACATCGACGAGAGCCTGCAGCCGCTTGTTGCGAACGCGCCGCACCTGGCCAAGTCGGTCGGCGTGGTGACTGCGGACGGGTCGTTTGTGCCGGTGCTGGAGAGCTATACTGCGGTGCCGATCCGACACTCTGCGGTGTTTGAGGTGCCTGCTGAGGGCGGGGACGTTCTTGTGGGTATCTACGAGGGCGAGCGGGAGATTGTGACGCGCAAGGTCGAGAGCATAAAGGAGGATAAGGATGAGGAGGATGACCTTGATGATGAGGAGGAGTTCTCGGACGAAGAGGACGAGGAGACGCGGGAGAAGGTGCTGAAGCCGGCGACGAAGCTGGCGGAGGCGGTGGTGAAGGGGACGAAGGCGGGCGGGAAGGTCGAGGTTGTGATCAATATCACGGCCGATCTGAAGGTGAGCGTGGCAGTGCGCGAGGTGGGGAGTGGGGCTGTGCGCGGCGAGTTGCCAGCTGCGGAGGTGCAAAAGTAGATGTTTTGAGAAGAGAGAAAGAAGAAGAAGCTGAGTATAGAACAAGAAGCAATACACCGGATCTATTTCAGTCTCGAGGCAGATGTAGAAGGAGGAGGAGCAAAAATAAGTGCATGCGCGTACAAAGGTAAGCTTCAATTTAGACGAGACTAGTGCGGCGCTTAAAGGAGACCCACCGCGCGCGAAGGTTTTGTTTCACACGCGCTACTGCAAGGCCCAGGGGTCGGGTGCAGAGCCACGTGGCTGAGGCCCAGCACCCACCGCATCGTGCGTTTTTTCCTTCCTTCTTCCCGCGCTTTCGCTGCTCTTTGTTCTGCACAGGACTCTTGGAGCGAGAGAGCGTAACCAGCAGCAGCGGCTTCAGCAACACCGGTCTGCGGCAGATGAGAGGCGCGGATGGACGCAGCTTCTTTGCAAGAACAGCAGCAGGAACAGGACAAGGACAAGGACAAGGAGCAGGACCCTGCAGCTAGCCCCGATGACGACCACCAGCAGCAGGAGGAAGTGCAGGAGGATCACCACAGAACCTCACTCTCTTCCTCTCTCGAACTACCAATACCCGCCATCGCCCGCGTCGTCGCCCTCCGCCAGTCATCCGACCGCACGCTGCCCCCTCTTCCCTCGCGCGGAGCCTCCTCTGCCCCTGTCTCTGTCTCCGACCCACCGCAGGAGCAACAGCAACAGCAGCAGCAGCAGCAGGCGGGCTTCAGTCTTGAGAAATCACACCGGCCAAAGACAGGGATTGTTAGGAGTAAACGGCCGCCGCCGCTCAATATCGACCAGGCGAGACCGGGACGGAGTGCGTCTGGGATAGGGCGACGGGTGCGGAGGATGACGAGCAGTGTGCTCGGGAAAGCCCTGCGTGAGTCTTCTTGTCTTTTCTCATCAACACAGCAAACTGACTGAAATACAGCCCCCGTGGTCCTCAACGACGGAGAACCAAAAAACACAGCAGCAACAGCAGCAACAGCAGCAACAGCTCCCACGCCAACCTACGCCCGCAAAAACAGAAAGCGCGTGCTCGGCCTGCCATGGTGGGCCTTCGCCCTCATTCTCTTCGCCCTCGTCGTCGTCATCATCGTCTGCGTCGTCGTCCCCACCCAAATATCCGCAAAACGCAAAGCGAACCGCGCATCCGACAGCTCAGCAAGCACAACCTCCTCCACCTTACCACACTACCCTTTCTCGCCCTCCACCACATCCACCAGCAGCAGCTCGAGTCCGTCGGCGTCGGACGTCAGCACCGCGATTTGTCGCAAAATCCTGCCCTGCGAAAACGACGGTGTGAGCTCGGTGCGTAACCTCACCTGCGTCTGCATCTGCACAAATGACTTTGCTGGAAACGTGTGCCAATACGCCTCCGGCACCGCGTGCAGCGTGTACACCCTCGCAGACGCCGACGCGGACGGGAAGAACGTCACGCTCGGGACGTCGATCGCGGAGGTCCTTGACGACGATAACGAGTATTTTGCATACATCAGCCTGAACGCGTCGACAATCTACGACGTCTTGACCGACGCCGACGTAGGCTGCTCATCGCAAAACGCCCTTGTCTCTTTCGACACCGACGACTTCACCAGCACCAGCAGCACGTTCAACATCACATCCACAGTCCTTGACTTTGCACAGATCCTCGTGCTCGACGTGCTGCAAACAAACAAGAGCGTGAGCGACGCGGCGATGCTGCAGGAGAGCTTGCAGACCGCGTTTGACGACGACGAGATCGATGCTGATTCGGGGACGGTGTATCTCGAGTACTGCGGCGTCGAGGTCGATTTCTTGACTTTTACTGCTACGGGCAACGGCGTCGGAGGCGGGTGGTAGCATCTTATTCTATGAACTTACGAATTTGCATTTTTTGTCTTTGTCTTTGTGTTTGTGTTTGTCGGGGAGTAAACTGGTTAGATCTCGTGTAGACATGACGATCGTCTTAATAATCCTGCTATGTGCGTTCTATGATTAATACACTCTCTATATACCCCCTCTAGCTCTTTCGCACCTGTCTAATGTATCCCTCCAACGCATCCATCCTGTTACAAACAGACACCAACTCCGCCACCGTCTCCGTAGCTACCCAACTCGTTAGTCCTCAGAGTATCAGACAGACAAAGAAACAGAAACAAGGGGCTAAACTAACCTTCTCCAAAACACCGCTGCGACAGACGCAGCTGCTGCGGGACTAGTACGCCAAACCACCGAATCGGATCCATCCGTAGCGGCAGTTTCGGTTTCGCAACTGTCTCCTTCTTCTCCACACTCTCTTTCTTCTCATCATCCTCCTTCTCTCCGTCCTTTGATTGCTCCGTCGCGCCTTTCCTGCGTCTCGTCGTCGCTGAGGTGTCGGCGCCCGACGCACCCACCTGCTCCTTCAAATCCTTAATCTTCTCCTCCGCCGGCGCCGACTCCCCAGCAGCAGCAGCGGCAGCAGCAGCAGCAGCCTCCAGCTTTGCCCGCTTCTCCTTCTCCTTTTTCTCCAGCTCGGCCATATCCTCAGCCGGCACGGCCGCGTCTGTCATACTCAAGCCCACGTATGAGAGATCGTTGGTCTCAGAAGAGACGTACAGCGGCGTGAACGTCTTATCTGTCAATTCTCTGCAGCGCGCTTGTCAGTAACCTCACTCTCTTTTTGCAATCTACCTTCTCAACCACCCACACTGGTTTAAAAAGTAAAGGAACAGACGTACAGGATTCTGGAGGCGTGCATGTTTCCGTGATACTGGTCGCGTCCGAAATGGCCGCGGGAACGGCCGTAGTTTGCCTGTGCCAGATTCAGGAATCCCTATCGCAGTCATAGTCAGCACCACCTCGTCTTCTCTTCCCCACCACCACCACCTCCTCCTCGTCCTCCTCAATTGAGTACGCAGAAGAAGAGCGAAAACAAAAATAAGAGGATGAAAGAACAACTCACCTCAGCGAATAGATGACTGAGCCGGAGCCGTAAACTCTGATACGTATCAACCAACTCGCAATACTCAAACAGCAACTTATCAAAACTACTCGACAATCCCGCCGGATCCACCAATTCCTCCTCCTCTTTCTTCTCCTCTGTCTTCTCATCGCCATCTTGAGCCACGGATAATTCAGTCCCCGGCTCGGCAATCGGCTGCTGCTGTGCTTTACCATCGTCGTCGCCGAGCGCGAGCTTTGAAATTTCGGATTCGAGCGCCATTCTAAAACTACCTCTTTGCTGGACTAGTAATCAAACACTCTCTCTTCAATACCAAACAAACACAATCAATCAACGCTCCACAATCTGCTCAAGCACTCGCGATGCTCAGACGCAGACGATAGTGCTGGTGCTGGGAGGTTCCAAGCCCAGCGACCGATAAACTTTCTTTACAACCCTCGTTTTTATCGCGTCAGTTCTCGTCCGGATCTCCGCGGTTTGTTGGTTGATCAACCTGAAACACCAGCAGACAAGAAACAACTGCAATAAGAGCAAAAGCAAATGCAAATGCAATTCGGTCGTCGGCGGTTGTTTTACCGTGTTGATAAGTGGTTTTGCTGTAAAGAATTGAGGGAGTTGAGATAGTATACATCTTCAGTCTTTCATTCTGCTGTTCTCTTCGCTCTTGTCACTAAAAGTAATTAAACATGGATACAACGATAAACAAAACAAAAAGCACAGTATATATATATATAGATATGGTAATAAAATAGTAAAATCCCCAAACCGAATGCTAAATCAGGATATAATATAAAAGCACAGAAAACGCACAACTCTTTAAAACCTCAGATCAAATCAATCAAATCAAATCAATCAAATAAAAACCATCGCTGACGATAAAAATAATCAACACTGCAACGCTTTTTCTTTTTTTTCTTTTCTCGCTCATAATCCCTTGACGCGCAACCATAAACTGCCTCATCAGCTAAAAAAAGAATAACAGTAACTAACTGGCAGGCGCAGTCCCTCTCCGTCTGAAAAAATCCATGACTTTCCGCGCCGGGCCTGTACCGCCATATCGTCTCTTTTCCTCATGTGCTGCGGCATTGAAATTCTTGGCGTTCGCGCTGATTTTCGCGGCGTCGCTGGTGTTGTTAGTAGTGCTGCTGCTCGAAGGCACAGTAGCAGCAGGAGCAGCAGCGGATGGTTTAACCTGCTGCTTTCTAGGCGACCCAGCAACCGCCGACATAGGCCGCGCCTTAGCCTGCGCCTGCGACGGCGTTCGCGCGTGGCCGGATGTAGACGAACCACCACCGGTATTTCCATTTCCTCCTCCCGAAGCCGAGGACTTGATGCGCCCGAAAAACCGCTCGGCGTTGTAGCTCAGACTCGACTGTGCGCGACGATGCCCGCGGTGCGCGTTTCCTCCTGCGCTTGCAGACGGCGGCGGCGCGGTACTTCCCGCCTGCGACTTTCGTGATGCGGCAGCTGCGGCAGCCGTCGCGGCCGACGACGCCGACGACGTCGAATACGCTCGCGACGGTGTAGCCGCCGCAGCAGCAGCAGAAGAAGGTGCGGCAGCAGCAGCACTGGGAGTCGAGCTCTCTTTCGGCGCCGCAGCCTGAAACGACGACGAGCTCGACGCGATGAACATTGACTGCGGTCGTTCGCGCCGCCGAGGAGATCCTGTGGCAGCCGAGTGCGAGGCCGCTCCCGCGGGTTTCACGTTTCCGCCCGCTGCCATCGAGGATCTCGAGGGCGTGCTGCTAGGCGTAGCAGCAGCAGCTGTAGTAGACGTTGGCGCCGGCGCAAACGATTGAGGCAGTGGCTTCATCAGGTCCGGCACATTCGGTGTAGACGCCGACTTGGGCGGCATGCTCGAAGCGGGGAGATACTGCATGCTCATCGGTCTCGCACGCTTGGTAGGCACCGGCAAGCGCGAGTACGTGCTGTTTCGCGGGGAGGATGACGACGGCGACGACGCGGTCTGCTCGTCGACCGACGACAGCCGTATACTGTTGCGTTTGTTCCCGCTCGACGACGGCGTGTACGACGGAGAACGGACGACTCCTGCTGCTGCTCCTCGCGAAGCCGGAGTCGCCGCAGAGGTCTCGGCCTCGTCTTCGTGAATGGTTTCCGTGATGACGCTCGGAGGCGGCTGCAGCGACGGCAGCTCTTCCGCCACGACGGACGACTGCTCGACTGGCTGCTCTGCAACATTCTCTGGAATCTCAGCGGCAGGCGCAGGTGCAGACGCAGCATGCTGTGGCTTCTGCTGGTTAACAACAGCAGGTCGGACCGGCTCCATCATAGCGCGAGGAGTGAACGTAGGCGGCTTGGTATACTCCAGCTGGATCGTATGCCGCTTTTCGTATCTGCTCGACGCCTGCTGTGTGCTCTGAGAGGCCGACGAGCCAGAAGATGGCTTGCTTGCTGACTGCAGCGATGTCTGATGAAGCTGCTTCTGGACGTTTTCAATATTGTCCTGCGCAGACGCTGCTGCACCAGAAATCGGAGCATTCGAAGCCGAGGTGCTGAAGCCGGTGGTAGGTTCCGTTGAGGGCGCGTACGACCGTCGCTTGTTGCTGCTGTTGTTGTTACTGTCAGCACCAACGGTAGACTGGTTCCGCCTGTGGCCGGCGCTCATGGACGGCTCGACAGACGAGTACCGGTGGTTATCTCTCGCGCTCATCGACCGCGGAATGCCAGGGGTGGTTGACTGTCTCGTGGCGCGAATGACGCGTTGCTGCTGCTGCTCGCCGTCCGGCATCGACGAAAGCATACTTTCCCATTCCTTGGGCTTGACGGACAAGAACTTGGCGTAAGGAAGCAGCCAGGAGTGCGCGCGGACTTCGAGCAGATCGGCTCGCTTGTCTGGGTTCGGGACCAGGATCCGTCGCAGAAGATCACGCGGCATGGGCTTGACGTAGTCTGGGAATGTCAGCGGCGTGGTCGTGATGTAGTGGTAGAGTTGGGTGATGTTTGATCCGTTGGGATTTTGCGGGTCGTCGTCGAAGGGGAGGTAGCCAGCAAGCATTGCGTACTAGGTGTGTTAGTAATGTTATGGGCAGTATGAAAGTAATAAAGAACCTACCAAAATAACACCACAACTCCAGACATCAACTTTCCTCCCAGAATACTTTGAATCACTAACGACGAGCTCAGGAGCGGCATAGCAAGGCGAGCCACAGCTGGTGCTCATGAGATCGGCGTTGGGAATACCAGAGACGACGTCGTCGGGGTTGAAGACGTTTGCAAAGCCGAAATCGGTGATGATGATGTTTTTGTGCTTGTCGAGCAACAGATTCTCGAGCTTGAGATCACGGTGCACGATACCCTTTGAGTGCAGGTAATCGACGCCGGAGATGAGCTGGGCAAAGAGTCTGCATGCCGACGAGTCTTTGAGGTATTTATTTTGCAGGATGTACTCAAACAGCTCACCGCCGGAGGCGTATTCGAGCACGATGCCGATGTATTTTTCGTTCTGGATGATTTCCTGTAGCCGGACGAGGTTGGGATGACGGAGGTGACGGAGGACGATGATTTCGCGCTGGAACTTTGCTTCGCGATTCGACATGGGAGGGATGTTTTCTTTCTTAATGAGCTTGACGGCGACCTGCAGAGATGTGTTTAGCAAGAATAGAATTGAGAGAGGGCGCGTTTGCGTCGCGTGACGCGTGTATGGTAGGAGAAGAGCAGGGGGAAGATATGATACCTCAGAGGGGTGCTTGCCGTCGCGTCTCCAGCCAAGTTTGACCTTGCCGAACTCTCCTTCGCCGAGGGTTGTGCCGAGCATGTAATTACCAAACTTGACGGCCTCTTTGCCTACGGGCCGCATGTCGACGACGGCGGCGCCGGGGTACATTGTTGTTGCCATGTCTGAGGGAGCGGTGGCGGTCTGCACGGCAGCCATGAGGGCCGCGGGGGATGAGAGAAGAGGGGGTGGTTGAAGTGAACAAGTGGAAGGAGAGATTCAAAGGAGCAGCATGTGCAGAGCAGCAGCGTGAGAAGGCAGGGCAGGAGGAGGAGGGAGGAGGATGGAGGAGGGAGGAAAGGGGGACTGATGAGATCAGGATGATTAGGGGATGCGGAGGGATGCGGAGGGGAGGTTGTGAGGAGGAGAGCAGGAATAGCCCAACAGAGAACACGCTGCTGAGCAGAAAGCAGAGAGAATCCCGCGAAGAAGAGGAAGAGCAGCAGAGGAGGAGGAGGAGAGGAAGAAGCGTTGACGAGGACGAGGAGGGAGCGATTTGGTTGATGAGAACAAAAACAATCAAGCTGACCGCATTCCGCAAGAGTGAGTGGAGTTGAAGTGGGGATGAGAGTACGGATGCTTAGTATTAGTACGGGGGGTGTAATGAGTACCAAAATACTCCCAGCCAAGGCTCGTGCGCAGGGATGACGGCCGCTTTTGGCAGCCTTCGAAGGGTAAACAACACCGCACTTTGCTCTTTGTTTACTTCCGACTTCTGTTTTAGCAGTCAATTGCTGTTGTATTCTCTGTTTATTGCTAATTACAATACCATCTCTGTTCTGCTCCTCTTCTTCTTCTTCTTCTCAATCCCTGTCTGTTCCGCTCTCTATCCCGCTCTCTGTTCCGGCGTGACGCGTGCATCGCGCGTCGCTCGCTGTCACATATTTCTGCTGTTCGTGGCCACCCTCCTGGTTCTCGGTCGTTCTTCATTAGATCCCTTGTTCGTCCTCACAAAGACTGTGATGCGGTGCCTTAGTCTCCTTGTCTCCTTGTCTGCTCCTTTCTGCTCCTCGTCTGCTCCTTGTCTGCTCCTCGTCTGCTTCCCTCCCTCCTTCTCTCTCTCCTTGTCTCGGCTCTGCGCCCCTTGTTCTCCTGCTCTCTACCTTCTCCCTCCTCCCGGCGCTCCTTGTCATGGATCGTCTACAAAAACGGGCTCACCACCCGCCCACCCGCCAGTCCTCTCTTTCCCCCCATACAGTTTATACACGTCTATACACTCCACACCGATACACAATGAGATTCACCAAGCAGTTCCTCGCCGCCATCTTCCTCATCTCCGCCTCGGGCGCTGTCGCCGCCGGCGTCGAGACCCAGGCCGACAACCAGGGTCTTCCTGATCTGAAGGACAAGATCCCTGATTTCAAGGATAAGATTCCTGACTTCAAGGATAAGATCCCTGATTTCAAGGACAAGATCCCTGACTTTAAGGACAAGATCCCCGACCCTAAGGACAAGATCCCCGAAAAGCCTGAGAAGCCCGAGAAGCCCGAGAAGCCCGAGAAGCCCGAGAAGCCTAAGAAGCCCGAGCTTCCCGATATTCCCAAGCCCGAGAAGCCTGAGAAGCCCAAGAAGCCTGAGCTTCCTGATATTCCCAAGCCTGAGAAGCCTGGCAAGCCTAAGAAGCCCGAGCTTCCCAAGAAGCCCGAGAAGCCCGAGAAGCCCGAGAAGCCTGAGAAGCCTTCGAAGACCACCTCGGTCCCGGTCTCGTCGACCACTCACCACAAGGTCCCCTCGTCGACCCCCTCGACCACCTGGACCTCTTCCGAGCCGGCCTCGTCGACGCCCACTCCTTCGTCCGAGTCATCGACCTGGACGACCTCGACGGTGCCCGCCACCTCGTCCAAGACCCACCACAGCAAGGTCCCCAAGACCACGCCCACGCCGGTCCCGATCGGAAACTCGACCGTTCCCAGCGAGCCGTCGTCGACCGCGCCGGTTGAGTCCTCCAAGACCTGGGTGCCTCCCACCACCGCGGTCCCCACCGGCGGCCAGCCCAAGACACTCAAGAACAAGACCTTGCCTTCTGCGACGCACACCCCCATCGTCTTCGAGGGCCAGTCCAGCACCCTCCGCACTTCCGTCTACACCATCGGCACTCTTGCTGCTCTTGTCGGCGTCGCTCTTTTCCAGTTTTAAGCATTTATGTTTTTGATTGCATTTTCATCCGGCGTTTCTCGTTCTTTTCCTACAAGGCTCATAACCCTCTCTTACCGCCCTCATGAGCTTTTCCTTTTCTCTCTCTTTGTATAATAGTCTTTCTTTAATAAATAATAGAGCTGGGCGGGCTCACCCCCAACACATTCAAATAACAGTAAATTCCAGTAAATAGCAGCAAACAACAGTAAATAACAGCAAACAGCACCAACAAGGCTTTCACGTGCAATATGAAATAAACCGGCTGCTATTGGCCGAGCCTCGGCAAATTCAAAACTAATCAATTACGTAACCGAACTCGGAAAATAAAAAAAAAAATTGAAATAAGCCGCGCCGTTGATTGATTGTGGGATCATCTTCAACATCCTCCTTCACGGCTTTTGTTTGTTGTTGAAGCCTGTTATTCTGCTTTTATTCCTTGGTATAGTGTCGTTGAACATGAGACTCCTCGTCCGTGCTCTGAGAGCCTCTCAGAGACCACTCGCACTCTCCTCCGCCACCCTTCGCGCTTCACGACCCATCCCATCGCCGAACCCCACATCCATCCCCGTCCGCTCCCTCTCCCGCTCATTCCACTCCACCACGCGACTCCGCAATGATTCCTCGTCCTCGTCCGCCCTCACAGATGAAATGCTCGAGATCCTAAACGAGCCCCGCGACGTCGACGAAGCAGACGTCGTCATCGTCGGCGGCGGCCCGGCCGGTCTCGCGGCCGCCATCAGACTCAAGCAGCTCGAGCTCGAGCGCGGCAACGAAGTCCGCGTCGTGCTCCTCGAAAAGGCTCCCGACATGGGCGCGCACACGCTCTCCGGCGCGGTCGTCGAGCCCCGCGCGCTAGACGAGCTCATCCCGGACTGGCGCGATGATCCACCTAGTCCACTGACGCCCGTGACGAGCGAGAAAATGCGGTTCCTGACCCCGACCCACGCGATCCCGATCCCCGAGCCGCCGCAGATGCACAACAAGGGAAACTATATTGTCAGCCTGAGCGAGGTCGTCAAGTGGCTCGCCGCCAAAGCCGAAGAGCTCGGCGTCGAAGTCTACCCCGGCTTCTCGGTCTCCGAGCTCGTGTACGACGACGAGTCCGGCGCGGTCCGCGGCATCGCCACAAACGACATGGGCATCTCGAAATCAGGTCTGCCAAAGGACAGTTTCCAGCGCGGAATGGAGTTCCACGCAAAAGTCACCTTGCTGGCCGAGGGCTGCCACGGCTCGCTCACAAAGAAGGCAATCAAGAAATTCGACCTGCGGCGCGACAAAGATCCGCAGACCTACGGCCTCGGCATTAAAGAGGTATGGGAGGTTCCTGAAGAAAATTTCAAAGAAGGTGAGGTCGTGCATACCATGGGCTGGCCCCTCAACAAGGATCTCTACGGCGGCGGATTCATGTACCACTTTGGCGAGCGCCTCGTCAGCGTCGGTCTCGTCGTCGGCCTCGACTATGCAAACCCATGGGTCTCGCCGTTCCGGGAATTCCAGAAAATGAAGCACCACCCGCTCTACGAGTCCGTTCTCAAAGGCGGGAAATGCATCTCCTACGGCGCGCGCGCGCTCAACGAGGGAGGATACCAATCTATCCCGAAGCTGAGCTTCCCAGGCGGTGCCCTCATCGGCTGCTCTGCGGGTTTCGTCAACGTGCCGAAGATCAAGGGCACGCACACAGCCATGAAATCCGGCATGATGGCCGCCGAGAGTGCGTTCGATGCCATCGTTGACTCGACAGAAAGCAGTAGTACCTCGCCGATTGTGCTGGAAACCTACGAAAAGACGTTTGAAAAGTCGTGGGTGCGCGACGAGCTCTACGAAGTCCGCAATATCAGACCGTCGTTCGATAATAAACTGGGCATGTACGGCGGCATTCTGTACTCTGGCCTCGACACGATGCTGCTCAAGGGTCGCGTGCCGTGGACGTTCCATCACAGACACACCGACGCTGAGATGACCAAGCCTGCGGACCAGTTTGAGAAGATCGAGTACCCGAAACCGGATGGAGTGGTTAGTTTTGATTTACTGACTTCGGTCGCGCGGACTGGTACCATGCATGACGAGGACGAGCCTGTGCATCTTAAAGTGGCAGACTGGGTATGCTCCTCTCAACTCTTCCTACACCATTTACTTCTTCTGACACACACTCTAGGACGCGCACACCGCTGCCTCGTTCCCGAAATACCAAGGCGTCGAGAACCGGTTCTGCCCCGCTGGCGTGTACGAATACGTTCCCGACGAAACCAAGCCCGAAGGCGTGCGCTTCCAGATCAACTCACAGAACTGTATCCACTGCAAGACATGCGACATCAAGGTGCCGACCCAGGACATTGACTGGGAGTGTCCTGAAGGCGGTGATGGGCCAAAGTATATGCTGAGTAAGTTGAGACTGTTGATTGTGCTGCTTGCTTGGTCGTTGCTAACTTTTGCACAGCTTAACCGGGACGCTGCATACAATTCATGATAGACGATATAGACATTAATACAAGTAGACACAATACTTTTACTCTAATCATATCTACAGTTGAATATCAACCATAAACACAATTCTCACGGGCCTGCGCGCTTAACCGTCAATGCGGCGCCGAAGCGCAACCGCCAAACAGCTGACCGACCGCCCGCTCCTCCGCAAAATGTGAAATCCTCATCTTCACCACAAAGCGAGATCCTCTTCTTAGACACAATTCTCCTCGTCGTCGATAGACAGACACTGGCACCATGGCGGACGAGCTCGTGCCCGAAGTATCGTCGCTCGATGACATCTACTCCTCCGTCGACCAGCGCGAGCGCTACGCCGCCATCTTCGACAGCTTCGCGAGCAAATACAACGCCGAGCCCGAATTCCTCAGTCGCAGCCCCGGACGCGTGAACCTGATCGGAGAGGTTTGTCTCCTCTGCTCCACCCTGCCCTATGCCAGCCGTTACTAACCCAACCTGATCTCCAGCACATCGACTACTGCTACTTCTCGGTCCTGCCGATGGCCATCGAATCCGACATCGTCATCGCCGTCCGCAAGAACAACGACGCCTGCCTCCGACTCGCCAACACCGACGCCAGATTCCCGCCGACGACCGTCCCGCTCTCGGCCTCGGGCGCGTTCGTCGTCGTCGACAAAGCAGACTCCAGCTGGGCGGACTACTTCAAGTGCGGCCATCTCGTCGCGCACGAGTTCCTCAACTCCGCCGCTGGTCCTGCCGCGCCCGTCGTCCCGCTCGGCATGGACATCGTCGTCGACGGCACCGTCCCCGCCGCTTCAGGCCTATCCTCCTCCGCCGCCTTCATCTGCGCCGCCGCGCTCGCGACCCTGCGCGTCAACGGCGTGACCTCAGTCTCAAAGCAAGAGCTGACCGCGATGGCGATCGTCTCCGAGCGCCACCTCGGCGTCTTCTCCGGCGGCATGGACCAGTCCGCCAGCGTCTACGGCAAACCAGACCACGCGCTCTACGTGCAATTCAAGCCCGAGCTCAGGTGCACGCCGTTCAAGTTCCCCGCCGCGCAGCCCCCGCTCTCGTTCGTCATCGCAAACTCCCTCGTCCACGCAAACAAGCACGACACCGCGCCGACAAACTACAACCTGCGCGTCGTCGAGGTCTCGCTCGCGGCTGAGATCCTTGCGCACAAGTACGCCGTCGTCATTCCGCAGGACTCGGGCATCGGCACCGGTACGCTCCGCGGGTTCATGGAGGCTTATTTCGCAAAGAAAGAAGGCGCGTTGCCGTGGGACGGCGACGTCGACGAGGGATCGAGGCGGCTTACTGAGATGGCCGAGCTCGTCAGACAAACCTTCACGATCAAAGACGGCTACACAAAAGAGCAAGCCGCCGCCGCGCTCGGCGTCTCGGACGCTGATCTCCACCAAAAATTCCTCGCAAAGACGCCCGTCCGATTCTCAAAGCTGCAGCTCTACGGCCGCGCGCTGCATGTCTACGAAGAAGCAGGCCGCGTGCTAAAGTACCTTACAACAATGCTGCATCCGCCCTCCTCCCCCTCCTCCTCTGACTCTATCTTCACCTCCCTCGGCTCGCTTATGGACCAGTCCCACGCATCGCTCGATACCCTCTTCGACTCGTCCTGTCCAGAACTCAACACGCTCTGCAGCATCGCGCGCGCAAACGGAAGCGCCGGATCGCGCGTCACCGGCGCTGGCTGGGGCGGATGCACAGTCCATCTCGTGCCGCTCGACAAGGCTGAGAAGCTGAACGCCGCGCTGAGAGAGCAGTATTATAAGGTGCGGTTCCCGGGGATCTCGGACGAGGATATCGAGCAGGCGCTTGTGGTTAGTAAACCTGGGATTGGGAGTTTGGTGTATACCGGAGGACGTCCTCAAATATAAGCTCGTGTGCTATCGTTTCCTATTAAACATTATGCAGTAGTCTGTGTAGTTGTATCTGCTTCGCCAGAGCACTCTATCACTCCTAAACCGAACCCGAGTGCAAACACAAACAATAAATCCAAAAGCGTTCTAAAAATACACAAACACAATCTATATACAGTCAAGAATCTAATCTACTACTGCGCCCGCGGCTTCGACGACACGCGATACACAAACTCGGTACTCCACAACTGCATGATCTGCGCCTTAATCGCCGGCACCGCGCCAAACACCGTGCCCGCGACCGGAAAGAGGACGTAATCAAGCAGATAAGCAGGTCCTCCGCGAGGCGCAAAACCCACCTGTGAGAGCGAGCGCTTGATGAGGTCTGGCGAGGCCGGCGAGGTGAGCGCGGTCGAGATTAGGTTATGGCGGAGGCGGATTGCTGTTGCGTGGAATTTTTCGTAGAGAAAGAGTTGGAAGACGACGCCGAGGAAGGCGGCGGTGCGGAGGTAGTTTGTGTATTGCAGGACGTGGAAGAGGAGGTGTGTGCTGTCGTTTGCGGTGGTGAAGATGGGGAGGACGGAGCAGGCCATGATGTCGATGAAGTAGTGGACCGGGAGGAAATGAGCTTCGTAGAGTCTGTGCAGGAGGACGATCGTGCGCCATACCGGGACGGATGAGGACGCGGTCGGCGTCGCAGACGGGTACCTGACACTCGACGCAATCGAGAGCAGTTTCTCGTCAGACCCGAGCTCGGCATCGCTGTTTTCCGTATCCTGGTCGTAGTACTCAAACGAGCCCAGCTGGTTCTGACGACCGGCCAAGGTCAGCGTCCTGAGCGTCTGCTTGATTGCGTATCCCGAGTCAACTATCCCCCACATATGTCTACATGCCTGCATAAACCGCGCCACAGACGACAGCCGCCAGCGTTCCAGCACACTCAGCTGCGGCATCCAGTTCTCATGCACGACGTTACAGTGGCTCGCCGGGCTGAAGACCGAGACCGACCGCAGCCGCCCACAGGTCTTGAAATAGCACTTGAGGTACATGTGCAGGTCCTCGCCGATCGCGCCAGGCCCGGTATCCCAGAAACCAACGTACCGCGCGAGCGTCATCGTGATCGAGTACACCGACGTCGGCGTGCGCACCTGCGAGCAATCGTACAGCGCCGAGATACCCGCCGCGCACCAGAGCATATCCGCGCACCGCACGATCGGCGAGACGGTGCTCGCGTTGCGGTCAAACACGATCGGCAGGACGTACATCGTGAACGTGTTCGCGCGCTCGAGGTTCGTCGCGCAGTCGACGCAGATCTGCTCAAAGTACTGCGGCAGCAGATGCGTGTCGGCGTCCATGACTGTGAAGACCACGTTTGTGCGCGACTCGGAGCGGTAGTGCTTGGACGCGGCGCGCGTCGACCACGAGATGTTTGAGGACTTGCCGCGGGCTTCGCCGGGGAGGGAGTGCGGGTGGAGGGTGTATGTGATTCGGTGGAAGTAGGGCGAAAAGTCGCGGATCAGGGTCGTCGCTTTCTCGACCGCGCTCGGTTCGTGTTCTTCCATCGCCAGGTATATCTGGTTGATCTCGTTAGCTGGGACAGCCATCGTAGAGTTGACTTTTTGGAACTCACATCGTAGGAGCTGCGCGCCAGATCATGGCACGCCAGCATGCTCAAAGTCTCGCGCATGGTCTCGAGAGACTCTTTATAGTTTGGAAGAAAGATAGCATGGAGGAGGAGTTCGTCGTCTATCCCAAACACCGTGCCAGATGATAAGCTATCTGAGCTATCACCGCGTCCTGCATCGCAGCACACGATAGCACTTTTCTCGCTCTCGGCGCCTGTGCTTTCCAAATCGTCTTCGTCGCTCCAGAGTATCGCATTCTTCCTCGTGCCTGGCGTACCTGGCGCGCTGTTCGCACTCTCTGCAGCCACCAGCGCGGTCCTCTTGCTGGTGATATACATGCCATAGCACGACCTGACCGTGAATGACACGACAGAGACATGGAGCACCAACGTGAGCCCGATGAACAGCAGACTGTCGTGAGCGAAAAGAATGAGCGCAAGCACGAGCAAGGTCGATAAGCCAGGCGTACAGCGGACAAGGTAGTTTCCCGCCCGCCGCCCCGCAGACGCTGCGCTCACCGCACCTGAGAGCATACGCATTTGGCTCCGACGCGAGTTGTGCCTGCTTCCCGTGTCTTTGTTTGAGTCCGGGAGGTGTGTTTGGAGGAGGAAGAGAGAGCGATGGAGGTGTAAGGTTTAACTTCTGCGATGTCTTCGTCGTTTAAGCTTTGGCAGCTCCTCCGCCGCACGCCTCCCAGCCAGCGGAGGCTTTGTCTACGTCTTTGTTAAGAGGAGAGGATAGAAGTGATTGAAGGTGTGTTGAAATCAGAGAGAGGTCTGCTGGTGCTGAGTGGGTGGTGGAATGGTATTGAATAGAGGCAAATCAAGGCCTGCTGTAATGCAGACTCATCCTCTGCCAAAGCCGAGGACTGACGATACTCCCCCAGCAGTGCTCAGGGAATGGTATCGGCACTGGACCGCGGTGCTTCGTGCATGCAGCTTGTCAAAGTATACATATTGTATGCTGGAGACTCAGAATAGGCTATATTCTTGCTTTGTACAAATATATCGAGTACCCGACTCCACAAGCAAGTGCTCCCACCGACAAACAGCTCCAAAGAATACTTCGCTGAGCTAGAAGGATGAGATATGTTAGCACAGTGCATGCAATCAACCGCAGCTCAAAAGCGACTTACAAGTAGTCCTTCTCTCGTAATCAATCAGCCTTTCCTTTTCACTCTTGATCCCATTACGAATATCCACCATCCTACTCTTATAATCCTCCACCCGGTCCGTCGCCTTCTTCAACCTCCGCTCGAGATCAGCGACCACGTCCAGCTCTGTACAAAACTCATCAATCTTCTGCAACTTCACCGCGTACTCTGTCTTTGACCGCACGTTCTCCTGCTCAAGCACGCCGTTGTAATGCGCTACCCGCTCGCGCATCTTCTTCAGCTGCGAAATATGCGCCTCGACCTCGCGCGCCCGGCTCGCGAGCTCGGACTCGATCCTGGTGAGCGTGTCGTCGTCGTCGCGTTCGAACTTTCGAAAGGCGGTCAGTTGGTCGATGATCTGGCTCACGACGTCCCTGTACATCATATCAGTAAAACAATACAAGTGAACCACTATAATAGTCAAGCAGCAACCCACCGAGCATGATTCAGCAGTTGCCAGTTATGACTCCCCTCCCGCCGTATAGACGCGGTCTCAAGTCTCAGCGACGGCGTAAGCGATCCCCTCCTACTCCTCGCCACAGACTCCCCAAGCAACGACGACTCCGACGGCGCCCCTGCCACGCTGATCTGCGGCACCGCCAGCTGCTGCGGATCACCGCTCCCGTTCCCGTTCGCCGGCAGGCCGTCCGAGGACGACGACGACGCGGCGGCGGTCGACGGCTCCCGCAGCGAAGGCACGTTGAGGAACTTCTGCGGCGACTGGCCTGGTGTGCCGGAGAGTGCTGACGGGGCGAGGCCCTGGCCGATCGTGTATGGCAGCATGGGTGGTTGTCATATGCGACAGCTGTGATCTTGAGTAAGAGCTGGTGTTCAGAAGATGGGACCGTAAATGCCGCTGAACCTAACCCAAAGAGAGCCTTCGACGCGGTGTTGGATGTGCAGATTTGTGGAGGAGTTGGTTTACAACTGAAGCAAAGGAGCAGATACAGGAGATAATGTTAGTGAGAATATGTGTGGGGTGGTTAGTTGTTGATTGTGATATTAGTCTGTTGTTTATAGCCTTGGACCGGTTCGTACTAATAAACATGCATTTACTCTACAACCACTCCAGCCTCCAGAACAACAACAACAACAATGATAATAATAGAAACACAACCTCCACTCCTTCTATAGCTACAAGTCAAATCTATACCACCTCATCGCATTATAAAACAAGTGCTGCTGAGTCGAGAAGTGAGATGAGATATGGCCAGTCTGAAGGTAACGTGACCGGCCGACGGAGAAGGTGCCCGCAAAAGGCAAAAACCCAAACGCTCGTTATCTCGACTTTAGACTTCCGCTCGCTGATTGCCTCGATATCCTCCTCTCTTCGACAAGAGCAATTAGCTACAGAGCAGCCTGTGAAGAGATATATCGCTGTTGGAATACTAGCTATAATCTAGAGCTTTACTAGACTGGTTATAATCGCAAGCAGCAAACCAGCCCGCCCGACTCCGCCGACGTTCACATCGCTTATCGCTACACCTTCCCACAATGGCTCTCTTCTTCAAATCCCCTCTCGACATCGAGATCCGTCTAGACAGCGAGGACAAGCGGAAACACGTCGACGTCCGTCTCGACAAAAGACGGAAGGAGAAAGTGCCCTTGTTTGTCGACGGCGAGACCGTCAAGGGGTCTGTTATCGTCAGACCAAAGGATGGACGCAGACTCGAGCATATTGGAATTAAAGTCCAGTTTATTGGAACAATCGGTTCGTCAGCCATGAGAAAAGAGCTACATTGAGGAAGTATAACAAAGACTGACTTTGCCACTCTAGAAATGTTCTCGGACAAAGGAAACACCTACGACTTTCTGACTCTCGGCCAAGAACTCGCCGCCCCTGGCGAACTACAGCACCCAGAGACCTACGAATTCGAATTCCGCAACGTCGAGAAGCAGTTCGAGAGCTACAACGGCATCAACGTCCGTCTGCGCTACTTTGTCCGCGTCACCGTCGGCCGCCGGATGGCAGACGTCATCCGCGAAAAGGACCTCTGGGTGCACTCGTTCAACATCCCGCCAGACACCGTCAGCTCGATAAAGATGGACGTCGGTATCGAGGATTGCTTGCACATTGAGTTTGAGTACTCCAAATCCCGCTACCATCTCAAGGACGTCATCGTCGGCCGCATTTACTTCCTCCTCGTCCGTCTGAAAATCAAACACATGGAGCTCTCTATTATCCGCCGCGAGACCACCGGCGCGCCGCCTAACCAATACAACGAGAGCGAGACCCTGGTCCGGTTCGAGATCATGGACGGCGCTCCCGTTCGCGGCGAGACGATCCCAATAAGACTGTTCTTGGGCGGCTTCGACCTCACGCCTACCTACAGAGACGTCAACAAGAAGTTCTCCACCCGTACCTTCCTGTCGCTCGTCCTTATCGATGAGGATTCGCGGAGATACTTTAAGCAGAGTGAGATTGTATTGTACAGACAGCCATGAGATTAATCAAGTATTTTGGTAATGGCCAGGGGTATAGGAGGGGGAAGGGGTTAATGCGATTGTGTCGGTTTGGTTTCTGATTGTATAATTTCGAAATATATACGTTTAATCTTTTTATCTATAATACATAGCAAATGCAACTTCACCTATATAACACTACTGCAGCTTACGGCCTGCAGTATACTACAACATCACCTCTCCGTCTGTAGTCCTCATGGAAATGACTATTGAAAAACCTGGCGCACTCCAGATAATCCTCGGACCCACCAAGAGCCTCGTCGACCTTCTCCTTCAACGCCTCAAAAAAGACCAAGTGGCTAGGCCAATACTTTGGATGCGCACCTTTATACTTCGAGCGTATCTGCGTCACCGGCGGGAAATTAGTCCTGATAAACTCAACCGGATCCGCGTAGAATATGTCGGCCTCGTCCATGTACGTCTCCAGCTCGACGTTTCCGCGCGGCGGCTCGCATGTCAGAAACCAGGCGTCGATATCTCGACGGTGCATATGGCTCATCCATGGGGTAGAATGACACGGCATCAGGAAACCCACGCTAGTTACTGACGGATTCTCTCTGATGTATGTTGTCACGTCCACGACACCTCGCTGGTGCACCATGGTGATGTAGAGTGCAAACGGAATATGAATCACAGCTATCAGAACTAGCGCGGCAGTCTTGGCTCGAGGCTTGTACGGAATCCTCAGGGACTCTATCGAGACGGCGGTGAAGATGTGGAAAGCAGACAGCAACGGAAATATAAACCGGACTTCCTTGTGCGCAATCAAACTATAAGCAACAATCACAAACACACACGCCTGCGCAAGAACGGTCGATCGACAAAGGTAGAGTCCATGTAAAGCAAACGGCGTGAACAGAATCAATAGCTGCGGAAGTGCCTCGATGAGGTAGTATAGCTTGCCGTTGACTCCGTAGAACGAAGACAGAGACTCGACGACATTGAATTTTAGAAAATTGAGCAGCGGAAAGACTGGCCCGCCGTAAAAGTAGGCGTCAATCTTGGCGTTGAATCCGAGGATCGAGGTACTATTACAGATGGTTAGCGCTCGTTCTGGCTTTGTAGATCCAACACAACTTACCCAACCAGCACGGCGATGACAATCAGTCTGGCCGACGGCTGTTTATATATGAGAACTGCACCGAGATACATCCAGATAAGCACGTTTGTCGGTCTGAGAACACAAGCAATGGCGGCGAGAACCAACGCAAAGAAGTAGCGCCTAGCAACAACCATTAGCATATATCGTCTCAATGATGAGTTTAGATCGATCCACATACCTCATAACATTCGGACCAGCGCTCTCCTTCAGCGGCCAAAAATTCAAAGCGCAGACACAGATTGTAGACTCGAGTGAATTGGAAAAAGTCCGGACGGAGACAAAGAAATTGAAGACCGAGGTTATCGTGCAGAACAGGGTTATACGCGCTATCCGGTCGCCGTAAAGTCGATTGGCGAGTTTGTAGGTCGCGTAGTCTGACAATGCTGCAAACACGGCCTGGACTACCTTTGGTCCATAGATCTACTAATTGTAAGTAAGAATGACAGAGGCAGCGAGCGGTTGACGCGATCCATCCAAGATTGACATACCACACCCGCAGCTCCAAGATCGAGCCACTCCGAGACCTGGTAGATGACTGTAAATATCAACGGATGCGCAAAACTGCGAAGCGCACTCCGCCACTCCCACGTCAGGTATCCGTATCTGAAAACCGCGAGATGGGCGGGCTCTAAGCTCTGCCAGAACTCGTCTGGCTGGAAGTACGTGGTCGTGATCAGAGCATTGACGATGCGGAAGGCGAGGAGCTCGAGGAAGAGAGGAACTGACGAGAGCAGCATTTCTGCACACACAATTGATCAATTATAAAATGCTCGACTCTGCTTTCTCACGCAATGCATCATGCAATAATACCTGCACTTGTTCCTAACAGACGCGAGCAGCTCCAGCTCCAGCTCAAGTCAGTCTGATCTGCTTATGTCACATCACGTGCTGTTTACATAATCAAAACAAATTAACCGCCGGGTGGCCTCTGCGGGATTGCGGGATGCGGCGCACGCGCTCATCTCGATAAGTTTCTTATCGCAGCTTCCTCCTCTCTCGCCACTGTCTCTGCCCTCAACAATGGCGCGCCAGGTCAGACTTCTCCAGACAGACGACATCGACGACGACGACGACGTCCGCAGCCCGTCGCCGTCCTCGGACTCCGCCAGCTTCATCCACGAGCACGAGGCCGCGGGCTTCCTCGGCACCACCACCGAGGACTCGTCTTCGCACCCCGCGCCCAAAGAGGTCTACAACTGGAGACCCTATGTGCTCGCTCTCTCCGCCGCCATGGGCTCCGCCATGTTTGGCTACGACACCGCTTTCATTGGCGGCACCATCGCGCTGCCCTCGTTCGCCCACAAGTTCGGCCTCGAGGACGCGACCGGCAACGCACTCGCGGGCATCGAAGCCAGAATCGTCAGTACTTTCCAGGTCGGCTGCTTCTTTGGCTCGATCCTGGTCTACTACTTCAACGAGTTCCACGGCCGCAGGAATACTCTTATTCTCGCTGGTCTTCTCTTTGATTGTGGCGCCATCATGCAGCTGTTGTCGAATGGAAACCTCGACTACATCTATCTCGGAAGAGGCTTAACAGGTATGCTTATATAATAACCGTGTGCGCCATCGCTGCCATTGTGCCATCGTTGTCTGACCACACTTTCCTCTTCAATTCAGGACTCGCTGTCGGCTCATCGTCACTGGTCATTCCAGTTTACATATCAGAATGTGCTCCGCCCGCCATCCGCGGACGGCTCGTCGGCATATTCGAGATCGTTCTCCAATCCTTCCTCGTCGTGGGTTTCTGGGTCAATTACGGCGTCAACGAGCACATCAGTGGTCTATCCGACACGCAGTGGCGCATCCCCGTCAGTCTCCAGCTCGTCCCCGGAACCCTCCTTGTCATCGCCATGTCTTTCCAGCCCGAGTCCCCTCGATGGCTAATCCGGGCCGGAAAAACATCCCAGGCGCGCAAAGTGCTGAGCTATATCCGGAATCTCCCCGCTGACCACGAATATGTCGTATGGGAGGTTGAGTCGGTCCTCAACCAGATCGAGCACGAAAGCTACACCGGCGCGGACGGCTCGCTCAAGGATAAGCTGAAATCTATTATGCTTCCGGGGAAACGTAATCGTCTGATTCTGGGCTGCAGTATGATGATCCTCCAGAACCTGTCTGGCACCAACGCCTTAAACTACTACTCGACCACCATCTTCCGCTCAATCGGATTCAGCGGAACCAGCGTCGGCCTGCTAGCCACAGGAGTCTACGGCTTTTTCAAATGCATCACCACCATCTTTTTCACCTTCTTCGTCATCGAGCGCATCGGTCGCCGCAACTCACTAATCTACGGTGGAATCGGAACAATGGTTGCCATGTTCTACCTCGCTTTCTTTGGCGCGGTCTCCGGCTCTTTCGATGGACACGCGGAGCGGAATGCCTCTGCTTACGTCGCTATCTTCATGGTCTACTTCTTTGCCGTCACATTCACGCTCTCGTGGAGTGGTATCCCCTGGATTTTTGCTGCCGAGGTGTTTCCTGCCTCCGTCCGTTCAGTCTGTGTGTCAATGACCACCAGCTCACAGTGGGTCGGCCAGTTTATGATTGTCTACTCGACGCCTTACCTGATGGAAAACATAAAATGGGGAACCTTCCTCGTCTTTGGCATCTCGCTCTTCTTCGGCGTCGTCTTTGTCTTTTTGTGGGTTCCGGAAACCAAAGGAATGACGCTGGAAGAGATGGACATCATGTTCGAGCTCGAAACCACCGACGGAAGAGAAATGCGCGAGCAGGCCGAGGCTATCATCGCTCACGAGCGAGAAGTGCTGACCATGTCGGACAGGCAGACCGTCGGCGCAATCAAGCTCGGAGACGAGTTTGCTGTATGAGGTGGTAGGTGCATGGTGCATTATGTGTGGGCTTTAATTCGCTGGTGTAGGTTATTACGTGGGAGCAGACTACAAGATGATATCCACTCTTTTATATCATCTTTGAGAGTCTGTGCATTGTTATGCATATTCATATTTACTTTACTTTTGTACGCTTCAGATAGAGATACCAATTCATTCATTCATTCATTCATCAGTTTGCTGATTGATAATTGTCTGCTCGGGCTAGTTACATGCGATGCCCACCCGACTGCGCCTGTAAATTGACTTGTACAAATCCTGATAGGATTGATCGGGTGTACTCCACCATTAGCGTTGTAGAATGCCAGGGTGCCCATAAAGATGAGCTGCTGATCCCGCAGAGATACAGTAGATTAAGCGATCGATATATACAAAGTCCTACTACCTCAGAACATACATCCCAAGATGACATCCGGCTTGTCCGCAGAACCAGATGGCAGATTCAATATTATCACACCTCCTTTTTCTCCTCCTCCAAAGAATGCGCAAGATAGTATTTGACAAAACTCAGAGTGTAGAACGTGACTGCAACAACCGCTAGCACCTTGATAATCGGAAGTGTGAAAGTAGCATAGAAGTTAACCTGTCGAGAAAGCGTTAGATGCGTCGTAATTCAAATGTGTAAATCAACAGACTAACTCACGAGCGGTGACCGTGGTTTTTTCGGTTTGTCTCCAGTAGTATTAGCACTTGGAGCTGCCTTCTCCTTGCTGATCTCGTTCACTTTATCTGATGCCTGCTTGTCTGTTGAATACGGCTGCGCCAAACCTGCTCGGAAAGCAGCATTCAATGGACCCCGACGCAGTCTCGTCTGCAAAAGTCCCAGACACGATGCATTGCCAATCACTGCACGCTGACAGAGACCGATCCTGCCTATTATCAGACTGCTCATTGTGTCTGAGGTGTGTGAATGCCGAGCGGATGGCTGGTTGAATATCAGAAATCGATGTTCACGACGTGTAATCGAGGCGTTTGTACCTCTGAACGCGTCGCGTGCTGGGAAGACGCTCAAGACCACGACCACGGAATCAACACGAGAATCAACAAGAACAACAGCACAGAACATGACGACCTCGACAATGCGTGAAGCGTGGCTTCCGATCGACATCTCTTTGCCGCTGATTTACTGCATGAAATGCTTCCGGACGACGACGAGTCATAATGGCGGCTTTTACGTTATGGAGTGCGGACACATATTCTGCGATAGCCATGTTGAGATTGCCAATGTATCAAATGGTCAGCCTTTCCGCCTTTTCTGTCTGTGTATTATTGAGCTTTTGTTGATTGTGAGGGGATTTCAGTGGCGTCGCAGAACTTCCCGATGAATCATTCGTGTCCTCACTGTAAACTTACAGATATCTCGGTCTACAGAATCGGACCAAAGGTTTGCTTCTGTTCAGTCTCTTCTTTGTCTACTGATCCTCAATTTTATTTCTGTTTTTTTGCATATATAGAACGCTCATCTACCCCCTGACTTGGCCGTTCATTTCGACGATTTCCTTCTCTCGCTCAAAAGATACTTTGAATCGATAAAGGTCTCGTACTCAGTACCCTGACGCGCCCAAGAAGGCCTCTGATCTCTGACTTTTCGGACCTCTAGTACAACTACGAATCCCTCACGTTTCTAATCAGACACTATCAAAGTCTTCCAAACGCTTCCGAGCTCGAAAAGCAGGTCAGACATCAGAAAGATGTGATTGCAAAGATGGTGCCTGCTCTGGAGAAATCCGCTCTCTGGGAATCGTTCGTTACTTCTCTCTATACTGCTGTTTAGGTTTGCTGTTTGATTGTGATTTTGAACGTTTGTCGGGCTGACTAGGGTACTGTACTGTTACTGTGTATAGTACGGCGGTGCGTTTAACTGTGGAGAACGAGAACCTACGGCAACGGTTAAACATAGCAACAGAACCTCCGAATCGGCATCATCCACCTAACGAAGCATCTCTTCAGTCATCTCAACTCCAGGCACCAATGGCTCCTCCTAACAACCACAGTCACCTATCAAGCAAAGCAGGACAGGGCTTCAACACGCCAGAAAGCTCGCGGAATGCAGGAAAAGGCAGCAGTTTGAACCTCGAGAGCTTCGCATACCACGAACGACAGCTACCCACCGTCCTGACGCCCACTTCGGGCGGTGCTCGGGGTCAACGTTCTTCCGCTCCCAGCATTGGTAGCGGGACCAGGAATAATCCAGCATCAACGTCCGAAGCCAATGGAATCGGCAGTAGATCCAGAATCTCAACTCCGGCACTGTCCCATATCGAAGACAATACCATCGACCATCCAAGCCCGACTCCTTCCCGAGCCAAATTCGGACGGACAAATGTTGTCCGCCCGATCCCTGTATATGGAATAGGATCTCCGGAGCACAGGCCTGAGAAGGAAGCAAAAGCAAACAGATCGCCGTACTTCAAGTCGCCTGCCCCTCGTATATTCCAGCGATACGAATCCTCCCCTGTTGCGCGGTCAGTCCCACATCCAAGACATTCGAACGGAAACCCTGTCCGTCAACATCCAGAATCACCTGGCTACAACGACGGCTCATTTTCTTCAAGCTCCCGGACGAGATTCCCACCTTCCCATGCCATGCAAGATCAAAACTCGCACTTCCACCCCATTAAACGCCCAGCAACCAGCTCGGGCTATGGGCCGAATCCGGCCCATCGAGGTGCAGGGATGTACAGAACGCCCAGTGCCGCAAACACCCCAATCAGTTTATCGAGACCCGCGAGCCGTGCGCAGTTCGAGGCTGCTCCTGGTATGAGAACGACGGTCCTCGGAGCTGCAAGAAGTGGTGGTAGCTCAGTGTTGTCGCAGACGAACGGCCACTCCGCCTTGACAAATATCAGAAATGTGCGACGGGTACCGTTCAATCGCTCCTAATATCTCCTGTACTTTTACTTTTGCAGATTATCGTTTTCGCTGTCTCAATCAATAGCTTACTTTGTGTGCTATATACAAATTATAAACACCTCTAGCGAATTTCCACGTGAGGAAAATCTTCTTGCTTGGTAATTCAAATCATTTCTCCCACCCATCCTTATCGTCATCGAACTCCTCCAGCTCTTCCAGATTTTCCAATAGATACCACGCCTTGTTCGCATTCGCCTCTTCCTCATCTAACTCAGCCTGTGTCTTTTTCCTTTTAAACATCTCTTTGTAAGCCGCGTGGATATCCGTCGAACTTTCCAAAAGCCGGTCCACAGGTGCGATCGAGTCCAAGCGCCAGCTCTCCCATCTCTCCTTCTTGTTGTAACTCTCGCTCCTGATGATAGTGTATAGAATACGTCTATCACATGTGCGTATCAACCACCCCGGGTAGAAATACTTGTACTTGGGATCAGTCTTGACGAAGTACCCGTGAAATATCGCGGGCCCGTTCACTTTTGTCTCATCAACTTCATAGGTCAAATCGCGCATGTTGTCGATGAAAATATTCCGGGAAAGAAGCGCGCGATCTGACTTGCGCCGGGCTTGCACAGTAGTCCACAGTTCGGGCCCGAACGCGCGCATTTGCCGCTCGATATCACTGTACTTGGATTTCTCCCAGTCAATCCGTCGATGACTCCGGAGGATTTTGGGCGCGTGAGAGAATTCTGTTTTGACCACAGCTTTCCTGTCTTGCTCAAACAACGGGATCAGCTTGCTTGCCGGATTGTAATCTTCCTCAGTACTGGTGCTTGTGCGGTCCAGGCTCTCGGTCTGTGCTATGCGAGTGATTGCTCTCGCGAGCATATCTGCGCCAATATTACCCAGCTTCTTCAGCAACGCTTGAGACGTCTCGTCAGGTTGCACTTTCTGGATTGGCGATTGCATCAAGATCTCGCCTTTGTCGAACTTGTGTAGGTCGAGCGTCTGCAAAGTCACGCCTGTTTCGGAGTCGCCATTGAAGACTGTCCACTGGACTGGAGCAGCTCCACTGTATCTGTAGTACGTCCACCGTCAGCATGCCGACTTAATAGCAAGTAAGCAGTAATTTTCACGTACCTTGGCAAAAGCGACGGGTGCAGATTCACACCACCTAGAGGCAGCCCTTGCAAGAAATTTGCTGGAATGAGGTTTCCAAACGACACAGCAATCGCGAGATCATATTTCCTCGAAATAATTTGCTAGAGACAGACAAGCGGTCAGTTTGCATCTATTTGGGAGAGAAGGTCGGGAGTACGTACAGCATAGTCATCCTTCGTTTCGGCTCTGAGAACAGGTATCAACATTCTGTTGGCAGTGTGCACAATCGGCACTGTTTGGTTGAGAAAAATATAAGTCAGCGTTCATCGTTCCATGCGAAATAGTCAAACTTGATATCAACTTACCTTCTGCTCTCTTGCCGGTTTTTTTCCAAGAGCGCGTCGCGACATGGAGCCTCTTGATGATATAAGGATGATCTCTTCTAATTTCCTGCAGCCTCAGCAGACTCTGAATGCTAAACTCGTCTGATCCGAAAAATATGATTTTCAATCCGTTTTTATTCTCCTCAGTATCAGGAATGTCTTCGAGATACGAATCTATGCGATCGACCTTTCGAATAGCATAACGAGGCCATTGGCCATGTCGTCGCGCTACAGTGACCGCCTGTGGCTTTGGCTTGAAGACGCTTAGGCACAGAGGAGTCCGTGGAAATAATTGAAACATTGTTGGTGTTTCCGAGGATGGTTGTCGAAGAGGACGGCGAAGAGGATGTTGAAGAAGCGGAAGACAAATTGAAATAATTCTCGAATTATCGGCCCGAGTAACGCCGAGCGCTGGTTTTTTTACCCTACGTCTAAACCGTAATCTTGAAGACTATCTGTGAATTCTTTATATTTCATCAACTATCAGACCTATCATAGCTTATTCTTTCTTTCTGAACGAGAGCTTGTTGTCGAAAATGTATAGGTATTAGATCTTTTTTGGATTTAACTTGAAATAAGAGTTGGCATCAGAATTTCTCGGGTCTCCTTCTATTATCAACCCACCCGACAACTATCTCTGTGGCGAAGTAACGTCGTCGCGCGCCGAAGGGTTGTCGTTGGATGACATAATGAGGGGATAAGCGATGGATAAGTGGAAGGTAAGTGGGAGTTGTAGTGGAAGCGCAAGTGATTAGGAAGATAGTAGATGATGGTTCATTCTCAGGAAGACTGGGTAAGCCAGGCTTCCTTAAATATTACTCTACAAGATGCCTCATTCTATCCTCTCGCCGGAAGAGATTAGTCTCCACGTTAGCAGGACGAGGAGGCTGGCTCTCGAGGAGTAAGAATGTTAGTAAATGAGTGTGGTTTGTTGACAAGAAGAAACCGTGCGGAGGATGAGGGGAAACCTCCCTGCTCATGCCTTAGCGTCCTGCGAAGTACTCTTCATGCGGGAGGGTGTAGGCGTGACCTTGTGAAGTGAGGCAGAGGTAATCTCCCGTGGATGGACTGCTGGTTAGGCGTTCTGAGGTGAGGCAAGATGGCTGGGCTCTTGCAGGGATAGATGTAGTAGACGGACAAGCATCGTGAGGTGAGGCAGGATGACAGGTCTCTGACACGGATGAGGGTTTGGAGGAGGCCGGGCAGTTCTGCCTCGCAACCTCATGACAATCTCTACTTTCTCGTTCTTCAAAGCATACTGTTGATATTTCTGTGTATTATTTTATCAACTGATTTGTTGGAATTACGATATCAAGGTGCTCTTAAGCTGGCCGCTTTATTTTATAGCGTATATCGAGAACACTGGTAAGGAATCAACATCCTACCTGAAGCTCGATACTCATTCGACTCAACCACGAGGAGAACCTGACGAGTCTGGTTTACGTCTTAACCCAAGCGTCGTACCAGCGACTATTGCGGCAATCATCACCATGAAACAAGTCATTGCCAAATACCACAGAAATACCTGCCGTCTGATACCCAGGATCTTCCGCTCGTCCTGCTCTGAAATACTGTGGGCGGTCGACAATTGCTCGACGTCGAACTGCTCCATTCTGAGCTGTCGCTCGTGTATGGTCGTAGGCTCATCGGACTTGGTGGTGTATGCTGGAGGACGCGGAATATATGCTGGCGGAGGCGCTGTAAGAAGCGCGCGATCTGAGGAGGTCGAATTTCGCTATCGACGGGTCAGTCATTGTCAATTGATTGTCACTGATGGTACGGAACCTACTCTGGAAGTCCTCTGACTGTTGGCGAAAATATCAGCCTGTAGGGTGGGAAAAGTAGCGCTCATTGTTTTGACATACAAATTAGGAAATAAGAAGTTGGACGCGAGAGTAGCCTGTATGTAGGAAACCGACTCATTTTAAAGACCTTGGATCAAGTCCTAACTATCTGACGTGTGACTGCATCGATACCTAGCTATCAAGCGTATGACTGCGTAGTATCTCCTTGCCTCGTTTTGTCATCATATCTACATGCGTAATACGAAGCTGATGTCAGTGAGTCACTACTCGATATCATCGCGGAGGTTCAGTTCAACCAGTGAATTTTAAGCACCCAGACGCGTTTCCCGTTACTAACCGTCATAACCGAAGTTTTGAAGCTCAATTGGCGCAGCTCTCAATATAATCGCTACCAGATATCAGCTGAATTTTAGTGCGTGCCGAGTCCGCGCAAAAGCCGCGGGGTTTTGGACGAAGCTGCAGCGAGCTCCGCGGACGTTTAATGAGTATGTCTACAGAAGTTTGCTCACGTACATTTCGAGTCAATCGGTAAGCAGTTTAGTGTTTAGAGTGAGTCGACTACAGCTCATATCTAAGATCAGGGATTAGATAAGATATGAAGGTCGCTATCGTGGCCGTGGCTAAGAGACGCGTGCAGGATATATGCCTTGTGCCCATGTGTCGTCTGAGTCGGACTTGATATCGCCCAGGAAGAAACCTCAGCAGCAGAACCCCACAGCACTATCAAGTTATGGCGCGAGAAAAGAACAAGAGGTGATGATCTTGCTGCGAGTTGATTGCTTCGATGATTGCTTCACTGTGTTATCGACAGGTGATATACTGACTGCTGAGATGGACTATCGATTGACTGTTGCAGCACATAGTGAACAGAGCACCCAAAAATGATCTCACTGACTGCTCTGAAGGCAAGGAGCTTGACGATGGATACCTATATCAATTGAATAAAACATACGATAACAAAAGAGGACCAGTCGATAAGCAAAGAATCGGATGACCTTGAACCCTTACCTGAGCCGCACGTGCAAGGGTGCGCTGACTTTGAACGCGCTGACCGTCAGCTACGTTCGATCAACCGCGGTCCCCGCGCCAACTTCCCCTTCCAACTGCCTATTGTTTGCTAGAACTTCTTGTATTCGAGACAATTGACCAGCAGAGACTCATATTTGATATTACAATGGCCTACGAGTTCACGCCGTCCAGGAAATTCAAGATCTCCGTCGCAGGATTCTCGGTCTACCTGCTTCGACGCTATCTTATCAAGGACCTATCGCTATCCAACTTCTTCCTTCTCTGGGCCCTCTTCACCATCGCTCCCGGCTTATGGAAGGCTTTCTACACAGTCGTTCTCTATGCAAACTTTCTATCGCCTTATCGTTCGTTCAAGCACCCTAATGAGAAAATGCATTGGATCGTGGGTCATCTATCTGGGATTCACTCCGCCCCTCCAGGCATGAAGCATCTCGAGTGGATGGAGTCCTACCCCGAGGACTCCTGGATCCGCTACAGAGGATTTTTCGGCCTTGAACGAATCATTCCTTACGGCCCGGCTGAGCTGCAGGCGATTCTCATGACGAACTCGTACGATTTCGTCAGGCCTAATGAAACGCGCAACAACCTCTCGCTCATTCTGGGAGACGGAATTTTAGCGGCTGAGGGGGATTCCCACAAACGACAGCGGAGACTGCTAAACCCTGCATTCTCGTTTGGCCACATCAAGGGACTTACGCCGATTTTCCTGGACAAGTCGCTGCAACTGGCTGATTACCTGTCTAAGGAATTGGAAGAGGCTCTGGCGAAGAAGCCTGCTGCTGACAGTGCTGACAGTGAAACAAAGGAATCTGAGTCGACAGATTCGGATGACAAGGCTTATGTTCTTGGTCCAGGCGAAGCAGTCATCAACGTCGACCACCCTATTCATTCAACCACGCTCAACATCATCTTCCTCGCTGGCTTTGGAACCAAGTTTGACGCTCTGGCCAACCCTGATGATCCACTCGTGCAAGCATACCGAGCCGTATTCACGGTCCCAGACTCTATCTCGACCTGGATGAAAGCGCAGTTTGTGCTAAACATGGTCTTCGGCGCGGGCGTGCTGCCTACGAAGCGTAACCGCGACGTAGCAAAGGCGAAGAAAGTCGTGCAGAGTTACTGCTTGAAGCTGATTGAGGAGAAGCATCAGAAACAAAAGATCGCGGCTACTTTTAACCAGAAGGCTAGCAATGTCGATAAAGATCTTTTGAATGTCATGATCGAGGAGGCACAGGAAGCTGAGGTGAAGACGGATATCAAGAAGACTACACCAGCGAAGAAAGGTAGATCAGATGCCAAAGCTGGCCTCACGGATCGGGAAATCCTCAACAACATGATGACCTGTAAGTCTACCTCGACTCATGCTAGATAGAGTATTGGCTAACGTATTTAACAGTCCTCGCGGCCGGCCACGAAACAACTTCCAGCGCGACCTCTATCGCCATCTATCTTCTCACCAAGTTCCCAGAAGTCCAGACAAAGCTCAGAGACGAGCTTCGTAAAGCCGTCCCCGAGGTTTTCGAAAAATCTTTGAACAAAGAAAAGATCTGCGAAGAGGTGACCTATGGACGAATCGATTCAATCAAGTATCTCAACAACTTCATGCACGAAGTCTTTCGGTACTGTCCCCCTGTCTCAGTCACCAACCGTCGAGCAGACAAAGACGTTCAGATCGGAGACGTCAAAATCATCAAAGACACAATCATCTTCCTCGTTCCTGCAGCTCTCAACAGACTCAAGCGAGTCTGGGGCCCCGACGCCAACGAATTCAACCCAGATCGGTGGGACAACCTGCCGGCTACAGCGCAGAATCCCTACGTCAACCTCACATTCTTACAAGGCCCGCGCTCATGCATTGGCCGGCGATTTGCAGAGATGGAGTTTAAATGTTTATTGATTGCTCTTATTAGTAGATTCGAGTTTAAGGAGAAAGAGCCTGGCGTGGAGCTGAAGATGCGGAGTGTGGTGACTACGAAGTTTGCTAAGCCTCTGGAAGTGGTTGCGAAACTTGTTTAATGATTGATTATGTTCTGTAATACATTAACGCCTGAAATCACAATTTGCTATGTAGTCTTGAATCATATGCCCTTATCATCACTGGCTGTCCTCAATTTCAAACCAAGACGCTGCCACGACTTTAGACCGCCCTCAGTTCTCGTCTAGCCGCAGCCATTAGGTTGTACATCTCTTACGAGGCACAAAGTGTTGAGCTTGAAGAAGTGATCGAAGCACTTTTCCCGATGCCCCTGCACTGACGCATTTCGAAATCACTGCAAGATCCTCAGGTGACGGAACGCGGCGGGAAGATTGAGAACGAGCGGTATTGAAGAGATCATGGTTATGCTCAGCGAACTGTTGACCACGCCGATGGCACACGAACCAATCGAATTTCTGGGACTGAGTATCGACAATTAGTCTTCTTACTCGACGTCTTCCGCCCCTGCACTGTCCTCTCAGCTGGTGGGGATCCTTCGCACTCGCAAGCATAAGTCACTGTAAGCCTGTTTGCAGTGCCCTTAGACGATCTTAACTTGATGAAGGACTAGCTGTAAGACGCTGCCCATTCATCCAGTGCCTTCCGGGCATCTTCTAATAAACATGTACGGTCTCGGGAGGCAGAGAGGGAGGGGGAGAGGCCATTTTGCTTCCTGGGGACGCGTCGAGTTTGAAGAAGGACGCGAACGCGTCCGAGTTATAATCATAACTGAGGCGACCGTAAGAACAGACAGAGCAACTTACTACCGATTGCTTACATAAACTACATCACGTGATAAAATCACTACTCCGACCTCGACAAAAATTAAACGTCAAAGCAAAAAAATAGCATCCCGAATCCCAAGCGCACGGCCGATATTCGCGACGCTCGAAAGCACAGAATGTCACTACAACAACTAACCTCAATGTTTTGGAGACGTCCTCAGATATCCATGCTGAGCAGCCGGCTACGGCCGAGTGCTTTGATCGGCGGCGCGCAGAGACAGCCACAGCAGCAGCAGCAGCAACTGCCGAGCACAGTTTTCTCCGACATGAAGGTTGCTGGTGGAAGTCTTGAATTGTCCCGTGGAAAGAGGACGAAGACTGTTGGTTCGGTGCAGAAATCGAGACTTGGTATGATTTCCTGAGTTCCCTGTGCGGTTGTTGCTTTTTGTTGGTGTCGGGGTTCGTCGGTCCCTTGGAATTTGCCTGCCAGCGCTAACTAATGATTTACAGTGAACATGCTCAGTTTGGTGAGCCGGGTCAAGAAGCAACCGTACCGTCTCAAACTGTCCTACGAGGATCTTATGCGCCACCGCACAATCCACAGAGCATGGATGCTTCTCCAGCGCAAGAACCGCGAAGAACGGCACAAGGAGCTCATGGCCCAGTACCAGAGGATCAAGATGGCCTGCGACCAGCTCGAGAAAGCGAGTCCGGAGCTGTTTGCTCGTGCCATGGATAAACCCCGGTCACTGCGGTTCCCGCTCGAGTACAAGTATCCCACCGAGACTCCTCCCCGTGTTGCTTGGGATTACGATTGGAAGAAGTCGACTACCGTGCAGGCGTTGTCGAAGAAAAAATGAGCTGATAGTGGACGATCGAATGATTTAAGACGAGCAAGTCGTCTCTTTGTACATTGATAAATAAATTCTTTTCTATTATACTTCTGTTCCTCCTAATCTACGGAAGCGATGTTACCGAATATATAATATAGTACGTATGAATTTGATTGGAAAAGGGTAGCAGCATACAAACAAATTATCGAAAACCGGGATAATAAACAAATTATGAGAAAAAAAAAAAGGAATATAAAACCCACAAGAATAAAAACAATAGCGATAACAATAAACAATCAAACACGAGTGGGCGAGCCAAAAAATTACAGCAACTGCATAGCCAAACAGCACAAAACAAAATCGAGCAAGTATTTGCAGATGCAAAGAAAGCTAAGCCGCGAGCCATTTAGACAAAAGACACGATATTGAATCACATGTGTCTTATCGTTTTCCGGAGTCATTCCACGCTATTAAACAGTTCGTCAGTCAAGATAGAATATAAATAGACCTAGAGTATCTACTTACAAGCACCAAGCCATGTGGGAATCGCGCCAGAAGGCGCGGGAGCACCACCTGGGATACCAAGAGCGCTGTTCCACGTATTCGAAGGATCAAAGAGCGAACCTGCAGTAGCTGATGTCATGCTATCTGATCTTAGTCCAGGAGCAGCCGCGCCTGACATGCCATGCGAGACGACGGCGTCCGGGAAGAACGCAGACTGGCCGCCACTGCTACCGAACCACGAAGACGATCGAGAACTAGGAGCAGACACGTTGCCAACATCATTAGACACCGCCCGCCGAGCAGTAGGTGCAAAGAAAGGCGCATCTTCTTCGTCCAGATCGTCAAAGTACAAAGCACGTGAGCCCATGACCGGTGGAACATCGTCGCTGGAAGCTGATGAACCGTGCAAATCATCACTCTTTGAAGTTGTACTCGACGGACGCTGGATCGGGTGAGGCCTTTGTATGAGCTTGGACTTTGGCGAGGAAGGTGACACGAGGTCAAAGCCGCTGGCCGACAACCGCTTATCTGCAGAGACTGGAGTCGAGGTAGTCGAAGACCCCAGAGGACCACTCTCGACACTGCTCTGTGGAATCCCGATAACCGAAGCGCCAGTCGGATGACCGTTCAAACTCGCTGAGCCTCCGATCACCGGTGATGACGACAGGCTACCGAGGCCGATAGGAGGTACAGTGGAACGAGACGTTGGCACAGAGAACGGGAACCCATTCAAACCATTGCTCAGGCCAGCTCCCATTCCACTACCGAGGCCATTCAGATTGGTAGCAGCCGCAGGCTGACCATAATCCAAACTGCCAAACGGTCGAGGCTGGGGAGTAGGCAACCCCTGTGGCCGAGCTTGCGGCACCTCACCGTTGACTGACTGGAATCCACCAGCGGTCAGAGGCGAGGAGGCAAAGCCACGATATCCCATACCCGGCAGACCATTCAGAGAGCCCTGACCGAGAGAGTTCCCATACGCTGTACCAAACCCGAGTTGAGGTTGTAGATGACTCTGTGGTGGCGACGCGGAACCGTTCGTAAGACCGATTGAAGCCGACATCAGTGAAGGAGTGGAGGATGAAGAAGATACTGAGGGTGCCCGCCGCGGTTGCAACGGATTCATTGGCTGCTGAGACTGCTGTGCAACAGACTGAGGGGGTATTTGCTGCTGTGGGGGTATCAGACCATTGACGGTAGCAGGGAGTCGCTGCTGTTGCTGCTGCATGGGGACTATTGTAGAATGGTTAGCATTAATCTTTCGTGATGGAGTTCCACAAATTAACTTACCAGAAGGAGAGGCACCAAACAGGTTCTGAAGTTTAGGAACGGGAGCAATTGGAGGAACGGAGGCATTGACCATGAACTGAGGAAGCGCTGGGGGATATCCCATCTGGCGCATAGCCTGTTGTTGCTGCTGGGCCTGAAGCTGAGCCTGCTGCTGTTGGAACTGCTGCTGCTGCTGCTGTTGCTGTTGCTGTTGTTGTTGTTGCTGTTGCTGTTGTTGCTGCTGCTGCTGCTGCTGCTGCTGTTGCTGCTGCTGCTGAACCTTCTGCTGCTGAAGCTGCTGCTGCTGCATCTGGAGACGCTTGGCATACACATCACGTTGAATTTGCTCCTTCCGTGCCCGAGCCTCACGTTCGCGATTCAAAGCCTCGCGCTCGCGAGCCTCTTTCTCGGCCAAAGCACGCTCAGATTCTTGCCGTTGCAGTTCTTCGTGTTCCTTCCGCTCAGCTTCAAGCTTGGCCTTCCGTTCCTGTTCTGTCCTTGCCCGCTTCTCTTGCAGCTCGCGTTCCTTCAGTTCCTTCAGTTCACGCTCCTTCTGCTCCTTCAGTTCACGTTCTTTACGAGCAGCCTCTTCGCGCTTCTTTCGCTCCTGGTCTTCCTTTTCCTTCTTCTTCCGTTCTCGTTCGGCTTCTCGTTCCCGCTCCTCTTGCTGACGTCGTCGCCGTTCTTCCTCTTTTCGAAGTCGCTCCTCATCCAAGGCACGGCGCTCGGCTTCCTTCTTCAACCGTTGTTCCTCCTTGCGTTTACGTGCCTCTTCGTGCTTGCGTTGCTCGGCAGCCCGTTGAGCAGCTTCCTCGGCGGCTTTTTCGGCTTCGCGTCGATTTCGCTCTTCCTCCTTTGCTAATTTCTGCTGCCGCTTTTTGTCCTTCTTTTTCTCCTTTTCCTTCGCCTTCTTGTGCTCGCGTTCTTCTCGTAGCCGATTCTCTTCGTCGAGTTCCTCAAGTAGCTTTTGTTGTCGCTCTTGTGAAACCTTTTCTCGATATGCTGTGAGGACTCGCTGCTCGAACATGCGGGCAGCAAATATCTGAAACATGCGTCGGCCTTCTTCCATGCGTTGTTCTTCGCTCATGGAGTCAGCTTCGTCATCCTCATCATCGTCTTCGTAGTCTTCGTCGTCCTCCTCGTCTTCATCGTAATCGTCGTCGTCTTCGTACTCCGCTACGACGGAGGCTTCAGCTTCGCGCGCCATGCGGCGTTCGGCAAGCTGCTCCATCATTTCGATGAATTTCTTGCCATCGTTTTTGAGAAGATCGTCAGCGACGGTTAGGATGCCTCCTTGAACAGTCAAAGAGTTTCCAAAATTGAAGAAGTCGCGGGGGATGTCGTGGTTAAGAAGCTCGGGAGCGTCGGAGTCTGAGTAGTCGTCTTCGTCGTCGAGTAGATCGTCTTCGTCGAAGTCGTCTTCGCCCACCGCTATCTCACGCACCCTTGGCGACGTCCCTTGGTGAAGATGGTGGTGGTGATGGTGGTGATGTGCAGATATAGGCGGATATGGAGGACGGAGGGCGGGAGGAGGGACTGGACCGAACTTCTGCTGCTGGTTTGCGTACTGCTCCAGCTCTTCGTAGTAAGCGTCGTAGAGCACTTCGAGCTCTTTCTCGATCGCGGTCCGCTTGCGACCGCAGACCGAGCACGAGCACGAATGTTTTTGCTGCTCCTTCATCTTGCGCAGGACGGCCTCTTTCTCGACCTTGACCAAAGAGCGCCGCTCGTCCTCGCCTAGCGAGAGCCAGAAGTCCTTGATACGCTCGCGCTCCTCGTTGGTGTTTGTGTTCCATATCCGATCATTCTTTTTCTGCTGCTGCTGCTGTTGTTGTTGTTGTTGCTGTTGCTGCTGCTGTTGCTGCTGCTGCTGCTTCAGCTTGTCGTCAGCAGCAACGACTGATGAATTGGCGCCGGTTCCTTTACGCTTCTTCTTTTTCTTCTTTGCGGTCGAGCTAGAAGAATTCGGTTGCTGCACAGCCATATGTGTCTGCTGCGCGTCCGGCTGCGATACATGCACCGCCGACGACGGAACCTCAGTCGAGAGCGTTGCAATCATTGTCGTTGCTGGATGAATAGCTGCCTGATTCTGGTGCTGCTGGACTTTCATTTGCAACGAGGCGGCGCCCCCTGCTCCTTCTGCCCGCGTAGCTCTCAGACCGCGGCCGCCGCGGGCCGGACCCACGTCTACGCGGGAACAAGGACCAGTAATCACATAGTCACATAAAGTCACAAAATGCATTTACTGACTCAGCAAGCTGCAGTTGAAATGTGATACAAAATGCGGCTCGCTTGTGAGATGCGGGCAACGACCGTCACTGTGCTCTCAGCGCCCGCCCGGCCTCTGTTTCGTCATTGCTCCTCCTCCCACGTCCTCGTCTCTTCGCAGACCTCCTCCTTCTCTCGCGGTTTCTGTCTCTGTTTATCTGCTGGTTCTCCTCTAATCTACGGAAGCAATGTCCTCCCGCGACGCCATTCGCCGGTATGTCTCTTGTCTTCACTGCTACTCCGGGCTCTGCGCCTCTGCTCTGCACGTCCGCACACCTTAGCTCACCTCGTCCGTCTGCAGAAAACTGGTCATCGTCGGCGATGGAGCCTGCGGCAAAACGTCTCTACTAAGCGTCTTCACTCTTGGAGAGTTTCCCAAAGTGAGCAATATTCTTTGTCTTTGTTGTATTTGCGCACACCGCTCAGCTGTAGCTGTTCGTTCAGCCGCGTCCCCGAATCCGTCCTTGATACTGACATTCTCCTTTAGGAACATGTATGCCTACAACAACCTCGCTTCTCACTTTAGAGAGCGATATCTAACCTGATCTATGCAGCTTCCGACTGTCTTTGAGACTTATGTCACCGACTGCCGAGTATGTTGATCCCCGCGATCTGAGTAAACGCTGCGCATGCGAACATCTCTAACTTCCGATAGGTTGACGGAAAATCGGTCCAACTTGCCTTGTGGGATACAGCGTATGTTTATTTTTGAGAGTCAGAAACACGAGATCGTTTTGTACTAACCAAAGCTCTTACGATAGTGGGCAAGAAGAATATGAGGTATCATCACCGCCTCTAGGCACATTCACACTCACACGACCTCGCTAACAACCATCTAGCGTCTACGACCACTCTCCTACTCGAGAGCTCACGTTATCCTGGTTGGCTTTGCTGTCGATACCCCCGACTCGTTAGAAAACGTCACCTCAAAGGTCAGCCACGCGCTCTTCCAAGCTCATTTCTGATCCAGTCGGCTAACGTCGTTTATAGTGGATAATCGAAATCAACGAACTATGTCCAGGTATCCCAATAATACTTGTCGGTCTGAAAAAGGATCTCCGTCAGGACCCACAAGCCATCGAAAGCATCCGGAAACGCAGCCAACGCTTCGTTACCCCGCAAGAGGTTAGTTAGCTTCTGTACATCTTCCGCATAGCTCACAACAGAACGCTAACACCGATCTCATTCATCACCACAGGCCGAACTCGTTGCTCGTCAAGTCGGCGCGCGCAAGTACCTTGAATGCTCTGCTCTTACCGGCGAAGGCGTCGACAATGTCTTTGAGGCTGCCACCCGGGCAAGCTTACTCGTGGGCGAACGACAATCCACAGGCTGCTGTGTGATCCTGTAATCGCTCTCAGATCCTGTAATCGCTCTCAGATGCCTGGCTATCTACTGTTTTCTTGATTATCAACATTGAACGCGCTTGATTTTGCGCGCAAAAGTAGTAGGTCTCATATGATATTTCCTCACTGATTAAGATTTAGATGAAGCTAACGACCTGATGCAGCTTTATCCGTGATCCTTTATACACTCTTCCTATATTCGCACAGTTTTTTTTATTCAAGAGAGAAATGGTCTCTCTCAGCACACTGCCATCTACCAACCGTTCAGGCTTCTACCATCAAAGCCTTTTCTCCCCACCCGATTCGTTTTGCAAGAACGCGACCCTACACACTCCTTCACTGCTTTAATAACCATCGCCCCCACCAAGTCCTACGTACACCTCCCGCTACCTCCTACTCCGTCATCCCAGTCCAGGGAAAATTCCCCGCGTTATTTACCATCGATTACTCACTTTCGCGAGCGCATGTGGAGTTTGGCTTTTCTTTACTTGCCTGGTGTTTCGCTTTGCCTTACCGGTCTCTCAGTCTCTCATTTTTATCGCTGCATCGTCTTTTCAGTCTTCTTTTTTTGGTGGTTGTTTCCAGCACTCGGTCGTCCCGCTTTCCTTTTCGTTCTGTTTTGATTTTGGATTCATCTTTCTCTCATTTTTGCTAGGTTATACACTCATTTTTTTGTTTCTGGTACTTCTGAATGCATCGGCCGGAATCTCGTGCTTTCGGGCTATTTCGTTTTTGTTATCGTCGGTGGGTTGGGCAGGCTTGGGGAACGGGGATATTCAGATTTAGTATCCGTTGGTTTGGCTCTAACTAGTTGCTCTTCTCGTTTCGTTTTCCTTTCTCGGAGCTCCAAATTTTGATTTGGACTCTGTCTTCTCTAATTTTATCGTTGCGCATCCTTCAGTATCATCCGTCGTGTCTTTTAATCTTGTTTCCTTGCTTGTCTTGTCTTTTTTTTCCTCTGGGCTATTGTGCTTCTTGTGTGTCTTTGAGCCAATCGTTTTTTACCAGTCTATTGCGAGATTGTACATAAAATGCATTGCATCTTCCTTTCCTTCCTTTGTTTTTTTCTTGCTAGTGCTCGTGCTCGTTCATCTTTTAATCGTCGTCTTTTTCTCAGTGTGATCCGTTTTTCTTCTCTTTTGCTAGTTTTTATTTATTCGTGAACGGGTTTTGAATAATCAGTCGGTATCTACAGAAAGTATACTATTATTATTATTATCTACGTGGAGAACGCCTTGGTGGACTTTGCTGTTTACTTTGACGTGTTCTTGGAGTCCTTGGCAAGAATCCCCCTGAGTAATATATCACGGAAAGAACGGGACAGAATATCTTAATAGTTTCCACCGTGTTTTTCAGTACTAGATGATTATATACCTTACTAGCGATAGAGTCAGTCGCAAACCAATCCTTTAATTCATCTAAATAGTACAATTCGATAGACATCAGCGAAAAAACCATAATCAGAGCAGGCCTACAACACAAACAGAAGCAAGCGACAATATAAAATACACGATAAAAAACCAAAAGATACAACTAACAAATCTTTTGACATCCTTTGTAAATCAGATCCAACAGTAGACGGGAGAACGCGAAACAAAGACGGAAAAAAATACAAACATGACTTGGAAGCTGCAGTTGTCAGTTTGGAAACTACAGGCACAGAACTATCCCCCTAGCTTTCTGATTACCAGCATCACGATGATTAGTCGAGCATCTACCACTCATCGCCACCAGCGGGAGCAGCATCTTCGTGATCGCCGCTATCTCCCTTATCCTCTCTCTCCCAATCACCTCCAGCCGGCGCATCATCACCAGCAGGAGCGGGAGGCGGCGGCACATCACCGTCGTTTCCACCGTCGCGGTCCTCACGCTCGCGGTCCTCCGGCTCTCCGCGATCACGGCGGTCGCCACGGTCGCCACGGTCGCGGTCGCCACGATCACGACGCTCATACCGGTCACCACCGCGACGGCCGTAGTCTCCGCGACGAGGAGAACGCGAGCGATCACGGCGGCGGTATCCACCACGGTCACCACGGTCACCACGGTCACCACGGTCACCACGGTCACCGCGGTCATCGTAGCGGCGGTCGCCGCCGTAAGAGCGACGAGGAGGCGGCGAACCACGGCGGTAAGGAGAAGGCGATCTCTCGTGAGACATATCAACAACCTGATTCTCGCGTTAGATGATACGACGCCATTAGGTCAAAAAATCGCTTTTCAAATATACCTCATCCTTGAGAGTGGGACGAACGCCCTTAATATCTTCGCTAGCAAGCTTTTCCATCGCAATGTCAAGATCGGCCTGGCGCTCAACGTCGATAACACTGTAATTTCTTGTTAGATAGCTAGAAATGATGAATTTTAGAGAAAAAAGTATAAACATACCCAGTACCGTCCCGGTCACGGGAGACGTCGGCATAGAGAACATCAACGTCCGCACGACGCGCAAAGTCCTTCAGATCCTAAACAGCAAAAAATAAGAAGAATAAACAACTGTAATATCAGAAAGGATGGTTGATCCCATAAAAGCAGGCAGATAGACGCATGGCAGATATCATTCGTATTGTGTTCAGAGAGGTCTTCTGTTAGTCTTCTTGTGCAAACAGCATATTGACAGAGCCTTGATATCAGAAAAAAAAAATGGAACCGGGAGGACACAGAATTCAACAATAAGGGAAAATAGGCGTTCGAATAATCCAGCCGGAAATAACGGAGACGAATACACGGGAAGAGACATAATAGACGGCCACCAAAATATACACGATCGGGACGAATCCAAGACTGGCAAGCACGGCACCAGGGGAGAAAGACAAGAGAAAAACCACGGAACCGATGAAGGCGGAAACCAGTAACACAAAGGGATAGGAAAATAACCGGGGGAGTCCGGGGAAGAGAAAGGACAATGAATTATGGAAACAAAGAACAGGGAGACCGGCCAAGGTAGATAGATGGGATGGGGCGCACAAGAGACAGAGAAGACCAACCGATCGAGAAACGGAATATGTTCCACACAAAGAATAGGAAAGTGACTGATAAATCACGTCAACATTCAAAGATAGGCCGTCCGCGTAATACCGAGGGAAAGCAGGAGAGGCCGAAACAAGGAACAGGAAGAGAACGTACCTGCCACGAACAATCACCGGGAAGATCAGAGACCTGGATGCGATATCCGCTGCGGCGGGGACGACGAGATTCCCGACGGTCGCGGAAATCACGTCCACCATCGCGATCATGGTAACTGTCACGACGATCTTCACGCTCACGACGACGCTTAGCAAACTCCAACTGGAGGCGATCGCCCATGAATTCTTTGTTGTCTAAACCATTGAGCGTGGGTTAGAACTACTTGCTATGCATGAAAAATAGCACAAAGATACGCACTGAACTCTGCGACAACATCCTGAGCATCGCGAGCGTTCTCGAATTCAATAAAGCCCTGAACGAGGAGGTGTTAGTTTGATAAAACATATCGAGCAGAAGAGGTAACGTACGAATCCAGTCATGAGCTTGATCTCAACGATCTTTCCGTAGCCCTTGAACAGGTCAATGATATCATCACGCACAACTAGAGGAAAGGAATCGTTAGCTTTCCCGAAATATGACTTGGTGGAGCAGTCTCAAGGTTGAGGCAATGTCTCCATATACAGCTGCTAAAGCTCCAGACATACCATCGCGCGAGATAGGGCGGATAAAAAGACGAACGTCAGAGTAAGACATTATGAGTTATATGTCTTTAAAGTAGCTATAAAAAACCAAAAATGAAAACAGAAGAGTGTTTTCAAGCAGATATACAGAGATGGATATCTTTTGTTTGCAGAGGAAAGGAGGTGAGCGAGCAGAAAGCTTTGCGACCTTCATCTGGCGGCCGCCGTTCGAGAAACCTTGTTTCAAACTTTGTGCTTATATGGGGTTAGGTTACTTTTCGTTTCCCGAAGTCACTTCGTGGAAAAAAGTCGAGGAGCGTTTTCGAATATTGCCAGCTACCAGCCGACGAGCAATCAACGGAAGACGGAAGCATTCACCGAGCACAGACGCAATTGCTGCTGTTTTAGCATTGGGAATATAGAGCTATGTCGCTGGCTCTGCGTTGCTTACCAAGGCGGTTACCGCCAGCTTCATTTTGCATGCTGCGATATGCATCAACGAAAACGCAGCTTCCGCCGCCGGATCCGAACAGGAGGAGGATACCTCGAAAGACGTATATTCCACCTGAAAGGCAGGTTGTGAAAAAGAAGAAGATTCAGGAGAAGGGAATTGGTCCTCATAACCTCAGCCCTGAGGAGATGAAGAGACGGCAACGCAAGTTTATAGTGGTCGCGGCTGGCGTGTATCTTCTCTTCGTTGCCGGCGCCTATTATTATCTGACGTACGGTGTCGCGGCTGACGCTGGAAACTACGAGGATGCAAAACCGCGGGATACAAGGGAGATTTATGATAATCTGGCAGAAGACTATGACAGTATCATCAATAGAGACGAGCAGTTTATGCTGTTGTCGCTGTGGAGAAAGGATGTTACAAAACAATTGAAGGTATGAACTACGGCTGAAATTGTTTTGATTGCTATATCAATTGAGACTAATGTGATTTGTATAGGGTGATGTTTTGGAAGTTGGCTGTGGTACGGGTCGAAATATGAAGTACTTGGATCTTCCGGGAAAGGTCTCATCGATGACGTTCGTCGACACATCGGCGAACATGGTGGCAGAGGCAGAAAAGAGCTTCAAGAAGCGGTACCCGAAGTACCAGTATGCAGAGTTCAAGGTCAGTAGGACCGAGGACCTGCCTACGGACAAAAAATTCGATGTAATTTACGAGACATTCGGCATTTGCTCATACGAGGATCCGGTGGCCGCGTTGAAGCATATGCAGGAGCTGCTGAAGCCCGGAGGTCGGATCATTCTGCTGGAGCATGGGCGCGGAACTTGGGATTTCATCAATCGGATTCTAGACAAGAACGCAGCTTCGCGATCGGAGGTGTTTGGGTGCAGATGGAATCTCGATATTGGCGAAATAGTTCGACAGAGCGGACTTGTGATCGACCATGAGGAACGATGGCACTTGGGGACGACGTGGACGATATTTGCTCATCGAGAGGGGGAAGAATTGCCGGTGGAGCCCAAGAAGCGGTTCTTGATCTGGTAGATGTAGTGAAAGAGTGAGTGAGTATGTATATAGAACCCGTAGCAGTGATGCTGACCAGTAGTCACTGTGATCTTGTGAATATAATGAATCATTAGCTATTCTGACCGAGATACCACCAATGATCCAACACCGCACACTGTCTGCCTGAACCAAGAACTAGGGAGCAACAGACAGCAAGGACTGTACACCTGGAGGCACCCATCCCTGCAGATAAGATGATAAAGACGATAAGATGGGGTCGCATGAACAAAAATAAAAACCTCGAAACTTAACACGCGTCCAGAAACCGTCTGTGATGACAAGTGCGGCTCACCGCGCCACGCCGGTTCTGTCGCCATCCGCGCTGATCAGCCGGCTGCGGGTCTGATTCTCGAGCAGAATGCGAGTGATTCGGGGGGGTTTTGTCTGAATATCAAAACAGTCAAAATAAAGGTCTTTAGAGCTTCTTCTCCGGTCTGAAAGAAATCTCCGCTTCTCACTTCAAGACCTCTGATCTGCCTCACTCCCAGAGCAAGGGGTCAATCAAGGTTTATTGCAAATCCGCTAGTCCTCTATAGGCCTAGCCGCACTTCCCCATCCGGTTAGCCTAGAAAGTGGCAATGAGATGCGGCCCTAACCCGAGGGCATATATAATGCCGGCCACCCCCTCGTGCCCGGAACGCCGCAGAAACGGATTTCTGAGTATTTGTTTCGCACATACCTCTTTCGGTAATTTTTTTTCATCTGCCTCTGCCTTCTCGGGTGACATTAGCTTGTTCTACTCGGAAGAAATGGAGTCTCTTGCTGTTCCTCGCACTGCCGCGCAGGCTAAGGCTTTCGTGGCTCCTACCTCGTTATCGTACCCAATGGCGCCCTCTGATATCACCCCGCCGTCCGAGCAGCAAAACTCGGACCGGTCGGTCGACATCAAGCCCTCCATGGACATCGCTCCTGCGACCCCCGCTGCCACCCCTGGCAACACCACCGGGGCTCCGGGGAGCTCCAACGTCTCGGGCATCATCCCAACCCTACAGAACATCGTTGCCACAGTCAATCTTGAGTGCAGACTTGACCTCAAGACCATCGCTCTGCATGCTCGTAATGCAGAGTACAACCCAAAGGTATGCACACAGATTTATCTGGTGTATCTCGTGGATCTCTTGTTAACTTTCTTCTCTTAAGCGTTTTGCCGCTGTCATCATGCGCATTCGTGACCCCAAGACCACTGCATTGATCTTCGCCTCCGGCAAGATGGTCGTCACCGGTGCAAAGTCCGAGGACGACTCGAAGCTCGCTAGTCGGAAGTACGCCCGTATCATCCAGAAGCTTGGTTTCAACGCCAAGTTTATGGAGTTCAAGATCCAGAACATCGTCGGATCATGTGACGTTCGTTTCCCGATCCGTCTCGAGGGTCTTGCGTTCTCTCACGGACACTTCTCGTCTTACGAGCCAGAGTTGTTCCCGGGTCTTATCTACCGCATGGTGAAACCGAAAATCGTACTTCTGATTTTCGTTTCCGGCAAAATCGTCTTGACAGGCGCTAAAGTTCGAGAAGAGATCTATCAAGCCTTTGAGGTAATCATCTTGTCACATGTCAAGTTAAACCTACCCTGAGAATCATGCTGACTTTTCTAGGCTATATATCCTGTACTGAGTGAATTCCGAAAGCAGTAACCTGTTTTTGTTTTTCTTTCTGTCCCTTACCTTTTCGCCTTCATCATATCATACCGCGACATTCCCCCCCGCGCCCACATCATTATCATCATCAACAGTCCGCGCATTTGATACACAAGTGCGCAGTGTATATTAGCTAACGAAATGACAAAAAGAAAAAAATAAGAAAAAAGAAAAAAAGGAATAAAGATTTTATCTTATCGCATATGGCGCCTTCTTGAACTGGAATATATATAAATACAGACGAGAGCGGTGTCAACTTTTAGATCATTAGTTCGTCATTGGGAACAGGAGCATTTCAAGGATTTTACCAACTTTGTTTCTAGTATTGTTGCTCGCTAGCAGTTAAACTAGTATTGTTCTAATACACAACTTCAGAAACAACGTGATGCCTCAGAAACTGTAAGATGTAAATCATAGCCCAATGCATTAAACTCGATTACTATTGAAAAGATGAACTATAGGTATCGTCAGGATAATACCGAAGGAAGGGTGAGAACTGAGTATGATCAGCAACTGCCAAACTATATTGAATGTGACGTACTCAAGCCACCACCACCACCGCTACAACAATCTTGATCCACTGCTATCAATCTGTCTACATCCCAACCTCCAGAGAATGCTCTCTTTTTTTTTCTTTCTTGGTTTTACAATACGGTACCGCTTCACGCGTACTCTCCCATTCGGTCAGTTACCACCTAAACAGTAACCCCATCACAGCTAAGACAGACCTTCACGAGAAAGATCGACAGCATAGACAGGAAAGACAGAACAGGAACAGCACGCGCGAAGCGGCTGGTGCCAGGATCGGGAAGAATGCGTTACGCATACTCTAGAATTAAAAATCCTAGAGTTATGTGGGACTCTGCGACCACGCTTGTCGCTAAACAAGCGTGTTCTCAATGTCGCCATACCCACTAAGACCCGACCTCACCCAAAGGCAGTCCGAAGACTACCTCCGTATTGATGGTTTGTATGTTGTTGTCGCATGATCCGCTGGTCTTGTCATCGGAGGGCTTGTTAAAGCAGACTTCCCTCGTCGACAAGGCCTTTGGTCGCGCGGACTCTCTTCACTACCGTCGCCTACGACTCCATGCGACGGCGCAGCTTACCAGCCACACGTTTCAGAGACTGCGACAACGTTAGACGTTTTGAATCCGATGAGCAACCTGGCTAAAGAGGAATCTCATTAGATTGACCGCCCTGACCAACCGCGCCCGTCGTGACAGATGTCTTGACAACACGCGGAGGGGTCGGCCACGCAGAGGTACCGAGCCGGCAAAGGAATGTCTCCCTGAGCATGTATAGGCTGAGCATAGTGCATATGCTAGCTTATGGCTGCTCACTCGGTGCATGCGCTGTTTGCGGAAGGCTGTCAGGCTCTTGGGATGCTGCAGGCCAGCCACCCGTACACGTCTCTCCCGTGTAGCTCGAGAGCTGGGTGGGTACCATGAACCAAGCGCGATAGCTGCAGACCATGACGAGACTCTCTCCCGACCAGTCCGCGGGCCAAAGGACTGAGAATGTCATGCTGCCGACAGGTGTGTACCTGTACTGGTCGCGCTTGCTTCCCCCAAGAGTTGACTGACGACTTCACCTAACGACATCCGCGATCGTAGGTTGGGGAGACGCCCGCGGGCGTTTTGCAGCGGAGTGCGAGCTGGAGGACGCTCGCGTCTTTGTAAAGAATGTTAGCTGAGAGCTCTGTTACACTATATAGCTGTGCTTACTATTATTGCCGTGTGTATAGAGTGGTTGCAAGCAAAACCAGTTGGATGATCCGCAGATCAACCACTAGGCCGCCCTTCCGGTGGTGGAGCAACCACCGGTCGTATCGTATCGTATCGTGCGTATGGCTCGCGCCCGAGACACCTAGACCAGACAAAGAACCAAAGAAACCCGACCGCATAGGTAAAGCTTGGATCGCTCTCCATACGGGCGGGTTACTTTGGGTGTTAGATAGCAGATCAGACTCACCAGAGATCATGAACAGGAACGGAAGTGCTGGTGAGAAGCAGTGGCAGGCGATGCCGTAGTCGATATATTGCTGGGAAATACATCTAGAAAGAAGCAAAAAAGGGATGGGATCAAAAAAGTGATGACGGATAGAAAAATAGAAGAGAGGCAAGAGGAGAAAGAGGCGAGCGCGCTGAAGTGGGCGGACTTCAGGTCAGGCGGGCGCGTGTTTGATATATTGGGGTTTCTCAATTTGGCCGAAAGTAAACATACACCTGACGCGTAGGCCGCTTCGTGATCCTCTATATTCTGGGATGAACTATTACAATAAAAAGGCTTTCTTGCTTAATAGGTCGTAGTAGCTGAATAAGTATTACTTGAGAGAGGCAGTCGCATGCCACCTGATACGTATCAATAGATTTAGACCGTCGAAAATGAACAGGAGCGCTGAAAGCACAGTCCAAGATGGACGATAAAAAACATATATCTGTACTTAATGCGTTTCAAACTATCTAAGAAGAGGCCCAATCATGCTGCCTTATTGAAACGGTGCTATTAATGAGAGTCGTTTCTGGGGTAGAGAATATTTTTAAGAAATGAGTAAGCATTTATACATATCAGGCATCTGGTTACGTTGGCAGACAGGGAGGGTTTGGACCTGGAATCGGAATTCAAACGCGCTGTCCGCACTTCGTCACAAAGTAATCCGATCTTCAACTCGACTGTCGGCAGTCTCTGCCGCGCTGGAACCGTCCATTTCTAAAGGGCTCTCTGGAAGAAATGTTTCACGATTGATAATGCTTTTATGAGTCTAGGAAGCTGGTGATGTGCATCATCTCATTCATATTTGCGCCTACCATGAAGGGAACCCGCGTGATGTTGTCGTCGTCAACAGTGCTGTGACCGCTCCCGTGGCAGGGGGGGGTAACTCACGAACGACGAAGCGGACGGCTGCAGATATTTGCAAGACGTGTTCAGGCTTGTCTGACCTGTTGTCGAGTAGAGGAGATCTGTGAATTAACACGATGGCGGCGGAAGCGGTGAATTGGGGGAGTCGGGAGGGTATACATGAGACTTGCTTCTTCCTACTCAGGCCAGCCGCGCATTCTGGCGATCATAACCTCCGCTTGGTGGAGGTCGGCCTTGAAGCTGTCTCAATATTTTCTTCTAGTGTGCTACTTATACTGCTTGTCTATTTGATCGTCCTGTTTACTGTTTGCTGGTGTACTGCTTGACTACTAGTGTTAATCAATGAGAGAATAAGAATGGTTTATTTTTTTTTCTTTCTGGGTTTTACAATACGGTACCGCTCCGCGCGTACTCTCCTATTCTATCTGTTACCACCCAAATGGTATCCCCGTCACTGCTAAGACAGACCTTCACGAGAAAGTCGACAGCATAGACAGGAAAGACAGAACAGGCAGAGCGCGCGTGTAGGTGGAGCGGCTGGTGCCAGGATCGGGAAGAATGCGTTACGCATACTCTTGAACACAAAATCATGCCCAAGAGTTATGTGGGACTCTGCGACCATCTCTCAATGGTCGCCATACCCACTAAGACCCGACCTCAACCAAAGGAAGCCCGAGAGCTACCCCCGTATTGATGGTTTGTCAACGTTGTCGCATGATCCGCCCGTCTTGTCTCTGAGGGCTTTGTGGCCGCAGAGCCCATCTTCGACAAGACGGTCAGTCGCGCGGACTCTCGTCAACTCCGTCGCTACCGGCCCAGTGCGACGGCACGGGCCAGTGCGCGTGTTTCAGAGACGCGACAACATAGACGTTTTAAATCCGATGAGCAACCTGGCTAAAGAAGAATCTCATCAGATCGACCGCCCTGGTCACCAGCGCCCATGACCTGAAGGGCGCTAAGGGCGGTCATGCAGCGTACCGAGCCGGCAAGGAGTATCTCCCTGAGCATATGCATGCTCACCCGGCATCTGCGTGCGGACGTTGTCATGCTGCTAGGGCTGCTGCTAGGCGACACCAGAACATCAACTCCCAAGCTCGAAAGCTGTCTGGTGGCCATGGTGCACGAAGCACCGAGCAAGCGCGACCGGTGCAAGACAGAGACAGGACAAGACTCTCCCCTGGCCAGCCGGTGGTCAAGGGCCTGCAAGTCTTCCGATCGACAGGCGGTCGCCAGTCTGCTTGACATGTGCTCTCGCAAGAGCCGGCTTCGATCCTCTGTCCCTCGCATGAGCGGCACAACGCCACTTCATAGGAGAGTGCTACCGTGAACGGCATAGGCTACCCTCTGGCGTCTCCGCGGAGGTCTGCCACAGAATGCTACCTGGTGCGTCATCGGCGACTCTCTTCCTGAGAATGCTACCTCTGGAGGTATATGCTATTCTCAGAGAGTCTACCTAGCGTGGTATATGCTACCCTGTGGCAGGTCCGCGGGGTACCACGCACACGAGAAGGAGAGAGGATCGGAGCCCATGTTCCAGTACCGGCCGGAACTGCGATAATGTCCTAGAGATGAGATTCACGGTCAGCGTTTAGAGTCAAGATAATGTTGTGAAGAGAAACTCATCGCTCTTAGGACGGTTCTAGAGAGAAAGGGTCCGGACTCTGTCTTGCTGATCGCGCTTGCTTCCCTAGAGTCGAGTGACTACGGCATCAACGGCATCCGCGGTATCGTCGATGGTGGAGACGGCTTTGGAAACCTGTTTGGTAACCAAAGGCGCCTTTGCAGCAGGGCGCACAGGGAGGTTGGGCGCGTCTGTGTGATTGCTGTTAGTTGGGGGTGCTAGATCGACTGTATAACTGTACTGACTGTTTTTGCCGTGATTCGGGAGAGAACTACAGACGACGCGCTGGAGCGGCCGCCGTCGTATCATCTGTCCGGGTACCTAGAAAGAGCCAAACAAACCAGGCCATATAGAAAGACTCACTCAGAGTGCGATCCATACGGTCAGGATTGTTTGGTAGGTTAGCAGGCAGCTAAAGCTGTACACACAACGCAAAACATATTCCAAAACTTATGCCCAGCAGTCCGCTGATCCATCTCTGTCAGAGTCGGTACTTCTTCACAGAGATGGGGGGCAGGCACTCTACGGCAGCTAAAGCTGTACACAAAACGCAATATATCCAAAAACAGCTTAAATGCTTTATAAATAGTGCACGCAGCAGTCGATCCATTCTGTCAGAGTCGATACTTCTTCACAGAGACGATCGGACTGCTGGGGGGGGTTCATTCATGACACCGAAGTGTATCGGGGAAGGAAAAAGAGAAGGGAAAAGAGGAGAGAGTGGCGAGCGCGCTGAAAAGGCGGATTGCAGTTCAGGCGGGCGCGTGACTAGTATGTTGCGGGTTCCCGATCTGTAAAAAGCTAAACGCGTAACCAACGCGCCTGTCTTCTAGTTTTATGTCGTACAGAGCTATATATTATATCAAGAAAAGCATACGCGTCCACCTAATAGTGGATTGCGACTTGGACGAGCCATATTAGCGGCTGTCTAAAGGAGACAAGCTCAAGATGAAAAAATAGAGAAGACATTTGCTACAAGGTGTATATTAGAAATAAGCACTAATTGACGCAAGAAATACATTAACGCCCCGGGATTTGAAGATCTGTTCTGATAACCGATAACTTCTATAAATCTTGTACATAGCTCTGGCGAGCACTGGAAAAACCTCTTAAACCGCATGATGGTAGCTAATAGAATGTAGTCTGGATTTATATGAATTTGTCCAAAAACTTAGTTGCGACCTCGACACCCACAAAGGTAGCAGCATTGGCAGGGAAGGAGCGCATGAGAGCGGGCCCGATACCAGGGAAGAAAGCCTTGATGCCTCCACCGGAATAGATTGCTTTTGTGACCTTGCTGATGTTGGTGTGAGTGCTCGATGATTGCAGCTGGGATTTGATCGTATCAATAGGATAGACAGCGACCCACATCGCCACACCGGACATTCCTCCTGCAAAACTGATGGCAGCAAGGGACATGCTCTGGCCTGCGGGAGTAAGCCTTTCCTTGAGATACTCGTACACGGCGAAGTAGATGGCGGATCCTGGACCATCTCTGGCAAGAGTAGCGACAGAACCTCTCATGAGCGAACGCATTCCACCTTCCTTGTAGATTTTGCGAACAACATCGATAGGACCAGAGTACTTCTTAACATCAGACTGGCCTTCTAACTGAAGCAAGACCTTGATTCGCTCGAAAGGCGCCGCGACGAGAGTTGTGGGAATGGCCGAGAAGAAACCTGCGGCTGAGATCTGAGCAATTGAAAGCTGGCCGTTAGGTGATGGAGGCGAAACAGCGGTAACTATCCGCTTGCCCAAGTCGTAACCCCAGAACGAGATAGCAAACATGGGCGTAACACCAAGAAGAGGAGGCGAGACTCCACGATAGACGCCCTAGTTATTTGATGGTCAGTGCAAATACAGTAGACGATATCAGAGAAGCTAACATACCATAACGCCATCGCGAGCCACAGTCTTTTTCAGAGCGTCAAAGGCACCAGAGTACACGCCCTTTTCAGCGGTTTGCAGGCTGGAGATCGACATGTCAGATCAGAAAACATTAAAAGACAAGTTTAGAAAGAGCTATAGACACCTACCGAACCTTGATGAGATCAAAAGGGTGACCTATAACGAGCAGACAGTCAGAATAGCTACCAAAGAAGCAATGAATACATCAGCTAGAGGATGGAACATACCAACAAGAACTGCGCAGATGCCGCCGACTCCACCACTGGCAAAAGATTTCACCTGACCCATGAAAGCCGAGGACTCTGGCTGCGCCTTGGAGGCAATCTCCTTGACGGTGTCTGTAATCTCTGAGCTGTCGGACATTGTGTATAGAGTGTAGATGCTGGGACCAAGGAAAAAAGATCACTTGCGAGAGCAGGTACAAGTAAAATAGATTTATGAATGGAGAAATCTCGGCAGCCGAGGCGGAGTGCCCCGCAGCCCCGCGCGGCGCCTTCCCGTCAACACTTCCGCCGGACCGTAGAAGGAACCGGCCTTCAGGCGGGGAAGGACCCAGGGCCGTTTATGAGCCGAACTTATGGTTATTATCATTGTTATCTATATTACTAATTACGAGTACTATTGCTGAGCCTAATGAGCACTGCCGAGACACCTGCCGACGTTCACACTGTTCGGCCGTCTTGCTGTTGATCCAGCAAGAAATCCTCGGCCCAGGGCACGTGATTGGATCTTTCAGAGGTGCCACAACCGCGGTCCGTAGCTTGAGTCAAACGTACCGACCTCACTGCCGCATCGACCGAATGAGCTACAATAGCTGGCAAGAGGGCCAACGCGGAAATAGTGGTGGCGGCGGCCGTGGCTATGGTCGCGGAGGAGCGGGTGGTGGCCGTGGCCGTGGCCGTGGCCGAGGCCGAGGAAATTTTAATAACAACTCGAGGTATGGCAACAGCGGTGGATATCAGAGTTATGACAGCAACAATGGGCAAAGGCCGTTCAATAAGGTATCATCTGTTTTACTGTGTGCTTATATGTTGCCTTTTCTCACAAATAGTATAGCGCCCTAGGACCAACAACTATCAGCGCGGGTCAGGACAACACGGTGAACAAGATCCTGATTATGTATGGTTTGACATCAGAGAAGCACTTTCCAACCCATGGCGCGAACTAGAGGACGAGCTGGGACTTCCTCACGTGCAACCCGACTTAAATGAATTGGATACTGAGGACGAAGCTGAAGACAGTATGCAGGTTGATACACCAGCGGAAAGAGCCGATCTGGATGGCGAAGGCGCGGCTAGGACGGAGAAGCTGACTACAGAGATGCCACCAACTGAGGAAGCCTCCTCAATAGGCGATTTAGAGACGGCTGGCTCTTCAGAAACTCCTGCGCCAGTGGGCGAAGAACAAGATGACAATACATCTCACCAAGACCCCACAGCCTCGACACTACCAGTAGCTGGCACAGTTCACTCTGGCATCAATGAAGAGATCGACCTTGACATCGATATGAGCCTTGAGCTCCCATCCTCTTGACTCGCTGAGTTGAAGTATTGTATTGTATTCTAGTGTTTTATGTGTGTATGATATTTGCAGGCGGACTGGAATAGTATTTGCGATTTTCGTGCGACCCTTCATCCTGCCTTTGATGGTAAATGAACATAATCCACCCAACCTCACCTCGTTCGCGCATTTATTGCAACGCAACATAGAATCTAACTGGTAACGCTTCAGAACGAGAATCTGAAGTCAGAATCTGGTAATTCTCTGATTAAATTCACTTCGAAGATCTAACCTGTTTATCGCTTGAGACGCCACTGTTACAAACGAGATCGCGGATGACCAGAGATCTCCCACAGATCTGGACTGTACTTCTATCCATGTTCAACCCGTGGAGAACGAGAAAACGAAAAGGGTCTGTGATCTACCCATTTTCTGAGGTACAGGCTGCTAGGAAATGGACCATAGAGGAATTTATCGACTTCGTATGCAAAAACGGACCAGATCAAAGACGATTTCAAGCAGAGACCGAGCGCTACGATCAAGTCCGTAGGGCGATCGTCGATTTAACTGTCGAATTCAGCTTCAATTTATCAATGACTTCTACTGAAGACGGACAGTGAGAGCATGTTAAGATCGAAAGGACTAGCGGTCCATACACTTGAAAAGTCAGATGATTTCGCCAACAGAAGGGAACAATCCCATCATAGTGAGCAAGAATTATATTCTATAATACAAACATGATTTTTATAATGATGACTTAATAGTCCACCTTTAGCAAATAATCCCATGCACAAACGCCTGCCAATAACACATACAAGTATAATACATTACAACAAACTGGAAACCAATCATCTTAAGCGAGACGTTTAATCGTCCTCTGGCTCAATAATCTCCGGGATCAGTTCTCTAGCTTTGCTGTACTCCGCTGGGTACTTTGACGACACTTTCTTCTTGAGTGAATCCACATGTCGCTGAACCCATTTCAGATCCTTCTGAACCTCGCGAAGCGTGCGCAGTCCCTCCACAAATGACGCTCGAGTTTCGTAGATTCGCTTTGTAGAGAGTTCCTGCATCTGCTGCAACTCCCTGGACTTCGAGTTCAGAAGACCAGAACTTTGTGCCTGCACAACAACTGCTCGATCAAGCAGCATTGCATCAAATGCTTGTAAAATCTTATCCGACACATAGGCTGATGGATCGAAGTTCCCGTCGTCGGAGTCATCCTCACTTTCGCTATTACTGGATTGGCCATTTTCTTCTTCACTGGATACGTCTTCGTCGGGATCGGTATCAGCGTCTGATCCAGCATACGAAGAAGTAGAGCTGGTGTCGTCGTCATCGTAGCTGCCGTCGTTGTCGTCAGAAAATGACTCTCTGCTGCCCATTATCGACGACCCAGCTAATCCACTGTTGGCGCTTGGATACCGCCAGTGCAAATTTCCGCTGCCAAACGAGTATATTGAAGATGCCGAGTCCGCTCGCGCCGGTGAGTTGCCGTTGGAGTAGTGATATGAGTTGATAGAGGTTGACGATGCATAAGAATAAGCCGACTGATAGAGGTCGACAGGAACCAGAGGAAACGAAAGAGCTCGCGCCCGCCGACGGGTCTGTGTTATCAGTGAAGTGTTGCTGATAGTCGAAGCCGACATGTCTATTCCTCGGGAAGCCTCAGCCATGTTCGGAGGACTTGTAGGAGATGCTGCCGCTGCGACAAGTCGAGTATATGCCTCTTACACCACAGCACTTGAGCGTCAAATAAGGTCGAGAATAGTAGAGCTGAGCAGAGTCTGTATTCGGAAATGCGCTTTGACAATTACTGCAGTTATAGTAAGCCGTTACTTTTCAGACGGAATGCGTTTGTTGCATCACCGGCGCGGCTCAGAAAATTAGACTCGCAGCGACCTGTGAAGAGTCATTTGCACAAAAAAAAGTTCGACGTCCAAGTTAGTAATCCATCCATCATCCCCTACATCCTCTACTTCTTTCTCCATACAGCGATTTACTAGTAGAAATACACGCAATGGATTTCCCAAGGGAGGAAGAAAAGGTCCTGGCTCTTTGGAAGGAGTGGGATGCTTTCAAGACCAGTGTGAAACAATCGGAGGGACGGAAACCGTTTTCCTTCTACGATGGTCCACCATTTGCTACCGGTAAGTGTCTACTATTTGCCCCCCGTATCGACCATTGTTTGCTTCGGTGGCTCAATGCTACTGTTTCTACCTGTGGTTAGAAGTTGCAGCTGATAAACATGATGTTTACTGGCTACGCACTTCACGAACAGTCTACATCTCGCATCTACTAACAGTGTCACAGGTACACCTCATTACGGACACATTTTGGCATCTACCATCAAGGATATCGTGCCTCGCTATGCCCACATGACGGGACACTACGTCGAGCGTCGTTTTGGATGGGATACCCATGGACTTCCTGTGGAGCACGAAATTGACAAGAAGCTTGGTATCACCGGAAAGGAGGACGTCATGAAGATGGGTATCGCCAAATACAACGAGGAGTGCCGCGCAATTGTCATGCGTTACGCTGACGAGTGGCGATCGACCATCGACAGACTGGGACGCTGGATCGACTTTGACAACGATTACAAGACTCTCAACCCGACCTTCATGGAGTCTGTCTGGTGGGTCTTCTCCCAGCTTTACGAGAAGGACGCCGTCTATCGTGGATTCCGTGTCATGCCGTACTCCACTGCCTGTACGACTCCCCTCTCCAACTTCGAGGCTCAGCAGAACTACAAGGATGTCCTTGACCCGGCCGTCGTCGTTGCTTTCTACCTCAAGAATGATCCCGAGCACAAGACCGCTCTGTTGGCGTGGACCACCACCCCGTGGACCCTCCCCTCTAACTTGGCCGTCGCCGCCAACCCCTCGTTCGAGTACGTGAAAATCCACGACGAGAAGGATGACAAATACTATATCCTGCTTGAGTCGTTGATCACCACTCTGTACAAGAACCCGAAGAAGGCGAAGTACACTATTGTTGAGCGCATTAAGGGAAGCGACATGAAGGGATGGGAGTACGAGCCTCTTTTCGACTACTTTTACGAGCAGTACAAGGACGTCGGTTTCCGTGTTGTCAACGCGGACTACGTTTCCGCCGATAGTGGTACCGGTCTTGTCCATCAGGCTCCGGCGTATGGTGAGGACGATTTCAACGTTGCCATGGACTGCGGTGTTATCAGCGATCGTCGTCCTCCTCCTAACCCTGTCGATGACAATGGTAATTTCACCGATGCTGTCAAGGACTTTGCTGGGGAATACGTCAAGGGTGCTGATCGCAAGATCATCAAGCACTTGAAGGAGAAGGGAACGCTCATTGTTGATGGTCAGATTAACCATTCCTACCCCTTCTGCTGGCGTTCGGATACTCCGCTCATCTACCGGGCGGTTCCTGCGTGGTTTGTTCGCATCAAGGAGATTATCCCTGACATGCTCAACAACATCTCGAAGACCCGCTGGGTGCCTTCTGTCATCAAGGAGAAGCGATTCGCCAACTGGATCGCCAACGCGCGTGACTGGAATATCTCGCGTAACCGATACTGGGGTACCCCTATCCCTCTTTGGGTTTCTGATGATTACGAGGAGGTCGTTGTTATCTCTTCCATCAAGCAGCTTGAGGAGCTTTCAGGCTGTGGCCCGTTGACCGATCTCCACCGCGACAAGATCGACCACATCACTATCCCCTCCAAGAAAGGCAAGGGTGTCCTCCATCGTGTCGAGGAGGTGTTCGACTGTTGGTTTGAGTCTGGCAGTATGCCTTACGCCAGTGGTCACTACCCCTTCGAGAACAAGAACAAGTTCGAGGCCTCTTTCCCCGCTGACTTTATCTCTGAGGGTCTTGATCAGACTCGTGGCTGGTTCTACACTTTGACTGTTTTGGGTACCCATCTGTTTAACACTTCGCCGTTCAAGAACTGCATTGTTACTGGTATTGTTCTGGCAAGTGATGGAAAGAAGATGTCGAAGCGGTTGAAGAACTATCCCAGCCCGGAGCTGGTTATCGACAAGTACGGTTCCGACGCTCTGCGACTGTATTTGATCAACTCGCCCGTCATCCGTGCGGAGACTCTTCGTTTCAAGGAGGAGGGAGTTAAGGAAGTTGTTTCGAAGGTTTTGCTTCCGTGGTGGAACTCGTACAAATTCTGGGAGGGCCATATTGCTTTGCTGCAGAAGAACGAGGGACGTGAGTTTATGTACGATCCCAACCTCAAGAGTGACAATGTGATGGACAAGTGGATCCTCGCATCGCTGCAGACTCTTATTCAGTTTGTTCATGCCGAGATGGCTGAATACAGACTGTACACTGTCGTTCCTCGCCTGCTTTCGCTTATCGACGATATGACCAACTGGTACATTCGCTTCAACCGAAAGCGTCTAAAGGGCGAGTCGGGTGTTGAGGACACTGTGGTTGCTCTCAACACTCTGTTTGAGGTCCTGTACACTCTTGTGCTTACCATGGCTCCGTTCACGCCGTTCTTGACCGATAACATCTACCAGCGCCTTCGCGCTTACATCCCCAAGGAGTTGCTTCCTGAGGATGCTCGCTCCGTTCACTTTTTGGAGTACCCCAAGGCGCGATCTGATCTTGCCGACGAGGTTACTGAGCGCGCTGTCGGCCGCATGCAGAAGGTTATTGAGCTGACGCGTGCCCTGCGTGAGAAGAAGACGATCGGTCTTAAGATTCCTCTTAAGACGTTGGTCGTCATGCATCACGACGAACAGTACCTTGAGGATATCCGTGGATTGCAGCAGTACATTATTGAGGAGCTCAACATCCGTGATTTGATCCTGACGTCGGATGAGAAGAAGTACGGCGTTGAGTACCGCTGCGAGGCCGACTGGCCCACGCTCGGCAAGAAGCTTAAGCGCGACATCGTCCGCGTCAAGAACGCTCTTCCCAAGCTGACGTCGGACGAGGTCGAGTCGTTTGTTGAGTGTGGCAAGATCACTGTCGACGGTATCAACCTCATCGAGGGCGATCTCACTGTCATCCGCGGACTGAGCTCCGAGAGCGTTTCGCACGGCCAGGAGACCAACACCGACCAGGATGTGCTTATCATTCTCGACACTACCATCTACCCTGAACTTAAGACCGAGGGTCTGGCGCGCGAGATCATTAACCGTGTCCAGAGACTGCGAAAGAAGGCTGGCTTGAACGCCGTCGATGACGTCAAGGTTCAGTACAGGATGCTCGAGGACGGCGGCGTCGGTCTCACCGACGTGTTTGCTGAGCACGAGGCGCTCTTGACAAAGGCGCTGCGCAGACCTTTGGAAAAGGTCGAGGGCGAGTTCCCCGAGGGAGAGGTCATTGCTGACGAGGAGCAAAGTGTGCAGGAAGCCAGATTTGCGCTCAGACTTTTGAAGTTGTAGATTGTGTATTGTACATGCGCGGCTTGTTGTTTATTGCGTGACTGATTGTAAAAGTTTACATGCCTGGCTTTTATTTTTGACTGTAATCAAGATTGTATATGAACAAAACTGAAAATATATTTATCAACAATAGCATGGAGCAGGGACCATGTAGAGGTCATGCTTTGAGCCCTGTGCACAGATCAAAATCTGGCAAGCATTTTTAGATTAGTGAACTCTGCTAGAGAAATCCTAGCGTATGCCATAGTTTAGTGTTGGGCGCGAACTATCTATACTTAATATCATCCCCAAGAGAATTGACATTGCTGAAATATGTTAAGTCTGTTGAGCGATGATCCAGTTATGGAGCGTCAGCGATACGTAAATGTCGCGTCGCGATCAGCGAGTTGGGTGGATGGCCGGAATCGAGCCACAATTTTAGTGAATACTAATCACAAACTCCCAACCGGATAAGAACCAACGATTCTGAATACTAATCGCAAACTCCTAACTGAATACTAGTTGAAACCCGTAGCATAAAAGGCCGGCCTCAGCGACTGGTTTTTTTTCCTCCAATTTACTCTCTCTCAGCCGTCTTTATCAAATCAATTTATAGTTTCGAAATCAGATTAGCTTACAATGACACTCTTTGATCATTATCGCTTGTACGTGACGGACCTGAAGACTGCACGCGCCTTCTATGACCCGATCCTCCTGCTTCTGGGATATAAGGTCACTTATGAAGCCGGTAAGTTCTGAACACAACTTTCTACACTCTCACGCCACGAACACTCCACTAACAACCATTCCATCATAGAGGGCACGATTGTCTACCACTCCAACGACACTTCGGTGAAAGACGCCTTTGTCGTCAGCACTGCCAAAGAAGGCCGCGTGATTGCGCCCCAGCATATCTCGTTCGCAGCTCCCTCGGTCGATGTCGTGAAGGCCTTCCATACCACCGCGCTCGGACTCGGCGCAAAGGACTACGGAGCACCGGGACCGCGACCTGAGTATGCTCCGGATTACTACGCAGCGTTTGTCACTGACTTTGATGGAAACAATGTCGAGTTCACTACTCATGTTTGACCTGTACGCAGAGTAAAATAATACAATCTCTGTATCAGCTACCATAACATTCGACTCAAGTTCAATGTGCATAGCGTAGAGACATACTATTTCAAGATATATCCTCTAGTGGTAAATCATAGCTGAAAGACAAAACGTTCAGAGCCATACTATCCAATTATCATTGCTTACAGAGATACTCACACAGTTGAGAAGCAAGAGTCTTGTATATTTATCTTACTCGCCTCCATGTGGCATGCGACTGCCTCTCTCAAGAAATACTTATTCAGCCACTACGACCTATTAAGCAAGAGAGCCTTTACTATTGCAATAACTTAACCCAGAGTATAGGGCATTGCGAAGTGGCCTACGCGTCAGGTGTATGTTTACTTTCGGCCAAATTGAGAAACCCCAATATATCAAACACGCGCCCGCCTGACCTGAAGTCCGCCCACTTCAGTGCGCTCGCCTCTTTCTCCTCTTGCCTCTCTTCTATTTTTCTATCCGTCATCACTTTTTTGATCCCATCCCTTTTTTGCTTCTTTCTAGATGTATTTCCCAGCAATATATGGACCACGGCATCGCCTGCCACTGCTTCTCACCAGCACTTTTGTTCCTGTTCATGATCTCTGGTGAGTCTGATCTGCTATCTAACACCCAAAGTAACCCGCCCGTATGGAGAGCGATCCAAGCTTTACCTATGCGGTCGGGTCTCTTTGGTTCTTTGTCTGGTCTAGGTGTCTCGGGCGCGAGCTATACGCACGATACGATACGATACGACCGGTGGTTGCTCCACCACCGGAAGGGCGGCCTAGTGGTTGATCTGCGGATCATCCAACTGGTTTTGCTTGCAACCACTCTATACACACGGCAATAATAGTAAGGACAGATATATAGTGTAACAGAGCTCTCAGCTAACATTCATTATACAGACGTGAGCGTCCTCCAGCTCGCACTCCGCTGCAAAACGCCCGCGGGCGTCTCCCCAACCTACGATCGCGGATGTCGTTAGGTGAAGTCGTCAGTCAACTCTTGGGGGAAGCAAGCGCGACCAGTACAGGTACACACCTGTCGGCAGCATGACATTCTCAATCCTCTGGCCCGCGGACTGGTCGGGAGAGAGTCTCGTCATGGCCTGCAGCTATCGCGCTTGGTTCATGGTACCCACCCAGCTCTCGAGCTACACGGGAGAGACGTGTACGGGTGGCTGGCCTGCAGCATCCCAAGAGCCTGACAGCCTTCCGCAAACAGCGCATGCACCGAGTGAGCAGCCATAAGCTAGCATATGCACTATGCTCAGCCTATACATGCTCAGGGAGACATTCCTTTGCCGGCTCGGTACCTCTGCGTGGCCGACCCCTCCGCGTGTTGTCAAGACATCTGTCACGACGGGCGCGGTTGGTCAGGGCGGTCAATCTGATGAGATTCCTCTTTAGCCAGGTTGCTCATCGGATTCAAAACGTCTAACGTTGTCGCAGTCTCTGAAACGTGTGGCTGGTAAGCTGCGCCGTCGCATGGAGTCGTAGGCGACGGTAGTGAAGAGAGTCCGCGCGACCAAAGGCCTTGTCGACGAGGGAAGTCTGCTTTAACAAGCCCTCCGATGACAAGACCAGCGGATCATGCGACAACAACAGACAAACCATCAATACGGAGGTAGTCTTCGGACTGCCTTTGAGTGAGGTCGGGTCTTAGTGGGTATGGCGACATTGAGAACACGCTTGTTTAGCGACAAGCGTGGTCGCAGAGTCCCACATAACTCTAGGATTTTTAATTCTAGAGTATGCGTAACGCATTCTTCCCGATCCTGGCACCAGCCGCTTCGCGCGTGCTGTTCCTGTTCTGTCTTTCCTGGTCTATGCTGTCGATCTTTCTCGTGAAGGTCTGTCTTAGCTGTGATGGGGTTACTGTTTGGGTGGTAACAGACAGAATAGGAGAGCACGCGTGAAGCGGTACCGTATTGTAAAACCCAGAAAGAAAAAAAAATAAACTGTTCTCATTCTCTCATTACCTAACACTAGTAGAAAGGAAGTACACCAGCAAACAGTATACAGGACGATCAAATAGACAAGCAGTATAAGTAGCACACTAGAAGAAAATATTGAGACAGCTTCAAGGCCGACCTCCACCAAGCGGAGGTTACGATCGCCAGAATGCGCGGCTGGCCTGAGTAGGAAGAAGCAAGTCTCATGTATACCCTCTCGACTCCCCCAAATCACCGCTTCCGCCGCCATCATGTTAATTCACAGATCTCCTCTCAAGCCTGAACACGTCTTGCAAATATCTGCAGCCGGCTGCTTCGTCGTCCGTGAATTACCCCCCCCTGCCACGGGAGCGGTCACAGCACTGTTGACGACGACAACATCACGCGGGTTCCCTTCATGGTAGGCGCAAATATGAATGAGATGATGCTCATCACCAGCTTCCTAGACTCCTAAAAGCATTATCAATCGTGTAACATTTTTTCCAGGGAGCCGTACTGCCGACAGTCGAGTTAAAGATCGGATTACATTGTGACGAAGTGCGGAGGGCGCGTCTGAATCCTGAATACAGGTTCAAACTCGCCGTGTCTGCCAACGTAACCAGATGCCTGATATGTATGAATGCTTACTCATTTCTTAGAAATATTACACTACACCAGAAACGACTTACATGAATAGCGATGGAGTACTTCTTTCATCATGGCAGTTCGATTCAAACCTTTATATAGATAGCATAAAACGCACTCTGGCTCAAATCTATGTCGTCTATCGTCCATCTTTCTAAAGTGCTTCCAGCGCTCTTGATCATTCCCACGGTTTGAAGATATTGATACATATCAAGTGGCATGCGACTGCCTCCCCCAAGCAATATTTGCTAGCGCCACTAAGAAATCGAACATAAAATCCTTATTAATTGTAATAACACACCCCAATCTATATAATATAACGAAATGGCTTACTCGTCACGTGCCTGTTTACTTTCGGCCAAATCAAGAAACCCCAATATCCAGACACGCGCGCCTGACCTGCAGCCCGCCCACTTCATCGCGCTCGCCTCTTCCTCCCTTCTTCTTCCCTTCCCTCATCAGTTGATTTCGATACCCCTCCCACACTATCAGTCACATCTATTTTCCGGCAATAGATCGACTGCGATACCCGTCGCTAAGCTCGCTGGTTAGCTGTTTTTACGTTTTTGTGCGCAGCTTAGCGGCTTCCTGGCACCAGGCAGTCCTGCCCAGAGAGGCTTCTCGTATGGGCGGGGTGTTTGGTTCCATGGTGGAGGTCCCACTGGGACCCGCAGAATGACCGGAGGACGCTCCACCCGGTCATTTCTGCGAAGCAGCCAGTGGAAGATCAGATTTGTGAAGCTGGCTGCTTGATCTCACTATACCACGGCAAAAATATAGTAAGTACAGTTGCACGGTCGATTCAGAGCTTCAACTAGCGGCAAATACGAAGATGCGTAGGTCCTCTACCGCGCACCCTGCGGCATCAACGTCCTTGCTAACCCAACCAGGCAAATGGCCGCCCGCCACCTGTTTTGGTCAGCAAGGACGTCGAGCAACCTAACGGTCGCGGATGTCGTTAGGTGAAGAGGTCAGTCAACTCTAGCGGGAAGCGAGCGCGCTAGTACGGTGCATTCCACGCTGTCGGCAGAATGACGTTCTGGAACCGTTGGCCGCAGAGAGTCATTGGACAGTCTCGTCATGGCTGCAGCTATTCGCGCCTTGCTTCTCGGCCGCTACAGTCCTTGGGCTGCGTGGCAGAGTACACACAGCTCGTGGGCTAACGTGGGAGGACACGTTGTGGCGGTATCGCAGGGTATCTAGAGCCTGACAACCTCCGCAAACAACGCGGGTACTGAGTGAGCATACATTTGCTCGGGAGTTATTCCCTTGCCGGCTCGGTACTCTGCGTGGCCGCCCCTAAGGTGCCTCACTGGTGCTGTTGGCCGGGCGGTCGATCTGATGAGATTCTTCTTTAGCCAGGTTGCTCATCGGATCTAAAACGTCTACGTTGTCGCGTCTCTCACACATGCGCGCTGGCACGCCGCGCCGTCGCACGGAGCCCGTGGCGACGGAGTGTTGAAGAGAGTCCGCGCGACCAACCGTCTTGTCACGAGGGGGGGCCATCGAGGCTAGAGACTTCTGACGACAAGACGAGCGGATCATGCGACAACATTGACAAACCACCAATAAGGAGACAGTTTTTGAACTGCTTTCTGGGTGAAGTCGGGTTTTAGTGGGTATGGCGACATTGAGAGTCCGCTTGTTCAACACAAGCGGTGTCGCAGAGTCCCACATAACTCTTGTTCTTGTTTTCGAGCAAGAGTATGCGTAATGCATTCTTCCTGATCCTGGCACCAGCCGCCTCCGCGCGCGCTCTTCCTGTTCTGTCTATCCTGTCTGTGCTGTGAATGTGTCTGTGGACCTTTCTAAGCTGTGATGGGGTTGCTGTTTCTTGATAGTGACTGACGGAAGGGAAGAGCGTGCGCGGAGCGGTTCCGTATTGTAAAACCCCAAAGAAAAAAAAGCAAACACTCTCAGAATAATTAAGTATTCGTAGACAAAGGCATCTTTGTGTTTGTAGATTCGTTTGCAACAGCCCATCTGTTGTAGGCAGTTGTGTCCTGCGACTGATAGTTTATTACTGGTGTATCATTCAGTTTCCATAGAACATATAATTTCATATTTTAGTTCCAATTTATTTTGATTCCAAAGAGATGTAGCAGACCAACACAAAAAAATGTAAGAATATGAGAGCAAAAACATGAGATGAAATGAGACAATAATATTAAAACAGAAAAGCAAACCATTTTCCGGGCTCCGTATGCAACATATAAATTCATAACCGACTGTGGACATCCATTTTTTTTGTGGAAAGATTTAAAACAAACAAGCTTTTTCTTTCTCTCTGAGATTTAGATGGATTTTTCGAGGAAGGCCTTGACAGGTCCGCCGACTTCGTTTAGTGAAAGAAGGAAGGTATCGTGGCCGTACCAGCTGACTTCCGAGCTCAGCTCGATGTGCTCGACTTTCTCATTTCCGCCCTCGCGCAAGACGTCCGCGATCTCTTTCTGCTGCCAACTAGGGAACAAGATATCGGATTCGACGCCGAGGACAAAGACCGGGGTCTCCTTGAGCGCCTGCATACCCGCCACCAGATCCTCGCGCGCCTCGTCAAAGTTGAGCTGGTGCGGCACGCTCGAATCCTCGACTTCCTCGTAGGGATCGCTGGGGACGGAGCAGGTGGGCGGGTTTGTCTCCTCGCGCGCGGTGGTGAGCGCTCTTGTCTCGACTGCCTTCTGGCGCACGGACAAGGACATGTCGAATAAATCCATCGCTTTGGAGACATAGAGCAGCGAGTTGGGATCGTACTCTAAGCAAAACTTCTCGCCCTGATGGTCAAGGTAGGTTTCAATCAAAAAGTCAGCGCAGAGCGCAGGCGGTTTCCGCGGATCGGCGCGCTTGCGCCCGAACCGCTGCTCCCATTCCGGCCCGGATCTGTAAGTGATTGTCGCGATCTCGCGCGCGAGCTTCATGCCCGCGTGCGGGGGGACGCTGTCGTAGTAGAACCCGCGGCGCCAGTTCGGGTCCGCCATGAGGACTTGTCGCTGGGTGTGGCGCATGGCGATGGAGTAAGGGTGCGAGCGGGCGCATCCCGAGATTGAGACGATGCGGCCGACGAGGTCGGGGAACTGTGTGCCGTACGAAAGGGACTGCATGCCGCCCATGGAGGCGCCGACGGAGGCGTGGAGTTTGCTGATGCCGAGCTTTTGCGAGATCAGACGCTGCTGGGCGCGAGTCATGTCGTCGATCGTGACGATGGGAAACCGAGTGGCGTACTTCTGGCCGTCAGAAGGGTCGACCGACGACGGGCCAGACGAGCCGTAGCATCCTCCGATGACATTTGTGCAGATGACAAAGAACTTGTCGGTGTCGAGAGCGCAGCCGGGCCCGATGAACTTCTCCCACCATCCCGGGGCGGGGTTCTTTGCATGCGAGTGCGCGTGCGAGGAAGCGGATAGACCGGTGTGGAGGAGAATTGCGTTTGATCTGTCTGCGTTGAGTGTGCCCCATGTTTCGTACGCAATGTCAAATTCAAGCAGGATGCCGCCGTTGTCGAGCCGGAGGGGCACGGACGAGTGGAAGAGTTCGTAGCCGGTGACGTTGCGGGTGTACGTAGGTTCTGGGCCAGAGTCGAGAGAGCGGGTACGGTGCTCGAGCACGTCGAGGCAGGGGAACGACATCGGTCGGTTCGATGATCTGGGGATCGACGGCGGCGGGGGAGCGTTCGCGGGCGGTGCTGACGAGGGCGACGGGTGGTGGACTGCGCTGCGGACCGGTTCGGCGGCAGCAGCTTGCTGGCGTACAGCCGTACCGACGGCCTGCGCTGCCTTGGCGGACGAGGACACGCCTCGTCGGAAGGTGCGCAGGAGCGATGTGGGAACGGAGCGTGACATTGGGAAGAAGGTTGAAGATCAGAGACGAGTCAGATGAGAATTTGCAGGACGGGGGCTGTCGAGGTGGATATAAGGCAGGCTGCCGAGGACGAACAGTTCGCGAGCGGATAACCTGTGTCCCGGTGGAAGGAAATGCAATGCAGGGAAGAGGGAGACAAAGAAGGAAGGGAGACGCGGGAGAAGGAGAGATATGAGCAGGAACGAGGAGGAGCAGAAGAACCAGCGGGTTGACAAAGCAGCCGATAAGCTGGGAGCTGTCCGAGGGCCCATCGCCAGATTTTTTTCCCTTCTGGCCATGAACTCTGCTTATTGACAGGGTCGCGCAATCGCACGTGACTTGGATTTGTGGTAAACGTCTGTGGTTTGGTGCAGTTATGCGCGCTGAAGCCCTTAACCGCAATGCTTACTGATTAGTAATCTGGATTAATATTAATAATTTACAAATCAGTAGCGGCGTACATGAAACCGCGTACAAATAGTTTTTTTTTCTTAAGAGGAATTATGTAGTTGACTACTTATGTACATTCGTCTCTCGTATGTATTTCTCGATATCACAGCGTGGTCTGACGGCTCTCCGCCCGAATGCGTCTGGCATTCAGCTCGTACGAGATCAGATCTCTGCCCTCCGCGCGGCTGCCGACCGCCTCCTCGTCTTCTCCAAAGCTGTCCAAAAATCCAAGCTTCTGCTGCAACCAGTGGTAGAGATTAAAGTACGAGACCAGCACCGGGATCAAGATAAAGCGCGGCAGCCACTGGACAAAGTACTTGCCCAGCGGCGTCAGGTTGATCGATGGCTGCAAGAACTCCTCAAACACCGACGACTGTACGTGAGGCGGCACCATGCTGATGTAACTGTACGCCAGTGGGATCGTCATGCGGCAGATCTGCGTCGCGTAGAAAATAGCCGACCGCGTGTCTGTGTGTCTAGGAGCGAGGTTGAAGATGTTGAATATGCGCACTTTGGCCAGACTGGAGTACGCAGCGATGCACATGTAGCCCACGATCGCAAACGAGAGCAATTCTTGCTGGAAACCGTCCAGCAGTGTAGACAAGAATCCGAGGATCGAAAACTCGGTGCTCTCGAGAATTTCAGACATGACCACCAGTGCCGAGAACGCGGCCGTGAGCAACGCGTAGATCTTGAACAACAGTGGCTTGATCCACACGTAATAAAAGTATGCTAGCTTAGGCGAAAGCTTACTGTTCCGCATCCGGAACCTGAGCTCGTGTGTTTGTCTGCTGGCAATGATATCCAAAAGATCTGCCGCTTGCAGAATCAGCTGGTTCCACTCATACTCGTATCGTTCGTACTGAAGTCTGCATTTGCGCAGCCGGAACGTGAGCGTCGACAAATACTCCTCTGTGACCTGCATTCTGTTCAACGGCGGAGCGGGTACGACGTCTTGCGCGTCGTTGATTAGCTCTGCGATCCATAATTCAAACGGTCCATCCATGACTGATGTCAGCGCGCGAACCTCAGCAGACACGTCGCTGTACTGCATTCGAGCCTCGGTTTGGTGATCTTTCAAGGAGGGTGCAAGTTCCTCAAGCGCCCGGAGTCGCTTATCGGATGATGATCTGTTGTATAGAGCACGGGGGATCTACAGAAAAGGTTAGTAGTACATAAGGGTGCTGTAAATCTAGAATACTTACTCCGACGACTCCGATTCCAAGGAAGATTATTGACAGAATCAAAGAATAACTGTGTGATAAAGCAATCGCCATCGCTTTCAGAGACGTACTATAGAGACTTAGCCCTACTCTATCCTACCAAAGCAATCAAACGAGACATTTGGAACCTACATTGAGAAGCCAGCATACAACGTGAAGTAAACGAGCCCGACGGCTGCCAACGTGAGCTGCACGAGCTGATACCGGGCGTTAGACCTGATCGCCTCCTGCATTCGCTTGCTTCTGTCTTTATGACCAGACTCCAGAAATGCCTGCGTCATGGGAAGAATCGCCCTGGATATTGTGGAGTAAATTTAGCTAGAGATCACGACAGGTCAAATCAGCTGGAGGATATACTAACCATGTGAGAGCAAAAGACAGCCAATACACGATTCTCCATAGCGCAAAGGTCGCCTGACGCGGCAGATAAAGCAGAGGTTGGTAATCTGAAGTGGTCGTGGCAAGATCGATGGGAACCAGCAAGATTATAGAGAAAGCAATGTACACGGCGGCGAAGAGTGCGAGCAGGAGAGAAAGCGGAGCTCTCCGAAACGCGCAGAAAAAACCAATGATCCGCACGACTAGGATGGCGATGAGACCAAAACCAACTATTGAAAGCCACAGCTATGATAGAGCAAGTTAATATCAAGGAAATGCGAGGTTTTGGGTGCAAGAGACGGATATACCATTTCTCAACTGGTATGAACATGAAAATATTGAACAAGAATGTGTAAAATATTGATTCGGCGTATTCCGGTGTCTTCCAGAGATGCGTGGAGAGGAGGAGTAACTCAGGAGAAGCAACTACAGAACCCTCTGCAGCAAAATAAAGAAGCGAGACCAACCAGCACTTGCTTTGAGCAAACAAACAAAACAACGAGGAAGGAAAGAAAGGGTGGACAAAGATGTGAACAGTTGACGACGCCGCTGCAGCACCGTGCTTGCGATGCGGCGCCGCCTCTTCGCTTTCCGGTGCGCACGTGACCAGAGCCGCACCTTCGTTTCTGCCGCTTTGGTACATCTGACTAACAGAGTTGAACAGTTGTAGATCTGGGGATGGTCAGTAGAGTCAAGCTTACTGAATAGACCGCGGTTATGGGAGATGTAAGTGATGCAGGGTTTTTTTCAAGATCAGCATAGAAACTGCAAAAGAGGACGGTATGCGAAGAGAGAAGAGAGTAAGAGTAGGCCAATTTTGTAGATCTTCAAACAAGAAGACGGGGTGGAGATCAGGGCCGATGCAGCAAGATACAGTAAAATACATCAAATACGTGTTCTTCACAGCTGCTGAATCATATGAAGAACGTAAACAAAGCAGCGAGCACAAATATCTCCACCAGCCCCTTGAAACTGTGATCCGGGATTTGGCTTGCGTGGTTTAGCGAGGATGAGAGGCCGTGTGCGATATAATATTTTGTCACTCGCGCGAGGAAACACCATTTCCCCGAGATGAGGAGTCTCGATGCAACTGCGATCTGGGGCAATACCTGAATAATGTACAATGCTCTTTGTGAGAATATGCAATTGAGCAGCTGTGAATGGCGATATAGTCGTCGGTGCTGAGGATGATCACAGTATGGCTCGAGATATCTCCGTTTAAGGGAATATCGCTACGACTGAACCCAAGAGATAAGAAGGTGCCCGTAGCTTAGCTCAGCTCTGGATGAGGGTCAAATGCCGATTAATCGTCGGCGAGATACATCGAGAGCTGAGTGAACTTCAACTCGACGTCGATTTGGGCGAATACCCCGCGAGTACCCCGCGTTCTTGTAGTGCGGAGATGGCAGGTCCCCATGTGATGTGCCGCGATGTTTATATATCCTGACTCTGTTCTTTGTTGTGCCTGACTCTTGTGCATCCCCATCGCAAAGAACCTCTACCTACATCTCGCAAAATGAACAAAGACGGATTCGTTAAGGAGGACGTGTGTGCCCATTTACTCAGATCTTGCTTTGTTAGAGCATCTTACTAATAGCATTCTTCTACAGGAGAACTTCTCGTCCATCGACAAGACTTACGAGTACTTGCACATGACCAAGAGCAAGGTTAGTTGAGCTAGTTTTGATATTTTGCAATCTCAGTACAGCAATTGACCAGAGTTCGATACAGTACCACAACCCCGACCTCAAGTATGTGGAGCAGGAAGTTCTCGAGCAGCTCTACGTTGGCTGGCTCCGCTACTGGAACAAGGAGTCGATGCACGACGTCGTGAACGGCATGGACGGCGCTCGCAGATTCTACGACTTTGACGACATGCTCTCCTTCGACATGTTTGGCAACACCGAGCGCGGCAGCTTCAAGAGACACTTTGACTCCATCTTCCCGTACTGGAACGACGGCCAGATGCAGTACAAAGATCTCGAGATCACTGCTCTTTCTCCCGAGTACGCGTACTCGACCATGATCCAGCACACCTGGGGAACCGCAGGTGGCACCCCGTTCTCGACTGCCTTCCGACGAACCGGTCTGGCGCACAAGGGCAAGGACGGCAAATGGACCTGGATCCACGAGCACTTGAGCTTCCCTTGCGACATGCAGACCCAGAAGGCGGACTTTACTGCCTCGATCAAGCCCGAGGAGGCCTTCAAGTTGCAGTAGATATTTCTATCTATTGTGTTGCACTCTGAGTAGTCGTAGTGTTTTCTAACTGCCAAAGCAACAAAATTGATTGTCACCTACTTTACTTTACTCTATCACGTAGATTATAGTGTGTAAGAGAGTTGTTAATAATTGAGGCAGCAGTCTTTCTACTCCTTTTTTGTCTGTCGCGGTGCACTCTGAGTAGTTGTATGCTTTTCTTACTCCTCAAGCAACAGATCCTACTTTTATCGGACATTTACAACGTAGTGCACCGTATAGGATAAAGAACTAGTGTAATATTAAAGCATCACGTACGTAAGTGTTGGATTAGTGGATTAGTGTCGGTGCTTGATCTTCAATTCGTATTGGAGTCGATGCGAGCCACAAGCGACGACCGAACTACGGTGGAATTAGCAGCGATCTCCACGTTAAATACGTTCAAATCCCGAGAGTCCAGCAATTTACCGCGACCACATATCTTTAAAGTGCAAAGAGGTGGGGTCTGTTCCCGTGATGGCGAAGCAGCTCACAGTGATTGACGTAAGTCGCCGAGTAAACTAAGTCACTTGGATCAAATCCCGGCTGCCCTCCTTCACTTTCACCATTCCCTCGCGCGAAACTCCTCGTGATCGAGACCAGAACCGCAGCAGATCAGCAGGAAAGCACTCCGCAGCGAGTCTTCTTCTCAGAAATGCTCGTCGCCGGACAATCTCGGACTTCTGGCTGCGAGCAGGACCCGCGCGAGTGGTCTCGCGACCCCTCTTTCGCCAGCTGCAACCGCACGCTCGTGGACTCAACGCTGGGATTCCTTCACTTTGCACGTTCAGCATGCAATCTCTGCTGTGCGGAGTAGCTGCTCTGCACCTCCCCTCTCTTCTGTACTTAAGAACCCCTTCTGTTGCTCCTCACTCTCTGCTCCCTCCACCACATCCTCTCTCTATCTCTCAGCTTTCCTTCATATCCCAGCTCTGTCATCATGCCTTCCCGCTCTCTTCCCAAGCCCGAGTACGACGCTGTCATCATTGGCGCCGGCTTCGGTGGTGTCTACCTTCTCCGCCGTCTTCGCGAGCAGGGCTACAAGGTCCTCGTCATCGACGAAGCTGGCGACCTCGGTGGTGTCTGGTGGTGGAACCGTTACGACGGCGCCCGCACCGACTCCAAGATCCCCCTCTACGAGTTCTCCGACAAAAACCTCTACTCCGACTGGACCTGGACCGAGAAGTACCCCGGCTGGGCTGAGCTCCAGGGCTACTTTGGCCATCTCGACAAGAAGCTCAAGCTCAAGCAGGACATCCGCTTCAACACCCGCATCACCTCCGCGGTCTACGACGACGAGGCAAACATCTGGACCTCCACCGCCAAGGACGGCACCACCTTCACCTCTCGCTACGTCCTCCTCTGCACCGGTTTTGCTTCCAAGGCCAACATCCCCAACTTCAAGGGCCTTGAGACCTTCGAGGGCATTTCCTGCCACACCTCCAAGTGGCCTCGCGAGGGTATCGACTTCAAGGGCAAGCGCGTCGGTGTTGTCGGAAACGGTTCCAGCGGTCTTCAAGTCATTCAGGACGTCGCTCCCGTCGTCGACCACCTGACCGTCTTCCAGCGCAGCTACTGCTGCGCGCTTCCCATGCGTCAGGAGAAGATCACCAAGGAGCAGCAGGACAAGACCAAGTACGACCACATCTTTTCTCTTCGCCACAAGACCTTTGCCGGAATCGAGCGCGAGTTCAACCCCAAGTCTGCCTGTGACGTCTCGGACGAGGAGCGCAACGCGTTCATGGAGGAGGTCTGGCAGGAGGGCGGTCTTACTTTCTGGCTCGGCAACTACTTCGACGTGATCATCAACCCCAAGTCCAACCGATACGCCTACGACTTCTGGCGCTCCAAGGTTCTGCCGAGAATCAAGGACCCCAAGAAGGCTGAGTTGCTTGCCCCCGCCGAGCCCAAGTACTACTTTGGCACCAAGCGCGCCACTCTCGAGCAGCGCTACTACGAGGTCTACAACCAGGACAACGTCGACCTCGTTGACGCCAAGTCCAACCCCATCACCGAGGTCGTCAAGGACGGTATCATCACCGCTGATGGTGTGCACCACAAGCTCGACATCTTGATCCTCGCCACTGGTTTTGACTCTGTCACCGGAGGTATTCTCGCGATCGACATCAAGGGCGCCAAGGGCCAGACTCTGCAGGACAAGTGGAAGGCCGGAACCTGGACCAGCATGGGCTTGGCCACCGCTGGCTTCCCCAACATGTTCTTCCTTTACGGACCCCAGGGCCCTACCTCTTTCTGCAACGGCCCTACCTGCGCTGAGATTCAGGGCGACTGGATTGTCAACACCATTAACTACCTGCGTGACAACGGCAAGGCCGCCATCGACGCTACTTCGGAGGCTGAGAAGAGCTGGAAGGAGCAGGTCGAGATGTACGGAAACGCTACTCTCTTGCCTGAGACCGCGTCCGAGTACATGGGCACCAACATTCCCGGAAAGCCGAAGGAGGTCCTGAACTACATGGGTGGTCTGCCGAACTACATCCGCCAGATCCAAGAGGTTCAGACCAACAACTTCCCCGGCTTTGAGGTCTACTAAGCGGTTTTTTATTTATTTAGTTTCCCTTTTATCTTTTGATTTGAAACATTTGTCTGCAATGATTTTATTTTAACAATAATTCAATTTGTCTTATCCTTGAATTTCTTAAAACAGTACAAGATTTCCTTAAATAGAATAATATTTGCCATTTTAGAATTACTTTTGGATGCATGCTTCTCCGCGCGGCTCACGAATTCAATACTTTTTTCACAAGCCACCGCCCAATTTAGTCTTCTGAAGAGTCCTTGATATTAGCTATCTCATTTATCGGACAATCCCTTCGCTCTTTATAACTAGTACATCTCAAGTATTTATTGCAATTTTGAGCCTTTCATCCTTTTGATTGAAGAGAATTATTTGCAATTGCTTTTCCCGTGACCCGCGCTATTAGGAATCAAAGGCCGAGACCACTCCCATCGCGCTTACCGACCAACTTGATCTCGAGACCGCTGTGGCCGCCAGTCCTACCGTCCGCGCTCTCTAACGACGGGTGTCCTACCATGGATATGATACCCAGCTCTACCGAGCAGACGCTGTAGCCGCAGGATATTCCCTCAGCGGAATTGGACAAGCAGGAGCAGCGTGGCTCCTCCTCCGGTTACCCAGTCTGGGTCCCGCATCCTGAGATCTGTCGCTCGAGCTTCACCTATCCTCAACGTCGCCACTGGTGGCTCTCGGTCAAACGCTTCGTCTCTGCGAATCCCGGAATGTCCCAGGCTGAAACGCCCAAGGTCACCGATCTCAACAAGGTGTCTTACGCCCTATCGAAGATGGATAAGGGCCTCGAATCCGAATGGAACAACTACGCCTTGCTTAGGCTCCTAAGCGAGTATAAACCCAAGACCTGGGAGATGTTTCAAAAGTGGGCCAAATCTAGTGCCTTCTCTGGGGGGTTCAGTTTTCCAGACACGAGGTCCTACCTCTCCCTTACTCTTGGAGATCGTGATGCAAGTGAGTATCTCGCCGACTTCAAGGCCTTCGAGGACGGTTTCGACCTCGAACAGTTTCGAGCGGACCTTTACGTTCTAGGGCTTCCTGACGACCTCCAATTTGATGTAATGATCTCTCTTGACTGGGACGCGACCCGTGAAGAGATTCACGCACGCACGATGAGATTAATGGAGGTCCGCAGGGATCTTGATCTTCCCACAAACCTCGTCTCTGATCAGGAAGACGCTGTGGTCAAGAAAAGAAGACGGCGGGGCCGTTCCCGGGGCTCCAGGAAGCGTCGGGCACAGGCTTCGGACAATGGCAATGCTGGAAGCTCTCAATGCAGCTACTGCGAGAAGTACGGTCATACCGAGGTAGAGTGTCGCGCTAAGAAGCGCGAGGAGCGCCAGATTAAGATAATACTGGAGAGAATCTCTTCGCAAACTGAGTAGGTCGGGTCTCAAGCTTATCGCCTTGCATTACCGACGAAGTAATTTGGAATGCGCAGCGTGGTCTCGGTGGATCGTCTACAGAGGTACCACCGCTAAATGCAGTACAACGCCGAAGCGGACTCGCCAGACTCCGAAAGTCGAAAAGGGACTTGGGATACTGAGAGGATTATTACCAAGCGCACCTACCGACGTCATCTATAATACTTGGTGAAGTGGGCTGACTGGCCCTCCGAATACAACCAGTGGCCTTCGGTTAAGGATGTATCTGATCCGAATCTCACTGCTCAGTGGGAAGCGGAGCGCGTCAAGAATCAGTCGAAGCGAAAGTTCAGTTTTTTCCCATCCTGCCGTCGATTTCGATCTGACAGACTACCTCATTATCCGTTTATTCCCCTAAATGATACATCTTCATCATTTACAAAAAAGATTATAATTATAAGCATTTTGAAATACAGTCTGGGAAAATTGTGCATCGAGACAATAAGCCGGAAAAAGTGTTCACGATGTAGATTTTATTGCTCTTGTACACTCATTCGACTCGGACGATCTACGATCTACCCAAAACGCCACATATTTGTCTCGTGCTTCTATAAACATATGCAAACTCGCTTCTCACCACGACTCTTGATCTGGACTCATCAGAGTCTGTTGCTTTCCATAAGCTTGCGGTCAGGTTGTCTAAATGGTCTCGCCTGGATTCTTGATATTACCCTAAACTGCAATAGTAGCAGATCGACCCAGTTCTGCTGCTAACGAATTTCTCCGGCGGGCCAATTCGATGTAAATACAGCAAACCCCCAGAATACTTCAATACATGCACAAAAACCACCGGTTATATATCAGATGCAGTATCAAGCTGATCTCAATAACTAATGCTCCCGGAAAGCAGAGAAGAGGGTGTATGCTACCCTCGGACCATCTGGCGAGGCTGATTGAGGCGGCGATAATTAGCTCCGGTGTCCGCGACTGCGCCGATAAACGATAACATCAAAGTGCTCGTTCTAACTGTCGGCCCGCTTCCACCTCAATTACTCCTCCTTTCCACAGAGATCCCCGTCAGAACACTTAATTGGACCTGAACAACTAGTCAGAATGCCTTCTAACGCTGCTGCTTTCCTTGTCGGTGAGGCCGTCCGTCCGCTCGTCGTCGGCCCGGCTCCGTACCCCGTTCCAGGACCTTCGGAGATCGTGGTGAAGAACGGTGCCGTGGCCATCAACCCGATCGAATGGATCCTGCAAGACCACCTTATGGACTTCCCGATGCACTATCCAATGATTATGGGCCAGGATCTAGCAGGCGAGGTCGTCGAGATCGGAAGCGAAGTGTCGCGGTTCAAGGTCGGCGACCGCGTGCTCGGCCACGGATTCGGCATGCTGCACAACAACAACGATCCCGAGTCTGCGTTCCAGAACTACACGATCGTGAGCGAGGACATGGCTGCCGTCATTGGCGACGACGTGTCCTTTGAACAAGCTTCCGTACTGCCGTTGTGCTTCTCGACCGCCGCGGGGGGTCTGTACCAGAAGGAGTTTCTGAATCTTCCGCCGCCATCGCTGAATCCGACGCCAAAGGGCGAGACTCTCGTTATCTGGGGAGGTGCCTCCTGCGTTGGCAGCAACGCTATTCAGCTTGCAATTGCGTCGGGCTACGAAGTCATCGCGGTCGCGTCGGCAAAGAACGCAGACTACGTGAAGAAGCTCGGCGCGGTCGAGGCATTCGACTACCGCAGCGAGACCGTCGTCGCAGACATCATCACCTATTTGAAGGGCAAGACCATTGCCGGTGCCTTCAACGCTGTCAAGGATGGCTTTGACGGATGTCTAGAGATCGTGCAGGCCTCGCAGGGCGGCAAGTTCATCACTTCCGTGCTTCCCGTGCCTGAGGTTTTACCCGCCGGCATCAGCTCCCGATTCATCGTCATGGACCCGCCACAGTTTGCAAAGTCGGCTTATGTGGAGTATTTGGCGCCCGCGTTGAAGCAGGGGAAGTATATTATCGCGCCGAAGCCGTTGGTGATTGGAAAGGGTCTTGAGTCTATTCAGGCGGGAATCGATAGACAGAAGCAGGGTATGTCTGCCGAGAAGGTCGTTATCTCTTTGTAGACTCGATTGTCCATTAAAAAAGTCAGGCATTGCACAAAACGCGCTTGCATTTGTTTCTGATCTCTATTTTTATTATTTACTTGACTTGCTCAAAATCACTCAATATAGCTTAGCAGACCCAACACTTCTCATACTATGAAATCTTGTTACATTCTCCACCAACCCTCCACTCGGCTGACAAGAAGTATAATCCGGATAGAGAGTCATCGCTAATTCGGATTATCGGATTTTTAGTCCCCCGGACATGATCGGCGTTATCGCGGTAGCGATCTTGTGCTATTTCCGGGGTTATTTACAGCCGAGGCTCTGTTCGAACAGAGGCATATATAAACCGTCTACGTAGTAGAATTAATGGTGCTTTCGTATTATTTTCATTGTGATTATATTATTCCGTATGGTACAAATTTTCCGTTATAATTTTCACATTCACGCGTCCTGGGGGTAGACGACGCCGCCGGTCTTGCGGATCGAGTCCATGAGCTCGAGCATGTAGATAGTCTCGTCGAGCGGCATACGGTCGTCCTCCTTCTTTCCAGCCGCGATATCGACAGCGACCGCGTCGGCCTCGTACCAGAATCCGAATCCGTCGCGGGGGTACTCGAGGACCTCGTCCTTCTTCTCGGCGTCCTTGTATGTGATCTTGATGACCTTGGGCGACGAGGTAGCGACACCGGAGACGGTGATGGTGCCGAGGCTGCCCTCGATTCGCAGGAACTCGGGAGCGGTCTTGTAGTAGACTGAGGAGGTGAGGATGGCCTGCGCACCAGTCTCGGGGTACTGCAAGATGACGGTGCTGATGTAGTCAATGCCGCCAACGAGGGACTGCATCGAGACGACGTTGGGCTTCTTCGAGTTCTTGCCGAGACCGGTGTCGAGCAGGATCTTTCCGTATGTGAGGGTGTAAATACCAATATCGAGCAGAGCGCCAGCGCCGAGGTCGCGGTTCTTCAGACGAGAGGTCTCGGGAAGAGCGCCGAGGTTCATGTCAAGACCAAAGTCGACAAAGATGCGGGAAACGTCGCCGATGGCCTTCTCCTTGTGCACAAGGTCCTCGAGCTTGAGAACGAGGGGAGAGAATCGGGTCCAGACAGCTAGAGAGGATGACTGTTAGTTTACTTATCGTAGCAAAAGAGGACTTTGGAATATGGAATATATTTACCCTCCATCAAGAAGACGTTCTTCTCCTTAGCCTTAGCAGCGAGGTCCTTAGCATCCTTAGCGTTGATAGTCATTGGCTTCTCGCAAAGAACGGCCTTGCCGGCGTCCATAGCGGCCAACGCGCTCTCCTTGTGGAACGCATGCGGGGTAGCGATGTAGATGATGTCGACGTTGGGGTCGTTGTAGACCTCCTGGTAAGAGCCGTAGGTGGTAGGGTTCTTTCCAGGGCACTTCGCCTCAGCAAAGGTCTTGGCCTTCTCGAGCGACGAAGCACCGACGGCGGCGATGATGTGGTCAGCCTTGCGATCGGGGCGGTTTTTCTGGAGGTCACCGACGAACCAGGAAGCGATAAGACCGGTACCGATGATACCCCAGCGCAGGGATGGCAGAGATTCAGTAGACATTATTGATGATGATGAATTGGAAGTAGAGAGAATTGATAGTACAATTGACAGCTATACCGGTTGGAATTGAGCGTGGGAGCGGTGATATGTATGCCCGAGAGAAGGCAGCACCCGATCGAGTACGGGGTCGGCACGATCAGGACAGGTCCGCTGAGGGGGGCGGGTGCGGCTCATATGACCTGCCGACACTCCCCGGCGCTCGAGGGTGAGGACAGACCCGCCTCGCAAGGTTTTGTGAGCCCGGGACCAACTCGCCGCTTTGGGTGAATCACGAGTTTGGAGCTAGGACGAAAGCTCTGCCTGCTGCTGCTGCCGCCGTTTCAATCTGTGATCATGATCATGTGGGGGAAGAATTATCCTCCGCCTTCATTCCCCTCGGTGCCGCCCTCACCGGGGACGGTGGCGTTTTGGCTGAGTAATAAGTATTGGCAAGCCTGCCGACTCTCCCCGCGCTTGGCGAGGCTGCTGCGCTGCTGCGGTACCAGAGAAATGAGCTGTGTTTTGAACAAAATAATTATCTACTCGGAAATACATCCTCCTTTCCCGACTGAGTTCCTCCGGTCTGACATTACATGACACTTGTCCTGTCATGACTCTACTGTCTATTGAGCAGCTCAACAATCTATTATCTGCGCGAATAAAAGAAACCTGCGCTGGGGCGAAGCTATGAGCATGCGTGTGGGCCTACGTGCACTATTCGGAAAGACCTAGCCGCTGCGCTGCGCTGCGTCCTACTCCACAGTTTCGCGCGCAGCCAAAAGCAAGGGTCACAGGATGGGACTCGCTATCGTTTACCCCAACTCCCCAGAACGTGCTGCGTTCCACCGGAGACGTCCCAAAAAACGACTTCTCGCCTCTGTCTTTCGCTAGCTGGAGATATCGATCAGAAATACATAAAATCTCATCGTCCTGTTCACCGGCCGGAACGGAATAACCTTGAGACGGCTTGGCTGCAGAATACATAATTTTTTGCGCTGCTGCCGACAATCCGCGATCACCGCTGACGCATCCGGTGGAAGTTGCTGCCAAGGCCCGGATCGCAGCACCGGGTCGCGCGGTTAGTATTCCCCATGGGGTATATTGCCACTGAAAACGCTGGCAGCTCCGCCAAGTCACCTGGCCTGAAACCTGACCCGGACCGGAGACGGCACCCCTACCCCGCAAATTCCGGGGCCTCGTGCTACCTAAAAGGAACTAGTCCAACTTAAAATGTAGCTTTCTGGGGCCTTGCGGGACCCCGCATAGCGTGGTGCTGCCTCGTGCCCCGGTCCCGCAAATAAATATAAACAGTTACTCCACGGCAGTTTCGCCAAATTTCTCTCCCCATCTTCACTTCACTCTCACACACAACATACACTATGTTGACCGACGAACAAATCGCAGAAGCTCGGCGCCAGAACGCCCTCACCGTCGGTGAGGAGCTTGCAGATGTACGTCTCCCTCTCTATCACACTCTATACCACATCTGTTCTGTTCGCTAACTTCACCCATAGATTCTCCCCATCTCAGAGAAGCCCTGGTGGCGCCAGTCTCACCTTCTCAAGCTTAACGCTCGTATATTAGCATGCATGTGCTTTTCGTCCACGACTGGATATGACGGTTCGCTCATGAACGGTCTTCAGTCGCTGGATACGTGGCAAACCTTCATGGACACCCCCAGCGGTGGCTGGTTGGGTTTCATCAACTCCATCAACTCCATCGGTGCTCTTTGCGGTCTCTGCATCGTCGGCATGGTTGCCGAGAGATTCGGCCGCAAAGTTCCTCTTCTTATTTGCATTGCTTTTATCTCTCTCGGTGCCGGTCTCGGAGCCGGTGCCAAAAACATCGCCATGTTCATCATCGGCCGTTACTTCATTGGTTTTGGTTCTTCTTTCGTCCTGGGTGCGCCCTTGATGATTGCTGAGATTTCCTACCCTACTCACAGAGCTCGTGCTACTTCCCTTTACAAGTATGTCTATTTTTTATTTTTTTTCCTCGCATAATAGTTGCTAACATGTCTTCAGCTGTTTCTACTACCTTGGCTCCCTTATCTCTTCTTGGGTTATCTTTGGTGTTCGTCACCTTGACAGCTGGAGTTGGCGTACACCCACTCTTCTGCAGTGCGGAATTCCCGTCCTGCTCTTGCTCCCTGTCCTCTCTCTCCCCGAGTCTCCGCGTTGGTTGATTTCCAAGGGCAAGCACGCTCAGGCCCGTGAGGTCCTCGTCAAGTACCATGCCGGTGGCAACCAGGACTCTGTTCTCGTCGACTTCGAGATGGAGGAGATTTCCCGCACCATCGAGCTCGAGAGATTTGCCGCGAAGGAAAGCTCGTGGGCTAACTTGTGGGCTACCCCCGGCAACCGCCACCGTCTGTTCATCACCATCTCTCTTGGTTTCTTCTCCCAGTGGAACGGTGTCGGTGTCGTCAGTTACTACCTCTCCAAGGTCCTTACCTCGGTCGGCATCACCTCCACCACCAAGCAGACTCTTATCAACGGTTTCCTCCAGTTGTGGAACTTGCTTTGCGCTCTGTTCTCGGCTTACGTTGTTGACTACGCCGGACGCAGAATGCTTTTCTTGGTCTCTGGCATCGGCATGTTCTGCTCGTACGTTATGATCACTGGCTTGTCTGGCGCGTTCGCCGAGACTGGCAACAACTCCACCGGTATTGCTATGATTCCGTTCTTGTTCATCTACTACGGATTCTACGATATCGCCTTCACTCCCCTCCTCTTTGCCTACCCTGCCGAAATCTGGAACTACATGAACCGTTCGCGCGGTCTCGTCGTCGTCCAGGTCTCGTCTTTCTTGGCCCTCATCTTCAACCTGTTTGTCAACTCCATCGCGCTCGACAACATCGCGTGGAAGTACTACTTTGTCTTCATCGGAGTGCTCATCGTCGTCATCATCACCACCTACTTCACCTACCCTGAGACTCGTGGCCACACCCTTGAGGAGATGGCCCAGGTCTTCGACAAGGACGAGGTTGAGGACGAGGAGGCCAACCGCCACGTCAAGGACATCCTCGACAGCATGCACGACAAGATCCAGGAGGAGCGCGCTGAGACGGCCGAGCAAGCTGAGATGACCGAGTTCAGCAGCAGCAGCCGTGCTTAGATGTATTTTTCTTTCTCTGTTTCTTTTTCAAATCATTTTATTTGGTATAGTCATCTTTGGAGCGCTGTTCTGTTTTGTTTGTATATATTTAAAATATTGCTTTGATGGTATGATTGCGGGCAACAATTTTAGATAGATTCATAGATTTTGATAATATACTTGTTGTATCCAATTCTCTTGCACGTAAAACTCATATAATAGTTGCTTAGAAATGCTGGATATGCAGCAGACAATCTCCGACTCAATTCCTCGGCCCTCCAAAACGGCAATTGACTATCTAGGAGGCATATACGCCACGCCCTCATTCCTCTTATGCTTTTGTTACGTTCTCACTACCTTGTGGGCCAAGTTTGTGAGTCGGGTGAGTCGGGTCCCTGCCGACACTCCCCGAGGGTCATAGGCGGCAGCAGCCGACCGAAAGCTTAATCTGCACTGATTGTTCCGGCCGGGGTCGCAGCAAATCAGGGCGCGCACCCCACCTTTCGGACTCCCACTCGCCCCGAAGGTAAACCCCGCTTCTCGATTGTTAATCATCTGTCTGTCCGTCTCCGCCTTCTGAACTTCTGACCGATTAGTCTGCTATCGCATCGCTTTTCTTCCTTTTCACACATTACTTGTTCAATTGTGCGATATGATTGACATCGACGACGCTCTCGAGAAGCTCTCCCAGACAGATAAGGTCCGCCTGCTTTCTGGTATGTATATTGCACAAAAATACAACTCTTATCGATCGGCTTGAATAGATCTAACCTACTCGCTCAATTCTTCAGGCGCCGACTTCTGGCACACTGCTGCCGTTCCTGAGCTTGGAATCCCAGCTCTTCGTTTCACCGATGGTCCTAACGGTGTCCGTGGAACCAAGTTCTTCAGCGGTGTCCCTGCTGCCTGCTTCCCTTGCGGAACCGGTCTCGGTGCCACTTTCGACTCTGATATCCTGTACCAGGCCGGTGTGACCATGGGCGAGGAAGCCAAGGCGAAGGGTGCTCATGTTATTCTCGGCCCTACCTGCAACATGCAGCGTGGACCTCTTGGCGGCCGTGGTTTCGAGTCGTTCTCTGAGGATCCCGTTTTGTCTGGCCTTTCGGCTGGTGCCATCATCGCCGGTATCGAGAGCACGAACGTGACGGCGACCATCAAGCACTACGTCTGCAACGATCAGGAGCACGAGCGCAACAGTATCAACTCGATCCTCACCGAGCGCGCGCTCCGTGAGATCTACCTCATGCCTTTCCAGCTTGCCATTCGTGACGCGAAGCCGGGCGCAGTTATGACTGCCTACAACAGAGTCAATGGTATCCACGTCAGCGAGGATCCTTATCTTCTCGACGACATTCTTCGTAAGGAGTGGGCCTGGAAGGGTCTCGTCATGAGCGACTGGTAAGTAGCCAAATCTGCTTTTCTCTTCAATTGAGTCTAACGTGACGTTTGTCTAACATTCAATACAAAAAAGGTACGGAACTTACTCTACCTCGGCCGCTATCAACGCCGGTCTTGATATCGATATGCCTGGCCCGACTTCTTTCCGAAGCTTCCTCGTCGAGCGTGACATCAACGCTAAGCTCATCCAACAGCACACTCTCGACGAGCGTGTCCGGACTGTGCTCGAACTCGTCAACAAAGCCGAGAAGGCCGGCATCCCTGCCGACGTCGTCGAGTCTGGCCGCGACATCCCCGAGACTGCGGCTCTGCTGCGCAAGATCGCCGGCGACGCCATCGTTCTTTTGAAGAACGAGGATAGCGTCTTGCCGCTCAGCAAGACCAAGACTACTGCCGTCATCGGTCCTAATGCCAAGATCGCCGTCTACTGCGGTGGTGGATCTGCGTCGTTGGTTCCGTACTATGCGATCACTCCGTTTGACGGTATCAGCGCCAAGATCACGTCCGGCGGCGTGACCTACGTCGAGGGTGCTAAGGGATACAAGATGCTGCCCGTCATTGGACCCAACACCACTACTCTCACCGGAAAGATGGGTGTTTCTTTCCGTACCTTTGTCGATCCTCCTGAGGTCACCGACCGTGAGCACGTCGATGAGCAGGAGCTCCGGACCGCTGACATGTTCTTGGTCGACTATGCTCACCCGGCTATCAAGGGACGCCCGATCTACTACGGTGAGGTGCTCGCTACCTATGTTCCCGATGAGACCGGCGACTACAAGTTTGGCTTGACCGTTTACGGAACCGCCAAGCTCTTTGTGGACGGCAAGCTCATTATCGACAACGAGACCGTCCAGCGACCCGGTGAATCTTTCTTCACCCGCGGTACTGTTGAGGAGGTTGGCGTCGTGCACCTCGAGGCTGGCAAGTCGTACAACATCAAGGTCCACTTTGGAAGCGCGAAGACTACCAAGCTAAAGTCCAACTCGGTGTCTTTCGCCGGCGGTGGTCTCCGTGTTGGTGTCGGCCGTGTTATCGACGAGGAGGCCGAGATCCTGCGTGCCATCGAGGTGGCTAAGGGCGTCGACCAGGTCGTTGTTTGCGTTGGTACCAACGGCGACTGGGAGTCTGAGGGTTTCGACCGTTCCAACATGGATCTTCCCGGAAAGACCAACGAGTTGGTTTCCAAGGTTATCGACGCCAACCCGAACACCGTCGTTGTTGTCCAGTCTGGTATGCCTGTTGAGATGCCGTGGGCTGACAAGGCCAAGGGTATTCTCGAGGCCTGGTTCGGCGGTAACGAGACCGGAAATGCGATTGCTGATGTCCTCTTTGGCGACGTCAACCCGTCCGGAAAGCTTCCCTTGACGTTCCCCAAGAAGCTGATTGACAACCCGACATACCTCAACTTCCGATCGGAGCGCGGCCGTGTTTTGTACGGTGAGGATATCTACGTTGGATACCGTTACTACGAGGCTGTTGAGAAGGAGGTTCTTTTCCCCTTTGGCCACGGTCTTTCGTACAGCACATTCGAACTCTCTGACCTCTCGGTGTCGGCTACCGCTGACAAGGTTGTGGTGTCGATCAAGGTTACCAACAAGGCTGGACCTTCCGGTGCTGAAGTCGTGCAGTTCTACATCAAGCAGCACAACCCGAGCATCAAGCGCGCTCCCAAGGAGCTCAAGGGTTACAAGAAGGTCTTTGTGCCCGCTGGCGAGACCGTCACCGCCTCGGTGGAGATTGATCTCAAGTACGCGACCTCGTTCTACGACGAGACCCGCAAGGCCTGGATCAGCGAGAAGGACACTTACAGCGTGCTGGCTGGTACCTCGAGCGACAAGGTTGCGCTTGAGGCCACGTTCGAGACCGCAAAGACGTTCTGGTGGACTGGTCTGTAAATGCCAGATATGTAAATGGGTTTTATATAGCAAAATGTAGTGGGGCAAGTATCTAGTATGAATGTTCTTGTCGGCAAATAAAATTTGTATTTAGCATCATGAGTTTGTGTAGACTTGGATCAGCTCGGAGCGGAAAATATTACCAAATCGGCTAGCGACCTCGCGTAGTGGAAAAACAATCCTCCTGCGACCGACAACAGGAACGGGACGGTTTCTGACACCTGTTAGACGAACGCACTCTATCTCAGTGATCCGAAAAGCTACAGAGCAGGTAACGCCGACAGCAGGCGGCCGACTGTCGAGGCAGAGCAGGTAGCTCCAGGGACACGATACCCTTTCCGCAGCATGGCTGTAATACTAAACCTTAAACCGCGACCCAGCAATTTGTGTGTAAAAACTCTATTGGGGCTTTCTCCCCACAGCGCCGCCCCACGCGCCATCGAGCAAAGTATCACTACAACCACCCAGTTCCAGCTTCTTCTACACACACCCTCTGTCGCTGCCGCCCGTTATTCACGAATACTGATAATCTCAACTTGCTCACATGCAGCCTGCGGCTAAGCGGCAACGTCGGTCAGACAGTCTGCGACCCGCGTACCCGCGCAGACGTGCGGTGGAAGCCTGCCAGACTTGCCGGGCGCGAAAGACAAAGTGCGATAATGTGCGTCCGTCGTGCGGATTCTGTACTCGGATAGGCACCCGCTGTGTGTTTGAGACTACTGAAAGCGACTTTTCTTCGTATGTGTCTTGGTTTGTATATTTCTTGTTATGAGTCTGAGGGTCTGTTAACACTATGCAGATTCGACCCCGCAAGTCTCAAGATTCTCGACCGACTCAACGCGGTAGCAGCAGATGTTCAGACGCTTCTCGCCCGCACGACCTCAAATAGCAGCATATCAAATGCTGCACCAGTCATCGAGTTCCCGATAAAGTCGCCGCTTCGACCCATCAGCATCGCCCCGTCGACCGCATCTCCCGAACAAGGAGCTGCTCCGCCGCCACCGCCGCTGATTTCTGTTTCGCCTCCAAGTACAACAGACACACAGAACTCTGACGTCGTGAGCGAAACACTCAACTTTCCGACCGAAGAACTTCACGATGAGAAAATTCTGTCGTGGCCTATATTCGAGCTGCCGTTCACAATCACTCCACTTATCGAAAACTTGCTCGACGCAGAAGCAGACTACAGTTCCGAAGCTGAAGATTACTCCGTCAACCAGGATCCCCCAACATCCGAGCTTTGGTCGCTTGTTGACAGTTTCTTGCTTAATGTACATATCAAAAACCCGATCCTCGATTTCCAGCGACTGCGGAAATCGGCAGCTAATATCATACAAAACGGTTTCAAGTGGGACGAGGAGTCCTGTTTGATGCTTCACGTCTGCGCTCTTGGAGCAGTCTCATCACCATATTCGTCGCTACCTAACGATGATTTAACGATCGATTCATCAGCGACTTCGCTTGGGGACTCTCTTGAAGAACTCGAGCGTTCAAAGTTATACTATCGCGAAGCATCAAAGCGTCTCAGTATAGTTCGGAAATTCTCTCTGGTTCAGATTCAGTGCTATGTGCTTTCTGGGATATACCTAATGTTTACTATGCGTCCGCTTGTGGCATGGCGGCAGTTTCATCTTGCTTGTGTGTCTTGTCAGATTTACTTCAAACGGCAGAATCGAGATAGCGATTGGACGGACGTCGATCGCAGTTTGGAACAGCGTCTTTTTTGGACGGCTTTCAAGTCGGAGTGGTAAGACTTGCTGTGTTTTTATTTTTTTTAGCTTGGGTGCTGACTATAGTTCTTTTTGGCAAACAGTGAGATTCGGTCGATTATTCCCACGCCGCCGTCGGGAATCATCGATTTCTTATACCCCAGCATGTTCCCATCTCCTCCTTCGGTCGTGTACGACGAATCTGCAGAGAACAGCGAGCAGCACTCGCCAGAGGAGATCCATATTCTAAAATCCAGCGTCAGCAGCTCGGTAGAGCGCAAGAGTTGGTTTTACTATCTTACAGAGATCGCGCTGCGGAAGATCGAGAACCGGATGATTAGCGTTCTCTACAGCAATTCGAACGAGACGTGGCTGGATCTGCCATTTGAGCATTTAACGGAATTGGTGACAGAAGTAGAGACACAGTTGTCGCTGTGTCATTCGAATATCGTGCCAGAGATCAAGTTTGTGATGGACCATATCGGATACGACGACGAAGTGAAAGATGTCTTGCAAGCTCGATTTTGGGAGATTTACAAACTCACGTATCGGCCACTGCTTTACATTGCGATTCATTCGGCCAAACCACTGGACGAGACACAGCACGCGTTCATAACCCCACGGCTCGACAAAATGTTTCACTACATGCTGAACAGCTGCATGCACTACCGACACCGTCACCACGGTACGTGGTTCTCGATCCACTGCCGATTTGTCGACGGAGCACTGATCCTGGCGGGAGTCAAGAGCAGAAAACTGCCGTATGACGATCCAGTCCGGCGGAATATTGAGCGGATCATTGAGGTGATGCGGTACTGGGAGTCCGAGTCGTCGGATCTGAAGGCGGTACGCACGATTCTCGAATACATCTGGACGGATGTGCGCATGAGGTTGGATATGGGAGGCATTTTAGTTTGAATTTGTTTATTATGTCTGAGGCGTTGGAAAAGCTATAGTAGCATTAATGTAATATGTTTGATATTCTAGTTATGAACAAGGATGAACATGATGAACATACGAACAGAAAGAACAGCACCCCGTAGTCTCAATCTCAACCCAATCCGAATCACAAGGTCCTCCTCGCACTGGCCCCGATCCCAGCCCCTCGTGACTGCAAATCCAGCTCCGGCCGAGCGCGCGCGGGTGCGAAACGCGGGTCCGCGAACCTTAAATGAAGCGGGGGAGGTTAGGGTCGCGTGGGGGGTCCCCGGTCAGCCGCCGGTGCCGACACTCCGCGCGCGCCCGCTGCCCGGGACAGCAGACCTGGGTCAGGCCGCGATCCTGAGGCGGGGCAGATCGAGGCCAGGCAGCAGCATAAAAACGGGAGGGCTGCCTCCTCTGCAGGATTCTCTTATCATCACTCTCCTCCTCCTCATCTTTAGCATCCCTCACATCCACACACTCAACAATGTCTGAGCAAACTATCCTCCGTGTCGGCCTCATTGGCTGCGGTGAAGTCGCGCAGGTCGTGCACATCCCCACCCTCAACTTCCTCTCCGACTACTACCAGATTACCTACCTCTGCGATGTCTCGCAAAACGCTCTCGAGCACTGCCAGAAGAAGGTCACCGGCGGCGTCGTCCCCGAGATTACCAAGGACGCCAACGTTCTCTGCAAGTCCGACAACGTCGACGTTGTCTTCGTCGTCAACTCGGACGAGTACCACTGCGCCCACGCCATCATCGCTCTCGAGAACGACAAGAGCGTCCTGATCGAGAAGCCCATGGCTCTTAACAACCGCGATGCCGACCTCATTGCTGAGGCTGCTAAGAAATCCAAGGGTAAGGTCATGGTTGGTTACATGCGCCGATACGCTCCCATCTTCGAGGACGCCGTCAAGGAGATTGGTGGACTCGACAAGATTAACTACGCTCGTGTTAGAGGTGTGTATATTATTTCCCTTTTGTCATCACTATTATTCATCGATTGCATTGATTGACTAACAATTGATTAGATATCATTGGACCCAACTCGGTCTTCGTCGACCAGTCCGGCACCTACCCCAAGCGATTCTCTGACTTCACCCCCGAGGATGGCGAGGACCGAACTGCCCGTGCCACCGACCTCGTCCACCAGGGTGTCGACGTCGAGACCGGAATCGAGAACCCCGAGCCGCTCGTCCAGCGCACCTGGCGTTTCCTCAACGGTCTCGGATCGCACGATCTGTCGCTCATGCGCGAGGCCCTCGGAATGCCCAAGAGCGTTCTTGCTTCCCGTATCATGAACGGCAACGGACCTTTCCTGACTGCCCAGTTTGACTACGGCTCTTTCATCTGCACATACGAGACTGGTATCAACTCGCTGCCTGTTTTCGATGCTTGCATTGAGATCATCGGCCAGAGCAAGTCCGTCATCGTCCAGTACGACACTCCTTACGTCAAGGGTCTCCCCATCATCATGACCATCAAGGAGAACCACGACGGTGCCTACCACGAGACTAAGATCAGAAAGACCTATGAGGACCCTTACACCGTCGAGATGAAGAAGCTCTACGACCTCGTCACCAAGGGTACTCCCGTCAAGACCACCCCTCTTGATGCTGAGCTGGACCTCGAGCTCTTCAGAATGATCATCAAGGCTGCCAAATAAGCAATTGAAGGGTTTTATGTAACATAAAGATCATACATATCAATAATTAAGCATTTTGCGGTAGTTGAATAAACATGGATAAAATATAAACAGTGTTCACGATCAATCTCATCTATAGAAAGAGCATTATCAATGTGTTTGTAGTTGTGTATCCGTATGCTTGCACTCAGTATTTATATGAATAAAAGAATGCGAAAGCAAGAACACTTGGTATTTGTAAACAAAAATACTGCTAAGATATTACTTCTGTGCTGTCCTCCTTCGTGTATGTCTGTAAATAGTGGGCTCACGAAAAGAAATGTACAGGGACCAATAGATAGATTAGATAGCGGCATGACTGAAGCGCAACCTGCCTGAATACCTCAACAGCCATCAGAACTTCATTTCATCACCATCAACCTCTCTCGGAACAATGAATGGCCCGAAGCATACCCGGGTTTGCAACACGCCCCGGCTAAAAAAAGTCAGTTGAGAACAATGAACTCGCTTAATCCGTACCCCTCGTTTGATTTATCCGTAGCGTCTGTGATTGACGTCACCGTGCCGGGAAATAGTGTGAGGTGGAAAACGGTGCAGTTATGCGGAGTGAGATTTGGGTCTGACAGTTGGGTGTTGGTTGTAATGCTGTCGAAGAGCGTGTATGAGATCGGCTGGGTTGCATTGATGCGGTGATGAGGAGTCCAAGGCCAGATCTGGGTATAAACCAGGACGTATTCAAGACTGGTGTGGAAAACAGTACCATATATGTTCTGTGACTTGCGCTGTTGTTCCCAAAACGGCATACCTTCGACCCCGGCCGTGTGTCAGTGAGTCTTCGAGAACAGAAATGCAGCTCCAAAGAGAGTTGCTGAATGTATAGATGAAAGGCAAAAAACAGAAACAGAACATAGACTAAAGACAGTCATATTAAGTGGATCAAGACTGTCAGATGAGATGCGGTATCTAGTAGTCGTAGGCGCGTCGACAGAAGACTGCCGTTGTTCAGAGTACTCTGAACGGAACCTCTGCCACTCCTGGCGATGGCGATAGCAAGCTTCCTAACTTCGCCCAGTCTTAACTAAACCAATGCCCCTCTCGTAATCATCGTCATCCATCAAATACGCTACCAGTCGACGTCTTTTTCCGTGCTTTATTGCTTCTGCTGTTTAAAGGGATACATGACTCGGGTTATCCGGGGAAGCTGCTGAAAACGTGAACATCCCTCAGAGATAAGAAATTCCCGTGCCAGCTCACGCATGCCGTGCCCAAATACCAATACAGCCATCTTTAAACACCAGAAACAGCATGTACACGTCAGAGATATTCGCATAATACTCGGGAGGATATACATGAGCTGAGCCTGCTGTCTGTTTCGATATTGTCCCTACCCACAGTAATACCTACGCCTAGAACATTTTCGTAGCCGTGCGGCTTAGATGCACAACCTCAGTAAACATCGCAAAACAATGCGATGCTGATATTCTGCCTCCTCCGCCCGCTGCTCGGTGTTTAAGAGCTGTAGTTTGATTTGTGGATTTGGTTATGGATATCAATCATTGCTTTCGGTCTCTACGGATCCACCGACTCGGATAACTCGTGCTGCGATCTGATCGCGCGACGCAGCCCAGACTATAACTCGACACACTACACCAGATACACAAACTAAACCCCGAGCTAACTGTAGCAACTGATTGTGCAAAACAGGCACTCCCTCCGCCCTCCTTTTGATGCTGCAGCGCCGCCGGTCTGGACTGGACTCGTTCTCATCCAGACGACAGCTGCTGCATCAAACAATTCTGCCTGTTTTGCTGCGTTGGTACAAGCACCTCTGCTGACAGCATCTCGGCCATAAGCCGAACAAATTATTCACAACCTCCCAAAGCGCACGCGCAAAATTCAAGCCAGCAGTCGCCGCCAATCCAACAAACACCCGTCTACGGCCAGCAGAACGAGTAAAGATGCCTCCGAAGCAAGCGACAACTGCAGCTCTGGCGCAGACAGACAGACCGCGGTTTGCGTGTCGCCACTGCTCGTCGACGTTTAAACGAAAGGAGCACATGATCAGACACGAGCGATCCCATACTGCCGAGAGACCCTATGAGTGCTCGCATTGCGAAACTGCCTTCACGAGAAAGTGAGTGCTCGCGATATGTGATTTATAGCTAGTCGGTGACTGATTTATATATCTTTTCAGGGACCTGCTGGTTCGACACAAACGTACTTGCGCGGTAGCAAACGCCGCTCAGAACTTGAACGAAGAGGAAAGCGAAGATATCCCGAAGCCATCCGCGAAGCCACGCACAGTGAAAATCATTCATAAAAAGAAATTTATCGTCGAAGATGAGTACGAGGAAGAAGAGGACGAGACAATGGAGGACGACGCCCTGCATCTGGCGTCGGAGTACGACCCGTCAAACCTGAGCCAGTACGACCATCTGATACCTAACGCCGATCGCGATTCTTCAGTTTACGAGACCGGCACAGACACTGAGACTTCGACTGGCGAGGACTGGGATTCAGTTCCGGACGACGTTTCACCTTCCGACTCGGGATCGCCGGCTCCGGACTGGGCCGATTCAGTTATTGACTCTGCAGTCTTTACCGACGCGTTTCTTCGCGACCTGTCTTATGTTCTCGTTTCGACTTGTGGTGTTGATATTTCAGTCTGTCCAATCTCCGCGGCAGACATCAACAGGTTTATTATCGCATATCGGAAACACGTTGCCAAACAGATGCCAATTATCCACCCCTCACTTTTTGAATACGACTACCTTCCCCTCAACGATTTTACTCTACTCGACCAAGTCGATCCGGCAGTCGCCGCCAACTGCGTTGTTCTTCTCACGACTGCTGCTTTGGGAGCTACGTGCTTGTCGATGCACGAACCTGCGCGATTACTCCGGGACCTTAGTCTCAAATGCGTGACTGTGCTGTTTGATCTTTCCAGTCCGCGCCAGTCTGAGGAATTCGCTCTTGGCGTCATGCAAGTGAGACTTTTATGTGGAATCTTTGATGCCTGGAGTGCAAACAAGCAGTTAGCGGAACGTGCTTTGGACGAGCAGGCCGCGCTCGTACGTGCCTGTGTTACGGGAATATCACGAAGATGCGCGCGCGTCACTGATTCTTTCAAAGCCTGGAGGATTCGAGAGTCGTATCATCGGCTGTATTGGGGATTCTACACCTTTATGTCCAATCTGTACCTCTCGTTTGGTGACATTTGTCCGCTTCCCCGGATAGGAACCGAGAAGCTCCCGCTGCCAGAGTCAGATGCGCTATGGGAGGAGTTGAACGAGAATTCGTGGCGCGAGTTGCTCTCACAGGTCGAAGAGCCTTCTACGTCAGATGTCGCGCTAGCTCGGATCTTGGCGTTCAACGATGTTGGGGATCATGGCAATACAGGCTCTGCCGACTCGTCTTATTCGGGTTTTGCGACTTGTGTGATGCTGAGAATTCTTCTGCACCATTTGTCAACGACGAACCAGGTTCTGAGATTCGGTGGCATCCACAGCGTTCCAGCTACGATCGAGCTCGATTATCTGCGAACGTTGTCGTTTGAACAGGTTGATAGAATCGTCGCTCATCTCTCGGCCCAGTCGTCGCATCAGGGCCGATGGTCCTCACGGCCACAGTTTGAGACTTTGATTCAGATGATTAAGCTGCGCCGGCTGAACTTGCCTGCTACAAGAAGACTGGGTGTTTTGAGCAGTCTAGTGCTTGATGAGGATTTGGGCTTGGATTTGATGGAAGCGTTGGAAAATCGATGCAAGAGATCGACTAACGTCACAAAGACTCTCTCGATCTGTCTGTCGTATATCCAGCCATATCTGTTCAAGAAGAGCCATATAGACAGCATCGAAGAGCTACTGTGTACCTGGGAATCCGTTTTATGTCTGATTATTTGGATCCGAACAATCGAGATCAACTACAGCTCCGGAATCAGCGTGCAGCCCGAAGAGGCCGCGATGATTGACGACGTGACGCGCATCGTGACGAGTAAGCGCAACACGTTCTTCCGCGAGACGGCGCCCGAGTCGGGCCAGGAGAAGATGTATCTGACGACGCGGCTGGCGTATACGTGGTGTGGGGTTCTGAGGAAGGAGGATATGATTAAGTGTGGAGAGCAGGTGCGGTCGTTTTTGGCAAATTTGATTACCAAGTTGTAGTCTGCTGGCTTTCGTTTTTAACGTTGCGAATGGTGGTGGGTTGGAAGTAAAATGAGTGGACGGTTGATGTTTTGTTGATTCTGGGATGGCGCATGTGTGGCTAGTCGTATTTATTCTGTATAATAGTCTTGTGGCAGTAATGTATAATGCTCGTACTTCTTTTAATGGAGACTGCAAAGGGACATCACGTGACAACAGCAAAGCTGCTCTCATCGCGAATGATAGTGCAGCTAATAAGAGGTTATATAACTTCCCCGCAAAAGAGAGCGCGCCTCGGAAATACGATTGATAGCCAACAACAAAGAAAACCAGAGCGCCAGAATGAGAAACTAGGAAGATCCAGACACTATCACAGTTCAGAATGCAGTCCGTATGGCGCTCAGCGGGGTACAAACGACGGCACCTCGAGGACGTGGACGGCGGCACCGGCGAGCGGTACCGGTTTATGTGTGGGATTTGCAAGGAGCGGTTTAAGAGGAAGGAGCACATGAAAAGACATGAAGTGTCTCGTATGTACTGGTGTGTGGTTTTTGAGCGGGGGGTTGTGTGCTAATACTGGGCTGTGTAGACTCTGTCATCAAACCGCTTTCTTGTTTAATCTGTGGACTTGGCTTTGGAAGAAAGTGAGTTTTTTCTTGTCGTTATGAAACTGAACAGCTTAGCTTACCCGCGTTTTCTACAGGGACTCTCTTGTCGCTCACACTCGGAAATGTGCCGTAAAGCACGAAAAGCAACAGCCAAAGACGCTGGACGTTGAGCGCACCAGCCTGGAGCTGGACCTCGCGACGACCTCGAGCAGCGTCCCTCTTCCTTCGTCAGCGATACTGCCGTCCGTGGTGGGCGCATGGGACACACCGCTGTCGTTTTTACCGACGTTTGAGTATAGCTGCTCGCTGGAGACTTATTCGCCTCAGATGCACTCGAACTTGATGGCTGCGGTATATTCGCAGATAAGCACGGCTGGGCAAACGCTGGACGTCAGCGCGGACACGTTTTATCGGTATTTGCAGACATATCAGCAATATCCCGGATACCAGCAGCCGATCTTACACCACACTCTATTTTCCTCGTACGCTCATCTCAAAGATTTCGAGACGGCTACCGACCACGTCGAGAGATGCGTTGTGCTTCTCTTTTGCGCGGCGATCGGCGCGATATACTGCTCTGAGCCCACCACTGCGCGCAAGATGCGCGACGTCGCTAAAACGGCTCTCGCCCAACTGCTAGGGCAGAATAGCTTCAAATGGGAGAAAGCGGAGGATGTCGAAAGTGTTTTGCACGTTCTGCAGGCCAGGCTGCTGTGTGCTGTGTTTGACGCCTGGAGCGGAGACAGGGAGCTAGTCGAAATGGCGCTGAACGAGCAGTTGCTGTGGATTCGCATGTGCACAAAGTGTACGCTGAGTAAGTTCCGGAGGGTGACTAGTGACTGGCGCAGGTGGATCGTGAGAGAGTCGTTCCATCGAGTATATTGGGGTTGTTTCTCGTTGATTTCAGACTTCAATATGGCGTACGGAGATATTACCCCCGAGCCGGTTGTCTCGACCAGACTTTTCCCGCTACCGGAGGCAGACGCGCTTTGGGACGCTGAAGACCCGAGCTCCTGGCAGCAACAGATAAGGGTATGCGAAGCGCCGTTGACGGCAGACGTGATCATCGCCAAGATCGTGGGCGAGGTGGAAGCAGGAGGACACCAGCGTGCGCGCGAGAGCAGGTTCTGTGAGGCGTCTGCGTTTGCGACTTGTGTGCTTTTGCGATTCGTCATGCATCATGTGTCTGCGTCTGAGCAGGTTTTCAATAGTCAGGTTTTGAGCAAAGGGCTTGATCCTGAGTGCGAGAAGATTACGCAGTATCTGCGCCAGCTTTCGGGTCAGCAGATCGATAGACTGCTAGCTGATCTTTCTATCCGATCAATGAAGTTCACACACTCGCCAACAAAGTTCAGCATCGAGTCGTTGATCCAGTCGATTGAGCTGCGCCGTCGACGGTTGGTGACCTCCAAGAAACTCGGCGTTCTGTGCAGCATTCTGATTGAATCCGATCGTAACCAGATCCTTGGCGATTTTCTTAGCAGCAAGACGATGAAATCGGAGCAGGTCTGTCAGGCGGTCACGATCTGTCTCAAGTACATCGAGCCGTACGCGGTCTCAGGAACGCGAATGAGGACGTTCAAAGAGCTCGTGTGTACCTGGGAATCGGTACTTTTGATAATCATGTGGCTGCGCACGATGGTGAATGCTGGCGTTCACACCGAGACCGAACGCTCGGCCGTCGAGCAGGTCAAGCAGACGGTGGCGAAGTTTCCCGCCGAAGCGGGCGTGGTTGAGGACGGTACTGCCGAGCTGGCGAGGCGGATGGCGAGGGTGTGGAGGCGGGTGTTGCAGGAAACACAGAGTTACGGGACGTCGTATATGATGTTGCAGTTTTTCGATCAGCTGGCGGATCTACTGTGATTTTTTTTGTTCGTTGTTGATTACTTTTATCTGATTTTTGCGTTTATCAATGGAGATACCTGGATTTTGGGCGCATGTGGAGCTTCAGGACGGCAATAGCTGCATAGCTCATGTTTACGTTTCATTCACTACTATAATGACTTATAAATATTTTGAGTTTCATAATTTTGCTTCATATCATTAAATGGATTAAACAAAGAAGAACAAGGAAGTCATATCATGACTTGAAACACACTAGATAGACGCAAGCTCGCAGACTTTTCATTTTGTCTTCTCCTCGGCCTCGCGCTGCTCGACTGTCGCCTCGCCTGTCTCCGGACCGGAGGTGGTCGTCATTGCCGCATTAATCGCATTTTGGTCTTCGAACGCGTTGACTTCGTACTTTCTGAACTTCATAGCCGGGACTCTTCTCTCAAACATGATATCAAGTTCCTCATACGTACGGTCCTTTGCTTCCGGCAAGCGGAAGACGCACCAGCAGGTATGGATCAACGCCGATCCGGCCCAGAAGAAAGCGGTCTTGCCCTTCCAGTTGTTCTCGGTGACGTTGATGAGCTGGGGCTCGACTACGCCGGCGATGATGTTGATGAGGTAGTATGCCACGCGAGCGACGCAGACGGTTTGTTGGCGGAGACGAGTGGCGGAGATCTCGGAGGCGATGGTCCAGCCGATGGGTCCGATGGTGAGGGAGTAGACAAGATGCCAGATGACGGTCATGGCGGCGGCAGCCCAGAGAGCGGACTGGTTGGTGTCGGGGGCAAGAGAGAGGAAGCCGACGAGGAAGAGGAGAAAACACATTGTGGCCATTCCCCAGGTGTAGATCGTTCGACGTCCCATCTTTGGAAGCAGAAACCAAGACAGCACGGTACCCACAAAGCCTAGCGCTGTGGCGCCCAAGTTCACCTTGTAAGAGTTATCGGACGACAGACCAGCTTGGACGAAGAAGTATGTAGGCGAGTAGGCAAAAGGACCTCCGCACATGACCTGGCCGACGAGAACCATGCACGCAATCTCAGTACGGCGGAGATCGATGCCCTTGAAGCACTGGATGTATGAGTCGTTGGACTGGAGCTGCTGCTCGAGTTTGGTGGTGTGGATCATCATAGCAATCATCTCGCGAGGAGTAGCCAGTGCGTTCTTGCTACTGAGACGCTTGACGGACCGTTCAGCGTCAACCAGACGACCGCGGCGGACGAGCCACCAAGGAGACTCGGGGGCAATGAAGACAAGGATGAAGATCGGAAGCGGCCAGACCCACTGGATGGCCTGGGGAACGCGGTAGGACCACTTGCTGTCGACGTTCTTCATGCCCTGGAGAACACCAGCCGAGATGAGCTGACCGATCGACCAGCAGAGGTTGATGTAGGCGGTCAGGTAGCCTCGGAGAGCGAGCGGGCAGACCTCAGATGCGTATGCAGGACCGACGGTGGCGAAGACTCCGAGGGGGAAACCGACCAGGATCTGGCCGACAAGCAAGACCTGCACAGACGGAGAAAAGAAGATGATGAAGATGAATGCAGCGAGAAAGAAGAGCGAGGTGCAGAGGATCTTGCGGTGCCCGAATCGCTCACAAAAGTAGCCGTTGAGGAGGGCGCCGAAGAAAGTTCCGATCTCGGTCGCGTCGCCAAGCGCGGTTTGCCAGGGACCGGAGATCTGCATGGAGTTGGTCGTGGAGTCAAAGTATGTTCCGTACTTGGCCGCAAAGGCCGGGTAGGTGTAGAAGTTGGACATGAGAGAGGTGTCGTAGCCTTCCATGACGATCGTGAGGGAGAGGATGAAGGACCAGAAGACGGCCTGGGGGTAGATCTTCATGGCCTGGCGGAAGCCGAGCTCGTGCTCCTTGTCCGAGGCAATTTTGGCGTTGTTGAGCAGCGCGTCGCCGGTGTAGAGGCCGGCGACGTCGACTGATTCGTCGTGGATGAAGTCTTCTTTGTCCATGACAATGATCGCTCTGGTGAAGAAGGAGAGGTTGCGGTCAGGACGGACGAGTGGCGACGGCGGGGCTCTTTAATAAGAGACATTGTAATTGAGGACCGGATCAAAGTCAGGTCGGGAAGAGCCGACGTGTTTAGGCTGATTTGCACAATGGAGACCGGGGAGGAGCGGAGAATGCGGGGAAATAAGCTCCAGAAGACAAACGAGCGAGGGGCGCGTGCAGGCGCCTCGGCGGCCCGCAACCCCGAGGAATAATTAAGTGTTTCCCAACTCCCAGCGACGCAGACCAGAATTTTACAGGATTTAACCAGCGGACGCACGGCTAAAAGCAGATCGACGAGGACCCGGAGGCAGTTGCTGCTCTGTTCTGCCATCTGGTCTTCTTCTTCTGCTATCGCGGGTTTGAGATCAGCTTCAAGTACTGCGTCACCGCTTAGAATTCTCTCAGAACTGAGATTATCAACTGCGCGAGGCTGGGCAATGAGCGGGGCATTGGCGACAAAGCTCAGGGTCAGGCTGAATTGAACCCTTCTGATTCTTGTAGATATTCCTGGCATAAGACCATAAGCCAGCCATCTTTCACTGCACTGTAAGCAGTTTTCATGCACTGCAAACAGTCTCCAGAAACAATCTGACATCCGGCTGATTTGGTCCCTGCCGAGGAAGTCATCTGCTCGGCTCATTGTCATTTTGGGGCCCACTCGAATCCCTGCGCGGTGCTTGGCGGCAGTCCCGACCACGGATTCAAACCCTCGCAAAGACAAGCTTCAACAGCACAAGAAGTTGTATTGAATCCGGAAACAACAGATTGATTGCGTTATTGAATGACTGAATCTGATCGGGCGTCGTTGGTGCTTCAAAAAGTGCAATCATATGACATCGAGACTGGTAGTAGAGTGCCGAGGTCTAATGTGAACCCCCCCGGGCAAAGGCCGACTGCTCACCAGCTTCAGACCATCAAGACCGAACCTCCAATGCACCTGACTGCAGTAACTCGGTGGATTCTCGGTCGCCATTACATCAGGTGATGAAGCACATATAAAACTGTGGCATGACTGCTGAACGTAGGATCCGCATCCGTAGTTTGACAGCGCTCTTTTTCGGATCTGAAAATACCCGTTCCCGCAGATTTACCACCGGAAATACCAATTTTTGCCAGTCAATAGCTGAATTTAGACGCATGTTGACAATATCCTCTTAACCGCACTGCATGCGATTCAGCAGCTCTTCTTCTTGCCTTGCATCCATTAGAAATGTCCTTCAGCAGTCACCAACACGATCAGCAACTGTGACCTACCAAACCCGCCCACTTCTAAACATCCGCAGCTCTTCTCATCACACTTTGCAGCATACCCATCGACCGTCGCCGTACTCAAACACCCTCCGCACCCAAAGAAAAGTTCCTGAGCATTGACATCGAAGCGGGAATATAAAGCTGATCCAAACCTTAACGCTTGGGAGTAGACAAGAATATGTTTGTCATTATCCCGCTAAGCTTACGTGATGCGGCTGCGGCTGTATGGCCCCGGGGTTCTTCGATGGTCTCTCGCCGAATTCTGACGGCTGCTTTGGAGGTATAACATTGCTCGGTGCTGCGCTGACGCCGCTGCTGCTCCGATTGTGCTCTGTTTGGTCTGATCAAGAGAAAGAGGAGAGATATCTGTGCCGGTACAGCGCTTATGGATAACAAGGGACTATAGACCACCATGAACGACTCTACTCCGCACTATCGCGACAACGATCCCACACCAAATCCCAAACCGGTAGCGCAGTTTGAACGCGAACAACTACTACGTGACGACGACAACCACACTTCTCAGCCACTGCACTTGCAAGACGATGCGGAAGAGCATATCGTTTTTGACGAGATCGAATCAAAGTACGGAGGTGTATATATCTGGCTTGTCGCGTGCGCTGCCGCGCTCGGCGGCCTGCTGTTTGGATACGACCTGACGGTAGTCTCGGGCGTGCTCGTCATGATCGGAGACGACTTTGGCGCGCCACTGACGAGCAGCGAACAGGAATTGCTAGCCTCCATTACTTCCATTGGTGCGTTTCTAGGTGCTCTCATCGCCGGCTTTCTTCTTGACCGTATCGGTCGCAAGGCAGTTATCGGTCTCGGCGCCCTTGTGTTCGCGGTCGGCAGTTTACTCCAAGCTGCGTCCTACTCCGTCGACTCTCTTCTACTAGGCCGATTTGTCGTCGGACTCGGTATCGGCGAAGCAGCGATGGTAGCTCCCATCTATATTGCCGAGATCGCACCCGCCCAACTTCGGGGCTCGCTCGTCACTGTCGACGGTCTCGCCATCACTGGCGGTGAGGTCGTTGCCGCTGCTGGAAATATCTACTTCCAAGGTTTGCCGCAACATACCGGCTGGCGCTGGGCAGTCGGTGTCGCTGCCGTTCCCGCGTTCCTGCTCTTTGCTCTGTGCTTTATCATCCCCGAGTCTCCACGAACGTTGATCTTCAAGGACAAGCTAGACGAGGCGTTCGTGGTTACCTCGAAAATATACCCGCACGCAACGGCAGAGGAAGTGCACACAAAGATCGGCTCGATCAAGTCTCAATTCCAGCGCGACGCACACTTGCTCAATCTCTCGACCGCAAAGCAATTCGAGCTTCTCTTCACCGACCGCGCGAATCTACGCGCGTTGATTGTCGCTTGCGGATTGATGGCAATCTCGCAGTTCTCAGGCTCCAACGGCGTCTTCTACTACGCCCCTGAGATATTCGGCGTCGTTGGCTTTAGCGACCCGATTCAAGTCACTGTTCTTGTCGCGCTGACGAATTTCTGCTTCGGCCTCTTTGCGCTAAAGTACATCGACACTGTCGGTCGGCGCAAGTTCCTTGTCTCTAGTATGTGGGGCATGCCGGTATGTCTTGTCATCGTCGCGTTCGGGCTCAACCGCATTCCAACCGCTGCCGAGGGTACGGATCCTTCAACTCAGGTCTTGACGTTAAGCGGTATTGTTGTGTTGCTGGCTGTTTTGGGCTTTATCGCGTCCTACGCACTCGCGCTCGGTATCGTCCCTTGGCAAGGAAACGAGCTGTTTCCAATGGAAGTCCGATCACTGGGAACAATGATGTTGACTCTCACCTGCTGGTCGTCCAACTTCGTCGTGACGTCGACGTTCCTGACTCTGATGGAGAAGCTAAAGCCAGCCGGTACATTCCTTCTCTACGCACTAATCAACTTTCTGGGCTGGATCGCAGTTATATTTTGTTATCCGGAAGTAAGCGGTTTACCGCTTGAGGATGTGAAGAACGTGTTTATGCATGGGTTTGGCGTCAAATATTCCTTGAAGTTGCAGAATGAGAGGAAGCTTGCGCTGATCGAGGGTGTTTTGCGGGATGAGGGGCAGGTGTTTTCATAGGTGTATAATGGGGTTTTGGGTTTAGGAGTGCCGCTGCATTTTTGTTTAGTCAGTTATAGAATAATGAGTTCTAGAAGATATCGCTCGCTTGTTCGTATAAACTTCCGGACCTTAAAGAGATAAGACCAACTAATGTCTCTTTTCGTCTAAATAATTTACTATCATTTAATGAGGAGATTCAGAAGAATAAAATTTAGCAGGCAATGAATACATTATCTCAAATAGTAAAAACTCAGTTCAAAAAAACAACACAAAGAACTTTCAATCATCTTGATTAGGCAGCAGCCTCGATATGCTTAGCAATAGAAAAGCGCTCCTTGATCAATCCCAATCTCTCAGCCAAGACCTGCAAAGCCAAGATCTTGCTCGTGAACCGGGCGTTGGAGAGCGCGCCGACCATGAAGTACACCCGCGGAATGCCGCAGTCTCTGGCGACACCGTTGAGCTCGCCCTCGCTGTCGAGACCCCAGATCTCCTTCACCAGAGGCTTGTACTCCTCGCCGAGCACGTCCTTGACAGTGTCGGGGAAGCCAGTGTATCCGGTAGCAAAGACGACGATGTCGGGAGAGAGCGTGGAGCCGTCCTTGAAGACGACAGAGGTCTCGGTGAAGTGGTCGATCTCGCCGTTCTTGACCTTGATGCTACCGTCGATGATCTTGGAGCAGCAGCCAGTGTCGTAGTAGTATCCGCCCGCCTTTCGGAGCGCAAGCATGAGGAAACCAGAGTTGTCCTCGCCGAGAGTAGTCTGGAAACCCGCCTTCTTGAGACCAGCGAGCAAGTCGGCATCAAGCGAGGTAATCTGGGGAACGAGGCGCTGGTGGAAGAGCTTGGCGACGAGCTTGGGAGTCGATTCGGCGAGACGATCGGCGACCTCGGTGGGAGGTCCCTGTTCAGAGTAGAGCGATCCGTTGACGATACGAACGCCATTGGCGACAGACATGACAAAGGTAGGCGAGCGCTGGAGCATGGTCACGGACTCGACGCCGTTGTTGTAAAAGTCGAGCGAGATGTCGTGAGCGGAAGTGCAGGCGCCGACGACGAGCGCGTTCTTGCCCTTCCACTGCGAACCGGTCGTGTGCTTGGAAGAGTGCACGATCGGGTTCTTGAACTTCTCCTGGCCGGGGAAAGGCTTGGGCATCTTGGCGTAGCCGCCTCCGAGACCGGTAGCCATGATGACGTGCGAGACGGTGAACTGGTGCGCGACGCCCTGGCGGAGGACGGTGACGTCCCACTTGTCGGTCGCGGCGTTGTACTTTGTCTTTGTGTTGTCGACGCGGGACTCGGTCCAGACGCGGAGCTCAAAGACGTCGGCGTAGTGCTCGAGCCAGTTGGCGAGCTTGCCCGAGGGAGTGAAGAGAGGCCAGTTGGGCGGGTACGGCATGTATGCGAGATGGTTGGCGTGCACGGGATCGTGGAGCGAGAGCGAGCGGTATCGAAGACGCCAGTTGTCGCCGATGCGCTTGTAAGAGTCGACGACGAGGGCCTTCACGCCGAGAAGCTCGAGGCGCGCAGCAGCGGTGAGACCGTTGTGGCCGCCGCCGACGATGAGGACATCCGGCTGCGGATCGTCGATAGTGGCAGCGCGGGCGTCGTCGTAAGAGACCTTGGCGTTGTGCGTGCCGCGGACGCGGTGGGCGCCAATGCGCTCGGGGTGGCCGTGGATGCCGTCAAGAGAGGTGAGGACGATGTAGGCGGCGTAGGATCCAGCGTGGGGAATGAGCTTGGTGATTCCGAGCGCAGGACCGATCTTGGTCTGGAAAGTGAAGTTGAGCTCGATAAAGGCGACGTCGTCGAACGGGCGCGCGAGAACAGGCGCGGGGGTCGCGAGCTGCGCGTCAGAAGCGGCGACTTCTTCCAATCGCGCGGCAGCAGCCGAGAGAATGTTTGCCTTTTGGATCGAGCGGTAGTCGTTTGTGAACGCGATGATGTCGCGCCAGATACCGCAGTCGGCAAACAAGCCCGCAAAGGCGGTCGCGTCCGCGGTCGTGACTGCAGAGTTGAAAGACGCGAGCCAGGTCTCGGCAATCGAGTAGACCTCATCCGAAGAGAGCGTCTTGGGGAACTCGTCCTTGGGAAGAGCCGTAGGAGGAGCGACTTTAGTGTAGCCCATTGTTTCTGACGATGATTTTGGCGATTGAAGGAGAGATGAAACAATTGAGAGCAGAGATCGTCGTATGATCTTATAGAGAGCGAGGTGGTGAACGGGCAGAGGGAGGGTGTTTGCAAATAGTTTTATAGCGGGCGCCAGTCCATCGATAGCCGGGGTGGGATCGAGCCCACGTTTTTTGTTTCTCTAAACAGTCATATTACCGCTCGTTCCCCACACTCTGGCTGCTTAAAACCTTATGCGACGCATCCGGTTGGCGTCGATTGCCGGCGGTGGAGCCCCTCATATTCGCGTGATTCCTGACTAAGCTTCCGGTATCCCGCATGAAGAAGCCGGTGGATGTGAATTCTGTGTGCTGCCAACTTCCGATCACCGCACCAGGACGTCGTTGACTCTCATAAGCCCACAAATGGGCTGACATTTTTGTATTTATTTACTCTGAACATCGCTTTCCCAGAAAAGTATCCTAACCTCGCTTCCCAAACAAAAAAACACCCGCTTACAACTCCAACACGATGCGACCGGCAACCTTGCCGTGCTCCACCTCTCGGAAGATATCCATAATCTTCTCAGGCGAGCGCACCTCAACCTTACTCTTCACCTTTCCCTGCCGCACAAACTCGACTGCCTCGGCAACGTCGCGCCGCGTACCTACGAACGAGCCCGTGATGCGGATACCAGTATCGACGAGCATCATCGGGTTCGCGTTGATGACGACATCCGGCTTGGGCAGACCGACAATGACAAGTATGCCTTGGGTGCGCAGAAACGAGAGTGCAGTCGCGTAGTCGGTACCAGCCAATACGATCACTGCACGAACACCGTGTCCGCCGACGGTCAGCTTCTTGACGGCCGAGACAGCGTCCTTTGTGCGGAAGTCGATGAAATGAGCACCGAGGCTTTCAATCACTTCCCGCTTGTTGTCGCCATCGATTCCAATGACATTGAGACCCAGCGCCTGCGCATATTGGATCGCGTACAGACCGAGACCGCCGCCCGCGCCAACGATCGCAACGTCCTCGCCCGGACGAGCACCAGACACCTTGAGCGCGCGCAGACTCGTGACTCCGCCGCACAGCACCGGCGCGACAAGCGAATCCTCAATGTCCTCGGGCAGTGTTATCAGATAATGCGCGCTGAGGGCGATGTACTGCTGATAGCTGCCGTCGACATGGGTGCCGTGGAAGCCCGGGTTGTTTGGGCACCGCAGCTCGCCGTCGTCTTCGCGCAGACAGATGTCGCAGGTCAGACAGGGACCGGCGAGGAGTGCGACGCCGACCTTGGTGCCGATGGCGGGCGGGGAGATGACTGAGTCGTGCACGGCCACGACGCGTCCGACTCCTTCGTGGCCCGGCACACTGCAGATGGAGTGGTGATCGCCCCAGAATTTAGCTACGGACGAGATATCGGAATGGCAGACGCCGGAGTGAGTCAGTTTGACCAGCACCTGGCCGGGCTTGAGGGTAGGGACGGGGAAGGTGGAGTCGATTTCGAGTTCATAGTCGGGGCCAACCTAGAGATCAATCAGATGAGTTAGCGGTTGCGGACTTTCGGACCAAGCTCTGCACAGGAGAGAGTTAAGCGATCGGACTTTTTTAATCACCACGGCCTTCTGCGTGGCTGGAATATTGGCTGAGGAAGAGAGAGTCATCGAGATAGAACAGGATGGATGAGAGAAAGAGAGATTGAGATCGACGGCGAGGTTCTGGATTGATACTTGAACACGACTCGGCTGCTGAGGACAAGAGGGGCGCGCTCGATATTGGCCCGTTATTTGCCGAGGATCTAGATTCCCCACTTTATTATGTCAGTTATTATGTTATGACATAATGCGTTATGTAATATTACTCCTTTGGGATATGGTAAATATCGCGCTTTGCGGGGGCTGTGAGGGTTTGTAGAAGAGATCAGTAGCTGTGATTGTAGAAGAGTGCTCTGGTGTCAATTGTCTAGTAGCAAACACTTTGAATGTGGTATCATGACCGAAATTAATACCCAGCTGCTTGTATGCATTGATCCTAACCCCACAAACTCACTGCGGGGTAGACTTCAAGGGAGCTTTGTTTTGAACTCCGGTGGAAGAGCAGGCCACGCGAGACCGACGCAGAGGTCTGTCGATACTCTGCTTTGCTGTGGTCCACCGGGAACCGGCGGTTCTGGCTTGTTGATTGCCGGAGTAGTTAATATTATGTCTCGGGGTCGCAATGATTTATTTTCACCGTAATTGTATTAATTTCTATTGTACACTTGCTCTCTCTATCTATCTAAGCTGCTTCTAGTTGGCAGTAGCAGGCAGCTCGATCTTGGCGATGCTCTTTTGTCTGAGCGACTCCATGAGTGCAGCCCCAATCGAGACGGCCTTCGCAGCATCCTTGAGATTGAAGTTCGGCTTCACATCGTCCAAGATCCAGTCGCGGAACGCCTCGATCTCTTGCTTGAACGCAGGTCCAAGCTGCTCCATCTGCGATTGCGGACCCTCCATGCGCGTGCCGTTCGCGTCGCTGATGTCGAGCTGCAGCTGGCGCGGTTGGCCGCTGATCACGAGCTTGCCCTTTGTGCCGGTAACTTCGGTCATGGAGTGGTGCGCGTGGCGGTTGATGCGCGAGCCGTAGACGCTCATGACGGTGTCCCCGGATGTGAATGTGACGAGTCCCACGCCGTCGTCGACATCGCCAAAGTCCTTGAACATGGGGTACACGTTCGCCGAGCCTGTCGCGTAGGCGGTCTCAGGCACTTTATCGGCGCCGAGCAGGAAGAGACAGGCATCGATGTCGTGGATGCAGGCGTCGACAAAGATGCCGCCTGATGTTTTGATGTAGTTGATGATGTAGTCGCCGGGTTGGTAAGGGTCAGTCGTCTGCGACCGCAAGGTGACTACGTCGCCAATGTCTCCGCGCTCGATGCGCTTGCGGGCCTCGACGTAGGGAGCCGCGTATCTGCGCGGGAAACCACAAGCAACCTTAAGATCCGGATGCTTGAGAGACTCGTAGTAAACCTCCCAGGCGCTGGCGGCGTCAGGCGCGATCGGCTTCTCGCAAAACACGTGCTTGCCGGCGCGCATGGCCTTGATAGCCTGCTCTTTGTGGAAGCCAGAGGGAGTGACGATCAAGACGGCGTCGAAGAGGTCGCTGGCGAGGAAGGAGTCGTAGTCTTCAAAGGTCTTGACGCCGTCGCCGATGGTCTCCTCGGCCCACTTGAGCTCGGATTTGAGGACGGAGCAGACGGCGGTGACCTTTAGTCGGCGGATCTCGAGCATGTTCTGGATGTGGATCTGGCCCATACGGCCTGCGCCCGCGACGCCGATACGGAGGACTTTGGCTTGGGTCATGGTGGTGTGTGTAGTGGGCGGGACTGCGGAAGTGAAGAGAGGTAGCTGAGGAAGGGAAGATGGAGGGCTTAGCTCAATTTATACAGATGCGGGGGAGGCTTCTATATAGCCAAAGAATGGCAGAGAACGGGGAATAGTAGCACCGGAGTCATCGCATAAGAACCAGATCCAGTCGTCTTCAATACTATTATTTTAGCATTCTGCTATTTCCCTTTTGCTTCGATTGATTATAGCCATTGAAATCACCGCAAACAAAATAGATCAGTAAAATAAAAGGAACAGGCACTAGCTGTATTCAAGATCCCGGTTTCTTAGTAAACAGATGAAGTAAACCCTAGCAAATTGAGGGGAAACCCCGGAGTTTATTTTTATTTTTATTTTCTCCATCGTCGATGCGGACCGCTTGCCTTATTTGTAAATCAAACGCATATTGCCATCTCCGCTACTTATTTTTTAACAAGTGAATAGAACATGAACAGACGGTAATTGACTGTTTGGGTGTTATTGCTGGTGCTGATGAGATCATTCGATACAGAAACATCGCATCCACTCCGTCCGAGTGATCTCCGGAAGTTTCCCGCTATGCTCTAGCCTCCATTTCATCTCTCTTTTTCTGTGATTTTCCATCGTTCGCGAATGAACAGGTCAGCACATTGTTCCCAGAAATGGAAGGAATACGATCAATCATCTCCGGAACCCCAATGATCTACGTCCCTAAAGCCACAACTCCACGTAGCAACATCTCGAGCGGGTCCAATGCTCCTTCCATGGCTCCCAACGCGAGACTGGTCCTCCCACTGCGGCGTAGTCGATCATTTCATCTACAGAGCTGCCAGCACCAAACCTCACTTATTGATTCTCCATTATATTTCTTGTAAACTAATCTTATTACTGCTTTCCAACTCACTACAGACTCCCATATTTATATACTCTGTTCTGATCTCTTATCGCACCGTTCTTCTGCTTATAATTAACGCGCGGCTCAAATTTATAGTTGAGTAATCGCTTACGTTAAATATCCTGCAGAATTATTCTGAACTGTACGTTGCATGTAGCTGGGCTATCTAGCCATTTCTAATAGACCACTCCCTCCAAGAAAGCACAAGTATCGTCAAGGAAATCAGAGGATCAAGTGCTTCTCCATTAATCGTCCATGCTGCCAAAGTTTCGATGCAGTGTATAAAGAAGTCAGAAAAATCCCTCTCAAAGCTCCCATTAGATATTAAGTGTTGCTACAGGAGTCACCCCCACGCATCGCGTATGTCCGCTTTTCGCTTGCTCGCTTTCTGCTCCGAATCCAGAAATGCGAGCTTGATCTTCATCAACGCACACACAATGCGGGGTGGGAATATTTAACTCCAACAGCCCGGATACGTCTGCATTCAAAACCTTAATACGAGTGGTTTCCCCCGGAAAATGGTTTGCGCAGAACTGCTGAGACAAGAGCAACTTCTATTCTATATCACTTTGGTCTTTTGCTATGAGTATTACCAGCCGCTGAGAAAACGAGTCAAGTTTTATTTGCGATCGATCGCTGCGCCTCTTGCCATAGTTGCGAGGTGGTGGCCTGTAGAACGCTCAGGCCTTGCGTTGCTGCTGTATCAAGTACGTTGACGCTGCTGTAGAATAACCATTAGATAACAATGTAGAAACCATTACCAGACAGCATGGCATTTTATGACCTTTACTTTATGACTTGCATTCGACTGCTACCTATCCTCCGCGTGCCTGGTCGTCCAACACTCAGCATTTGAACCCGGTCTCTGAAAACCACGCCATCCCGCGTCAACTATCTGTTTTTGACTTATTTTCCACCTTAAATCTCAAACTGATCCACCTTTGAACTGAACTTGGGGCGGGGTTGGACCATCCTAACCGATGACAATTAACTATTGGTTTTAGAGTGCACCCCTGAAAACTCAATATGAACGACAAATATTTTATAAACTTTAAAAAAATACACTGATCGATATACTAGCTAACAAGCAGAACATGCTGGAAGACATGTTTCTGGTGATTACACAAAATATATGATAAAGTCGGCGTTTGGTGGTCAGAGAGGGAGGCTACACCTGCTTGACGGCTTCAAGTTGCTCAATCTCCGGCTTCTCGCTTGCTGCAAGACCTTCCACTGCATCCTTGAACCTTAGCTCGACTGGGTCACCAAAGGCTTCACCGATTTCTTCTAACGTCAAGCCTCGTGTCTAAAAGGTGTCACAGTGTCAGATCAAAACTGCACGTAATATTAGTATAAGATATGAGAAGAAACTCACCTCAGGGAATTCAAAGTAGACGTAAATTAGCGCTAAGATGTCAATGACCAAAAACACAAAGTAGTATCGATATCCGATCTGGTCAAACGCAAGAGAGGCAGGCGATGTGATTGCAATAGACACAGCATAGTACGAGCAGTACGCAATTGAGGCGCCGTAAGACCGCAAGTGTGTAGGCCAGATTTCGGGGATATAAATGATCGAAGTGTTGTCAACGCATGAAGCCCAGACTAAATCATACAAAAAGAAGAAAGCTGTTGCGGCGTTGAGGCCAGGGGCGTATGTCGTGCCTAAATAGTATTTCTGCAAGACAGCTTCGATGATCAACATCACCGCTACCAAGCATCCGCCAGTGACTGTAACATTAGTTAGAAACTACTTAACAAGACTAATCATCAGACAGAGTCTTACGAAACAAAGGCCGTCGACCAACGCGGTCGACTAAAAAGGCGTTAATCAAAGATCCACATCCCGACTGAAACACCCAGACTGCTGACAACCCGAGCTGGACGGTCTGGTCAAATCCAAGACCTCCAAACAGAATCGGCGTGAGATTTGCAATCACGAGAATACCGGAACCAATGCAGAGAATAAACGTCACAATGGAGACGATCGCGCGCTTGCGAAGAGATTTGGTGGTGAAGATGTGCCAGTAGCTGGAGGGTTGACTCTGTAATATAACGTCAGTGGTGCCGTTTCTGAAAAGAAATTCAATTGAATTCTCACCCTCTCGGCGTCGACTTGGGCTTTGATCTGGGCCATTTCTGCGAGAGCAACTACTTCGCCGATACCTGCAGACACATGCAGTTTTCTCAAGATATCAAGAGCCTCATCATATCTTGATTGCTCCTATTAGTTTATCAGTATGCTGTATGTAGTGCCCGAATTGTAAGGTGAAACTCACGATCAGCCATCGTGGAGACTCGGGAAGAAAGAAGACCGACCCGAGAAGCACGATCGAGAAAAATACAAAGATGCAAAACTGGATGCGCCACTGAAAGGCCTGATCTAGAAAGCTGAGTCCGAGAGCAATTAGGCTGGACATTGTATATGCCACATTGATTGATACACCGTGCACGCCCGTAAGAAGACCACGCAAGTGAAATGGTGCAATCTCGCTAAGATAAACTGGGCAGTTCGTGGTGAGAATCCCAGCTCCTATGCCAGAGATGATACGGAAAGTGATAAACATGGCAATGTGTTCACTGCCGGCCATGAGTGCACCAGCAATAATTAGCAGCATAGCGGCAATGGCGGTGGTTATCCTGCGACCAAACTTTGCAGAGATGCGGGCCTGGATGACGGAGCCGAGGAACGCGCCGCCTAGAAATCTATCAAATAGATATTAGCCATTGTATCGACTACCCAAAAGAGTAATAACGACACACCCTCCTAGAATGCCAGAGATGACCTCAGCAGAGTTACCACCACCTAAGAACTTGTTTATAAAACTGGTCTGCGCAAGAGATCCGGTGGTGACATTGTTGGCGTAGCCAAACATGAAACTGCCGAACGAGCCCAGAAAAACATAGGCAAGATTCCGTCGGGTGATGTGAGGCTTGTAGTCTTCGCCGAGGAGCTCGGGCGGGATCACGGTGGTTGAGTGCATGCTGTCTGACCGTGGGGTTCAGAGGTGAGAAAGAGCCAGCATTGTCTATATAGACACTCGAAGACTTTGAATAAGTGGAGGAACTTTGTGAATGAGGGGTTCAGGGGGCTCTCCACCCGGAATTGCTGCGACGAGCGGACTAGAGAAGATCTTCGGGAGGACACCCTGTTTGCTACGTTGTGCTGGGAAGGTCCGGCCTGAATTCGGCACCGAACATAGAAGATAAAACAAGTTTACTGCTTCTCTTAATGAAATGGCATAACGGACTTAGCGAGTCCGGAGATGCCCCTCATTGTGGAGAAGGCGGGGCAGGAGATTGAGTTCTTCCGCTGAAGTACACAACTGAAGACCACGGCAGTTGATCGTACATGAAAGACCGTTTTTCCTATCCCGATCAGAATCTTTCCGAACGGCAAGCAATCTTGTTTTCTTTTTCTACTATCCGAAGTTGTCCCTTGGTGCCTGGTCCAGGAGTAATTGATTAGAGACATTTGGCTGCTAAGAAGACTATATCTTCATATAAAACCACATACTCATCCATAGTCTACTCCCCAGACACACTTCTACACGTCTGCATCTATCAGATTCTACTTTTTCAAAATGGTTCACGAGTTTCCCGGACGTTTCAGCGGCAAGATTGTTGCCATTACTGGTGCTGCCTCTGGTATGGGCGCGGCAATGACGAAGCGCTACATCGCTGAAGGTGCAAAAGTACTTGTCGCCGATATGTGCGACGAGAAGAAGGGCAAGGCATTCATCTCTCAGTTTCCCGAGGGAACCGCCTACTTCTACCGCGTCGACATCTCTACTCCTGAAGCTGCGGCGAGTGTGGTGACGGAGACGATCAAGCAGTTTGGCGATCTTCATATTGTGCACAACAACGCAGCGGCCGTGGCGTGGGGAAAGATCCCGGATATGGACCCCAAGGCGTGGCACCGCGTGTTCCAGGTCTGCGTCGACGCGCCGTTCTACATCATGCGCGAGGCGATCCCGTACATGCAGAAGAAGAAGTACGGCGTGATCGTCAACACCGTTTCCTCTGCGGGACTTATTGGCGATCTCGGACTTGGCTGCTACTGCGCAGCAAAGGCGGCGCTGGCCAACTTGACGCGCGCAATGGGCGCCGACCACGCGCAGGAGGGAATTCGCATCAATGCGGTTGCTCCGGGCTGGACCAGAACCGCCATGACGGAGGCTCTCAGTGCCACGCCTGAGGTGCACGAGCTTGTCGCTAGCACTACGCCGATGCACCGCCCTGGCGAGCCCGAGGAGCTGGCTGCGGTAATGATGTTTCTGGCTTCGGATGACGCCTCCGATGTGACTGGAGCAGGTGAGCAGAGAGGTGGTTTTGTGTCTGATGTCTACGAATACTGACATAACATACGCAGTTTGGAACGTGGACGGCGGATTGCTGGCCGTCAGCAGAATGCAGTCGCTCGACAAGATCCACGACGTAAGCGCACCCCTTTGCCGCAGCATATCACAGAACTAACATATTCCCCGTCGTTACTATAGGCCGGCAACCACGGAAAAGAAAATCTTTACTAATCGGAAAACATCGCAGCGCGGTTGCCCAGTTAATTTTTATATGCTGAAATACATGTTTTGTCTCTTTTGCAAGTAAGATTCGCAGTTTGAGAGCGTAAATCTGTAGAGTACCTAAGTGCTATAAATGTATACCCCGCACTTATGCACGCTTGTAAAATTTTATCGCAGGAGCATAGTAGTAAGGTTTCAGGGGTAGCGGTTAGGTCCCGCCATCGACTGTAATATTTCAGAGAACCCCGCAGCTCTGACATATTTATGTCTGCAGGGAGTAAGAAAATATAATATTGCTCTCTCTCAGTAACAAAGTGCTAACTGCAAAAGGGGAATCTATCTGCCGAAATAAATAACTAATTGACTCGGGCTTCCGCTTCTACGATGCTGCCCCCGCGTTTATTGTTCAGGAAATGTTTCTTTACTACCTAATTCTTTAACCATCTCAGCATCTCCACCATCGTCACCACAGCAGTCGGGCTCTTTTCGGAGCTTCTTGATATATTCACTCCTGATACAGCTTGTAATCAACGTACCCCTTCTCTGGTGGATCGGCGCCATAGAACGTCGCTCTATCATACTCCGTCAGCGGGAATCCCTCCGCCAGTCGCCGCGGCAGGTCCGGGTTCGAAATGAACGGCCGCCCAAAGACAACCGCATCGGCTAGATCCGTCTCGATGGTTGGCAGTGCTGACTCCCGTGTGTAATTCCCCGCGGCAAGGAACCGAATATCGGCCGCCTTCAAGATATCGCGAAACGGCTTCAGGCTGTATGGCTCGCTGTTGGCTCGCTCTGCAAGCGACTTGATCTTGTCCGCTCCCGACAGCAGCTCGTCATATTCGGGACGGATCATGTGCACGTAAGCGGGCCGCTGACTTTTAGGCAAGCTTGCAATCTTCTCGCACAGCACTCGCCAGTGGCGCATGGGATCGCTGTCCTTGGTGCCATGCCAGTAGTTGAACGGCGTGAGACGGATACCAACTCGCGAACCGCCGATGGCTGCGCCCACCGCGCTGATAACCTCAATCGGGAACCGACACCGGTTCTCAATTGACCCGCCGTATCCGTCTGTCCGTTTATTCACATTGTCGTGCATAAACTGGTCAAGTAGATATCCATTGGCTCTGTATTATTTTGTTAGCCCAAGTTTCGTAGTAGTAGAAACAAATGTAAAGATAGGACTCACCCGTGAATCTCAACGCCATCAAATCCTGCCTCAAGCGACCTGTGCGCGGCAGCCGCAAACTCATCGACAATCTCTTTAATCTCAGAAACCGACAGCTCACGCGGCGTGGCTGGTTTGTATTCTTTCGGTCCGGGCCCAATAAAGCTCCCAGGCAACGGGCTCGCATACGAGCTCACGGGGATCTCTCCGTTCAAATACTCCGGAATAGTCGCTCTGCCGGCGTGCCAGATTTGACAAAAGATGTAGCCTTCTTTTGCGTGTACTGCCTGCGTCACTTGCTTCCAGGACTCGATCTGCGTTTGCGTGTAGATTCCTGCGATTCGTGGATATCCAGCGGCCTAAATCACAGCAAATATCAGCCCAGAGTACTACTACTGAAATAATCTTTGATTCGGGTACTTACCAGCCGAGAAATCGGTGTAGACTCCGTGATCTGAAATCCACCTTTGGTCGCCCGTTGGCCGTAATACTGAGCTGCGATGTCTCCACACACCCACTCGTCCGGGCTGGCCTCAGTCGCCCGCAGACGGCCCATCGGCGCCATGCACACCCTATGGAGCAGGTTCATATTCCCAATTTTGACTGGCGAGAACAGCGCTGTTCCTCGCAGTGCCTTGGTAGCGGTGGAGATGTTTGCGTTGGCCGACATGATAACGATAGCTGAAGGATGTGGTGGATAGTATTGAGATGCGTATCTATTTTATATCTGAGAGGTCTCCTGGCATACTGTCTTCGGGGCATTACAACAACCTGCAGTTTCTGATATTGTCCAAGGAGGGGCACGGAGATATTCCGGACTGTGGTCAGATAAACTAAGTGAAAAAACAAAATAGATAAATTCCACTGAAACATTCGAACTGAAACCCAATCGAGCAACGACCACGCGCCTGCTCCCCTCCCACCGCCGCTGCAACTGCATTCTGTACGTTAACACGCACCTCCAGCAATTGCTGCTTTCTCCGAACGGCAGGATTTCGGCGAGTATCGCCCTATTGCGCTGTATCTCTGATCCAGACGTAGAAGGCGTTTTGAACCTGCTTCCACGGCTGTCCGTCCGGATTTGTTTCCAACTATCCGATATCTTGTCTTCATATAAGCCATATCTCTTTCCAGTCGAGCGATTCTTTACCTCTCCAAGCCTTCTCAATATGATGCTGTCTCCTGCAGAATTGAAGCCCTTGGCTTACGACTTTTACTCCAGTCAGAGCCAGAACATTTCCACAGCTCTTGCCTCTGTGTTCTGCCTGATTTCCGTTTATGGTATCTACAAACTGCTTCAAGTCGGCAAGCGTGATCCGCGCATGCCCCCTGGTCCTCCCACGAAGCCCATCCTAGGAAACCTCCATCAGATTCCTTCCACGGGCCTTTTCAAACAGTGAGCACTACCAATTTCCCAAGCTGCATCAGAGTACTGACAACCGTGGTAGATTCCGCGAATGGGCTAAGGAGTACGGCCCGGTCTTCTCTCTCAAGCTCGGAACCGGAAACGTCATCGTTCTCTGCGAGCGCGAAGCAGTCCATTCCCTACTTGACAAGAAAAGCAACATCTACTCTGACCGTCCCGACTTTTACGTTGGCCGTCTATTAACTGAAGGTGACCATATCGGGCTCGAGCACGCGGACCGCGTCTGGCGCGAGAAGCGCAAGGTCGTTTCGCATAACTTCTCGCCTAAGATGCTTGATGAGAAGCACTATGTCGTACAGGAGGCCGAGTGAGTTTCCCTTTGAGGTCCAGGCAGCAAACGTTGGGTTACTAATGCGCTTCTTACAGAGCTGTTTTATTGCTGAATGACCTGGTTGACGATCCCTCGAACTTCATCAAACATGTTCGTCGCTACACTTCTTCTGTTGCCTGCATCCTCGTCTACGGTCAACGCGGTGAAACTTATGAGAACTTCTGGGGTCATGTGAGTTATCTCTGCATATCAGTGATAGGAAGGATATCTAACAGTTGGATCTAGGCCGTTTACGAGGTTATGGAAAAGGTACGCTCACTTTCCTCAATTTAAAATGTACGATCGCTAACAATATCTAGTGGTCCGAGGCCATGGAGCCTGGCTCGAGCCCGCCAGCAGACGTCTACGGAATCTTCAAGATGATCCCCGCCCCGCTCGCAAAATGGAAACGACGGGCTCTTGATGCCCATAACGAGATGGACAGTGCCTGGATCAAAGCCCGCAAAATCATCGATCGCCGACGCGCGACCGGCGAGCGACGTGACTGTATCGCCGATCATCTGATGGACGAATACGAAAAGAAAGGCAGTCCGTTCACTGATCATGGCTTTAACAATTTGCTTGGTGAGTTGGTTGAAGGTGGAGCCGACACGACTGCATCGCATATCACGACTTTGATCTTGGCTTTTGCTCTCTACCCTGAGGTTCAGAAGAAGGCTAGAGCTGAAATTGATCGCCTCTGTGGTGTCGACCGTGCGCCTACTTTTTCGGACTTTGACCAGCTTCCCTATGTGAACGCCATCGTCAAGGAAGGCATGCGTTGGAGACCCACGTATGTATATCCATTGAAGAAGAAATATGAGCTCTAATGCTAACCTCCACAGATCTCCCACTGCTCTTCCCCATAAAGTTGTGCAAGACGACTACTACAAAGGCATGCTCATTCCCAAAGGCTCGACAATCTACCTCGCCACCTGGGCAATCCACCACTCCGAAAACGTCTACCACGACGAAGACGAGTTCAACCCCGACCGCTATCTTGGGTACACCAAGCTCGCCGACCACTACGCCGGCAGCCCAGACTGGGAGCGCCGCGACCACTACGGCTATGGTGCCGGCCGCCGCATTTGCCCGGGTATTCACATGGCCGAGCGCAGCCAGTGGAGAATTGCCGCGAAGTTGCTCTGGGCATTTGAGATCTCTCCTGCTATTGATCCGGCTACTAAGAAGCCGATTCCTATCGACTCCCACGACTATAGTCCCGGAATCGCGCAGTTTCCGAATCCGTTCAAGGTCGAAATCAAGCCGCGCAGCGCTTTGCACGTCGCGAAGATTAAGGAGGAGAAGACGCGGGCCCTCGAGTTCCTCCAGCGCTTCAACTAGCTTATCTGAGTTTATCCTCCTCTCGAACGTTCTCTAAGACTTTTTTTACAACCGGCGTAGCTTAATAAATTGATAGTGTACTAGAAAACTGAGTTCTGCAGGAGGGGGTAGAAAACAGGATAAGGGTTCCAGAAATTACCGAAAATGGCAGTATCCGCGTAAACTATGAAATTGAACCTATTGTGATTCTTAATCATCTCGTTCCTCTTTCTAGCCTTCTCTCTATAAAAGTCCGTCCGCGGGTTAAACTGAAAAATAAATAAATGCGTCCGCACGACGGACTATCTACGAAGTAGCCGACTCAACTATTTAAGACGCCACCGGTCTGTCTCGTTTGCGGCTTCAGATCAGCAGTCGCACTCTACATTCCCCGTCATCGTTCAATTTCCCATCCCCAGTTCCTCACCATAGTCAAAGCAGAAGAAAGTCTTGCAAGATGTCTTTGAAAGAAATGACTCGAGTCTCGGTTATGGCTCGTAGAAATCCCGCGATGTCGTTGGAGGAGTTTCAGAAATACTTGAAAGAGAGTCATGGGCCGCTCGTTGCGCCGTGGTTGAAACGGTACGGAGTTGTGAAATATGTTCAGGTAAGTACTCCATATATAGAAATGCGATATCTAAGCAAGATTGAGATGAACCTGACAACAGCACAGCATCATAAAAGAGAAGCGTTCTCAAGAGACGGCAGTCCCATCAAGGCCCTCGAGCTCGGCGACTTTGACTCGCTCGCAGACTTCTACGTGCCCTCATACGCGGACTTTGAAAAGGCGTTTAAAGACCCGGAGTATTTTGAGAAAATCAAGCCGGATGAGGAGAAAATTCTGGATATGGAGTCGGTTGTGATTGTGGTGGGGGTGAATCATGAGGTTATCTGAGTTTATACTGTTTGAATGTTATCGTAGATGGCAGAGAGAAGTTGCATAATAAAATACATTCCGTTCTAACTCAACTTTCAATGCTTTTTCATTCAATCGGTAGATTTTCGGTAAAAAAAATTGAGGGGTTCCGGGTCTCATCTTAAATAAATGCCCTCTCCCGCTTCCTACGTCCCTCATCCTCACCTCACCTTCAGCGCCTCACCAGATCAAAGAATGGAAGCCAAGATCCAAGAACTCCTCGACATCCAAGAGATCCGCGACATCTCAATCCGCTACAACCGCTACGCGGACGCCGCCGACGGCGACAGCTTTGCCTCACTTTGGCTCGACGACGGCGAATTCGACATCCACGGCGACAAAGTCTACAAGGGCCACGAGGAGATTGCGTTTGCGTGCCGCGCTGCGACCGAGGTTTTGCATTTCGTGGTCGATTCGCAGGTTACGGTTGAAGGCGAGACTGCGAGGCAGACGTCAAAGTTGCTGCTGTTTCATCGCGATCAGCCGGAGCGGAAGGATATCGAGTTTGCGTGCACGACAACTTTGAGCGATGTGTTTGTCAAGAGGGATGGAAAGTGGTATATCAAGTATAGGCAGTCCAAGATCGATATGGATAAGGACTCTGCGTTTAGGAAGATGAAGTTGGTTCGCTAAGAGACAAAAATGATTCACTGGTCTATTCTATAGTCTATACCTAACTCTGCACCTTCTCAACATCGTCTGGGAACTTTAGGCCAGTCTGCAGACGGATCTCATCCATAAGCTCCATGGCAAAAATGCATTCCTCCAAAGGATACAAATCATCCTCTTTCTTCCCATCTCTAATATCTCTCGCTACGGCGTCAGCCTCCCAAAACAGTCCCTGGCCAGGGATATCGTAGTTGTACGTCCGCGTGTTCATCCCGTTGCCCTCGAGGTTGACGATAATCTTCTCCGGCCGCGATGCGTGGATCGGAATGATCATCTCTCCCTTTGATCCCTGAACGCGGATCAGGCACTCTTTCGGCGTGTCGGTCATCATCGACGTAGTGCCAATGCACATTATATTTGGCTTTTGCCAGACAGTGATCACGCTTGTCGATTCGTCCACCAGATCCGTCGTCAGCGGCGACCGGAGCATCGCAGCCTTAATCACGTCTGGCGGCGACCGCTTGTTTTCCGGATGATGATAGCAGGTCAACAGCGTCCACAAGTTCATGTAAACGCCCAGATCCAGCAATGCGCCGCCAGCAGTCGAGGCCTGGTACAGACGCTTGTTCTTCTCGGGATCAATGTAGACTGAGAAATCAACAAACACGCGGTGCACGCGACCAATCATCTTCTCCTCGTGCAGCATCCGCTGAAACGTCTTGACAAGAGGGAAAAACCGCGTCCAGACAGCTTCCATAAGGAATACGTTCTTCTCCTTCGCGACCTGGGCTAGATGTCGCGCTTGCTGCGCATTGACCGTGAACGGCTTCTCGCACAGCACGTTATTCCCCGCACGAAGAGCCTCGAGCGCGCACGCGTAGTGTCCTGACGCGGGGGTCGCAATGTAGACACAGTCGACGGCAGGATCCTTGTATAGATCAGCGTAGGAACTATAAGGTGTGACGTGGGCGCGCATGTCGGCGGGGATGGTCTCGTCTATGAACGTCTGTGCTTTGTCGACCGAGCGGGATGCCACGGCTACGACCTGGTGGGCCACATCTGTGACTCCGCGGAGACTAGGATCCGTAACCAAATCTCGAACAAAACACTCTGCGATCTGTTGAAAAATAAGACTGTTAGTCAAAGAAGACCGGAAGAGGACGGAAAGGGTGGGCAACATACGCCGCCGGTCGCGACAATTCCCCATCGCAGCGTAAACGGAGCAGCCATGATTATATCTATAATTTCCAGCAGTAATTGAGCTGAAAAATGAACAGTAAAGAGTAAAGACAGAGAAGATAAAGTCGAAATAAGTCCCCGGAGCCTTGTGGAACCACCGGAGAAGGTCGACCAAAATGGAAAGGAGTCAACGATAAGTTCCATGCGGCTCGCGGATAGCTCCGGCGGACCCAATCCTAGATAGCCAACGCCTCGTCGGTCTCACCGTGAGCAGAGGGGGCAAAGACAATTGGATTCATGGATTTTGTAGTTTGAGTGAAGATATACGTTTGTATTGTCTTTTCAATAGACGACAGAACTATCGCAGGAGGAAACAGAAGAAAGACGGTATTAGGGCTAATAACCCGGATTGAAGATTCGCATGGAAAACATCAGCTCGGGTACGCTTAACTGCCGTCGTTGCAATACCTGCCACATTGGGTAGCTATTGAGCAGTCGGGAGGTAACGAATACAGGAACTGATATCGAAGGTATCGTCTTGACTAAATCGTTAGTAATAGCAAAGAGAAACTGCCAAGTTAAAGCTTCCTAACTGGGGAAAGGTAGCAACTTTATTTTAGCGTTATAGACCGGGCTCGACAGCATGATTGTTACTGCCGGGGGGTCTGTGATGCTTATATGTTGAGTCTAAGCTAAGAGCTGGGAGCGATGCATAGAGCCGGCCTTCTCTGCCTCCTTCATTTCTTACTGAGTTTAATCTGCTTGAGCTTTGATGTCGATAATTTTATTGAGACAGAAGATGAAAGCACAAAAAGACTCTAAAAGTCCTCACAGTATTCAACATTAGCAGGAAACACGAGCTCGTTCTGTCGCCGGATCTCATCCATCAGCTCCATGGCAAACACACTCTCGCTTAGAGGATACAAGGCCTCCTCCTTCTTCCCGTCCCTGATATCTCTAGCGACAGCATCGGCCTCCCAAAACAATCCCTGTCCTGGAATCGGGAAGTTGTACTCCCGCGTCGCTCCGTCGTCAAGACGAACAAGGATCTTCTCCGGTCGCGAGCCGTGGATCGGAATAATAATCTGACCCTTCGTGCCCTGGACTCTGACGACGCACTCTGGAGGGGTGTCGATCATCATCGATGCGGTGCCGATGCAGACGATCTGGGGTTTCTCCCAGGAAGTGATCACGGAGGTTGACTCGTCGACACCGCGATTGACTGCCGAGCGGAACTGCACGGCCTTGATGACGTCCGGAGGAGAGAGTTTGTTGTCGGGATGGTGGTAGCAGGTCAGAAGAGTCCACAAGTTCATGTACACGCCGAGGTCGAGCAGTGCGCCGCCGCCGGTGTTGGGGTCGTAGTAAGTGGGACGGGTCTTGGGATCGAACCAGACGGAGAAGTCAGAAAACACTCTGTGCACTCTGCCAATCACTTTGTCCTCGTGAAGCAGCTTTGTGAAAGTCTTGACGAGCGGGAAGAAGCGAGTCCAGACGGCTTCCATCAAAAATAGGTTGCTCTCCTTTGCAACATGCTGGAGATGTTTAGCCTGCTTCGCGTTGACGGTGAACGGCTTCTCGCACAGCACGTTCTTGCCCGCGCGCAGGGCATCCAACGAGTTTTTGTAGTGGAACGCAGACGGGCTGGCGACGTAGACGACGTCGACGGCCGGGTCTTTGTAGAGCTCTTCGTAGGATCCGTAGGGCGTGACCTTGGAGCGTAGGTCGGCGGGAACTTGTGCGTCGATGAAAGCCTGCGCCTTTTCGACTGAGCGAGAGGCAACAGCCACGGGCAGGTGAGCGACGTCGGAAACACCCCGGAGGGCAGGGTCGGCGATCAAATCTTTGATGAATTGCTCGGCAATCTGGAGGTTAGTTAGCAATGCTGAAGGAAGAACGAGGTAGCATGAAGGGTACTTACGCCTCCGGTAGCTACAATTCCCCACTTGAGAGTAAAAGGCGCCATTTTAGTGTTGATAAGTAGTGATGGAGATATTTTGCCAAAAGATGAAGAGGAGAGAAGAGAGTGTGCAGGATGGAGGCGTATTTACATTCGGGAGAACCAGCAGCAGCTGCCGGATTTAAAGAACGTGCGGCGTTCAGCCCCTCCCTCGAGATTCCTGCATCGACAACCCGGCTCTCGATACCTCTAAGATACAGATATCTGACAAATTACAATACATTTATTGTGATAATGGCTAATACAAACTACATTGATTTACTACCCAATCATACAAACCACTTCTGAAAAGGAGTTGCGCAGGTAGACTGTAGGTTATATGCTCTGGACCGAGCCGCGGCCAACACCAATCAAGAGACGTCAGTGATCGATTTCCATCACTCGAGTTTTCCTCAAAGCTTTCTATAAACAGTGAACGACCACATCAAGCTTTATGTCGACGATGGGCTATATGCCGGAGCTGCCAGGACTGAAAATACATATATCCTGGCTCGATGCCGACGATAACCATCGATGTTCACAGAATGCTCTACTCCGTTTCCGCCATCAGCAGTCCAGAGAATTTCTTGATGCGGGCTGCCCTGTCTCTTTCAGGAGAGGTTTCCGGGTAGCAAATGATGAAAAGTCTGGCCGGTGAGAAAAAGGCAGCGAGTCCGCAGCCGCGCGCTCGCTATCTCCATCCACGAATGATATGAAGTCCGGCTAAGTCAAGCTGAATCAACACTAAAACCACAGCGCACTCCAGTTCTCCAAATATACAGCTGTCTGCAATCAGCAGCATCAATTGCCTGAATGCATCGTGAAGGCTGAGCAAGGACGACCGCAGGCTGAAGGAGCAGAGGAGCAGCCGGAAAACAATGAAAACTTATTTCCTCGGAGATAATCGCTAAGCGGCAATATGCTCCTCCTCCCCCGCAAACCATCCCCAGACTCTGCGCGGTCTCTCCGCTGCTACTCCTCCTCCGCCATTGCAATTCCTCTAATCCACTCGTTTGTAAGCTGCTTTGCTTTTGTCTTTCATTTCTATCGCATCATCGTGCTTATCAAATACCGACAGCAGTCGTCTCGGAAATGGCAAAAAAAGGGCTTCGCGCCTCGATCGCCTGCAACCACTGCAACGCCGCCAAATCACGCTGCGACTTCTCATTACACGGATCGCCCTGCTCCCGATGCCGTCAGCGCAACTACTCCGACTGCAAACCGATCCAGAGTCGGCGAGGAACCTACGATCGTAAAGAATGGTTCCAGAAGCGGAAAATGTCCGCTCCGTCTATCTCCAGCTCGGCCGCAAGGCCGCCAGCAAGTGTTGTAGTTGCTGAGGGTGACGCTGATCCTCCTGCTATTGTCTCCGCTGTCTCTGCCGCTGCAACAATGGCAGTCGAGGCCGCAGACGTCGACTCGGAATCTTTCAGCTCGAGCAACACCACTTCATCTTCCCCCCCTACTGGCGGCGATCGAGACTCGGCCTCTCCTCTCGACTGCTCTCCGCAGTTCACCGCAGTCAACCATTGCAACCACTGTCCGGGACAGATCAACCGCCCCCACATTCGCTCATTTGCTACAAAAAGTATAGATGAGTCTGATAGCGGACAAACCAAGGAATGGGCTCGTGTATTCAAGTCTCTTTTCACCAACATCGACAAGCCCTCTAAGCAGCCCCTGCTATACTTTGGTGAATCCTTCCCTGTTTCATGGCTGCTCTACAAAGTCCAGAAAGACCGCCACGGCCAGATCAGACTCAAGCAGCCTCGTCTCCAGTCGGGTTCATCCGGCGACGAAGACGACGGCGAGTCCGACGAAGAGCCTTCTAATATCATCTTTGACGGCTGTGAACATCCAGCTCACATGACGGCGGCAAAGATCGCCTATCTCTCATCCGAGAAATGCTTCTCAAAACCGTCTCCCTTGATCTATACACAGCTCTTTTCGACATATTTCCAAAACATACACCATTTCTACCCGATCGTCAACCGTGCAGATCTTGCGCGAATGTTTGACCAAGATAGCGTGCCCTGGATACTCTTCTACTCAATCTGCTTCGCTGCTGCGTCGCACTGTCCTATCTCTGCTCTCTGTCGCGAAGGTGGGTACTCGACTCGCCGGGAAGCACGAATGGACTTTTACCGTCGCGCAAAGTCGCTTTTCGATCTTTCGTACGAAAAGAACAAAATCACGCTCATCCAGTCCGCGCTCCTTCTCTCATTCTGGGGTGGCCAGCCCGACGACTGCTGGAACTCCGTCTCGTGGATCAACATGGCGGTCAACATCGCAGAGTCACTGGGCATGCACCGGCAAATGTCCTCTGCCGACCTACCAGACGAAGACCGCGCGCTTTGGCGACGAATTTGGTGGAGCCTGGTTGCTCGGGACTCATTCTGTGCAGCTCTGCTCGGCAAGCCACTGCGAATCAACGTTTCGCAATGCGACACCGAGTCGCTTGCGCTCAAGGACTTTGAAAGCGATAGCAATCCCGTACTGGCGAGTAACCCGGCGATGTGGGGAGAACGGCGAGTCGAGTACGGACTATACGTTATCGAGAACGCAAAGCTCGGTGTGATCTTGCGAAGGATCGTGCAGGCGCGAGATGGACACCTGATCGATACCGATTTTGTGCTTGCGACGCATCGCGCGCTGCAGGAGTGGGAGCGCCAGATGCCGGATATACTGCGGGTTGGGTATATGTTTCCGGAGTCGCCGCTTTATGTGTACGGGGCCGCGCTGAGCTTGGTGTATAACCATCATCTGGTCTATCTACACCAGACCGCCCCTGTGGACTGCGAGATCTCACTGTCGATCGCGCAGGAGGCAATTTTGGATATTGCAGAGTTTGGAAGCACTCTCGTGACTGTCTCGGTCATCCCGTTCATGCCACAGGACACGCTGGCGAGCTTCTTCATGGCAATTGTGATGCTATTCACCCAGATGCAGTCCAAGAACTGTACGCGAGACAAGTTGAGTCTGTTTCGCATGCAGCTCAAGATCTGCGAGATGATTGTTCATCAGGCGCAAGATCACTGGGATCATGCCGATTGGATCCTTGCGATATCCGAGGGACTAAGAGAAAAGCTCAATCTGCAGTCTCCACAGTATGATACTGCCTATCAGTCGATGTGGACTAGCAATCACGACAACGCTGTCAGCAGTGACGCGCGCCGCGAGGAAGATGATGTATACGACTTTGCAGCACTTGACGAGTTTGTGCAAAATATCGAGCCAGACCTGTGGAATCCTGAGACTCCGGGCACCGCAAAGAAGCTCGCGGGAGCAAAGGAAGTCACTACGACTCAAGATAGCAGAGAGAAAAATCACGACACAGAAACAAGATTCATTACAGAACTAGAAAAAAACAGAAGTTTAGATTGTGGGCAGGTAGAGGATAGTGGGATGGGTTGTACTGATGTTGACAGTTTTGGGAGTTTGATGTTGATGACGCCTGCTATTGTGAGCTCGTGAGAAGAAATGTGTTTGTGTTGATATGAATAGCTGTGTGCTCTCAATAAAATGATTTGATGAAGAAATTAACGCCAAGGATGTCTGCAAATACATACCAGCAGTAGATTAACAGATTAGACATTAGCCCAATACCTTATAACGTCAAGAAATCTGTTAGTATTCAAATTACTACGCGCGCCTAATACTCTTCTCTAAACCACGTCATTGTTTACATTCCCGCGTCGATTTAGAGTTTTGGTAAGAATCGACAAAACAGTCGCGCAGAAACATATAGAAGCAGCTGGATCGCGGCCAATTCCCTTACTGCGTTATCTTCCTTTCTAACTAACCATGGCGTTCAGGACTGAAAAAGAACTGATGATTCGCTCAGCCGTTGAGAGCTTGTGCAGTGTAAATCGTTAAGCGTCCGAGAGGCTGCAGAGATGTTTGATGTCTCCACAGGCGCGGTGAGAAGCAGAATGAGACTCCTAGGGATCCGTCGAGAAGGGTACAACCTCAAAACTTCCCAGAGATTGACGGATGAAGAAGAACGACAGGTTGTTGAGCACATCACTGAGTTGATCACTTCGAAAGGTCAGCCTCCTAGACTGGCGGACGTGGAGGCGGCGGCCAACGATATCTTGACGAAGCGCGACGAGCCGTGCGTGGCACGGGGCTATGGCCACAAATTTGTTAAACGGCATCCAGCCTTAAAGGAGTTATTCATGAAAACTGGTAAGTCACTGATCGGTACTTCTCAAAGATAGTTTGAAATTGAACGGACAACTGACGTTTCTCCAGAAAGATACAACAAACCAAGACGTGAACGCAGATATGGTTACGTAGTCGTGGTAGCTGCCGACGAAGAGCCGGAGATACCGGAAGGGTTTGGCATGTATTGGGGGAATGAATGGCGTTATATGAAAGAGCGCCTGATCCGAGAAGAGAGAAAACGCGAGCGCGAAGAGGAGAAGCGCAAGCGCGAAGAGAAAAGGCGGGAAGAGGAGCGGCGCAAGCTTGCCAGTGTGCAGATTAAAGAGGAGGCCGACTGAAGCAACAGAGAGCGAGCGGCATGAGGGGAAATGGCGACAGTGCGCCAATCGGCAGGTTAAAGAGAGGCAGCTCGTAATCAACGGAGTCGAGTCTGCAGAAATGGAAAAGTGCCAGGGCGTCATTACAAGAATCTATGAATGCACAAAGTGTTCAGGGCTAGTCGGATGAACAGTGCTGTGACACATGCATACATGGAGAGGGCTTTGAGAAGGCACATGAGTGTTTGATGAATGCGACTGTGAATGTGTTATTGATTTACCTTGCTGGTGTTATGTACTTGTGTTTGGGCGTACTTGTTTTCGAGAGAGTGTGTGAGTTGATACCCCTCATGCTTTTGGGGTAGACGTCGCCCTCCTATGGTTATCATATATAAGATGCTTTGCTATATAAAAGTTGAATAAAGTCGAGTACTGCATGTCGAGGCAGCAAGGGCATGCAAATATAGCATAGTGGAAACATAAGTGCAAGCACCTTTTGATGCGGCTACTTGCCCGTTGCAGCCATCTAGGAACAAACATCAGGCGGACATGGTTCAGAATACATATTCTATAATAGCAATATGATGAATATTTTTTAATCTTATTGACAAATATAACAAATAGAGTGACCAAAAAAGAAAAGCGAAAAATAACTGAGAAGAGGAAATGAAAAAAAAGAAGCTTCTTAGCTGTTTTCTACTTTCTTTTTCTGTTCCGTTCCTTATATAAATCCTTCATGCTCGCATAACTACAACAACTAGTACTAAACATTAAATATCAATGCCGAGCTCTTTACAACTTGGGAGGCTTGTACACGATTCTTCTGGTCTTGACTGGAGTCCACTTGAATCTCTTGACCCAGAGGGAGAGAGCCCAGAGACTACCAGTGATGATCAAAACCTTAAGACCGGTCTTCTTCCGGACGTCATGCTCAGGCTCGGCGGCCCAGTTCAAGAATGTGGTGACGTCCTTGGCCATCTGGGAGGTGGTGGCAGGGGTGCCGTCCTCGTACTCGACGAGTCCGTCGAAAAGAACACGGCCCATGGCAATGCCACCGCCGGGGAAGTAGGGGTTGTAGTTGAGGCCGCTGGCAACGGTGGCACCAGCAGGGGGATCGTCAGGGTATCCGGTCAACAAGCTGAAGATATAGTCGCAAGCACCGTGACGGGCCTTGACGATCAAACTCAAATCGGGAGGGAGAGCGCCCGAGTTTGCAGCACGAGCGGCCTGCTCGTTCGCGTAGGGGGCGGGGATGTAGTCGGAAAGTTTACCGGGTCTCTTCTCGATCTCACCTTCGTCGTTGGGCTCGTTGTCGTACTCGGCCTCCTCAGCCATAGCCCGGACCTCGTCGGAAGTGTGTGTGACACCGACAAGCGTGCGCCAGGCCTAGAAAACATGTCAGAAAAAGGGGACGTGTGAAAATATGAGGACAAGATATATACTTACGACGAGGTTGAGGGAGTGGCAGGCAGCACAGACTTCCCGGTAGACCTGGAAACCACGGCGTAAACTGGATATTGAGGTCAGATAAAGTTTCTTCTTCTCACTCTTATATTTTAAGAAAAACATACCTCTGGTGGTCGAAGGTGTCGAGCCAACCTTTGTGAGACCAGGGGTACTCGCCGGGGTGGAGACCGTGCTCGGCCAAAGTGACGGCCTTGATGGGGTTGCCGTAGAGGTTGACGTACCAGGCAGCGAGGCCACCGGTAGCGACCGTAGCGAGGACGGCATTGCGGGTGCTCTTGGAGACCTGTATTGTTGGAACAAAAATTCATTAGCCAGGGTGTGATGGTGGAAGGAGGATGCAGATATCCTGCCGAGATGATGTCTTTCTGGTTCTGTCTTTTTTCTCGCGTCGTCTTGCGTGCGACTCCCTCTTTTCTTTGCTTGTTTTGAGATAGGTTGTCGAGTGATTGAGCGGTGTTTTGGTCGTCGAAGTCTGATAATCATATTGAAAAGGTCGTCGGGAGTGTCGTATCTGGGTTCTGCTCGAAGATGCTGATAATCTGTTGACGAACGAGACGAAAAAACAACAAAGAAAAAAAGAGCACAAAACTATGCGTGCGCGCCGAGAAAACCAGCAGGAATCAAGACCGAAGCATCATCGTCGACGGGATATCTAATCAGAAAAAGAACAATAGTACCTCGCCAGAAGCCTGGTTGGCTGAAGACGAGAAGTTTCTCTGCAAGAGGGAGGCAGGGTCAGTAAAGGTGGTCGAGGACAGGCGTCGGAATCAAGGCGGACATCGAGGAAGCGAGGAGCCAGTGAGAGCGGAGGCAATTAAAAGCAGCGAAGGAGACATACCGCAGCAGACGAAGCCAGCCTCTTGAAGAGGGGAGATCCGGACAGTCGGTTAACCATGGCCGAATTGAGGGACGGAGACAGATGTGAGGTTCGGAGGGCGGAGGAGGAGGAGCAAAGGCGCGAGGAAGAAGTTGGCTGCGAAGTTCTCCTCGAGACCGACGAGACCCGACTGCGCACTAACACAAATCAGGTCCGCGCCGATTGGCTGAGCATATTTCGCGGGTGTTTGCGCACTTGAGCCGCTTGTCCTGATTTGCCGCCGGGGCTGTGCGCGGAGTGTTGGTGCAGCTGTGCAGGGATGAAAGTTTATATGCTCTGACTAACTGTTCTGCTTCTTATTACTAATATCTGCTACTCACAATCAACTACTACTCACAATCAACACATCTACGCCGCCGCCTTCTGCTTCTCAATCGAATACCTCTCACCCAGCTTCCCCGCCTGCTCAGCCACTATCTGCAGCATACACACCTTCGAGTTAAACCTCGCCAGCGGCAGCGCGCCCATCATGAAATAAACCCTTGGGATCCCGCAGTCGCGGAAGCACGAGTTCAGCTCGGCCTCGTCGTCAATCCCCCACACTTCCTTCAGACTCTTCGTCGCCTTCTCGCCCAGCGTCTCCGCAACCGACTCGCGGAATCCCGTCACTCCGGTCGCAAGAATGACCACCTCCGGCGCCATGCTCGAGCCGTCCTTGAAGTACACCTTGTCCTCGGTGAAGTAGTCGATCTCCTGCCCCTTCACCTTGATGTCGCCGTTGATAATGTGCTCGCAGCACCCCGAATCAAAGTAGTACCCGCCGTTCTTGATCATCGACAGATACGGATGTCCTGAGCCCTGCGGGCCAAGCCACGTCTTGAATCCGGCCGCATTGAGCCCCTCGATCATCTCCTTGTCCTTCTCGGCAATCATAGGCACAAAGCGCTGGAAATAGGCCTTCGAGACCGGATGAGGCAGCGTCTCCACCATCTCGTCAGACTGCTCAATTGGCGGTCCGTCGTCCTGGTAGGCCCCCTTGTTGTAAAACTCGATTCCGTTCTTGAGCGACATCACGTAAGTCGGCGATCGCTGCAGGATCGTGCAATGGGCGCCATTGTTGTAGAAATCAAACGCAACATCATGACCAGACGATCCCGAGCCAACGACGAGAACCTCTTTGCCCTCGTAGTCCGCACCAGACTTGTGGAAGAACGAGTGCTTGACCGGCTTCTTGAACTTCTCCTGGCCTGGGAAGGGAGGCGGAATCTTGGGTTTGCCGCCTCCGAGTCCAGTCGCCATGACGATGTGCGTAACCTTGAACTGGTACGGAGTGACGCCGTTGCGCAAAACAGTCACCGTCCAGAGCGAAGTTGCGGGATCATAGCTGGTCTGCTCCGGATCAACCCTGCTCTTCATCCACACATTCAGTCCCAGGGCGGCGGAGTACAGCTCGAGCCAGTCTGCAAGCATCCCGGCCGACAGATAGCGCGGGTAGCAGGTCGGGAACTTGAGGTACGGAAGATTTGCACCCCAGAGTGTGTCGTGCAGAGTGAGCGACGCGTATCTGCTTCTCCAGTTGTCACCCACGCGCTCGTTCTTGTCGACAATGAGAGACTTGACACCGTATGCTTTGAGACGCGCGGCGGTATCGAGTCCGTTGTGGCCGGCCCCGACGATCAAGACAGACGGCTCTGGATTGTCGATCTCCTGCTGACGAAGCTGGGCGTAGGTGAGCTTGGAGTTGTGCCCGCCCTCCTCTCGATTGGGTGCTGCTTTCTCGGGAACCCCGTGGACGCCGTCGATACAGGTGAAGCCGACAAACGCCTTGTACTCGCCCGAAGAGGTCTTGACGATCCTAGCCATGCCGATCGCCGGACCGACACCGGTTGTGAACGTGAAGCGAACGTTGATGAACGAGTGGCCGGCAAACGGACGAGCACCAAAGGGCGCAGGCGACAAGCTGACAGTCGCGCCCGAGGCCTTAGCGGCCGCAAGAGTGTCGGAAGCAGCCTGGAAGATGTTTGGCTTGGCGATGCCGCGGTAGTCGTTGGTGAAAGCGACCAAATCACGCCAGAAGCCTTCTTCGCAGAATAGGTTGTCGAAGGCGACTGCGTCGGCGGTGGTAATTGCCTTGTCGAAGGCAGCTACCCACTCCTGTCCGATTTTAAGGCAGGCGGCAGGATCATCGAGCTCTGCGGGAGTGAGAAGATCGGCGGGGATAGTTGCGTCGGCGACTGGAACGTAGGAAGTAGTGACCATTGTGGAGTTGAGAGTGAAATGAGGATATGGAACGGAGAGAGGAAGGTGAACTGAGCAAGCCTTTTAAGAACCACAGAGAGTCAACGGCAGCGATCCCCGGAAGCTGCTAAAAACAGACGCATCGCAGCTGAGTCCCAACGAGCCGCTGGGTTCCCCGGAGACAGGCGACCAGGCGACGGCTATGTGGCGCGCGGCTGTTTACGCTCCTCGCTGGGCTTCGTCGTTGTGGAACGAGGACCCCTCTTCATACAACCCCATCGCCCCCTGAAACCTTATCCGAGTCTTCCCCACAAGTAGCCGCCTCGTCGTTGCTTTTACCGGTGACTTATCGACAGCTGACAATCGTCTGTATTTCTCTTATTCAGATATCTAGAATATAGCCACAGCGTTGGGCGGAGACGAGACCCCTCCGACCGCATTGGACGGCACGCTGCTCACAAAAAACGAGTACCGGCCCAGCTTCTTGCACAGAGCCGATAGTGCCTCGAGATCAAACATTTCCCCAATCGGGACTCCCCATCCCGCCAGCAAATGATGATGCTGGTTGAACTCCTCAGACTGCGGTGGAAACACCTCCCAGCTGACCGCGTCCGACGCAACGGCTACAAAGTGTGAGTTCCAGAGCCAACGCAGCACCTCCTCGGTCTCCTCTAAACCTGCATGCTGCGGCACATCGGCTGCTTGATATGCCTCTCTCTGCTCCTGGGTATAGCCATTCCACTCCTCAATCAGGCCAATCCGTACAAACAGCATATCCCCAGGCTTACTCTCGACCTTGTAGTACTCCATCACCTCTTTGAGCTCACTAAGCTTGATCTCGTGCATCGAAAAAGACGAGTACGAGATCCCCTTGACCTCCTTAGCCCAAGAAGCATAATCGAGCAATATTCCACGGGCTACAATCCCATCTTGCGCCCAATGCTGCATCCCGATCCTTCTATTCATCGGAGTACTAATCTCCTCGCGCGTAGTGCCGCCATACCATAGACAGTCGTCGGCACCGGCTGCCACCTTGGCTGCATCAGCTGGGTCGTGGGAATGCGTCGTGGGTTGCGAATGGTGTCTGAATCCGTCCCATTGAGAAGACTGCTGGGGGTTAAACGTATACTGATCATCAAATGCCCCGTGCCTGATTATTTCAATAACTGTCAGTCGGCTGTTCATAAACCAGAGGTCTGATAAAACAACATACGCAATTGGAAGAACCGTCATCTGATAATTCACCCGACCAAACGGCGGATTCTCCAACTTGTGAAACTCCCATCCTAATCCACATCTCTCGCCGGTACGGATCTCAGGCGCGACCACTGTTGCAACGTGTTTGGGCGTCAGCAAGTTCATCATTCCCATGCCTTCCTCATGAGACCCGGGCGGACCCCACACCCAAAACCGCTCTTTGTTGGCTAGCGAGTCGTAGTCGGGCAGGTCGGAGAACGATTTGTATGGCAATGACATTTTTTCCTGGATATTAAACGAAATGTATTATGAAGCAAAAAAGTAAAGTAATTGGCGGAGAATTCTGGTATCATAAAGGGAATGATGCTCTGAGATGATTTATAGACGAACGAAACCCTACCGATCGGCTAAGACGAACACCGGCTTTGTGTCCGAATTTTAGAAAATCGCCGGAAAGGCTGAAGATGAACTGCAAATAAGACTACTTATTGTTTGATATTTCATTGTATTTTTATGATAGTTACATGATATTATAATTCAGTTTCGACTATTTGTTCCATAGCTATGTGTGTATATGCCAACCCAATAAGAAAACGAAAAAGAAAATAAAATAAAATAATCCCTCTTATTATACCCGCTCATTTCTTCGCCTTCTTCTTGAACAACACCTTCACAAAAGTGAAGAGATTGAACGTCGACACTCTGTAAATATAATAAAGAATGAACGACGCGCAGAAGTTGAAGATAATAAACACAAAGATAAATCCGATATCGCGCCATCTATCCGTGCTGTAATCCATGCCCACAGTAGACAAGTAGTTATCGCCCACAGTCCACTTGCAGTACTGGCACGACGAGGTCGCGTTCGGGTTGTTCAAGTATCCGCCTTCCTCCGCGATAAAGGCCTCGGCATAGTTGTAGCAAGTCTGGCCATCAGGAGGGTTGAAAATGTTGAACTCGGTATCGGCGCATTCAACCTCGACATCGTGCAGAACGTTGCCGAGAAGTGTGTCAAGGAAGTAAGTGAATGGCGAAATGCGATACATAAACTTCCAGAAATGAGGAATCGCAGACGGAGGCTGGAAGATACCAGCGAACGAAACCACGAAGCAGACAAGAAGACCGGTAATCACATTCGCTGTTGCCGCATCGGCGGAGATGGTCGTGATCGCAATACCGAAGGTTGTATAGTAGAGAGGGTACAGTACCGAATAAACAAAGTATTGGTATCCTAAATTCCAGGTCAGTATAATCCATCCAATTATTAACAATACAATCGACATTGAACTTACCGGCAGCCTTTGTAGACCGATTGAAACCAACAGGCCAGTAGTAGCAGCAGTAATAAAGCGTCGAGAAGAGAACATTGTAAGGAATCTCTGCCACCAAACTCGCGATGAGCAAGATCGACCAGTGATAAGTGTTTGACGGATTCTCACGGACTTCATAAAGTTCACGCAGAGTAATCACACGAGGCTCAAGCTGGTTCATCATCGGAACTCCAATGATAATCGACAAGAACACACCAAACAACAAGTTCTGGATTCCCTGGAGTGTGTGGTCCGCATGCCAGAACGAAAATCCAACAAAGAGTCCAGACGTAAGCATAAGCATAGCCTTGGCAGTGATATACTGAGGATCACGCCAGTACTGGTCAAACATTCGGATAACGACAAGCTTGAGCTGAGTCATGTAGTTCGCGGCATACTGGCGACTGAGCTCCTTCGACACCTGCCGAGCCGGCTTCTTCGCTAGCTCAGCATGCATTTGCTCGATCTCGGCGGTCAATTCGCGGAAGTTTGAGGAAGCAGTCCAGATGTCGTACCAGTTGCTCGAAGCTTGTGCAGTAGCACCGGCGCCGATACAGTTCAGGATGTACTCAGCCGGGTTCTCTTCATCTCCACACTTTGCTGCACCATTCGTCTCAAAGTACTCAATCACCTGGTGAGAACTCTCGCCAATAGGGCCGAAGTAAACAGTCTGTCCTCCCTTTCTCAGCAACAGCAAGCGGTCAAACTGCTCGAAAAGCGTGGCGGACGGCTGATGGATCGTGCAAAGGATAGACTGACCAGCATTAGCAAGTTTGCGCAGAAGTTGCACAATAGCCCATGCAGACTGAGAGTCAAGACCGGAAGTAGGCTCGTCCAAGAAAAGCAACAAGGAAGGCTTCGCAGCCAATTCAACACCAATAGAGAGCTTCTTGCGCTGCTCGACGTTCAATCCCTGTCCGAGAACACCGACCACAGCCTCTGCATAATCCTGCATCTCCAGCATCTCAATGACACGCTCGCAGTAGTCGTACTTCTCTTGGAGCGGAACCGAAGCCGGCTGTCTGAGCACAGCGGAAAAGCGCAGTGACTCACGGACAGTGCTCTCGGCCACATGCAAATCTTGCTGCTGTACATAACCTGTGCGGCGCTTGAAATCAATCTGAAGAGGTTTGCCATCGACAAAGATATCGCCGCTGATGACGCCGACATTGATACGCTTCGCAAGGTTGTTGAGCAAAGTGGTCTTTCCAGCGCCGGACTCTCCCATGAGGGCAGTCAAGGTTCCAGGCTTGGTATAACCTTGAACATCACACAGGAGCTGACGGTCTTCTCCATTGGGAAGAGTGACTGTATAGTTGACATGCTGCCAAGAGAAAATCTCAGTCATCTGGAGATCAGGGTCCAACTCAGCCGTATCATCAGTGTTATTGATCGAGTTCTCAGCCACTTTCTCCAGTTCCTTCTTCGGCTTGTCACCAGGCATATGCCCACGTCTGAAAACAAGCACGTCACCAACAGTTCCAGCCGGGGAAGTGAACTCGGTGCCCAGAACGTACAAGACAAAGAAGAGAACTCCATAGGCGACAACGATTCCGAAATCGCGCCAGAAATGAGAAAATGAAAACTGGAAAGCCGTACTGATGTATCGGTCGCCAGACACATGATCGCTCGCACTTTCCGAACCAGTAGCAGCACAGACCCGGTAGTCGATCGAGACATTTTCGTAGCTGGCGCCAGAAGGGATCAGGTTTGCTGTACAATCCATCTCGCGAGCGTGCATCTCGTTCGCGAGCAAGGCTTCGAATGAGAACCGAAGAGGATTGAGATAGTTCAGCCATCTGAACCAAACTTTCATCAGAGGAAGGGGAATGAGCTATGATATTGTTTAGTATAGATGCGATAATAGGAAGACAGAAAGCAAGAACTTACGAATCCGGCATAGATGAAAATGATCATGATACCAAGACCAGCAATCGAATTGGCAACCTCGAGCGTAGGCGAGACAGCGGAAATCATTTGGAAGAACAGGGAAATAGTTAAAGTCGACACCTGGAGAACCAAAAGGAAGAGGAAGAACTGTCCGGCTTTCACTTGAAGATTCACAAGGAAGTAGAAAATGATTGTGAAAATAATCATCGAGATAACGCGAAGAGGCATAGCCGTCAAGAACGCCGAGATGGCCTCAGCGGCTGGATGGTAGAATGCAAACCGTTTTTGCTTCTCGACAATCATTCGCTGGGGGTAGCTCAGAGCCATCTCAGCCATGGCGTTGATAGTGAAGAACAGCAAGGCAAAGAACACACAACCACCACGCGAGAATGCGCCATTGTATGTGTCGGTAATGTTGTAGAACAGAGAGCCCACGATCAAAGACTGAGCCAGAGCACTGAAAAGAGAACTAGCCATGAAAGCCTTGTCTCCCTTCTGGCGCTCAAAGCCACGCTTGATAAGAACCCTCAACTGCATAATAAACGACAAGGTATAGGGCGATTTCTTGCGCTTGAACCGATGTGGTCGCTCTTGCTTGGTGGACTCCATCAGCTCGTGCAGCTTTCCGGTAGGATCCATATCGCGCTTGTAGGTCGCCATCTCCTCCTCCATCTCGCGGTAGTTGTCGGAGCTCTTCCAGTACGCGACGAACTCTTCGGGCGTGAAGGGCACCTTGCCCTCATATCCTGGGCGAACAGGAACTCGCGCGGGGTCGGTCAGAGCAGTAAGGAATTCACTAGACGAGGTCAAAAGTTAGTGCTCTGTGACATTCGGGATTTGAAAAGATAGATTCTTGCTTACGCAGTAGTTTGACGGGGTCGGCAAAGATATCCCATGTTCTCAAAATACTCCTTTCCCTTGTCGACAGGACCGAAGAAGATCTGGCGACCAGCATAGATGACGGTGACTTTGTCGAACAGCTTGTAAATGTTTTCTCCAGCCTGGTAGATAGCCACCACAGCGGTATTCTTCATGATAGTGGTAGAAGCTCGGAGAGTCTGAGCGTACTCGAGTGCGGTTGAGGCATCGAGACCTCGGGTCGCGTTATCCCAAGACACAAAACGAGCACCGCCAGCCATAACTTCAGCAAGCGATACACGTTTCCGCTCACCACCCGAAACACCACGGATGTAGTCGTTTCCTACCCGCGTGTTGTAGGTGTGACGAAGACCAAAGACAGTGGCCAGGATATCACGAACATCCTTAACGTATTGGTCTCGAGAAATGTTGCCCGCGCGCGTTCTGGGTGCCTTGATGCCTGCAGCGAACGAGAGTGTCTCATCAACAGTCAAGATAGGGAAATGGATATCCTGCTCAGGACTGAAGACGACGTCACCTTTGTAGCGCTCTTTCATCGTGGCTTGGTCGATGCCATCATAGGAAATCTCGCCCGTGACTCCTTTGAAAGAGTCGATTTCTCCGGCGACAGCACGCAGAAAAGTTGAGCAACCAGATCCCGGACGACCAAGAACCTAATAGAAGTGTGAGAAGTCAAGCTGTGTAGAATAAATGTAGAACAAACATACCAAAAGCATCTCGCCGGCGTGGACGACACCATCAAAACCTTCGATAATATTACGGTACTGGACGTTTCTGGCCTCTCTGATTGCTTGGGGCAGTTTGAGTGGCTTCATGAGAAGCTCGCCGACTGTGTTGAGAGCCTTTGCACCCATGTCGATACCGCGAACGGTGAGGTCCTCAAACAAGATACCAATGGAGCGATCGACAATACCATCGTTCTCCCGCTGGTGAAGGATGCGACGGAGAGATTGCACAAAGTCTAGGTCATCTTCGTCGAGAGCTCCCTCGACATTCTTAGCGGATAAGTTTGTGAGCACTCGCGAGAGCCGGCTAACTCTGTCAATATCATCGCCGGACGCCATGCGATGGGTGAGCTCGCGCTGGAGCGCATTCTGATGATCGACGTCCTGAAGCTCGAGATCAAAGCTTCCCTTGGATTCGTTTTCGTTAGAAGAAGACATTGAGGCGAAAGTCTGCATGCATCCAGGGAAGAAAAGTAAAATCTAGCGAACTAGCGGTTTTATATTCGCAACAATCACAAGGGCGTCCGAGAGATTTATCATCATTATTAGAGGGTCGGGCGCCGGCGATTTTGTTCGCCGATCCTGCTTTGCTGATCGATTGCCACCCGCCGAACACGCCAGGCACCTCGGCTTTTGTAGAATCTTTCGTATATTCTATTCTCTAATCTTTTACAAACACCCACCGTGGATTTATCCAATTCAGTACGGGCAATTGGAAGTGCTTGGAAGGCCTTGCTGCCTCCACCGTGTTTGTTTGTTGATAGGGCTAACCGGAAGTGCCAGAAATAAGCTTTGATCACCGAATATCGGCGAGCGTCGGCACCGATCGACTGCCGTCGCACTTTGAGACAATTGAATTAAGGTTCACTGCTTCGCTCCGTCCTCCGATCTTCCGAGCCCAGAAACAATTGCTTTGTTTGCGGAGTCGGTCCGAGAGCCTCCGTCTTTCGCACCGTAGCCGACTATCCTGATTGCAGCCGAACTCCACGTCATTCACATGGAATGCGCAGACTTGTATGATTTATGTATCTGCTAACCTCAAGCAACTCACTGAATATCTGTTATGCATAGGCTGTTATATGGACTGCGAGTAGCGATTTATCATCATCCCAAGTCTGTCATAGCTCAGCATATGCAGCATACTTATAAGATTTATCATCACCATTATCATCATTATGCAAACCCCTCCAAAAACCCCACTATCAACCTCGGATGCTATACAAGTACAAAACTATTATCCCGCCTCACAATGACTCCGGCTCATCCGGGTGAGCAAGACTCATGTAGTACCGTCTCTTGGCCTCTCCGCTCAATGCAATGCTTCGCTCGACTCCAAACCCATCCTGAAACAGTCCTTGGATGTCCTCCAAGGTCAAATACGACGTCTCTGGATAGAAAAAGTAGACCAGTGCTTCTCCAGTCAAGCACATGATTGCATACAAGACAAACGTGCCACCAGGCTTGATCTTCTGCATTAGTGTCAAAAATGTTCCACTGACTATTAGATTCAGACCCCAGTTCGTAGCAGTGGCCATCGATGTCCCAACTCCACGGACAGACATGGGGAAGAGCTCAGACTGCTGCCATGGTACGTTGCCGATTCCGATCGCATAGAACGCCACATAGCCAATCATAGTGACAATCACAATCTTGGCCCACGGGCTCGGTGAATCAGGATCAGCTGCAATATCAGCAAGAACATGCGAAATTGCAATTCCTGTAAAGACGAGCATAATTGCCATAACCCAGAGTGTATAGAGCAATATGCGGCGTCTTCCCACTTTATCGATCAGGTTGAACGCAACCACTGTAAAAAGCATATTTGTGCTAGCTATAATTAAAGCCACTAAAGCGGGATCTTTGAAGCCGACCATCTCAAACAAAGTCGCAGAGAAGTACATCATCGAGTTGAATCCACACACTTGCTGAATCGCTTGAAGGCCGCAGGCGATTAGCAACGAACGGAAATATGCCGGGATACCAAAAATCTCTCGGAGCTCAACTCCAAGTCTTTGAACCCGGGAAATATCACCGTGCTCTTCGTGATTGAACTCCAACAAAAGCTTAACTTTTTTGTCCACCAAATGTTCCTCAACAGGACCTGCTCGGCCAGAGTAAATCGATCTAATCACCTTCTTTGCCTTCTCGATTTTGTTTGAGCGGATAAGGAATCGCGGCGTTTCCGGCATGAATATGAAAACAATCAGTTGAACAAGCGCTGGAAAACATCCGAGCCCAACCAATACTCTCCACTGATGTCCAAGAACCGCACCAAGAATATAAGCAATAACCTGACCTCCGGTAACGGCTATCAGATTGATGATGACCAATCTACCCCGATAGCGACCCGGTGCCATTTCCGAAATATATAGAGGCGCGACCAATGAGGCAATACCAACTCCCCAACCCATTATAAAACGGCCCTCAATCATAGCCTCAACCGAATGTGAAGCCGCTTGAACCAACGCGCCCAAGATGAAGAGGATGTTGGCACCCAGGGTCACCCATTTCCGGCCTAAGATATCTGCAAGCGTTCCTGCAATGATAGCACCCAAAAACGCGCCAAAAGATGTAGCAGACGTAATCAGCTCTTTGTCCCGAGGTGTAATCTCATGACCCAAGTCGGTTCCTGTGGCAATTAACGCGTCGGAAATGTACCCGGTATCGTATCCAAACAGAAATCCGGAGAATGATACGAGAATGGTGAGAAGGAAAATAAACGGAATATTGGGCTCTCCGTCTTCGATATCAGCTTCATCTGCCTCTGTAATCACATCTCCATCCACCAGCCCATTTGTGTCATGATAGTAAGGATCGTTAAGGGGCACTGGTGGCTGCTCCGTAAGATAAGTTGAGCCTCTAATGCTCTCAAGCTGTGGAGAGTCGTGATCCAGCAGCTGAGAGTCAGCTTCCGAGCCGCGGCCTATCGAGCTCATATTTCTGAAATAAGGTACTTTGTACGTACAAAATGCTATAGATAGCTGTATATGAGCGATAGCATGGCCAAACGGATGATGATGTTTGTGTCTGTCAACGCTGCGGCAGTAAGATAGTATTGCGGGGAGATTGCCGCACCTTCTCGGGTCGGCTACTTAGAAGCAGCCGTAAGGGTTTAGTGACCCTGCCCTCTTTGACATAGCAGCAGTACACATTCACTTGAAACCAATTCGACTTGACGTCTAGACAATCGACACGCAATGGCCTCGAGTGAATCGGATCTCAGGGAAATTATTCGCTCGTTCAAATTTGAGAGGATACTTAACCACGGTACAGAGCTGATCTGGTACTCGCTGGATGAATAAAGCAGGAAAACGACTGACCATTGATTATTTGTATACCAGATGTGAAGCTCAAATTAATATTCATTCTCGGAGAGATAAATTCTGAACCTGCGATTGCCATTGCGGAAAAGACAGCTTTTGATGCCGATAGTGCTTCGTCTTTGCTGGATCAAGACGTGTCTGATATACGTCTATTGGATCATAACGATATCTACAGATGGCTCATGGTGACACTTAATCAGAACATCAACTCAGCTCCTGCTGCTAAGATTTCGTTGATTTGGCCGGCGACTCCAACCGTAAGTTTGCTTCTTTCTTTACAGAAGACAGATCTCTGACTCAATGCTGTCTAGCACATTGCAAAATACTCGACACCCAGACGTCGAATGATAACCGAAACTCCAGAAATGTACCGCCGTATACATTCACCATATATCGAGAAAATGCGCGGTAGTCGTATACAATGGTGAGTCGAGTCTCCTGCATTCTATGATTTACGGAGAATCCCTACTCACAGCTCGATATATCTAGGGTCTATAATATTCTTGAGCACAAGGTTGAGTCCGAGAGAATAGTGTACGAGAATCCTGACCCCACAGAAGGATTCATCTTACTCCCAGACTTGTAAGTACAGTTTGTTCGTCGATTGTACCTAGTTTTGACCGACTGTGATTTTCTAACTTCAAGTCAGGAAATGGGATCGCACTACAATGGATTCGCTATATCTCGTAGCGATTGTACATCGCCATGACATTTTCTCTCTCCGAAATCTCACAAAGGCACATATTCCTTGGCTTGAATCAGTCCAGGAAGAAATCATATCTAACACAATCAAAGCCTATCCGGAAGTGGACCATTCCCAACTGAGACTATACGTCCATTACCTACCTTCGTATTATCATTTCCATATCCATGTTACGCATGTCCAGTATGATGCTGGCGATGGTACGAGTGTAGGGAAAGCAGTCATGTTCAATGATCTTATTTCCCGACTGCAGGAGATGTCAGACGATTCATCCGGATACATAGACTCAACGTTATCATTTTTGCTCAGTGAGAACTCGGAGCTATGGACCGAAGGATTCTCTGCAGCGGCAGCAAGCATCTGATTTATTTACTTTTGCGATGAGCAGATATACGTCAGAATCAAGAAAACGGATATATTTGCATCCACTCCAGGATTCTTAATGGTTGCTACTATTGCTCTAGCTTTGGTTTCGTGAATCTAAACTCACAGAATTTTAAAGAAATCGATATCGTAAAGTACACATTTCAGAGTTCTCAAAGTCGTCGTAACAATAAAGGAAAAAGAATAAAAAACAAAAAGGAAACCATAAATATGAAAGACAACACCCATAACAACGTACAAACGCCGGCCGTTTCGATGACACCCAGAATAGTTCGCGTTCTCTATTTAGCGCAAAAAAAAAAAAAAAAGAAAAGAAAAGAAAGGAGATGTAGATGGAAAAAAATATGAAAATTGAACTTTCTAAACGCGGGTGCCAGTACTCGTAGTCACTCGGGAAAACACCACATATGATAGAACAACGACGAAGACACACATCAGTTTTCGGGATGTAGTCCAACTTGAGGGTGCATTACGATTTGTATTCCCGGCGTTCACGCGCTTCCCATCTTTTGCCGATCCAATACTTGAGGCATCGAAGACTCCTAGAGGCACCTTTCGCTGAGCCGAGCCGGCAGCATTCGGCCTTGCTGCTGCTGCGTTGTTTGCCGCCGCAACAGGTGCTGAAATTCTCGTGGAAGCCGGAGCAGTGGTCTGACGTTCTTCTGATCGCTTTTTCGAAACGTACTCTCGGTTTTCTGCCGTCTCTTTCGGAAACTCCTCGACAAATTTTCGATTGGACAGATTCCACTCGCGGGATGCTTTTGCTAGTCGAATTTTCTCGGCATCAGATGAAATCAGTGCTCCAGTTGTAAGCTCGTCTGATGTCATAAAACTGAGGAGTCCTGTGAGAATTGTGCTAACGCCCCAAGTAGGATCCCACGACTTCGGGTGGAAATCTGAAATTGATAGGCATAGTCTGGTATTTGGCTGGAATCGACCAGAGGGAGTAATCATTCTAATCGCAGGAGGCTTGAACGGGAAGTCAGCGGGGAACGTCAGAGTCCCGTGGTATTGTCCCCCCTCATACGGCGTCGATGGAGGACCAGTGATGATATAGTGCCATATCAGAATGTTCTTTTCACTGGGATGAGCATCAATGAAGGGTGTCGGACTATCCTGCATCCGCTTGTAATCGCGGGTGAGTCTTTGAATTGCAGTCCGAGTAGCCATATTTTACTCTGTAATATCTTCTGTTCTGTATAGCCAATAAATGCTAACAACAGTCTTATCAAAGGTCTGAGGCTGCTGAAAGAATCCAAATCAACTTTGTACAGCGGGAGAATGGTTTCGAACAAGCAGCTTTAGGAAGCAAGTAATAAGTAGCAGTAGGCCAATCGGACCCTAACCCATATATATTATTAAATGCAACACTTATGTGGCACTTAAGCCATAGATAGCTAGGGTTTGGGCGCTTGACCGCTTGGATCTACAACGAGCGATATCTGAGCTGATATTGTCTCCTTCTTCTTATTCACACAGTGAATACAATTTGTTATTAATTGCACAGTTACCAACATACCCTAGAGTCGAACATCTCTAGCCAGACCTTTACAAGTAATGATACAAAAAAAAAAACCCTCCGACAGTGCCACTTAAAACTCGACCTCCTCCATTTCTTCATCCTCTTGGTTATCTGGATTGATACCCAACTTCTGATAGATACGGCTCATTCTCTCCGCTGTTTCCTGACTTTCAGCCCCGCCCCACAGTTTGTCCATATCTTCCATGGCTACTCCTCTAGTTTCAGGTAAGCACAGACGGGCCCAGATAAACAGTGTAACAGTACAGCTTCCAAAGAGGTAAAAGGTGCCGTATTTCAGATAGCGCAACATAAGAGGTGTCAGCAAGCCGATTAGGAAGTTAGAGATCCAGTTAACTCCAACTGAGATTCCAAGGGCTTGAGCTCGCACTCCTAGAGGGAAAATCTCAGACGGGTATATCCAGCTAATACAGCCAACAGAATAAGCAAAGTTGAACACAAACAGCCACAGAAACACTGCCGCGGTCCATCCGGCTCCAGGGTATCTGTCCCACGTTTTCTCAAAGGCAGCGTACAAGCTGGCAATCACAACGTGAGAAATGGTCATAGCTGCTGCACCAAGCATCAAAACAGTGCGTCGGCCGTATCTGTCGACCACTGCAATCGCCGGAATTGTTGCCAGAACATTGATGATTCCAATGACGCCGGTAGCCAAAAGAGAAACCGACGCTCCTTTCAAACCGATAGCCTGAAACATCTTAGGTGCGTAGTATATCACAGCGTTAATTCCACTCAATTGCTGGAGTACCTGCATAAAGCAGGCAACAAATAGACGCTTTGAAAGATGACGTTGGGTGAGAAGCTCCTTATACAGCCGGATCGCGCGCTGGTTATCAGTCTTGGCATCAGGGAATTTCTCCTTCATCGTGAGATCCTCAAGCATCGCTCCAGCTTTGATTTGAAGCATCTCATTTTTGACCCGACGATCGCTTTGGGGCAGCCGACGCAGCTTTCCTAGTACATAGAACGCCTGCTCCTCCTGGCCGACCTTCATTAGCCAGCGTGGAGAAAACTGTCAAGAAGGATTGTAAGCGTTCGGTTCATAAGATGACTTTCCAATATATACTCACCGGAAGAACGAAAATGGATGACAAAAGTAGAACGAGCGAGGGAAGGGCGCGAACTGCCAAGGGAAGGCGCCATGCAATCGACTTCTGCCCATCACCAAGCCCCCCAATATACTGGGTGCCAAAGTCAAGCCAAAAGGCAACCATAATTCCGCTAGCTATAGCAAGCTGTTGAAGACTGACAGCTGACCCTCGAATGTTTGAGGGGGCTATCTCGCTGATATACAAAGGAACAACCATGCTAAGCTGACCGACGCCGAAGCCGCTGATCAGACGACCGACAAACATCATCGTCACATTCATAGCGCTAGCCTGCAAACACGCTCCCACAAAATAGGAGACATTGGCCAGCGCAATGCTGTACTTACGGGACAAGCGATCCGCAAGCGGGCTGTTAAGCAAAGCACCCAAGAAAGCTCCGATCTGCATGATCGAAACGGCCCAGCCTTGGAGATCGCCATCACCTCCGATACGAGGGAAGGCTTTCTTGAAAGTAGACATCACCAAAATTCCTGAAATCACACCTTGATCGTAGCCGAAAAGAAAACCGCCAATACTCGCGATCAAAGAGAATGCCAGTATGTTGGGCGACTTCAACAGGCCTCTAAACCCGCCAGGCTCAGCATCGGCTTCCTTCCGAAGCAGCTGGCGTTCGGAAACTCTACTCATTGAAGCCTTTTCTTCTTCAATAATAGGATCCATTCTTATTGCATTTGAACTATTCGTGGTACAGTGAAAGTTGCTAGTTAGTGCTGTTGCGAGAAGAGCAAGCTTGGGAAGAGTGGTGAGGTAACCGTCAGGTGTAAGATGGGCTGGAAGAAAAAGTCAAACGAGAAGTAAACACTGGTCACGTGCTATGAACTTAATTTCGCGTTCACACAACAGGCGCGTTTGACGCGAGGTAGGAAGAGCTGCGAGCCCGGCCCCGGCATACAGGAAGAGGTTTGTCTGGAAATCAGTAATGACTGAGGACGGGGAAGGAAGTTTGTCAGATAGTAGTCGGAAACGGACATACTCAAATGCTTTTTTGGTCAAACCAAATAGCCGCACCAGAGCTGTCGAGGATCTGAAATCTGCTCTTCCATACTGCTTCGATGAGCGTGGCTCGTTTGTATCAAGCTGCGAGAAGTTGAAAGTCCACCTGAGGTATTCTTTGTCGTTTTATTCTTACTTAAGAGTTGTTGAACTAACTGTGTCACTTCGGCTTATAGAGCACAGACGGCGGCAATCGCAGATCGTCAAGAGCACTTAGAAGTGCTGCAGTCGCTAGGCTTCATACCTTGTATGCGAAGTCACGAACTTAAAAGATTTACTGAGTTCCACTGTCCGATATGCGACTGTCAGAATATTGGATCAGGCTTTGGGAGAACGGAGACTTGGCTGGAGTTTTACGAAGTAATTGGGATCCTGCTCGGCCTCGACGACAAATCGGATGAGACTGCGATCGCACTACTGAGAATCGTTCGTCGCTATCTGTACCACTATCGACCTCCACCTGTTCGCGGTAATTACTCTCTTGACGCGGTGTATACATGGATCGAGTCGAAAATCAAAGCTGGTACCAGAGAGCACAGGCTGATTGCTAGGTAAGTTGATCTAAGATATTAGCATCTTCAAGTTACCCTCACTAACCAAGATTCTGTAGCCGGATCGTCCCATTATTCATATTCGACATTGAGTCCAGTCGCCATATATTCAATCTTTTGAGCTTTCCGGATGGAAATTCGTCTCAACTGACAGAGTCATACGTTTTGGCGTGGGCTGAAATTGCAAAAATCTCCGAGGGAGAAGATCTGAATGTTGCTCTAATCAAGCTTGTCAGCTTTCTCATATCAGACAATGAGTTTTATTGCGCTCTGGCCTACCATGAGGTGTGTTTACATGTCAGCAGATTTTAGTCCTCTACGACACTAACCGTTTTGCTCATCATAGCTCAAGTCAGTCGCATATGCGCGTAACGTGACGCCGCTCCAGTTGCTGATTCCGTTTATGGAGACCATAAGTGGTTTTGTATTCAGGCCCTTCAGACAAGCAAAGGCGCACATCTTGTGCTCTCTTCTTGGTGTTTCATTGAAAGAGCTAGCGGAAATGGCACAGGAGTACATCCTTCCCTATCTGGTACTAGAACGTCGCAAGGCAGATGTGACTGAGATTGCACAAATCATGCAAATGCCAACTTCAGAGCTGTGCTTTTCAAATCTTCATTTGATTTTGGCCACGCTTTTTAGTCAGACTTCCAAAGACCCTCTGACGGAATTCCGGGCTCATCTGGCTGACTTTTCGAAGAAACTAGCAAAGCTGAACTATACCAAGTTCGTGCAGGTCAACTCTCTTATCATAGCGGTGGAAGTCCTGAAAATGTACTCCGACAGCGACGACTCGAAACCGGCAGAGAACGTTCCTGCTTTTAGGATCGTAAGGATGCTGGCTGATGCCGATGCGCAGTCCATCTCCAGTTCGAGCGATAACTCGAACTTGGATAGCTTCATCAGCAAGAACATTCTTGGTATAATCTGTCATTTATCGGACATATTATATAAGAGGCCATACTGGCCGGACAAAAGACGATATCTAAGAGGAATGGCGGCCGTCATAAGGCTTGCTGGGCATCATGCGGTTACTGCAAAGCCTCAGATCTGCTCTAGTCTCCAAGCTACGATAAGTGATGAGAATCTACAGGATGTTGTGATAAGTGCATGGATGAATATGCTCAAGTACTTTCATCAAGATGAGGGTGAGAAGCTACTAGTGCTCACTTTGTCGGTCATGTTCAACAATTGGAACGATTTCACGGAGCGAGCTAAAAAATGTGCTGTCAAGCTTTTGGAGTACATTTTGGGCACGTATCGAAGTCGCCTTCGGAAGATGCGCGTCACAGAGCTTCCGGTTTCGATATACGTGAGTCAACAGCTGCGGCCCATTCTCCGACAGTTTTCGGAACTACTCTTGCCGTGTTCAGACTCGGCCACGGTATTAAGAGATTTATCTAGTCGTTGTCAGCATGAAAATCTCGCGGTAGTACACGAAGCCCTACTCGAGCTGAGATCGACCTTGTTACGAAAAGAGTCGCCACTACAGACGCTGTCTCCTGATTTATTTTCTGAGGTCATATCTACTGTTATTCATGATCTGACCGGGGTGTGTCATAGATTCTCGGGAAAGTATCCCCGGATTGCGACAGTGGCTGTGGAATGTATTGGCCTGGTTGGGAGCGTCGGAAGTACGAGGATATCCATTTCAGATCTCCCGCAGGACGTAGTATTCGTCCACAATTTTGATCGGGAGTCGGAATCTATAAAACTGATTTCCCTGTTGCTTGAAAAGTTTCTGGTACCTGCCTTTCAGTCCTCGACCGATACCAAGTCACAGCTGTTTCTTGCGTTTGCTATGCAGCAGCTCCTCAAAATTTGCAGTTTCGATGCGAAAGCCTTACATTCGTCAAAGAGACTAGGTCTACAATCTCAAACCTGGTCCAAATTTAGTGAAGCCGCAAAGGTCACCCTCACTCCGTTTCTGTCTTCTAGATATGAGCTGGGTAATCGCCATGGACTCGATGCCGACGCTGATCTGTCGGGGTTTCCGTTGTTTCGATCTGCAACTAACCACAGAGACTGGGTACAAAATTTTGCCCACAGTATTCTCAGCCAAGCAGCCATACTCTGGAGAGCTCTCAATCAGGATAGGATCACAAACACTGAAAACATGTTCTATATTTTTTCGAAGATCATTCATCATCAGGACATTCGAATTGCTGAGTTTCTTTTACCTTTCGCATACCAGTTCTTGTTGTGTAACGGAAGCGAGGCAGAAGCTGGGGCTATTCAAAACGAACTTTTTGTTGTTCTGGCCGCAGAACCAGGAGAAAATTATGCCATCAAAGAGGACATCCGCCTTTCCTATCAGGTACTATTCTAATGCTCTAGTTTGCTTTCGGAGAGATCTGAGGACTAATATCTGATTTGCAGACCGTCTTCTCCATACTGGACTATTGTAGTCGTTGGCTACGAGCTCGACGACGATTGAATACGCAAGTCTCCGGCGAAGAACTGTCGAGGAGCAAACGGTCAACGACCATCGTCGCGCCTGATATCGTTCTCGGCGAAGACGAATTTACAAAGAAAATCGAGAATATGTACAGATGCATTCAAGTCGATACGGTTGCTACCCGAGCTCTGGATTCTCATTCGTACGCTCGTGCGCTATTCTACTACGAGCAAGCGCTGCGAGAGAAGAAGCGGACAGGGGAGGATATAGACCCCATATACCGAAAGCTACAGCATATCTATTCTCGACTTGACGATGCCGATGCCGTGCAGGGTATATCTGCGCTGCTTTTGTCTTCTTCTGACCTTGACCAGCAGCTGTTGGAGCATGAGTCTACCGGTCAGTGGCATTTGGCGCTCGACTGTTATGAGGTTGGGCTCCAGACCCAGCCTACGGCCAAGGTAGAGATGAATTTAGGTCTTCTCAAATGTCTAAGAGAATTGAATAACAATGGTAAGGACATTTGTATATCAGATGATCCATTTTACGGCTTGCTAACGTTGCAATCAGGCGCTCTTCTTGGAAGACTGGAATCTTGCGTACAGGATCTGGAGGACCAGACTGCGTATGGCGCTGATCTGGGCGTCGAGGCGTCGTGGATGAGCTCAAACTGGGCTGCTCTTCAAAAATGGGTGGGCAAGAGTCGTTCAAATTCGTTTGACTGCAGTGTTGGTAAGGCTCTTCTATGCGTTCAAGAGGGAGATTTGATCGGGCTGTACAAAGTGCTGTCTCAGTGCCGAACCAATATAGCTAGTGAGATTGCGCTATCCGGGGTTCCAGCTCCGAAACAAAGCCACGAGTTTCTGTTCAAGCTACACGTTCTATCAGACATGGAGAAGATCCTATTGTGGTCAATAAATTCACAGAAAGATTACTCTGCTCTGACGTCGCATATGTCGTTTCGCCAAAACAATTTTGTGGGATCATACAGAGAAAAACGATACCTTCTGACGCTTCGGCAGACGATCTCAAACTTAGTCAGGTAAGTTGAGTGAGTGGTTTATCTTAGTTGATTTAGCAGTGCTGATAAGAAAACTAGAGAGTCGTTTCCTAAGGATGAAGCTCTTGCGATCCTGCTTGAGAAGGCGAAAATGGCGAGAAAGGCCCAAAAGTTTGACGAAGCGTACTCATATGTACTCCGTGCTTGTAGCGACTTCGACTCGCCGTTAGCTTTGATCGAACACGCACAGTTGCAGTGGAACAAGGGTGAACAACGGCAAGCTTTAAGTAAACTGGAGGGCGTACTACAGCCCAGAACTACTCCTGCTGAGATGTCGGAAACGAACACGGCTAGCTCTTCATTAGCCGATGGCCTAACCGTCATATCCACAAGCGGAACAAACAGTGTTGTGAGAGCTAAGGTACTGTGCATATAAAGTTATTGGCTGCTTTGTGACGGTACTAACTCTGGAATATTATAGGCGTTGCTTCGATATGCCAAATGGTTTGACAGATCAAACCAAGGAAATTGGTCAGTGGTTCTATACAAGTACAAGATGGTTATTGCGGAGTGCTCTACGCTTGAGAGTGGACATTATCACCATGGAAGATATTGTATCAAGATTCTGGATAACCAGAAGGTTCGGGATCCGAAGCAGCAATCTGCTCAGTAGTAAGTCTAAGATGTTATATTTCGAGCTCAAATACTTGGCCGCTAACCGGCGATAAAAATCTAGTACAAGTGGGCATTACCACCGACTCGCATGCAGATCATACTGCAAAGCGCTGAAGTTTGGGGTGAAGTATGTCTACCAGACACTTCCAAAGTTGCTTACTCTTTGGCTCGACTTTGCGGATGAAGAAGCAAGACGAAGAGGAGATGAGTCTCAGACTCGTGATAGAAGAAGGTACTGCGCATCGTGTGAATTCTACTTTTGGCTACAACATGCGCGAAATGAAGCTGACTGGCTGCTCTATGATAGTGTTTTGGATAACGCAAAGACATTGAAGGTGATGACTAGTGCTGTTCAGGAAGTTTTCTCTGTCCTGCCGAGATATGTGGTGAGTAATTGAATGCATACGAGTTTCACAAATATTCGACGAGGCTGATTATTTCTTTCTCGAGTATTAGTTCTTCCCTGTCTTGTCGCAAATCCTTTCCAGAATTCGTACTGTTGACTCTTCGGCGTTGAGTATATTAGCAAAAACGCTGATCGAGATTGGAGTTACTTATCCCTCACAGTCGTGGTGGCAGATTCTGACTCTGGAGAAGTCTGGAAACCATCGAATTGAACGAGGGGCCGCAATATCTAGAGAGCTCAGAGTAGCATGTGACAAGAAATCACCCGAGCTATCGAGAAGCTTAGTAGCAGCCGCGAGACTGATGGATACGATGAATGTTCTTTGTCACGAGAAGCCGTCAAAGCAGGAACCGAGAAAGTTGGATATCAATGCCATAGGCGGTGTGGATTTTGCAAAGCTGCTTCCGTCTGAGCTGATTGTTCCTGTACAAGCCAATATGACAATTACGTGGCCGAGTAAGTTTCGGTGCGTGCCAGACGACGAGCATGTAGCATTTGCGCACAAGGTCACCATTGCGGATATCAGCCCCGAAGTCGAAGTCATGAGCTCGCTGCAAATGCCAAAGAAGGTGAAGATGGTTGGTAGCGATGGACGTCAGTATTATCTTCTCTGTAAACCGATGGATGATTTGCGGAAAGACGCGCGGTTGATGGAGTTCAATAATATGATCAACATGCTTCTGGCTAAGGATATTGAGTCCAGTAAGAGAGGATTGGGTAGGTTTATGAGATGTTTGGAGTTCTGACTGAGATTATGAGATAAGGAGCTGACATCTTTTTACTATAGGAATCATGACTTATGCGGTGACTGTACTTCGACCCGATTCAGGTATCATTGAATGGGTGGAGAACACAAGGACTTTGCGCGACATCATCAGACGAGGATACGAGTCCAAGAAGATCAAGATAAACGTAATTATTCAAGATAGCGAGTGATGGGTCTCCTGTGCCGTATTTGCTAACGTGTTGCATTTTTAGCATGGCAAGCTTCGAGATATGCTGGCGGAACCGAATCGTGAGAAGACGTTTGTGGATAAGATTCTTCCAATGTGAGTAAAATCCGATATATCATTTATCTTAGGAGTCAGTCTGACCGGAGATAAAAATCATAGGTTTCCTCCCGTCCTCTACGAATGGTTTATTGAGAACTATCCAGTACCGACATCGTGGTTCGATGCGCGGACAGCATTTGCGCGTACGACGGCGGTGATGTCGATAGTGGGCTATATTCTCGGACTCGGAGACCGGCACTGCGATAATATACTTTGCCATGAGGATACCGGGCGAGCACTGCATGTAGACTTCAGCTGTCTTTTCGAGAAAGGATTGGATCTGGAGGTTCCAGAGTGTGTGCCATTCCGATTGACGCAGAATATTGTTGACGCGCTTGGGCCGTATGGCTACGACGGGCCGTTTCGGAAGTGCTGCGAGATAACGCTGAAGATCCTGAGAGAGAACGAGGAAGTTCTGCTGCCATTTTTGGAGACGTTCATCCATGATCCGTTGGTAGAGTGGTCATCGCGCAAGAAGTCGTCGTCCAGGGCATTGTCGAGCAGAAACCTGGCGCCGTCTACGCCTGAAGAAGCATTGGAGAGAATGAAGAAGCGGTTTCGAGGGAGCACGGCTGATGATTCGTTCCCTCTGAGTATTGATGCGCAGGTCGATGGATTGCTGAAGCAGGCTACTGACGTGAAAAATCTGTCTGCGATGTATATTGGCTGGGTTGCGATGTGGTAGGTAGTAAAGGTGGTTAGCTTTTGAATAGACAGTGAATATGTAGAAATCATCTGGGCTTTCGTCGGGGTCGGAGATTACGAGAGTCCGACGGGAGATGGAAACCCCGGAGCGCACGTGACCGTTATTATTATATTATCCGGATTGGAACTTGCGGAACAACGATGATGAGCTACGTTATTGCTCCACATCACGCACGATAATGAATCGACTGAGGCCAAGAGCTCGGAGGCCAAAGTTTTGGCTGAAACTGACGATACATGACTTGAGTAATATTCCACTTGCGAGCGGGACGGTGTATGTGCGGTGGAATATCAAGTCGTCGGATACGCGGGGCCGGACGCCGAGGTCGCCGATCAAAGAGCACAAGGCGGCGTGGAACTACGCACACGAGGTCGAGAAGGTACGGATGACGATCGACCGAGATGGTATGTTGGAGGAGCGGTATATCATGTTTGAGGTCGTGAATGAGCATGTAACGGAGAAGGTGGTGTTGGGGAACCTGCGGTTGAATCTGGCGGAGTATGCGAAGGAGGAGGCGACCGCAAGAAGGTATTTGCTGCAGGACAGTAAGGTGAATTCGACGCTGAAGGTATGTGAATTATGTTTGAAAGATGATAGAGAGCAGGCGGTTGCTGACCCTGTTCTCTTTTTTCTCTATGAGCAGATAACATTGGAGCTTCGGCAGCTCTCAGGTGATGAGAACTTCGCAACGTGAGTAATATCTGTTTCTATTGTCTCATAATTCCTACCAGTTTGATAAAAGCGATGACACTGGAATTTGACTCTGACATTACTTTTGGATGTAGTCCGCCCCTGTCGTCTGGCCAAGTTTTTGGAGGAATCACCGGAGTGATGATCGAACATAACAATCAGTCGATAATAGCCGACACTCTCCGTAAGTTTTGTTGTTTGTTTGTATAATCAGATTGATGTTATGTGAATTTACTAACATTATACGCGATATACAGATGTACCCTCGATGGCATCTGCGCTGAATACCCCGTTGGCAGAGTCGTCGCTCCCAAGTTTATACCGGAAAACACTGATGGCATCATGGCAACGCCAGGAAGGAGAACTCCCAGCCGAGGAGGCTATCGAAGACATTTTTGCTGGCGGCGACGGATGGGCAAAGGATATGAACAGCGAGCTTGTTGCTAAGGGCAGTACTGTGGCCACTGATGATATCAATGGAACAGTTCCCGGTGCGGGAGTGGACCCCAAGAAACACAATGGAGAAATTATGGGATGGGCGGTGAGAGATGATCTGCGAAGTTGGGTGATTCCGGAGGTTGGTTGGACGCAGTGAACGAGTATACATGCGGGAATGTGGGACGAACGATGGCATTGTATAACAGATATGTACTATACGATACGATATTCTATAAGCTAATAGAGGGAGATGCTAGTTGGAGGTCAAGGTAGTAGTAGTAATATCATAGTAGAAATTGAGATTACGGGCGTACTACGGACAAGTTTGTCTCGATACCAATCAAAAATATATCCTACAAATCAAAAATACAATACATACACTGTGTGGAGGGATCGATACAGTTGAAAAAGATAGGAAAATAACATGATCACAAATGCTGCGGTACTGACTGACACAAATAAAAACACTAAAAGAATATGATGAAAAATCGCTGAATATGGTAGAGCTCATTTAGTCCCCGTTCAAAATAATCCCAGATCAAGCAGACTGCGCGCGGCACCGAGCTGACCAGGGGTTCCCTTGATCGACGAGCTGGGAATGTTGCTCTTCAGCGGGCTGCTGAACTGGCCGTGAGACGTTGTGGTCGCGTTTACACTAGCTGCCGCAGCAAGAGAAGCTGCCTCTGCAAGCTTTCCCACCGCGCCAGACACAGGCAGACTGTAGCGCTTCTTGGCGGGAGTGACTATGAGCGAAGTTGACTTGAATGTGCCAGCGGTAGGAGGACGCGCGTTGGTCGCGTCACCGACAGTCGACGCGCGAGTGCGCTTCATGGTGTCACGAGAAAACGAAATGGTAGGCTCGCTGGCCTTCCGCTTGGCCATGCGCTTTTTCCCCCGGCCTGCGCGTTTGTCGTCGGTCGCGTCATAATGGATGAAAGTTCCGCTGGCACGTTTGCGCGGTAGATGAGGACGGAAGTCGCCCTGAGCAGCGAGCTTCTTGGCAGATTCTGAGAGAACCGCAGGGTAGCTTTGAAGTTTTGCGGTAGCGGCTGAGATGGGTGGTGGTCGTGCTAGAGGGGGAGGAGGAGGGGCGCTGTATGAGTAAGAGCGAGAGGCGGAACCAAAGGTAGGGAGAGAAGGATGGTTGACGCTGTCGGAGACGTGGCTGTGGAGAGAAGCTTGGGAGGTATAAGAAGAGGTGCGAAAGTTGCTGTAAGCGTCACCAGATGCACTGGCATGAGAGCGAGATTTGTTGATATTGTGTGAGGATGCCCTTCGAGAGTTGTTGTTCTTGTTGTTGTGACTACCACTGCTGGAGGAGGCATGGTTCCAGGCCTTGTAGTTATAGTATTTCTGCACGCATGACTGTCCAACAGACCCACTATCAGCAGACAGCGTGCGCATAGATGTGATCTGAGGTGCGGCCTCGAGGACGCAGAGATCGCTGAGAGGGGTGGAGATCTGATGGTGCTTGACCTTGTAATACGCGAGGCGAAGGCGCAGTCTAAGCCGGTTCGCGTGCTAAAGTGACAAAGTTAGGTACCGCAATACTAAGACCAATATTTTGAATAAAAGAGAAGAAAATTTAAGCTTACCTGAAGGCAATTGGGCTTCACAACAGCGGCGGGAGACGCGCGCGTAGTCGCGACAACGGTCTCCTAAACGCGAGTGTCAACAACAGAAACAACGGATAGAAAAAAAACAAATTAGATGTACGTACGCGTTGAGGACTGCTCTTCAATGCAGAAACATCGGCGGAGTCCTCCTCGTCCGCTACTGTGACTTCGTCGGCGCGAACAATGACGCGCTTTGTAGGCGATTTGGAAGGCGACGAGGCGATGTTTGAGGAGATGTCTGCCAGAGCGCGTCGAGGCAAGGGAGCGAGCGACATTCTAAAAACGACGGTATTTGATAGAAGACAAGAACTATGATGGAGATGAGAAAGACAAGAGCACAACAACAAAGGACAGGAAGCTGGACAAAAGAGAGAAGAAGGCTGTGTGGAGAAGGAGAATGGAGGCCCGACAAAGGAATGCGCACCAAAACAAAAGGAGCCGCGCAACGCGTTAAGACACAAACCCCTCAATATTGATTACATTGAGATTATGTAATAAATTATATAGTGGTCCGGCCGCAAACCAGGACGGATATTATAGAATAGAGATTACGTCTGCAAACATATCTGCTTCGCCTACGCTTCTGCCTTCTTCTCTTCCTCAAACAGATGGCTCATTCACTTCCGCCAAACAGAAGACACGGTCACTGGACTGACTCCGAGGTCGGCGAGCGAACGAAATGGGTCCCAGACCGCTTCTCGCTCGCGTCCACCGTCGTTTCACTATCTCCGTCGCATTCACCCCCTCCGCTTCCTCCCGTTCCTCCTCTGCGTTCGCGTCTCAGTCTCAGTCCTCCACCTCCATCGCCGCTGCAGAGGAAAGAGGGCAGCTATGACGTGGTGTCGATAGCACCACCGCTGCTGTTTCCAACACCGACCAGACCGAAGAAGGTAGAGTTCGACATGCCTCCTCCGCGAGAATCTAGCCTTGATCCGCCATCTCCCGCGTCATTTGGGTTGTCGTACGATTACCATAGCCACCACAGTCACAGTCCTCGTAAGGGCAAACGCCACAGCAAGCAGAGCACTCGCCGGCGTCGGCCTGGCTCAAGCCAGAGCGTAGGTTCAACATCAAACGAGGTCAATGACTCGAGTCCTTCACACGACCGGAACTCAAAACGCTCGTCCAGCGGCGACGGTCTCAAACAAGCTCTCAAAGGCATTATTGATCACTCTCTCGAATCAAGTCTCCTGCCAGCCGACTTCACACTGTTTGAATGCCGAGACCATGACGGGAACAAAGACGAGCAGAAGGATGGAGTAGACGAAGAGGACGAGGAAGAAGAATTCGCCAAACTGACAGACAACGGCTACTATGTCGACATCTTCAATCCTCATTCAACAGCAAACACTGCTTTAACGACCGAACGGCAACAATCCCGGCTCGATAGAATCATAAGCGAACGCACGTCTGAGTGCAGAAACAACACTATCGCAATATCCCCCGATAGTAGCGCTGGCAGTAAAGTAGCACAGAAACTGAAGCTGAATGTGCTGACCGCAGCAGCTAGCTATCATATCCGGTCTCTGTCCGCCTCTTCGTCTTCCATCACGTCATCGACAAGCGCGCAGGATAAGAGTAGTAATCGCTCAGCGGTCACGTCGACATTCAAGGCGGCGATTGACAAAGTGAAGGTCGAGAATCTCTGGAAAGTTGCAACGAGCCGGTAGTCCTTTGTACTCATTATCACCAAATAAATCTAATGATAATTATCGTAATCGATGTAGAAATGAATGCCAATACAAAGTCTAGCTTCCGTCGCCATTCGGCTTTGCAGATCGTCCGGCAAACTTCAGCCCTCTCTTTCGCTCCTTTTCAAGCTCGACCCATTCGCTCTTCCAGCTTTCGAGTATCTCAATCGCCGTAGCAGAAAGCCTTTCCCACTCTCTATGATCTGTGGGTGCGACCTGTGACAGTTGGTCGAGGATGGCTTCTAGCTCGGATGCCTCTGCAGCGAGACCGTCGTTGTCGTCGGACGTGCTTGTTGTAGTTGTTGCCGTAGTCTCTGTCTCGCTCAAAATAGGCGACTCCAGTAATTCTGGCATATTTTTTTCTTTATATATGCAGTTTCTGTTGTCGTTGTTGTAGTTGTTGTTATCAGATAGTGATTGATTTGTCGTTGATAGACAGAAAGACAAAATGACGATTTATTTACTTTCGTCCCAATGAACTCCGCCAAACTCAGATTTTGACTGTTTTTAAATTCATTTCCGCCTTTCTCCCACAATTCCGTCACATAACATCAACAATTGATACTATGAATAATGGTCATTAAACATATATATTATAGATCGTACTCGTAATTTTAGTAATACAGTAATCAAATGAAAGAATACACCAAAAAGAATTAAGAAAAAAATTATCAAGATAAATCACCTCTTGTTTACTCTGTTTTTGTCGTCGCCTTTTTTAATTACTTTCGATTCTTTCTCCTTAGCCTTCGTTCAGTCATCAAGCCTCTGTCTGCCAACCACGGCTCCATTGATTCCTAGTCCCTGTACGCCTTCAGCTGCTTCTCCCGCTGGTCTCGCAACCGCTGATCCCCAGAAATCAAGCCAAGCAACGACATCTATCCCGTGGTCGTCTTCGTAGACATACAGGATCTCGTTCGTGCTTTCGTGCAAGAATCTGATGTTCTCGCCCGTGATAATATGAACCAGCGCGCCACTTTCCACATGTCTGATCTCGATAAAGCTGGGCTCAAACGCCAGAATATAAGGATACGAAAGCGCAAACGACTGCGGCAAACCTTCCCAGTGGATCATCCAATCCGATCGTGACCGCCAACCGTTGCGGTTCACAAAGAATGAGAAATCAGAGTAGTTCAGCAAGAAATCTCCATTCAATCGGTAGATAGCGATCGGCTTCAATCCCTCACGGTTCATCACGAAGTCAAGAGATGTATCAGCAGGATCAAGCAAAGACTGTGTATCCAAAGTCTCCAACGACACAATTTCGAATCCCTTTGCACAACCAATGCACACCTTCGACTTCAAAAATGACAAAGATATCGCTTCCGACGGTACGTAAAAGTCCTTGAAAGACTTCAGTCCTTCGCTCTGACCTTGCAAGAGTCTTCTGAAAGTAGTCTGCTTTCGGCCCCGCGGGTGTGGCTCCTCGGGCTCCAGCGCACGCACAGTCGTCGTCATCGCGTTCGTCTTCACCGTGCATACAAGCACTCGGCCAAGCGAGACTCCTGATTTGAAAAAGTTGATATGGGTCGCAACCTTCTTCGGCTTGCGCGCTGCCGCAATGGCCGACACATTGGAGTTCCCGTTGCCATTCGCAGGGTGAGTTACATCTGTCTCAAGCGTGTCAAGCGACCAGTAGAGCAGATTCTTGTCCGACAGTGCTAGCAGCATCGAGTACTTTTCAAGCACGTCAAGTTGTGTGATGTTGGGAACTGCAAGCATCTTTCGCGGCCGCGCAATCTCTGACGCTCCTCGTGTGGGCCGGGTGTCAGACATATAGATTCCGTTGTCGGTGCCATACAGCATCTTTCGTCCTCCGTCAAGCGGAACCGCACAGTTGACGCGGTTGGAAGAGTCAAAGTAACCGGTACACAGAATCGTCTTTGTGTAGATTCCGTTCTTCTCCCGCAAGAGTTGCTGCTGCGCTTCGATCGACTCGGCCCATTTCTTTCGTACAACGGATGCTGGCGCGTAAAGCGTGAGGTCGTAGCCACGACGACCAAGATGTGTGAATGTGAGGGGATGCTTTCCAGCGATGCCGTTGTCGTTCCGTGATGGCACAGCTCGGGCAGACGATATCAAAGAGGATGACTGTCGTTTTCCCAACCCTTCTTCAGACTGAGACACAACCAAAAGCTCCAAGGGAATTGGCTATAGAGGTAGATCATGTTAGTTTCTGAAAATTGAGCTCTGTTAAAAAAAATCTAAATCACTCACCTTTCTGAAAACTTTGGACTGCTCTCTTCGATTAACGGTCTTCTTTTTGACAAATAAGAGACAGTGATCGAGAAGGTAGGCAGTGACATCACCTTGCTGGTCGGTCAATCGTTTCTTAAACACCTGCTGGAACAAGATTTGACGGTCCTCATCCGTCAACTTGAGATCCACATACTCTCCAGGAGGGAAAACCAGGGATTGAGAGAGCTGCATAAGCTCATATCGATCGGATGCTTTTCCGGTCTCCACGTTGACTTTCGAGAGGAAGCCCTTGATCAGAGAGATCGCTTCAGCGAGATCGCGCCTGTCGGAGGACTCGTCGGGCGTGAGCTTCAAGACGGCCTCAAGCAAGAGCGGGTATCGCGCAAGACGGGTAGTAGGTTTTGTCAGGTAACCGTTCAGCTCGAGCTTGCGTGATTCCTTCTTCCTCTCGGTCTCTTCGACGAACTTGGCAAAGAGAGAGTTTGTAGACTTTTCGCGCTCAAACTCGTGCTTACCATAAAGCTGGTTAGCACCGTACTTGATGAAAGGGGCAAAGCGAGGAACGTGTTCGAGCATGATATCGCCGATACAGCGGACAACAGGAGCCTGCATTTGGCGTTTGGTGAGGGCATCAGCGAGACGAGAGTTAACGGCATGGACCTCCATGACGTTGGAAAAGACTGTACGGATAAATTTCTCGCGTCGGTGTTCAGGAATGATGTTTGATTTGCGAAGGGGGATGATCCAGAAGTCACGGAGGTACTCGAGGTCTTTAACAAAGTCTCGCTCGGTGTAGATGACTTCACAGATGATTTCCTGGCGTCGTTTTTCGCGGTCGTCGACGGAATCCGCGACCTCCTGAGAGACAGTGTGCATCCATAGCTTGTTTTCTCCCGAGTCATCGTCACCGTTATCGTCAGAGTTATTAAGAGACCAGGAGGAGTCCTGGCGGCGGAGGGTGCCGGTGGTGGAGGAGATAGGATTCTGGGACGAAGAGTCGGAGGACGGGACAAGGGTTGTGGCAGACGAGCCAGCGATGGAGGGTGAAGGATGCAGTTCCTTTGCTCTGAATTGCTGCTCAAGTCGCTTGGGACAGTGCACGGCGTAGCATACTTGCGAACGGGTGCAAGTGGGAGAGTAGCACTCGGTCATGAGCATGAAGATGCCGTTGACACCGGCGGTGACGGATTGAATGGCCTGCTGCGGAGAAGGGGCGGTGTTAAGAGGAAGGGGAGGGAGAGCGGAGGTTTGGCGGTGGTGGGGTCTCCGAGGGCGATTGAGGCCGTTGGGGAGATCGTCTTCTTCTTCGTATTCTTCGTCTTCGTCGTCCTCATCGTCGTCCTCCTCGAGATCGACGAGGGCAGGCGTGGCCGGGCTGTCGAGGTCGGCGACATCACGGAGCTGGTATATTTCGTCGGCGTGATCTCGAAGCTTGTGAGCGTAGGTGACATCGTGAAACAGCTTCATGGAGTCGAGAGCCCGACCGAGGAGGAGGGCGAGCGTGCGGTCAGGGGTTTGGAGGATGTACATAAGGAGGTCGACGGCCTCTGCGCCGGAGAAGGCGTTCTTGTAGGTCAAGGAGTTCTTGACGCGGTCACCAGCTTGTAGCAGTTCGACGAAGGCATAAGCAACTCGGGAGAGCATGGCGGGGTAGACGAGCGGGCGGCCACGGGAGGCCATGACGATGGTGGAGTGGGAAGGGGCATGGGGGTGGGAGAAGGAGTAGGAAGAGACGGGGAGAGAGGGGACCTGCTTGGTCGAGCTTGCGGTGGGAGCACGGTTCATGCTGCCTACCCGAGGCGGAGCAACGGAGTTGTTTGATGGTGTGGTGCTGGGTGCTTTGTTGGAAGTAGTGGTGGAGGTGGAGGTGGTGGAGGTGGTGGTAGCTGTGGAGGAGGATGTGGTGGAGTTGAAGCCATTGCTGGGGTGGCTGTTGCCGTTCAACGTGCTTGATCCGCCAGGCAAGACGGGCGCACGCATCCGCCGCGGCTCGAGAGCCTGGCGCGAGGGATCCTGGCCGCGATGCTGGGTCCTTTTCTGTCTGGGTAGGCCGTCGACGGAGGGGTCGACGGAGGCCGAAGAAAGAGGAGGGTGCTGGAGCTGCTGGGGACGGGGGGTCGACGACGCCGCGTCCGGACGGGCCGGGAAGGGGAAGTAGTCGGACGCATCCTCGAGGCGGGCCATTGTCGTCGTCGGCTGCCAAAAAGCACCGGGCTGAGAGCTGCTGTCGAGGGATTTGCCGGGATCGTTCTCGCAGAGCCGGGGCCGGGTGGTGGGGATCTCGGTCGCGAGAGCGCGAGAGGAGAGGGCACGGGGATCCGAGACCACGTGACTGAAACACAAGTGCGCCGGCGGTGAGTGCACAGGGTTAGGGCGGGGCAGCTTATCGTGCGCACCTGGTTGGCCGCGGCTGGCTATCTGGGCGCAGGTTTGGCTGCCGTCGCTCTCTTCCTCCCTTTTTTCCCTCTCCGTCAAGCAACCGCCTTCTTCTTCCCGCCATCCACCCGCTTACTTTGCTCCTCAGGACCGCAAACTTCAGATAAAATGGATATGGAGAACGAGCTCTACCCGGCGTTCGCGCCTTTCTTTGGATTCGCTGGGTGAGTGTCCCCGCGTGTGTCGGTCGAGTGCTTCGAGTCTAGCAGCGCCAGTGCAGGAGCAGCCGTCAATGCGAGCGAATTCCATCCCATCAGATGTTTTACAATCGGGTCGTGCTTTTATTTTGATCCTGCTGCTGTTGTTTACCGTTATTTATCGCCGGATTTGACAAACAGGAAGGGATGGAATTGGCCGCGGGCTATCACTCAATCACTCGAGAAGACCACGATACACAACACAGACATCATACTGACGTGCTGCTTTTCTATAGATGCGCTTCAGCTATCATCCTTTCCGCCCTTGGCTCGGCCATTGGCACCGCTAAGAGCGGTATCGGTATTGCCGGTGTCGGTACCTTCAAGCCCGAGTTGATCATGAGAGTGCGTCGTTGCTATTTTGTGTTGTTGCGATAGAGTACAGAGAGCTGACTTCATTTATTTCTCCCACAGAGTCTTATCCCGGTCATTATGTCTGGTATCTTGGCTGTCTACGGTCTTGTCGTCTCGGTCCTGATTGCCGGTGACATGTCGCCCGATGAGGACTACTCGCTGTTCTCCGGTTTCTTGCATCTCGCGACCGGACTGTCGGTCGGTCTCTCGGCCCTGGCTGCCGGATACGCCATCGGCATTGTTGGCGACGAGGGAGTGAGAATGTTCATGCTTCAGCCCAAGATCTTCGTCGGAATGGTCCTTATTCTCATTTTCGCTGAGGTCCTTGGTCTCTACGGCCTTATCGTTGCCCTTATCCTCAACACCAAGGCCACCGCCGGTGCTTAAGCAGTTGGCTTCTGACCAAATTTCTTAATTTTTCATTACAACAATTTTTTCTCTTTTTTTATTTTCTTTCTATTTTATTCTTCTATCTCCGTCCTAAAAAAACCAAAAGACAAGGAAGTTTTACTACAGTTATAGAGACAGATGAGAGTGGTTTATATATGCATACACACCCATATATAATATACATAAAGACGAGGAGTTTTGGGTTTATTATTCTTGGAATCGATTTTTATTATTCACATTTGTTTTTCAACTCCTTTAGTATATTTATATTACTAGCCTTTTATTAGTTTATGATTTGTGCTGCATGTGTGGTTTAGGTGGAAGAAGGAGATGATGTTTTTCTTACAAGTATTTTTTATCGGCAGAGTGGGAGTGGGTGTTTGTGAATACGAATCTTTTCAAACCGCGGATATCGAATGATTCTTATTAGAAAGTAGAATGACCAAAGGAGAAGAAGAACGATTAAAAGAGTAATGAAACAAGGATGAGGGATGGGGATATCGTAGGCAGGTCGTGAACAGAAGCAGAGTGATCTCTATAGCATCTCTGCACTGTCTCTTGCCAACTTGCGCACCCGCTTCTTGAACGAGGGATCTGAGAGAGCGTTAGTATCCTTAAGTATACACACCTCCACGCAGTCATCAGCACTCACAGTTCTCACGAAGCTCCTTAGCAGCGTCCATATTAGCAGGCGAGTCCGGGTTTGGTGAGGAGAGCATCGCAATCACACTGAGCAGGATCGTCTCGACCGAGTGCACCGGCAGCCATCGTTCACTGCACTCAATGTTAGCATTATTTCACAGTAAGTTAAGAACATATTGTCATAAACTCACCCAGCGTCCTCGTAGCCGTACTTGTCCTCGCCAGGAGGATGCAAGATACTGATACACACGTTGCCATCAGGGTACACTAGAACCCGCGATCGTCATCAGTAAGCAGCTCCACTCCAATCTGCCTCAGAGCACCGGAGAACAAGAACAAACACAACAGAACCACAAACAACTTACCGTTCGGATGCCACATCGGGGTCTCGAACCTCATCTTGGGCGGCATCAGTGGATAGTCCTCGGGAAATGTCAGACGCGCCTTAAAGAACCCACCCTCGTAGAGAGTGTCGTCCGGCCCGATGAGCATGACCTCCCAGTTGTAGATATTGTCGTCAACCAAGCCAGCTGAGATGCCTAAATCCAAAACAGCGAGCAGCCAGAGCGGCAGCGGCAGCAGCAGAGGTTAGAATAGAACTGGCGCAGAAACCGGGGTACGCGAACTGCTCACCTGGGATGCCGTTTCGGGAGATTTCGCGGAGCTGTCTCCGCAGGATGGTCTCTGATGCCCTTGAAGCCATGTTCTGCTGATGTGAGCCGTGTCGGTGTCTGTATTTGTCTTTGTTTATGTGCTGATTGTCGGCGGGCCGAAATGCGTGAATCTGGGTGCAATGAGCGCTGTCTGAGGCCAGGCGGATTCAGCAGTGGCAAGTCCGCCTGCGGTCGAGGGTTGGGTTTCCGCGAGCCTCTTCAATTTCTACATTACAAACAACACCTCCCGCTGCTTGCTATTATATCGTAAAACAAACTGCTTTTCTTCTACAATTTAACTATCTATAACGAACAGCGTAGACAAACATAAATAATAGTAATCCTACTAAATTCATGCAACAACCTTCCAGCTGCCGCCGAGCGCGCCGGCCGTCTCGCCAAACACGGCCTTGATCGCGCCAGCATCGCTGAGCCCAGTCAACTTCTTCACAAACTCAGCCAGCGCGCTGTCGTCGATCTTCTCAAGAATCGCGTCACAGTCGCTCAGCGCAGCGTCAATAGCAGCACCGCTCGCGGTGCCCTCGACAAAGTAGTTTGCGTCCTTGACCGCTCCCTTCACCACACGACGGTTTTTCTTCTTTGCGTTCTTCGCAGACTCCTTCGCCTTCTTTGCCTGCTCACGATCCTCCTTGGCCTTTTCTTCCGCCTCCTTAGCCGCCTTCTCGGCTTCCTCCTTCGCCTTCTTCGCCTCCTCGGCAGCCTTGCGCGCGTCCGCCTCCCGCTCCCACTTGCGTTGCTCCTTGGCCTTCTTCTCAGCCTCCTTGAACATCTTGATACGAGGATCGATGCTCAAGCAGTCATCAACCATCTTCCGCAGTCTCGCGGTATCCTCAGTCTTGTGCTTCTGGCGCGCAGCCTTGTTCTTGCGCTCGATATGACGCTTGTGGTCACGGTTGTCAGAGTCGTCCGGAACGTCCTCGTCCAGGTACTCAAACGTACGCCACGAATCAAAGTTGTAGAAAAAGTTGTAAAAGTGGTCAACCTCAGGCTTTGTCGAGTTCTCATCACCAATCGTTGGCACCGGCTGCTTCTTCGAGAATCGGCCCTCCGCCTCGAACGCAGCTCCCCACAGCTTGTAGAAGTTGCCCTTCGACTTCTTCGAAGGCGCAGCGACGTTCGCCGCCTCATCAACAGAGTCGTACTGGCGACGACGAACGGGATCAGACAAAACTTCCATCGCTGTAGATTTATAACCATACGTCAGTAACGTGAATCAATCGTAACTCATATCAGGAACAAAGACATACCTTTCTGGATGCACTTGAAGAATCCATCGTCCTCAGCATTTCCAGCCTGAGCTCTCTTATCAGGATGGTGCTTCAACACTTTCTTACGATCTGCAGTCAATGAACATGGTTAGACGTGGTACCAATCTAGAGAGGTAGAAATGAAAAGGAAAGTTCATACGAGCACGGCGGATCTGCTCGTCGGTTGCTCTGTAACGGTACTTGGACAAACCGAGAACAGCATAATGATCTTGGCTCTATATCAAAATAGTTTAGTACGCGCCCTTCGTTGATGTCATGAATCTGACTAGACATTGTATAACAAATCCTCACCTTCCACTCCTTGGGATCATGAGCCAGCATAGCCGGATCTTCCTCCTCCTCTTCCTCGTCATCTCCGTCCACGTCCTCAACGCTCTTCACATTGAGCTCGGACTGGATTCGCTCGTCCTCAGACCAGGTACGGCCACGAAGAACTCTGCGCGCATGGGAGAGGTACTGGGGGCCAAGAGGCTCGATAGCACGGGGGACAAGAGCTGGTGAGGGAGTCAGAACAAGCCAGAGAAGTGCGATTGAACACAGATACAAGAAAACATACCAGTTAGTGAGCCAAAAGTTGTAAACTCCGCAGCATCGGGAGCAGCAGACGGAAGAACAGCAGCCATGGTTTGGTTTTGCAGAAATATATTCCGGATTCTGGGCTATCGAAGAAAGAAAGAAAATTGTTGAAACTCACAAAAAAAAACTTTCTACGCCTCGAGCGGCTTCTTTCAGACACGTGCTTCTCATCACTGGAAACGCGTGCTCGTCATCACAGCGCCCGATAAGCAGAAATTCTCCTCCACACTTGCGCCATCACTAACCTCTTCCTTACAGTCACCTCCTTCTCGAACACCACCACCACCTCCTCCTCCTCATTCCCTCCGGCCACCATGCTGCTTTCCGCGGCCGCCTTATCTCTTTCTCTTCTTTTCTCTCTCTCCTCTGGCGTCTCCGCTTCACCAGAGGAGCTCGTTCTCGGCCAGTCCCAGCCCTCCGCTCTCCCGCCTATCAAGACCCCGGACCTGCGCGACATCGAATGGGGCCAGATCAACTTCATCTCCACCACCGACACTCACGGCTGGCTCGCAGGCCATCTTCTGCAAGCTAGCTTTGCTGCTGACTGGGGTGATTATGCCTCATTCATTGAGCACGCCCGCGAAATAGCCGATGAGAAGGGCGTTGACCTCATCGTTGTCGACGATGGCGACCAGCACGACGGCAACGGCCTTTCTGACGCGACCCCCGTCAACGGCGAGGTCAGTCAACAAATTCTTATGATGGCGCCTATCGATCTCATGAGTATCGGCAATCACGAGCTCTACAAGTGCGAGGTCACCCAGCAGACGTATGACCTTCTCGCCCCTCACTTCGACGGCCGCTATCTCACCTCGAACGTTGAGATCCAGCTCCAGAACGGCTCGTGGGTGCACATCGGCCAGCGTTCTTACAGATTTACTACAAAGAACCAGGGCATCAACATCATGTCTTTCGGCTTCCTCTTCGACTTCAAACTCAACTGCGACAACTCTCGCGTTTCCGACGTCGAACAGGTCGTTCAGCAGGCTTGGTTCCAGGCCGCCATCCGGGAACCTGGTATCGACATGTTTGTTGTCTTTGGCCATTTCCCCATCCGTTTCTGGCCCGAAATGTGGGCTATTCACCGCGCCATTCGCGCTGTGCACAAGAGCATTCCCATCCAGTACTTTGGCGGTCACTCTCACGTTCGCGACTTCACTGTCCTCGACAGCCGCGCAACCGCCCTCCAGGCCGGCCGCTTTTTGGAGACTGTAGGCTGGGTCAGCATCGATGGAATCGAACCTGGCGCGTCCGAGGATTCGCCCGACTACGCCAAACCTCTCAAGTACAACAGACGCTACCTCGATTTCAACCCACACTCGCTCAGCTACCACGTCAACAAGACTATTGGCGAGAACGGCACCTTCGGCACCCCGCTCGGCAAGAAAATTTCAAAGATCATTGACGACTATCGTGTCGAGCTCAATCTCACCTACCCCTTTGGTTGTGTGCCAAGAGACTATCTGCTTGAAAAAGCGAAATACCCCGGCCCTAACAGTCTACTCTCTCTTCTCGAGGAGAACGTGCTCATGAATCTTGCCGGCGAGGACGAAGTACGCAACGAGCAACCCCGTCTTATCTTCATCAACTCTGGATCTCTTCGGTACGACATGTACTCCGGTATCTTCACAATCGATTCCGGATACATTGTATCTCCCTTTGACAACAAGTGGAAGTTCATCCCCAGTGTCCCTTATCCTATCGCCAAGAAGATTCTTGCCCGTCTCAATGCGCTTGACTACATCTTCATGGAGCTCACGACTCCTATCTCTCGGACGATGCTTGTCCGACAAAGCAACCTTGGTGACACTTTCGATATCAACGTCATGAACGCGTTCATTTCCGCTTCAGCTTCCGACGACCTCACCCACGAAGACCTCAAAACGACCGGCTACGTCACCATCGACGACTTTGGTATGGACGGCGACGATACTCCTCACAAGCCTTATCCGATCTACTACTTGCCGAATGCTATTGCAACTGAGGACAACTACCCCGCCGACGGCTCTGAGCCAGACTCTGTCGACGTGATCTTCTTGGACTTCATGAAGCCTTTCATTCTCAACGCACTTCTCGAAATCGATCCCAGTACTCCCACCGAGGAGTGGTCGGTTTTGGAGTACGGTGGAAAGAGCGTCAAGGAGATGATCAAGGATTACGTTCGTGGCTGGGGCACTGACTGCCTCAACCAGTAGCATGTTGGTCTCCCGTTTGTTTATTACATATTGTTTTTTCATCACTTGTTTTTTTCATCATTCATATCGGTACTGTGGGGTTCTTAGACTTTTTCATCTGTTTATTCACATCTTTTTCCTCATTTGAGGTCTTCGTTAGTTTTTTGCACCCTTTTTCTTTCTTAATGAATTTTTTTTTGTCCCTTTTTTGATGCGTGGTTGTGTGAATGTGGTGTTTCTCTTTGATTTGTGCTGTCTTACGATTCTATGTTTTCAGCGTCTTTGATTTTGTCTTTTTGTGATTTCTCTTTTCTTTCATTCAAGTGTTGCGGAATGGTATACATTAGTGTAGTGGATTATGGCGAGCTCTTAGATTGCTATTGATCATTTAATGGAAACGATACAATACAGAAAGCCTATCTACTTGATAGCCCATTCTTCTTACAAACGTCAAAAAACTTTTAGCATTTTCCATTTACACGACACAAATACCTACTTGTAGGCACAATAATCAATCAAAAAGAGCAGTTAAATATTACATGCATATGTGGCTACATAAAAAATAGAAAATAACCTTTTTCCCGATTCTCTTTCTTTCTTTATAGATATTTATATTCGTTACAACACAGCCCGCGCACATACTTATTTCAAAGCCTGAGCACGACGCTTGTCTCTCTCCTCAGCAATGGAAAGCTTGACACCCTTGCCCTTGGGCAGGCTGATCAAAGGCTTGTCCTCACCGATGACAAAAACGTTTCCTAATCTGGTGGCGAAAGAGTTGTCAAGCGAATCCTTGATGTGGACAATGTCGAATCCACCCTCGTGACGCTCACGGTGAGTGATGACACCAACACGTCCCATGTTACGGCCACCGGTGACAACGACCAAGACACCAGTGTCAAACTTGACGTAAGACTGGATCTTGCCAGTTTCGATGTCAATCTTGACAGTGTCGTTGACCTTGATAGCGGGGTCGGGGTAACGGATGGTACGGCCGTCGTGGGTAACAAGGTATGGAATTCCCTTCTTTCCGAGCTGAACACGCTTGACCTTGCCAAGCTTGTAGGAAGCCTCCTCGTCGGTGATACGGTGGATAGTGAAACGGCCCTTGACGTCGTAAACGAGACGGAAGTGCTCGCCGGTCTTCTCAAGAGAGATGACATCCATGAATCCAGCAGGGTATGTGGAGTCGGTGCGGACCTTGCCGTCGACCTTGACGAGACGCTGGTGCAAGATGGCCTTGACCTCACGACCGTTCAAAGCGTATTTCAAACGGTTTCGCAGGAAGATGATGAGCGGAAGCGACTCGCGCAACTTGTGGGGACCAGCGGAAGGTCTGGGAGCCTATAGTTCGAAATCGTGTGAGTCTCAGAGTACGGAATGAAAAAAATGCTTATGACGCTCGATTCTTCATTTTTCTCGCTTCCACAATTCGCTGATTCTCCTGCAACTTTCTCCGTTTTGCGTCACGCAAATCGTATTCCAAGCAAAACAGTCTCGAGCCAAAGCAAGCAAATATTGTTGAAGTGTGAACTTACGTAGACACCAGACAGCTTGTCCAAAAGCCAGTGCGAAGGCGCGGCCAAACGCTTCATGTGTTTCTTACTAAAGACGAGATCTGCATCAGTATTGCTGTTCCAATTTGTGTAATGATAGTAATGCAAAGAATGTATACGTACGGTCCTCTGCCCATGTTGACTGTTGTTGAATATTATTGATGGTGAATAATACGAAGTGCAGACTTGAAGAGCAAGAAAGACTACGTGAACGAAGCGCCCGGACGATGTCCCCATTGCTAGTCGACGTTGCGTTGCGCCCTCCAGAAAAAAGCAGTCACGCTTAAGGTAACCCTACACAGTACCCTTTGTTGTCCACAGAGAGTCTCTATTTTGGTGTGTAGATTACGGGTCACGTGTAGGTAGGGTTGTGAAGTCGAGCTTTGTATGTGCTAGCAAGAATCTGAGGGTGTCGTGTACTTCGCTCGTTCTCTCTGGGAGCCTTCTAAACTCTCCAGCCAGCTCTGCCCGGCAAATCTCACTCTCCACACTGCCCTCCCATTCCACGCCTTCTCAAGATCGCAGCTTCCTTCATATACTCCTCCCTTTCCCTATCTTATGTCTTTTTTTGGATTTGATCCGTCCGCGGATCCCAAGGCTCGAACGACCGAGTCATCCTTCTTCGATGACGATGTTTCGTATGTGGACTGTGCCTCGGCCGTAATTTATTGCCTTGTGTGCCATTTCTTTGCTAATACAATGAAATTAGTGGTAACGACAGATACGACGGCCTCGCAGGCGATCTCGATCAAGAGTACGATCATTTGAATGATGAAACTTTTGGTGATTCGGCCGAACCGGTTGGCCGCGACTTTGATTTCTCTGCGCAACCCGCCGACCCAATTCGTGACAGATTCGAGAGCGATAAGATTCTATTCCGCCAGCGGCCGGTGCAAGACCAGATGAACGAATCTTCCGCACGCTCTTCTCCGGCCGAGCGGTCCGGATCCGAGCCTCCCAAATTCGAGATACCTGAATTAAAGCCGATGGCTGCGCTTTGGGAATCAGGAGTTCCGCTTTCCCAGCAGTCGACTTTGCAGCCACGAACCGCAACTGCTCCCGAACCCAAAAAGTTCCTGAGTTTAGAAGAGGTAGAGGCCCAGTTGATGGCTGCTGCTAAATCTGGCAGCATTTCACAGCCTCCGTTGCCTGGAATGCCCTCTCTTCACATGCAATCCCAAATGCCTCCTCCGCAGTTCCCTCAACAAATGATGAATATGCAGCTAGGCGGCGGAAGAATGCCAATGCCTAACTACCCGCAACCAATGAATATGCCGCCGGCCCAATACCAACAATTACCTTATGGATTACAGCCCTCACCTAATGCTATTCCGCCGTCAGATAATCAGCAGCGAATGCAGCCCCCATCTAGCCATCTTCGACAGGATTTCAGACAGCAGCAACTTCCGCCTCAACAGCATCTACCGCTCCAGCAACAACACCCACTTCAACAGCAGCCACAGCACCAGCAACAGCAGCAGTATGGTCAGCATCAGTCACCTACGGTGCCGAAGCAAAGCGGAGGATTTAGCGATCATCCAGCTGCAAATATTGGCTCGCGCTCGGCGTACAACAGTAGCCAAAACGCTCCCCATGCAGAGGCAATTTCGACTCAAAATTTATCAGAAGCTGAAATAGCGAAGCAAACGAAAGAGGCATATCTAGCCCGGTACAATGGTCTGATGACGTCCTCTGATAAGAATCACGTCACTCGACTTCAGTTGCAGCAATTGGTGAACGACGATCCATTCACAGAAGATTTTTATTATCAAGTCTATACAGCTTTGCACGTTCCTGAGGGCGAGCGCTCTGGTGGGAGCACTGCCGAGATAGCTGAAAAATATTTGAATGAGCACGGTCGTCGGACGCGATACGGACTGCGAAGGCAGACGGAGAGCATGGCCCGTTTACAGCAACGAGCTATTGCCGCCGCTAAGGCGCACCCAAAACACGAGCAATATGTGATAGAAGGTGCGCTGGGAAAGATTGCTTTTTCGAGCGGTAAGGCACCCCGCAAGATTCTGGATGTATCAAGACGGCCAGCAGAGATATAAATTTTATGTTGTAGTCTCATGTACGAACAATTTTTTTTTCGATGTACTTTGGGGTAATGTTATTTACTATTGAGATAATACTGTTCTCAGTTTGGTGTCAAAGCTGTAATCTAAAGCAATTGGTATCGGTTTCTCAAGATGTCTGAGGTTTAAATAGTAGTATTTGTTGTGCGGTAACCAGTTAGTTGCATACTCTACCATTTCAATTTGAGTTTGGATGCTAGTTGCTCTGGCAACTGTCTAGTAAACGCAACTTGTCGCTAGTCACGTGATTGAGATGGATCAAAACAAAACACTCGTATACATTAGCAATGTAGCCGCATGACACGTTCGATTAACCTCTCTCCGTATTTCAGCAAACACCACAAAGCCGTCCGTTACCATTATCATAATATCAACAATGAGCGGAGGCCTCTTGCAAGACGTCTCTCCTACCAAAAGTCAGAAAGCTACCCCACTATCGACGCTCCAGGACGGGAAGCTTATCCTGGACAATGATATATCTCGTCCCAAGCAGAGAAGGCCAGCCGACAGACCTGCATCCGAGAGAGTTACGGTGCGGAAGGCCTCTGAAGTGTTCAGTAGCCCGACGAAATCGTTCCGCCAGCATAAGAGAATTGCGCCCCTGCCCGCGGGTGAAAGCGTTTTCAGAGATCGATCAAATATTACAGAGTCCTCCCGCTTTGCGGCCATTTCACCATCTGTCTGCCGCTCTAGCTTGACTTCTCTAAAATCTACGCGTTTGGTTGACAGCTTCATCAATCGCGCTACAGAAGTGCAGAGGGCCACTCCACCGCCAGTTGCGAATACTATCAATGACGATAGAAATAGCCTTCTGTCATCGCCGTTCGAAGAGCATCCTAAAGTTCATATCAGACAACCGGTGTCCTCTCCGGCCGCTAAAGTTGAGAACTTCGACGAAGATCAGGCCGATAAGACTATGACACCCACTACAGTCAAACATGTACAGCCTGGTCTTCTACAAACGCCACAGACATCTTACTTATTGGACTTGCAAACCCCTCTTCCAGGGCCGCGTCAGAGATCAAGCGTACCGCCCAACTCTGAACCAACGAAGGAAGAGAATAGTAACACCTGTTTACTAGATCTGGATGATACTTCTGCACTATCGCCCCTTTCGTTGCCTGTGATTTCATCAAGAGAGATGAAGGCAATGGAGGATAAGTATCTGAGCGAAATCAATAATCTGAAGAGTCGACTTAGTGAAGCCAACAGAGTGGTCTCGGATTACAAACGCGATCTGGATTCTGCACATGGTACGATCGATACTCTGGAGCAAAGACTCAAAGCAGAGAACGAGAGACTCGAGAGCGTAGCAAGGGAACTGCATATACAGTATAGCAGAAAACATGAACAGAAGATTACCGCGTTGAAGAAGCAACTGGAGCAAAAGTATGCTTCGAGGCTCGACTCCCTCGAAGGAGAACTGGAAGAACTAAGAGTACAATTGGCAAAGGAAAGAGAAGAGAAAAATGACCTCGTGATGTATTGGGATCAGTATTTAGAGGCTGAGAAGAACTACCAATCTTAAGTAACAGAGAAAGGAACGAAAGAGCTGGAGCGGAAATGTTCAAGGCTTTAATCTAATTTAACAATTGCTCCAAGTTGATACGTATACATAAGAAATCAGACTGGTTGCACTTGCATTCCTCTAGCACCAGTGATTATTGAAAATTGTAGGGCCAAATGAGAATTTATATTCGAGAGTGGTATAGTGCCGCGCAAGCATAAAATGTCTGTGCATAGAAAGAAACAATCGGGTGCCTGGACACGTACCGCAGTTTCTTGTGGCGAAGCCACTATCTGCACGCCCGGTAGTCTGACACTTGGTCGACTTTTTGGTGGCAGCCATGTTGGTAGTAATCACAGCGATATCAGCACCTCGTCAAAGCAGAAATCAGTCGCGAAAAGCTTCTTTACGGCTCAACGCTGTAGATTGTCATTTACCAGTAATGGCGCGAGAAGAGATTTGTTCTTCCATTGACGTCGACTGATCGCATCCATCTCATAGCACTGCGTCGTGAGGAGGTCGTAGGCACCGCCGAATGCACGCCTAATATTTCGTAAATTGTAGGTGCCTCTACTTATATTGTTTGTGTTTTCGTTCGGGTCTTCGATCGCCAACGAGTACTTTCCTCGACTCTGTAAACGATAATTCCTGTTCTTGTCGAAATAGCTGCCAGGTTCTGTGACCGATATTCCAACTCTGTCGTAGTTAAAATGCTTTCCATACAGCTCGAAAAACTGGATTAAAAGGACACCAAGATTGCTTTCGGGTAGTATATCTCCCGAAGATATTTTTGGATGCATCTAGAAATAAATCTGTCAGATCTTATAGGTTTCTTATCGAGACAAGCAAGACGATGATCGAAACATACCTGATAAAACGATAAAACCAAGCAAACTACTGCGAAACCTCCGAGACCACCTTTAGGCACACTGTTCAGCTCCCGAATGGCAAGAAAGTATTTGACCACCATCACCAGCTCACGGAGTCCAGGGCGCTCAGCGACCCAGTGTAAAATCGTATCAGCTGCCACCACTCCTCCGTATTTTTCGAATGAAACATCAATGTTGATTCCACTCTCTCGATCGGTGAACTTTATTATGGGAACTCTGGCTTTTGCGATAACCTCAACGTTGATAGCTATTCGTGCCGCTTTCAGCGCATTGGCTAACTGATACAGATTGGATTTGCTGGTGTACGTGCCTTTGTCCGATATGATGACCAGGTCAATATCCGAGTCCGGAAGATATAGGTTCGTAGCATACGAGCCAAACACGCACACAGTGGCATCAAGCCACAGACCCTTCACACATGACTGTATTCGAGCGACCGCAGCTGCCCTCGCTTGAACCTCGGCTGCATCAGGTGAAATAAAATCCACAAAATCAAGAATCTCTTTATGAAGCCACACTGAGACCACCGCTTCTTTAGAATAGTCTCGGTCGATGGTCCAAAGCGCCACCATTTCTCCATCATCCATCTCACCTCGCTTGCGTTTCTTTCCTCGACTGTTGATCTTCAATGAGCTGGCAATCTTAGACAAAACACCAGTTTTCTGTTTTCGGGTCTGTCGCTGCTGATCAGCATCAGCATTAGGTCTTGAATCTGGACCCTCCGCACTTCCGCTTTCTTCTTCTTCTTCTCCCTCTCCGACTTCTGCATCACTGAAATCAAAGGCAATGAAGCTATCGTCGCTGCCAAATGGATTTTCGGTGGTGGCTTCTGGAGATTGGGACCTTGGCTCTATGGATGAAGAGGGTGGCGGTAAGGCAGCATCTGGTGATTTCGTGTTATGGTTGCTAGCATACGCATCTGCAGCTTCGGATTCTGACATATTTGACAATAGCAAGCCTGGGAATAAATCAAGGAACGCCGAATAAGTTGTATTGATGGTGAGCCGTTTGACTCGTTCTTTGAAAGTTAGGCAGTCATTAAATTTGGCAGAGCCGCTAAACCTTAACACTACAGCAGCCTGAACACAGAAGCATATCGATCACATCTTCAAATGCGCTTATAGCAATCGCCGGGCATGTATAATATCTATACATATGCAACATTACGACCGTCTGCAGTAGCCTAAACTTGATACTGTTGATTTTAGTATATATAGTGTCGCAAACTCTCCATGTAATGCAAACGAGAACACTTCTAAACGCACTGAAAAAAATGCTTCCAAGCATGACTCAGGATTTATTATAACTCATACTCTGGAAACTGTGAAAGAATGACCACCAAGGCGCGTGAGCCATGAAGAGCGTGTATGTCTGGGCGATGAATCTGATTTTCAAACTGCAGCGATAACTGCCTCGCCGAAGATCACATCTTGGATATCACTGTCAGGCTAACCTATCCATTTCTTCATGGATGATCTGTCCAGAAGTGCCTACGCAGACTTCTGCATGCCTCTAGTCAATGTCGAGCAGAGAGGCTATCTCATGCCATCAACCAATCGCCCGAATTTGATACTCGTACCTCCACTTTCTCTTCCGCATCCTAGTTTAGAAAATCAAGCAGCTACGCCGTCAAAGATTGTCATTTAAAGCAGCTCTTTGCGCTTCTTTAATAATGATGACGAAAAGCGTGTATAAATGCAAGGCTTTAATTCGACCAAATTGTTTCAGCGCCTATGAAGACTCTTTGCACCTCTCTATTGACAGCAGTGTCAGCCTTAGCGAAGTTCGCGACCTGGATGTCAAAACAAGGACTGTAAAATCGGGCCATCCATTTCTCACAGACTAAGCTGCTGTTTAAAAACACCCGGAAAAGACCCGACGCTTCTTCAGTCAAATGAAGATAAAAAGACCAATCAAGTCATCAATATCGACCGTCTGGTTCCATTACCGAGGCCTCTTTACTGCTTGAGCTCTACTGCCAATGTTGAAGGTAGCAATCGCGCTTTGGGCTTGACAGCTCAAGCAGCCCTGTCGCCAGACAGAGACGGTCATGACTGCTCTTTTAGTTCTTTCCACAAATACATCGAGCGCGTTTATGATAAGTGGAAGACCAGGTGTAAGGCAATTTCCACAGAATCTGTAGAGTCAGGCCGCGCTTCTCTATTGACATGCCCTTGATCATTATTTTGCCCCGCTTCGTTAGAAGTATCGGGAGCTTCGCACTATACATGGCCTTATCAACATCTATCTATCACTACACTACAATAATCCCCGCCTCTCTCCAGAGTATCTGTGTCTTTTCAGCAGGAGATTCAGCATTTACTTCTCGATCATTTGGGGTCATAGAGACAAACCAAATATTGCTTTTTCAAGTATCCCTGCATCTGGTGTATCAGTACTTCAAAACACTCGCTCTATCGCATCTTATGGATCGACAAAAGTGTCCTGATCTCGTCGAGTATTCTCAGAAGACTCACACTGATACTGGCCGTTGGTATCACCCGGTTATGGACTAATCGGATTTTCCTTCAGCGCCAGACGACGACTGAGATCTTCTGTGTCAGGGAATATCCACCCTGACGCGTTCCGGACATCTCTAGCAGGCTTGAAACACCACCAGAAAAGGAGATCACGGAAATCATCGACAGGGGCTACAATATTTACACACGCTCATCTCGCAACACTGAGAACAACGCTGTTGGCTGGGCCGTCACTGTCGAGTATGGAGGGCACTTCAAGCATGATGAGTCTGGATTTATGAGCTTTTAATCTGATCTTTACTCTGCGGCGATAACCGCCTTAGCGAAGGCCACAACTTAGACATCAAAACAGAGACTGTCAAACGAGGCGATTCACTTCTCTACTGATGCCCCTGCTGGCTTGAAACGCCTGGAGAAGCCTCGGCGCGCCTCAAAAATCAACGCCAAGCTACTGCGATCATCAAGCCATCGATCAATTGTCTGATACCAAAACCAAAGTCTCTATCTATTGGCTTCGCTCTGCTACCAAAGTTGAAGGCAGCAATCGCGCCCTGGCCTCAGTAACTGAAGCAGCCTTGTTGCCAGATCGCGTCAATCATGTCTGTTCCCTGCGCTTTCTTTATAAGCCAGTCGATGACCTCGCTCTTGAGGAATGGAATGACAAGTTTCAGGCCAAGCCTCCTTCAGATTATTATACATACGAAGGCAAACTTCGATTCTCTATTGACAAGCCCCTTGTGGATATCCCTCGCAGCGTCGCCAGCTGTATTGTGAGCTTCCGGACTGGAAATGGCTGTTTCAGAGGTCCTTTGCAAGACATGGCAGAAAGCCTCGTCCCTCTCCAGAGCGTTGGTGTGGAATCCCACTGCAGTTAGTTCAGCATGTGCTTTTTTTTGTCACAGACACAGAGATGAACGAAATAGCTCGTTTGAAGGCATCTCTATGGCTGAATGCACGCTCAACCGCATTCTATGGACAAACAAAGGTTTTTCTGCACATGTCAAATATGCTCAGAAGACCCACAGAGATTTAGCAACGGACTTAAAACAGAGATTTATCATCATCATCATCAGAAGACCCACATCGGCACTGGTCACTGGTATCATCAGCAAGTCTCTCTCACACAGAGCCAGAGGGAACAATTTCGGAACAATTTCTTGGTGGATTTGAGAGCGGGCCTTGCAAATTTCGAGATGAATGAGTAGCAGTGAGGTCGCTCAAGGAACTTGATATCTCGGATGGTTATTATTGGATTTGTTTTGGATTTTTATCTTTTATTTGAAATATGTTTAGTGAATTTTGCGAAATTTCTTGGTGTTATTTTTGACTTGGGGATTCATTTTATGTTGAATTTTGTTATTGAGACACGGCCTTACGATTTACTTTGTTTATTCTTTTGTCTATAATATTATTATTTGATGGAGAAGGGGGAGATAGTCTGTCATAGCCCAGTTGTTGCAACGGACTTTAAACGAAGATTTATCATCATCATCATCATCATCGTCATCATCAGCTCACCCTGTCTCTGAAGGCGAGTCTCAGCCTGGGAGTGCGTGATGGTTTGCTCCATTTCAACCTGCAAATAATACATAAAGCTCAAGGGATTTCATTCCTTACTGCTTTGCTGTATTGTATACTTGGAGCTGATGACCCTTAATCATCTACTTTATCATCCATGTGCAGCAAACTAGGCTATGATAGACTCTCACCCCCTTCTTCACTAATTTAAAATAACTTGGAACAAAATTGATCCCAGGATTGAATGATGGTGATATATCTCTGTTCTAAGTCCGTTGCGGCAACTAGGTTATGACAGAATTCGATTCTAAGATTGAGCAAATAATAATATGTTGTGAAACATGAAGTAAATCCTCAAGCCAAAAATATGAAGAAATTTCACAAAAGTCACGAACATCAATCATATCAGACTCATGCACCACTAGGATTTGTGCACTTCCAAATGAAATCCTACTCTTCCTCTTTTCTACAACATTCCACAGTAACCGACCATGAGATCCACTTCAGAATATAGTCAAAATCTCTCATCTATTGAGCTACCCAAAAGAAGGAAAAAAGATTTGAGCAAAAAAAGTAGAGCAATAGAAGCGCACCAGAGGCATATAAACAATTGCGCAAGTACCTTATGTGTTAGGATCATAAATATGATGATGATGATGATGATGATGATGGCAAATCTTTCAAGCACAGTCTATTTGCAACAACTAGGTTATGACAGACTGTCTCCAACTTCTTCCACCAATTTTTTATCTCCATTTTTCTAATCCAACTTCAATTTCCTATCTCCCTGATAGGATATCCAAGTATGCCTGCCTGAAGTGGACGACAAGCTATCCAGTAGATGCTTCAGTTCAACCATTGCCAGAAAGGGAAGGCGTGTAGTAAAGTCCATAGTATTATCCATAAAATCCGGGGGATCTCATTTCTTTCACCGCTTTGTTGTAAACTTGGTGCTACTGCAGTGGGGGGTTCAATATAAATTTTGCAACCAAGACCATTTTATGCTGAAAATTACCAAGGTGAAAATTGGGGGGGTGTTCAATATTAGGCCAAAATCCAGGAAACGCTCACAAGCGGGGCTCGAACCGTGGATCTTAAGGGAGCAATGCAGCGGCCATACCGCTGGGCCATATCACTGCTCCCTTGTTGTATACTTGGTGCTACTGCAGTGGGGGGTTCATTATAAATATTTTGCGACCAAGATCACTTTTGCTCAAAATTATCAAGGTGAAATCCAGGGGTGTTCAATATTAGGCAAAATCCCAGGAAAAGCTCACAAGCGGGGCTCGAAACGTGGATCTAAAGGGAGCAATGTAGCAGCCAGTGTGCTGGACCGTATCATGGCTCCCTCTGAAGATGCAGGGATGTCCCCTCTTTAACTTATGTCTCATAGATTTAATTGACGAGTTAAACTGTTGTTGTTGCGTTCTTATTATTTTATAATAGGTATAGTGCTGTGTTATTATTTCCTTTCAAAACAGGTAGTAATGGTGAAACTACGCGGAACCTTAGTGATGTATGAATCTCATGTAACAAAATGAATTTTTATGTGAACATTATAATTAAAAGATTCACCATCATCAAACCACTATAGCCAAACTCGAACCACACTGAGTAGGGTCCATGATGCATGTTCTGTTGAGAATATGGTGGTTCTGATGGTAATGTAACTCCCAAAAGATTCGCGCATCCCTAGGGTTTCGCGCAATTTCAACCATACCTAGAATAAAAATGATAATAACGCAACCACAACAAATTAAATCAATTAAAACTAGTCGAAATATTATAGAGTGGACATTTCTGCATCTTCTGTACATGTGCATGCATTATGTCATCCAATCATCATCAAAACAACTCGCAACAACAATCAAACAAGTAATATGGCAGAGGAAAGCTCGTCCTGGGACGGGCCTGAAGCCTACTCGGAGCAGCCCCAGTCAGAGTGTACTGACCTGGTGGTGGCTCCAACCAGAGAAATGTTGAGTTTTTTGCCCTCAACTCCGACTCCAATTATTGGCCTCAAACGCCAGAAA